CTTCCACACTGTAAAACACCCCTCCCTTTGCGCTCTGGTGGCCCCAGACAAATCTACAGCTCATCGGGCGAAGGCGGTCTAGAGATTCCAGCGCTGTGTGACCACTGTGGTCCCAATCCAACACTGACGCTACCCGCATCACTCTTGTTATCAGCATCCGTCAAGTGTTCATCAAAGTAATGTGCAGCAGTACTCCTCGGTGTCCTAGGCGTACGAGCACCATACGTCAATCCACTTTGCAATATCATGGCTGCGACGCAACCTGTCCATCCACACTGGTGACTGGCTCCCAATCCGGCACCAGTGTCTGCGTGGAAGAATTCGTGGAATTGGACTAGATCCCGGAAATAAGGATCGTGGTCCAGCATGGCTGTACCGCCGTTGCAGGCTCTGACGCCCTTTGAGTCGCGAGTGAACATGGAGATGATTCGATGTTGCATCTCCTCGGCAATCTGAGCCAAGTCCATAAAGTCGCCAGAGCCAGTAGGGCACTCGACCTTGAACTCGTCGGGACCATAGTACTGGTAGAAGCGCTGCAGGGACTCGATGAGGAGCAAGTTGGGAGCGACCCAAATGGGGCCTCGCCAATTTGAGTTGCCGCCGAACATGGGCGAGCGGGAGTCTCCAGGCCAGTACTCGACGCTGTACTCGTCTCCAAAGGCCCTGAAGGGTTCAGCCTGGTGCACCTTGGAGAGAGAGCGGACACCGTAGCTGGACAGGAACTCGGTCTCGTCCAGCATGCGACGTAGGATGCGCTCCAAGCGCTCCTTGCTCACCACGCTCAGCAGTCGTCGCTCCCTCTTTCCACCGGTGGTCATGACGTTCCGCACAGCCAGGGCAGGCCTGTTGTGGACAAACCACTGGAATCGAGCAGCAAAGCTCGGGAAGCGCTTGAAGACCCATGGCTCGATGGCCAAGACGGGGAACAGCGACATGAGTCCGACAAGGGAGCGTACCTTGATGATCTGAGCATCGCGGTTGCCATGCTGCAGAGTGTCGTAGTAAAAGCCGTCCTCATCGTCCCAGCAGCTGACGTCTTCGCTGTCGGGGCTCGGGTTGATGGATTCACTGAGCCAGATGAAATGTTCAAAGAACTTGCTAGCCATGGCCTCGTAGTTCTTGTTGTGCTTGGCAAGCTCCAGGGACATGTTCAACATCTGCAGACTGAAGAAGGCCATCCAGCTCAGTCCATCGATCTGTCGAAGAGTTCCTGGAACCGGCAGAGACTCGGATCGATTGAAGGGTGCAATGTTGTCCAGACCGAGGAAACCATTCTCAAACTTGTTGACAAACTGCGTGAAGCACAAGAGCAGCTTCTGGAAGACTCGCTCCAGGAAGTCTAGATCTTCACGGCCGTACATCTTCCTCTCGATCTTGAAGACTCGGAACACGGCCCAGGCGTGCACAGGAGGATTGACATCTCCGAAGTTCCACTCATATGATGGCAACGATCCGTCGGGCTTCATATACCACTCTCGGGTGAAGAGGTCGAGCTGCTTCTTGGCAAACCAGGGATCGACCATGGCGAGCGGGATGCAGTGGAAAGCAGTGTCCCAAACACAGGGGAAGGGGTACTCCCACTTGTCGGGCATCGAAAGGATGTCCTCCATGTGCAAGTGCTTCCAATCTGTGTTTCGAATCCACTTGCGGTTGGAGGGTACAGGTGGTTGACCCGGGTCTCCGGCTAGCCACTCGGACAGGATGAAGCAGTAGTATTGCTTGTTCCACAGCATTCCGGCCAGGGCTTGCCTCATGATGTTCTTCATGTCGTCCGACATAGAGCCACTGGCCACGCGAGCGTAGAACTCGTCGGCCTCGGATCGGCGCTCCTCTACCAGGTCATCGAACTGCTCATCGTCATCAATAGAAGGATCTTCTTCTGGCGTCTTTGATGTCAACTTCATCCTGACGACTGCGCATCCGCCGTAAGCTGGAACCTGCTCAAAGAAGTAGTGGGCTCCTGCCTTGGTACCGATCTTGTCCGGGTTGACGTAGTCACGGGTCGGTGCTGTGTTAGTCGGCTGTTCAAAGTACTCTTCTATGTCGTCGACCTCCTCAACGATCTCCTCTTCCACCCATTGGTGCTCGCTGTCCTCCATCTCTACCACCGCCGGGTTATCGGGGGCTGATCCTGCCTTGGCGCTCGTGGAGGTCTTTGTGAGATTGCCGGGCCTTTTCACGGTCTTGACGACCTGGCGCTTGACTGGGCGCGTCTTTCGGACCAGCTGCGGGCGGTCATTCTCGAGACGATGATTAGGGATGAGGTGGTCGTGGAAAGCATCCTTGGCATACTTGTTGATGTTCTTGCCGTTGTAAAGACGCTCGAAATTGGTCTCATTCTCGGTGAAGAGCAATTGGGGCACAACCTCGTCCTGTGAGATGGGCTCCGGAACGGGCTGACCACGCTTGGGAGCGGGAGCACTGGGAGCGGGACTTGGCGAGCAGTACATGTACTTTCTACCCAGTTCTTCATGGTCGGCTTGGACAATCCCCTCACCTACTTGACGTAGAGTAGGCTTTTCAGGAGTCACCTTTGGCCAGAACCAATAGTTCTTGAAGAAGAGCTGTGGGATGATGTGAAGGTCGGCGGGCTCGGGACCTCTGTTGTAGGCACTGATGCGGACGGAAATGGCATTCTCGTCCTCGTCGTCCTTGGCATACTCGATGAAGATGTCCCAGTACTTGTTCTCATCGAAGAGATCGGTGTCGGTAATTTCAAATTCGGTAACATCTCGACCACGGTTTTGAGACTCGCGGACGAGCTGCTCATAAGGGTAGGCAGTCTGAGGGTACTTGTAGAGCATCTTCATGTACGAGTGAGAAGGCGTGTTGTCAAGGTAGTAGTAGAGCTCTTTGACGTCCTCTCCGTGATTGCCCTGGTTGTTGGCCAGACCGAAGAGGCGCTCCTTGAGCATCCTGTCCTTGCCATTCCAGAAAGCCAAGCTAAAGGCCATGCGGCAGTGGTTGTCACTGATACCACCAATGCCATCTTCTCCCCATCGGTATGTCCTGCTTCTAGCCATCTCGTGAGGAAAGTGGTTCCATGGGTCACCATCTGCACTGTAGTCCTCCCTCACCGTTGACTGCGACCCCGTGAGAAGAAGGTTGGTCAGCCGCTGTAGCTTCGGAAGAAGCATTTGTGTAAGTCGCACGAACTCACCCATTGCCTCTCGCTCAGATGGGGTCCCCATCGCCTCCAGTAGCGCAGCTTGTGCTCGTCCTCCTTGAGTCTCTTTTCCTCCTTTGTCTCCCACTTGGAGGAAGTGTGCAGCTTCTGAAATGCTTCGTCCATGGAGACTCGCTTGCCGTGACGGTGTGCAGAGTCGTGATCGGTGTTGCCGCCATCAGATTGTTTCTGGTGAGGAGAATTGTAACCAGACATGTAGCTGCTTCGACTTTGAGCTCGTGGTCGGTAGCCTGAGCCATTGGTGGGCTGTGAGATTGGTGGACAGATATGGGCGTCAGATTTCAATGAGCATGTGAAACTAGATTGGGTGATGTCAAAGGTACTTACAGTAGGTGTGAAGTTCCTGTTGTTGGCTGACAAGAGGAGAAAGAAGCGGAGCGAGGAAGAACAGACGGCACAATGGCGCCTGGTGGGTCAGCCGAAGCTACTGTGGTGCGGAAAGGCTGCGCTATCAGCTCGCAGCAGCACTCACCGAAGCTCTTCTTCTTCTTGGGTACGCCATCAGGACCCTTGCCGCTCACGCCAGGGATGTCGAGACTGAGCCCCTCGACGGCGGCGCCTACGGTGGTGTTGTTTGAATTGGCAGTGTTGAAAGTCTCGTCTGCGGTCTCTGTGCTATCGTCGGCGCCATTGTTGGATAGGGTCGGTGTGGTCCTGCCGCCGGCTGGCTCGTCCGATTGGCCATCGGGCTTCCCAGCGCTGGCAAAGGCCTGGCGAAGGCGAGATGCCATCTTTGGGGGGGGGGAAGCTGAAAGAAAAGGAGGAGGGGGGGGGGGAAGGGGAAGGGGGAAAGAAGGGGGAAAGAGGTAAAGGATGGGTAGGCAGAGAGGGGGAAAAGCAAGGGACAGTGGTGGTAGAGGAGCGACAGGAAGAAGAGGGATGGGATCGATGGGTGCGGAGGTGCGGGCGGGCGGGCGGGCCAAGGGGCGAGGGAGGCGTAGGAAGCGAGGCGCAGCTGCGACGGGGCACCACCAGCACCCGTGGATCAGCGTGCAGATGATGCGTCGTAGGCGTGGCCGTGGGGCAGAGCGAGTGCTTAGGCGACGCTGCCTGGCCACGCTGCTCTGCCCGGCCATTCCACCCGTCTGCGTTCGGTGCCGTTGAAGGCCGATCGCGGGTCCAACGATAGCGGAGATCAAACGCGCCATGCGGTCAAAGCCAAGCCACGCCACGCGACGTCACTTCAGGGCAGCAGCAGCAAAGGCACAGACAGGAACAAGTCCTGCCTCGAGAATAATTGAGCCGGACACGGCGAGGCAAGCACCGTAGGCAAGCAAGCAAAGAGGCTCCGGCGATCGACGACAGTGAGCGTCTGAGCAAGGCTGCTGCATGGACTATCCTGTGAACGCAGCAGGGTCGGGCAGTCCATACAGCTCGCACTTGAAGAGCAATGGTTACGAAGATGGCACAGACGAGGATCAGGAACAAGAGGTGCCTACACTACCCAATCAGCTACTTCAGCTCAGCCCAGGAGCAAGGAGGGTGACCGACGCAGATGAAGAGGTGAGCCTAACCGAGGGAGACATACCACTACATGTCAAGTGGCTCATACTCAGCTCTTCCTCCGTCTGCAGATCTTTCTCCTCTACACCCTCACCCCGGCTCTAGCCGGCCGGTACGGTCTGGGCCAAGTCGACTCCAAGCACGATCTACTGACCATCACCTTTGACCTTGACAAGGACGACCCGCCTGAAGTGAGCAGTAGAAACAGTGACAGTCTGAGCTCGTCAGCTACAAGGTCTCGAAAAGATGCGACAAGCAAGGTCGCCCGAGGTTCAAAGAGGCAGGGTCTGTCGACTGGGAGCAAGAGCAGCAAAAATGCCACCTCTTCAGCACGCGACACGACGGTCAATACGCTGCTCTTTCAGGATTCCACCTCTCTGCGCTCCAACGCTGGAGATACAGGCAGTGTCATTTGGAGGTCATCCCTCTACCTTGCCGCCTGTCTCACGAGGCAGCTCTATCGTCCTCAGCGAGGCGATGAGCCTCTTTCACTCTTGAACAGGAAAGCCCTTCTCAACCCAAAAGGTGAACAAGAAGACGGCAGGATCAATATCTTGGAGCTCGGGACTGGCACAGGCGTATTGCCTGCCATCCTCTTGCCCTTTTTACAGACTCGTCGCCTTGCAAATCGGCTACACTGGACAGCGACCGACCTGGAGGAGCTGCTACCCTTGATCCGCCGCAATCTAAGCGACAAGCTCTCTTCTACCTCGTCAGACTCGGAAGAGGGCGGGATTACCCTCTCGTCTCTCCCACTAGACTGGATGCACGCTTCGAATCTCCTGCATTCCTCTACCTCCTACGCAGGTGGGAGCGAAGCACTACGTCGCTCCCTCCTTCCTTCTTCGCTCACAGGCTACCCCGACTTGCTAATGGCAGTGGATTGCATCTTCAATCCTTCTCTCTTCGACCCGCTTCTCGATACCATCGACCTCTTCACGCTCAAGGCACACACAGTGGTCCTCTTGCTTGTGGAGCTGAGGTCGGCAGAGGCTATGAGGGAATTTATGGAAGGTTGGCTGAAGAGGGATGGTGGATGGAGGGTTTGGAGCGTGGATGTGGAGCAGATGAAGGGGATGGAAAAAGGTTATGTGATCTGGGTGGGATGGAAGGAGTGACTGCCGCAAGGACCTTGAGCTCAAATGGTTCGCCTCCTGCACTTTCATTGTACTATAGTATACATCACAAAGCCAACGAGGGGCATCGCATAGCGACACATTGATTCTAGAGGCCGAATAACCATCGCGTGTTCCTCTCTGCAATCCCAGCTACTTCTGCTATCTCCAGTCCTTTTACGCCTGCAACGACGGCTGCCACCTGTCCAATGGCACATGGCTCGTTCCTTCCCTTGACCATTCTCTCCGGATCGTACTTCTCCTTCTTGACCGTCGGCGGAGAATACAGAGCTTTGAAGCGCTCTCCAACAGGTCCATCAAGGGCGGCCGCGACGTGCTTTGCGGAAGCGTGGGTAGGTCGTAAATCGCACCATGGAGCGTCCGTCTCGAGCATGAGCCGACTGAGTGGAATGGCCTTGACCACTGCGAGGTTCTCTTCTGTCTTGAGAGAGCAGCCATTGACACCGATGAAGAGGCCGAGGGATACGAGCTCTTGCATCTCTTCGAGAGAACCGGTAAAGCTGTGCACCACCCCAACTCGCAACGCCTCTGTAATCGAAGAGCTGCTCTCACTCGCTGCCAGGTGGGCTGGTAGCGCTGGAGGAGCCGAGGCACCCTCGCTCAGAGCAGAAGAGAGCTCCGTCATCCTTGGTTGCAGGATGGAGATGAAGTCGGCTGCTGCTGCTCGACTATGCAGGAAGAGGGGCAGGCGATGCTTAACCGCAAGTGAGAGCTGCCAATCAAAGTACTTCTTCTGCACATCGGCTGGACAGAAGTGCAGTCGGTCATAATCTGGCAGAGTCGGCGATGTGGTGGATGAGGTCAGCGGAGGTATGAGCGTCTCTGCTCTGACCGTTGAAACTCACCCAGTCCACATTCTCCCACTGCTACTGCCTTCCCCTTCCCCTTCCCCTTTCCCTGTGTTACAATGGAGTGCTCCTTGATGAGCTGCGAGAGAGCCTGCAGGTACGCCTCCGGTCCCTCCTCATGCTTGTCAAACTCAGTAGAGCGAGTAGGATGACAGCCAATTGTACAAAGCAGGTCCTCCTCACCCTCACAGATCTCCAGCGCCTCTTTACTCTCCGCAAGACTACCCCCCGTGACAATCTGCTTTACTACCCCTGCATTGCGCGCCCTCGCTAGCACTCGCTGAAGATCATCTGGGTGGGCAGTCTTGCCGTTGTACACTCCGCGGAACATCGAGTCGCTGAGATTCACGCCGATGTCGATGAAGTGCGGAAGATCATCAGCGACAGCGGCGGCGGCTGCTGCTGCTGCTGCTGCTACTCCCTTGGACGAGCTGGAAGAAGCCATTCTTCTGGTCTGTCCGACTGGGAGAGGTGCAGGACGAGAAAGACCAAGAGGAGCGGACCGAGCGGCCAAAGAGAGACCACGTGATAGACTGACTGGTCGTATGATGACAGTGATGATGGGAGAGCAGCGTGCAATGCTAGCCAAGGGAAGCGAAGACTACTTGTGAGTAGAAGGGGAAAAGTAGGCCGGCCTTGAGTGTGCTGCAGAGCACAGGCCACGCACAAGCGGAAAGAGGACACGACACGCCAAGACTCCCCCTGCCGCTTCACCCTCAGTCAGAATAGCAGACACAGCAACGTCATGTCAGAGCAATCGGGGAAGACGTATGGTATCAAGGCCATAGAGAAAACGTAATCATCTGCTCACTATCTGTCCAGATCATCAATCTGACCCAGGAGGAAGCGATGGAGCTTCAAAGCTATCTCGGGCTGGTACATCGGAATCTCATGCCCCGCGCCTTTCACCAGAGCCAACGTCACCTTGTCCTCCGTATGGTATTTGCCGCCATTGAAACCGCCGCCGCCGCCCGCCTTCAGGGACTTGAATCCACCAGCTTGGAAGCCCTGCTTGCCTCTCCAGGTGGCAGACTGCAGCGCTAGCTGTGCACCGAGGGCAGTGAGCGACATATCGTCCAGCCCAGCTGAGATGACCACCCTCTCCATCCGCTCGACCACCCGGCTAAAAAGCTCCGTCTCCATAGGGAAGGGAGACTCATCTGATCCGCCTACAAAGGGCGACTCGGACTGGTAGAAGCGCCATGTGCTATTGCCAGCATGGATAGCCTCACGAAAGCCGGGTGTGTTGTTGATCCAGTTGTCAGAGGTGGTCCGCTGTACGGTGTAGTTGCCGGGAGGATTGCCAAGAGGGTCGAAGGCGGCTAGAGGGCACTCGTCCATGATGTTATAGATATTCAGACATCCTTTACTGGCCCTATCCGACACAGCCTCAGCGATAGCGGTGAGGTAGCTGTGGGAGTCCGGCAAGGTGGATGGAGCTGTGATGGGACCTTTTGGAGGATAATGAAGGTGATCCGTCACGAAGGAAGCGATCCCATCACTCGTAGCCTCCGCCTTGATGTCTGACATGGTCGCGTCGCTCAAGTGGAGATCGGATTGTCGCTTGACGGCCCACTCGTACAAGGGCGCTTCTTGCTGCAGCTTTCGGTCAGTGAGAATACCGCTGATGATCCCGAGACCAGTCAACTTCAGATTCGTATTCTGGAAGATGTGGTCCGCGATATGAAAGGCGTATTGACTGCCGTATGACTCCCCGACGATCGTGAGCTTCTTAGACTTGAGCTCAGGGAAGATGGACACAAGATTGAGCAGCCAGGTGGTGAACTCCTTTGCGGCTTCCACTGCGCTCTTGGCTTTTGCTGGACCATCGCTAAGGCCCACGCCGGCCGGCTGATCTACGGCCAGCAGCCATCCTGCCTTTGTGAGAGAGTGTTCATTACGTGCGACTTGACTGGTATTGACTCTGCTTGTGGGAAGAAGAAACGGGCCCATCTCTTGCAAAAGCCCCTTGAGACCGCTTGCACCCGGTCCGCCTTGGAGCCAGATCGTGTGAGTGTCATCGCCTTCGCCTTCTGAAGGTGGCCATAGCCAGAAGAAGAGAGAGCGACAGTCATCTGAAGAGATGGGGACCTTGCCTGCCCAGCTATCACCAAGGTCGCCAATGTGCGAGCTGACGCCCGGCAGGGAGTGACCTTTGACCAGAAAGTCAGCTGCCTTCGGGCCAGTAGAGAGGACAAGGGAAGCGTGGGCCAGAAGGGTCAGGAGAAAGAAGAGGGAAAGAGGTATGCCCCTTTGAAAGGCCTGAAAGAATCGGTAAGACATGGCGTGATTGAAGGCAGCCCGTCCGGTTTGCTGATTTCGTTTCTTGAGCAAGGTGACATGCTGTCTTCACCGCCAAGGCGAGGCATCTGCAGCTGGCTACCCCTGGCGTGCCTGGTTCGGTCCGGAACAGCCCGAACGTCGGGCAGTAATGCCCTGGCAGGGTATAGCCGTCAGGGGTGAGATTGCTTGGGCGCGCGGGAGATGGCTTCCGCCAGAGCTTCAACGTACGGCTCCTTGGCGGATGCCAGGGGATCGGCGATGACTTCGATGCTGCCATCTTTCCTCAAGACCCTCATCTTTCCCTCGACCCCCTGGCCGATGTCGTTGTTCTTGCCTTCCATCCAGGGTTTGAAGAGCGCCAACCACTCTTGGAAGATTTCGACGTCCTTCTTTGCTTCCTCCTGATTAGTGGCGAGCATGAGGACCTCCCTCGGGAAGCCGAAGATGACGCCATCCGTCCCGTGAAACACCCCCTTTTCCTTTGGGTGCGAGTCATCTACGAGAGCAGCGCGCCGCTCAATCCGGTATCGCAGAACCCGTGATGGCGGCAGACTCCGCAGATAGTTTTCCAGCAACCGCTGTGCAGTGTAGATCTGAGCGTCTGCAGTGATGAGGCCAAAGACGTCTGCCCAGACCTCGAGGTCCTTGATGGCGTCTCCAGGTATATCATAGGATCCCATGAGATGTTCCACTACCGCCGCAGGATAGTAGTTGTGCAGTTGTAGGAACAGATCTTGCTTCAGCGGGTGAGAGGAGGGCGCATTGACTAGGCGATACTCCTGAGCTTCGTCTGAGAGTTCTCCAAAGGCAAAGGAGATGTTTTCCGCATTGCACCATGCTGCAAACGACCCATCCTTCGTTCTTTCACCCCAGTCAGAGTCAACGAAGCCGCCATGTGCCACTCCACCATCTTGGACGGCTCGAAAGGTGTGCATCTTCATGTCTGGGATCACAGCGACTAGCTCAGAGGCTGGCACTTTTCGGAGAGCTGCTACTCGTTGAAGATCATCGTGGACACTGATGCCGAGCTGATTACACAACTCCTCCATCTGAGGGGCGACCTCGTCCAAGGTCTTGCAAGGCAGCATTGCGGAGCCCGAGCGAAATACACATCGTTTGATATGCGGCCGGTAAGACGCGTCCACCCGAGCCCTGCAGAACTCATACAACAGCTGTGCATGTGCTGATTGAGCGCCAGCAGAAATACCCGTGACTGTGATCTCGTCAGCGTTGGCCCCTAGACTTCTTGCATTGTGTACAGTCCACTCGAGCGCCAGACGCTGATCCCAGAACCCAAAGTTGGCCTTGCCTGATTTCGTGTCCAGCTGATCCGAGGCAAGGAAGCCAAAGATATTGAGCCGGTAAGCCGGACTGACGATTATGCACTCGAAGCCTGCTCCTCCTTCTTCTCGCGGAGCTAGCAGATCCGAATAGTCGGCATTTGGATCTTGGTGAGCCGAGCCGCTCTGCAGCCATCCTCCATGAATGGAGAAGAGGATTGGCCAGCCCTGTGGGGGCGCCTTGGCCACAGGTGTCCAGATGTTCAGATAGAGACAGTCTTCCGTCTGTTCCGGCACAGGGGGCTGAGGCTGGCCTTCAGCCGGCTCTGCGCTGTAGTTCGTAGGTTGGTAACATACAGAGGCGAAAGATGTGAAGTCTGAGCGGCCTGTCGAGCCATAGCGAAAGTTGGCAGGGAGGGGTTGAGGCTTGGTGAAGCGCAGGGCGCCGAGGGGCGGAAGTGCGTAGGGCACGCCAGCGTACCTGTGAGCCTTTGGCTTGCCGGTGACGGTATCAAGAATGGTCTTTCCGTGGATCACCCCACGCTCGCCAAAGTCGAGCGATGGAGACATTCTCGCGGTGACAATATCTTCGGGAACGTTGCGAGAGATCAGAAAGCAAGAGTAGTAATGCCGGAGGACAAGGAAGGCAGCAATCCGAGCTTCGGCAATTGCTCCACATCTGCTTCCCCGCACTCGGTTATCCCGGAGCAGGATCACAACCAGACACAACAGCCAAGAAGGACAATGTATAGACAGATACTTTGCAGCGATGCGATGACTCAAACAGCTCCGCTCTCCTCGTACATTCTCCTCTCAAACCTCTTCCACAGCTTATCGTTCTTCGCCAGTCTCCTCGCCAGGTGTAGCATGTTCGGAATCGTAATCGCATCCAGGCTCCAGTCGGTAAAGGCACGCAGCGAGTCTGGTAGCTTGAGCGCACGATGCCGCGAGATGGCAATGTCCTCACCGACGCTGACTTGACTGCTCTCAGCAACAAGATCTCGGATGCCCAGACCTCTCTTCTTCAACTCATCCTCTAGGAGATGGCGAGGAACAGGCACGTGACGATGCTGTCCATCCCTCACGTCACCACTACCAATCAGATCACCCCACAGAACTTCGGGCGTGTAAGTTGCGTACTCAAGGTGGAAGTTGAGCTTCCCCTTGCGCTTGGCTAGTTCTGCCTCCTCGGTCATTACCGCTCCATGACCGTTCTCTTGCTCCCAAGCCTTGTTCGCTGCGTCGAGGTCGAGGACCCACTGAGAGTAGCCAAGCAAGCTCAACGGCCCATTCTGCCTACTCGGTGAATTTGGAGAGGCATACCTTGCCACAGGAGTTATCTTGCCCCTGCCACCGCCATGCTTGGGCCGTCGATGCTTCCTCCTGAGAGCAGTGAAAGGATCTTCCAGCCTTGCAGTGTCGTTGTCCGAGAAAATCATATCCTCTGGAGTTGCGAAGACGACTTGATTTTGTACCGGACTGTGGGAGATCTCCTCGACATGGTCATACTCATAGTCCTCATCATCGTACTCTTCCTCATCTTCTGCGAGCGTGGGTACGTCTTGTTCTCTTGTGGAAGAGGAGAAGTCTAGCTCGATGCCACTTGTATTATATGTCCAGATCCGTGCGCCGGGAAGAAAGGTGGGAATGATACTTGGCGCAATGAAGAAGTAATTATAGTAACTCTCATTTGTCTTGGCTTCTTTCTTTACCAAGGAGTAGTCTTTGCGGAGATCATCGGACAATGCCTCGGTGTTGATGAGGGTGGAGAGAGGATTCTCGGAGTGCTGTGGGACGGGCAGACCTCGCTCCTCTTCGTCAAATGCCCAGGTGTCATCGTCTGCTTCTTCCATCGCACGACCCTTGCTCTTGTTCCGCTTCCGCCTCTCAGCCTTGACCGCCTCGGTATCCTCTTGAATGAAGAAGCCATCCACGTTCATATGGCCGAAGTGCTGCGCAAGGACTGTCTCTTGATAGTGCAGCACAATGTCAGAGTAGACATCGTAGCAGTCCTGGAAGTAATTGCCGAATGTAGGTGGCACATGTCCCAGCAGGTGGACATGCATTCCCCGCTTGCGATATTGGTAGAGCTGCGCCTCGAGCCAGGCAAGTTGTACCGTGCCGGGGTCTGAAGTCTTTAGAGCCCTAAAGACGTCGTTTGCCGTCATTGGCGGCGGCTCCTCATCATCTTCATCGCCCTCCTCCTGCTCTTCACCTTCAGCGAAGGAGCTCTTCTGGCCTTTCTTGCCCTTCCTCTTCTTCTTCCTTCTTTGGCGCTTCTCCTTGCTCTTCTTGCACCCATCTACGACTTTGTTCGAATCGTACCAGTATAAGGTGTTGAGTGACAGGATCGCCAGCTTGTTGGGGATGACCTCCCGACCGAAGTACCCTCCCAATTGAAAGGTATGCAGCTCATACTCAGGCACAATGTCTGCCCAGATGTCAGTAAATGCTGAGATGACATCATTGGGGCCGGGCCACATGATGTTGTGCGGGAAAATATCATTGTTGCCAATGGTGGGTACAATCGGTGTACCAGGGAAAGCCTCTTGAAGCAGTGACAGAGCCCATCTGTTTGAGTCATAGATCTCCTGTCGAGTACGAGGGTACTTGTTGTCGATGTCGTGCCGAGCTGAGTCTCCCGTCCATACAATGAAGTCGAAAGGAGCTCTCGCATCCTCATCGCCGCTCTGGGACTGCTCTGGAAGCCAATTGCGCCTCACCCAGTCGATGCTCTCCTCGACCAGGTGGAGGGGAGAATCACAGCCGCTGACTGGCGTTCCCCAATAGCCCGCCCGATCTTGGTCCTTCTTGGGCTTCTTGGAATGACATCCAGCAGACACTGCCGAGCCTGGCTTGTAGTGCTTGTCTGGATGGAAGTCGGTGACGTGCAGAAAGCGGCCGGACAGTCGAGGCTCTCTGTCAGACGAGTAGATCGAGGAGGAAGAGGAAGCGGACGAGGAGGAGGCGGCATCATTGAGCAAGGCTGCCCTTGAGATCGACGATCCCAAGGCACAGATTGCGCAGAGGAAAGATGCCCGCCTCATTGTCAAGGCGACGATGATGGCGATGGCGGTATAGACCAAACCGGAGCCTTGTTCAGGCGGGACCACCTTGACCTTGGCCAGATGGGCAGGAACGTGGCCTCGGCTCTGACGTCTGATTCTGCCACTTCCGCTTCCGGCCCGATCTCTTTTCGTGCCGCGATTCGCGGGGTGCGCCTTTCAAATCAAATGCTTCGCACAGGCGGACGACAGAGGTTTGCTTCACCTTGACGCTGACTCTACCAAACACCTACTCACTCTCAACCATGCTTCCTCGCTCGCCGCTCTTGAAGCGGTCTCTGCGGCTCTCGAAGCCCACGGCTTCTGCTTCGGCGCGCCTGCTCGCGACCCACACCTCACTGCCCGCCTCCGACTTGCCACAGTCCTTCATCGAGAAGATCGTGCAGAAGTATGCAGTCGACCTCAACCCTGGCCAGAAGGTCCAGGCCGGCGACTACCTCAGCGTGAGACCGCAGCAGGTCATGACTCACGACAACACTGGTCCCTGCATTTCAAAGGTAGGTGATGTGTGCCCTTCGCTACAGGCATGCGCTGCCACTGACTCTTCTCACTTTTGGCTCCTTTTGTGCAGTTCCGCTCGATTGGCGCGACAAAGATCTACAATCCTTCTCAAGTCGTCTTTGCCCTCGATCACGATGTGCAGAACAAATCGGAAGCCAACCTGAAGAAGTACTCTCGCATTGAGTCCTTTGCTCGCGAGCAAGGCATCGACTTCTACCCTGCAGGAAGGGGTATCGGCCACCAGGTCATGATTGAGGAGGGCTATGCCTTCCCTCAGACATTAGCCGTGGCATCCGACTCTCACAGCAACATGTACGGAGGCGTGGGATGCGTTGGTACACCAGTCGTGAGGACAGACGCCGCTGCTATCTGGGCTACGGGTCAGACATGGTGGCAGATCCCAGAGGTGGTCAAGGTTGAGCTCTCGGGTGACCTACCCAAAGGGGTGACCGGCAAGGACGTCATCGTTGCGCTCTGCGGATACTTCAACGAGGATCAAGTGCTCAATGCAGCTATCGAATTCACCGGCTCCGGAGTCTCGAAGCTCTCCGTAGACGAGCGTCTGGCGATCTCAAATATGACGACGGAATGGGGAGCTCTCGCCGGAGTGTTCGCGGTGGACGACGTGACCCTCTCCTGGTACGAGCGCCACATCCGAAAGCTGGACAAGCTGAATTTCCAGATGGGCAGCTCTCCCTCTCACACAGACAACCATCCTCGTCTGAACATGCAACGCCTCGATGACTTATCAAAGAACCTGATCAGGCCGGATCAGGATGCGTACTACTCCAAGCATCTCAAACTTGACCTTTCCACTCTCGCTCCTCACGTATCAGGCCCCAACTCGGTCAAGATCTCGACGCCGCTCTCCGAGCTGAGCCAACAGAATGTCAAGATCCACAAGGCGTACCTCGTCTCTTGTGTCAACTCGCGAGCTTCGGATCTGAAGGCCGCTGCCGATGTGATCAAGGGAAAGAAGATTGCGCCAGGTGTGGAATTTTACATTGCAGCTGCATCTTCAGTTGTCCAGCGCGAGTCAGAGGAGGCTGGTGACTGGGGCACCCTCCTTGCCGCTGGAGCCAAGCCTCTACCGGCAGGCTGTGGTCCCTGCATCGGCCTGGGTGTCGGTCTGCTCGAAGACGGTGAAGTGGGCATCTCCGCTACCAATCGAAACTATAAGGGTCGAATGGGATCGCCAAAGGCTCTTGCCTACCTGGCTAGTCCTGCCGTTGTAGCAGCCTCTGCTGTGGCAGGAAAGATTTGCGGTCCTAGTGAGCTGGATCCCGCATCTCTTCCCGCAGGAGACGCTCTTCAATTCTCGTACCAGGCGAACAAGGCTGCCGAAGCCGCTTCTGCCTCTCCTGCTGCTAGCCCAGAGGAGTCTGCAGGTGGTGAATCGCTTCTTCCCGGCTTCCCCTCCTCTTTCAAGGGCCCACTGATCTTTGCCCCTCAAGACAACCTGAATACGGATGGTATCTACCCTGGAAAGTACACATACCAAGATGACATCACACCCGAGAAGCAGGCCCAAGTGGTCATGGAGAATTACGATCCCGACTTTGCCAAGCAAGTCGCCTCGCTCAACTCCTCTGCTGCGCCTGCCTCTGCAAGCAGTGAAGCCAATGCTCCACGCCAGGGCGTGATCCTCCTCGCTGGCTACAACTTTGGCACGGGTTCTTCTCGTGAGCAAGCCGCCACCGCCCTCAAGTACTCTGGTGTCCCCTTGGTGCTAGCGGGCTCTTTCGGAGACATCTTCAAGCGAAATGCCATCAACAACGGTCTCGTCTGTCTGGAATGCCCACAGCTCGTCGAAGACCTCACCGCCAGTCATGCGCGGGACGGTCAGAGGGGTAATGGCGGTAAAGGTCAAGGGGAGATTTCCGTCTTGCTCAAGGGCTGGGAGATGGAAGTGGATACCAGGAGGGGAGAAGTAGTCATTAAGATGGAGGGTGGTGGAGAGAAGAGGTACGTCACTAGACCTGCTGGTGTGGGCAAGGCGGTGCAGGATATCTGGACAGCGGGGGGAATGGAGCAGTGGGTCAAGAGGAGGATAGAAGGCTCTTCTGCCTCGGCCTGAGGGTGAAGGGTGGAGAGTGGAGACTGGTCGGAGACAGGTGGCGTCCGTGTTTCCCTTGCAAAAATTGTATCATCATCAGCTTCTTGTCCATCTCGGAGTGAGCAGACAGGGCAAGCAGCATTGCATCAACGAGGACCAAGGAGGGACCATGCCGGCAGAATCGCTCGATCGAGTCAGTTTGAGTCAATCGATAGGTTGGTCGCTTAGATGTGCCCTGAATTGCTCATGTAAAGTAAGTGGAACAGAGAAAGAGACAGATACAGGACAGCTCAGCTCATGCTGAGCGCCACTGATACACACGTGCAAGAGGGAGAGGGGAGCCCGCTGTAGGTACTCCTCTGTGCAGCTCCTCTCCTCTCCTCTCCTCACCCCGAATCTGCTCTTGCGCAAGTGCGACTCGCCGTACCGAGGAACGACCAAAGGCATGTCCAAGTCCCGCTACCCCGCTTTTAGTCTCACTCGACTTTGATCCCCGCCTCCGCTTGACCCTCCACCGTAACACCATTTCCGTTCCCACTTCCATTTGCCCCATTTCCCGCAGCCTGCGCAGCAGCAAGAAGTTCCCTCATGGCAGCAAATCCAGCTCCATGCTGCTGCTGCTGTTGTTGCTGCTGCTGCTCTGCTTCGAGGAGGAGCTGCTGTTGATGGTGATAGTGAGCATCTGCTTCTAGGTCTGCTTGAGCTGCGAGGGGCGGGGTGGGGGGAGGGGTGAAGATTCCGCGGACGTCGGCTCTGCGAGTGGGAAGGGGACGAGGAGAGGTGTCAGGTCTAGTTCCCTCGCTGATGATCTCTTTCTCCCCTCCTGTCTTACTCACCCAAGTTCTCCTTCAAGACATGCCTCCAGTGCCTCCCTTTTCAGGCCCCTCGCCTCCTTCTCCATTCTCACCGCTTCCTCCAACTCCGCAACCAATCGGGCATTTTCGCCCCTCAACCAGTTCAACTTAGCCTCTTCGATCAAGCAGGCTTTACGGATTGTGCCAAGGTCGGCAGTAGAGGTGGAGGTGCAGTTCAAGATGGCGTCTTCTGCTGCTGCTGCCGCAGAAGCTAGTGTTTGAGAGCGGGAGCTTTTGCTGGGCGAAGCCAGGGATCGGCGACCGGACAGGCGGGAGGAGGCTCGGCCGTTGGTCGGTGGTGGTGGTGATGGAGCTGCGGATGGGACTGGCGAATTGGTGAAAAGGGACAGACCCGATGGGGCGGCTGGCGGGGAAGCGGCGGCTCCTGCTAGCCCCTCTCCGGCCATGTGCTCGTCGCCGCCTTCTTGTTGCTCGTTGAGAGCTTCAGCTTCTGTCTTGACTGTATCCCTAATACTGTTCGTGAAAGCTCCGTTACTGCCGCCTTCAGTGTCCAGCTCGGCCTTCTGCAGCCGAGCCATCTCCTTGACCCAATTCCTCCGGGCGACCTCCAGCGTGGCCTCGAGAGAGCTAGACAGGCCAGACGGTTCGCTGTCATCGGCAGAAGTCACATCACCTCGCAGCGCAAGACGCTCTTGCAGCGTAGCAAAGCGCTCGATACCCAGCTCCTCGGAAGTCAACGAGGCGACCGTCTTCTGATTCGGCCCGGTAGTCGAAAGGGAAGCCGCTCCTTCTTCTGTCTTTGCCGCGCGAGCGCCCGCTTTTCGAGAGGTTGCCGTGCTGCCACTGGCTGTAGCTCCCCCTTGGTAGACGCTGCCGGGACCAAAGAGAACGTCGTACTCCCATCGACTTGGCTGGCCAGGTAGGCTCTCGTAGTAGTCTGCTGTCCCTTGCAATGAGCCGTCGGCCATATCGTCATCGTATCCATCTCCTCGTCCCGAAATTGCTGACGAGTCTCTCTTTCCAAAGCCTGCAGATCTCCTGCCCGAAGTTCTAGTGGGCACTAGGCTGGCAGGGGCAGGGCCAGACGTTGCCGATGCAGGTGAGGAATTGAGAGTACCGGCGATACCTGCACCTCTTCCTCCGCGAGCTGCTACAGGTTGAATGTCGTGCTGAATTCGCATGTGTTTCGACAGAGCGTCCGAGCGCGTGAAGGACTTGTCACATTCTGTCAGTCACAATTGGTGAAGGAAGAGGTAAGCGGCTTCGATCGGAATACTGCTTGGAACGTACGTCAGTCGAAGACTACTCACCTGGTCTGGGACAGGTGAAGGGCTTCTCTCCCGTATGACTTCGCAAATGACTGAGAAGCGCGAATCTTGATGTCTGAGGCTTTCCCCTTCGAGGACATCCTGTCCATTCGCATGTGTACTTGGAGCGGGAGATGCCGACGTGGTCTGGAGGCGTGAGGAAGGAAAGCCAGCGATGTGAGCTCACTGTCTCGGACGAGCGAGGCTGGGATGGTTGCCTGGCCCGCCATTGATCCCTCCGGCCGACTCACCGTTGTGTAAATGGTCGATGAACTTTGTCATATCGTCAAAGATGATTCGACATTCTTCCCAATTGCACTGCGTCTCCATGGCGCCTCCTGTGGAAGAGCTGGCACCTTTCCCTCCCCCTTCACCATCTTCTCCATCGTCTTCATCTCCACTACCCGTTCCCTGAGCAGCAGCGCTGTTGAGCCAAGCGTCATCGCCCTCATCGCCGCTAGTGGAGATGTCACTGACGTCTACTGTAGGCACATAGCCAGCTGCGAGCTCTCCAGGTGCATATGCCCACATCTCTGGCTCCTTGCCTTCCCTCTCCCTATCACGATCTCTCCCTCCGACTCCACCGATGAGCACTCCTCCCCCGCCGCCCAATGCCATAGCGCCGGAGCCGGACATGCTGGTGCTGGTACTAGCTGGAAGGGGAGGTGAAGAAGCGCCGCCCTTGGAGTCCCGGGCTTCCTTCTGGGCTTTTGATACGCGGGGCATGCTGAGAGTGGAAGAAGATGAGGGAGGTACCGAAAAGGCGGGGCCAATGGCAGGCTATGCCAGTTGCGAGGAACGCCGAAGGAGTAGGTCCGGGGTGGAGTGACGGGGAGAGGCCGAGGGAGTGAGGGAATTGCGAAGGATTGCGCCGGAGGAAGATGAAGAGGACGAGGGAGCAAGGACCACTCAGGGCCTTTATGAAAGTGGAAGCAGCGGGTCGTTGGTAGCCTGCTGCTGGGGCTGGGCGGCAGACGCGGGCGGGGCGGAGTGAAGGCAGTGGGTGAGGGCGAGTGGGAGGAAGATGTCAAGGAGGGTGATACGAGGACCGTAGCGATGGAAAGGGATGGAAAGAGATGATGATGAGGAGAGCTCAGACTGCAACTGTGAGCGTAGTCCTTTCCTTGTGTGCTCTGTCTATGCTGCTGGTGCTGGTGTCAAGGCTGCTCTGCGTCCGTCGTTCGTGGTGCGTCTTGGTTTGCTGCTGCTCCCGTTCCTCCACGGCGGGGCTGAGTTGCAGCGCCGGTATCCTGGCATCGAAGACGGAAGCATTGCAGATCCCACGCCTCTGATTGCATCCCACACCACCACCAGCATCCTCGTCACCACCGTACTCACTGTTGCAGTCATCGCCATCCTCTCTAACGGCCCCCGCAGTGGGTAGCAACCCGCAATTCCTCCCCGACTGCCAGGGCGAGGGGCAGACCCACTCCACCATGAGCAATCCCACTGCCTCTTCTTCCTCGCAGCCCCCTACTCCACAGATTCTCCTCCTCGGCCTCCGAAGATCAGGCAAGACGTCTCTCCTCTCGGTACTGCACAAGCGTCTAGCACCAGAAGAGACGCTCTTCCTCGACAATACCACAAGAGCCACACCGACATACCTGGACATCTGGAAGGGAGTCACAATCTGGGATGGAATCAATCTCGCTTCTCTGCTCAGTGAGAGAGGAGAGGGGATGGTGGGCGGCGGTACAAAGCTAGCTTGGAGGGAAGTCAAAGGAGTCGTGTGGGTCATAGATACTCAGGTGAGTCGGCATATACGCATACAGCTATGGATTCGGGCGCATCAGGTCCGCTATCTTGGCTACTGTGCTAACATCAACGGCATGCTATCCTCTCCGCCAAACCCAACCTAGGACGACTACCTCGATTCGCTCTCCACCCTTCACAATGTCATCGTCCGAGCCTATGCCAATAACCCGTCGATCCACTTTCACATCCTTCTACACAAGATGGACGGCCTCTCGGAAGACTATCGAGACGATACACAAGGGGATGTGGAGAAGCGGATAGAAGACGATCTCAGTGATGCAAGCTCTAGCTTCACCTTTGCTAGAGGTGTAGATCCACCGTCCCTTCCGACGGCTGTAACAGGAGCAGGGAGAGCCGAATTGGATGAGGATGATGAAGGGCTGGGCAATCTTGACTGGGAGGAACTGGAGAGAGTTGCTCGAGAGAAGAGATACGGGAAAGCCCCTTCTTCCTCGGCTGGAGAGAGCGATCTACCACTCAAGAAGCTTTCGGCGACCAATACCACTTCCAGAGCTTCTTCCACGACAAGACCTCCCCGTACACGTCGTCGATCTTCACGAGCCGCTCACGGGGCGAACCAGAGTGCGAACCTGGAGACGGATGTGCATCTCACCCTACACCAAACGTCCATCTTCGACTCGTCCATCTTTGTGGCCTTTTCTCGCCTCCTAAACCCCTTCATCCTCTCCCCACCTTCGATGAGGTCTGCTCTAGGGAGATTGATGGACGGACTGGTAGAGACGTGCGAAATGGAGCGGGCCTTCTTGATGCACCTACCTACACGGACCTGGCTTCTCACAGATGGCGGACCATTTGAGAAGGGAGCCTTTGAAGTCGTCTGCGACTACCTAGGATTTCTCACGGGCATGGCTGGGCTATTCGAGAATGTCAACAGGAGCAAAGCTGAAGAGCCGGCTTCCGCAGAAGGGAGCGAAGGGGCCTCTGCTCCCGTCCCAGCTCGAGCCCATGCCTCTTCAACACTTCGGCTGAGCCCAGACTTGCTCCTCTGCTTCTGGCAACTGGACAACGCCCTTGGCCTAATCGCCATTCTTCGATCTCCCTCTGCTCCCCCCTCCTCTGCTCTCACAAGCTCCACTTCGGGCAACGGAGCAGGTCTGGGCTCCATCGGTGCCGGTGCGCCTTCCTCTGCCAATGGCTTCGGGGAGAGGAAAGCTAGCAACCCAGCTGGTGCGCTGCGTCCGGGAGAAGTGGCTCCTCCTGCGGCTGCCGCTCCTGCCTCGGCTGCTTTTACAGGTCTGCTGGACTGGAATGTCGACGTCTTCCGACAGGCCGTCGTGCATGGACTTGGAAGGCTTAGGAGAGGAGCGGAGAAGGAAGAGGTTCTTGCGGCATTTGCCCAGTAGTGAATTTGAGAGAGAGAGAGGGAGACGAGGGCCACACACATCGAAAGCAAACATGATAAATACACACACACACATCTTATACCACTACTGCTGCTGTGAATCAGCCAAGCTGCTGAAAAAGGCCCGACAAGCAGGGGCATGAGATCAGTGCGACGGAGTGTAGTGTATTGAAGCAAAGGCTATGATATAGTGTTACAGATGTGATCTTGCCCCTCCGTTGCTCGCTCAGAAGAGGTCAGCAGCTCTCATGCGACTAGGAGCAGCCTTCTTCGCAGATTCAGCTTCTCCCCCTTTCTCTCCGTCCCCTTCCTTCTTCGATGCATCCCCCTTGCGCTTCGTTGCCTTCATCACCTCCTTACTACTCCCTCCACTACCAGCAGCATCTTCCTCTTCATCATCAAAGCTGAAAGTCAAGGCTCCGCTCATCTTCTTCGTGTCCTTCTTCCGCTTCTTGGGGCCTGCGTCACCAGGCTTTGCACCGTCGCCGGTAGTGGAGCGCTTGTTGCGTGGGATGAATGTGGGTTTGCTAGGAGCAGTAGATGGAGTGGTGTAGCTGCCGACTTCGCCCGGTGCTGACGGTCCTTGCTTCGTTCTTGAATCCAGCTCGGTCTCCATTGTGGGCAGCGGTAGTGTCACGGAATGACGTTGTTCTTCTGCTGCCGATGGTTGTAGTAGTGGTATTTGATCGACCTCATCCTGCTCGTCGGGGGCAAAAACGCTCTTGAAGACTTCCCGCGAGGGCTTGACGAAAGAGTCGATCTCCTTCAGGGCCTCTTCGTCTTCGCCGAGTCCCACTTGCTCCAGATCGAGGGGTTTGGCACGGGATTCTGCTCCAGTACTAGAGGAGCCATTCGCATCTTCCTTCTCAGAACCATCAGGGCCTCCAGAGCTGAAGTCACTGATGGGCTGTCCACCCTGACCCTCCCAGTGTCGCTCCCCGACCAATCCTAGCAGCTCGCGCCTGCTGCGTTCCCAGCGCTCCTCGCCCCTCTTCAATTCCCGACGAGCTTCAGATCGTGCGTAGCGCTCCTCCTTGACTCCTCCCGCGGCCCCAGAGAAGGGGTCGCCGCCTCCATCCGCCGGCCTCCCGTAAGCCCGATCGTCACCGTCGTACTGAACGGCGTCTCTGCTTCGCTCAGGATGAGGGTCAGGCACACCAAAGCGCTTGCAGAGCAATCTCGGAGGGTACCAAGCTGTCACCTGCCTCGTCAGATGGCCAAACATGCCAGCCTTGGCAGCCCTCTGTCGATCATTCATATTTTCCTCCTTCTCCTTCTGCAATCGCTCTTCCTCTTGCTTGGCTTGTCGCTTTGCCTCTTCCTCGATGGTAACCTTCGACTTGATCTCAGGCTGGTACAGTCCACCGACGGGGACGTGAGCATCCCCACCGCCCTCGACTGTGGACGCACTAGCGAATCGAGAGGCCATGGCGGAGCTGAGGGGCTTAAAGATGCTTGCTGAGCGAGCAAACTCCTCCACCTCTTGCGAGAGCTGAGAGGCAATCGTGCCTGCTGGCACCGGCATCGTACCGTCCCGGCTAGATGCTGGATCAGCCTGAAGCTCAAGGTAGGCCACGTAGCGCTTCTGCTTCTGCGCGTCGTTGCCGAAAGGGAGGAAGCCCTTCAGGGCATTTCGAGCTGTGGTGGCGTCGAGTCGAGGCACTTTGATAGAAGTTGGCGCCGCTTCAACAGTTGCTGGAGGTGGACCGCCAGGCAGGTAGCTGGAAAGACTAGGGGGAGGACCAGGCATTCGAGCCTCACCAAGGAGCTGGCCTCTGTCTGCTGCTTTGATCTGATGCGGGAGTATAGTGGGCTTGCTCAGCGAGGTGGCAGAAGCAGAGGCAGGGGGCGGCGGCCCAGCCGTCCCCTTCGCTTGACTCCAGACCTTGAGCGGGTCAGGTGTCCACCCGGGCGGTACTACTGGTGGAGCGAACCAGTCGCTCTGCGTCTGCTCTGTACGACCGTCGATGACTGATCCGTCTTCGATAACGAAGCCTTCGGGAAGGGCGCGTCCATCACGCCATGTTGACCTTGTGGCTCCATTGAGCTTCACAGAGGAAGATGCCATGGCTTTGTCTGCAAATGGCTCTCTAGACGGGGCTTTCATCATCTGTTGATCTTTCCGTCTCCGTATGACATCTTGAATGCTTTCTGACGACCCATAGATGTCCCTCACATCATCCTCATCTGCTTCTTCTAGCGCAGAGATGTCGAACCCTCGGGAGCTGGCCTGAGCATCGCTCCTCGCAGCCTGTAGAGCGTCTGCAAGGCTCGGAGCTCCACCGCTGCTTGTCTGTAATGTCCAACCCAGACCATGTGTGTCCTTCTTGCTAGCTCCTTCAATGATCGCTGGCATTGGTGTATCAGCAATGGGCACCCCGACCTTAAGCGGCTTGCCCAAGCCGCTGCCGACTTTCCAGCCCATGCGGGCGAGGATACGATGTCCCAAAGAGGACTTGGGTGCGATAAGTCCTGAGCTCGATATACCCTCTCCGCCAGCCTCCAACTGCTGTCTGGCTGCCTTGCCCAGCCCTAGCAAGTCTCCGAGGACGTCATCATTAGCATGGCGATTGTCCAGCTTAGCCTGGCTGGAGTAGCCGTCTCGCTGACTGATTTTCCTGTCAGCCTCCGTATCTGCAAGGTCTTCCTCGTCCATGAAGTCTTCCGGCCTACTTCGAATCTTGTCCTCCGGTTTGCCAGATCGGGAGGACACAAAGGTCGATGGAGTCCAGCCTTCCTTGGACCCGACCGTGTTATAGTACCCAGCCGACCATCCTCCAGTGAAAGCTCCGTGGAACCTCCTTCTTCCTTGCTCGTCTCTCACTTCTTGCTCCCAGACCGGTTTGCCTTCGTTAGGATCCCGCTTGTCAAGGGCAGGGAGCGGAGTGCCGATGAGGACGAAGTTCTCCGTCACCGAAGAAGTCTGAGCCGTATCGAGCTCATCCCGGGCCAGACGCGACCGAAGACGCGAGGCAGACGAAGACATGCTGGACTCAGGGCGATGAGCCGACGAGGTGGGTCCTGAGCATCTGTCCGACTTGCTGTCCGGCCTTGTTCAACAGGAGGATATGGAGATGATGGTGGCGGTACCGAGGCAGCTTGAAGTGGAGCGTGCGTGGTTCCCTTTCCGCGTCCAGGATTTTGTCGCAGCGCCGCAAAACAGGCTGACTCCTCATCCATAACTTCCCCCCCCCCCCCGGTACCGCGAGCGTCTCTTTGCGACGAAGGGGCTTGGATCGCCTTCTGCTCGTCGCCTGCTAATGAGTGGATGACCAGCTCGAAGCATGCTGCCGATCCACAACGCTGGCTCGGGCAAGGGCTGCCGGCTCTATGGCCCCATGTCAAGCTCTTGGCCCCGGGCCTGGCCGCTGCCTTCGTGCTCACAGCGCTCACGGTGGTGCGCCCGGTCATTGAACGTATCGGTCCGCAAGCTTTCCTAATGGCTCCGAATCTCTACCTCTTTGTATACCCGGGTAGGGTAACCGTTGGACAACACTTCGAATCAGTCTGCCTTTGCCTTCTCGGTGGCTTCCTCGGCCTAGGTATTTCATTCCTTGCAGTATGCGGAACCGTGTGGATTCAGGGGGAAGGCGTCGCTGAATACACTGATCCGAAGGCCAGAGCAGTATCCGTGTGTACGCTCCTTGCTCTGACGTTCATCGGTGGCTGGGGATCGTCCTCGTATCCGAGGTTCAGAGTGGCTGCGAGGGCTCTCCTTCTCTTTGCGAGCTGGGTTCTCACCACAGGCGCTGCTAGCATCAATTACGATCTTGTTTCTGGTTACTGGTACGGCCTCTGCGTAACAGCAGGCGTATCCCTCTTCGCGAAAGTTCTTGTCTTCCCGACTACAGCCAGTCGCAGTGTCAACACTCTCTTGCGCGAGAACCTCGAGGCGACGTGTGACTTCGTCAATTTGGCACTGCGAGACTTCTTCGGTGGATCCGCGGAGACGTCCAACAAGCTACGCAGTGCTCGAAGCCGACTCTCTACAACGGCAACTAAACTGCCGGGAGCCTTCGAACAAGCTAGCCATGAGTTCCACCAGGGTCGTGTGGCCATGTCGACCTATCACGATTTGGCCAGTCCCATGAAGCGAATCAAAGGCTGGACAGCGGCAGGCATGGGTATACCATCATTGACCGAATCGACTGATCACGGTGAACGCAATGGTCATCCCGGAAAGCAAAGCGAACTCGTTCAAGACTGCGAGACAAATGGGACAGAGGTAGACAGCGAGGCCGACTTGCCTTCACCTTCCTCCGTTTTCCAGCCGCATGTCACTGCTCTTGCACTAGAAGTAGAGCGGTCGTTCCGAATGGTTCAGAGCGTTATTGAGCTCATTGAAGCCTCAGAGAGGTTCGATCTCCTTGTCTGGCTAGGCTTTCGGAGGGCGGAAGGCCTCTGGGAAAGGGCAAATCTCCCAGCAACCCGCGAGGCCTCCAATACGGGTCTCCCTACGCCTGCTCTTGTGCAGCAGAGACAAAGACTCTCCGAAGCCATCTCTGCTTTCACCCACTCCCTTGAAGCAGCTCTTGAGACCTTGCGCACTGAACAGTCACAAGCAGAGACCTCAGCCCGCATTCGCCCTGGTCAGGTGTCCAACCTGTGGGAAGACTCGATGTACGAAACTGCCTTCTTCATGGTTTCAATGGCCGAAATAGCACGAGAAGCAGAGCGTTGCTTGAAGGCTTCGCAGCGCCATGTATCGATCTGGCAGGCGAGTCCTCATCGACGCATTTTTAGACCAGCCGTCCGATGGTCAAAGTGGCTGGCCCGGACGAGCTACGCAGCTGCAGACGAACCCAATCTGCTCTCTGAGCAAGAGGGTGTATCGCTTGCCAGCGCTCTTGCCGGGGCCGAAACGGAGGGCGAGCTCTTCCACCGCATTTTCACTGATGGTGGTAAGACCAAGTCTCAATCCACTCCGCATCTGCCTTCGCGTAGCAACGTGCTACGTCGGCTCTGGCGTGTTCCTGACGTCGTGAAAGCTCGTCTGGCTATCTCATTCTTCATCCTATCGCTGCGGAGGAACCGACATGCTCGCTTCGGTATGAAGCTCGCCATTGGCGTCGTTCTGCTGAGTCTTCCAGCATGGATCCCAGAAGCCAGGACATGGTACGGTCCTCAACGAGGAGTCTGGTCTCTTCTGAGTTACATCTGGGTCTTCGAAGCGACGTCTGCTGCGACTCTTCGGTTGGCTTCTCTCAGGCTCGTGGGGACCATCTCGGGTGTGATACTGGGCTTGGCAGCCTTCGAGATCTCGAGAAGGAATCCATACGCCCTCACCTTCGTCCAGACGCTCTTCCTGGCCCCTTCTGCCTATTTCATCACGGAAAGCAAACACCCAGCTTTAGGTCTCATCATTGGCGCTGCATTGTCGCTAGTGACAGGTGTTGCATACGTGACGCCGATAGTGCCGAGTGGAGAGGTGTCCACCTCATCTGCTCCGACTGTCGCTCTCACCCGAGGCTGCGAAGTTGTCGTAGGAATCGTAGCTGCCGTGATCATCAACCTGAGCCTGTGGCCCTATCACGCCAGGGTGGAGTGCGTTGCCACCCTATCTGAGGCCAGCACCAAGATGAACCTGTTCTACACCTCTTTGGCTAGACAGATGCTGCAGGCCGGTCTCCTAGCGACCGACTCTATTCAAGAGCGATTCGAAAAGATGGAGACTGCTCTGGTGAAGAGGCTTGCCTTTGCTCGCACCCTCATCGATGTCATGAGCGCCGAAGTCTCTCTAGTGGTCAAGCCGATTACTGAGCTGACTAGCATTGCAGGCCGTTTGGAGAACATCGTCAGTCTGCTATCAGCATTGCGTCAATGCCGCGAGCGCGGACTGCAGAGTAACCACACAGCAGCAGTCATGAACACTTTTCACGAGCGGCAGAATGTGGTGAGCGCCGTCTCCCTTTCGTTCTGGGCCGTAGCGCAAGCTCTAGCAACCAAAGCTCCTCTGCCGCAGTTTCTGCCTTCGCCACGAGCAGCTCTGAATGCTCTGACATCTGCTCTTCAGGAAGCCCTGCTGGACGAAGAGCTCAAGCTGTCGGACCTTCCTGGTAGCAGTCGAGAGGTGTCTGGCGGGGAGAGGTTTGTGCCGCAAGCATACTACGCCTTGATGAGGGCCGGGGAGCATCTGCAATGGAGAGGAAGGAACGGATCCCCTAGTCGGAGCGGCACCTCGACCCCTCTGAGGTCGCAGCAGCACAATCAGAGCAAGGTTGCTCCTCACACCGCATCCCATGTCTCCCAGACACCTCACGATGTACCTAGCGCACCTTCTCCGAGGACGCCTCGCGATGGCGTGAGCCACATCAACCGTGCCCGCTTCTGGGTCATGGCAGAGCAATCGCTTCTGGCTCACATCGTCACGGAGATCGAGCACCTGCTGGATGAGACGCGCAACCTGTGCGGCGAAGTCACTTTTGTCGCCGTAGAGGAAGCTGCCGAAGAGGTGCTACCGCTCCAGCAGCGGGGAAGAGCATCAGGTGTTGCTACCAATCGGAATAGCATGTCTGACCCAGCTGGCGCTTCAAGTGCTACCTTTGGGAACCGCGGTCGTCGGGCTACTGTGGCGCATGAGGAACATCGTCGTCCGCAACAGCACTTTGTCAGCCAGATGGACCCACTGACGGAGACTCTCACTCGATCCTCACAGGCTGGCGAGGCAAGTGTATGATGGCGAAGACGGGATAGGATCGTTTTCGTGGGTATCGGAGGGAGCAGAGTTTGTGTGTCACCCAGAAAACTAGATGTGCACGTAGATGGATGTAGGCGTTGACCTAGACTCGATGGAACCTAAACCTAGACTTGGACTCTAATCTCTTCACTACCCATTGTAAATGCAATAGAGGATTCGTAGCATCCCTCGTATCATGTAAATCACCTCGTCTCAACTCATCATGCAGCGCAACGCTCTATATCCCTTCTCCACCTCTCTCTCGTCTCCCCAGCTATGCACCCAACCTCTGCTCAAGCACTTTCCTCTCCACTTTCCCTTCCCTAAATTCAACCACTTTACCCACATCGCTCTGCACGCTCAACGAGCTGAGAGCAGAGGCGTACAGGGTAGACATTTCCACGCTGGAGGTTTCGGGACACCAGAAGAGGAGAACGAGGGGAAAAGAGACGCGCCCATCCTTGTGGGAGAGTTGGTAGGAGAGGAGGATGTACCGTGGAGTGTTTTCGGGGAGCTCTACAGGGAGTTTAGGAGAGAGAATGTTTTATTAGCAGGTGAGCTCGCATAGAGATGGCAGTGAGCAGTCCAAGCGGGCAAGCAGTGCAGCAGGGTTGCCCTAGCTTCGTCCTCCTCCTCCTCCCCCTTCATGCGGCCTCTGGCTCCTTCTCCTACTCACCATCCTCCAACTCCTCAAGAGAAACATCGTCAAATTGCTCTTCCATTTCCATGAGCAGCTTCTTCTTGTCCACCTTGATCACAATGGCCGCTGAACCAGAGGAACGCTTGGCCATGCGGAACTTGGCTAGATCCTCTAGGAGGGACTTGGGGATGTCGACTGTTGAAGAGGAGGACATGCTGGGCCAGGGGGAGGGGGAGAGTAAGAGAAGAAGAGAAGAAGACCACGAAAGGCAGATGGAGCAGCAAGAGTGAGCTCCTCTAGGGGTAAGGTAGTAATGGTAGGAAGCTCGATCCGGAGTGGTAACGAGGTTGAGACCTGCCACTGCTGCGAAACAGGCGTCCGTGCTCTTTCCGCTTCGGCTCCACTTCGGCCGACAGCCCCGCCCCACCCCGCCCTCGAAGGCGTTGGTACGAAGTCGCCCATCTTCACTCTTACCACGATCATACGCAGCATCGATGGGCCAAAGGGAGGACACAAGACGCGGCAGATGAGAACAGAAGTGACACTACCCTCGAACATAGCTGGATCATTGAGGTATCTATCGCCTCTGAGTGTGTTTCGGAAAGGGGTATCGATGGCAGCACCTCACAAGTTATCATGTACTGCCCAGATTCAGCTCGCTCCGCCTCTTCTTCAGTCGGGCGGATCGTTCTCTGTCCTCTTCACCCACCAGCTCAACATTGATCCCTGTCACACTTTCTGCAGCGGTCTGGCGCGTTTCGCCTGTCACAGTCATGGGCTCAGACCCAGCAAGTGGGGCCTTCCGTCTACCCTCGATCATGCCTAGTCGGACGCAGGTCCAGAATGATCGGGTGCGAGTGTTCTGACCACTGCCCGCACCTGTACTCGGTTCAGCTACTGATGCTTTGCTCGACGCCGCCGACTCCGAAGGATCCTGTCGAGAAGTGAATGTGACCTTGAGCGCGAACTGAAGGGGAGAAATGGGTCGGCATTAGTCGACGATAGAACAGCAAGGCTGCCAGGCTTTCTGTCGACTCACTTCTACCTCGCGCTCGCTCTTGGCTGCTTCTGCAGCATGCACGCCCACTTCGAGTCGTAGTGCGATGACAGTCCGATTGCCTTCCTTCCTCAGCACTCCTGCTCCCAAGCCTTTCTTGCCTCTCCTCGTTCCCCCGACGGGACCACTGCCTTCCTCCGCCTCTTCCTCGAGATCGTCGTCTTCATCTGCCAGACCGAGATCGCCGAAAAGATCGGCATCGATGACGTCCATGTCATCGGACGCCTTGACACTGAAGCGCGTAGCCGATGGCTGTACCGTCCAAATTGGCTTCTTAGCTTCGGCCTCGTCTACTCCAGCCTTCAAAGTGTCGTGGGTATTCAACGATGCCTCCATTGGCTGCACCACAGCAATCTGTACAGCAATCGGGTTGAAGTCCGGATTCGCGATAGTAAGCTCGTAGTCGTAGACTTTCCCAGTGCGAAGGCGCTCCGAGTCTTCGGCCGATGGCTCATCTTTGGTGATGCCAGCTCTGAGACTCGAGCCACCCTCGGGCGCGGACAAGAACATGCTCTGCGGTCTAGTCCTCCCCTCTGCTTCGCGCAGGTTGAGCGAGCTACTCTGTCTCCCTGAACGGACCTTGACCCCTTTGAAGTGAGCACACACTTCAGGCAAGTGAAGTGATGCTTGAAGAGCGATCTTGAACCTGAAGCCTGATTTCTTGAGATCGGGCTTGACAAGGATATGGCGACAGCCCGGACAGCGCAAGGTTGACAGCGTCTGTAAGGGCACGCGTTGCGGTACTAGATGGTTGGATCTTGGCCCTTGATCCCATCCTGACGACCATCGATCTTCTATGCCACTCGCCACGCCAACTTGCTCTGATGAGAGCTCGCCAGTGAATTTCTTGCGATCTTCCTCGCGCTTGCTGAAGGCTTCTGCAGAGACTGTGCTGAGGTCCGATGTGTAAGGGGGTAGGTTCTCAGAGCGAGTTGCTGAAGCTGAGGCCTTGTCTAAGCCCAGGGCAGCTGCTCTTCGAGACCCAGAGATGTACTTGGAGTTCTCTAGTCCAGGGAGATCTCTGAGAAGTTTGCTCTTGCTCAATGACGTGGTGCTTCTTCCCGTTATAGAGGCAGCACGAGCACCGGACAGGTTCTGCTTGCGTAGATGCGAATCGTAAAAAGATCGAAGCTTGTCCATCTCTACCTGGCCTGGAAATGGGCCTCTCTGCGCTTCCACCTGCGCTGCAAGGCATAGACCGGCCAAGTGACGAGTATGGCATTAGTGCCGATGACAATACAGTGCTAGCTGCTGACCGCTCGGCTTCGCACTTACCATTGATACCGGTGCTCTTCTCGAAGACGTAGCCACCGCCCCCTCTGAAAGCTCGCTTGCTGTCCCACTTGCATGCCTGACATGAGAGGAACCAAGGCGCCACTCCCACACTAGCTTCTGGTGCTTCCATTCTACCATAGTCTTTGGGATCGGTGCCTGTGACCGTCAGCAGATGCCCACAACCCTCCACAGGACACAAGAAGCAATTTCTAGCACATCGGTTGCGCTCTGCCTTGACTGTAGCTGAAGGGACATCGAAGAGACATGCTGGACAGTAGTGCGTGACTATTTCTGACTGCGAACAGAGCTGACAGCGAGTCTCAAGGCATTCCGTGCAGTAGTAGAGGGTCTGCAAGGAGTGGAACGAATAGCGGGCAGGGCTATATTGGCTGGGCAGGAGGGGCAGCGTTGAGGTAGAGGCTTGGGAAGACGCGCTTTCTGGCACAGAGTCTGCCTTGCCTTGCTCGACGACTCCAAGGCTGCACTCGCAGTGGTACGATACGTTGGGTGCCATCCACTGCGCTGCACAGGAGATCACCTTGCTATGATGAAGACGGAGCTGCGAGGTGGCAGTCGATGGTGAGGGGGTGTTGGACTCTGACCGAGGCCGCCGTGCCTCCACGGGCGTGACTTCAGAATTTCCCCTTTCCGCTCCCCCTCACCACCACCGTTCCAGTCCGTACGATCTTCCGCCAGGGAGAAACCATCAAGCATGGCGAGCAAGCCATCTTCGTCCTCTGCGCCTGCATCCTCTCGCAAGGTCCAAGTCCATAACAAGCAGCACTCACTGCGAGCAGTGTCCAAGAGCAAGCTCTCACAGCAGCAGAAGGAGAAGCGGCCAGCCGTCACTCCGGCCTCTTCCTCTTCCTTGCAGCCTATAAGTGAGGACGGGCTTTCTCACGCTAGAAGTCATGCCGCCGGTCAGTCCCACCCTTCGGGCAGTAGAGTAGCCCTGGGAAAGCGTAAAGAGGCCGACAGCTCAGGAGATAATCAAGCACAGAGAAGACAAGTATTCAAGCAAGTTCTCGCCAGTCCGCTGACCGTCAACTGGTAAGTCGGCCAAAGCGCATGAACCCGCCGAAGAGGAACCTCTGCTAACGTACTCACACGCTTTTCCTCCCTTCCCTAGGCCTCAACTGGCCGCCGTAGATGCTCAGCCGATCCTATACACGCTGCTAGATATGCTAGCCCTGCCCGCCCTCCGCTCTCAGATCAGACGTGTGCAGCCCATGCGCCCCGATCGCAGAGTGATGAGCAGGGGTGAGAGCAGGCGGGCAAGGAAGTCTGGAACGCAAAGTAGAGGGGAAACCCAAGCGATCGGTCTAGACGTCTCGACATCCGTTCAGATGGATGTGGACGAGGTTTCATCGAGCGCAGGTGACAGTAGCGCCGAGCCCGTCGCGTTGGTATGCGGCATCAATTCGGTCACAAGACACATGGAGCTCGAGATAGCTCGCGAGTCATCCAAGAGGGGGCTTCAAGACGGCGAACAAGACTCAGCAGCAAGCGCAAGTCCTCTGCTTCTCAGTCTCGTCTTCGTCTGTCGGAGCGACCTCGACCCGCCCAAGCTAGCATCTCATTTTCCAATGCTGACCTGCGCTCTCAATGCAGTCTGCCATCCTGCCTCCAGAGAGGGTGCCGCTGCTCTTCTCATACCGCTTCCCGCAGGAGCAGAGCTTGTGCTTGCAAAGGCTCTCGGTCTGAGGAGGTGCTCTGCCCTAGGCATTGCTACTGGATCACTGCCACAAGAAATCAGTCGAGCGTTGTCTGCTCGCATCGCAGACGCCGGCCTACAGCCACTCCGAGCCGACTGGCTGGACACCGCCGCTGATTCTGCTCTGCGGACAAGGGAGGCTCTCCTTACTCGCAGCGGGCTAATCCCGATGATGTCAGGAATAGCGCGCCCAATGAGGTCCAACACAATCGTCAAGAACGTGGCTAGCACTGCACCTGCGAACCTCAATGAGGTCAAGCTGCAGAAGAAGCATACGAGGAACGAGAAGAAAGCGTGGAGAAAGGCTGTCAAGAAAGCAGGACATGGAGAGGGGCGGAAAAGAGTGATAGAGGAAAGGAGACGGCGGAGGGAAGCGAGAAGAAGAGGAGACACTTCGATGATCGGGAAAGAGATAGGAAAGAAGGACTTCAAAGCCAAGGATGATAAGGATCAAAGCCAGACGAAAGCCACGTCTGTAAGCTCCCCCATGGAAACTTGAAGGGACCGTTGCGACAAGAACATACCGTATATGGACTCTTTACTGTACATCAGAAAGGCGGAATTGATACCACTAAGATATACGCCCGAACTTCTTCGGTACGCGTAGACAAATACAAGCTACAACTTATGGCCCTGTCTCTTTGCCACCAGCTTGAGCTCCTCTCTCACACCAAGATCCAACAGCAGATTTTCAGCGCCTCCAGGGATTGTCAGCATGTGCACTTCTCTATATATCCTCTCAATTCTTCCTCCCGCTCCGCCCTTGGTGATACCCATCCCACCCAACTGCTGCGTGCACTCCCTCACCGTCTTCTCTAGTACAATTCCCGCATGAGCCTTCAGGAGAGCTGTCCGACCACCCGTACGAACATTGGCTTCGAGGGTGGAGAGTTGCTGCTGCTCGTAAGTCAATGTCTCACACCAGGACTGGAGGGCCTCGACTTCGCGGGCACAGTGTGCAAATTTGTGGCGCACGACGGGCTGCTCGAGGAGGGGCTTGCCGAAGACGATACGCCGGCGGCAGTGCGCGATGGCGTCTTCTAGGCACACTCGAGAGTCTGAAGAGTTGGGGCAGATGCGCATAAGCAGTCTCAGTAATGATCATCGTGAAGGCTTGAGTCACTTTCGTGAGTAGACTCACATCTCAGCGCAATGAAGGCGATCGTCAGCCGTTCGTGGTTGAACTAGTAGAGTGGAGAGCGTCAGCATACAGCACGACCAGAGCTGGCTCAGCTTTTCGACCCACTCACATTGTAGAAGCAGTACTTAAGTCCATCGCCCTCCTTGCCAATCAAATTCTCGACTGGTACTTTCACCTCGTCCATCTCTACAAGTGTGGTGCCGGTAGCATGAGCGCCCACCATGGCCATCTGCTTCGTCGAGACTCCCTCTGTTCGAGGTACGACGAGGAAAGAAAGGCCAGTGGGGTCTCCCGCCTTGCCAGATGTGCGAGCTAGCACAGTGAAGCTGTCGGAGTAGATGCCGTTGGTGATCCATTTCTTGAGCCCGCTCACTATATAGTGCTTACCGTCCTTGCTTTTCTCTGCTGTCGTCCCGCCCACATTGGCTACATCGCTCCCTGCGTTTGGCTCAGTGATGGCCAGACTGATCCTCTGCTTGCCATTCAAGAGGTCAGGCAGAAGTCTCTTCTTCAACTCGGGCGATCCAAAGTGAATGATGGGTCCGGCTCCGTATGCCAGCCCGGAATGCAGAGACATGAAAGCCGATCCACTTCCTACGGTGCACAGAGAGTCGATGAGTACAAAGTCGTGGAAGTTGTCCCACTCCTCTGGCTTGATGCCCGCCGGAGGGCTCACTCCAGCTGCAGCAGCCGCAGTTGCGTCCATCTTGGCGCCAAAGGCGAAGGCGAGGAGGATGCCATCCTTGCCTGCTTGGGCGAAGACGGCTTCGTCGCGTTTGCCCGAAGCTTCCCAGGAGGCGGCTACGGGGGCCAGGTACTTGTCTGCCCAGGCTATGGCCCATTTGCGGAGGCGGTGGTGCGATTCATTATAGAAGGGCGAGGGCTGATTGACCCAGGGTGGCTCAGAGAAGGCTTGTAGAGTAGCCATGGCGATGAGAAGGTTACAAAATGTGTTGCTCTTGAAAGCGTTTCGATCAAAGTAACACTTGCGTGCCTCGTCTACCCCGCATTTACCTCTCTGCGTCTCTCCTAATTCCGGGCCGGGTTCCGGGACAAGCAACGTGTTTGAGCTTTCGGCCGTGGGAATGGACCGATGTCGCGCTGCAGGAAAAGGACGTGGCTTCGGAAGTCCGCTTCCGCTTCACCAACGCACGCAGCCCGCCTGGCCCATGCAGACGAACCTCGTGGATACCGCGCTCGCTTCCTTCTCGGAGCAATGCCAAGAGAGACCCTTCGCATAGACGCTCCACCTTCCCGACGTCGTACTGTCTCTACGCCCTTCTCGTCGCTCCCTATGTTCTCGCCGCAAGCATCATGCCATTGAATCGGAATCTGTCTTGGCAAAACATAAAAGGTGCTAGTCGGCAGCAGACGCCTGCGGATACGTCCTCCTCCAATACCGACGACTCTCCACTGCACAGCAGCCAGGAAGGTTTGCGCATCCCAGAAGTGCCGAGTACAGCGGCTGGAAGCTCTGGCGCAAGCCTTCAAGTACCCCTCTCTGCCGCCTCAGATGTTTCACGTCAACCTCAGCAAGCCTCGCAGCCTCTCGCATACTTGCGCGTTCAGGTCCTCAGGGCCACCAATCTAATACCTAAAGATCGTAATGGCAAAGCTGACCCGTATGTCGTCGTATCATTACCCGCCCTCGCTGCCCTCTCCTCGAAAGGTCAGCAGAATTCGGATCATTATCGCAAGAAGACTGCTGCCATCTCGAAGACTCTGGAGCCCGTGTGGAAGGATGAGGTGTGGGATTTCCCAATCACCGCTGAGTGGTTGGGGCCCGACGGCTTCTTCGAAGAGGATGACTCTGACGAAGTCGCAGATGACCTAGAAACAAGTCCTCCTCCTCAGGACGGAGTTGTCCAGACAGACGACGCAAGTGAAGCTTTTGCAGCCCTCGGCCTTCAGCCCAAGGCTCCCGCTCAGGTCAATGATCCGGCAAGCGCAGGTCACATCGAAGTCCCTACCATCTCCGTGGCCGCATCTGACAGACCTCAGCGGCCTTCGTCGTCTCGTAGGCATCTTTCTTCTACTGCTATCAAGGTCTTGTCTACCTCTGCAAAAGGGGTCAAGTTGCTGCCAAAAGGAGCAGCTGCGAGCGCTCGGGCCCTTGCAAGAGTCACACCTCGTCCCACGTACCTTCGAAGGGGCACCAGCAGTAGCCGTCTGCGGAATCCATCCCTGTCTCTTGGAGCTAACCTCGAGATTGTCCTGTGGGACCAGGACTGGGGAGGACGGAGGGAGTACATGGGCGAAGCCAATTGGCCAGTGTGGGAATGGATCAAAAGCCCGCGAAAGGTAGAGTGGGCAGACGACGAGGGCGGCGCCGAGTCGCAAGGCACGTGGCTCACCCTTGTCTCCTCAAGACAAACCAAAGCTGTGTCCGGGCAGGTGCAGCTTCGTGTAGGCCTTGTGCGGGCACCGGACTCCCCGGTCAAGTCGCTCGACACCTTGTACAGAAGTCTTGTGACAGCGGCTGTTTGGACAGGTCACCGCCGCCACGCAGCACCGGATTCTTCTAGTAGACGACCTCGTCCGCACAGCGTCGTTGCTGCAACTGAGGACCAGATCCGTGCCGGGGTACGAGCTGTGCCAGCTGCCCAGTCGGTAGGCACAGGAGAAGACTTCTTCGAGGATGATGGACTCTCTAGCGAGGATGAGGAGCAGGAAATATTGGACTCCGAAAGCGAGTCTGATCACACTAGCGATGACGACGACGGTCTTGCATCCGACAGCGTCACAGATGACTTGTTGTCCGCCGAGGAGGACTTCACAGCAACTGAGGGCGAAGACGAGGACCCTCTCGGTAAACATCGGGCCAGATTGAGAGAGTCGAACAGCTTTGCGCTCAGGCAGCATGCTTCTCAGGTTTTGACAGCTCCATCTTCAAATGCATCTGCGGCATCATCACAGCTAGGTATAGCAACACTGGAGGATGACAGGCGACCGTCCCGTCGCAAGCTGCTTAGCGCTCTCGGCCGGAGATCTAGACGTCGCAGCACTGGAGAGTCTTCGGGTCTTGCTACTCCTGCTACAGATGACAACATTGCAGATCCTTTGGCAGAACTAGTCGCGGCACAGAACAAATCGAGGAGATTACGGAAGGCAAAGAAGCGGAACAAATCCGGCAGCGACGACATTACATCACTTGGTGAGGGCAAAGATAGCAGAAGGCGCTCAAAGGGAGCCTCGCAGAAGGCTCGTCGAGAGGCCAAGCGAAAGCGCCAAGCGGAGAAACAAGGCTACTCGTTCAAGGGGGGTAGCGATATTGTTGGCATCGTGATGATGGAGATCTCTGGAGCGAGCGACCTGCCTAGATGGAAGAACAGTCTGCGTACCGGTTTCGATATGGATCCGTTCACCATCGTTGCCTTTGGTCAGAAGGTCTTCCGTACCAGAGTGTTGCGTCACACGCTCAACCCTACATGGAACGAGAAGTTGCTCTATCACGTCCGAAAAGGAGAGGACAATTTCGACATCAAGATGAGCATCTACGACTGGGACAAAATCACCTCGAATGATCATGTCGGCTCGTGTGCTCTACCTCTGAGCACGCTGCTGCAAGCTGCACCGAAACCAGACGCTGTGACCGGGCTCTTCGACCCGGATGCCAGTGCCCTCGCCGAGCTTAAGACCTTCGATCTGCCATTGACACGCCAGGGCGGAGACGAAGAGGTCAAATTTCGCCACTCAACACCTATTCTGACCATCAAAGCCAAGTACATGCCCTATGCCGCCCTTCGACAACGCTTCTGGCGACAGCTGCTCAATCAGTTCGACACCAATGATTCTCGGTCTCTGTCAGCGCTTGAGCTTACTGCGATGCTTGACTCTCTGGGCTCTACACTTACTATAGAAACGATCCAAAGCTTCTTTACAAGTCGAGACAAGAGCTACGATAACGATGAGCTCTCCATCGAAGAAGCCATTGTAGCACTTGAAGCCGAGATCAACAAGCCCGCCACCGAAAAGAGACATCGGGACCGAGAAGTGAAGAACAGCCAGGGGCGACCCAGCTCACCTGCACTGCTGAGTACAGGAGCCGACAGAGGCGAAGTTGGTGCCTCGGAAAAGCAAGCCCTCGATGTCAGCGGACCCTCTGCGCCGATATCGGACACAGGCGACGCTGGACCAAATTCGTCAGCCCCCATGCCCATCCCTGCCTCCTCTCAGGTCCCAACGACGAAGGACCGAGATGTGGTGTCGAACGCAGCAGCAGACGATGACAGGCAGAGTTTCTTTGTTGGATCTCCCGAGGATGACAGAAGCCTGAAGCGGCCTACACATCTCTCACCTCTAAACGTATCGAGACCTGGCTTTTTGTCGAAGAGGTCGTCCTCAAGCACTTCTCCATCTCGTAGCCCCTCTCGCCAATCATCAACCGATGCCCTACGATCAACTCCGTCTCCAATTCGCTCAGGCTCAACGCCAGAGCCGCAACAGGGTCTTGACGTCAAAGAAGGTGACGACGACCGACCCGTAGAGAGAGTCGTGCTGCTCAAGACATGCCCACTCTGTCACATGCCTCGCTTGAGTCGCAAAGGAGATGGCGATGTCATCACTCACCTGGCTGTGTGTGCCTCCCAAGACTGGCGGCGTGTTGATTCCTTGGTGGTGCGCAATTTCGTGACGAGCAATCAGGCTCATCGGAAGTTCTTCAACAAGATCCTGATCAATGCGACCCAAGGTGCCTATAGGCTCGGCGCCAATTCGGCGAATCTGATTGTGCAAGATCGTCAGACTGGTGAGCTCTTAGAAGAGAAGATGCAAGTATACGTGAGGCTAGGCATTCGTCTGCTCTACCAAGGGGCACGGTCTCGCATGGAAGGAGCCAGAGTCAAGCGAATGCTCAAGAACATGTCCGTTAAGCAAGGAAAAAAGTATGACTCTCCAGCGTCGGCAAAGGAAATTCCGGGATTCATAGCGTTCCACAATCTCAATGTGGACGAGATCCGCGACCCATTGGACAGCTTCAAGACCTTCAATGAGTTCTTCTATCGCAAGTTGAGGCCAGATGCGCGACCTGTCGACGAGCCGCAGAATCCCAAACGGCTCGTCTCATCTGCTGACTGCCGCATGATGGCCTTCGACAGCATTGATGCTGCGACGAGGCTGTGGATCAAGGGGAGAGAGTTTAGCGTCGAGAGGCTTTTGGGCGACGAGTTCAAGGGAAAGCTTGACAACTTCAAGAACGGTAGTCTATGTATCTTCCGATTGGCGCCTCAGGACTACCATCGCTTCCACTGCCCAGCAGACGCCGTCGTAGGCGAGCCGGTCTGGATCGAAGGACAATAGTGAGTTGCGCTCCTCCGTTGTTGAATACCTTGCATCAGTGTCTCATAGAGTGCTGACCTCGTCACCATCTTATCAACAGCTATACCGTCAATTGTATGGCTATTCGCTCGGCCATCGATGTCTATGGAGAGAATGTACGAGTGGTTGTGCCTTTCCATAGCGAAGCCTTTGGTACATGTGAGTAGATCTCCAAGGCGGTTACAAGATGCATCCTACGGGAATTCCGGCTGACTCCTCACACCCACTCCTCTACCACTCCTATTTGCAGTCTATGCCATCAACATCGGCGCGATGATGGTGGGCTCAATCGTTCTGACTGTCAAAGCAGGCCAAAAAGTGAAAAAGGGTGACGAAATGGGCTACTATGCCTTTGGAGGCTCCACAACAGTCTGCATCTTTGAAGAGGGGAGACTCGAGTTCGATGAGGACCTCCTGGCCAATTCAAAGGCGTCCATCGAGACGCTTGTGAAGCAGGGTACTGGTATAGGAAGGGCTGTGGTAGAGAAAGAGAGCACGGAAGAGGAGAGGACGTCGAGCTAATCAGGGGCTATTCCCCGCACAGTACCCATCCAATGATCCATCAGCATCTATGCATGTTTTGATTTTTCGCTACAGTGAGCACTGGTGTCTGGTGTGTCCAATCAGTTGTCGTCCTGTCTTGATGTGCCAGGGTACAGAGATGACGCAAACTGTAACGTTAGGACTGGTTCATTGCAGAGCGTGGACGGGTATGTTGCTGCTATGTCTGTCCAGTACCATCACACGGGTTCTTCGTCCGCTGCGTTAGTCCCACTGTTCACCAAAGCCAGATAGGGCAAGCTCATTTCGTCAGCTCCTGAGCGACTGCCACAACCAGTCCACAAATACTCACCCTCCGGATCTCAGCATCCGCATTGCTCGCTCCTTCCCTTTCCCTCCTACTCCCAGTCCCACCAGCCCTTTGCTCCTCCTCCAATTTCCTGCTCAATGCGCCACCAGCACCACCACCTGCCGCCCCCCGTCGCTTCTGTGCTGCTAATCTTTCTTCGGCGGCTCTAGCTCGGGCCTCACGATCTGCTGCTGGATCGCCGGAGGAGGAGGGCCCACCGAGAGGCCTGCCGGAGCCGGTGGTGTTTCCCGGGGGACCGTCGGAAAGGCGCTGCCCTTCTGAAGATGGGCTGCTGAAGCAGGAGCCCATGTCCGTAGAGTAGAAGTGTGGTGATGATAGCTCTCGAACTAGTGAGCTGTGTAGACCTTCCGGCTGTGGTGATGAAGGACGTTATGTGTGGGGCAAAGGGGCAATAACGAGGTTGCTTCGGCTTGGCTCGTCCTTGGCGTGGGTCTGCGCCCAAGTCCGTGCACAATTCTCCTCGACTGGGCCGGAAAGCAATGGCTGATGGTGGCCGGCTCCTTCTTCCGAACCTGTCTACCCAGATCTGCTCACTGACCCGCTCGTCCTGACCACTTGTAACGTCGCTGCGATACCATGTCTGTGAACACAGCCCGGCCTCGGAATTATCCGACGCATTCCCTGTCCACGTCCGAGACCGAATCCCACTCTCGCTCCTACGGCCTATCTCCCGCCGGTGGTGCTGCATCTTCTTCCTCTCTCCCCGTCCCGCAACCCATTGCTGCGCCGCCGGTGCGACCCCCTCCACTCTACTCGCTCATCTCTACAGGACTACATCGATGTTCGGCCATTGGACTCGAGGAGAGCCTCAATGAAGCTTGGGCTTTGCTGCAGCCACAGCGCGAGAAAAGGCGCGAGGCAAGCAATGGCGGTGGAGGAGCGAAAGGAGGCAACAGTGGAAATGGAAATGGAAATGGCAATGCAAAAGAGGAGCAAAGAGGCTACAGCTCTTCAGCCTCGTCTTCCTCGTCGTCTTCTCGTCAACAACAAGGAGAGGATAGACTAGTTCCGCCTCCTCGCAAGACAAGAGCTTCACCATCCCCTCCTGGTACTCCGCCTCGGCAAAATCGGCCCCAATTCCAATCGAGCAACAGCCAGTACACTGCATCGCCGTCCAAGGCAACTCCCTCTACAGCTCTCACCAATGCCGACTTGGAGTCGTCGCCCTCCCTCTCCTTTCTTGCGTCTCTACAGCTGCGCACAATTGTCTATCTCTCCCCGTCTTTACTGCCCTCGGCCCTGCTCAAATTGAGTAGAGAGCTGGACCTCAACTTTCTCCAGTGGGACCTCACAGGAGGGAAGATTTGGAATCGGAGGACGGGGCAAGGTCTCGGTGGGAGGGGTGGAAGAGTAGGGGAGAGGGAAAGGGAGGCGCTAGACAGGTTTGCTGATCTGCGGGATTCAAAGTCAGGCCCTGCAGATCTGGAGGAGAAGATCTACTACCAAGACGAAGAAGAGGTCAAGCTTGGAGGGTTAGATCATACGCGCATGTGTAAGGCGACGGTGGAGCTTATGCTCAACAAGCATTGTGGGAATGTGCTGATATGCGATCCGTGAGTAAGCGCTTACCAGAGGCAGAAGGGCTTGACTGTCTCGAGACTGACGCCCTCTACCTTCCGACCACCGTCCTGCCCAACCCCAGATCTGGATTGTCAGAAGTGTCCCTTGTGGTGGGTTGTCTACGGCGAATGATGCGCTGGAACTTTGCCAGCGTTTGTCTAGAGGTAAGTAGAGATGCGAACGAAGGTACAGAAAAGGCCACAGCAGCTGACCCAAGGTGCTCATCACACTTCTGCACAGTATCGTGCTTTTGCACCGACGCGCTCAGCGTCTACCACTAGCAATCTTCGCTTCATGGAGGTGAGTCTTGGTCCGCACGTACGGCACTTGATGCGATCCGCTTCGTCCATTGACTGACTCAAGACTTCTTTGCCCCACCTTGCGACCTCGCAGCTGTTCCCACTCGAATCTCTAGAGCTACCAGACTGGCCAGACCTCATCGAGATTGCAGCAGACGCGCTCAAGGACGTGCAAGCCCAGCACGACAAGGACGAGCAAGGGGCGTCCACCGGAGTCCGAACGTGAGGCGAATGAGCACAAGTGTTCGAATCATCCTGCTGTACATTAGACCTCCCTATTGCAATCCGTGGTTCTTCTTCTAGACACCTTGTCTTCGTGGGTCTTGTTGCCCAGCTCAATCGGCTGTTTGACGCTCCTTTCCATCCGCTCACTGAGGCGCACACACACACGCGAGACGCGCGCGTCACTTTGGCAGAGCAACACCAGCCTCCAACGCCTCCGCTCCGTATCTGAGTCTTCCCGTTCGTTCGGTCCGTCTGACTGCCACTCGCCATACTCGTATCCCACTTACCCTCTGAAAGCGCTGATATAGCTGCGCTGAACACCGCAAAACTACTGCAGACCACTGGCTCGACTCCGTTCTGCGATTCAAAGGAAGGACTGACTTAGCTGTCTCTTCTGACGAGGTGAGCATACGAGCGGTCAATGCCTACTATTCTGTCTCGAGCCAGAGCCTCCAGTGCTGATAGCACTGAGTTCTCATTTCGCTTCTCCTCAGTCACTCGATCCCTCGAAGTAGTCCTTGCTGTCTGATCGAGCCTCGCAATGGCCGCCGCTCCCCATGCAGACGCAGCAAGCTCTGCTCCCTCTTCGCAACAAAACCCCTACCTGGGCCACCGTCACCTAAGTGCGCAACAAGCGCAACTCCTCGGCGAGTACTATCGTCTCTCTCAGACTCTCAAGCGCATCCTTGCCCTCTCTGGTGCCCTCTCTGCAACGAAGCCTCACGCTCAAGTGTTGGACTTACTCCGATTGACCGAGCGCAAGATGGGTCTGGTCATCACACTCTTCAAGGCGAGCGTGTGGAGCATCATGGTTGAGCAGGAGGAGAGGAATCGAGCATTGGAAGAGGCGGGGAGGATACTGGATCAGGAGGAAGAGGATAGACAGAGGATGGAGATGAGCGTAGAGTCGGATAGGACGGTGGTGTATGATCAGCAGCAGAGGGCTGGCTATTGAGCTGGTTGCGCGGGAGCGCTGGGCTTCGCGGTCCTACCAGCAACTCCATCGCTGCTTTACCAAGCAGCGTTTGCCTGGCCTCACCGCAACAAGGCCATCATACATCGCAGTATGGCCATATTGGCCCCACCGCGGGCCTAGCCGCTCTCGCGATATGAAGCGCGTCCGAGATGCTGCATCTCCGGCGTAGTTGCGAGACCTCTCCACGATCACTGGGCATACCAGTCATCTCGCGTCACCTCATGTACTCTACTCCGCGTCTCATTGTAATGGTATCTCGATTCTCTTCCTCCTCCCTCACTTTCACCGAAGCGCCCCCATCAGCACCTTCGGCGAGATTATGCCATGGCCTCGGCAAGACTATGTTCTACCGAGACGAGGAGCACCGGCCCCGCAATTTCCCCGCTTCCTCCTTCCGGAGCTTCGGACTGCTTGCAGCCGTATGATACGAGGCAGACCGAACGTGCCGAGCGTTCCTCTCTTCCAATACCACACTTGAGCCGAGGATGTCCTACGTACACCTGCTCTCTCAGCTCACTCTCGAGGAAAAGATCCAGCTGACGGCGGGTCAAGACTTTTGGCGGACCTTCAGCCTGCCTCGTCACTCCATACCCTATGCCAAGTTGACCGATGGACCCAATGGAGCTCGAGGTGGGGGCGACTTCCAAAACTCGGTACCAGCCGCTCTCTTCCCTTCTCCCTCTTGTCTGTCGTCGACGTTCGATGTCAGCCTAGCTCGTGCCATGGGAGAGGGCATCGCCCTGGACTCTCTCAGCAAGCGCTGTCACATCTCCCTCGCTCCCACAATCAACATCACCCGTGATCAGCGGTATGGGCGTGCCTTTGAGAATTACGGAGAGGACCCGCTACTCAGTGGCCACATCGGTGCTCATTGGACTCTAGGGTGCCAGAGCGTGGGAGTGGGAGCTACGCCCAAGCACTTTGTCCTCAATGAAGCCGAGGAGGACAGGCGATTTAGCGATTCTCAAGTCTCGCAAGAAGCGATGCGGGAAGTCTACCTTGAACCCTTCCGGACCCTCTTCCACGAGGTCGCCAAGGGTCACAAAGACGGTAGCGATGGGGAGAAGAGCAAGGTCTTTGGAGGACAGCCAGCCTGCATCATGACTGCATAGTGAGTCTAGCCTTGGCACACGGCCCATTCGTCCATGCTCATTAAGGACCGTGAGCTGATCTTCCCTCCCGCACGGCCCATCGTGCAGCAACCGCGTCAATGGCACCTCTGCGAGTGAGAACAAGTTCACCCTCATCGATGTGCTCCGCAAAGAGTGGGGATGGAAAGGACTGGTGATGAGCGACTGGTTTGCATTGCACTCTCATGCGCTCTTGACATGTGATCTTGAGATGCCCGGACCCACGATATACCGCTCGCCAGAGGCGATCAAGGAGCTGATCAAGAAAGGTGATTTGAGCGAGGCAGATGTCGATGCCAGGGCTACAAAGGTTCTTGAGCTGCTGGAGAAGATTGCACCTTTGGGCTTTGTCGATTCACCAGACGAAGAGCACGAGGAGAGTATCGTGGATGCTGGTCGAGAGGAAAAGATCAGGACCATCGCTACCGAAGGTGCTGTTCTCCTGCGAAACGAAAGCGAGACCCTGCCATTGGACTTCGTGAATCGCAAGACGAGGAAGATTGCCCTCATTGGTAAACCGTGGAAGGAGCCTGTGCAATCAGGCGGTGGAAGCGCCAACCTCACCCCTCAGCTAGCCAAGCCTGCATTTGAATCCCTCCACGAAGCGCTCGATGCCTTGCCGAATGGAGCTGGTAAGGACGTCGAGCTGTCGTACCACTTTGGCTGTGAGATCCACAGATTTCCCGTTGAGCCAAAGGGCGAACAGCGTATTCCTGGAGGTGTCAAAGCGGAGTGGTTCAAGGGACCTCACCCACCTCAGCCGGAAGACGAAGACAAGGAGCCTGCACCGCTCTTGGAGCAACACTTGGCAGCTCCTACTCTCCGAGCCATGGATCCCAAGCCGGATGTGCTCGAGGCAAACAACTTCAGTCTGCGAGCCACCTTTAGCCTTGTCAGCCAGACAGCAGGACGGCATAAGCTAGGACTGACCAGTCTGGGCAATATTCGTGCGATAGTCACTCGTCAGAATGGAGAGGAGGCCTTGGACTGGAAGTATGAGGGAGCACGGGATGTGTTCTCGTATTTCCTGGACGAGTATAGGACTGCTCAGGATGGAAGGGTGAAGATGGAGGCGGGCGAGAAGGTGACTGTGACCCTGCGTAAGTAGCAGCGTAGCTCCTCTCCATTCCCGGAAAGTTTCTAAATGACTGACTGTACCCACTCTTCGCCCCCCGTCCTTGGCTACCACAGTGTACTCACCCGCACAGATTGAGGGCGACCTTGCGCAGCAAAAATCAAGCGCATTCCGCTGTGGCTTCGACGAAGAGATTGATGACAAGGGCGAGATCGAAGCAGCTGCCTCCCTTGCCTCTTCCGCCGATGTGGCCATTGTCATGACTGCCGTGGGCAAGGACTGGGAGTCGGAGGGGTACGACCGCCCACATCTGCGTCTGCCACGATTGCAGAGCGAATTGGTGGAGCGAGTGGCCAAGGCGCAGAAGGATACAATCCTAGTCAACGTCTCCGGGTCTGCCGTCGAGCTGCCCTTTGCTAATCAGCTGAAGGCACTAGTGCAGACGTGGTACGGCGGGCAGGAAGCAGGGGCCGCCATTGTCGATATCCTCCTTGGGAAAGGCCGTGCACCGGCCAGTGGTCGTCTGTGCACTACCTGGCCCATCTCGGTGCAGGATCAACCGGGAGGAAGCAGCCTGGAACTCTTCCCTGGCAAAGATCTCACAGGACGTGGTCATCCTGACGTAAAGTACGCTGAGGGCAGACTGGTCGGGTACAAGTGGTACGAAGCAAAGGGTATCCGGCCAGCCCACTACTTTGGCTCGGGTATCGGCGGGTATACTACCTTTGAGAGGAAGCTGCTGCAGGTCGAAGCAGCGATAATGAAGCAGGAGAAGAAGGTCGAAGTGGCTGTCGAGGTCACCAACACAGGAAAACGGAGCGGAAAGGACGTGGTGCAGGTGTACATCGCACCTCCCTCGGATCTGATCCAGGGCGACGTGCCGCATAAAGAGGTGAGCAGCTCGATCAAAGGTGGCAGCATTCCTAATGCTTGTACAGCACTGACCCTCTCCTTGATCTCTTCTGCACTCACGCCCATAGCTCGCAGCCTTCAGCTCCGTCCACCTCTCTGCCGGCGAAAAAACCACGCTGCGTCTCTCCGTTGGGGAGCGAGCCTTCAGCCATTGGAGGCAAGACGAGCAGGGCGGCAGTGGTCACTGGGAAGTGGTACCGGGCGAGTATCACGTCATCCTGGCTTCCTCTGCCGATCCAAAGGACGAGATCGCTAGGGAGCCAGTCACGGTTGAGAAGGGTTGGACATGGAGCGGGTTGGGAATCGTCTGATACCACTGGACGAAGATGCTAATGTACGTGGTACTGTGGAGGCAGTTTGAGCGCAGCTCGAGCAATACGAAAGCCTCGTCAAATATTTGACTCTTCAAAGCTCACAGCAGCGTGGAAGTAGTGTGCCTTTTGTAGTGACGCAAGCGGGATCAAAGTACAATGGGTGGTCTTGAGCGGTAATGAGCGGTAGGAAGAGGTGTGAAAGGATCATTGCGGGCGCGGCATACCATATCTGACAAGACGAGGAAGGATAGAAGTATGGTAAGCGAATGATGTATGCCATCTTCATGTAGGAGACAGCTACTCACCCAGTGGGAGGTGGTCTGAACCCGGGCGGCGCGCCTCCGAAACCAGGAGGTGGTCCCGAGGGAAATCCGGGAGGAGGTCCGGCAGGGAAGCCAGGGGGCGGGCCTCCCATGGGCGGCGGACGACCATAAGCCATGGGACGAGCTGAGACGGCGCCAGGTGGTGCCATTCCAGGTGGTGCCGAAAGACCGATGCCTCGACCTGCTGGGAGTCCTCTTCCTGGTCCGGGCGGCACCTGCAAAGGGAGTTTTGTAGAGGGATTCCAAGCATGTCAGCATTTCTAGGATCACGCTTTTGGACGGCTTCTGCCCCAGGAAGGAACTCACTGCTCCAGCAGCTCCTGCTCCCTTCTCTGCAGGCGGTGGTCCTTCAATGCTGAGCGACACGATTGTCTCTCCCCTCAAGATGATCAGACCCAATGCCCTCTTCTGCTGCGACGATGGCGGAGGCGCTGTGCTGGACTCGTCATCGTCCTCTTCGTCGTCACCTCCCTTCGTTCCCCTCCTCTTCTTCAACTTCCGGAACTCCTCAGCTGGTGGACGAAATGGAGCGGCAAGATCGTCAGTGGAAGGTCCTAACGAAGGTACCGTCTGAGGGCACTCACTGTCTGCCAGAACCAGGTTCATGTGGGGATCGAAGGCCAGCATCTGTCCAGTCAGCTGCCTGCCGTCATTCAATGTCACCCTGAGGCGGTAGTTGATGAGCGACAGCATCTTGCCGCCTTGTGACTTGGAGGGAGCCTACAAATGAGGAAATATACACAGCGAGTCAGTACGGAGACTTTAGAGACATGACCCACGGCAGTTGGCAGCGTCCACCACCGGGTCCCGACCCTTCACAGTTCCTTTCCCGTACGCGTCCCTGCTTATGAGTCTACTAGTCAGCCATGAATTACTTACCATTCTTGCTCAAGGACCGGCGGTCGGTGCAAGGGTATATGCTCGGATATGTGGACGCAGTAGACTGCACTAGCTTCGCCTCGCGGATTTGAAAGGGGGAGAGAGACTGTATGAGACGCTGCAGGGGTGGATGGTGACCTCCAAGCTGAGGACGTCTGCGATGCAAGGCGTTGAGGATGGGCGGTGAGGATGGGCGGTGAGGTAGATGCTGTGAGCGCGGATGTCTGGTGATGGTGGACCTCGGAAGGAGACGATGGGCAGGAAGGATTGGATGCATGGCTCAGGCGCAGCGCGCACAAGCGAGGCACCACCCACACCCACACGCCAGGGCGAAGCGGGAGCCCCACCCTTGTTCCTCCTCCGAAGTAACACCTTCTGGCATACAGACAGGAGCCCCTTCGCCCCGTACCTCACCACACTCCTTTGATCCCACCTCACTCTCCTTGAGTACCACACCAGCATGGCTTCGTCGCAGAACCCTACGGCAGGTCTCGCCGAGAAGGCAGCAACCAAGCTCGCCGCTCGAAAGCGCTTCGAGGCAGTCTTTCCCCTCCTGGTAGAGGAGCTCATCGAGTATCTAGCATCAGAGGGCATGCCCAGAGAGGCACAGGAGTGGTACCGCAGAAATCTAGACTACAACACACCCGGTGGAAAGCTCAACAGAGGTCTTAGCGTGGTGGATACCGTGGACATTCTGCTCTGTACCGAGCCTGGAAGCGGCGGTAAGAGGACTAGGGAGCTGACAGAGCCAGAGTACCTCAAGGCTGCCATCCTGGGCTGGTGTATCGAGCTGGTAAGTCAGATGGTAGGATAGGACAGAGGACGCCGAAGAGTTGCGGTCTCGATTGGGCGCCGTCTGACATGGCTATTGTTCCGTCTCCCGGTAGCTGCAAGCATACTTCCTCGTGGCTGACGACATGATGGACAGGTCCATCACCCGTAGAGGTCAGCCTTGCTGGTACAAGGTCGAAGGTGTTGCTGAAATCGCCATCAACGATGCATTCATGCTGGAAGCCGCTATCTACTATCTCCTCAAGAAGCACTTCAGGTCCGAGCCCTACTACGGACTGCTGCTAGAGCTCTTCCACGACGTCACCTTCCAGACTGAACTGGGCCAGCTGATTGATCTAATCACTGCCGATGAGAACCACGTCGACTTGAGCAAGTTCAGCCTAGAAAAGTGAGTTGCGGCAGCAGATATGCGGGCGAGCCGGCACAACGCTGATCTAACCTACTTTCCATCTTCAACACCTGCCAGGCATCATCTGATTGTTCTGTACAAGACCGCTTTCTACTCCTTCTACCTTCCCGTCGCTCTTGCCATGAGGATGGTGGGCATCACCGATGAATCTCTCTATAAGCAAGCCTCGGCCATCCTGCTCCCACTCGGCGAGTACTTCCAGGTGCAGGACGACTACCTGGACGCCTTCGGCAAGCCAGAGGTCATTGGCAAGATCGGTACAGACATTCAAGACAACAAGTGCTCCTGGCCTGTCAACGTCGTCTTGCTTCACGCCAATGCTGAGCAGAGGAAGGCGCTGGATCAGCACTACGGAAGGAAGAACGCCGAGAGTGAGCAGATTGTTAAGGACATCTACGTCGCACCGAATGTTAACATCCCTGGCAAATTCGAGGCCTATGAGAAGGAGAGCTACCAGATGTTGACTGGTCTCATTGACCAGGTTGACGAGTCGAAGGGCTTGAAGAAGGAGGTCTTTACCAGCTTCTTGAACAAGGTACGTAGGGGGCCGTGCGATCTCGAGTTCACTGCCCGCATACGCCCAGCGACTGATCAATTGCGTTTTGATCCACTGCTCACAGGTCTACAAGAGGACTGTGTAGATGCAGAATGGGCAGGATGGCAGACGGTAGGTCTATACGGGCCTCTGCGGAGATGTGCTCAGCGATGAGGGTGTTCCTCCCATACATAGAAGGTGTCCTTTCCATTGTGAATACTTAGCCTACTCGCCCCTTCACAAGAATTTCATACGCTCATTCATACCCCCCTTGCACCAGTGTGTCGATGTGACATTGTGACTGTGATAGCTGTGACGGTGACTCTGTGATGGTGACTCTGACTCGATTCGATGTCCCGTCAAGTGTGCTCAGTCGACACGGCAGTATATGCAGGCCTAGGCAAGACCTCCTCCCGTGCCTGAGCGTGTCATGCGTGTGCCCTGCGTGCCTGAGAGTGCGAGTGAGAGTGCGCGCGCGCTCAGAATTTCTTCGCCCCGCCTCGCAGTATATATTCAGACGCCAGAAGCCGTGCTTCGCACCTTTCCTCTTTTTCCTCACCTTTTCTGGCCTTTTGGCTTAGATCAAGTGTAGTATCTGTTCTTTAAAGATTAACGTCTTTAACCTATCCTTCGGGATAGTCATAACGTTAACTCTCTCTTTGCCCACTGATGGCTTTAAGGACTTCATTCCCTCTGGGCTTGCCCATGGAGTCGAAGCTTCCTTGGGTGTCCTTTGCTTTTCACTACCGCATTGCGACGCCCGCCTACCACCTTTACAACTTTTTCCCATCTTTTCACCAAGCCGTGAGGGCATTGCAATTCATACCATTAATACTCTTCACCTTTACATCGTCTGTCTCTTCTTTCTTGTGATTGTAATCACTGGATGAATGTACGACAAGTGGATGTCAGTCAGCTCAGCCTCTCAGCTTTGAGAGCGGACGGACGTGACCTGACCCAGAGGGAGGCGCGTGCACCGGCTTCCGGAAGTTGACCCCGTACCAGCTTGTGTACCCGAGCTTCCTACCCTTGAGTATCCTATTTGATCCCTCCACGTCGCCCTCAGGGTCTTGTGTCGCCCCTTGCTTCATCTCATCCGTCATGCCTTCCCCTACCGATTTCTTGGTCACGCCCGCCGAAGTCAGGAGCATCCAGAAGCGGCTGGCCTCGTTGCGACTCGCTCCATCTCCTGCTCCGCTTGCTTCTCCATCTGATACCTCTGCTTCGTCATCCTCGAGGGCAAGCCTTATATCTTCCGGGTCTGATCTCAAGTCTGCTCACTTCTGGTTACAAGATGATCGGTTGCCGAGGACTGTCAGGACAGCTATACGAGCTGGTCTCTGGGCTGCGACCGTGAACTCTACCATCGCAGCACTGGGAGAGGGCTTGCGCAAGAAGGAGTAAGTGTGAGAGTAACAGCAGGCTGGCCATTGAATTAGCGTCTGACTGAGTCGTTGTCGCTGTCGTCTACTTTCCCCCGAACTTGTAGTCCGGTTGCAGCATTGCGGAAGATGCTCTCTCGTACATCCTTCCAGCTCTTCGTCAGCATCCTCACCTTCTCAACTCTATATCGCTCCTTCCTCCAGGCAGTCCTGGTTGCAAGACAAAGAATGCTGGGCAATCTGAGCTCAATCGCACCAAAAGAGATCCACCGCGATCTCACCGGGGGGCAACAAAGAAGGGGCATGGACGAGCGTACCATGCGTGCCCGGCTGTTTGCTAGGCTCGTCCGGCTGACAAAGGCCAACGGAACTGTACCCACGTTGGCTGCCCTCCTTGCCTCGCCGGCCCTGGCACTGATGCCCACTGCAGACTTTCCTATGACGGCCCTATCATTGTACCTCTTTACGCAAGCCCTTGCAACACTCTACGCTGAAGGAAGATTTGTAGGCTCGAGCATTGTCTCCTGGGTGCCAGAGTGGTGCAACAGTGGCCTGCTATACGCCCTCGGAAATGCTCAGCTGCTGTGGGCATTCCTCTTCGAGAAGCATGCTTTTCCTGAAAGTTGTGAGTACAAGTAGTCGCGCAGCAGTACCTGGTGTGCTATCAGACTGACGCAGGCCACCTCTTTGTGCAGACGGCAATGTCATCCTTGCTCGGTCTTCAGCGTACATCCCGCCGCGGCCCCCTCAGCTACCAGACGGAGTCGACTGGCCTTCCCGTCGTACCATCGCTGACCATGTAGCAATTTTAGCAACGCCGACAGCGACTGCGCCTGCCTTCCCCTCGTTCACCTCGCCGCTGCTTTCATCACTGACACCTTCCAAGCATCCAGCCACACCCTACCCTGCTATCAATCCGGTCTTGGACTACTCTCCTGCACACCCAGCTCACACCTCTTTGATGTGTGCAATGCTTCATCCCACTGAGCCATCCTGCAAGACTACGCTGCTGAACCACTTCAAAATGGAATGGCTCGCTTCTGCTCGTTTCTCAGGGGTATTTGCACTACTGGCAAGTGTAGTGTTCAGGAGCAAGAGGTGGTGGAAAGATCCAGAGACGGAGATCTTCAAGGTCGTCGTGGCTACTCTGCAGGGTGCGACGCTCATCTCAGGTAGCATCGGGACCGCTTGGGCCATGACCTGCCTTCTTCAGCAGTACCTACCCAAAAGCTTCATGCCACGAAATCGCTTCTTCCTCAATGGCCTCGTTGCTGGCGTTTGGATTCTGGCGGTGCCCAAGCACAGGCGGCGAGAGCTCGGTCTGTACGTGGGGCGGATGAGTGCTCTCTCTTCGTGGCGCATTCTAGAGAAGCGCGGCAAGGTCAAGTCTGTACCGTACGGCCCTCATCTACTCCTAGCTGCAGCTCTGACGATGATGGCCGGCATGTATGAAGCAGAGGCCACCAAACTGGGCGGTTCGCTGAAGACGCTGTCTGGCAAGCTGTTTGGCGACAAGCACGCACAAGAGACGATTGCAAACGAGAAGCAAGATGGGGATGCGTAATTGTAGGCCTGCTTGGATCTCGCGATAGCAGTCAGTGTGCTTTGTATAACATTACAGCTCTCGTAGTTCCCTCGTGTCCATCTTCCATCTATATTTCATTCTACGATCCCGCTCTGTTGGGCGGGCCGAGAAGTGTGGCTGGTGCGCCTGTGCGGCCGTGCGTGAAGAAAATCTGTTGGGATCGGAGCCATCGAGGATGGAAGCGAGGTCTGCAAAAGCCACTCCGCACAATCGTGACGAGGATCTTCTTCTTATCTCCTTTCTCGTCTACTTTCACAGCTTCACACTCCCTTATCCTAGACTCCACATACACATTCAGACACTCATCCTGTAAACAGAAGCTTCTCATCAGATTGCTCGCTCCAACGAGTCAGTCCCTCTTCTCCCACCGAACGAGTCGCCCGCTGTGCCCAAACGGCGAGATGGCTGCTCCCCAATCCTCCTCCTCTGCCGCGGCTACGGCCCAAGCCCCTACCAAGATCGCCGTCATGACCTCGGGAGGTGATTCGGCAGGTATGAATGCCGCCGTACGCTCCGTCGTCAAGATGGCCATCTTCAAGGGCTGCCACGCCTATGTCATCCGTGAAGGCTGGGAGGGACTTGTGAGAGGCAACGATGAAGACCAGGGATCCAACCCTACACCACACGAAGAGTCTCTTGACGCTGGTCCAGAGTCCCTAGCGCAGCCTCGAAGGGAGGGAAAAGCGGCCAAGATCAAGTTTGTACCTACTTATGGAGAAGGAGAGTTGCTCAAGGAGGGCGTCAGTGAGGCCGAGACGGTCGGTCTCAAGGGGCGCTACATTGTCAGGGTCGGATGGGACGATGTCAGAGGATGGCTCGATGCCGGTGGTACACTCATCGGTACGGCGAGGTGCGCCGCTTTCAGAGAACAGGCCGGTAGGCTCAAGGCAGCTCACAATCTCATTAAGCACGGTATTGATGCTCTTGCGGTGTGTGGTGGAGATGGAAGTCTGACTGGAGCTGATAGGTTGAGGGCAGAATGGCCCGAGCTCATCGGCATGCTCAAGGACAATGGTGAGTCAGCACCCTGACAGACTGCTTTTGTGAATCATTCGCTGAGCAAGACGATCCCGCTCCGTACCTTTGGCAGGCGACATTACCCAGGCGCAATTCGAAAGGTATGCCCACCTCAAGATTGTGGGACTTGTGGGATCCATCGACAACGATCTGGCTGGAACCGATCTCACCATTGGAGCAGCTACTGCGCTTTCGAGGATCTGCGAAGCTGTCGACTCCATCTCTTCGACTGCCGCATCGCACTCTCGAGCCTTCGTTGTGGAAGTCATGGGCAGACATTGCGGGTGGCTGGCACTTATGGCTGGGGTGGCTACTGGAGCCGACTACTGTTTCATTCCCGAGCAACCCCCTCACGGAAGCTGGGACGATGCGATGTGCGACGTGCTGACGAAGCACAAGAAGGCGGGCAAGAGGAAGACGATTGTCATTGTTGCTGAGGGAGCAATCGACAAAGACCTCAACGCTATCAAGGCAGATGATATCAAGAAAGTGCTTGAGGATCGACTGGGCCTAGACACTAGGGTCACCACTCTTGGTCACACACAGCGTGGTGGACGTCCAGTGGCGTCAGACCGAATCCTGGCTACACTACAGGGTGTTGAGGCAGTCGAGGCTCTTCTCGAAGCCAAACCCGAGACTCCATCATATGTCATTACCATTCGCGAGAATCAAGTGACAAGGACACCCCTCATGGAGGCTGTCAAACAGACACAACTTGTCGCCCACAAGATTGAGACCAAGGACTTCGATGGCGCCCTTGCTCTCCGTGATCCTGAATTCGATGAGTGTCTTCGTTCCTTCTGGTATGCTTCCAAGGTAGCCGATGAGGAGGGCAAGCTACCGCCTGCTCAGAGGCTCACTCTTGCCATTGTAAATATTGGCGCCCCAGCTGGTGGTATGAACGCTGCGACGAGGACCTTTGTCCGCTACTGTCACGCTCGAGGTCACAAGCCTCTTGCAATCCACAATGGTTTCCCGGGTCTGCTCGAGGACAGCGTCACTACTCTGGACTGGCTGCGAGTCGACAATTGGACCATCCGGGGTGGATCGGAGCTGGGCACGAACCGAGTCCTCCCCGATGTTGACTTTGGTGGAGTTGCCAGCAAGCTGCAGCAACATGGCATTCAGGGTCTCCTGCTCGTGGGTGGTTTCGAGGCATTCCAGGCTGTGAAGCAGATGGAGGAGCGACGAACAGAGTATCCTTCTTTCAGGATGCCGATTGCGTCTATCCCAGCAACTCTGTCCAACAACGTGCCGCTGAATGAGTTCTCTTTGGGCTCGGACACATCACTGAACACGCTCGTTGATGCATGTGATGCTATCAAGCAGTCTGCTTCGGCCTCTCGCAATCGAGTCTTCGTTGTAGAGACTCAGGGTGGGCAATGTGGCTACCTCGCCGTGATGGGAGCTCTCGCTGCTGGTGCCGTGCTGGTCTACACACCTGAAGTGGGCATCAATCTGAAGATGCTCGGTGGCGACGTCGAGTTCCTCAAGAGGAGATTCGCCCTTGATGTCAAGGGCAAGAGTGAGGGACGACTGGTGATTAGGAGCGAAAAGGCTTCGGATGTGTACACGACAGATTTCCTCACACGCATGCTCAAGGAGGAAGGAGGCAAGAACTTCGACGCCAGATCCGCCTCGCTCGGACACACCTTGCAGGGTGGAACGCCCTCTCCTCTCGACAGGACTCGTGGAACAAGGCTGGCAGTCAAGTGCTGTGAATTTCTCGAGGAGCACGCCTGGGCAGCGGCCAAGGCTCAATCAAAGTCAAAGTCAGCAACAAACTACGACCGCGCTGCCAATGAGGCTTCGGCAGCTATCATTACAATCATTGGCTCGGGTGTACAATTCACGCCGTGTGTGGAGATGACACGGCATGCAGACATGAAGAAGCGGGTGGGCAAGAAGAACTGGTGGCAGCCGCACAAGGCCCTTGCTGAGCTCATGGGAGGCAGGAGAGGTCTGGGCGTTGGTGACGATGATGAGGATGACGATGAGTGAGGTACGCAAGGGATTTGTTCGAAGACGGTATGGGAGTACCAATCTCAAAATAGATGCTTCTCACCCACCAAACCTATGTGCCGTACATCTTCTCGATGACCGGCATCGAGCTCACGCACCTCATCGTCGGCATTCTTTTGAGCTAGACTGGGCAAAGCGAAAGCGGAGTCGGGTGTGGGCAGGCTACGCGAGGTCGGAGAGGCAAAGGAAAGGGCCAGTAGTCCACCACCCCCTTGCCAGCTCTGCCCCTCTTTGGCAAAGCAGAAGGCAAAGGGAGACAGAACAATAGAGCCCCCTGTGATGAGCCCTATCCCTGGGCTGGCGGAGTCTCGGCTCTGCCTCACCGTGGGAATGGGTAGCCAGCTGAATTGTAAACGGCAGTAGACGAGCCGTGCCTTTCCCAGTGTCCTTTTTTCCCCGGTCCAGTTCCTCGCCTGCCTGACCCATAAAGTGCCGCCGAGGTCACGAGGACGACTACTCCAGCCAGCCAGAGCTCATCCCTGGTTCCCATCTTTACCAAGTGGTACCAGCAATGGGTAGAGCAATTGATACGAGGCAGGCAGGTGTTACGCTGATGATCTCACTGAGACCGTTATCTCTCTGGCTGTGCAAAGATACTTTTGTTGACTCTGCAGGCATGACGAGGTGTCCTCAATCAGCCGGCAGCCGGCAGCGGGATAAAGTCGAGGGGCGGTGCTCCGACAGTGCGGGGTCGCAGTGCCCTGCATGGCTTGGCTTTGGCCGCCCACGCGCTCGCTTCGCCTTGACTTCCGTATGAGGAGGCACAAGTGGAGACGAAATGAGATGCGACCTCAGCTGTCAACGCCGAGGCAGTGGCCACCGCCCACGCCAAAAGAGACTGCTGGATGACTTCACGGCGCTTGACCAGAGGCAGAGGCACAGATGCATCTCCTCGTCGGCTGTGCGAAAATACTCAGAGAGGCAAAGTCGCACTGCTCCACTCCTTGCCATCCTCGACACCTTACCTGGTCCGGGCGTGGGACAAGGGGGCTAGCACAGTGAACTCAGTCGTCGGTCACGGTCGCTCCTTGCCGCCCATCCAGCATCCCCTGGCTTCATAAAGACTCGCGCCTTGGTCAAAATCCTTTGACATTCGAACCCTGTATCATCATCCTTGTTGTCCGTGCCAACCTCGATCCTTCTCGTACCGACTTGCGCCACTTCGGTCCTGCACTTTCGACGCCATTTCCCCAAATGGCCACCGCGGCTACCTGCCTGACCACACCGTTCTCAAGTACTGCCGCATTGATGAACCCATCTGCTCCCACCACCCCGGACCGGCAACATCCCTCCTCCCCCGCTCGCTCTCACGTTCGGAAATCCTCCCTCACCCTCTTCAAGATCGCAGCATCCGCCAGTGGCAAAGACCTTGCAGCACATTCCCCCATCAGCCCGCCTCGAGCAGTGCCCGAGAAGAAGGCTACGTCCCCTACCAGCAGGGCTGCATCGGATCAGCCACCGATATCCCCTTCGGCGTCCAGCCGACGCTTTTCGTTTGGATTCGGTGCAGCAAATAGAGGACCAGCTGCGGGTCCCAGCAGCCCTCGACCCTCTGCAGACGCTCAGCCCGCTACCGACCTCTCATCATCTGGTTCCCCGACAGAGGAGGCCGTCCGCTGCCACGTGGTCGATGACGATGACATCCTTCTGCCATTCCTCGAGCGTGCCGACGAAGTTAGAGATCTACTCTTCGACAGTCCTGCAAATGCCAGCATCGCCGCACGCCTTCGTACATGGGCCTCAATACGCGGTTCAGTCGGCGACGATCTCATACACACCTTGACGAATGTTGATCGCTCGGAACTGGACGATGCTCGCTGGATTGCTACCTTGAGGTCTGTTCTAGTCAAGGAGGTGCCAGATTTGTGGGCAGACTTGGCACTGACCCTAGGTGCAGACGGCTCCACGTTCGCTGTGCCTGACTCGCAAGTCAAGAGCTTCGAGCATGGCCTTCCATTCGATGACGATGCCGTCGATGACGCTTCCGATCTGTCCTCGGTGACCCCGCTTCCCCACGAATCCGGACAAGGTAGGATTCACAGTCGGTCTGTCTCTCGCTCCTCCATTCTCTCCGGTGATTTCGAGCGTCATCCAGAGGGACGCAAAGAACAGGAACCATCGAGTCTTGAAGTCGAGGGGCTACACTACCTTCCAGCAGGCTACAACAAGGCCATCTCCCAGATTGAAAAGCCTTCCTACCCATCGGATGAGGAACAAGAATTGACGACGAACAAAGCTGACGCAGACGCTTCTGCGCCCGCAGCGTCGACTTCTCCAGCCAGCCAAGAGCCGGGACGCCCTACCACGTCAATCGACACCGCTTCGAAAAGCTCTGGCGTCAGTCAGCCTAGATCTCGTGGGATGAGCGTATCTCTCTCCTCGCCACCTCCCTCACCTCGAGCACCCTTTGATGCTTCCAAGAAACTTGCTTCGCAATCCTTCGCCGGGTTGCGCCTGCGATCTAGCTCTGTGATGGAAAAAGAAGAGGACAAGGACTATCTTGCCGGCTCGGCAGAAGCTTCGCCAAGGGCTCGCAGAAGAGCAGCTCGGGCCGTGGAGAGCGAGGCGAAGCCCCTGACCATCCAGCACTCTCGCCGGCTCAGCGACCTAGTCGGCGGTCAGCCAGATGCTCACTCGGAGCGTCAGAGGCCTACTGCCCTGCGAGTGCCATCTGGACCGCACGTAGAGGGTACAAGCGCCAAGGAGCCACCCAACAAGAAGCTCACGAACCTTCGCCCCACTGCCGCAACACCAAGTCTCGATGATGAAGAACTTCTCCGCCCTCAGAAGAGCAAATTGAGCTTTGCTCGAGACTTCGAAGGCCCTACGGGAAGTGACCCCCGCCATCACGGTCGACCCAAAGCGTACTCCATGACTCAGTACTCTTCTCACGTGGAACAGACCCGCCTAGAAGCCGGCAAAGCTGCATCAATCACTCCGTACGAAGCAGCTGCAGCTTACGAGGCATCTGGCGTTGACAAGCCAGCTGACTTGGGCGTTCTGAAGGACGGGCGAACCAGACACCCCTCGAGCGGCAAGACGGAAAACGCATCAGTCGTGGCGGCTTTCAGAGCTTCACTGGGCCTGACCCCCGGAACGTCGTCTTTGAGCCCTATCAACTCGAATCCTAGTTCAGGAGGCGGAAGCCCCTCGAGCGTCGGAAGCGGCGCTGTGACGCCCGTCACCAAAGATGGGAAGGCGACTGTTTCGCCTCGAGTCGAGCTCAAAGAGCCTCTGCCTGTGACTGAAACTACCGACGCTCAGTCAGGTCAGGAATCTATTCAAGCCGCTCTGAGCTCACCACCCCACATACACCGTCGACCAGGCGGCTTCGGGTCCTTCTCAGCCGAGCTAGAGGCTCTGCAGAAACGTTCCCGTGCGAGGAGCGATGCGGCTTTCTCTTCAGGCAGTCAAGCCGTAGCGAGCAGTAGTGAAGGCTCGGCAGTGAGCGACTCTGGGGTCGATGAAGATGACACTGCTGAAGATGCTGCCATTGCTTCGGCCGCCTCTTCTCTCAAGGGCTCCATGCCGAGCGGAGACTTTGATCTTGACTTCGGAGACAAACAAGCAGAAACTTCGGGCGGGAATAGCGCCGAATCTCAACCTTCGGTACAGACTCCGAGCACGCCGCCCCTGAAGAAGCAAGTCTCTTCCACCTCTTCTCCCTCTCAGACAGCAGCGGCCTTTTCGCCTCGCAGCCCCCGCAGTGCGAGGGGCGATGACCACATCATCGTCCCTATTCCTCCTGGAGGACCAAGGTCTAGAGCTCAAGCTATGTCTGCCCTATGGCGACGGTCCGATGTCCAATATCTCGTCGCCAGCATGAAGATGGCTATCGGCAACGAGGGCTGGTTGAAGGCTCGCGATGTAATGACAACTGTGGAGCGCGACACACTTTCCGACAAGGCTCTCCTTGAGACTCTTGCTACCGAAAGCTTCAAGCTGGTGGACTTGGACTCTCAAGATCCACGGGACAGGGAAAGGGCGGAGAAGATCATGTGTGGCGAAATCAGTGAGGAGGAGCAGGCGGAGTATAGTAAAAAGTGGAAGGCATTTGAGCTGTTGTTGAGCGAGGGACTCTGCGTTCCTTCGAGCTCTTTGCAGGAGGCAAAGAGGCGATGTGCCTTGCATCTGTAGCTTACAACGAACCATGCACACGGGTGTAGAAGGCAACCTTCCCCACATGTACATTACACACTGAAGTGCTTGTAAATAGACGTCTTCCTCATCCTTCTCGACTTGACTTGACTTGACTTGCAAGGCTTGCCGTGTGCGTGTGACTTCCCCCGCAAACTGATCGTGGATCTGGAATCCGTGATTGCCGATGACGCCAAGCCACGCTGCTCCCCGCTCCGTCTTCCCCACATCGGCTCTTCTCGTGCGACTGTGGGGGGTCCGTCCCCTCATCGGATCTTCATTGGGAGGGACGGGGCCCGACTGGTCATGACTTGCCGCCCACGAATGACCATAAGCGCTTGGCCTTTGTGGGCCGTATGACTGGGGCTGTCCGTCCTACCATCTCCTTCTTGCTCCTGGGCCATCCATCGAGACGTCCCCGATCATGTCTCCGCTGCCTACCACCCCCTCCGAGATCTCAGGGCCGGAGTATCCAGTCCCTAGGGACATAGACGCCTTTGCCTACCTCTTCTCTTCTCACTTCAAGGATCTTCCCAACCCTAATCCAGACAAGTTCCCTGACCACACCTTTGATGGGAAAGATGTGGCCCCCTCACGGCCTACACTGGTGAATGGCGTAACGGGAGCTATACTGGGCAGACAGAGGCTCAAGGACGATGCCACCCGCCTGGCCATTGCTCTGCAGGCGCTCACTGGTCCAAGTCTGAAGTGGAGCGAGCAGAATGATGTGGGCAGAGCAATGCATTCGCCCCGTACGACCATCTTGATCCATCTGCCAAATTGTATTCCCTATGCGCCTCTTGTGGTTGGAGGGCTAAGAGCACACTGCACCGTCTGCCCCATCTCCAGCGTACTATCTGCGAACGAAGTGGCCTATATCCTCGCCAAAGCCCGTCCACGCGTCCTCTTCACATCCCTCGGCGCTACCGGAAAGGACACAGTGCTGCAGGCAGTCGAGCTACTCCGAGCCAAGGTGAATACAGGAGGAGCTCTGCAGGAGTGGGGTATCAAGGCAGATGGCAGACAAGCGAGTCTTGTTCGGGAGTGGCTCCACCAATGGGATCAAGATGCCAAGAAGCCAGCTGGAGCGGTCGGTAGTCGATTGTGGACTGTCAATGTGGCGGCAGACTATTATGGACGGCTGGGAACGGTCGCTGAGGATGATTGGACACAGTTGCTGAATCAGGAGCTCACGCCGGAGAACATGGCCAAGCTTCCTTCCACTACGATGACTGCAAGGGAACAGAAGGAAAGAACAGCTCTACTCCTTTGGTCATGTGAGTCCGAAAGAGCTTTCGACCGATAGACATAGACAGGCCTTTAGTGACCCCTACTTTGTGGCGCTTTCCCTCCCCTTCGTAGCTGGAACCACAGGCCTTCCCAAAGGCGTGCTCCTAGCTCATCGTTGTATTTTAGTGGCAAGTGTCGCGTCTTGGATGAGACCTCACGAGGTAGGCCCGTGGAGGGATGGCGGTGAGAGGTGGATCGCCTTGGCACCATGGTGTCACATCTGTGAGTACAAAGACATGACACATGTGAAGAGAGACACCCTGCGCCCGACATCTGACCTCGCCCCTGTTCGAATAGTCGGTCTCGGGACTTTCCTTCTCCCCGGTATCTGCCAAGGTGCTACCATGGTTCTCCCACCCCCCGGCCGCTTCGACTTGAGGACCTTCTTGGAGCTGTTGAGCAAGCACCGAGCGACGTGGGCGAACATTGCTCCTCCAGCAGTCGTGGCTCTCAGAAATACGCCCTTCTTGGACCCAAAGTCTCCTCAATATCTCTCGCATTTGGACTTCTCCTCTCTCAAGGGCTTCATGAGCGGGGGTGCGCCCGTCGCACCCGATGTCATCGTCGATGTCTGGAAGAGGACCGGAAAGTACGTCCAGATGGGCTACGGTGCTAGCGAGACAGCTGGGACCCATCAATGCAGACATCTCACCCTGACCGATGCCATTGGGAGCGCTTCCGAGCTGGGAAGCACGGGTGGCATGTTCATCAACGGCTCGGTGCGCATCGTACCTGCTGAAGGTCTGAGTAAAGATGAGATGAAGGGCAGGCATGCAGAGCTCGTGGAGATGTCCGATCTCAAGAGGAAGAGAGGTGAAGTAGCGCCCGTTGAGCCCTGCATGCCCGGAGAGGTGCAGATCATGTCGGAAGCACTGATGCTTGGGTACGCCAGCGGTCTCGGAAGTGATGAGCAGGATGAGCAAGGAAAACTTTGCTCTGCTGTTGACGCCAGCTTGAACGGGTTTAGCAAGGACGGGTGGTACAAGTCTGGAGACGAAGGCGTGCTTGATGCATATGGCAACCTGTGGATCATTGGCAGGACCAAGGAGACTTTCAAGGGTGCGTACAGTCAGGATATTGGCCAGATGTCGACGAATCACTAGGGTGACGTCCTAACACTTGTTTTGCTCCTGCCCTCCGACCTAATAGTAAAGGGCTTCCAAGTTGCACCGCCCGAGCTAGACGCTCTCTTCAGCAAGCATCCCGCCCTCGCCGACGTAGCCGCGGGAAGCTACCACGAGAAGGAGGAAGGGACCGACGTCGTCATTCTCTATGTGCAGCCAAAAGACGCCTCCATCGTCGCCGGGACGGACGCAGAGTACAAGCAGGCAGCTCTGCTGGCGGAGCTGGACGCGTGGGTGAAACCTCTCGTGTCGTACTACAAAGTCCCAAGATATTACGTCTTTACTGCTACAATTCCGAAGAGTCCTTCCGGAAAGGTACGTTTGCTGGCATGCTTGACAATGGCGACCAGAGTGAGAGCCACTACTGAATGATACTTTTGGTCCCAATCTCCGCCTTCAGATCATCCGCAAAGATTTGCACAAGATCGACAACCGTCGCCACGCTGCTCCAAAGGTATCCAGCCGCGCAAAGCTGTAGGCTGCAGCCGGGGCTATCACGAATTTTTTGTCCATACATGCTCTTCTGAAATTCACGTCATATCCATGCTTCCCATGAGGGCCCACTCGATGAAGTCTGCGCCTCCCTCACCCCTCACGAGCTCTTCTTGGTCGGCAGTGTCTCCCCTCGAGTCGTGGGTTCGTGAGACCGCCATGAAGCCGTCCATGAGCTTGATGTCATCTTCGGGCGCCTTATAAGCTAGTGTGGAGGGCTTTCGTCGAGCTGCGAAGAGAAAGTAGGCATCATCGCTTGACTCCTGCTCTTCCTCCCATTCTGCATCTTCCCTGCCGCTCGGCGCTGCTTGTGGGCCATCTAGATCTGCCTTGAAGGACCCAAAGCGGTGCCATGCACCCTCTCGTCGCTTCTCTCTCATGTCCTGTCTCTGACCGACGATGTCTCCCTTTGCCTGAGATGGAGGAGACTCCAGGGGCCAGGAGTACCGACAGCTGACGATCTCCACGTCGAACCAGACGCCGAGTGCGGACCAGAAAGCCTCCTCTTTGGCGTAAGAGCGGATCTTGTAGGCCATCAGAACTACAGGTCTCGAGGGTGCTGCCGTTTCAGGGCACTGCGACGGAATGTGGGAAGCGGCAGCAGAAGGATCGGTGAGATCAAGGAGAGAGCGCAACAGCGGCGGAAGCAGGTAGGGGAAGTAGACTAGGTCCGAGCAGAGGATGTAGTCCAAAGGCTGCTGATACAACTCTTTCTGTAGTATCGAAGCAGCGTGTGGGGCTGACCCCCATGGCAGCGGGCGGACGAGGACGTCTACGAAGCTCGAGCGCGATGTGGCAGCTTCTGTATTCCCACCATTTGAGCAGGCATCTGAGAAGCCTGCCAGCCGAGCATTGCGAATCATCAGCGGCACCACATTCTCCAGATCCGTCAGGACCAGGCGATCATTTCTCCGCGACTGCGACCCTGACGCCTCTCTGCTCCGGCGGTACCTGTCCAACTCTTGGGCACAGGAGAGGCCAACATAGCCTGCACCGCTACCGAGCTCGAGGATACGGAGAGCTGCATTAGCTGAACCCTCGATCTTGCTTCTGATCTCTTCATGGGGAGCGAAAAGAGGGCATGGTGGGTCAAACTCGACAGATTCCCGCGGTGGGCAGAGGTAGAGCTTGAAGAGGTAGGCCGCTTCCCAGATCCTCCCCGCAATGCCCCACTGCTCGATGTCTTCTGCAGAATCCTGCTGCCAGCGATCTTCAGCAACGAGCTCTGATGTCGAGGCTATCGCTGATTCATCTTCTCGGCTGCCAGCTGGTGCATGATGAGCCTGACTCTTGACTCTGTCCCAGCTGGGCGCGATGTCCAGATTGTCAGGGTGGTTCGGATCGTACTCCCATTCCGCCTGGTATGTGCGTCCTCTCCGCGAGCCCGGCATGACCCGAGCACTTAGCCGCACTCTTCCAAAAGCTCCAAGCGCAAGTCCAGTGTCCTAGGGGACGACAAAGAGGGATATCGATGAGACGAGCGAGGATGGTATGTGATCTACTCTACATGATGGACAAGAAATTGGGAAGAAGCGGAAGGGACAACTTTCGAAATTTGGATCCCCGACCTCGGTTCACCATCGGCCGATAGTCCAGAAATGTCCATGCTGTATCGCTCATGCCCAGTGTGACCGAATTTCTAGACCTCCCTGATACCACTGGCCTCGCACATCTTCCTGAACTCTCCGTCTGCCTTAGCGAAAAGCTCTGCAGGGGGTCCATACTCGAGCACGCGACCTTGAGACAATACCAGGACTTTGTCGTAGTCCAGCACGGTCTGCAGCCGGTGAGCGACGGTGATGACAATCGAGTCGCGCATCTCGCGAATGGCAGTCTGAATCGCAGCATCGGTCTCTGAGTCTGTGCTTGAAGTAGCCTCGTCCAGTATCACCACGCGAGCATCGCGCAAGAGGGCCCTGGCGAGTGACAGAAGCTGTGCCTCTCCAGCTGAGAAGTTGGCGCCCCCCGCTGCTACTGGGGCGTCCAGACTGAGTGTCATCACAGGAGGGGCAGAGGTGCCGGCCGAGTGAAGAGCTTCGCCTGCATCTTCAGCGTCTACATGTCGCAAGGCTTGCTCGGCAGCGGTGCGGTAAGCTGCCACCCGGACCCGGCGCAACGCAAAGAGGCATTCCTCATCTGTGCGCTCGTCGAAGGGGTCAAGGTTGGATCGGACTGTACCGCTGAAGAGGATGGGTGACTGGGAGACCAGTGAGATGCGACGACGTAATGTCTCTACATCCAAGGTTGAAATGTCTATACCGTCGATGATAATCTTTCCCGACTTCGCCTCGAGGGCACGAAGAAGAGCCGAGGCCATGGTAGTCTTTCCTGATCCGGTCCTCCCAACGATAGCTGTATGCTGAGTGGGGTCGATATCGATGGTGACGTCGTGCAAGACGTCAGGCAGAGTATCATCATAAGTCAGGCAGAGCTTGTCTAGATGTATGGAGCCCGAGCTACTTGGCCAAGCCGCTGGTGGTTGTTTGCCCTGACCGCCGGATTCGCTAGACTTCTCCGCAGGTAGCTCAAAGTACTCCGCAATCCTCTCGATGGAGTTCAGATTGTTGCTGAGATGCTTCCAATCATTACAGAGGTAGTATGACAAGACTGTCAGAAGCTGAGCAGATGTCATCACCATTCCCGCACTGCCAGCGGAAACAGCACCGGTCAATGCCAAGGTCGACACCAAGAAGACCGCGAATCCTCCCAGAATCTGTGAGCGGAAAGAAAGCCAGACCTCGATGGTACAGATGGCCCACCACTGAGCCTGGGTGACGTCCAGAATGGTGAGCATTTCATCCAAACGAAATCGCTCTGCTCCAAACGCCCGTATGGTAGTGACAGCTGCCATCGAGGATGCGAATACCGAGTAGAGAGGCGAGGTCGAAGTCGACTCGATCCTTTGCATGTCTCTAGTGCAAGCCAAGAAACCTCGTACGTAGGAGGGGCCCCAGGCGAAGAATATGGCGGCGGGTATCAAAATCGGCGGTACAATGACAGCACAAATGATCAGATGGCCAGTGAGAGCCATACTGTTGTTCAAGAAGTTGACGCTGCTCGAAGGAAGCTCTCTGTCCATGACACTGACGTCCTGGTTGAAGCGCTGCATGATTCGACCGAGTGGGTTGGTATCAAAGAATCGCAGTCTAGCTGCCAAGACCGCCGACAGCAGCCGGACATACAGCTTCTGAGAAGCTCGCAGCGTAGCCAGCCAGAAGATGATTGACTTCACTACACCAAGAACGACGATGGACAGACCAATGAGACCGTATGTGCCAAGGTAAAAGTTCTCGTGCCCTTCTGCAGGTGGCAGTTTCCCAATCAGGCCTGTGCGCTTGCCAGAAGAGCCACTTGCCTCTCCCCATACCTTCAGCCAGTATTGTTCTCCGGAGGCTACCAAGCGTAAAGCTACGCTCAGGACGATGATCAGAGTCCACATCAGAGGTGATGAGGCACCGATGTAGATGGAGTAGTATGACCACTTCACGCTCCCTTCTCTGCGCTTCTCCAGATCATACAGCAGCCGGACGGGCTTCTGACTGACTACAGTAGATGTGTCGGGGATGTCCGAGTCCACATCCTTTGTAGTGACCTTGTCTTGTGTCTTGGTAGACGTCACGGACGAACCTCGGCTACTGGAAGAGACATTGTCTACAGCATTGAGATCGATGTCCCTCTCCTCGAGAGCGCCAACCAGCAGACCTTGGGCTCTCAATTGGTCAACCTTGCCCTGCAAGCTGACCCGTCCCTCTCTGAGATAGACCAGATAGTCTGCAAGCTTGAGGACCGCTCCGACATGGTGTGTCACCAGCAGTATTCTTCGGCCTCTCCCAAGAGGCCCGTTGAGGGCATGCACTATGATGTGACGCTGGACATGTGCATCTACCGCGGCAAGAGGGTCATCAAGCAGCACAGTATGGGAAGGGGCATAGAGCGCTCGCGCCAGCCCGACTCGGGCTTGCTGACCACCGGAAAGAGTAGTGCTGCTGACTCGTGTCTCATCGCCATCGTCGAACAGTCGAAGATCGTCGAGAAGTGCGCAGGCGAACAAGACAGCCTTGTACCTCTCTTCATTGTATGGATTGTTGAAAAGGATGTTCTTCTTGATCGACTTACCGCCCTCTATCCAGGGTGATTGCGCTGCATACGAAAGACCGCTGCGTGCGCTCCCTCCCACCCACTTGGGTAGGATGAGAGAACCACGTGTCTGCCGTAGCTCACCCAGAATGGCGTGAAGTAATGTACTCTTACCGCTACCTGTCGGGCCAGCGATCACCGAGAGGCGTTGAGGCGGAAAGGAGACTGTAATGTCTCGCAAAGTACCTTTGGTAAGCGCTCCTTCGCTGAGCGATGTGGCTGACTTGGACCAGACAAAAGATCCGCCGATCACTTCAAGAAAGCTGTCGCTAGAGCTGGAGTGCTCAAAGACATCGGCAGGTACCGAGGGAGGAGACAACGTCTCCAAATTTGGTGAGGATAGGCCCGAAAGCGAGGAAACGAAGTCATCGACTTCTTCTTCTTCGAGAAAAGCTTCCAGTCGCTTAATAGAGACCATGGCATTGAGACCTGCCATTGCGAAGGCTGGTATAGCATTGAGCGGCGCTCTCACCATCGAGAAGAGGGTGACGGCGGTGAACGCAACGGGGACCGTAAGCTCATTACCCTGTACTTTGACGTAACAGAAGAAGCTGAACAAAGAGACTCCGATAGGCAGGGCAGCGAAGATGATGGTGAAGCCCAATTCCGTGAAGAGGACTCGAAGCAGAGCACTGATCTCTGCCGTTCTAGCGTCGAGGACCCTTTCTCGCCATTGAGCTGCGACGCCCTGCAGCTTGATGAAGCGAGCTGCGCTCAGAAGCTCCGTCACTAGACCCATCCTCTTGTCTGTTTTCGTCTTCCAGTCACGGGAAGCACGTACGCTGAAGCGTCCCTGGACGTAATTGATGGGCGTGGCAAGCACAAGCAGCGAGAAGCCAGCGAGAGCAGACCAACCGAGTAGCCTTGTGAGGAAAATGCCGGATATGAGAACCTCAGCTGGAGCTCCGTATAGCTGGTGAAGATCACATCCGAGTCTCAAGAGGACATTGACGTCTGAGCTCATCATGTTGACCACCTTGCCGATGTCTGCCGAAGGGCTAGCCGCCTCGGAAGATTGAGGCCCTGTCGTCTCTTTGTCTACCTCTTCTGCAACTGCCTCGTTCGTCTCTGCACCATCGGTACGCGGCGTAGCCTCTGCCTTCGTCCGATCTGCTCGCTTGAAAGCTTTTGCAGCTTTCTCCCTCAATCCGGGTGTAGGAGCCTTGTCATCACCGTTGGTTGTCAAAGCAACCTCGCCAGCAACGTAACGCCTCTTGAGCGCCTTCTCAAAGAGCTCTGCTACCATGACTGACCTGACCCGCAGACCAACTTGACGGGCGTGATGGAAATTGAGAAGCTCGGCAATATATCGCACAAGCGTCAGTAGAAGAGCTATCAATGCGAAGACGAATGCTCTTGACCGAGGTGTCCATTCTCCCGGCGCTCGCTCAACGTGACCGTCCTCCTCTGCTGCCTTGCCGATCGCTTCGAGAATTTGCCGCATCAGAGCTGGTGCTGCGTAGGATAGTGTGACCCCAATGACCTTGTAGACGGCATCCAGTGTGACATCCCTGGCATTTGCTGCAAGGAGGCGAGAGGCGACACCTCGGCGTTTACCTTTGGAATTGTACTGCGTCGTTCTGAATTTACTAAACAGCATCCGTGTGTCATTGATACATCTCAGTCTCCATAGATCCGATGGGAGTAGCGGGCGTTGAAGGGCGAGGTTCTGTATTCCTGCCATCCATCGATAGCTGAGAGTAGAAGCCAGGGAGGTGTAGTCTTCAGGCGTCGTGGGGCATAGCTACACGCGAATATCACGGTGCACAGTGGTACGCTGAAACAGTCAGCTCGATTCGAGTACTGCAAAGGTGCCACTAGACTCACATCGTAGTTGTCTGCCATATCTTCCTTCTCTTCGACTACGGTGCCTGCTATGACCCTATTTCTCTCTTCCTCATCTACCGTGGCTTCCCAACCTCCTGCCATCACGGGCATCAGCATTACCAGACTCAGGATGATCGCTAAAAGAATGAGGTCCAGCACATGGCCCAGCAGCTTGGCCACAGGTAGCGTGGCAAAGGATGTGAATCGCGGGGTCTCTTGCAGCAGAGAGACGATTGCTGAGGCAAAGAGCAAAGCCAGAGAGATGAGCGAAGACAGAGGCGCTGTCTGAGGTGGCGACGCTATTAGCGAGGTTAAAGTAGCTAGCTGGTAATGCAAAGAAGGCAGGCGTGGGGATAGTCAGCACATTTGTCTGGATATACGACTGTTGTCAGCATGACTCACCCAAGTCATCGAAGTGGCCAAGCCTCTCATCCAATTGCGACTGTACCCAGTCACTATGCTCCAGCCTATCAGCTCCACCAAACTGAGCAAGAGGATGTACCTCAGCCGTCTGCTCTGTCTGGCGAAACCCTCCCGGCCCAGCCTCACAGGCCTCCCTGTCCTCTTCTCCACCGCTAGTGACCTCTTCTCGGCGACCTCTTGAGCCTCGTCATCGGAGACAAAGGCTGGTATCAGCGCCCGACCTTGAGGGAGCCATGATGTGAGAGCTGCAGCGAGCGCTACGAGAGGGATGTAGGCAAGGGCCGCGGAATCGAGGGGGTTCAGCTCATCGCGAGACGCGATGAAGGCGTAGAGAGTGTCCATGGTGAGGACTGTAGCAAGGCTGTGAGACTCTCTGCCAAGCCATCAGGGCCTCATGAGGAAGTAACGGCGGGTATATAGGGTGAAAGGTGCAAGCAATACGATGGGAGCATAGGTGGCACGCCCAACGGAAAGGGGCCGGAGACAAGCACCTCCACCAGTCATTCTCCGACGAGGGTGCTGAGAATCTCGGTGGTATTGATGGAGTGAAGCGAGGGAGAAGAGAGAGCATAGAATTACAATGACAACGTGTGACCTTTCAGCAGCGCTCAGAAGGATGACATCTTCTTGAAGATCGATTCGCCATCCTCTTGGTATTCTTCGGCAGATACTGTTGGAGAGCAGACACACGTAGGGAGTGAATGTCAGGAAGATCGTAGGAGTCGGATACTCTTCGTGTATGACTTACCCCACATCTGATCAGCGCAACAGGATAGCAAATGCAGTACAGCGTCAGCAGAAAATCGTATAGAAGGTGGAACGTGCTCTTTGCAACATACCTTCTTGAAGGTGCTAAGCCCAGCGAGGATACTTCCACCGATCCATGTTGCGTACTTCCGCTCCGGAGGTGCGTAGATCTTGATCTTCATGTCCCTCAGAGCCAGCTTCTTCACTTCATACAGCAGTCTGTCTCCGAAGCCCTTTGTCAGAGTAGTCCCACCACTCAACACAATGTTGCTGTACAGGTTCTTCCGCAAGTCGAGATCTGCTCTATTGATGCTGTCTACGACGAGTTGATGTACGCCTGGGTATTCCGAACCAATGAGCTCAGGGTTGAAGAGTATTTCAGGAGCGAGATGACGCTCTGCTCCCAGCTACATGATGAGACCACGCGTACGTAGGCAGGGTTGTCAGTACCTTGTGGCCATGCGGACACGGTCGCATTTTCGCTCACCTTGATGACCTGCCCGTCTGGCAGCTTGAACTCCTCTGTCGGCCGCATAGAATCATCTTTGCTGCTGTTGCTACCCGACGTGCTCCTAACATAGCATCCTTCCTCCTTGAGACCCCTGACCACCTCCTTCTCAGCGCTCGTCTTCATATCGTATCCCGCTCCTCTCATCAGCAGCTGTAGGTGATCAGTGACGTCCCTGCCTGCTAGATCAATTCTCCGAATGGCATTCGGCATCGAGAAGCCTTCGAATACCGGCACCGAGTGTGTGACGCCATCTCCAGAGTCGAGCACCAGTCCCGTTGTGCGTCCGGAAGAGTAGCTGTGCGAGGGATCCGTGTCAGCGTACAACGCATCGATGTATCAAAGCCCTTCACTAGCGACTCACAGACTCAGTACTGCCTGTATACTAGTGAACAGAGCTGGCACGTTGAACGTCTCAAAGAATATCTGGGCTGCAGTCGCGCGATTCGACCGCGGGTTCAGAGGTGCCTCTGTGAGAAGGACCGGGTGCTAGAGGGGCAGAGGACAAGAGAGTAAGCATGACTCGCTCGCCAGCTGCGATTTCATGGACAGACTCACCTCTTCACTTAATGTCCTGAGTTCTTCGCTGTACGTCCAAGCCCATATCCTCTCCATATCCTCCCAATCCGTCACGATCCCATGCTCTACTGGATACTTGATCTTGAGCAGGCCCCTGAGCTCCTGTGCCCTTCTGCCAATGAACATGTCTCCCTCGACCGAGCCTGCCATACAGCGCACATGCTTCGGCCGTCCGACACATGATGGGAAGTAGCATGTGGGGAGGGACGACCCGGCAAAGCCTGCTTTCAGCGTGCCAGAGCCCTAGACGCAGGGAGACAGACCGGGGAGACAAGGTCAGCTCTAGCTCTCAAAGGTACGTGGGAGCGCCGTCTCTTATGCTCACGTTGTCGAGGACGACCGGCTGATTAGTGAGGACGTCGTCATATTCGGACGGCATCGATGCGAGGAAGGAGAAGCTTCGGTGATGGTGATGAGGAGGCGAGGGTACGGGAAGACGGAAGAGTGGCTGCTGCACAAGGGCGCTTCGAGTCCAACACCTCGCTCACGCGCAAAGCGGGGACGCTCGGGCGCAAGTCACCAGCACTTCCTCCTCTGGTCAGCCTCGCTGCCAATAGTCACACCAGTAGGATGGTCAATGAGGTCAGCGACTCAATTTCTGTCTCCTTCGGTGATAGCTTGCTCCGACCTTCTGACATTGCTGTGAGCAGAGCGCATCCACTGTCTCCGGGGTTGTCTGCTCCGAGCTCACATACTGACCTGCGCTTAGGCCTCTGGTCGATGTCAACGTCTCGTGTGCAGACGTTGGAACAACGCGGCTGGCTCAACGACGCAGTAATCAGCTTCTACTTTGAGCTACTCGGTTCTGTTATCAGGGAAGCGCGAGCCGAGGCGAGATGTCAGCTTTACATGCCATGGGCTGTGGGCATGATGACAGAGCTTGCCGGAAGTGCAGGTGAGAGCGAATGTAGATGAGAGCGTACTGAAGGCTGCTTACACTCACTCACATAGCGCCATATTCTTGTCCTAGACGCAGACGCCCGAAATGCTCTCCCTCCTGTGGACGCACACATGCTCCTCTTGCCTAGTCAGTCAGACCTCAAGGAGTATTACCATCATCGTGAGGCTGACTTCATCTTTCTTTGCTTTTCGACCACGGACCTAGTCAACGACGCGTTCGCACACGGGCCATCTGACATACCGAATGCAGGGTCTCACTGGTCCACTGTGATCGTCAGAAGAGAATCAGGAGGCTTCTCTGGCATGAAGATCGATTCCCTCGGCACCGCAAACGACGCCGCGGCTGGGTCAGTGATCAGAGCTTTCGAGACCGTACAGGGAGACAACATTAGATTGATAGACGAGGTACAGGTAGCACAGATCAACGGTCGGTCCACCGAGGAGTCTCTGAGCCCCACACTTCGCTTACTGTACATCCTGTCATCCCCGCTCTTCCACTCCCTCGCCAGGCTGGGACTGTGGCATCTACGTACTCATTGTTGCATCGCGCCTCGTCAAAGCTGCGTGCGCCTCTGAAAGCCGGCCCGTCGACTACGCAGCCATCACGCCGAGCGCAGTCGCCTACTTCCGAGGTAGTCTTCACCACTGGCTTTCGAGATGGGCAGTAACGCTGATCGGGGCTCAGTCTTACCATTCGCTAGCTCAAGTGGAGGCACAGATCGGCAGCATGCCAAGGTGAAATCCCGTCATCTGCTACCGGTCACATTCGTCAACGTGCATCTCCTCTGTACGCGGTATGTCCAACAACGATTGAGCGAACATGCGCAAGAAGCGCAGGCTCTCTTTGAATATATCTCATCATCGTCACCTCCTTCCTCCAGACCTCCGTGGAGTGTCACAGATGGAAGGTAGGGGCTTTTTGTTGGCTGAACATTTTGACCCTGCTCACCTACGAGGCTGGAATTGAAAGGACCCGCACAAGAAAGGCAGAAGGAGAACTCTTGTCAGAGCTTCCTCTACCCTTCCGTGAGAGTCCTACAAACTCACTCGAAAGTGAGGCCTGTAAAGTGAGAGGGCTTCGATAGAGCCGGCTTTGGTGGGGTGGAGGGATGTGGAGGGATGGAGTCCGCTTCTATACTTCAGCAGTCAGACTATCACACAATGTGTGTGAATCGATTATGAATTGTATTGCGGGGTGCAGTACCCATCTATACCCTACAGCTTTACGAGAGCGACATACTGCTATCGTCTATGAACCTGTCCGTAGTCGCAAGCCTTGTGGATTTGATGAGAATGCTGGTATGTTTAGTGAGAGAGGGCTTTTGACGTATGCTGAGATGCTAGAGTTGTTGAGATAAATATCGGCCGCAGAGACCTTTTAGACCGAGACGATAGGCTGGATGCCGTTTTCTGCAGGCTCAGCAGCGACAATGTCGACCTTGTCCTTCTCTTCATCTCTCCTGGCCAGCTCTGCTTCACGCATCTTCTTCTCAGCCATGCGCTTGAGCTTGAAGTAGTCCGCGTGCAGACCGCATTCAGACTTGCCGCCCTTGTCCTGCCACCTTCCGCTGCGCTCGCCCTCGGCGCTGTCGCCGCTGGGAAGGGCAGTTGAGTGCCAGTCTCCGATGGACTTGTAGCCCATGTCGAGAAGCTCGTTGTAGGGCACAGCGTTCTGCTTGACGTAGGTGTCTACCTGCTGGAAAGACCAGTTCAGGAATGGGTTGACCTTGATCAGGCCGGTCTCGTCTACTTCGACTGCGTTGAGGTTGGCGCGGTCCTTGCCCTGTGAGCGGCGACGACCGGTGAAGACGGCTCGGACGCCGAGCTCCTCGTATGCTCTCCGAGCGGGCTCGACCTTGACAAGGTAGTCGTATGTCTCCTCGTCTCGGTCCCAGAGCTGGGAGCCCCACTTCTTCTCGAATTCGGCTACGTTCGCAGTCTCAGGGGGAGTGTAGACGTGCATAGGTGCGTCATAGTGCTTGGCGGCCTTATTGGCCAGCTCAATGGTCTGAGGGAAGTGGTAGAGGGTGTCGATGAAGATGAGGGGCACGAGGTGACGGTGGGGCTGTGCGAGAGGAAAAACAGGAGCCGAGGCGTGAGCGGGCTGTCGTCGCGTGCCAAAGCCGTGGGCCCCTAGGTTTTGCTTCCGATTCCGACTTACCTGTCCTGTAGCCTTGGCCCTCGCTTCGCTAATCCTGGAAATTTGGTCAAGACTGACGCATCCTGTCACACCAAAGGCGGTAGTCTGGTAGAGACCAGGTAGATTGTCGATGGACCACTCGAGGATCTGGAAGGGGTCTGCTGCCTCCAACTGCTTATTGATCTGCTCCAGGTTTTCGACCACAGACTGGATGCGGGCGTCGTCCGCAGCCTTGCTGCTAGACTCGGCGTGTTGCTCCTGGGGTTGATGCATCTTTAACAAAGTGATGCGAAAGGGAAAGGTGATGGGAGGGGAGATTCGTAGTTGTGGATAGAGGAGAAGGATTGATATACAAGACGCAGGACTCAGGGTGAGTGGAAATAATCAGGACCCAGCCTTTGCCTTGGCTTACGGGGCCGGGCAATGAAGAACCTCGCCGTCGATGTCGTGATCACTCCAAACTCCGGAATGCGTTAACCCCGACGCCACTTCGGCCACGTGGTGGCAGTCAAGCCCGCGTCACCGCCTTCGCTCCACACGCGCGCGAACTGGAGTCGGACCAGTTCGGCAACCCGGGCGCAATCCTCGGCAACGATGGCTCCAGATCTTCTGAGCGCTTCTACTCTCCTTATCGCCGTGCTACAACCATTCCCTACTCCTTGCTCAATATGTCTGTCAAAGTTGGTGAGTCACGGACGGTAAGGCTGCTAAGCATGCTCAAGCAACTGTCAGCTGACCCAGGTATCCTCGCTTCCTACTTGGTACTTTGCAGGAGACACTATCCCTGATGCCACCTTCATCGAGGTGCCGTACAGCCCAGAGCTCGAGTCGCTAGGAGCATGTGGCATGCCAGTGCCCGCTCAGCTGCACAAGGAGCTCAAGGGAAAGAAGGCAGTGATCATTGCCATTGTGAGTGAAGCATCCGCACTCCTTCTGATGCAGGAGCTCTGTGTCTCACCCCTTCGACTCTTTGTCCTCCTACTCCCACTCAGCCCGGCGCCTTCACTCCTACTTGCCATGTCAACCACATCCCTGCCTTCATCAAGCAGGCCAATGAGTTTAAGACAAAGGGCTACGAGGTATACATCATTGCTGCCAATGATGCATTTGTCATGAGCGCCTTCGGCCGGGTCTCCGGCGCCAAGGAAGGTGTTCACTTCGCCAACGACTCCGGCTTGGCCCTCTCTCAGGCTCTGGGAGCCACCGTTGATCTCACCGCAAGAGGAATGGGAGTCAGGACCGGAAGGTACGCTCTCATTGTAGACGACTTGAAGATTACTCATTTCGCCAACGAGCCCAACCCAGGAGAGGTCACTGTGTCGGGTGCTGATGCTGTCTTGGCCCTGATCTAGATGTATGGTCAAGAGATAGACGAAGTCGTTGTTGTAGAGTCATCACAAGCCGCATAGATGCTTGCAGTCTCTTTGTCGGTCTAGGTTGTTCAAACATTCACATCCAAAATATAATCTTATTGGCTATAATGTTCATGCTGCTGAGTCTAAAAGAGGAAGCGGAATCGTGCAGAGGTGCTATATGGTACATGTTGGAGAAAGTGCGGTCCAGAGAAGAAGGGAAGTTCAGTCGTCAGACTTGGTCGGACTAAGCAGTGGATGCGTAGGTAGAACGCTGCCTCAGCCAAGGTCCGAATCTGTAGAACAAGAACGGAGCGGGAATGCCCAGAACAGCCGTAATGGCTGCCAAAAGCAGAGTGCCGTAGTCATAGCCTAGTCTGTCAAAGAGGCTGGGAGCAGCTAGAGGCAGACCGAAGCCACAGAGTGAGCGGCAGAGACCAACTGCGGAAAGAGCCGACGCAGCGAAGACGTTGTAGAAGTCGACTGTGTAGTTCTGCAAGCAGAGGAAGACACTCATCATCCCACAGCCGAAGATGAAAGCACCGATGTTGGGTACCAGCCAGAAGACTTTGTACTGCACCGTGAAGCCGAAGAGAATCAGACCAATCGGGATGAACCAGGCACCCACGAACATGACGGGCAATTTGTGCTCAGGTGTCCCGACGCCTCCGTTTCTTGCCTTGAGGCGTCTGTAGATGATGTCAATGACCCGACCACCAACCTGACCGCCAGTTGTAAAGCCAAATCCTAAGCTGATATAATTGAGAGAGGCGATGAAGGTGCTCTCGTTATACTGCTCTATGAAGATCGAGTTGAACTCGGTCAACAAGAGATACATTGTCCCGTAGATGAGACTCATGTAGGTCGCGAGGACGAGGATGATTGGTTGAGTCGTCAGGAGAATGAAAGGGCGCGATAGGTTGACCCTGAAGCGAGCCCGCCATGAGAGAGCGCCAATCTGGAAGGCTGTATGTAGCTTGTCGTTGCCTGTCTCTTTTCGCAAGCGAGCACATTTGGCGGCTAGGATCTGAGGTGCGTACGTCTCACGCAGGAAGAAGATGCCCAGGATGGCTGGAGTGGCCGACACAATCGTCGCGATGCCGAAGATCCAGCGCCAGCTGCCCACATACTGTGTCACAGCAGCGCCGATGATTGGGCCTATGACTGGGCCAAGCAACGGAGCCAACGAGTACATAGCCATCGCCTTGCCTCGCTCTTCGGGCACGAAGAGATCGCCAACGGTTCCGCCTCCCGTCGTCAGAGGTGCAGAGCCTCCCAGACCAGCCAGAAATCGGAAGGCGGTGAGCTCGCCTTGTGTCTGAGCAAGCGCACATGCCATTGTCCAAGCAATGAAGAAGACATTGGAGAGCTGAATGACCGGCCGCCGCCCAAACATTTCCGAGAGAGGTCCGAGGAAAAGGGGACCGAATGCGTAGGCAAGGACGAACACCGACAGAACCAGATTCTGAGTGATGGAGCTGGTGATGTTGAGCTCCTGAGCGATGAGTGGTAGCGCTGGAGCGATCATGCTGGAAGACAGCGGCGAGAAGAAAGTAAAGGAGCTGACGAGCACCATGATGGCCCATTTCCGCTTTCGTGGCCAGTTGCGTGGATTTTCCTGCGAATCCGGAGAGTCCCAAGTGACAAGGTTCGGGTCTTGTGGCTGTTTTTCGTCTGTGTTGGAATGCTTTTCGTGTACACTGCCTTGTTGCTTCTCAGGATCAGCGTGCGTAGCGGCAGTCTGACTGCTAGCGTCATCCGACAAAGAGGTCGCAGTGGCTGCCTGCAGGCCATCGCCACCCTCCCGAGCATCCTTCAGCTCGTGCTTCTCCCTCACTGTCGCTTCGAAGTCCTGATTGTCGTGCTCTACTGCTCCCTCCGGTATGTCCTCACGCCCACCTTGTGTCCATAGACGTGAGGCTGCCCGAGGCCGCTGTGATTGAGCGCTCTGCTCTGAGGAAGCTTGGGTCTGCGGATCAGACTTTCCGCCAGTGCGAGGAACGCTCGCTTTCGCTGCCTGGTAGGAATTTTGCCTCGAAATCGACGCTAAGCCGAGCTCGCCATCTAGGCTAGCAGCGTCCGCATCATAAGCCTCCCTCAAACTGTGTGTTCTCTGTAGACCGAGGGCACTAGACCTGCTATAGCTTCTGGCATGCGAGCGGCCGGGTCGCGCATCAAAGGCCGGGGCGATGTGAGCCTTGTGGCTTGAAGTGGATGCCTCAGTGTTCCGCGACATAGAGCCTTTAGCTCGTTACAGCAGACAACGAAATGAAGAAGAGTGAGACTGAATGATTGAGTGAGAGAGTAAGACAGAAAGGTAAATCGAGTCAATTCAAATCACACTATGCCTTCTACCCAGCCACGATCCTGTATGGAGTAAGGCGATAGCGGCAGGGCCGACGTTTGTCCGAAGCCGGGGCACAAATGCGACATGACCAAAGACTTGGACCCGCCCGCCGTCAAGCCGACGATCGGAGATTCGGTCATCTGCGAGCCTAAATCCGAAACCCTTTCATGTCTCTACGACTTCAGAGCAAGGAAGTAAGATGACCGGGTCGGTCTAAAAGCACATTGATAACAAACACATGGCACATGGGAGATGCACAGGAGGATCCTGAGATCAGCGTCGGCGGAGCAGTAAGCGACGTGTGCCGCTGTACCATGCCGGACGCGCTTCCCGCGAATAGCGTTCGGCGGTAATAGGGCGAAGTAGGCACCACTGCCGCCTTTGCCTTCGTGAGTCATTAAAGACGTACTTCGCTTCCGAACCTTACCTCAATGTGTGATGTGTGGCCGACTAGATCTGACGCTGACCGAGGCTTGGGCGGGTCCACTGTCGCGAATCGGCGGCGGCGACTGGTCCAGCTCCTACCCCGCAAAATCCGGTCCTTCTCCACTTAGCTTAGCAGCGAACCCTGCAGGCGGCCTTTGCACCCTGGCTACACCGATACCCCACACACTTTTTGTTCGGCCCTTCGAGGACGTTTAGCTCCTTTACGTTAGTATCCAAACAATCAAAGATGGATCCAACTAATCTCCCTCCTCGCTCGACGCCGCATTGGGCTCTCTACCGCCGGGAGAAATTCGTAGAGGCGACTCGTGATGGCCAAGAGCCGCCTTTCAGCACGCACCCCGATGAGCTGGAGCGCCTGGCCAAGGAAAGGCTCTCTGCGACGGGGTGGAGCTATGCTTCGTGCAATGCCGGTCTCGGAGACACTCACAAGTCGAATCGAGATGCCTTCAAGGACTGGAAGATTGTCCCTCGCATGGGCGTAGACACGAACGCTCGCGACACCACTACCGAGATCTTTGGCAGGAAGCTCTCCGTCCCCATCGGGATTTCGCCTGTAGGACTGAATAAGGTAAGCCCCACAACGGACACTCTAAAACTCATACGCTTTGACAATGACTGACTGAAGCTTCTATGGATCTCGCCGATCTCGCAGATCTACCACCCAGAAGGAGAGCTGCCTGTGGCACGTGTGGCCGGCGAGCTCGGAATCCCCTACAGTCTCTCCACTGCAGGCTCTGTTCCTATCGAGGAAGCCGCGGCTCACAACGTCCAGGGCGCCGCCAAGGGTATCGAATCCCAGTCAGGAGCCACAGACCCCAACGGTCTGAGGTGGTTCCAGCTCTACATTCCTAATGACGATGAGCTGTGTATCAGCTTTCTGCAGCGCGCTCACGACTCTGGCTGGGAGGCAGCAGTCTGCACATTAGACACCCCGATGCTCGCGTGGCGACACCAAGACGTCGCCATTGGGGCATATGCACCTTACAAGGGTGTCACTGGCCACGAGATCGGTCTTTCCGACAAGGTTTTCCAGCGTCGTCTAGCTGCGCTCGGCATCGATCCCGTCAAGGATCCCAAGGCCGCCGGCAGGAAGTACATCGACACGGTCTGGCATGGGCACACTTTCGATTGGGAGCGCGTCAAGTGGGCCAAGGAGCAGTGGCACCGCATCTCTGGCAACAAGCCCTTCCTAGTGAAAGGTGTCCAGTCAGTCGAGGACGCCAACAAGAGTCTCGAGATCGGATGCCAGGGTATCGTCGTTTCCAACCATGCCGGTAGACAAGTCGACGGTGCTGTCGGCTCGCTCGAGGTGCTGCCCGAGATCGTCGATGCTGTAGGCGACAAGCTCACAGTCTGCTTCGACTCAGGTGTTCGAGGAGCTAGCGACGTCTTCAAGGCACTCGCCCTCGGCGCCAAGCTGGTGATGATTGGCCGACTGTGGATCTTTGGTCTTAGCATCGGTGGAGAGCAGGGAGTGAGACACGTCTTGAAGAGTTTGCTGGCAGAGTTCGACATCTTGATGAACGTGGGTGGTTTCAAAAGTATCAAGGACATCGATCGATCCGCTCTGAGACACAAGAAGCAGCTGGGTCCTCGTCTCTAAGATGCAACACAGCCGGCACATGTATTGTCCTCGAAGCGTCAGCTCAACGACAGATCCTTTCGCGCAGCCGCGACTGTCTCTTGCAAATCCGCAGAATGCGACTCTATGTATTGATTGACGTGCCACACACACAAGCTCTTTGATGATGGAGGGCTAAGAATATTTCGCCAGTGATAATAACTGGTCGCAGTAGGAACGCCACACGCTCAAAGTAAGCGGCTCACGCATCTGGGTTGTTAGCCTTGCTGGTAGCCTCCGCTTGCTTCCTCAGCAGCACAGGTGTGTCGTCCCTCTTCATGAAGATCTCCACCAATTGAATAGTCTCGGCCTTATTGAACTCCTCGTTCTTGAGCAACGCATCGAGTTCGCTCTTCGTATGGACTGCGTGATAGGCCTTCTTGGATGGCTGAATGTCATGCTGATGAGAAGGAGGTGTGCTCTCCTTTGCTTCATTGTACACATTGCGACGCGAAGAATTCGGCGCAGAGAAGGCGTCCAGAAGGAGGGAGTGGTTCCATGTCGATACATTGTTGTAGGAGCGTTGAGGGCCGTGGACTGCAATACTCTTATGTCAGTGTGATGTTTCAAGTCATCCCGCCTGGGTTCTGCCTGCCGTCTGTATACTCACTTTCTCTCTCAATCTCGTACCCGTCGTTCGACAAGATGAACAAGATCGGGGTGAGGCCCTGTCGAATCATCGTTCCGATCTCCTGTGCCGTGAGCTGGAGGGATCCATCGCCGACGAAGAGACAGGTCCTACCAAGCTTCTCCTCCTGTGCAGCCAGCGCCACGCCCATGGCGGCTCCAACACTCCACCCAATAGATCCCCAAAGAACTTGGGAGACGAAGATAGATCCGGCAGGCAGACGGGCTTGAAGCATACCGAAGGAGCTGGTTCCCGTCTCGACAATGATTTGGTCTTTGCTGCGGAAGAATTGACCGAGTCGTGGCCAGAGATAGGCCTGTGAAATAACATCCGGGTCATTCTTGGCAGCCTCGCCTTCTTCCTCCTGAGTAGGAAGTCTGTTTGTCGGATTCGACACTGTTTTAAGAGTGTAGTCGAGGCGTCCCTTGTGGTCTGCGGCCAAGGCAGCTGAGATCTTGGGAAGCAAAGCTTTCATACCTACCGAGGGGTAGTGGGCGTAACCAATCTGAACGCGGTTCGAGTGCAGGTGAATGGAATTTGACGGCAGCTTATAGCTGAAGTTGCCTGAGTTAAAGTCCGAGAGGAGAGCTCCGATGCTGATGACACAGTCCGCGGCATTGAATCGTTCCTTGATGTCTGGAGCTGTGATATCGCCCACGTAGATGCCACCGTACTGTTTGTGCTCCTCGTTGATGGCAGTCTTGCCCATTGGCGAACTGAAGACGGGCAGACCCGACTTTTCCACGAGCTCATAGGTCTCGTTTACCACGCCGTGACGAATGCAGCATGCATCAACGAGAATGACTGGGTCCTTTGAGCCTTTCACTCGGGAAACAATCTCGTTCAGCACGTGCTCCTCTTCTTTGGCCTCATTTGAGATAGGGCTGAGATCGAGGGGCGTCGAGAGCTTGGCCGAGGGCACCTTCGTGTGCGTCCTATCGGTTGGGATCGAGATGTACACTGGACGAGCCTACGGTATGGGATGCGGGGATGAGAGGGTCAGCAAACCATTACAGAAACAAGAAAGAATTGGGAATCTGGCCCGTACCAACCTCCTTCACACAGATGCTCAGTACTCGATCGATCTCCCTAGGGGCCTCCTCCGGCCTCAAGTTGCCCAGCTCCACCATCGCAGCAGAGATCTGCTTACTCATGGCGGTGAACGCCTCGAAACGTCCGTCTCCGAGGGTGTGGTGCAGTAGGGCATGCTGGCCCTGAGCCGAGGTGGAGGGTACACCCACGATGTGCACGACTGGCAGTCTCTCCGAAAAGGCACCAGCAATACCATTGAGAGCGCTCAGCTCACCGACTCCGAACGTCGTGACCACGGCAGCGATGGTTCCCTTGATCCTAGCATACCCGTCAGCAGCATAAGCAGCATTCAGCTCATTGGCATTGCCGACCCACTGCAACTTAGGATGATCCTCGATAAGGTCCAGGAAGGACATGTTAAAATCGCCTGGCACACCGAGACAGGAGCGCAACTTGAGTTGCACGAGCCGCTCCAGGAGGTAGTCACCGAGCCTGATTTCGTCCGCCATGGTGAGAAACAGTCGCAAGGTGAGGGTTGGAAGATGGAAGATGGGTGAAGGAGGACTCGAGGGTACCAAAGTATACAGAAGGGGCGAAGGGGATAGGCGAACAGGAAGAGGATCAGACAGAAGGGTCATTCGGCGGAGACGTGCCGGGCCGCCGACGACGCCGAACGTGGAGGCGGGTCAAATGGCGGGCCAATTCGCGGCTCGGGACGGAGCTCACTGCCCAGGGAGCGCTTGTGTACATTGCGAGGCCCACGAGCACTATTTACAGGGCCAAAGTATTCTCGCTCTTCACCCGCCAAGCTCTCGTCCGATCAGTCTCTCCAACGTCGTCTCCTTGAACCACCCATCTATGCCGACTTGCTCCTCTAGTCCACGGAAGAGGTTGTCTTCGTTGATGCCGTACGTCGTGAACAGGCAGTCGCGCGGCACCCAACTAGGAGGCGCTTCGACTGAAGAGGCGGACTGTGGTACACTGCCCTCTTCTTCAGCGCTTGTGCCCTCCGTTGTTGACATTGAGTTGTTTGCGGAATGGCCAGGCGTGCCAGAGGACCGCTCTAGGATCGCCGATAGGGGGGTTGCTGCGCTCTTCGGCGAGGTCGGTGTAGGCAGAGAGGCTACGACCTGAGCACTCGCTGGATCCTTTGCACTGGCAGGCGCAAATTGCAGTCCTCGATACCACACAGCCAGCGCAGCTCGATTCCTGCCCTGTAAGATCGAAGACAGCTCAGCCGCATCAGGCGCGTACAGCCGCGAAGAGAGGAGGGTGACCAGTGCGAGGCAGATGCGGAAGATGAGAGAGTCGCTTTCTTCGAGAAAGATATTGTCCCACAGTCTACACACGACGTCGAAGGGTAGAAGTGGAACGAAAAGGAGTCGTACCCAGTCCCGCGCATATGCTGAGGGTCGGACGCCTCGCGCCTGCATGTTGGCGTACACCTGATCAGTGAATACGGACGGGTAAGAGGGTCAGCCGACTTGTCGTTAGGCGAGCTTCGCGTTGGCATTACTCACCTTGGGCAATTGGTCAGCCAGAAACGTATCAAGGACTCTCTCGAAGGCTGCGCTCTCCTTCAGATGCTCCGTGTCCACGGAGTAGATGCTTCTGAGCCAGGCCTTGGAGGCGACGAGATTCAAGACCGCAACGAGTGTCTCTGCCTGCGACAAGTTCAGCAGAAGCGTCGCACAAAGGAGTGAAAGACCCGAAACGTAGAGTTGGGGGGTAAGGGCTGCCTTGGCTGCCTGTGAGAGACCATTGGGAGCCTTGTCTCTCTTTTGATGATCCGCGCCTTTGTCCCCCTTGCGGTCGCGCTCTTTTGCCAGCTCTTCTGCTTGGCCTGCACGAATCAGAACAAGGCAATCGAGGACTTCTTTGAGGTCATCGTACAAAACGCCTCCTTCACGTTGGAAGAGTTTCAAGCTCGGCAGCGTACGATCGATGTCCTGCTCAATCTCTGACTCGATGTCTATCTGTTCATGCTGCTCCTTGTCGCAGAGAGGGTTGGTAGGGGGCCATTTGCCGCTGCTTTTGAGGTCGGCTACCCTAGTCTTGGTCGTCTGACACAGGTTCCTTGGCAGCATTTGAGCATTGCCAATCGCCAGTTGCCAAGCCTTGCCCCTCAGAGCAGGTGGCGATCCTTTCCACCAATACTCTCTGAGGCGCGTTGAGCTCCGAGCGACGCGCCAGTCCTTCAGGATCTCACTCTCCCACACCTTGATGGCCTCGCGCTGCTCCTCCTCCTTCTTACGCTGGCGCGCTTCATCCTCCTTCGCCTTCTTGGCCTCGGACAGCTTGCTCTCTTTCATCATCAGCTCGAAGTCTTTCAGATGACGCTGATCCTCATTGCGAGCCTTGGGAGGTAGAGTAGTCTGTCTTGTCCGCGAGATGTGAGCTTCGAGTGCTGAAGGCCCTCTTGATGGTTTCCGGGCGTGTCCGCTTGCTTGTGAAGTGGAAGCCTCCTTGAGTATTGGGCCGGCGGATCGTCCTCCTGTGGATTTGCTCGTTGTTGCTGACGTAGAAGGAGTGGCTGGAGCAGGGCTGCTTTCTGAATCTTGTGCATCCTCAAGTATCGGTCCAGCTGATCTGCCACCTCTGGACGAAGAAGACGTCGCAACGGTATCGCTTTGCGTCTCTCGATCTCCAGATGTTGTCTCAGGAGAGACACTTGCATCACTCAGTAGCGGTCCAGCTGACCGGCCGCTCCTCTGAAGCTTCACGGCATTCTGCATATCGGTTCCGTCTGTGCTTCGATCAGCTGCAGTCGAACCACCCTCTGCAGATACAGCAGCTGCGCCGTTTGGCTGGTCTTCGATGTTTTGGCTTTGTTCGGATACTGCAGGACCTTCCGAGCCGAGATCAATCACCTCGACCTCACCATCGTCATTGGCGACCATCATCGTCATTCCTTCGGAATACTTTCTCGGCTGCGGCATACCAAGGCCACTCGAAGGCTCGCCATGGCCTCCCCCAAATATGGACGGGTTTCGCTCGATGCGAGGCGAGGTGGCAGGCGAGGTTGAGGCGCTGATTCGGCCTCGGTACCGGCCTGCGACTTTCTTGCCAGGTTCCGTCACCGAACCGAACGAAGAGGATCGCGACATACTGCCCATGTCGCCTTGGTCCACATGGGATCCTGCCGGGACCTCTTTTGAAGGCGTAGGCGCGTTCCTCGATGTCCCGATATCAGCATCACCGGCCTCTGCATCGATCTGCCCTTCGCCTTCATCCTTGTCACCCTGCGAGGTGACGCTGCTCCTCTTTTTCCAAAAAGCAATTCTCATGTTGCCGTTGCTCCCTGCCAATGGAGAGACGCCCAAGTCTTGGCCACTGCCATTCCGACTCATGGGAGGGGCTTGTCCCCTTGCTCCATCGCTGCTGAGGAAGTCAGACCGGATCTCGAGGGAGGTTCTGCTCTTAGCATGTGAGGCTCCTGAGCTTCCATAGATTCCTTTCTGAGCATCCAAAGCCACGTCGACGAAGTCGAGACCTGCTCTTTCGGTCTCAGACAAGTCTCGCACGCCTTCGGTTTCACGGCCAGCGTGGTAATGATTCTGAGCATCGAGATCGATCTCTTCGTCCTCCTCCATTGAGGCATTGGAGAGTCCGGAAGGTCTGGGGCTGGAATACCTTCCATTGTATACGAGGTATGACGAGAGCCGGGAAGAAGATGCCTGAGGGTGTTCAATGTCCTCGACATCAACCTCCGAGAATCTTTGAGGAGGCAGGGACTCGATGCGGCTGTGTGATAGATGAGCCGGCCTATTCCGCAGAGGTGGCTGCTCTTTGAACTCTGTGTCCTGCGATTCTTCCACTCTGATACGGAGATCGAAGCCCTCGATCTCTTCCACTGGAGTCACAGTAGTCGACCAAGCTCCACCTGAAGTATCACCCTCCTCGTCGGACGTAGCCCCAGCCTGCGCCCTTTCCTCCTCTTCCGGCTCATCATCAGGTGGATGGAGCTGTAGATCGGGTATGACTTGGGCGAGCTCGATGGGTATGGGTTCCTGTGCTGCTTGTACTACGTGAGGAGAAGCACCATCATGGTCGGCTCCTTGAGTCGCGGATTCGCCGGCCTTTGTCGATGGTGAGACATCCGCATCCAGGTCTTCCTTCGATGCCTGGCTGGAGACTGACATCAGGGCAGGGCGCTGAGTCTGCCGGATTACATCCACACAGCGGAGGCCAAAGACGAAGCAGTTGAGAAGGCAGAAATGCAGCCGCAGCAAGAGTGGAGGCACTCGATGGCTGTGTGGAAGAAAGGAGTGGTTGCTGGTGGTGGTCGTGGGTCAAGTCATGCATCTGGACCTGTCACTTGGCCCCGCCGCTCCGCTCCGCGCCTCTTTCCGTTGGCGCGTCACCTCGAGAACACTCCACGTCGTACCAGATCTTCCTGATCCTGCCTTCCAGCCTCGCGTCCTTGTGAACTCGTCATGGCAGATGGAAGCAACCGACAGCAGTCCCCACACACCTCCTCGTCACGCACCTTCACGCGTGTGCCTTCGGCCACGTCGCTCTTGCCGCCGAGCTCGGCTCAAGGTCTGACAGCGGCTGATCTTCTGTCCCACCAAGCGCTGTTGGAGTCACAAGCTCGCGAGGCCATTCCGTTCTCCCATACCACTTGCACATACTCCAACGGCTATATCAGGCAACCATTGTGGGCTTGTAAAGACTGCGGAGGCGGTGGAGTCTGTGCGGGCTGCTCAGTGGGCTGCCATGCTTCTCACGAGCTGGTAGAGCTCTTCGCCAAGAGAGGTACGAGGTGTGACTGTGGCACCCTCACACTACAACGCCATGTGCCTGCAGGTCTGAACGCAGACAAGGTCGGCGAAAGCTCCTCTTCCGCCCTCCAGCCTTGCAACCTTCGAGCAGCACCGCTCAACTTTGCACCAGAGAATGACCTCAACGTCTATGGCAAGAATCACGATGGTCACTTCTGCTACTGCGAGAAGGGATACACCTACGATCCAATGGAGGAAGAAGAGACTATGTTCCAATGCATGGTCTGTGAAGACTGGCTACATGAGACTTGTGTCAGCTTGAGGCCCAAGAAGGGAAGGAGGAAAGCCCACCTGGTAGGAGAAGGGCAGGCAGCAGACAGCAGCTCAGAGACCAAACCCCCAGACGCTCCAATTGCCGTTGCACCAGACCCTGCTGCCCCATTTTCGGGCCCGTCTGCAATATCAAACGATCAAGAGGAGCAGGAAGGCGACGATCCTCCGCCTCTGATATCGCATGACTCGTTCGACAATGTCATATGCGATGCCTGCCTTCGCAAGCACCCTATACTTCAACATTACATTGGCGCCCCCTCATGGGGCACTTGTCTCCGCCTACCTTCGAACGGTACCAAATTCACAGATCTCGATACTGTGGGAGGCAATGAGATTGAGGTGGAAGCGGATGACGGTCTACGGAAGTATTTGATACTGGGCCTGCCGGTCAATACGGAGTACGCTACAGGATCCAATGGGCAGTATTCAGCAGCAGGAGCAGCTGGCCTGAAGCGCGAGTTGTCTCCGATCGTCGAAGGAGCCGATGATGGAGATGAGGAGGAGAGTCGTCAGGTCAAGAGGGTAAAGGTAGAAGAAACGCCCACAACAACGCAAGAGCCCGGCGCACCATCAATGTCTGCTGAGCCTGGCGCAGCAGAAACGACCAGCAAGGCGCGATCAGCTGAGGGGCAGACCAGCAACCCAGACGTCACTTCCTCTACCTCTTCTGGCTGCAAGCTGCCGCCCATCCATCCTCTTGTTGAGCATCTCCTCTCATTGCCCGACCCCCTCGCCTCCACTACGCCTCATCCCAATAACCCCGGCAATGAGCAGCGATCTGCCTACCGCATCGACGTATACCTGGACGAAGGCAGCAATGAAGAAGGAGATCTCTCAGATCCGCTAGGAACTGCCTTTAACGAGGGCGGCCAGATGCAAGGCTTCCGTAAAGAGATCTGCCGCTGTCCCTCGTGCTTGGAAGCCTTCAAAGACCTGCCTTTTCTGCTAGAGGAAGAGGAGACCTACTCGCCACCGGCAAGTCAGTCCGGTCTACCTGCGGGTGTGCAAGGCGGAGATGGAGATCAAGACGATGATGCTCGGTCTGCCTCTTCGCATTCCTCGACGTACGACCTGGGGCTGGACGCGCTGAACAGGCTACCCCGTGCTCAGACGCTGGAAGCGATGGAGGGCTACGGAAGATTGCGGGCCGCTCTGTTTGAGCACTTGCGCCCCTTTGCACAGAGCGGCAAGACGGTGGACGAGGAGAGCATCCGGCGCTTCTTTGAGGAACAGAGGGAGAGAGACCGGCAAGGCAGGTAGGTGATTGGCACGCACGCCTGCCTCAGATCACATCAGTCCGACGCCTGCCGGAGTAGATAGCCCGTGTGCGTGAATAGACGTTGCTTCATAGCGGCATTTCCGCGCGATTGACATGGTGACCCTGTCTGCTCAGGTCATTCCAACTCTTTCGGTCTCAAGTAGCACGCACAGCCATTGTAGACTTCTAAACCTGTGAGGGCCACAGTTGGCGGTGATTGGCCTGCGTGGTGTGTGTGGGAGTTGTGGCTTGGGTCCTTCTGCGCGCCGGCGACTTTTGCATGGGCGAGTGTGGGCGTGTGGGTGTGCGCCCAGTGTGCCTGGCCGCCGCCTGTCTGCCTTTCTCGATCGAGTGTTTGCATCACCGCCTCACCATCTGTCTACCCGCCTGCCTCACCCCTCCCCTTACCCGCTCCCTCACCTCACCTCACCCCGCTACCATCACTCTTCCCCCACTTCGCGTCTTCGCTCTTTTTTGTTACCATCTCATCTCCACCCCTTCTCCTCGTACCCTTCCCCCCACCTTTTCCCGCCCAACAACAACGACCCTGCGAGGACCACTTCCCACAGTCGAATCGCATACAACTCTACTGCCGGGCTACGATTCCCATCCAGGCGCGAACCCTTGGACATACCACAAAGCCACCCCCTCGTCCACCTCCGCCCGCCTTCGTCAACCGCACGTGCTCCGGAGACGACGTTGCTGATATCGACTCATAAGCATCTCTAGCCGTCCACTAGACAGCTACCACACATAGCGCACAGCTCTTCCCCACTAGAGTCTCCGCCACATACCCCCACACTTGACCGCGTCCCCCCCCCCCTCTCTTCAAGGTCAAACCCTTGCCGCGGCCCTTTCCCCTTCCCCTCCCACTCCAATACACATAGCCGCAATGCTTGTGCAATTCGGCAAATACGATGCCATCTGCAGCGAGGTGGCATTGATTGTATGTCCCCTGCTGGGAACTGACTTGGGACTGGAGCCAGTTTGCTACAGCAGGAATGTAGAGATCAATGGCACGGTCATCTTCCAACCTGGTGAGTTGGGCGACGGAGCGTGGGCCGAGGTCATGGCAGGAAGCTGTCGCAATAGTAGCTGACATGTCTCTTCGCCACGTGTCTCCCTCACCCGTAGCAACATGCATCATTCACATTGCCGCCCTCTTCATGTGCGGGATCATGGTATACCACATCAGATCAAAATACACGGCAGTAGGCAGAAAGGAGATTGTGCAATTCTTCTACCTCTACGCCTTCTCAGAGACTCTCGCAATCTTCCTTGACTCGGCCATCATCCCAACATATTCCAAAGTCTACGCGGTGAGTAGCTCATAATCTGCGTAGGGTGTTGAGCGCAGGCGCAACGTTGCAGGAATGACGCTCATCTCACCCCTTGGCCCTCTGCCTTCCTTTCCTGCAGTACTTTGCCGCGGTCTACGTCGGCCTAGGTACTGCCATCTTCTGGACGCTCATGGTCAATGGCTTTGTAGGATTCCAGCTCTGGGAAGACGGTACGCCCAAGTCTCTATGGTTTCTGCGCATTTCTTCGCTAGGACTCTTTGCCCTGGGCTTCGTCATCTCCCTCGCCACCTTCATCTCCATTGGCTCCCTCAACCCCACAAACACAGTCGGCCTGTGGATCGTCCAATTGCTCTTCCCCATCATCTGCATCGCCATCTACGTCATCTCTCAGGTGATCCTAGTGCTCCGCACACTCGACGATAGGTGGCCCCTGGGCGACATCCTCTTTGGAGTCCTGGCCTTTGTCGCCGCTTGCGTCCTCATGTTTGGCGTCTCTGCGCAGATTTGCTCCGGCGTAAAGCACTACCTGGACGGCACCTTCTTTGGAGTGCTATGTCTGCTCCTGGCAGTGATGATGGTGTACAAGTACTGGGACTCGATAACAAGGGAGGACCTGGAGTTCTCCGTCGGGTCCAAGCAGGCTGCTTGGGAGGTCAAGGACTCGTCGATGGGCAACTCGGACACGGATGTAATTACCGCTACTGGATCCAGTGTCACGCACGAGTCGGGACAACAGGGTGGCGGCTATGGTGGAAAGGGGTTTGGAGGGAGGGATAACGGCAGGCTCGCACCATATCCTGGGGGAGGTAATGGCAAGGGTGGGCAGGCCTCGGGAGGATACCCGCCGAGCGGATACAGCGGCAACTTCTGAGTTAGGCAGATAGACCCATGGACGGACGGACGGACAAACACATGGACGACGATACTCTCACACTCTTCTCTGGACAGGCTATGAAGGCTGTCGGGGGCGGAGATGATCACCTCATGCCCATTTCACATAATACCGAGCATCAAGGGGGCGTGCCCTGTCTTTCCTTTAGGCTGCTCACAAACAAGGCAGCGCACTGCTCCACCCGCTCCTCTTTTTCTCGACTTCTCGACTCTCGACTCTAGCAGGGCAGCTCGCCATGCACGCAACGAACAGTACATTTTCTCATACTTACTATTTCTTTCCCATTCCGGTCGGCTTCACTCTTTCGAGAATCTATTTCTACGCATCAGGATCTACCCGTGCCAGGGGTCGGTTTGTGGCCTATTGGCGGATTCTCTTCTATTTCTCGCTCCTTGATTCACAGCCCATGTAGTCTTTTTGCACATTCTCGTCCCCACCCGACTCCCTTTGATGTCTCTCTCTCTTGCTCTCGCTATCGCTCTCACTCATCTTCTGCTTCACTTGGCCGACAGTGGCGGGAAGTGGGCGAGCAGGGAGGCGAGGCGAGGCGAGGGAGCGGGCTTCTCACAGCACGGTCGAGGAGAATACAGTATCACCCAATTGCCAATGTTCAGTGTCGTGTCTGTATAGTGTGTAGTTGTAGCGCGCGTGAGGTGACTATTGATGGGACTCTACTTGTGTGAAATGCATATGACGGCGGATGGATGCTCCTGCTCCCTCACGACTCCTCCGTCCGCACCCACCGTCTCACCTCCCGTGGCCCCCAGCTCGCCAGATCGGCTGCCCACACCTCACTCTCACTCTTACCCTCGCCCCTGGCCCCACTCTCGCCTTGGCTCGTGCTCGCACTCGCAGGAAATCCCAACTCCACCTCCTTCCAAATTGCACTCCTACTGCGCTCCACGAAGTACAGCGGTGCGCGCTGGAAGAGGGCGAGGGAGGAGGTGTTACTTTCGGAAACTTTGCAGAAGAGGTGGGAGGGATGCAGAGGGAGGGCGGGAGAGGAGGGGCAAGAGGGAGAGGAGCTGAGGTTGGAAGATGAGGGGAAGGAGGGAGGAGGACAAGGAGTGGGAAAGGAAGTGATGTACCAGATTACTAGCTGGAGGGACTCGAGGGCCAGGCGCTGGCGCCGGAGGGATGGCTCTGATGGTGACGAGAAGGTGGAAAGACGTCAACTTTTGCCAGGACGGATCAGCTACTTGATGTCAGGGGAGGATCAGACTCACCAGCAATCATGATCTCCAGCTCGCCTTTCATCTGCGGTCGAGTGCTGTCTATCGATTTGCCCCTGCTGCTTGGGTTCGTGCTTTGACCTTGACCTTCATGCTCCTCTTGCTCTTCTTCCTCCAGTGATGAAAGGAAAACATTGACGTCTCCTGCCATCTTGCACCGACCCATCAGCTCCTCTGTACTCAGGTTGCGCATCGTCTCCTCGTCCAAGCCAGGGGCGGACCGATCCAGGTGCAGTACGATGAATGTCAATTCTAGGGAAGCAGGACGGGGCGAGAGCTGACCCGTGAGTATCTCCAGCTATCTCTTTCAGCTGTTGGAGAAGGCGCGGCGACTCACTGTCCTCGTCAGCCCACCAGGAAGCCTGCATCTCGTACTCCTCCTGCAGCGTGAGAGGCTCGGAGGCTGTGGCTTCTTGAAGGAAAGGGTCTTGCATCCAGGCGTTGTACTGCGAGGGGCGACGTTGGCAGAAGGAGAGGGCCAGGGGAGAGATTAGCAAGCTTGTCAGTCAGCAGTATGCAAAGCTAGTTGATCTAAGTGCTTTCGGGCTAGCTCACCTGCTCGACGTGCTCCTTCCTGTACAGACCGAATCAAGAAGACAGTACCTCAATGGTGAGCTTCTCCGCTTCTCCGCTTCTCCGCTTCTCCGCTCCTCCTCTCCCTTCCCATGTCACTTTGCCCCACTCACCGATAGGGCACGAGCAGTACCCGCTCACCGACCAGGACCGTCTCCTCGTTGATCCTCATCGCGCAGTGCCACCAGTGTGTGCTTGAAGTCCTGTAGCTTGAGGCCCTGTCAAGATACTCGGGGCGCTACGAGCCTCCTTTCCGTACGTGCAAGCGAAGTCTCCGCCGCGGCCTCGAGCCACCCGAATTGCGTCTCGCGCGCCCAAAGCTGCAAGGGAACATATATGTTTCACTGATCTCTTTCTTGTATAGTACTTTCTGTCCTAGTTCGTATAGTGGCTAATATATCCGCCTCTCACTTTCGTGGTAGACGAACTACGAGATTTCGCGGGCGACCGGGGTTCGATTCCCCGACTGGGAAGTTCTTTTTGCAGTTTTCACCCCCGGGTGGCATCCTTTTGGACCCCTTCACAATCAGACGTATCGCTACAATCACGATCACGATGAAGAGGGAAGGGTGTCATTGCATCTTGCGCTGGAACGACAAGAGTGAGCTTCTGCTGATGCGAGTCGGCGATGGGCAACATGAGCTGCCAGCGTTGGTCTTTATCTCGGCGAGAGTATTCTGCGGAGAAGACTTCATACAGCTGCAAAGCGATTTGCTGTAGTGCTTCACTCGAATTAAGGTGTTCGGGTCGCAATGACAGCGGTAGCTTAGGCAAGGTCGTGAATGTGTTTCGAATGAAGAGAAATGAACGAGAAGAATGAATCAAAGCACACAGGACGGGGAAAGGAAACACAAGACGGCTTCGAAAAGTTGCAGTGCAGGAGATGATGATGATGAAGAGGGAGGTGCGAGAAGGAAGATCCTCTTTCCACGCTACCGAGCCAACGCCACCTTTAGCTTTCATCACCACCACCATCTTCTTCTTCTTCTTCTTCTTCTTTCGTCTAGGCCTTGGCAGCCCTCTCCCTGGCCTTTTGGGCCATCAGGTTGAGAGCAGATCCAGCACGGTGCCATGCAATCTGGCCCTCGTTGAAGCTGTGCACCAGGGGGATCCTGGCGTACTCCTTTCCTTCGAGGTCCTTGCACACCATGGTCACCTCTGAGCCAGGGGCGAATTCTGTCACACCCTCCAGGTCAACCTGCGAGCGTGGCTGGACCTTGTCATAGTCGGCATCGTTCTTGAAAGTCAGAGGAAGAAGACCCTGTGAGACGGAAAGGGGGGGCAAGGTGTCAGATACGGAAGCTGGAAACGCGTCGGAGTTCGGAAAAATGGACACATACCTGCTTCTTACAGTTCGTTTCGTGAATCCTAGCAAACGAGCGAGTGATGATGGCAGTGGCACCGAGGAAACGAGGCTCGAGGGCAGCGTGCTCTCGGGAAGAACCCTCTCCGTAGTTGTGGTCACCAATGACGACCCACGGCCTGCCGTTGTCACGGTAGTGGGCACCGGTAGCGGGGACAGCGCCAAACTCGCCAGTCATCTGGTTGTACACCTCATTGGCCTTCTCATTCTCGGCGTTGATGGCACCGATGAGACAGTTGTTGGAGATGTTCTCCAGGTGTCCACGGTACTTGAGCCAAGGTCCACCGGCAGAGATGTGGTCAGTGGTGCACTTGCCGACGGCCTTGATCAGCACGGGGCAGTTGGTGGGGTTCTTGCCGTCCCAGGCCTTGAAGGGAGCGAGGAACTGCAGACGGTCCGAGTCGGGAGCAATGGCGACCTTGATCTCAGCTCGCTCGTCCATCGAGTCGGGGGGAGCAGAGAAGGTCTGCTCTCCGGGGTCGTAGCCGCTGGCGGGCAGCTCGATTCCGGCGGGGTCAGAGAACTTGAACTCCTTGCCGTCTGCGCCCTTGAGCGAGTCGGTGAGGGGGTTGAAGGTCAGGCTTCCGGCAAAGACCATGGCAGTGACCAAGTCGGGCGAGGCGACAAAGGCGTGGGTGGCGGGGTTGGCGTCGTTTCGGCCAGTGAAGTTTCGGTTGTAAGAAGTGATGATGGAGTTCTTCTCGCCCTTCTTGACATCGGTTCGGTCCCACTGACCGATGCAGGGACCGCAGGCATTGGCAAGGACCACACCACCAGCCTCGGACAGAGTCTCCATCTGGCCGTCTCGCTCAATGGTAGCTCGAATCTGCTCGGATCCGGGGGTAATGGTGAACTTCGACTTGACCTTGAGACCGTGCTTGAGGGCCTCGTCGGCAATGGAGGCAGATCGCGACATGTCCTCGTACGAAGAGTTGGTGCAAGATCCGATCAGTCCGACCTTGAGCTCTGCGGGCCAGTCGTTCTTCTTGACGGCCTCGGCAAACTTCGAGAGGGGAGTGGCAAGATCGGGGGTGAAGGGACCGTTGATGTGGGGCTCGAGGTCGCTCAGGTTGATCTCGATGTGCCTGTCGTACTCGGCGCCCTGGTCGGGGAGGAGGTAGGACTGGAAGCCCTTGGCGAGCTTGGCAATGTCGCCACGCTTGGTAGCCTCGAGGTAGGCAGCCATCTTGTCGTTGAAGGGGAAGACGGAAGTGGTGGCACCAATCTCGGCACCCATGTTGCAAATGGTACCCATACCAGTGGCAGAGAGCGACTCGACACCGGGACCCTTGTACTCGATGATGGCACCTGTTCCACCCTTGACGGTCAGCTCACCAGCGACCTTCAGGATAATGTCTAAAGTGGAGAGGAGAGGAGAGAGGCAAAAGTAGGGCAGAATGCGCATCAGCGAAGACGTCCTTACTATCCGAACATCACTGGTCTTTGCTCTGCCAACTCACCCTTGGGGGCAGTCCATCCGCTGAGCTTTCCCTTGAGCTCAACACCAACCACCTTGGGGCACTTAAGCTCCCAAGGGATGTCAGCCATGACATCGACGGCATCAGCACCTCCAACACCGCAAGCAATCATTCCCAGACCACCAGCGTTGGGAGTGTGCGAGTCGGTACCAATCATCATTCCACCGGGGAAGGCGTAGTTCTCGAGGAGGATCTGGTGAATGATACCAGATCCGGGTTGCCAGAATCCAATGCCGTACTTGGCAGTGCAGGTGGCGAGGAAGTCGTAGACCTCCTTGTTGATCTCCTTGGCGCGGGCCAAGTCCTTGGCACCTCCGATCTGGGCCTCGATCAAGTGGTCACAGTGCACAGTGGTGGGGACGGCAACCTCGGGGAGACCAGCAGACATGAACTGCAGCAGAGCCATCTGGGCAGTGGCATCTTGGCAAGCAACTCGCTGCGAAGATAAAGAGGCAGTGAAGATGTGCAGAAGCGTGTGAGTAGGCGGCTCGAGCGTACAGACCTTACACACGTCGGCACTGCTAGCCTGTTTACTGCCTCCGCATACTCACGTCAGGTCGCAGCTTAAGGTAAGAGTTACCGCGCGAGATGTCCTGTCCATGAGGGTCGTCCAGATGTCCGTAGACGATCTTCTCTGAGAGGGTGAGGGGGCGGTTGAGACTGAAGAAGGACAGGATGGAAGGGCAGGGGACAGTGTGCGAAGTGTCAGCATCGAATGTGCTGCGCAGATAAGAGGCGATAATCCAGCCCCCACCCCGCCCCGCCTCTTCCTTCCGCTCTGCACCCATTCTCGGACCACTCACCGGCTGCGAACAATCTCGAGGTTGTCTGCCATCTTCTTGTAGTTGATGTAGTATCCCTTGCCCTTTTCCACCACGGACATGTCTACCTTTTGCTCAAAGAGGGACTTTGGTGGAGCGGGGACATCCTCTGCAACAGTAGCATAGGTCCTGCTGGCGGGTGCCACGAGGGACGAAGTGGAAGCACGGGGCGCTGTGAGGCGGGATGCTGCGCCCGAGCGGAGGGCACGGAGCGAAGAGGAGATCATCGTGGTGAGCGATGGAGGAGGGAAGAAGTGGTGGTGGTGGTGGAAAGGTGGGCAAGGTGAGAAGGCTGAAAAGGGCGGGTAGATGTCCGGGGGCGGGCGGGGGGCAGAGGCTGGGTGTTGGCAGGCTGAGACGCCTCTGGGCCATTGCAAATCAACCGCTTAGCCGGGCCCTTGGGTCCAAGAGGCTTCTTCCCGGAGCAAGCGGACGACGCACACGCTGCACACGCTGCACCCCTCCGCCTGGCTCACCCCCCTCTGCCCGCCCCGCGCCCCGCGCCCAAGACTGGCACGTCCAACTCTTCGGGCACGAGAGCAGAGGGCGATGAGAAATCAACGCAGCCAGCGCCAACCCCCCCTCCGGCCGGCGCACCCGCTCCCCCCCCCCCGCCTCTGCGTCGCGCGCCTCGATCTTCCTGCCCTTTCCGCCGCCTGCGCCGCCCGACGTGAAAGAAACGGCCTTCAGCGGACCTCGGCGGAAGACTCGAGGCAGGGACGCAGATGCCGTCAGTCGAGCGACATACCGATAAAGCCTACAGCTTCGACACACAACGGCAGCGATCTAGACCGTCCGTACACTAGACGCAATTGCATGATGTGGTGAGGTCGGTATATACAGAGCAACAGACGGACTTTGCATCAGCCTCGCTGGCTTGTGTGGGAGGTTCACTCTCAGCTTGACAACGCACGCGCGTTCAACTACAACTTCGACGCCCTCTTCTCGACAACCATTCACAAGACCGGTGGAGGGACAGTGGGAAGTGAGATATGGCGAGGTCGCTGCTCAGCGTCTCCGCGAGCGACAGAGAACAGACCCGATATTCTGCCACTGGCCGAGGAAGGACGAGAAGTAGAGGACGCCAGGCGTTCTCGTGGGAGTGGAGATCGTCTATCTTCTGCGCTCAGTGCCATGATCGTGTCGATAACCTCTTCTGGCCCTTCGTCCTCTGCGGAGCTTCGTCTGGGCCTGCGATTGCGACTGAGTCTGAAGCGATCCATACTACTTGAGCCGATGCGATCCGCTCGCATTGCCCTTCTTCGAGCTCGGTATTCCTCCAGTGTGACTGCGAAAAGCCCACTGCGAGGCACTGGGCTCCTCGAACCTGCATTGCCATTCGGTAGTGTTTGATGCGCTTCGATAAGTGTCTCGACTTGTTCATCGGTTTCGCTTGCACTTGCCGAGGCCAGACTAGCTCTCTCCTCTGATGGCTCGGCTCGGTCCTGTTCCAGAGCCTCTCCGATATTTACCTGCTCTGCTCCCTGATCCGCCACAGCTTCAGACGTTTGCAGAAAGTCGGTGCGACAAAGAGGGCAGACTGAATGCGACAGCAGCCACACGTCGATGCAGCTGGCGTGGTAGTGATGTCTTCCGGCGCAGGGGAGAATGCGCAACAGGTCTCCCTCTTCGAAGCTCTCGACGCAGATCGGACAGAGCATCTCTGCCTCGGACTCATCGCCATCATCCTCATCCTCTGAGTGATTTGGCTGGCTAGCACCTTCAGCTCTTTGCAGATCTTGCGGGTGAGTCTTCTCTGTCAAGAGAGTTTCAGGCTGAGCCTGCTCTGTCTGATGCCCATCTGTGCTGGCACTTGCTTCAAGCCTGATGGACAGGATGCTTGCGGCGAGGCGAAGGCGATGTGTGTCTTGATTCTCCGTGGCAGGGGCTGCAACATCATGTGCCAGGCTCCTTTCCGCGTGTTCCTCCGTCTGTAAGCTTGCCGGGCGGGATAGAGACCTGCGCCCGAGCTGCGATGCCTTCTCGTTATCGTAACGTGGATCTTGTGGCAGAGCTCCAGTGGGACATTCGTCGACAGGTCTTGTGGTACCGATGGCCTTGCTTTCAATTTCCTCTTCGATGCGTGCCGGGTCCCGTGTCACATCGCTGATCGCTCGACCTCTACGCCTTGGTGCAGACCATGTGATGGTAGGAAATGTGTCGAGGACCTGTCGCAGTGGAAGAAACATGGTGTGAGTGTATGCTCTCAGTCAGCTGGAGCCTGTCGCGTTAGCTTCCGACTTACCGCTCGGGTCAAGCCTTGGGTTCTGGTTCTCGCCGGCTGATCGACGGTGGCTTGTCTAGGAGCATACAAGTCGGGATGCTCTTGCACTCGCTGAAGATGTGCGTGGGCTGCCGTCAGCTGCTGAACTTCGGCGATCCAGCCCTGCTTTCTAGTACTACTCACTCGTTTTGTGAGGAACGCCAGGCTACTGCTGACCAAAACGACTAGAACACAGCCGATCTGCAATAAGGCAAGAATACGAGGACCGGCAAGAGTGAGCACGACTGTTCTGGGCAACAGTGCAGGTGCTCACGCTCCTTGCATCCGGCTACTTACGATCACACCCGCAAGGGCTGCTTTGGAGACCTCAAAGCGACCCACTGGTCCTTGCTCCGTGGCTGTAGGCGTGTCCACAACATTCGTTGCGCTCATCGTTGGCAGTAGCTGTCAGCAGGGTGGTCCCCTGTCGATGGTGAGGAAGAGGTCCAAAAGGGGATAAGGCCAGGAAAGGTCCGCTTCATGACGTGAGAGGGGAACGTGGGGGATGATGTCCAGTCATTAAAAGCATGATGAGTCTTGGCTCACAGAGGTAAAGTCGTTCAGGGCGGGCGGAAGCTCAGTCCGGGAGGACGGATGCGCATATATCGGACGGCAGCATGTACCCGCCCTGTAGAGGCAATTGCGGACCGCGGAGACGCGGGGGCGAAAAGGGGGCAAATGGGCATCGAAAGGCGGCGTACAAGCGAGGTGAGTCAGGCAACAGGTACGAGCGGAACGCCCTGCATGGAAGAGACGGCCATGAAGAGTATGCTGACGAAGTGGTGTGAATGGTAAGGTACAATGAGCGGGTGGGATGGGAGGCGACGATCGCCAAGGATTGCCTCGAGGCAAAGCGATCACGGCCCGGCGAGGCTCAGGAGTTCCTAAGCCGATGTTGTCAGGATCGGCGTCATAGCTGATGAGCTGCGAGGGATATCGTGGGGGGAGAGTTGTTGTGTTCAGTCGGATACCGTGAGGCAGCAACAGATCTTCGCTGCTCCGTAATCAGCTTACTCACCTCTCATGGGAGCAGCTACGGCCTCCTTGTCTTCAAAGATTGCTTCGTGCAGCTGATTGCGGAAGAGATACCTTACTCGCAAAACCTGTGGCGGAAGGATAGAGGCGCGGTGAAACCAATGACAGGCACGTCAGAAGAGTTTGAGCCCACTCTCTGCTGTCTTCTCGAGTACACACCTTCTTTTCACCCATCGCGGGGTCATAGAAGCCAAGGAGGTTCTGATAGGGGGCATTTGGAGGGATCAGGAGATGAGCCGGCGCTTCAATCTGCCACGCATCTCTCACGCGTCTGTACTTACTCCTTTTGAACGACCTCCAGGTACGACAAGCTTCGACTTGTTGACAAGAGCCTGTAGCGGTATTCTCACATCGCAGAAGAGATTCGATGCTGCAAATACGTCCGTCTCGAAGGTGGCGCTCGTCTCATCTTGCTCCTCGATAGCCTCTCCGGCTTCGTCTGCTGTTGACCGCTTCCAGGCTCTCCTGTCCAGGTCCTCCGGCTCGCCAAAGAATTGCGTGGCTGGCAAGACGTCTGCTCTACCATAGAAGGCCTCCAGGATGATCAGACCCCCTTTCAACCTCTCTGCAGCCGCCTTCTTCCTGGCTTGACCAGTCAAGACCTTCACTCCCTCTCGAGCGCCTTGTCTCCTCTCTTTGATCAGCTCCCAGTTCTCACGCCTCAGCTCCTCCAAGCGTCTTCCCACCTTTTGCTTCTTCGTCGGCGCCAAGTAGAGCTGCTCGAGAGCATACAGACCTACGAGAGGAATGGCAGTCGATAGCACAAGCAGGTCAGACCGCGGTGCTGGGGAGAGCAAGATGGGGACCTGTATGCGCTGGCCCAGCCTGTTGAACTTGAGGCGAATGGTGACACCCCCAGGCACACCTCCAGTGACCCCAAAGCCTAGCTTGATGTTGTCCGTCACGCTCCGATCGCCATTAATGAAGACGTTCACCCCGCTCGCTAGGCCGAGACCGATTCCACCACGCAGGGTAGCGCCACCGAGCCACTTGGCGGTGATGCCACGGTCGAGGGAGATGTTACAATCTGCCACGCCAATAGTGGTGGAGGCTGACCATCCATTGCCGTCCATCTTCGAGGAAGTGAGGCCGACTGTGACGCTAGGAGGGTCCATGCGTAGCATGCCCGACGAAGCAGCCTCCCTGCCCCAAGGACCGATGGTGTAAGACCCAGACCGGATACTGGTGTAGCCGGCCAGAGTAGATTCGGTAGAGAGGCGCTGTACAAGAGTGGCATTGATCGCTGGCGGTATGGCAATGGTCTGTCCGCTTATGATCGTCTGTATAGATCTAGCAGTAGAAGGAGGATGAGCGGGGTATGAGCAGCTGTTGCGTCACGGGCATACGTTTCAGCTCTTGGCGGACACTCACGTAAACTCATTGAGTGTATAGTCAGTCTTCAATACCGCTAATTGTGGAGCCATAAGCGTTGTACTGAGCTCAAAGGAGAGCTTGGGAGACCATTGCGTTTTGAGCGTCCCGATCAAGTTGCCCGAGCCCATCCCTCTCCGGCTGACCATCTGGCCAGTGAAGCCGAGAGCTATCCTCTCCGTGATCTGCATACTGAAACCATGCTTGCCTACAAGCTGTCCACTCTTGAGGCCGTTCCATCGGTCCTGCACTGTCACCTCTGTGCCAGCGCGGTTCGGCGGGCGCATCACCCTCTTAGCAGGGGCGAACATCGAGGTGGCATCGATTTGCGCCGTATACTCTCCTTTTGACTTGACGAGCTCGTCCACCTCCTTGGACCTTCTGCCTAGCTTCTGCCTCTCAAATTCGGCGCGAAGCTCCTCTGGTGTCCTGCCTCTGGTGGAGATGGTCCAGGAGGAAGTCAACCCCTCTTCGCCAAAGTAGTCGTACACGCTCCTCTTCTCCCGATCTGACAAGACTTCGTACGCCCGCTGCACCTCCCGAAAGCGAGACTGCGCTGCTGCCTTGGCAGAAGACTCAAGATGCTTGTCTGGGTGGAGGGCGACGGCGAGGGACCGGTAGGCCTCGCGAACCTGGTCCTCTGTTGCATCGCGCTCGATGTTCAGGACGGCATAGAGGCGATCCTTGTCCCGATCCTTGGTCTCGTCAGCGCTTTCTTCGTACTGCGAGCCCGACGCTCCGGGAGCAATCCCATTGCGTGTCCCGTTGTGAGCCTCCAGGCGAAGGATGTCCTCCTCCTGTGAAGAAGGCGAAGAGCGGGCTGAGGACGACGAGGACGAGGATTGGGCAGCCCCTGCAGCCGAAGGACCGGCCTGAGACTCGACCGCTTCAGCCCTCCGCGGCGGTCTGGCAGCGGGTCGAGACTGAGAATAAGGATCGTCTATGTCGTCCATAGAGGGCGACTAGGCAAGTGACAGTGGAGACGACGCAGGCAGGCACAGCGAAGGCAGGTCCGGAAATCTGGGGTCATGGTAAGCAGGAAGCGAGGCCGGAAAGGCAGCCTAACCAACACCCCGACAGTTATTACGTAAGCGAACGAGCCATGACACCTCGAGCACTTCTCTCCTCCTCGGACAAGCGATGCTAGGACAAAAGTCATTATATGAATTCTAGTGATGCTCTTACGGATCAATCGTCTGTATGCCTGGGCAGCATCTCGTACCTGGGCCCTTTCTTGCCCTTGCCTGCCGGGGATGCAAACCATCCTCGCCGGTGGGCGATGTACGAGAGTCCAAAAATGGTCCCCAAAACAAATGCAACGATGAGAAGAGTGGAGAGCAGGTCTAGGTCTCCGTAAGACTGCCAATTTTCGGGGGAGTGGGGATGCGAGATCTTGGCTACTGGTGTCACAGCGCCTTGCTGTGCGGCTTGCAGGGAGGCGATTTGCGCTGCCAGTTCTTCAATCGAGGGTGTTGTCGGCTGAGCCTTGGTAGGGGCCTCAGTAGTGGCGACAGCGGTAAAGGGCGACTATAGATGACAAGGCAGGACAGATGTACAAGCAGAGACTTGGTGTCAGTCTCTGACCTCTCGGACTTGACGCTCAGGCCTGTCCTGCCCGGCCGCTTCCCAGCACAAGGCGGCACCCACTGGATGTCCGCTTTCGCCTAGAGCTCTTCATGCCCTTCACCCACCGTGGCGGCGTTCACTTCTCCACTCTTGGCAATCTTGACCTCCTCCAGGGGCCGGTCTCCCCGTGCCTTGGGCACATTCTCGATGTACTTCACGACGTCCATTCCTGAAGTGACCTTGCCGAAGACGACGTGCTTGCCATCGAGCCATGAGGTTTTGACAGTGCAGATGAAGAATTGGCTGCCATTGGTGTCCTTGCCAGCGTTGGCCATGGACAAGGTACCAGCACCCTCGTGCTTGAGCTGGAAGTTCTCGTCGGCGAAACGAGCGCCGTAGATGGACTTTCCACCACGACCGGAACCCTCGGTGAAGTCACCTCCCTGGATCATAAAGTTGGAGATGACACGGTGGAAGATGGATCCTTCGTAGCCGTATCCCTGCTGGCCAGTGGAGAGCTGGAGGAAGTTCTCAACGGTCTTGGGGACCACGTTGCCATACAGACACATCTCGATCTGCGTCGCGGGGGTTGGAGGAGGCTCAAGGGGTCAATGTCAAGTCACATCACAAGGCCAGCGAGCACGATGAGACGTTGTGGACGCCATTGCTGTGCTGCGTCGTCCACTCCACTCACCCTTCCGACGTCCTTTGAGCCGTGTGTGATGTCAAAGAAGACGGTGTGTGTGCAGGTGAGGTCGGGCGCCGCTGACACTGGCGAGGTAGCCAGGGCCAAGGCCACGGCGAATCCCGTCACTAGAGTATTGAGGAACGCTGTTGCTCGCATTGTGTGTGGGTGTGTGATATGGTGGTGGACAGGAGGAAGGAGTGGACCAGGAGGGCAGGCATTGGGCTTGTACGCGTGCGTGCGTGCGTGTGTGAGCTGTGCTGGCTTCTGGCGCGCATGACATCCAACACTTCCTCGGCTCATCTTCCGATTGACCCCTCATCGATCGATCCTCCTCACGACCACGGCCATGATGCGTTCCTCACGGCAGCTCTCACACATGAGGGCAACGCTGGCGATTTGCGTCGCCCTGCTCTTGAGTCTCGTCGCAAAGCAGAGCAATGCTGTGAGTAGACTGGACATTTGCCATCTCAGGAGAAGCTATTGTAGGAGCTCTGGGCTGACCCACTCCCCCCTTTCCGCCTCCCTCACCAGCTCTACTTCTATACCGAGGTGGGAGAGGAGAAATGCTTCATCGAAGAACTGCCCGTGGATACTGTAGTCGTGGGTCATTACATGGCAGAGACCTGGCATGCCGATAAGAATGCCTACGTCATTGAGGAGGACATGGGAATCAGGGTGTCCGTTGTGGTGAGTAGGCGCAAACATCGCGAGTATCTGTGTATCCGCGAAGCGCATGCTAAATCTGGCTGTGACTTCTTTTTCACTGTTGTCCCTTCTCAGGAGCGGGCTGATGAGCATCTCTTGGTAGACACTACAGCGCCGGCTGAGGGCAAGTTTGCCTTTACGTCGCACATCGCAGGCGATCATGATATCTGTCTCTCCTCTCACCCACACGATAGCCACTCCTACCATACGTCTGGCGACCATCCCCAGATTCGCCTTCACTTGGATATCATCATCGGAGAAGCCAAGCCTGACAATACCGCGGCAGATCGATCGCATATCACCGACCTGGCAGGGAGGGTGAAAAATCTGAACGACAAGCTCAAGGACATTAGAAAGGAACAGCAGTATCAACGAGAGCGGGAGGCACTCTTCAGAGATGAGAGCGAAAAGACCAATGCAAGAGCCGTCATCTACTCGGCCATCCAGGGCGTAGTTCTTGTAGCGGCATGCGTTTGGCAGCTGAGGACATTGAGGGTGAGTACAGAAGTACCCGAATGGCACCGAATGAGGAAGCGGTTTGACTGACGCCTCGTGTTCCATATCCGTCTCTCCTCCAGGGCTTCTTCTCTGAGAAGAAGTTCAGCTAAACACACATGTATTGCTAAGCGAGACAAATTGGATCAAATACCACCAGCAATGCAGCTTCGTCAGAGATCACTTGCTCCCGCCCCACTTGTACATGTTCCATGCCAGCGGACCTTGGTTCATCTCAAATTCCTCTTTCCCTTCTTCCTCGTCCTGAGCTGCGCCAAGAGCTACCAGGGCTGGCAGGAGATGCTCACTCGTAGGGTGGGCGCCTCTGTAGTATTGGTTTTGGAAGAGCCTCTTTGCCGCTTCCCACCGCTTGGGCTCCCCTCGATCATTCGTGCCCGAGGAAGGTGGGCAGACGGCGGCCGTAAGGGCTTGCGCAAAGGGGACACTGTAAGGTACAGTGGTCTTCTCCCCCGTGCGAAAAGTGTGCCGGAAGTCTCCTAGGTTGTGGACGGGCTGGCCACCACCGACGATGGCGATTCCTTTGCTCCTGAGCGCCCGGAGCGCCCTTCCCAGACGCAAAGCCCTGATCCCGTCCTGGGTGTCATCGCCTTGAGCATCTTGCGGTGGCAGTGAGACTTGTACCATCGGCGGCAGGCCGGTTCCGTGCTCTCCGAAACCGGCGAGCAGCGCGATGAACACTCCATGGTCGATGCCCCTTTGCGTGTTGACCGCGTTTAAGCCCTCGGAGTTAAGCGTCTCACGAACAAGAGAGTTCAGCCAAGGAGGATTGTGGCTGTTTAACTTCAGCTCATACATCTCCTGTGGGAATCCATAGTAGTCGTAGAGGAGCGGATTCGATTCGTCGTCGTTGACGAGCACGCCCATGTCCTTGCCTGACACTTCAGAGGGGTCTGCCTGCCAGTGTGCAGAGATGAAGACGAGTCCCTTCAGGGGCGGTTGCTGAGAACGGATGTCGGCGGCAATTTTCTTCCAGTGCCGATGAGCGGGATGCTCTGGCTGGTGGAGGGTCATCGGCCCGCCATGGGCTGAGATGCACGCACAGAGAGTGTGTGTGAGAGCAGCGGGAGAGTGGACATGGATCAGCAGGCACGTTGCTATTACTTCCCAAGTCGGGGCAATCGCTCACCGATGAACCACACGGGAGCCAGCGCTGAGGTATTTTGAGCGAACATGTTTTGGCGATACGTATAAGTCAAGATGGTTAGGATCAGGAGACTAAAAGCTTGCCACATAGAGGCAGCTCACTTTATATAGGGGCAAAGGCGTGCTCAGCACGCTGCATCCTGTGGGTGTACGGCTTTTATGTCCGAAGAGCGAGCAAGAGATGGAGGATCGACTTTTCTATCTCCGCACGCGATTTCGGGCACGGAGGCAAAAGGGACAAAGCCGGCGGGCAGCGGATAGAGCTCCAAGGAGGTCGGAGTTGTGGAGGAAACGAGGGTAAAGCCAGGGCGGGAGCATTTCACCCTTGGCAAGCAGGCAGCGAGGTGGGGCCATCGAGGAGCCTCCGACAACACTTGCTACCCTACCACCTTACCAATCCCTACCTACCACCCACGCTTGCACCCATCCGTCCGACGTCGCCCGTGTGCTGTCCACTGCTCGGCTCGCAAGATTTTGCAAAGCTCTACTCGCACTCGACTGCACGCTCTGCTGCTCCACCCCACCACCTCCGCACTCCCGGAAGCGGCCCTTGATATGTCCACCCACCACCACCACCGCCCTGCCATGGCAGGCGCATCCTCCTCTCGAAGACCTCGGAAGATGTTCGCATACCGCTCTCCCTCGGCCTCATCCTCATCCGCATCGTCCTCTTCGTCTTCGATCGGGCCCACTCGAAGCACTCCCGCTTCCGCAACCGTCAGCCATTCGCCCTACCCTACCCCGACTATCCTCTTCTCGCTCCTGCATGACTCCACACCCGTGCAATACGAGCACCTCCTCTCTTCTACCAACTCTCGCTACCCTGGAGCACCCGGCACTGCCCTCGCCAAAGCTCGAGAGGCGTCCATCAAGGCCGCCCAAGCTGCAAAGAGGGAAGCTGATAAGAAGCGCAGAGACAAGGAAGAACTCATCCGGCTGGGTGTGGGTGAGAAGATGGGCAAGAGGAGCAGGGACACAGCTTCGGCGCACAAGAGGAGCGAGAGCCCCTTCACTGGCAACGGCAATGGCAATGGCAACGGTCACAGCACGACTAGCGCTACGAGGAGGAGTCAGCGGGAAAAGGACAAGGATAAGACGGGCGATGGCGAGGCTCATGATGGTAGGAGAAGCCGGGGCACCTCCGTCGTCCGCTCTCCTGCTCTCAATGGGAACGCACTTTCATCCGAGCAGCCACAGCAGTCCAATGACATGCTCTCAGTCCCCGGGACCAGTCATGCCGTCAACGGAAGTGGTCGTATCCGCAAACCTGCATCGAGGGGCAACTCGCCGATTCCATTGACTGAAGCCCGCAAGAGCCCTGAGCGCATCAATGGTCACTCGACTGTACACGGCCTCGGTCTCAACACTCCTACCAGTAACGGAGGCATCGTTCACGCTGCCACTCGACTGGGAGCAGCCAACCCTACGCAGCCCTTTCAAAGCTCCCCCTTGGCACGAGACAGCATCAAGTCTTTCCCGAGCATCTCCGTTGAGACTGAGCCAGTCGAGCCACCCATGACCACGAGGAGCCGGAAAGGAGGATCTCATTCGCCATCTCTCGTCTCCACCACTGAGCAACAACCATCTCAGCAGAAGTTGGCCGGCATCCATGAGCATGAGCGGAAAGGCGAAAGCGGGGGAGATGCGGATGACGACAGTTACGCGGCGGAGGGCAAAGCGGGGACAGGCGGCGCACCAGCAGCGGAAGCGGACAGGCGACGCGCCGCGACAGCAGACGGCTCGACCTCTCAAAGCGCGGCTACCGGCACGGAACCTACCCCGGCTGCACCCTATGGCGAAGGCGTCAACTCGACTTCCTCACCCATTTTGCCTGCTGGGATCACTGCTTAGAGCGCACAAATACACGCACTCGAGCGCACTCGAGCACAATCGAGCATCTGTTGTAGAATCTCGCTTGGCACGCCTTGCCTAGTACCCGTTTTCGTCTCGCCCTCTCTCCCTCGAGGGTCATGTTCCCCGTATTGTCCTTGTCTATGTATCACCTCGCTCGCCTCGCAGTCTCATTCTGTTTATCTCTTCGTATTGCTAGTGTTCCTGTGGCTCTCCGACCTCTCCTTTACTCTTGTCTGTGTCGTTAGATTTGCCCTTCTTCTCAACGCTTAGCACTTTCTTTTGGTCCGACTGTTCCGACCACTCCCGGGTATCGAGTGACATTGGTGACGATGGAGTATTCCTTGATCTCTTGCCTTTGTATCTTCAGCTTGCCTTCTCCTTCTCTGTCCCTGCCTTCTCTGTCGTCTCGTCCTTGACCTCCTCCTGCAGCGGCAGTACCAAACGAAAGCAGTCTTTGCCATTGAGGTAGAAGCGATGCAGCCTCTTCTCCCTCATGAATCCCAATCGATCATACAGCTTCAACGAGGCCAGATTATCCACCTCGGTCTCTAGTACGACCTCCTGTGCTTTGAGAGGCAGCATGGAAGAGATGCTCAATTGTACAAGACGAGAGGCGATGCCTTTGCCGCGCCAACTTGGGTGGACGCTGAGCATGGCAATGTAGCCCCTCATCCGTCGTTCGCCCTTGAGATGTCTGTCCAGCTTGCAGATGACGACTCCGACGGGGATGTCGTTGATGTTTCGAGCTCCCGTGCCGGGGATGGAGGAGCCCGCTGGCTCTGCTGAGCTCTCATGCTGGGAGGCTGGACATGGTTGCCAGGCGAGCCATGTGAGTTGAGGCCACTGGTTGACAAAGTAGCGATAAGTATAGACGATATAGGGTTCTGAGAGCTCCTTTTCAATGAGGGCCGTGATGATGGGTATCTCCACCTCGGACTTGTACTGCGTGTAGTAGATTTCGCTATCAGTGGACGACGGTTCTGCGGCCGCTCCGGCTGCCGGCGCCGCGGTTGCCATACTTGTCCGTGGCGTCCGTCGTCTAGCGTTGCCGGTCGGCGCTTCGGCTGCTTGACGGTGAGTAAAGGATCGATGTCCGCTCTCTTGCAACGTTTGGAGTGGCACAAATTCACTCGCGGTGAGACGACCTTCTTCCACTTGCACCGATGCACGTCGCTCACACTAATGTTCTAGACCTCCCTGCAGCTGGGCCAGGCAGCCGCGCAGCCCAAGAAGGACGTCTTGATGCGGAGTCCCCACAGTTGGAGCCGAAGAGAGGCGGCGCCTTGTCGCTGCTAGAGTTGTCTTGTATGCTATGCTATGCGATGCGATGGAAGCTTTGAGCAGGGCTGGCTTTTGCAAACTTGCACACACAGGCGCTCAGCCCGAATGTCTAGTGACTGTCCGAGGCAGGTACGGCTTGGCCCTACGTCGAGGTGAGGCGCGAGAGAGAGACAGCTGGGCGGAGCACACACCCACACCCAGCTGGGCGTGGGAGGCTGGCGCTCGGCCCTGCCCCGCCCTGAGCCTCGCTTGGCTTTGCTCTCCCCCCCGCCGCCTGCCCGCCTGTCTGACTCTCCCCGGCGTGCAGCTGGGTGCTTCCGCCCCGCGCCTTGTGTGGGTGCCCTGCCCCCGCGCCGCCCCAGCCAGGGAGGGAGCTCTGCACAGACGCGGCACAGTCGTCATCGATGGCCCTCGCTTCACCCGTGCGTGCGCCCACTCCTCCTCCCCCCTTCTTCCCTCCGCACACCCGGCAATCCCTCGTCCCCTTTGCTCCCCCTTCTTCCCCACACTTCTCCATCCTCTTCACTGCATCCTCAGCATTACATCGTAGCTCCTGCACTCAGCACACGGTCCTCGCAACGGTGAACTTCTAGACCACCACCGCCAACGACCACCTCTAACCGCTCCCGACCCCCGATCTCGGCCCGGCCCCACATTGTCGTCTCTTCTTCTGAGCTAGCCGCTGCCATCAATTCGCCGGAAGGAGAGGAGCACTCCCACAATCAGCGCAAATCCCCCAAGTATCACCCTTGAGCTCCACCCGCGTCCCTCTCCCCTCTCTCACTCTGCCCAGCATGTCTGTCGCTGCACAGACTCGCGATGTGCACAACCACCTTCTCTTTGAGTGCGCTTGGGAGGTAGCCAACAAGGGTGAGCATGTCGAGAGTAAGAGAGCGAATCAGCTGGCCTTGTACTAACGACGTCCCTTTCCAACACCACAGTCGGAGGTATCTACACCGTCATCAAGACTAAGGTGAGTACTCGGAGCTCATCCGCACAGGAGCAGCCCCGATCAATGAACTCAGAGCTCATGCCGAGTTCGTCCACGCCTTCTCCCTTCCCCTCCTCCCCTTGTAGGCCCCCGTCACTGCTGCCGAGTATGGCGACCGCCTCACCCTCATCGGACCCCTCAACTACAAGACGGCGCCCATGGAGGTGGACCCTCTAGAGCCAGACAGCGAGCCGATGCGCAAGACGCTCGAGTCAATGGCAGCTCGGGGTGTCAAGTTCCTCTATGGTCGCTGGCTCATCGAAAGGGCCCCACGTGTCCTCTTGTTCGACACTGGCAGCATGTACCACAAGCTGGACGAGTGGAAGGGCGACCTCTGGAACTCGGCTGGGATCCCCACGCCCCAGAACGATCATGAGACCAATGAGACTCTCATCTTTGGGTATCTGGTCGCCTGGTTCCTGGGAGAGTTTGCCGTCAATGAGCGTCAAAAGGCTATTGTAGCGCACTTTCACGAATGGCAAGCAGGTCTCGCAATCCCCCTCTGCCGCAATCGACGCATCGATGTCACTACCATCTTTACCACTCACGCTACCCTTCTCGGACGATACCTTTGCGCTGGCTCAGTCGACTTTTACAACAATCTCCAATACTTTGACGTGGACCACGAGGCTGGAAAGAGGGGCATCTACCACCGGTACTGCATCGAGCGAGCCTCGGCCCACTGCGCCGACGTGTTCACCACTGTGAGCCACATCACCGCGTACGAGAGTGAGCATCTCCTCAAGAGGAAGCCAGATGGAGTGTTGCCCAATGGTCTCAACGTCGTCAAATTTTCGGCCATGCACGAGTTCCAGAATCTCCACGCTCAAGCCAAGAATAAGATTTCCGAGTTCATCAAGGGCCACTTTTACGGTCACTACGACTTTGATCTGGACAATACCCTCTACTTTTTCACTGCTGGACGATACGAATATCGTAACAAGGGTGTGGACATGTTCATCGAGTCGCTCGCTCGTCTAAACTACCGACTGCAAAAGGCGGGAAGCAAGACGACGGTCGTAGCCTTTATCATCATGCCCGCTGCCACGAATTCGTACACGATCGAGGCGCTCAAGGGTCAGGCAGTCACAAAGCAGCTGAGGGATACTGTTGAGCAGATTCAGGCTCGCGTCGGCGAGAGGTTGTTTGAGAGGACCGCAAGATACCAGGGCGAAGGCGGCAACGACCTCATCGACCCTACCACGCTCCTCTCTGATGCCGACAAGATTCTGCTGAAGCGAAGGATTTTCGCCCTGAAGCGTAACTCTCTCCCGCCTGTCGTCACGCACAACATGGCCGATGACAGCAACGACCCGATTTTGAACCAAATCCGCCGAGTACAGCTCTTCAACCGCCCTCAGGATAGGGTGAAGATCATTTTCCACCCCGAATTCTTGAATGCCAACAACCCGATCCTGGGTCTTGACTACGAGGAGTTTGTACGAGGATGCCATTTGGGAGTCTTCCCGTCCTACTACGAGCCTTGGGGATACACGCCTGCCGAGTGTACCGTCATGGGAGTGCCAAGCATCACCACGAACCTGTCCGGCTTCGGATGCTTCATGGAAGATCTCATCGAGTCGCCCGAGCAGTACGGTATCGGCATCGTCGACCGTCGCTCGTGCTCGGTAGAGGAGTCGGTGGACGCTCTTACGACGCAGATGGAGCGCATCGCCAATATGAACAGGAGGCAGCGTATCGCAATGAGGAACAGGACTGAGAGGCTGAGCGATTTGCTCGACTGGAAGAAGCTGGGACTGGAGTATGCAAAGGCTCGTCAGCTGGCGCTGAGGAGGGCATACCCGGACTCGTTTGCTGAAGAGGACGAGACGGGCTACTTTGACGAGTCGAACATCAAGGTGCCTCCTCCGGCGTCGATTCCTGGCTCTCCTCGCGTTCGCACGCCGGGTGATTTGGGTACGCTGACCGAGGATATGCAAGGTCTGGGCACGAGCGACTACCGCGGGTCTTCCTTCTGGAAGGCCATTGGCGCGAATGATGACGAGGACGAGGAAGTGTACAAGTTCCCACTGGTGATGAAGTCTTCGAGACATCGAGGCAACTCTGTGGGATCCGTCTCGGGCATGTCCACCCCGGGCATCTTGGGCGGCAAGACTCTCTCGGCTCAAGATTTGGACCGCGCAGACGAGGCGCTAAGCCATCATCAGAGTACCAATGGCAATGGCCGAGCATGAGGGGGGGAGGGTAGCGGGGAGGGATGAGGGAGGACAAGTGGAGGGCATGCGTGCTTCTCAGAAGCGTGGCCGCGGATGTAGACGGACGTATATCGCAACGACGGACATAAGCAAGTTAAAGTTGTCTTTTCTTCGGAACACACCCCAAATGTAGTCATCTTCTATCTGTCTTTGTTTTGTGAAGCGAGGCGAGGCGAGCCGGGCCCCTATCATCCGATGCGACGCCTGGCGAGGCGGATGTGGATGGATCCAATCTCCCCGGTTTGACCCAATGCACTGGTGTCATTTTCAATCTGGCCACATCTTCCCACGCGGGTAGGGGTTTCCGATCTGATCCGAGCGTGACCTCTCTCCCGCCCTCTCAGGTGACCCCCGCCCCTGTGTGTATGTGTGCGTGTGCGTGGGGGTACGGGCGGGTACGGATAGTAGGCAGCTGTGATGGGCCAAAGGAAGGCTGGCTGGGCGGACCAGAAGTTGCGGTGTGAAGAGCGGAAGGTGGATGGCGGAGGGGGAGGAGGGCGTAGAGCGGAGAGCAGAGAGCGGAGAGGGTAGTGCGACCTTGACTGCCGGCGACCAGTCAGTCAGCTGGTGCGAGCAAGGCTTGGTCACGCGGGGAATGGGAATGGGTCGAGGGGGGTGGCAAGCTGAGGAGCGGGGATGGAGCTCAAAATGGTCCTGCTGACCGTGTAGTGATCTTCTTTTCTCGGCAGACGTTTGGCAGGCCTGCCTGCTGTCCAAGGAGGGCGCCGCCCAGAGCAGCAGCAGCAGCAGCAGCAGCAGCAGCAGCAGCAGCAGCAAGGCTTGCTGTGTGAGCGTCTCTGTGTGTGTGTGTTCTTGTGCCAGATTGCGAGCGTGGGGTGAGCGCCTCGCTTGCTCTGCTGTAGTGCCAGGGTGGGGAGCCAGGTCCATGCACTTCTCCACAAATTGACTGCAGCCGCACGCGCCCTCTGGTGGGCTGCCTGGAATTCCTTTCGGCCGTTGGACGGTGAACAGGTGGAAGGTGTGCTCTCCCCCCTCCTCTTCTCCCCTTTCGGCTTTTGATGATTGCACCCGAGGTTGCCCACTGACCACCAGATGGACCTGCAAGGACACGGAGGAGGTGCCTTTATGGCTACCAAGGTTGCTCAGAGTGGGCGAACGAACGAACGAACGGACGGACCTTTGCGGGGTAAAGTCGAAATCTACCCCCCCGCGCTTCCCCGGATGGCCGTGGCCGGTGCAAGCAGCACGGCAGGTGTGGAGTTAAGCTGCCCCCTGTCCCTGTTCCTGCCCTCCTGTGCCTGGCCCTGTACAGGCCCCTCTCCCGCAACAGTACATATAACCCTCGCAAAGTACTTTCCCACTCGCTTCCCCACACTGCACTGCGATTAGCATACCCATTACCCGCACCCCACACATACTATCAGTACAATGTCTGCTACCCTTCAGTTTGGTAATGGTGAGTTCAAAGGGCGGTAGAGTGGGGGGAGGGGTAGCATGCAGGACTGTACAATGCAGCACAGTTGCGCATCTTCCTGTCCCACCATTGCCGTTGCCACCTCTCTGTACTTGCTCACCTGACCTACTACCCTCCCTCTCCCTTCCCACTCCTCAGGCAAGTCCGCCAAGGTCCAGACCGGACTCTTTATCAACAACAAGTTCCAGCCAGCAGCCGATGGCAAGACCTTTGCCGTGGTCAACCCCACCAATGGAAAGGAGATTGCACAGGTATCCGAGGCATCCGCAAAGGACATTGATGTTGCTGTCAAGGCAGCACGAGAGGCCTTTAACACCGTTTGGGGTTACAACGTGAGTGGGAGAGGGTAGCAGAGATGGGAGTGTACTTGCGGGTGGTCACTCCGTACTCACTTCCGTATCGCTTACTGACGCGCTTCCTGCACCCCGCACTCCACACCCTATCCGCCCTCCCCCGCGCTTCGCTTCCCGCTTGCCCCCGCCGCCCTCGCAGACCCCCGGCAAGGTCCGTGGCCAGATCTGCATGAAGCTCGCTGAGCTCATCGAGGCCAACGTCGCCGAGCTCGCCGCCATCGAGTCCCTCGACAACGGCAAAGCCTTTTCCATTGCTTCCGGCTTCGATATCCCCGAGGCTGCTGCCAACTTCAGGTACTTTGGTGGCTGGGCCGACAAGAACCACGGAAAAGTCATGGAAGTCGACGGCAGCAAGCTCTGCTACACCAGGCACGAGCCCATTGGTGTCTGTGGTCAAATCATCCCCTGGAACTTCCCCTTCCTGATGATGGCCTGGAAGATTGCACCCGCCCTCGCCACTGGTAACACCATTGTCCTCAAGACTGCCGAGCAGACGCCCCTCTCTGCCCTCAAGTTTGCCGAGCTCATCGAGCAGGCCGGTGTACCCCCCGGTGTCATCAACATTGTCTCTGGCTTTGGACCCGTCGCCGGCGCTGCTATCTCCAAGCACATGGACATCGACAAGGTCGCCTTTACCGGCTCCACCCTCGTCGGCCGAAGTATCCTGAGCGCTGCTGCTTCTTCCAACCTCAAGAAGACTACCCTCGAGCTCGGAGGCAAGTCCCCCAACATCGTCTTTAACGACGCCGACATCGACCAGGCCGTCTCCTGGTCTTGCTTCGGCATCAACTTCAACCACGGTCAGACTTGCTGCGCCGGTTCCCGACTCTACGTCCAGGCTGGCATCTATGACCAGTTCCAGGAGAAGCTTCTCCAGAAGTACAAGTCCGTCAATGTCGGTGACCCATTCGCCGAGGCCACCTTCTCCGGCCCCCAGGTCTCGCAGCTTCAATTCGACCGAATCATGTCGTACATTGACAGCGGCAAGCAGGACGGTGCCAAGGTTCTCACTGGTGGTGCTCGAAAGGGCAACGAGGGATACTTCATCGAGCCTACTATCTTCACCGGAGTCGACCCGCAGTCGAAGATTGCCCGCGAGGAAATCTTCGGACCCGTCCTCGTACTCCAGAAGTTCGAAGACGAGGCTGATCTTCTCAGGATTGCCAACGATTCCATCTACGGATTGGCTGCCGCAGTCTTTAGCAGAGACATCACACGAGCATTGGACACTGCTCACAAGCTTCAGGCCGGTACGGTCTGGGTGAACTGCTACAACCAGCTCTTCCCCAATGTACCCTTCGGTGGATTCAAGTCTTCTGGTATCGGACGAGAGCTTGGAGAGTACGCTTTGAGCAACTACACCAACGTCAAGAGTGTAATCTGCAACCTTACAGCCCCTGCTCCTCTTTAGGAAGCTCGAGAACGAGTTGAGAACGATATGGTACGGTACGGAGGCGATCCGGCGTAGTGGGAGGGGGTGAAAATATCCATGTCCTTGATAGGGTTGCGAAGTTTCAGGCAACGACGACGACATTGCGCGAGTTCTTCTCTTCAGTGTGTTCATGATCCGAGCGTTGTCCTTCAGCATGACGAAGAGCTGTGTTGTTCCATCAAGGAGCGTCGTACCGTCGAGCGTGAGGAGGCAATGGTCCTAGCGGTACCCGGGGGCGCGCGGACCGGAACCGGAACTGGAACCGGGCGCCGGAACGCCACCGGAAGCAGAGATCGAAGCGGAATTGACGGCAGGGCCACAAACGCGGAACGGAAGTGACCTTGGTATTAGAAGATGTCGATCAAAGGGCCAACGAAGTCATGGCTGATCGCGCACCGTGGCTGGTCACTGCATCTCATTGCTGTGCTGACTCATGAGCCTGGAAGTACGACTAGCGCGATCTCGAGCTCTTTACGGTGCTGTAGCGCGTCTTAGGTGGACACGGACACACCGTCAATGCAGAGCCTGAAGCACTTGTCGAAGGCAAGGCGCCAGAACGTCAATCATCATTGGTCGACGTATGTTTCAAACGCGCTGGCTAGGAGGAAGGGCGTGAGTTCGAGCTGCATGCTATGCCCAACGGCAGGCAGGGTCCCGAAATCAGTCTTCAGGTGCGACTTGCTCAACCCAGTGAGCCCTTTTCCTTCAACGTGGTAGACTCATCAGCATCATGCAAGAACCGTCAGCAATCGTCAATGCAGCCGGTATACGGGTTGGGCATCACCAGAAATCTGAGCATCCAGGGCCGATCACCGACACAGCAGCATCCGCCGTGACCTCCAACGACGATGCTTTCGCTCTCGATACCAGCTGCCTCGCGGACCTCCTCCTCATCGGACACCAATCCCATCCGTCCGTTCCACGCTGAGCTCAGGTTGCACCACAGGCTGAGCAGGTAGCGATGGATCGGTTGTAGCGTACTCCTACTCTTTCAGATGCACTGTGGGCAAGAGCAAGTCCTCAGTGAGGCGCTAGGCTGAGTCGTCAGCGGTCAGCTAGCGATCTTGCATCACAGTCGTTCGCCTCAGACGCCGTCGATGTAGTGCAGGGCTTTGGTAGAGTTGCTTCAATCGAGGTGGTATCAACTTTGATAAAAAAGAAGATTCTCACAATTGCAGAAGACTATGATGAGCTTGATAACGGTGATTACGACAAGCTATCGTGGAAGCTACATACACGTCGCGTCAAGAGCTCTCTTAGCCATCCACCTTTGCAGTACTTTTTGTCTGGACAGAAGCAACGCCGACGGCTTCTGTGTCATTGAGGTCAACTGCCAGGAAGTAGAAGCGCAACCGGCTACCTGTGATATCGCCTCTCCCATCAATGAAGGACATTGTGCAAGACCTAGTGTGTACTATGCGCTAGATTCTGCAGGAGTGGAACAGACGCAGCGAAGACAGCATTGCCAAGTCAGTAACGGCGAAAGCATTGGTCGTCTGCCAGCCAAGATTCACTCACTTGACTTTTCGAGATCATGCGCGTGTGCGAAGAGACGACGCAAACGCTTGCAGAGCCTGCTGAGGACGGAAGTCAGTCACCGCCGAGGATCTGAGAGGAGCAATCAGCGATGGACAATCCAGGACATAAGACCATTGTGCAGCTTTATCTGTGACATGCCGGCGCCAGCGCCGATTAAGTAATAGGGTGTCGCGGCCATCTCATCTGCCACTCTGGCACTCAGTCTCACTTCTGCCCTCCTTTTAGACTAACCACAACCACTACTACCTCCTAGAACCACCCTGTATTAGCCTCACCATCCTTTCTCACTCCAATATCACGTGATTTTTCATTCTCTTCCTTAGTCCGATCACATTATCGACAGTCCATGCCGAGCACGCTTTGGCAGCCTTGCGGTCCTTGCGTTTGATAGACTGGTCTCGCCAAATTGCACTGTTGGCCAGGACACGGAAATACGCCTTTTTCGCCCATGAGTCCGCGTGCTTTCTGCTGTTCTCCTGGTCGGCGCTTGTTGGGCGGGGAGTTAGTTGGGCGGGGAGTTAGGATTCCGAGCACGAAATGCACTTGAGCTTTCGACGTTCTTTTGCACCTTCGCCATATAGCCGGCCAGTTTCTCAGCTGGCAGGACTTGCGCCAACGTCAGATCCCGCCATGCGACTGGATTCTGAGTCAGCCGACGACTGAGGACCAGAAGAGCTGCCACAAGCGCAGAGTGGCTGACGCCTCTCTGCAACGAGTTGGCGCTGATCTCTTCCGTACCTTGCGTGAGGACGCAAACGAGGAGGACGGAGAGGGACGTCTTTGAGTAGGTCTGCGCTGCTCCGTGAGGGCTCGCCTCTATCGCCGCTTGCAGTGCAGGCATTGTTGACAGGATGTGCTGGAAGTGCTCTCAGGAAGATAAGCCGGCGGCGGTAGAGAAGTCTACGGACGGGAAGGGCACAGGCGTTGCCGGCTGGGCGCTACCACCTTGCAAGGGAGCATACACTGTAGCCTCGATGCGGTCCGAAAAGACTCTGATGTCCTTGGGGTTTTCCAGCTAGAATCTGGGTGGCCCGAAGAGTCGCAGTGTCAGACAAGGCGAAGTCATGGCCATCAATAAGAAATGCGTCAGTACAGCCCCAATGTTCGAAAGTCACCTATGCTCTCCACGCGATCTTATCCATAGACCTGGCTAGCTCGATGGCCTTGCGAGCTGCGTCTCTCCTTGTTGCGGTGAATTTGCACACGAGGACCTGCGACCTGCAGGACAGATTCGAAGTATATCGTTCCGATCATCCTCGATGTTTTCTGAATTTGCGACGATGCGATGTGTGCCATCAACTGACTGAGGTTGGAAGCCACTAGATACGGTGGGCAGTGTATCAGGTCGCTTCGGTGTCGCTTCCATGTTGAATGGGCTCGAGGGTGGCGAGCGATCCGAGATGCTATCATCGTGCATGTGTGTCGACAATGATTGCCATCTTGCATGACGCATACGTGGCATGATCGAGCGCCTCTGTGCTGTTGCTTGCTAATTGGGCGAGTGTGCTAGCTGCTGGTGAGTAGAGATGGTAGCGAAGGGAGTGGGGTCAGTCATGAGTGTCAATGGTGAAGGCAGACGAGGCTGTTGACAGATGCTTCGAAGCATGAAGCTCGATGAGAGACGAGGTAGTGCAGATGGTGATGCGACTGAGAACCTGTCCATGCAGGCGACAAGCCGTTGAGGGATCAAGCCCTTGAAGAGGCAGGTCAACACTCACCACATCAGATTATCAGTGTCGCTTCTCCATTGAGGAGCACTCGTTCTTGTAAGATAGTGAAGGAATAGTCGAGCGAGTAAGGTAGAAGGGAGAGGTAAGGAGAGAAGGAGGGAAGGGCAGGGGGGAAAGGCGCAGAAGGCTGCTTTTAAGTCAAGGTCAGGGACGAACATCCATCCACTTTTGCTGCGCGATTGCCGTCAGGAAATGTCACGAAGCGTGACCAGTGAGTGTTCCACGCCGTTCTTCCCTCCCGACCTCACCCGACCTCCGTCTCGAGAGCAATGGCACGGACTGGAGATCGAGGAGGAGCAGAGAATGAGTAGTCACATTGCATCATCTCGTGAGTAAGGACGAAGCTCGCTCAAATGGATGCACACGAGGGAGTCACACCAGTACAGCCAATGCTATCGGATTCGTGAACAAGTGTATTCCACTCAGCACGTCTACTACCGCCTTTGTCTCTTGCGATCTCCAGGCTTCTTCGTCTTGGCTTTTGAGTGGCCGCGGCCTCCAGCAGCAGCCTTGACTTGGTGCTGTAGTGGGAATAAAAGATTCGAGGACAGCAATTGTCAGTTTTGCCTCTACTATCCTCTCCTCGATCCTGTCCGGTCTACTCACCTCTCCGTACTTTCTCTTTGCATAGGCAGCTGCCTCGGCATCCTTGATGAGCTCCTCGACCACTGTCCTTCCCCTCTCTGCCTTTGTCATGTAAGACTTTGGCTCCAATGGGGAAGCGATGATCTTCCCCAGCTGAGCGAAAGCAGGCAATCCCTTGTCCTTGGAAGCTCCACCCTTGTAGAAGCGTTTCGGGTCCATTGCGTTGCGAAGACGAATGGCTTGGACTTCGCGCTTCATCTCTTCGGCAGTGGCGCCTCTGGCGGAGGAGGTGTAGCGGGATGAGGCGGCGCTGGGCCCTGCTCCGTGAGAGGAGGAGCGATCTTCGGTGGGGAAAGCGGGGAGGTCGTACCAATCTGACCCGGCCGTCTTGGCTCGCAACTGAAGGGTGGGACGGGGGAAGTAGGAGGGGTCGATCAGGATAGGAGCAATGGCAGAAGGCTGCGAACGCCCTCGCTCTCAGCTCTACTCACCTCACGAGCCTTCCTCTGACCTTCTCGCTTGCCCTGACCCCTGAATTCGCTCAGAGCCTTCTCACTCTGTAACCTGTCCAGATGCACATCGATGGCCTTCCTCTTTCCCTTGTCGCTGAGGTCCGGCGCAGCAGCTGGGCCTTGCTGGGAGGTGGATGCTACGCTGGACTTGCCATTCACGCCTCTCCGCTGGCTATCGTCCACTCGCTTGCCGGTGTTAGCGCTACCGTCATCAAGTCTGATGATGTCGTCGGTGCTGGAGAAATGCCTCTTGTCCTTGTCGGCCTGTGCTGCCTCTTCGTAGGCCCTGATTGAGGCTTCGAAGAGAGCATCCAGATCTTCCTCGGCGGAGGGTGGAGTAGGAGCGGATCGCTTCTTGCTGGTGATGGACGATGGGCCAGCGGACTTGCCCATGGCTGACGTCGAGGCAGCAGGCATGTTCGTAGAGGGGAGGTAGCGCTGTTGTGTGGTGGGCGCGAATGTACGAATGACCTTGGTTGGAGTTGGTTGTCTGGCCCGCCCTTTCCACCGGGAGTGGGCCAAATTTCTCAGAGGTGCATGGCTGGGTGGCTCGTGTGTGCGCGGAAGCGGGAAGATCGCTCCACGGAAGCACTCACTCCCTCAGCGACGACTCCCTACCGCTCCGTAGATTACAGCGCAGGCCACTTGACAAGCGCCATTTGCTTTGCATTGCTGATTCCCTTCCTCCACCTTCCTACCACTCTCGCATTTCAAGACCATGAAGCGAGGGGCTCTGCGGCAAATTCAAAGAGAGGATGGGGAGGATCCGCACGACGTAGATGGAGCAGAGGACGGCCAGAACGGATCAGCGGGGGCAGCTCCCGCCGGCGAGCGAGTGTGAGTACCTGGGGCAAGAGGCCGGCACAGACCTCCTTGAGACCAGAGTCAGGGCGCTGATGAGCTCCTGCGTTTCTATCGTTCCCCTTTCGTCTCTTCTTCTACCAGCATTCGAGGCCTCCCGAGACGCAAAGGATTCGGCAGCTCCACTCCTTCCGCAAGTCCCTCACCAGCACCTACAAGTGCCGGGGCAGCTCCCACCTTTAGCTTCGGTGCCCCGTCGGGAGGAGGGTTTGGTACCGCACCTTCAAGTGCCCCCACACCCACCTTCTCCTTTGGACAACAGCCATCCTCATCATCCACTTCCTCCCCCTCCTTTGGTGCCTCTGCTGCCTCGACAAATCCCAGCCCTGTAGGCTTCTCCTTCGCACCGGCGACCGCCGCGGCTAGCAAGCCTGCAACGTCGGCGACGCCCGCAGCGTCAGCCTCGTCTAGCAGCAGCAGTACCTCGAGACTTAACCATCTCCTTGCACTGCGCGGGCTGAACCACTCGCTCCGCACAGCGCTTGCTACGCAGCTCGACCCTGCCTCGCTCGGAGAAAAGGAGCTGGACGATCTGGCTCCCCTGGTGCGTGGGGTTCTCGACAAGTACGAGACCAAGAGGAAAGAATTGGTAGCAAAGGAAGGACAGAGCAGTAATGGGACCGGCAAGGGGCCTAGCAGCTCAGCGCCTGCGCCTGCGCCTTCATCGAGCAGCGGCTCGTCCTCTCAACCGTCCACTTCCACAACGGGCGGCTTCTCCTTTACAGCGCCCAAGAGTGCTCCTGCTGCCGCACCTGCTCCTGCCAAAGCTGCGCCAGCGCCAGCTGCCTCCCTCGCATCCTCCTCCTCGCCCTCCACTGCACCCCCAACATTCTCCATCCCCTCGGGCGGCTTCTCTTTTGCAGGGAAGAAGGTCTCAGACCTCTCCGCGGCTGCTGCTAGCGGGAGCAAGGTGCAACTGCCCAAGGACATCCCCACGTTCGACAAGCCCATCTCGAGCTTCAAATTCGCCGAAGGGTCGGGGTTTGCGCCATTAGAAAAGGAAAAGGAGGAAAAGGAAAAGGCAAAGAGGGAGCAGGAGGCTGAGGCGGAGGAGAAGAGGCGCAAGGAGGAAGAGCAGGAGAAGGAGCGCAAGGCGAAGGAAGCAGAGGAGAAGGAGCGGTCCAGCAAACCTGCTGCTACCACTCCCTTGTCGGCCACCTCACCCGCCTTCTCCTTTGGGGCTCCCGCTGCCCAGCCCCCTCGCGCAGCATCCTCCACGCCCACGCCCACCTTTGGAGGCTTTGGCTCCGCAGGCGGCTTCGGCTCTTCCTCGTCCTCCTCCACCGGCGGTAGCGCTGGTGGTAGCGCCAGTAAGCCTGCCGAAGAAGGATTCCGCTTTGGCTTCGGAAGCTCCTCCTCCGGCGCCTCTACCTCTGCCTCCTCCACGTCGAAGCCTAGCGCACCTGCAGCAGCAGCAGCACCCACGAGCGGCAGTCCCTTTGGAGGATTCGGCTTCGGCTCTTCCCCTTCATCGAGTACCCCTGCCGCCGCAACAAGTCCAAGTCCATTCGGCAGCGGTAGCGGCGGGAACAAGCTCAGCAACTCCTCTGCCCTCCCATCAACGGGATTCACATTTGGGTCTGCAGCCAGTAAAAGTCCCAGTAGCGGCTTCAGTTTCGGTTCTGGTGGCGGTACCGGTAGTGGAGCTGGTGGAGGGACCAGTCCCGGTTTCACCTTTGGCAATAGCACCAGCGCTACTGGTGGCTCCATCTCTGCTGCCACTCCTTCTACGGGCTTCTCCTTTGCAAATCCAGCGAGCAATGTTGCCAAGCCGGGCATGTTTGACTTTAAAGGTTCGGGAGGGAAGATTTCTTTTGGTGGAGAGAAGAAGGAGGGAGAGGACGGTGGGGACGAGAAGAAGTGAGGGAGGGGGACACTCTGTATCACCAGTGACTCTTCTACATCTATCCGTCTTGAGTGTAGAGGAAATGCTGCAGAATCGCCTGGTGTCACACCACATTTTCGATTACTCGACCGTTGCGAGAGCTCGTAGCATTGCAATCACACTGCGCTGTTCTGTTCTGCTCTCCTCCGCTCATCGCTTGACCCAAGTGTACGCCTTTCGCGCCTTTGCCAATCCGGTCTTCTTCCTCTCCACCATTCTCGGGTCCCTCTTCAACACACCATCCCTTCCCAATACCTCCCTCACACTAACTCTCAATCTAGCCCACTCCTGCTCCTGAGCCTCATTCCCACTCGCTTCGGCCGCTGCTAGCTTCTCTTCAAAGTATCGCACAAGAGCTTTGGCCAGTCCATGGGCTACGGCGCCTGATTGACCTGTGTGCCCGCCGCCTGAGACGAGGGCAAAGATGTTGAATGCGCCGAGGAGGTTGACGAGGCGAAGTGGGTGGAGAATGTCTTCGCGATGTGTGGTGCGAGTAAAGTACTTGGAAATGGTGAAGCCATTGACCATGACTTCTCCCAGGGGAGGTGAGGCAGGTGCTGATCCTGGAGCTGATACCGAAGCTGCGTCACCTGCCCCTCCTGCTTGAGTTTCCAGGGGTGCGATCCAGACCATTGCAGTCGACTCTTTCCTCCTACCATTTGCCCAGATCCTCCCCTTGGTATCCACTCCGGTCCCAGGCGTGACCCGATCGGCTCTCTGGTCTGCCGCTCCTGTGCGTCTCTTGAAGACCTCCATGACCTCATCCACCTCCTTGGCCAACCTCTGATGCTCCACCTTGGACGAAGTCGGCAGATGTACCTTGACCAAAGGAGCATACCGTGCGAGACGCGAAAGGGCTGTGGCGATGTTCCTGTACTGGGACGCCTTGAGTGGCATACCTAGCAGACTTCCCATCTCTCCAATCTTTTGCCAGGAAGGCGCAGGTCCTACGGAAGCGGCTGAAGAGCCCTTCTTCCTCTCTCCTAGGAGGTCTGCCAACTCTACAAGAGAAGGCATAGGAGCATTCCCCTTGAGGACGTGCAGCTGCTCCAGAGCACGCTTGGACTTGCGTAGGAGATCCTCGAGTTGCAAGAGGAGAGAAATGTATGATGGGCGGGCGGTGTAGAAGGCTGGCGTGAGGGGCTTAAGGCGACTGGGCGCCAGAGCAGAACCGGTCAAGAGGACAGACGGTGTCGGCGGGAGGGCAGAGGGTGGGAGTCGGGATGACGAGCTTGAGGATGAGGAAGAGGATGACGAGGAGGAGGCTCGGTCATTGCTGGAGGACGACGACTGGGAGGAAGTCGTAGACTGGTATCGAGCCTGCGTGGCCACCCGCCGCGAGGCGACGAGAGTGCGCCGCAGGGCGACTGCAGCTGTGGCAGACGATGAGGCTGTAGTGGCTAGCGTCATGTCTCTGTCACTGCGTGGTGGGAAATGGCCAGTACAGGTAGAGTACACGAGATGGACGCACGCCTTGGATGAATCAGAAGGTCTGAGCCGAGCCGCCGAGCGTCTGAGTGATTTTTGATGCACGACCGCGCGCGACGGGCCGCCCGCCCTGAGGCCACACCCGCTCGTACGCTCGCCGGCACACCACCCACATCGCATGGCCACCGTCAAGTTAAAAGGGAGTGAATTGAGTCAATCGAGACCAAGTTTGCAGAGGTGACTTGCGCCTCCCTCGTTGAAATGTAGTGATGCTGTTCTCTCCCAAAGTGGTGTATATGTACATAGTGGTGGTGGTGGTGGTGGTGCTAATGTCCCGGCTACCCCGTTTAGTTGTCCTTGACAATGTCTTCCCTCCTCAGTGCCTTTTCCTTTTCGCTACGCTTGCTCTCCTTGCTTCCCGAACTACTGCCACTTGACTCGTCCTTAGTCCCGCTCGAGGAGGGAGGCTCGCCTCTCGCTTCCTTGCCCAATTTTCTGCCCTGGCCAGTAATGTCCTTGATCGAATCCTCCCTCACGATACCTAGTCCCGACTCTTCCTGAGCCAGGGCAACGACTTCTTGCAGAGGAATCAGACCATCCTTGTCCGTGTCCATGGAGTCGACCAGTCGCTCCAGCACATCCTCCGAAGGCCGGTGCTTGATCAACCTCAGCGCCTGTCCGAGGTCGTCGACACTGATCTTGCCCGTAGGACTGGCCTCGATGATGTGCATCTTCGAGCCCACTTCCTTTTCATACTCTTCCAGCTGCTCGTCAATCTTCTGCAGCATAGACTTCACCCGCTTCGCCAAGGAGCGAGAGGCAGCACTCTGTCCAGTGGCGGCTGCCGCTTCCTCCGACGCGGCCGCGCTCGACTCGTCCTCGCCCTTTTCGGCGGCAGAGGGCGACTTCTTGTCCTTGGAAGCCGAAGAGGCCGCCTGCTCCGCCGTAGGTTCGCTGATGGAAGACGAGTCGATTTGCTCTTCAGGCACGCCAGAGACCTCCTTGATTAGCTGCGCCAGTTCCTCCCTCTCCTTGAGAACACTGGACTTGGCGCTGAGCAAGCTCAATGCCTCACCCAGCTCGGTCAATTGCTCATTGGTCATCTTCAGCTCGTCCTCGGTCGCTCCCTCGCTGCTCTCCTCCTCCTGCTCAATCTCTCGCTTGGGCAAGAGAGCCTTGGCTTCTTCCTCTTCCTTTGCCATACGGACCTTCTCAGCGTCTCGCCTCTTCTTGTCGACCTTCCTGGCCTCCTCTTCCGCAGCTTCCTGCTCGGCCTCGTCTTCGATGAGCTCTTCCTGCTGCTGCAAGACGTCCAGACGCTGCTTGTTGGTGGCAGAGTCCTTGCTGACATTCAGCTCGGCTTCGCTGATCAGGTTGTCAGGCAGCGAGCTGAGAGTAAGCTCCAGGCTCTTTAGCTGCGTCGAAGCGTTCTCGTCGCCACTTGGCATATAGTTGAAGGCTTTGCTGAGGATCAGCAGCGTGCCGGAGATGCGTTGCTGGCTATGCAACTCGATCCATTGACGGAGTTCACTCCTCAATTGGTCTTCGGCGAGGTTCAGCGTCTGAATCCCTCGGCTTTGACAAGCGCTTTGCAGCTCGTGAAGACTGAGATGACTCAGACCTTCATGCTTGATGATCATGTCGTCCCTCTTGATGCGGTTCAGCTTGTGACGAACTTGATACCGGAGGTAGTTGTCTGTACCAAAGGCATTGATCTGCATGTACCGACACATGGACACCAGCTGAGGTCGAGTCAGATTGTCCAAGGTAAGATCGTCGTCGAAGAGCTTGGCGACTTTGATGATGTCCTCGCTTGAGGGCTGCTCTCCGGTAGCGCGGACCTTGCGGAAGAACTCCTTGAACTCGTCACTGGTCTTGACCTTGTCCGTCGCCTGGATACCTCCTTCGCGAATGGTACCCTGCAAGAACTTTGCCATTTCCAGCCGGACCTTGATCAGACCACGCCGCTTCTCTTCGACGGCGAATTTGGATTCGAATGTGGAAGGGAGCATGTTTGGGAAGATCTTGATGGCCACTGGTAGTAGCAGTTCACCAAAGGGAATGATGATGAACGGAGCGAAAGGGATGAGACGCAAGAGATCGGCTGTAGTCCTCTTGAGCTGACGCTGCTCTCGCCTGGTCAAGCTGTAGCCCATGAGCAGCCTGCGCAACAGCCTGCCGCTGATCTTCATCTCTTTGCCGAGGAGCTTGGTACCATGCCAGTAATGCTGTGCTTCCTCCTTGACCTTCAACCACACCCTCTTGACTGTGCCCATTTCCCTCCTCTCGCGTTCCGCCTCGTCCTTTTCTGCCTTCTCGATGGCCTGCTTCTCAGCAAGCTCAGAGGCTGCGACGACGGCTTGATGGTCAGCTGACCCTCGCTCAGCGGCGGTCAAGGACGAGACGGGGTTGACCCTGGAGATGTCGGAAGTGGGCGGCGAGGCGCTCTTTGGTGGTCCTGCAGCTTGATAGACGGGGCCTGACTTGCTCGCCTTTGCAGCGGGGGAAGAGGATGACCCCTTCGAGTTGGAAGACGATGAAGGTGGAGGAGGGGGTGGTGCGCTTGAGCCGCTCGAGTGCTGCTGCGTCTCGGTCGACTGCATGCGAAGCTGTTGCAGAGAGATGTATGAGGTGCCGGTGCCATTCCATGCAGATCGACGAGCTGCAACGAGCCTACGGGAGGCGGGAGAGGACGTTGTTGCGGCTGGCTGAGTGAATGCAGCGGTGCTAGCCATGCGGACTAGGGTAGCCCGCTCAAAAGGGTTGAGCAGCCCGAGTGCCGCAAAGTGGGGCATTCGCTGTGACATGATGCCTCTGGACGTTGGCACGAATCTGCCTGTCCGTAGAGCATTGCTCTGAAAGGCTGACATCTAAGCGTCGAACAGGGGCGTGGTCTGGGGTGTCAAGAGTGGCGGTGTCGGAGTGGAAGATGTGGCAGTGGCGAGGTGACCCTGGTTGCGACTTTTGAGTGACGACGACGACTGGCAAGCGTGCGAGGAGGATCGCCGATCAGAAAGGACTGAGGTGGTTGCGGTAATTGGTGAAGGAAATGCCGCTGAGCTGAGGATATGCTGATGCTGGTGATGGTCTTGGTGGAGTCCTTGGTTGGTTGCGCCTTGGAGCGCGAAGGAACATCCTGCCTGTCTTCCTTTTCCCTCTGCCTCTCCTCCGCCAATCCCTTTCCGCCGGCCCGCGCGGCGAGGGACACTGACTGCACAAGACTGACTTGGCCCACCACCTCGGACTTAGTGTGACTCCATGGAGGACCCTGAGCATACACTCACCCTCACCACCTAGCATCACCACCATCATCCTCACCTGGCCATGCCGGAGCACATTCCTCCTAGAAGCGCAGGCGCAGTGGCATCCTCGTCCTCCAATGGCCTCACCGCGTCCCCCAGCCCTAGCCATGGCAAGACTGTCTTCATCGACAACTACGACAGCTTCACCTACAACATCGTACAGGTGAGCTGCAAAGAATCAAGACGTTTGATGACAGTATACAACGGCCACTGACAGCCGCTTCTACCTCTCTCTCGCTTTCCACAGTTCCTGTCCGAGCTGGGCGCAGACCTCCACGTATACCGCAACGATGAAATCACACTCGATGAGCTGGTAGCCATCCAGCCAGCCAGGCTCATCATCTCCCCAGGGCCTGGCCACCCCTTGAAGGACAGCGGCATCTCCATCCAAGCCATCCAGCACTTTGCCGGCAGAATCCCCATCCTTGGCGTCTGCATGGGACTGCAGTGCATCTACGCAGCCTACACTGGAATCGTAGACTTTGCAGGCGAGATTCTCCACGGCAAGACCTCAAAGGTCGAACACGATGGCAAAGGGCTCTACGCTGGCCTGGGCGAAGTCATCGGAACTCGATACCATTCTCTCGCTGCCAACATCAGCTCACTTCCCGCCGAGCTCGTCGTCACCAGCAAGACTGCATCAGGTGTGGTCATGGGCATCCGACACACCAGGCTCGCAATGGAGGCCGTGCAGTACCACCCTGAATCCATCCTCAGCGTAGGAGGAAGGGAGATGCTGCAGAATTTCCTTGGCTGGACTGGACCTACCTGGGCAGACAACCCACAGGCCGGCATCGATGCACAAGCCACTAGGAATGCAGAAAAGACGGCAGCTCCTGTGATGGCAATGGGTGGTGCCCCTGAGTCGACATCCACTGGCGGCGCACCAGCTACTATCACGCCCTCCTCTGTCGGCACGATCCTGCAGCGCATTCATGCTCAGAGGCTGCGAGATATTGCCACCTCCAAGGCCCTGCCTGGCCTGTCTCCAACGGATCTGCAGCTCTCCATTGCAATGCACCTGTCCCCACCGCTGATCAACTTCCCAAAGCGACTAGCAGCCCGTCGCCATCTGGGCGTCGTAGGCGTCATGGCTGAGATGAAGCGAGCGTCGCCATCAAAGGGCGACATTGCACTCGGGGCTCATGCTGGTGCTCAAGCTCTAGCCTATGCTCGAGCAGGCGCAGACGTCATCTCGGTTCTGACAGAGCCAAAATGGTTCAAGGGGTCGCTGGGAGACCTGGCTCTCGCTAGGCAAGCCGTGGACGGACTGCCGAACCGCCCTGCCATTCTTCGAAAGGACTTCATCATTGACCCCTATCAAATCGATGAGGCCAGGCTATACGGAGCCGATACTGTTCTCCTCATTGTGGCAATGCTTGAAGACGCTCATCTGCAGGAGCTCTATTCTTACTCTGTCGCCCTAGGCATGGAGCCACTAGTCGAGGTCAACAATGCAGAGGAGATGAAGAGGGCCCTCGCCATCGGCGCCAAGGTCGTCGGTGTCAACAATCGCAATTTGCACGACTTTAACGTCGACATGTCCACCACTTCGCGACTGGCAGACGCCGCACGGGCCGGTGGGGTGACGCTCTGCGCCTTGTCCGGCATCTCCAAGCGCGCTGATGTACTTGGCTACCAGCAGGAAGGCGTCGGCGCAGTCCTGGTGGGCGAAGCGCTGATGAGGAGTCAAGACAAAAAGGCATTTGTCAACGACCTCGTGGGACTCCCTGTCCCTTCGCAAGCGACAGACCAGCAGCCTCTGGTCAAAGTCTGCGGCTTGTCGACTGTGGACGCCGCCGTCACTGCGACTCTAGCGGGAGCAGACATGCTTGGTCTCATCTTTGCACCGAACACGAAGCGCACTGTATCCCTCGCCAATGCAGCCGAGATCATCTCCGTCGTCCGCTCCTTGCGCGGTGGAGATGGGCTGAGAAACGCCGCCTTGGCTGCGGAAGCTGAAGTCGTTGCTGCTGCTGCCGACAAGAGCAGCTCTGCAGTGATCGGCGAAGGTGCCTCTACAGAAGACTGGTTCGACTATACTGCCCGCACGCTCCGCTCTGCCGTTAGCAAGCACAAGCCCCTCATCGTCGGCGTCTTCCGCGACCAGTCCGTCGAAGAGATTGTCCAGGTCGCCTCGACGCTCAAACTCGACGGTGTGCAGCTGCACGGCCGAACAGAGGAGGTAGCCTGGGCTAAGCTTCTACCGGGAGTTTGGGTGACCAAAGTCTTCCACGTAGACGCTCAAGCACGCTTTGGCGTTGGAGCGCTTCGAGAGCTAGGAAGGAGGGGGCAGCACCACCTCGTTGCTCTTGACACCGCTGGCGTGCAGAGTGCAAACGGCGCTGGAGCTGGGGATGGAGGCACAGGGCAGAGTTTCGACCATTCTCTCCTCCCCAGTCTCGCCCAGTCCGAACCGGCTCTCACCGCCCTGCGCTCCTCCACTAGCAGCACCGATGCTACCCCCTCGTCTCTCCCTCCTGCCCACCCCATTCCAGTAATCCTCGCCGGTGGACTAACACCAGAGAATGTAGCCCAGGCGGTACGAGCCGCTTTGGCTGCTGGGGTTCAGATTTTGGCCGTAGACACTTCTTCTGGTGTGGAAATTGAAGGGAGGAAGAGTACAGAGAGGATTCAAGGATTTGTTAGGGCTGTTAAGGGTTGAGAGAGAAGAAGATGAAGGAGGAGGGACGAGGGGGAAAAGGAGAGGAGGAGAGGGAAAGAAGACAGAGGAATAAGGATTGAGGAACGAGGATGAAGAGGATGGACAAGTCCGGTCCTCTGTTTTGCTATAGAAATCATCTTCTTTCATCATCATCAATAGACGCTCTTCACTCTTCACCACCTTGGGAGAAGAGAAGCACACTACACTGTGCTCATCGTCAGCCATGCTGCGCTGATTCTTTGAGCAACTTCGTTTGCAGACTGATCATGATGGTGATGATTCGGCACGACGAACGAGACAGGAAGAGGCAAGGGCGGGGCGGTGCGGTCAATGTCGATGATGGCGATGGCGATGGCGATGGCGATGATGAATGATTGGGAAACAAGAAAGTACATTGGGGCGCTTTTGGTAGTCGATGTCGAAGAGAAGAGGCAGTGAAGGGGAAACGACCAAATGCGAAGCTTCTTCACGCCACTTTCTGAACTCATCAACCTCACCTCCATCCGACCCATCCACGGAAGTCTAGACACAAAAGAGGCGACGGACAGACAGACATGATAGCAGAATCTGTCAAGCGCCTCGCGTGCTCCTTCCCTCTACTAGCAACTCAGCACCCTCTCTAAGCGTGGAGGGAAGAGAGGAAGCTCTCGCCGGCCAAGATCTTCTTGTCCTTTGGCTTGCTCTTCGACTTGCCCTCGGCCTTTCGCTTCAGGTTGCGCTCCTGCTCCCTGGCAGCACCACGGATCATAGCCGAAGCGTAAGGGTTGATGCGGAACAGAGCAGCGCGGTTGCGCAGGGGGTTCTTCTTCTGGGTGTGGGGACGCTTGGTGACCGAGGGGCCAGCGGGGCGCACAACGGACTGGATCTCGTCCGAGTTGATGATTCGGGTGACGTCGGTGTTGCTGATCTTGCTGCTGGGAATCCTGAAGCCCTTCTTGACCAGCGAAGGCTGCTCGAGGGTACCGAAGATGGTGTCCAGCTTCTTGAAGGCAGAGGCAGTGAAGATGACGAATCGGCCCAGGTGTCCACCGGGGGCGAGCTGGAGGAGGTTGAGGCGGTCGACCGAGGCAACCTCAACACCGGGCAGGTTGCGGAAAGCCTTGACGATACCATTGTCCTCGTTGTAGACGACCAGGGGTCCACGGCGCTGGACGTGTCGTCGGTTGCGCAGCTTACCCTGACCAGCTCGCAGCTTACGCGAGTTGGAGACCTTGAGAACATCGTCGTAGGCGTTGACGGACTGCAGGAGAGCGACAGCCTCCTTGGTCTTGGTCAGGCTCTCGGCAGAGTCCTCGATGACGAGGGGCACCTCCTCGACCTTCTCGACACGGTGTCCACGGGCGAGCAGCAGCGAGGGGATGGCAGTGGCGGCAAGAGCAGAGGCAGTGGCGTATCGCTTCTGCTTCTGGTTGCTCTTGACGAACCAACGGCGCCAGAGCTTGGTGGGGGCGAACATGTGACCACCTCGGGCCATGTTACCGAAGGCGGCCTGACCGGATCGGTGTGTACCACCACCACCAACTCGGGGAATACGAGCGACGGCACGACCAGTTCCCCAAGACTCGGCAGAGGTCTGGTGACCGGCGTTGGTAGCGACGGCGTAAGGCTGGCGCTTGTTCTTGGCCATGTTCTCTGTGACGGGGTGAGGGGTGAGAGGGGATCGAGATGAGTATAAATGTCCCGACAAAGATTTGGCATTGCACATCCAGGACTGCTCGAGCAGCATGTCGCCTGTCCGAATGTTGTTGCCCTGTCCTTTGGCGGTTACAGCTGTCCGCCATACCGCTTGTTACCCTCGTCGGCACTTCATACGAGCCGTATCGCTACGACCATTCAAACCCCCTTCCATGCTAGCCTTTGCTTCCGTGTATCCCTCCCTGCTGCTGGCCGCGATTGCTCTGTCGGCCCATGCCATAGCTTTGTGAATCCCATCGATACTCACTGTACAGCTCCTGAACAATGTCAGTTCGCACAGGTGCCGAGAATACGGCGGGGAGGGCGACAGAGCCAGTGGCTCCGTTGGCACCTCGAACGTTAACGGTAGGTCTATGGCGGGTAGAGTTCATGACGAGGCGAGCAGCGCAGGAAGATGAGGATGAAGATGAGGAGGAGGTGGTGGTGGTAGAGGGTATGGTGCGAGAGTACCGCAGAGATGTAGGCAGGACGAGTATCGCAGAAGAGGAAGATGAGGCAGCAAGGAAGAGGTCGAGGGAAGGGACGAAGAGTAGAGCGTTTGAGGAAGGGACAAGGGGAGAATGAACGTCAGTATCAGCTTCTGTACACTAAGCACTCCTACCAGCATGTACGCACCGAGCGGCCATTGTTGATGATGTTCTTGAGGAGGGGAGGATGTGGTGAGAACAGTGAGGAGGACGACCGACGAAGGAAGACGTGAGTGTCCTGCGCCTGCTGGGCACAGATTCCTCGCCCACGCACACTGGGCGGCGGCGGCGGCGTGGCTGCTCCTCTCCGCTCGCAGCTGAGGCCGTCGTTGCGCGCGCGACGTCTGCCTCTGCGGAGGACTTGGGCCAGCCAAGGGCGCCCGCTTGTGCCGCGCCCAGTCCCGCCTGCGTCTGCCCTCGCCCTGCCTTTGCCCGTCCGCCCGCCCGCGTGCCTGCCTTGCCCCCCGCCCCGCGCCTGGAGGAAATCTCTGCCAGGCAGACGAGGACAGACGCAGCCCGCCGCCTCGACTAAGCCAAAATCCATCGAGAGCTTACACCCACCCTTCCTATTCTCCCTACACATCAAGTCACTTCACATCATGGTGAGTAGTCGTGGCACATCGTCGCAGTGACTGTCGCATATGCTCGCAGTATAGCCTCAGGCACTCTTCTCCAGAGACACCTTCGCTTCTGCTCGACAAACGAGGGACAAGTGCTGACCAAAGACGAATCTCCATCTTCCTCTCCCTCGCCTCGTACCGCTCCTCGCACCACCTTCCCTCACTGCCTCATCCTCCTCCTCCTCCTCATCATCATCATCATCTACGCTACTCCCACGATGCATGTCATGGCCTCACAGGACGCCTCCGCCCCCGTCACCCTGCGCACCCGCAAGTTCATCACCAACCGCCTTCTGCAGCGAAGGCAGTTTGTCCTCGATGTCATTCACCCATCGAGGCCAAACGTCTCAAGGGCTGAGCTCTCCGAGAAGCTCGCCAGCCTCTACAAGGCAAACAAGGAGCAGGTCGTCGTATTTGGTATGAAGACCAAGTTCGGTGGTGGTCGATCGACTGGATTCGGATTCATCTACGACACTCGCGAGGCAATGAACTTTGAGCCCAGGCACAGGCTCGTCAGGGTGAGTGTCAGCGGCAGGCAGCGTATTGGAACACATCCGAGAGAAGAGCAAGGCAGCACGGATGGCATTGGATGAGACAGAATGTGCAGGTTAGAGAGGCAGTGGGCAGGGGCACAAGAAGTGGCGGTCTCGTGAGATGGGACAGCACATCTGCGGCTGCACCATGGGCTGCTGCAAGGTATCGCAAGGGATCCCTTGAGATCGTCAACGGCCAGTACTCATCTGCGAAAGACGTCAGATGTACTCACACTCATTTCCCCTCCCTCCTTTCCACTACCAGGTCGGTCTCGCCAAGAAGGTCGAGAAGCCCAGCCGAAAGCTGCGCAAGGAGAGGAAGAACCGTGCAAAGAAGGTCACTGGTGTTGCCAAGAAGAAGGCTGGAGACCCGGCCAAGAAGAAGTAGATTGGCTTTGGTTGGCATCACCCATCAGTCGGGAGAGAGGGAGGTCTGTCGAGACATACCCCGTACGCCTCCTACGGCCGCCGCCTCTTGCACCTCGTCGCTGCATCACAGCGTTTTACAATGGTGCCTCTTTCGCATCTATGGTCATCTCCACCTCAGCTGTTTGCTTGTCTACTTCTCGTCGGTTCCTGTCATCTCTTTTTTTGTAACATGATCAATCGGAGAGGTGGCGAGTCTGCCTCTCTTCTTCTCTCGCACACACACACATACTCATTTGTTCGCTTCTAGTCAAAGCACAACATTTCTCACACACGTTCGGTCTGCGTTTGAGAGTGGTCATGGAAACCCTTGCAAGTGGAATCGCCGTCTGATGTTCAGGGGTGAGGGAAGGAGTAGCCCCGAAGTGCTTCCGGCAGTGACGTACTACCACAGGCAGGGCTAGGAGCAACGGGGGCCATCGTCTTCGAGCCCACACTTAGCCCAGTGGTGATGTCTGAAAGTAGCTTCGCTTCTCTATCGCATGTACAGAGTGAGATTGCGAGCATCATGCCCAAAGAGTTTTCGCCATGCCCGTATTGCCAGCCAGCAAGGTCGGCTGGAGGCATCGGCTGGAGCAGGCGCTCCGTGTGTGCAGTCACGCAGGCCTGCGTGCGGGCAGGCGAGGCTCACACGCACAAGGCCCACGCTCCCACCACTGCCTGGCCCCCGCTCACCACGTCTTGCTTCATCCCCTGCCTCTCTCTTTCCCAAGAGACATCACCCAACACCCAGTCCACCTAAGGACCTCTCCTCCACGCCGCAGACAAGACGGCACGAGACCTGTAGCGACAGCAGCAGCAGCAGCAGCGCTGCTAGCCTCTCCCGACACTTGCCCTCGTCGCTTGGGGCCTCCCCCGACAACCACCTCCCTCTTCAGGCTCTCGTCCCTTCCCCACGAGCAAGCCTGTTGTGGCTTCACCACCCTCGTAGCTCCTGCCACACCAAACCACCACGGCGACTCAACCATACCATTGTGATACCTTCTCATCTCCACCTTCAGCTAGCGAACTCTTCCTCGACGACACACCGGAGCTCTTTCCAGCAACTGAAACCATTACGACCACCCCAGCATCGACAGACCTTCCTTCATCGTCTTTGTCTCCATCTCTTCCTTCAGATCCAGCTTCTGACTTTGTAGACTTCAGCTTTGATCCAGAAGGACAGGAGTACCAACACTTCGAAGCTTCCATCAACCAGCAGGAAGAGGAAGAGCGAGAACTACTCCAAGACTATCTCGACCACGAGCCTCCATCTCCCTGTGCATTTGACGAACAAGACTCGCCTACACTTGCCAAGCTAGACAGTGCGCAGAACCAAGAAGCAGAGCAATTCCACTTGCGACGCTTCGAATTCGACGAGGGAAGGCAAGACACTGCCTGTTACATTGACTCTACAGAGTCAATCTCGTCACCTCCACGCACTCGCAAGTCTCGCCTCTCTCGAGCTAGCGTTGACGATCTCCGTAGCGCCAGTCGCGAAGCCTCATCTGCCTCGGCACTTCTTCTGCGTCTACCGGACCGAAGAGGAACGAACTCGACTGCTCACCTATCTATTCACGCCCCTGGTCTCTCCTCTGCTTCTGCACACTGGGCGCCTCTTCCCTCTCGCCTAGGACCCGACGCTCCCCTTCGATCTGCCTTGATCGTAGACGAGCTCTCATCCTCGTCCATCCCACTTGTACGTCTAGAGTCGGGCTCTCCTCCCGGACAGAGGCGGAAATCAAGTCTTCCTCTGCTTAGGACAAGTCGGCTATCGCAACACTCTTCAAGCAAGTCGTTTGAAGCGCAAGCATCCTCCTTTCCCAAAAGGGGCTCGGCGAAGCGAGACTCCTCTGCACATAGACTGGCAACGTCGTTCAGCACCGCAGACGTTGATTGCCCTCCTACACTATCTACCTCAGCTCTACATAGGGTACGAGTGTCGAGTCCTCTCGTCTCCCGCGTTGCTGCCTGTGACTCTTTGAAGACAACACGCGTGCTACTGAGCCCCACCATCTACGAGCAAGAACACAGCGATCAGACCGATTATCTTGCGACCGAGCACTCACTTGGTGAGCCAGATTCCGCCATGCCTTGGTACGGCAACAACACGAGCAACACCACTGTGCAGCGCCAGCAAGGCTTCGGTGGTGCTCCTATGACTCCAGCAGCCTCTGGAGCGGGAGGCGGCCAGGGGTACAATGGAAATGGAGCCCCCAATGGCCAGTATCAGCAAGGAGGCGCCATTCCTGGCAACAGCGCCGATGCAGGCGGCCCAGTGTATCCGGCCCTCCATCTGCATCCTATGAACGATACCTTTGCGCCAAAGCAGATTTCACTTGCTCCCCCCGGGCCCCACAACAAGGTCAAGGTGGGAAGGCAGACAAATCAAAAGACGGCGCCTCATCCTTCCAATGGATTCTTTGACAGCAAGGTTCTGAGTAGAATGCACGCAGAGGTATGGTGTCAAGACGGCAAAGTCTTCATCAAGGATGTAAAGTCTTCAAATGGTACCTTCATCAATGGCGAGCGATTGTCACCGGAAGCGCAAGAATCAGAAGTATTCGAATTACACAGCGAAGACCTGGTCGAATTCGGTATCGACATCGTAGGAGACGACAACAAGACCATCATCCACCATAAGGTGGCCTGCCGAGTCTACCTCGTTCTGACTGCTGACGATGCGGTCAACATGCGTAACGACTTCGCAAACATGTACAGGGCAGGCGCCGGTAACGGTGCTGGCAACGCCACATCTACCACTCATAGCTCAGCCATGGGCGGCGCATCAGTCGGACCTGGTGCTGAAGGCGGGCTAAGAAGAGGAAAGGGCTCGATGAGCTTCGATCACATCCTTGGTCGACTGCAGATGGAATTGCAGAAGAGCCGGGAGACGGGCTCGGAGATTGGCTCGCTGAACTCGACACTTGGTGAGCTACAAGACTCCCTTGGAGGCGGCCTTCCGCCCATGCAAGAAGCTCCATACCCGCACCTGGTACCCACAGGAGCTACAACGTCGGAAGAAGGTGCTGCCGAGAGTAACGCCACGTCGTCCGCTGCCGTTGCTGCCTTGCAAGCGCAACTTGCCGAGACACAATCGTCCATCTCAACACAAGTCGACAAGATCCGGGCTCTCGAGTCGATGCTTGCGGAGCATGAACTCATCAAGGCCGAAGTTGGATCCATCAAGAGTCAGATGGAGGAGGCAAAGAGGGAGCTCGACGAGATGGCAAATTCAAAGAAGAGTCTATCCGGGAACGGTAGTCATACGCTGAGCGAACATCTTTTCCAACGAGATGGACTACCAAGCCACACAGGGAGCTTTGGCTCAGCTGAGGACTTTGATGATGGTGCCAGTATGGCTTCCATGGATACCGTCACGCCAGGTGCTGATGTGGGCGACGCTCCACGGGGAGCTGATGAGATTGAAGAAGCGGATACCGACCCTGAGATTTTGCAGAACCACGTAGGCCCTCGCGCACCTCCTGACATGCCACCAGAGCTGGCTGCTAGGGAGGCGGCTGCCTCTGCTGCTGCTGCAGCCCAAGGGGCCTCAAATGCTGCCAAATCAGCTTCTTCTCTGGCATCTCACGCCGACGAGCAACTCAAAGCACAGAACAATGCTCTTGCTGCTCGACTTGACGTTCTAGAATCTCAGCTAGAGGAGGCTCTGTCCTTTGGCCGGACACTGCAAACGCAGCACGTCTTGGCTACAGAAACGGTCAAGGCCTTGGAACAGAAGGTGCAGTCTCTCGAGAAGCAGGTGCAAGACCACTCACAATCCGTCCAGGGCAAGATCACAGAAGTCCTCGAGGGACGCTTCTCTCAGTGGAAGGACGAAATCGAAGCGGGCTGGAAGCAAGAAAAGCATAGCTGGGAAGAAGAACGTGACAGGCTGAGGGCCGTCATTGAAGCGTGGGATACTGCCAACGGCAGACTAGAGGAGCAGGCTGCTGCGCAAATTGCTGCCGGTACAAGTTCCACTCCGCTATCGGAGACAGGTGGCAGTAGCAGTCCAGCTGCAAGCGTTGCGGGCAGCCAAACTAGCGGCCAGACAAGAAGACGTGCCTCCAAATCCGCCAAGCGGAGAGCGGCAAAACGCCACCTCAACCCTACTTTGCGAGCGCTTCTGTACAAGTCTTCGCACAACGAGCCTCTAGACGACGACGAGGGATCTTACTCGAGCGAGGAAGGCGATAGCCACTCTGGTATCGCAAGTAGTAGCGGAGCTGCCTCCCCAGCAAGGCCTGGTCTCGGCGGTAAGAGGAGGAGCAGTAGCAATTTCCCACACACCCTGCAAGATATCGGCGAGAACGCGAGTAGGAGCGTTCAAGATGCGGGTAGAGGGGCTGCGTCCTCCCTAACAGCCGCAGGGGGAGGAGCTATCGGAGGGACTGCCACGGACGGTACTCGCGGCGGTGGGAAATCCAGCGGGGCAGACCCAAGCACCGGCGGTGGTCTAAGATTAGAGGTGAGTCTCCTCCATTGAGATGCATGAGAGCGAGCAGGGCGGAGAGCATAACAGAAGATTTGACGATGTCAACAGACCGATTGATGATGTTGTGCCCCTCTCTTCGATCTCCACTAAACATCCATCTATTCATCGGTGCGGTCACTCTCACGCAACGCATCGCATCGCTATCGTAACGTAACGCAACGCATACATAATTCTCCACGCACTCGCACCCGCAAACATCGATGCTTCTTTGAAACTCTCCCGTCACACTCACTCCCACTCGCCCTCTCACGCGATAGAAACCACACGCAATGGCGGGCCTGTCGGCGGTAGTGGCCCTAGTGGGCATCGTCTACTATACGAGCGCCTATACCAAGTGTGGACCGACGAGCTGAGCGGAGCGTGCGGCGGACGTGGAATGGAGCGGAGGCTCGGAGATGCGGAAACGAAGGAGTGAGGGTTTGGATAAAGGGGCAGTACTCCACCAGCAGAGGAGTGGGACAAGAAGGGGTCGAGGGGGAGCTGCAAGACCAAGGCTCTCGCTCTTTTGCCGAGTCCTCTCTTCTCTTCTCTTCCCGCCTCCCCCCTCCATTTCCCTCCTCTCTTCCCCTCTCCTCTCGTCTCGTCCCCACTACCCCTTTTCCCACTCCACTCTCGTATCCTCCAAATAAGAGCTGTACTCTCTTCAGTTCCTTTACTTCATTCATCCAATCTCACTTCATTCAATTTCAATCTCAGCTCTTTGCATCAGTCTCTCTCTCTCTCTCAGAAAGGGTACGAACGAGGGTATGGAAATGAATGTGGAAGTGGATGTGGAAGTGGAAGTAGGTGTGGATACGGAATATGAATGCGAAATGGGAAATGCGAGTGCGAGTGCGAAATGCGAAATGGGAAATGCGAAATGCGAAATGCGAAATGCGAAGTTACTTGTACAATTGAATACAACAGGTTCTGCTTCAAGATGAGTGAAATGGCGCTGCCCTCCTCGTTTTTCCCCATCTCCATCTCCATCCTCCCCTCCATCCCTCCATCTCTCCATCCCTCCCTCCCTCCCGAGTCGAGTCGAGTCAAGTCGAGTCGAGTCGAGTCGCTTCATCCTCTCCACTGCGCCACAAGGGTTTCAATCCACCTACTTCCACCACCACCCACCGCTGCTCCTCCTCCTCCCGCTCCAGCAGGCACAGATGGGGAATAACGCTCTGCTCCAATTTCCTCCTTGCCGTTACCCATTCCCATTCCTATTCCCATTCCCATGCTACTTGTAGAGCTAGAGTTAGAGTTGAAGTTGGAGTTGGAGTTTGAATTGGTATTGGAGCTCAACCTACGCTCCGCTTCAATTAGGTCCTCCCATAGGTCTGTACGACGTTGTAAGACCTCGCAGAGGGCCTGGATGGCTACTTGCATTCCTTCTCCAGTTGCACTTCTAGTTCCAGTTCCAGCGTCTGCACTTGCATTTGCACCGCCATCGCCATCGCCATCGCCATCGCCATTGCCATGACGACAGCAAGCCTCTTTAGCGACCTCGACAATGCGGTCCAGATGGTCCTGTTCGGAGGAGCGTTTGCGAGCTTTACTTGCTCGCTTTTGATAGTTTAGCTTTTCTGCCGCCGTTGCAAAGTGGGGTGGTGGTGGTGGTGGTGGTGGAGGGAGACCCTCAGAGCCCTCGGAACCTCCACGGCCGTTAGCGGATCCTCGACCCTTCTTACTCGCACCCACACCTGCGCTTGCCCCATTGATGGTAGCAGCACCATCCATCTTTCCACTGTTGCTGCTACTGCTGCTAAAGAATGAAAAGCCCCTCACCTCACACGCGCTCTGTACTTCTTCAAAGACGAGCTTGAGTGCCTCGCGCTGTCTCTTTACTCGAGCAGCATATCGCTTCATCTTTTCGCGATTTTGTTGAGCTCGATCCTTCACACCTGCAGCTGTAGGACGAGCTGCTGCTCCCCCTCCTCCGGTTGGTGTGCCTGCTCCTGTTGATCCACTTGGCGTGCCTGCCTTGGTGGGATTGCCATTGGTGTGCGCGTGACCATTGCCATTTCCGTTGCTAAGCGAAGGCGAGGGTGAAGGGCCACGACTGCTCTCGCTGCCTTTACCAGAAGCGCCCGCTCCTACGCTCGGAGAGTACATTTCCCCCTTGATGCCATTGACTGGGCTGCGGGCAGAGTACCCAGCTTCTGTTGCTCGCAGGCCGCCCGGATAGGCTTCGCGAAGATGCTGGGGTTGCTGGTGATGGTGGTGTTGGTACTGCTGGTGATAAGGCTGCGGGTATTGCGCTCCACTCTCTTGACCCGCAAATCCGCCGTCTTCCAGCATGAAGCGAGAGCGCTTGGACTCGGGCGGGGTATCGACTGAACCGAAGTAGCTCCTCTTGAGGCTAGAAGAGGGACTGACGCGCTGCCCAGCCATGCTTCCATTCATGCTGTTGGATTGGTGCCCACTGAAAGAACTCCTCTCACTCCAGTGAGGTAGAGAATTCGACTGGTGATGAGGCGAGAGGCTCGAAGGTGGGAGGGTGTAGCGCGACTGGCTCGCATAGGAGCCTCCATAGTATCCATCGCCGCCCATGCCCGATCCAGAGCCAGTGCCAGCAGCCGGGCTACCTGTTCCTTGCCCCGGCCCCTGCGCGTAAGAAGCAACGTGGTACGAGTGTCCAACGGAGGGAGCAAAAGGGCTCTCGCTGCCAGAAATCTCGCTGTGCAGTGAGGAGCGTAGGTTGGAAGTGTACGTGGTAGCAGAAGGTGCCGAAATGCTGCTGCTGCTAGCTGCACCGTACTGAGCGTGAGGAGGCGGAGTGGGGGCTCCTATGCTGAGTCCGCCAGATGAGGTAGGATAGGAGTGATGCAGGCCGTTGGAAACACCGGAGCCGCCCACAAAGGAGGAACGGTGATCATAGCTGCCCGATGCCGATGCCTGGGGATAAGACTGAGTTGAGTGGAAGGAGCCGAGCGGAGGGGTAGAGCCTCGTGAGGAGAAGTGATTGCTGCCATGAGCTGGCGAGAAAGCTACATTCGGCATTGCGGATGGCCATTGTGGGACGGCCGGCTCCATGAATGCTGGGTATGAGGGGTCGTTGGAGTGATGCTGCTGACCCTGGTTGTAGTGTTGACCCGAAGATTGAGGCTCTTGGGTGTGAGTCTGCTGGTGCCCATTTCCACGTTGATTTTGGCTCGTATGCTGATTCCTTTCTTGGTAGGCTTGATCTTCAAGCTGCTTTTGCTCATGATATTGCTGGCCGTGCTGCGAGGTGCTGCCGTGCACATCTTGTTGACTGGACCGCTCCTGGGCATGAGGATTTGCCTGCGCATGTTCTTCTGGCAGCTCAATGAATCGTCCCTGATTGGCACTGCTGCTGCTGCTGCTGCTAGCAGAGAGAGTCGTGGCACAAAGCATCTTGAAAAGGTCGACCCTCGAAGCCGGGGTATTGAGAACCTCGTGAATGGTCACCGCCTGCATCTCTTTACTGCGGGTCTTCTGATCGACTTCAGAGCCATCTTCCCCAAGCTCTGTGATTGCAAAATTGTTCGCATACACTTTGTTGTCCACCAGACCATGGTGGTGCCAATGGTTCAGATCGATGTTGTTCTCCGCACTTGCCCACGCAGCCATATACGAGGTTGGATCCAGAGCAGAGTACCGAGGCTCAGGCATCGACACTGTCCGCCAAGCCGTTGGCCCCTCTGTATTCGCAGCATCCCTCGTAAAGGCGCCGAATCTTGGGTAGAGGGGCTGACACTTCCGAAAGTAGTCAACCATGAGGGGTGTGGAGAAGTGCTCGGCAGAAAAGAGCTCTCCGAATGCGATTTTTAGGAGACAATTATGAGGTCCCATCGGTTTGATACAGCTGTTGATGAATGACTGGATGAACTCTGCTCTCAGCAAAAGATGCTCATTGATCGAGGCAGTCCATGCCTGTTGCAGCTGTCTCTTGTTCATGTCTGGATTCCTTTGTCGCTTTTCCTCTACGTCGAGATCAGTGCTCATCACGACCTCCAAGATAAAGAAGGGGAACATGTCGGAGATACTGAGTGGGGGTAGTACATCGCCTTCGAGAAAAGCCTTGACCCTGCCAGTGAAGTACTGGACGACGAGCTCGTAGAACATGGAGACCTCCGCGTAAGAGCGCGGTAGTGTATGGAGTGCTTCAGCTTGTGGCCAATGGTCCGCATTCAAGGATGGGTTGCCGAGGTTAGACCATCGGGCATTAACCTTGCCATAAGTGGGAAGCGAAGGCCAGACTACCGTCTCTAGATAAGACTTGACAGTCTGACCCCGGCAGCAAGGCTCCCACACAATCTCCTCAAAGGGTGTGCGGTGAGTCATTGATGAGCTTGCAGTGGCGGAAGAGGGATAGGCTGCCATGGTCCAAGACTGGCCTTGCGCACGCTAAGAGATAGGAGAGGCGCGAGCGTGCCCAGGGGGGAGAGGCGAGCCGTGGTAGGCCGAAGTGAAAAGGTCGTGTATGAGTCCCTCTTACTCTCTCTGCGGATGGTCTGCCGAGGGAAGGGGGTTGAGAATGAGTGGTACCAGGTGCCTGGGAGATCCGGGACCGGTGTGCCGGGGTGCAGATCGGGGCAGAGGAGATTGAGTGACAGTAGTGAGATTCCAGGGACGAGTAAGGCGAAAGGGCGGCGGAGGAAGGGGTCAAAGTGGGCAGGCGAATTTCTCAAAGGCGTGGCAACACCCGAGCGGCGGCCCTGCACCTCCGCGCCTTGGTGGGGCAGACTAGCGCGCTCCGACGCGCCCCCACAACATGCCACTCAACACTCCCAGCAGAGGCGCAGAAACCAATTCGCATCGTGTTGATCACGAACAGGACCAAGAAGGGAGAAAAGTACAAGGATCGATATCAAAGAAGAGAAGCAAACCACGCAAATGGGGGTAAGAGGTGCGCTAAAAGAGAGGAGAAGATGACCAAGTATCGTTCAGATTGAAAAGAGGGGAGAAAGAAATGCCTTCACCCGTAAATCTATTGCATATGCTTTGTCTATGAATTTTGCCGATGACCGCCCGATATTGGGACAAGCGACTTTTTTACTTGCCCTTGGCCAGGACACGAGACTCTTCCAGACCACCAAGGAAGATGTCGTCGGCAGGGTGACGGTAGAGGGGAGCCTTGAGTCGCTTCTGGTCAAGGTGGTGACCGATGAATCCAATCGATCGACCAAGAACGAAGATACCATTGAGGGTACCGATCTTGATGTACTCGTCGGCCTCCTCAGGGGTGAAGGCACCGGAGTCACGCAGCAAGTCGACAAAGCAGACTGCAAGACATCCATCGACGTTGAGGATCAAAGAGTCCTTCTTTGCAGTGGTGACCGACTGCACGGCCAGAGCATAGTCGAGCATCGAGTGCGATGGGAACTCGCGCTTGACGTGCTCTACCAGAACCTGCACTCGGAAGTCGGGGTTGGTGACCGACTTGATCTTGTGGCCGATACCGGGGATGAGCTTGTTGGCGCGGCGCATCTCGTCGACGAACTCTCGAGGGGTGAGACCACGGTCCTTGGCCTGAGAGAAGGTCTTGGCAGCGTCATCCAGGGCTCCTCCGAATCGGTCACCGATGGTCAGGAGACCCGAGACGAGCGAGGAGACGAGGTCCTTGCCGGCACGAGAGGTGATGATGGTGTTCATGGCACCAGAAACGGCAGGTCCGTGGTCAGCAGTCAGCATCAAAGCCATCTCAATGAACTTGGTGCAGTATGCTGGCAGGCGTCGCTTGAACCAAAGGAGGGAAATGACACCGCCAATGCCCATCTCGCTCTTGAACACTTCGGAGATCTTGACACCAGAGTACATGAGCTCAGATCCACGCTCGTCGGAGATCGTGGAGATGAAGGCAGCAGGCTTTCGTACCATACCCAGCTCTTGAGCCCACTTGTAGTCGATGGGAATAGCCGGGGGAGGGCGCTCAGGCTTGGGCTCGATGGCGCCGGAGCCAACGAGCTGACCGTAAACCTCTCGCAAGAGAAGGGGCAGCTCCTCGAAGGTGTCTGGCACAAAGAAGCCAGCAGCCTTCATGGCAGCGTTCTTGGCCGAGGCAGTCTCCAGGTCGGAGTTGGCCATGCTTCCTGCGTGTCCGAATTGCACCTCGGTGGTGAACATCTTGGCACAGGTTCCGATGGCCCAAGCAACAATGGGCTTGGTGATGATACCCTGCTTCACGGCCTCGATCACGCGGTACTCCTCCACACCACCAACCTCACCCAGCAAGACCAGCATCTTGCAGTTGGGGTCCTTCTGGTATCGAAGCAGATGGTCGATGAAGGTCGTGCTGGGGTAACGGTCACCTCCGATGGCAATACCCTCGTAGGTTCCGTTGGTGGTGAGCGAAAGAATGTTGTTGAGCTCATTGGACATACCGCCGGACTTCGAGACGTAGCCGACAGATCCAGCTCGGTACAGCTTCGAAGCCAGAATGTTGTCCATCATACCACCGGAGTTTCCGATCCTGAAACATCCAGGCTTGATTCCACCGACGGTAGCGGGACCGATGATGAGCACGCCAGCTCGCTTGGCACGGTGCAGAATCTCTCGGGCGAATCGCTCAGGCACTCCCTCAGCGATCAGAGCGAGAGCTCGGATCTGAGGCAGCTGCAGGATCTCCAACGAAGACGAGTAGACGGATCGGCTAGAGGCAAAGTTGACCACAACATCGGCATCAGGGTGCTTCTGCACGGCCTCCTTTACGCTGGTGTAGACGGGAAGGAGAGTCTCCTTGGTGCCCCAGTAGAACTTCTGGATGTGGTGGCCTCCGAAAGGGTAGATCATGGCGGCGACGGAAGGAGTAGCTCGGCCGCAGGAGAAGTCGAAGTCGAGCATTCCCTGAATGGCACGAGGCTGGAGACCGAACACCAGGGAGCGGGTGTTCTCATCGAAGGGGAGGTGGTCCGGTCGTGGAGAGTGACCCTGGGCAGAGTCGAAGTGCACAATCTGATCCTGAGGCTGAGCACGAAGACCGGTCAGAGGGTCAATGGCTCCGGTGCCCTTGGCATCGCCGTTGTTGCCATGGCCGTTGAGACCAGACTTGCCTCCGGCGGGAGTGGCAGCGCCAGAAGCGATGGGCAGGTCCTTCTGGACAGAGGCCAAGCTGATCTCTTCGTTTGTCTTGAGGCCAAGAGCAAGAGGTACAATGTCGGTGATGTGAGTTTCGGGGCCGAAGACCTGGATCTCGACACCGAGGTCCTCTCCGAGCAGTCGCATGGCTCGTAGACCTTCCTGGTAGTTGGGTCCTCCTCGTCGCACAAAGATGCGCACACCGTACTTGGCAAGGGCAACCTTGTACTCCTTGAGAGCCTGGATGATACCCTTGAAGGTGGCTGCGACGTTGGTGAAGTTGGCAATACCACCACCGATGATGAGGAGCTTTCCTTCGGGGTTGACTTCGCCTCGGGTCATCAGATCAAGAAGCGTCTTGGCGTACTCGTACGTCTGTCCCTGTGTAGGTGCACCAGAGTACTCTCCGTAGTTGGCGAGCTCGTGAGCGAAGCCGTGAGCGGCAATGGCGTCGGAGTATACAACGGAAGCACCTCCACCGGCGACCATTGTCCAAATTCGACCAGTCGCGTTCAGAACAGTGAGCTTGAGGGAAGCACCTGTACCAGCATCGAGCTTGGCAATGTAGGCCTCCTCCTTGGTCAGGTCACGACCGAAGGGGGCTGGCCAGACCATGGGTGGGCCTCGCTCCTCACCCTTGGCGGCGGGTGCACGGGTGGCAGCATCGCTGAAAACGCTAGGGTCACGGGCAATGGCCCACTTGGGACCGCAGAGGTAGTCTGCAGTCTGGTCAAGCTTGGCGGCCATGTCGAGGTATGTGATGAGACCATCGTCCATGACGACCAGGGGGTTGATCTCGAGGTAGGCGAAGTGTAGGTCCACGTAGACGGAGTACAGACGGACAAGGAAGTCGGTCAGGGTGTCCTTCTTGGCCTCGGGCACACCGGTGAGGAGCGTTGTCTTCCACTGCTCTCGCGAGGGGAACTCTTCGGCGGGGTCGGCAGGGATGAGCAGCTTTAGGGCCTTGGCGTCGACATCTCCAACGTCGACACCTCCTTCGTGTGTGAACAAGATGTAGTCTCCTTCTCTTGCGGAATTGATGCACACGTAGAACTCAGTGTCAGCTGGGTGGGGGACAAAGGGCTCCACGATGAAGTTGTTGAGGGTACCTGTCACTGCCTCGACCTGCAGAGTGGGGATAAGACGGAGAGAGAGAGGCCAGGCCATTGTGTCAGTAAAGCAGAGGGCTTGGCGCTGCCGGGCACTCTGCTCTGGCTGCTGTGCTCACCTTCTGGGGCTTACCAGCCCGGTCTGAGATCCATTGCCTTGCGTCCTCCCAGTCGGCATTGAGCTTGAGAAGTCCTGCCTTTCCTCGTCGCTTGATGAGCTGGTCAGGCTTTGCGACGAGCTTGGTGTTCTTTACCCATGAGGGGAGTGTGGCATCGGATGTGATGGTGTTGGACTGGGCATCCCATGCGACCTGTGCGACCTTTGGTGCAGGTGCAATGAAGGAGGTGGAAGCCTCGATGGAGGGGTGAGCGGCGGGGGAGCGAGGCAGCCAGTAGTTTACCAGGAGCTTGGCATCAAACTCGCGGATAGCTGGGAAGGGGTTGGAGAGGTAGACAGAAGGTAGTCAGTGAGTGTGCTAGGATGTGTGGAGCAGCTGCGTCAGGAGTCCTCACCCTTGGACGACATGATGAGGTTGGCAGAGTTGTGCGAGTAGGGAGGAGCAAAGGGAAGAGGGGGAACAAGTGTGTGATCACTACTGTCCTACTAGTGTAGTCCGGTGTGACAAGGTCGTGTGAGTAGGTGTGGTCGGGGTATTTGTCTTCGAGGGAAGAAGGAGGGAGGGGGGAAGATGTGGGATGGAAAGGAAGGCAAGGCTTGGATGTCTGGGGTCGGGATGTGGGTGCCTGGAGGTTGGATGGTTGGTTGGGTGTGCCTGTCACCTGGTGGTCCATTTGATCCATGCACCTCTTCCTTCCTGTCGTCTGCCTTCGCTCCGCCCCTCTGCTCAACAAAAAATAGAGGTGCGCTTCGCCTGCATTCACGCAACAGCCAGCCAGCCAGTGGGTGTGAGCGCGGGCCTGCCTGCCTGCCTGCCCGTGTGGATGCATGGCTGAGCCGTCCGCCTGTCCTTCCCGTCCGCGCCACAGCCACCCACCCACGCCCACACGCCCCAAAGAGTCAAAGGTTGCTCTCTTCCTTGCTTCCGCCGCGCGCGCGAGATGGCTGCCTGCCTCCACTGCACGCCCACAGGCCCCCAAGGCCCCAAGACCTTTGAGCCAGCCAGTGGCCCTCCTGTTCGCGAGCCCCACTCCTTGGCCCCCCGTCAAGGTCCTCACACTCACCAGTCCCCTTCCGTTCCGGCTACCGGCAACCTTGGAATCGGAATCGCAATCGGACCGGTCCCACCTAGAGCGGAGTCTGATGGGACCAGAACGCATGGGCCCACCCAGGTCGCGTATCAATCAGCCAAGCCTTAACCCCGCACTGGGAGAGAGCAGTGGCAGTCAGCGACACCAACTCCATTACCGCCATCGTCCGTCCTGGACTATGGCATCGTCTGCCAGTCGCTCTCCTCGCTGAGAACTGGTCACCCCGCCATGTTCCGACGACCTCTTGCAACCTCTGAGGTGCACCTCGGAACACGATGGCATCGCCAATCGCATGCACCTTACCCAGGGGGCATGCGCGAACAGCCTCTCGGACCTGACCTCTGTCTACTTGCTTCCAAGCCGACGACGAGATCTGCATACTCTACTCTCACCCCTCGTTGGGAGGCCATCGACGAGAATGACATCCACACCGAATGCGCACAGGGATCGCAGCGATATGCCCAGCGCATCCTGCATTCCGTTGCTGTAGCGTATACAGACGTGGATTGGCAAGGACCTCGAGAAACGGCCGGGTGGGCCTCACTGCAATGGCAGGCCCTGGCGTGGACCACGCTAGAGGTCACTGGAACAGACGCATCACTTGTAGCTTTCAGCATCTCTGGAGCACCTGATTTCGCACTCGTTTCCGCTGAACAGAATCCACCACCCACGTCATGCATCGAGTGGTACAGAGGCGACTATTACGGCTACGAGGCTGTACAGGCCGATGCTACAGACAGTATGGACGCTCGCCCTGCAGCATCAGTCCCACACTTGATCACAGTCGAGCCAGGCAGATACTACCTCCTCGTAAAGACTCTCTACGAAGTACGCGTCATGGGCGATCCTCATGGGGTACCGCGGGTCAAATTCACCGTAGATGTAGAACTGCAGAAGAATAGGCTCGAGAAAGATCTGATGCTCATCGCTACCGGACATCGCTTCCTCCACCCGGACATTGTCGATGGACGGGTCGCAGGCAGCGGCATCGACCAGTGTGCTCTGGTCAGTGTGGCCATCCGAAATCCATCGTCACGAGCGTACAAGTTCAGCTGTGTGGGCGTCCACGCGCCCGGCAGGAGGGCAGAGTTTATCGGACTCGGCAAGATAGAACCTTTCACTACTGTCAAGGTAGACCTGCGAGTTTGGTTCGATGAGCACATTCAGACTTCCTCAACGGGCCTCAAGATGACTTTGTGCTTCACAGCAACCTTTGCTTACCCCTCAGCAGCATACTGCTGTCTCGACCTGACCGTTCCACTGAATCACATCAGCTTCTCTGACGATCCGGAGGTCGACTGCTCGTACAAGGTGACCTATCTTGGACCTTCGGGAGTGGAGATGGCCGTCATTGTCCCTCCTTTGAAGCCCTCCGCCTCTGAAGCCAGCGCAGAGAGCAGGCTGACCATCGTTGTGCTGCATGGGGCTGGAGTAGACGTCCAAGGCTCTTCAATGAGAAAGGCACTACGACGACAAAAGCGCTCCTGGGTAGTGCTACCGACGGGCATCACTCCCTGGGGTCTAGACTGGCAGCAGGCAAGCTTCCACAGTTGGCGAAACGTCCTCTTCGATCAAGAGTGGTACAGGCCACTGACCGATACTCGACCTTCGGATCGATATTTCCTCATTGGTCACTCCAATGGTGGTCAAGGCACCTGGTACGGTTTGACACATCTTTCCGACCGCTTCGTCGGCGGGGTCGTAGCTGCAGGGTATATGTCCCTGCAAGAGTACGTCCCATTCACCTGGACGGAAGGGAGACACTCTACGGATCCCATTCTGCGAGCAATTCTGGACGCAGCTCTGAACGACTATCGCAATGACATGCACGCTTCGAACTTGGTAGGCATGCCTCTGCTCGTCAAGTATGGGGTTGAGGACGATAACGTCCCACCGTGGCATTCACGTGCGATGGTGAGCCTCATCGATGACTGGAATGCAGAGAGTGCTGTCAAGGAGAAGAAGTGGCCTCGCATCGTTGAGGTGCCGCACAGGCCCCACTGGTGGGATGAGGTCCTCCGGGAGGACGACGTACAAGCAGCCATAGACGCTGCGGAGAGCGATCCTGCCTCGCCTCGAGTCCCACCAAGCAAGTTCACTCTGACGTGTTCTGATCCGTCGGAGATGCACGGCATGTTCGGCTGGAAGATCCTAGAGGTCGACGTGCCTGGACGTGTTGCAAGGCTCGAGGTCGAGTACGTGGAGGCGACCGAGGCCGTGGATGCAAGCATACGATTGCGGACAACCAACATCCGACGACTTGAAGTCGACGAAAGCAGTTCCAGCTTGAGGGGTCTCGAGAGCTGTACAGTCTTCATAGATCAGGAGTCTGTCGCTTCCCGGCTTCGAGGAGTTCGCACAGGGACGATGACCTTCTACAAAGAGCGACTCTGGTCACTCGTAGAAGACGAAGCACTCAGCTCACTACCACGTCCTCGGCAGATCTCCTCAATCACAAGTCTCCTCACCGTTCCTCGCTTCCTACTCATCGTTCCCGCCTCTTCTCTAGTACAGGGAAATCACAGGGCACGAGAAAAGGCGTATGAATCCATCGCCAGGAGGTGGGCAGCCGATCTCCTCCTGTACATCTCTGCCGATGTGCGAATCGTCACAGACGAAAACTTCCTCTATGAGCGCTCCAATGCCTCTCGCGCAGCCGCCGGCTCAGAGCAGCAGCGTCATTTTCCACCTCCCATTCACCGTAGTAACCATGAGACCGTTTTGGACTTTCCCTATAGCATCCCCATGGGCTTCAGCAGCAATGACTATTGGGACGACCCACACATGATCGCGATGCGTACCGATGACGACTATGCAGAATACCACGGTGGTGATTCTGGCTCTGCTTACGGGTACGGGTACAGCTATGGGTTTGGACTCCTCGACGTGCGTGATCAGACGGAGCGTCAGATTGCCAAGGAGCGGAGGAGGGCCGAGGAATACGAGGAGCAGTGTAAAGCTCTCAAGGCTGAAGAGGCTGAGGAGGAAAAGAGACAAAGGGAGGAGCAAAAGGACGTGGAAAGTAGGACTTGGGTGTTTCTTGGTGGACCAAAGGAGAATAAAGCTGTGGCATCCAGGTCTACATCAGAGGGGAACCAAGAGGTTGCGAGCACTTCTGCTCCCACAGAGGGAAGTCTGGAGACGGAGAGTGGTGGAATTGACTTTATCCAACATCTCTCGCAAGAGCAATGGAAGATTGGAGAGCGGCTCTTCGCCGAGCCTGGAATGGGTGAGTACAAAACCCCTCACCCTCGTCCCAGTCCCGAACAGAAAAAACATCTCTAACTTCCCCTCCCCCTTCCCCCTCTTTTCCAATCCACACCAGCTCTCCTCTATTCCCTCCCCCATCCAAACCCCCCAAATCGCTCCCTCGTCCTCACCGGTTCCTCCTGTCCAGCAGGAATCGAGCGTGCAGGTCGACTTCTACCCGTACGCACAGGGACTGCTTTACCAGAATGGATCGTGCTGGGGCCAAGAGCGGATAGGTTTGCTGCTGGTGCGCGAGGAGTGGAGGCTGCTGGGTGAGTTTTGGAGTCTTGAATTTGAAATGAGTCAGAGCTGTCGAGAGAGGCACTTGAATAAACTGAAGCAGCATCGGATCGGATCGGACTTTTACTGACTCGAGGCGAGAGCCCGTTGTCTCCTTTTACTGAACGCTAGCTGGTACGATCGCAAGTGGGGCTTCTCGGAGAGCATGTCCTACCTCGGCTGAGTCACGCAGGACCTACAAGCGATGAGGATTTTCCAAACACAAGCATGACTAGTACCAACAGTCGGACTCTGCATCATCAAGGACACTATTTCAAATTGATTAGGCCGCAAAGAAGGGGGAGAGGGGGGGGGGGGGGAAGCAAGCTAGGTACAGTAGGTATATGGAGAGCGGTAGAGCCCAAGACGAGAGACGATCGATGGAACCGTACATCTGTAGCTAGCATGGGGGCGCATCAGGAGTGTTTGTAGAATCTTTTGAGTCATTGTAGTACAGTGGAGCGTCGGTGCGAGGCAACGTAGGTCGCGCATGTCCGTATCGAAGAGCGACTCGCTGCACCCTGTTAAGCCCATTGCTGTCCGTCCCTCTCTTTCTCCTCTTTCTCTTCCCTGATCAAATCAGCAACAAAGATATGACCACTCCTCTTCGCCTTCATCTCCTCACTCAGCGCATCCCAAGCAGGGGACTCCTCTCTATCCGTCCCCTCGACCCACCTGCGCCAGGCCTCTCTGTACCCCCTCTCCAAGTCCTGCACCCATCGACGGGTGTCAAAGAGTGGAGAGGTCTCACGACCTAGGAAGAGGGCCTTGCGAAGGGAGATGAGAGAGCCACGACCACGTCGAGAGACGGTAGAGGGGGGTGCTTGAGGACCCGGAGGAAGACGGAATTGGTGACGTGGTGGAGAAATGGCGATGATGCGGGCGTCGAGCGCCTCTTCTTTTGCCGAGGTCGAGGGGATGGCACCCTGCTCGAGCCCCTCGGCTATCTTCTGTATCTGATCTTGAGGATAGGGGGTCACAGAGCTGGTAGAGGATGCGGGGAGGGACGACGCAATCGGTGGTGCCGCTGATGAAGAGGTGGCTGCTGCTCCTGCCTTTCTGGCGCTATCACCAAGACGGATAAGCTCGCTAGCCAGTACTGTCTCCGAGGTCATGACAGGCTTGAGCACCTGACCACTTGCGTCAACATAGTCGTAGTCCAGATCGCGAGTAAGCTCAATGGCCCTCTGCACATAGGCCGCCTCGCTATCGACAATCATCTCTTTGCCATAGCCAGTAGCCATGACGATGCCGCTAGCTACCATCGATGCCTGCTTCATCTTCCACTTGGGCAAAGTAAGGACGGGCGTGCCGCTCCAGAGAGCATCGCAAGCTGTGGTATGCGCATTGACCTCGAAGCTGTCCAGTACAATGTCGGCTACCCTTGCTCTCCTGATGAACTCGGCCTTGGGTGCTATGGGGGTGAAGATAATCCGGCTAGCCACCTCGTCTCCGGCCCATTTGCGAGCATCTCGAAGGATGTAGGGAGTCGCGGCCTTGGGAAATTCCAGCAGCCAGAGGATGGAGTTGGGCACGGCCTGAAGGATGCGCAACCAGCATTTGAGAAGGGCAGGTGTGCACTTGTAGTGCTGATTGAAGGAGGCGAAGCAAACAAAGTGGTCCGGCAGACCAGGGAAGAGCTCCTTGCGAGCCGTCCAGCGGCGTTCCTCTTCTTCCTCCCACAGCTCCTCTGCGCTCATCTCTTGACCGGACTGGTGTGGGTGTAGCGGAGCCTCGCGAGAGTCTTGCTTGTGATTGTTGACAAAGTAAGAGTGAGGCATCGCAATGAACTTTTCCGTGTAGACCCACTCGTGGCTGAGCTCCTCCGGGTCGATCTCTCCAGGCAGAGACGTCAAAGATCGATGCCCCTTTCCGGCTCTTCGCCTTGCGTTCCACTGGACAGTCGAAGAGACCTCCGGAGGACAAGCAGTGGCATCGACAATCGTATAGTCTGTCCAGCTGCTTGCCATGCCACCGGCAAAGCCCATGAAGTGCAGCTGGACAGGAGCAATACGACTTGCGAAGATCTCATTCTTTGCACCTTTCGTATAGCCGTTGAGATTGACCAGCAGGTGAATGCCATCCTTCAAGATTTGATCGATTATAGCAGAGTTACTTTGGTCGGAGACATCGACGAAGTGCCCTGGCTCAGCCTCACCTTCGATTTTGGTTCGGTAGGAAGAGTGATCGCTGGGACTGGTAGAGTAGATAAAGATCTCAAAGCCCTGTCGATCATGCATCGAGAACATCGACTGCAACAAGTGTGAGAGAGGATGATCTTTGATGTCAGAGGAAATGTAGCCCACTCTGATCCTGGGAGCGGGAGGTGGCGGTGGGGGGTATATGTTGGATGGCAGATAGTGCTGGGTATTTCCGATGTGACTGATTCGGAGGGAATTTCGATGAGCGATCAGCCGGAGGGCCCGTACGCTCATCACACCTTCGATTGCTGTGAAGAAGGTATGAAAGGGAAGCACCAGCGGGGCAGCGGGAAGCCCGAGCACGCTTGCCAGGAGGCGAATGCGAGGGTAGCGAAGAGTGTCGGCCTGAGAAAGCTGGATGACAGCTGCCTGCTCGTCTGTATACGACACACTGCCGAAACGCTCGCAGTACCAGCGGTGTTGGAGTGCGCGGTGAAGATAGTCGATCAATCTAAGCAAAAAGCCTCCTTCATTGAGCTTCAAGCTGTCTCGCTGAGCATTGATGGAGCCGTCGAAGAACGGGAGCAACTGTCGATACCAGGATTCAACAGAGTGCTCTCGAGTGTCACTGGTGTACCAACAGATGCGCTCGACCAAGCCTTGCAGTGTGAATGAAGCAGAGAAGGCTCCTGTCCCATAGCTAGCACCTGCGTCCAGCTGACGTTCGACGAGGTTCTGAGCCACTCTGATTAGCAGACCGTTGCCTGGCTCTCCTTCCTCTGGGTAAGCTAGCGACCAATCGGCAACAGCTATGGTAGCATTGAGCAGTCCACAGATCGCTTCAGGCATGTCCGGCTCAACATCCAGGGCCTGCTTGTAGACCTCAATGGCTTCTTCCGTTCTGGACTGATCTCTATACACATTGGCAAGATTCGCCAAGGCAATGGCGAATCTGGGTTGAAGCTTGATGGCAATCTGGTAGTACACGATGGCTTCGTTGAGATTTCCCATGTCCTTCAGTAGCGAAGCTTTATTGCAAGCCAGATGTGGCGTCTTCGGATCGAGCTCAATGCCAGCATCGTACCATCTCATGGCTACTTCGGTTGCGGAAAGCTCAGCAATGGTCCCGCTTTCGACTGATCTACACAGTGTATTCAGCCCCGCGCAGAGAATGGCGAGGTTGCTGTATGTCGTGGCCATACTATGCAGTGCAATGCTGAGATAGTGCAGGACCAACAAGAGCGCAGTACAGGGCTTGAGGCCGTGGATGGAATGGTCAGCTCGATGAGCCGCAGGAGAGGTCATAGCCTCTTGCATGACCTTTGCGAGTGTCAAGAGGATCGTTGTGCTCGTCTGCTTGCAGCGCAAGAGTGCTTTGTCATAGCCAGACTCTTGCGGGAAAGCAGCACGAGCGGTGGCCATCGAGGGTAGTTCTCCATCGAAGTTGGCGAAGAGGTGCGAAGGAATACGGAGAGCTTGTTCGGGAAGGAGAAGCAGCGTAGGATACTCGCCACCTCCCAAAGTGACCAAAGCATTAACGAGAGACTCTCCTGCTCTCTTCACTAGTTCGAGTAGACCTCCAGCGCACAGCCGTTGCCACTGTCCTGTTGCAACGAGGTCAAGCAAGCCCTGGTTAGACCGAACGTCGAGACCAAGCGTCAAAAGCACATCGATGACTCTTTCATCAGTCGTGTGGACATGCTGATGAGTGCCTTGGATGACTACAGCAGCAACTGTTACAGCCGCAACGAGATCTCGGAAGGCATAGCAGCGTGATGCGGATGGCGAGATGACCAGTTCGATGGCGCGCATGTAGTCGATGCAACTAGAAGCGGTCTTGCCAAGAGCTGCCGTCTTGAGAATGCCCTCGGAGTAGAGCAGCTGTTGAAGTCGCGGAAGATTAGATGCTCTCATGTCTGGTGGAAGAAACGTATGTCGGCCGGAAGTCGGGCTCAAGACGTTTGATTCGACATGCTCACACAACTTCAGGGCCTGTCTCCATCGCAATGTCTCATCGGCCACACCATTGTGGCCGACTGGTATCTGCTGCCTCTGCTGTTGACCTTGAGCGCAAGTAAGGCCAAGGAGGTTCTCGAAGGCATCCCAATAGGTCGGTCGGAGAGTAAGAGCTCTCTCCCACCAGGTCTTTGCCTCTTCTGTCCTTCCCATAGATCGCAGTGTAGTCCCAATGTTACTCATGGCCTCGACATATTCAGGATCGATTTCTAGACAGCGCATATTCCAGAAGAGCGATGCCCTCAAGTCTCGAATGGAATAGTAAGCGCACGAGAGCAGGAGCAGTGTAGGCAGATGGGTTGGATGCAGAACCGCGACTGTGTGGAGAAGCGGCAAGAGGGCAGGGTGTAGCTCGTTCTTGACCGTACCATCCGAAGCTTGAGTGGTCCGAGTCCCAGCCTGATAGAGGTGGTGTGCGAAGCGCAAAAGATCATGGACTGCCATCGTTGAATTCTCTCCAGCACTCACGTGCTCGACAGGCAAGCCTGCCAGCTGCGTCCCATCCTGAGGAGCGTTGCCAAGATAGGCCTGTCCTAGGCCCGCGGCATTCTGAATCACTAACGCGAGCGACGCATGAGGTATTCCCAGCTTGCGAGCTCTGTCGGCTATTTCAGCATACGATAGAGGCGCCGAACGCCCAGAGACATCGAATCGAAGTCGAGCGGTCCCTCTAGCGCGCGTATTTTCTAAGGCATCGACAGACGAGATCTTTTCGGCAGATCGTCGATGATACTGTTGGTAGAGATCCTGATGTAGCTCAGCCAAGATCCGAGTATAAACGGCTGCAAAGTCTGGCGGGAAGATGCCGGCAGCGGCTGAGCCGATGTGCTGTATGCCAGCCTTGTGCTGCTGAAGCACTGCGAGCGCTTCTGCCTGACGCTGTGGCCCATGAAGCCCTGCCCAGGCGAGGAGCGTCTCGGCGATCAGCACATGCTCTCCGGGAGACAGAGGTCGCACCGGTGCGGCAGTATCATTGGGGCTCAGTGGAGGCGGCACGAAGGGTCTAAAAGACTCGTTGGCAATTGAGGGACTGTGCTGACTTTTGTCTCCGCCGGTACTTGTTGTGAGGAGGGAAGTTGCATACGCTGCTTGAGTGGCAAGGGCAGCATATTGATCACCTTTGAATGTGTAGCTGGGTACGATAGAAGTGCCGAAGAGGTTGAGTTGGCCGAGACGATGGGAGAGCGTACGGGGGCGTGGATTGCGTGAAGCCAGTCGGGTAGTGTAAGGCCCAGTGAAGCCGATGGAGGCAGATGTGGTGGGGAGGGATGTTGACAGGCATACGGTCGTTGTTGACGACGGAAAGGCAGCGGAAGGCATGGTGTTCGAGTGGTGTGAGAGATGTTGAGTGGTATGGGGGTCGGTGTGTAGCGGGAAAAGTGTAGCAGAGACGTAGAGAGAAAGGGAGCGAGGGAAGTATGATGAGCAAGTGGGGCAGGGGGACGATGTTGTGTGGTCAGCCGGACGTCCGAGGTGCGTGGCTCATCGAAGGTCATGCTGGGCGTATAGGGACAATGTCCTTGGAGATCTCCCTCGGCATTTGCGAGATCGAACGGTGGCGCCGCCACTGTGCGTTGCCTTGAGCAACGGTCGTCGTCGTCGTCATCGTCAATGGTGGCGGCTAATGAGAATGCCAGTTGCTACGCAGCAAACACAGCTGAGCTCGACTGACTCAGAAGCGGATGTAAACTCACCTCGGCTCAAAGACGGTAACTACATCCTCTTCGCTCTCCGTCTTTTTCGTCTTCGTGAAGAAGCCCGCCCGAATACTGCCGCCAGGGGACTGTACGATCTCCGTGCGGGGCGTCAGAACGTCATCCTGGTTGCCCTCACGATAGCTGCCGTGGGTCATATCAGGACTTGAATGCGGCAGATTCAGCCTTGGCAGATACGGACCCAAGGCAAACGGCAGCTGGATCAACGGAGTGGTGGGAAGCACTTGATACGCAATGGACAGTAGCAGCAGTCAGTAGACTAAGTCGTCTGTGTCTGTACCTTGCTCGCCTGCTCTACTCACAGGGCAAAGACGGAACCCCGGCATGAGCATCGAACGGATCCCAGTGCGGCGTCACTGAAAGGTTTCGCTCCTTCTCGGACACAAGAACAGCTGAGGATGCCGTCGTGGTCGCCTTCGACTGCCGATCTGCTTCCCCTTGGGCAGCCCTGGCAGCGATGTGGGCCAGGCGAATGCGAGCCGAGTCATTGGGATTGCTGGGATCTATTTGCGCAGCAGCGGAGGAGACGTTACGAGCTCCATCGAGGATGAGACTTGCATGCCTCTGCAGCAATGCAGAGTCTGGAGAGACTTCACTGACTAGCGCATCGGGCAGTAGATGGGAGGAAGGAAGGCCTACCACGCCAGTAGACAAGAGCGCAGAGCCAACAGAGGCATGGTCTGCTTCAGATGCGACTTTGATGTGGGTTTCTGGAGACGATCGAGGAAGAAAGGCATTGAGAGTGCTCGATCTGGGAGCCTCGGTAGATGGAGGAAAGTGTGAGGGAGAGACAGGAGGACTCCATTCCATCGTTGCGCCGCATGCTACCTCTTCGCTACCGGCCTGACGGTCACTTGTTCGAGACGGTGGAAGCGAGCTCTGAGCCGGACTTTCTTGCTGGCCAGTAGAGCGAGGTGCCGAGCGCATGGCCCGGAATCACAGGAACATTCAGATGTAGGAACGGGAATATGCCAAGAAGGTCTGACTTGTAACGTATTCAATATTTGACAAGCTTGCCGATCAGGAAGGGCGCCTAGCATCTGGCGGAATCAGCCGATGTCTCTCAGATGACAGCCTTGAGAAGGATGAGAAAAGCATAAGACGATATTACAGAGGCAAAGGAAGAGGAGGCGATCTATACCGAGAAAGAGGAGCTGAGGAACGAGAGGTCGGTCCACAGCAGCCAAGCTTCTTCGCAATCGCCGGAGAGAGATCAGACTCCGATGTGTGGAGAAGCGGGGCTCGCCATGCAGCAGCCATACCATTCACACCCAAGGCATGCTTCTACCTTCTTCTAACAGGTCCTCTGGTGAAGAGGCCACACCGTCGATATGTCAGACAGTTTGTCGCACACGACTTCAGTCAGAGACGGAGCATGCAAGGGCAGGAATGACTTTGTCGAAGTCCTGACTTCAAGCTGTAGTGGAGGGAGTCCCCGCACGGCTGATCCTTTCTTCCTTCCACTTGCCACACTCTTAAGTCATGATGATCATCGGCATTGTTCATTACTCCTTTACCTTTGGGATGAAATGAAAGTCGTGGACGCTTGTTTCTCCTTGTACACAGGCAGTCTTGCGATCGCGGCCCGACGGCGGCGTGGTGTAGCGGCCGGTGGTGAGCGCGCAGTGGCCGGTACCGCTGAGCCGGACCGGTGGCTTAGAAGCGAGCTCGGACGTGCGCTGCCAATTCTACACACTTCCACCATCCTTTGATCCACATCTCGTATTATTCATCTCGTATACCGGTCACCATGTCTTTCCTATCTGGTGGCGCAGACTGTGGCCCTTCGAACCCGCTCAATCAACTCCTTAAGCAGACCCAATCCGATCGATCTCTACAGCATGGTGATCGCTTCGGCCAAGGTGGGCCTGGCTCGCAATCGAATGCCTTTCGCCAGGGTCAGGCCGGCCCAGCGGGTCAAGCAGAGCAGATGGACCAAGCTTTCGCCCGCAATCAACAGCAAGGACCTCTCTTTCAGCAAGGTGGTGGCGCTTCCTTCGACTTCGAGGCCATGAGGAGGGAGATGGAAATGATGAGGGCAAGTGGCGCTCCGCCACCCTCTACCGCCAACTGGGCCAATGAGATGTCCATGATGGGCGGAGGAGGCGGCAGTGGACTGCGACAAAGCGGTCCCAACCCGGCGCAGAGTCGTATGATGGGTCATGACCCTACGAGCCAAGGTGAGTGACTGAGGCAATGATCTGGGTGAACGTACAAGCGGATATCACGCTGACTCTGTATACCCTGCTTCGTTCACAATAGCATGGCGCGAACAATTCCAGCAGCAAGGTCCAGCCCCTGCCTCTGCCTCTACAGCTCCATCTCACCAGAATGGCTCGGCCAACTATGCTTCGCGAATGGGCGGAAGCGGTGGCATGTATTCGGGAGGTATGATGGGCTATGGTGGCATGGGAATGAGTGGCTCTTATGCGAATCAGATGAGTCAAAGCTCGCAGCGAAACCAAGCCGGAACCACTGCCAGCTCGGACAAGGGCAAGTCTCGCTTTGTCGAGCTCGACGATGCTTCTTGGGAAGCTCAGTTCAAGGCACTAGATGAAGCACAGAACGCAGCGACTCAAGACAAGGGCAAGGCCAAAGCTCAGGATCCGATCGTCGGCGAAGAGGATCAAGATGCGGCCGTGCGGAATGCTTTGGATGGAGTTCAATCTGACATCACTGCAGAGGGACGCGAAGCTGATGCCCGCTTCCAAGAGCTTTGGAATGCTATGCAGAATTCTACGGCTGGTGATCGAGCCGAGGTTGACGAAGACCTGGCAAAGTGGGAGGAGGAGCTGAATCGTCAGAGCGACGGAGTAGGGTATCGTCATCCGGGTGGAGGAATTGCAGGTGGAGATGGCGGCATATCTGAGACGGCCGGCTGGGATGGTACGGAAGATCACCTGCTGGATGGTTATGGCACTATTGGCCCGGATGGCTATCCTCGCCTCGGTACCTACCGTCGCTCAACTCAGAACCCCTTCATGCAGCATCAGGATCCTCTATCCGAAGGTCTACGACTCCTCGCCTCTGGTGGCTCTCTCACTGATGCCACTCTGGCACTTGAAGCTGCCACCGTCAAGCCACAGACGGGCGGATCGGGTGGCGAGGCCGGGGAAGTTGATCGTGAGAGACGATCGAGGAGTGAGGCTTGGAGGAAGCTAGGAGAAGCCCAAGCCATGAACGAGCGCGAGAGTCAGGCCATTCGCGCTTTGGAAGAGGCCATCCGCGTCGACGAAGGCAACCTGGAGGCTTACATGGCTCTTGCTATCTCCTACATCAACGAAGGCTACGATCTCGCTGCCCATTCGACGCTCCAGCGCTACATCAATCGGGCGTATCCGCATCTCAAAGCTGATATTCCAGATGTTCTTCAGTCGTCCAGCGACCCTCTCGAGCCAGGCTCATCCACCAATCCTTGGGCCACACTCAACGCAGTCACCTCCCTCTTCCTCGCAGCCGCAAGGGAGAATGCCTCTCGCGGCATGGTAGATCCAGAGGTACAGGTCGGTCTCGGCGTTCTCTTCTATGCAGACTCTTCTTATGAGAAGGCAGAAGACTGTTTCCGCTCTGCCCTCGAGGTACGTCCCAATGATTTCCTCCTGTGGAACAGGCTAGGAGCCACCCTAGCTAACGGAGGCAAGCCAGAAGAAGCCATCGAGGCCTATCACAAGGCCCTCGAGTCTAGACCTACATTCACTAGGGCTATCTACAATCTCAGCGTCAGTTGTCTGAATTTGGGTGCTCATCACGAAGCGGCAGAGCACCTCTTGAGCGCACTCAGCTTACAGCAGACACAGCAGTTGCCCGATGTCCCACCTGGTGAGACAGCCCCGACTGCGCCTCTTGCTGAAGCTCAGGAGAGCCATGGGCTCTGGAGTACATTGAGGAGGATTTGTGAGTAGCAACGATGAGAGGAGGTAAATGTACTTATGATCGAGCTCAATACTGACGCAATATCCTTCCTTTCCCAATTTAATGCAGTCCTTGCAATGGATCGCATGGACTTGGCCAGCAAGGCTCATGTCGGAAGTCAGCTCGATGATTTCCGTGGCGAGTTTGACTTTTAGAGAGAGGCAAGGACGATTGCAGGAGGAGGAGGAAAAGTCTGGAAAAGAGGTAGATTCGTTGGCAGAGGATGGATAGTTGTCAGGGCATGGTCAGCTGCACATATAGTCGATATTATCAAGCAAACATGCCATTATAGCCATTCGTGTCAGAACAAGTGAATTGGGTATCGGAAGAAGTGTCATGATCGTATACAATCGCATGCCAGTCTCGCCCTCCTCCGTCTGGCTCCTCACGCCTCACGCTTCATACACCGGTGGCTCATCCGGCACCTCCTCTGCTCCCTCATACACCGGGCTAGTCGCCCTCTCGCCATGACGTCCGCTTTCAGGTGGCGGTGGCAACTCCCGTGGCTCATCCCTCTGGCCACCCACCGCACTGCCACCCTCGCGACTTCCAGGACGAGGCGACAGGGGTACGTCTAGCTGGACTGCTCGTGAGCCCGAGTGCGAGCGGGAGGTCTGCGTGTTCCTCAATGCAGAGGCTAGAGCACGGGCGGGGCGCTCGACGTTATTGCTAGTCTGGGCGACAGTGCTTCCCGCTTCAGCATTGGTAGGAAAGCGCGCCTCTTCGCGGTTGGGGCCCGAGGCTTCGCTTTGGCCCTCTGCTGCTACGCCGGCATTATGGCGCTGCAACTGATCGTGATGGTGCGAGTATGCAGGAGGCAGAGCAGCACCTGTATCCTGCGTCGAGGGCGGACGGATCCGAGCGTGCGGATGTGAGGAAGATCCTGCCTGTGTCGAAGAGGATACAGCTGCGAGCCTCGCCTTTTCCTGTTCTGTAGAGGGAAAGCCTGTGCCGGGGTTCCCAGTGTTCTGCCGAGTGGAAGATGACGCACTCGATGAGGCGATGTTCGGATCATCGACGCTGACGTAGTGTGGTGGAGTGTGTGGCCTTCGAGGCGAATCGGAGGCACCAGTAGAAGCTACTCCTCGGGCTTGTAGCGTCGATAGAGGCTGAGCGTACGGAGGCGGCTCGACGGGAGTCGCGCTGGAGCTCTGATGGTGGTATGCAGGGCGAGCACCTGACTGACTTTGATCATTCGGATCACTAGACAGAGGGGGCGGCGGTGTAGGCGGCGTGTCGAAGGATGGCACCGAACCAGCAAGAGGAGAAGAGGCAGATGAATCATCCGCTTCTCGATGGCCAGAGCTGACCCCAGCATGACGTGTCAGGTCCAATGACCCTCGTGTGTGAGGATAGCCCAGGGTTGCTTCGAAGTCTGGAGGCGGTGATCGACTTCGGAAGGTAACACCTTCGCTTTGACCCACGCCATTGGCGCCGAGTCCTCTACGTCGCAGCTCCCCCACCCCTACACCCTCTATGAAGACTGGCCCTCCTTCGTTCCCTGCGTCGCTGTCTCTCTCGGCCCATGCGGGCGGTGGCTGTGCTTCAACATCGCCAGAAGTAGCGTCGCCGTCGCGATGTCGCAATGCGTTCGGGACGTTGCCTTCAACGTGGGCAGAGTGAGGTGGAGGAGGTAGCAAGGCGTCCTGCTCTCCTTGGCCGGGGAAGATCTGAAGGTCATGTTGCGACTCTTCGAGATTTGGGGGCTGGTCATCGCCTCCGTGACCGTCGGGCCGCCGCTGCGTGACAAAGGCAGGATTGCCGTTGATCATACGTACAGCTTCAGACGGGTGTGAGGTTGGGCCATCCAATGAGATTCGGGGCAGCTGTGCGAGTGTATCAACAAACGAGTCATTTGCGTCTTGAAAGTCTTCGTAGCCGTCGAATTCCTCTGCTTCGACCTCTTGAGAGCTCTGCTGCGTGACAGAAAGTTTGCTGTCCGTAACATCTTCTCCTCTCGAGAGCTCCCCCTCAGAGTCAATACCTGCGAGACTCGGTAGTACAAAGACTTCCTGCTCTACCACGATATCTCTTTTGACATTTGGCCCACTTGCAGTGGGCGCGACGGGAGTACCTCCTGCGCCGTCACTCCCCTCGCGCCAGACCGCTTCGCCGGGCTGGCCGCCTCTCAGTCTCACGTAGATCCTGACTCGAAATTCGACGCTGCTGAGTGCTGTCTGTTGTGTGACGCTTTCGCAGCCGCCGCCACCTCCAGTAGTGCCCGAGGTCAGCGGCGACAGGCCCGATGGCGGTGCATCGTGGTCTGGAGAGGGGTGAGGAAGAGCAGGGGAGCGAAATGGAGGCACTAGAGTGAGGTTCAGGGCTAGTGGCTTCCGCATAGAGAATCGGCAAGCCTTGCCGCTATGAGCAAGAACAGTAGTGAAAGAGCCGTCTGATATGGTAGAGGGGCTAGCAGGTGCGATAGGCACCGGCGGGTTGGAGCTAGACCCACTCGCTGATGCTCCGCCCTCCGAGGAGGCCTGTGTTAACTGAGGGCTGGAAGGGCCCCTTGAGTCCTGATTGCTGTCTACATCGTCATCTTCGTCAGAGTAAAGAAGCTGCGAATGGGGCTCCCAGCCATCAGAAGTGGCATTGTGATGCACAGCGGGTGTTGTGCCATTTTCCAGGGTCGAAGAGCTTGGCTGCGCCTGTCTGAAGCTGCCTTTTCCTTTCTCTCTGGAGTTGAGTAGGCTACGATGAGGCCCCCCTGTAAGAGCTGGGCGCTTCCGCTTTTCCCGTCTTCCTCGTACTACCCGAATCAGCTCCGCTTCCACGCTCCGAATCCGCAATCCCTTCTCGACTGCCTTCTCGTCCGGAGGGGGGACTTTGATCTTGATTCTGATAGGGTCCGCCCGACGAAGCAGAGTCGTCTCCAGAGTGATGTGGACTTTGGTGGGATCTTCGATTTGCCAGGTTTTTGGGCTCTCGGAGAAGCTCTCAGTAGGGACTGAGGTTGGAAGCAGCTGATGTGGGGGAGTAGGAGGGGTATACCTGGTGATATGGGTCAAGACGGAAGTAGTTACCAGCTCTTGCTCTGTGGCCCAAGGAGCAGGTAGGAGAGTGGCAATCAGGTGGTACTCGAGCTTAACGCTGGGCAAGTGGATGCAATGAGGTAGCTCTTCTGGCAGCAAGAATTCGAATGGCATAGTCGCAGGCGGTCGAGAAGATCCGATCGCTGCGTCAGAGGAAGAAGCGGGAGCATCGGGAGACCGCCAGAGCACGAGTGAGGAATGATGTAGCTGATGTACCATGGAGACTTCTGCCAAGCGTACGGTCTCTGTAGCCAAGAGGTCGATGGTGCATTGTGAGAAAGGACTCTGCGTCGATCCCGAGGGGAGTGAGTCATTTTGCAGACCGCCATCGTTACCAGTTCTCTGAGCAGCTGAGTGAGCCCACTTGATCAGGACATCGCCCCTGAGCCATGCTTCGAAACCTCTGCCTTGGAGACCTTGATAGCCTACTTGGAAGGAGGCGTCTTCTGCTCTGGGGACTATGTCGAATTGTAATGCTCCTTGGCCATTGACTTGAAGAGCATTGGACGAGGAGGAGGCGACTAGGGGAGAGTATAGGGGAGGTGGCGCTAAGAGTCCGGTGGAGGCAGGCGCAGAGGACGTGGTTTCGGGCGTCGCAAGAATCTCTGTGCGACTGACCATGCTACCTCCAGATGCTGCCAATAGGAGCGATCTGCTGCTCAAGTCGAGCGAATGAGGTTAGAAGGAATGGTAGAATGGCAAAGATGGTACAATGACTTTGACGCTGCAAATAGACGTCGACTGCACTGCAGTCTTGGCTGCCTTGGCGTGTGCTGAGGCCCGTGCTCTTCTCCGCCTCGGCAGCTGCGTCCTTCTCCGCTGATCGCCTTCGGTCGTGTACCACAGCTTACCATTGTCGTCCTCGCATACAGTCATCCCAACATCTGCGCTACTGACTTCTGTACGATGTCACAGGACGATCAGCAGCAGCAGCCTCAACTGTCTGCTCTGGAATCTGATCCTCAAGCTCACGACCAGGCTGACGGTATCGAGGCTGTTGGTCAGATTGTGGAGGCATCTCGGTGAGCAGTGCATTGCACAGTCCTACCTTCTAGCTTGGACTCGCAGTCGTCTGACCCAAGTGATCCTCGCCGTCACTTCTCATTATCTCCAGGTCCAGGCCCGATGCTCGTACCCAACGCTACGATCGGCAGCTCCGCCTCTGGGCTTCCTCTGGCCAGGCTTCTCTGGAGTCAGCTAACGTGCTGCTAATAGGAGCGACCCACCTAGGCGCCCAGGTGCTCAAGAATCTCATCCTCCCAGGCATCGGTTCCTTCACCGTACTCGATGGACAGAAGGTGGGAGAATATGATGTAGGCAACAACTTTTTTGTCGATCCTGCCAGTGAGGGCCAGAGCAGAGCCGAGGAGGTGACTCGCAACCTAGCAGAGCTCAATCCTAGTGTCATCAGCAAAGCCAGAATGGCTGTGAGTATCGAATATGCACCAGCTCCACTTGGCTTCTTGTCACACTCACCCTCACCCTCATACCTCCCTCTGCAACAGGATCCCTCACAACTTCTGGAGCAGGACCCGAGCTGGTTCACCTCATTCTCACTCATCATTGCCGCCAATCAGCCCGTTGACGTCCTCCGCCCACTTGCAGATCTCGTATGGGGACAGGACCGTGGAACATGTGTCCCTCTAATGAGTGTAAGAGGAGCTGGGATGGCGGGAGAGGTCAGAATACAAATCAAGGAGATGGGAGGTGAGTGTGTTCCTGGTCCAAGCTCTGTCCTAGATGGCCAGACTTGCACAGTATTCACCGTTCCCTCCTGACCTTTTCTCTGACAGTGATCGAGACTCATCCTGCTTCGACTGTCGATCTACGGCTAACATCACCTTGGCCGGAGCTATCCGCTTACGCTTCTGCCTATGACATCGAGGATCGTGATGCCATGGCGCACAGTCACATCCCCTTCGTTATCATCTTGCTTCGAGCTTTGGAGAATTGGAAATCACAGGTGAGGACGAGCGAGATGCCGTAAGACGGGTCCTAGTAACCTCACTGATCACGTGAGACTCTTCAATGGCTTGATGCAGCATGGAGGATCTCTGCCGTCTCCGTCCTCGGATCGAAAGCCGTTCACTGACACCATCAATGCCATGCGAGACCCCTCCAATTTGGACCTGGAGAACTTCGACGAGGCCGTTGCTGCTCTTGGGCAGAACCTATGGCGCCCCGTCAGTGCGGGGAGGAGCATTGCGGAAGATATACAAGCCCTTCTGGATGACTCGAGGTGCGATACAGTGACAGCAAAGGTGAGTCTTTATAACAACTCCTCGACTTTTCAGAGCAGCGAGTCTCTGACGATCCACCGCTCCCCGTCTACTAGTCCACCAACTTTTGGCTGCTCGTCAGAGCTCTACGAAGCTTTGTCGCTGCAACCACTACGGCCACACCCAGCGGCGGGGGAGGTCTTCTTCCGCTTGCGGGGTCTTTGCCCGACTTTAAAGCGACATCGAGCGGCTACGTCGAGATTCAGCGCTTGTACAAGGAGAAGGCTCGAAAGGACCTGAGCGGTCTCAAAGGTCATCTCAGAGCGGTGCTCGAAGAGGTCGGTTTGCCGGCGAGTGCTATCGGCGATGAGGAAGTTGAGAGCTTTGCAAAGCATGCTGGCTTTCTAAAGTTCGTCAAAGGGAAGAGCTTCAAAGAGAGTCTCGAGCAGCCTGCTCGGGAGACAATTGGTGAGTCTGAGTTCTCTTGAGAACCCGTAGGGCGTAACTGCATGCATCTCACGCTTTGCTTCTCTTCATCAGCCATGGCCTTTATGGATCCTATCAACCCCTCGACGATACAGCATCATGCAGCTTTCCTCGCAGTAGACGCCTTCTACGGCAAGCAACATCGCTTCCCCGGCAGCAGCAAAGCCTTTTCGGACTCAATCGTTGGCTCATCTTCTCATGTGCGACACTCCAGCAATGGGAGCTCCGAGGCCGAGAGCTCAGGGGGGTCCAGGATCCGCTCGGCTCCACCTAGAGGGTTCTCTGAGCCAGAAAAGAAGCGACAGCGGTCCAACTCGCCTTACACTACATCTCGTGAGAGTACCGCCCAGGACGACGATGGAGACTCGCAGATGAAGGAGAGTGTGAAGGTCAATGGTGGAGACGGAGAGGAAGGAACGGTTGATTTTGCTGCCGATGAGGAAGCTTGCTTGAAAGAGGCTCAGGCGGTCATGAGTCATCTAGCCATCGAAGACGAAGATCAGATAGAGGCGGTCGAGGACGCCGTCAAGGAAATGTGAGTCGGCGTGCCACGTTGAAGAGGTCGAGTGGACTGACTGATTTCTGACACGCTCTCTTTCGCACCGCTTGGCTCCTCCGTCTCTCAGGGTACGATCTGGCCACGGTGACATCGCAAGCACGGCTAGCTTGCTGGGAGGCGTTGCGGCTCAGGAAGCGATCAAGATCATCACGAAGCAGGTGAGTAGTGATCATGGGTCCTGTGAGGAATGACTGACTGATCTGGAGAGCCACACTGCCTGCTGCCTCCCCCCCCCCCCCCCCCTCTCCCTCTCCTGCAGTACATTCCGCTAGAGGGCACAGCGGTGTACGATGGCATCAAGCAAGCGATCGGTGCATTCCGACTGTAGATCACAACCAACGACTGTAGATCACAACCAAAGCACATCACATTACATCCTACCTAGTCTGTCCCATCGTAATCGTACGGGTTGCACCCTCCCCCCTGTGGTGACTGACTGTGTGCCTGCTTCGCGCTCTCCCTCTCTCGTGCGTGACCGTCGAGTTGAAAGTCCGACTGCCGTGACGCGAAGCGGGTGGGTGGTGTTGCTCCCGTGCGGCGGCAGCAGCAGCTGCGATTTACTCCCGCACCTTGGCGGGCTGGCTAGCTCACCATCGCTTTCTTCACCATCACCATCATCGTTACCTCTTACAGACCTGACCTTGCCTCGTCTCGCACTGAAGACGCGGTCTGTCCAAAGTCCAAAGGCTCAGCGTACCGTACTTCGCCTGCTAAAGGTCTTCCTCTGAAACGAGACTTGAGCTGCGCTACCACCTCCCTGCAAATTGCGAATTGGCTGCTTAACCTTCTTAGCCTGAGCACACCCTCGCCCAGCTGCTTGCTGTACCAATCCTTCTAGCCATCCCAGACTTGCACATCATGTCAAGAGTCAGTCATTGCCACCGGCCTTCTTATGCCAGCGATCCACCGTGAGGATCTGACCCTCATCCTCACTTTCCCATCCCTTCACCCTCTCAGGATACCGAAACACCCTCCCCACCTCCGCCTAGCACTGCCCAGCCTCAGAGTAACGCTGCTGCCGTGAGTGGCTCAGGAGGGTCATCATTCTTCCTGCGAGAAAGGGAGAGGCTTCTAGGGGAGATCGCCGAGGTGAGTGCTACGCGAGGTACAAGGAGCAGCAAGAGAAGTGCCGCTGCTGCGAAGCTCGAAATCTCAAGGAGGAGACGGCGAGAACTCATTATCGTCTTTCCCTCCCGCTCACCAGTCCATGGGACAGATTCTCAACAATAGCAACGCCCTGAACCGCAAGCTCGAGGAGTCCATCCTTGTCGGAAAAGAATTCGAGCCAGTAGCTGCGTTATGGGGTCGTTTCGCCTCGAGTATGGCGAGCATGGGTGTTCCCAATCCTCAAGAGTACGATGGAGCCGGGTCAGCAGGGGCGAATGGAGCTGCTGGTGTTGGAGGAGATGAGATTGGGATGGGGGAGGAACAGGGAGTGGGAGGTGAGGAGAGGGAAGGGTTCAGGAGGAGCGTGCCGGCTGCTGCTGCTGGAGCAGGGGGAGAGACGATGCCTTTGGGTGTTGCTCCTGGTGGGGGAAGCTGGAGTGCTGCACCTCCTTCTGGCTCATAGAGGGTCCGGTGATGCACACATGGAACCTTGGGCTAACCATCCTGGTCGATGGAGGATCAGCTTCTCTGGACAAGTCCTCGCACCTCTACACCACAAGTAGGCCACACCCTCAATCAGCGAAGCACGCTTCTCTCCCTTCTCTGGTCTCCTCCTCTCCGCTCGCCAAGACTGCGACTACGCCAAGCGCGTCTGTACCAATATCTAGTTACCCGGTCACCTGGACTTCTCCCTCTCCCTCCGCCCTCTGCCCTCTGGCCTCTTTACACCGCTCGCACCCTCCTTCTCTCTCAGGACGGGCGACCTTGTCGATTGGAAAGGAAAGGAGAGGACAGAGGAAATTGTATCATCATTTACTATCAAGCTCGACAAGTGCACTACTGAGGAATGAGGAATTAGAAACGTGGAACGACGTTTGCAGACGGGGGACGCAGGGCGCAAGGCGCGAGGAGACACTGATCTTTCTCCCTTTGCAGACGCGACAAGGACTTTTCCTTACGGCGGGGCTCGATTTCTCTACATTTGACCGGACAGGTGAGTCAGAGGGCACACACGCAGACGCGTCTGATGCGAAGGACCAGGAGTGACTGTCGCGGGTGCTGACTCTTCGGATTGCGTCTCCTCCATCTACATTTTCTCCGATCGGGTGCCGGTGTGTACGATGAGAGCAAGGGGCGAAAAGATTGGTGGCAGTACATTCGGCGTCGGCACCAACACTTTCAACCTTTGGCTGTACAGTGTGCTCTACTACCATAGGTCAGCTGCATCTTTCGCCAAGATCTCACTCTCACACTCAAACTAGACAGACGAAGAGTAAAAGAGAACCACGAATCATTACGTAACCACTGGAACAGAGAACTAGATAGGACCTAGATAAAAGGAGTACATAGTACCTGGATAAAGGGATTACATATAGATAGATGATAGATGACCACGACTACGAAACCAAAGGGAGACGGCAACAGAGCTCGACTGTATCACCGACTCCCTTCTTCCAATCTTCCCACTGACTAGGGGAGAGGATTGGGAACTCGCCTGCGATAAAAACCTCTTCGAAACTTGAAGAGGAAAAGCAAGCGAGCTCTTCGACTAGGGTAGAGGCCCGCAGACGCTGCCCTGTCGGATCCCAACACCATGACGCCCCGCTTCCGACCCTCCGGGGCCCCAGATCCCATCACCTCCCGTGCTCTGGGCATTCGGCCAGCACCAAGAGTCCCGTGCTATCGGCATTCGGCCAGCACCTCAGAATCCGTGCTATTGGCATTCGGCCAGCACATTAGAGAGACAGTAGAGTCGTCGTCGAGCAAAGACTGGTGGCGTGGACGGTATGTCTTCCTGCCCTCTTTGGGGAACGTCCGTTGGTGTTGCTAGGAAGAGCACCGATCCCTCCAGTGACCCATCACTGCGTAGGCACCGCACTGAACGCCCGTCGAGGGGCACACAGGGGAATGCTGGTAGCGGCCAACGAGCACGATGTACAGGGGCAACAGCGCTAGAAGCCGAACAGGAGCACCTCGTCCCAGCACAATGGTGCCACCAAAACGACACAATCGCCCAAGCAGCCGTGATGGTGGCGCTAAAAGCAATCGTAGCCGGGGTGGAGCCACCGTACGAGAAGAGACACCCACCGTTCGACTCCGCTCCATCGTCATCCGCGATGGCACCAATGGTAACGATCGTGCTCATCCCGGCGCTGAGCAAGATTGATACCACTGAAGAAACCAACGACCAACGGTGTGGAGCTAAGGTTGCACCTCGGTCTAGACCTCTCGTACTATGGTAACCTCGACAGCACCACTCCAAGAACGACGCAGCCAGCAGACGCACGTAATCTTGGGGTCAGCCATGAGCTGTGCTATGGTGCTCTCCAACACTGCTACACCGAGACCGACTGCAGCCGTTGCGGCGCGCGTATTCTCAGGTGCTAGCATTGGAAAGCACGACAGCACATACCCAAAGCCACCGCACCAAGAACGAGGCAGTCATTCGACACACGTATTCTCAGCTGGTAGCCTGCAGGCACGCCACAACACACTCCAAAGCTACTACTCCGAGACCGATGCAGCCATTGCGGCGCGCGTATTCTCAGTCGGTAGCTCCGAAGTGTGCTATGGTACCCTTCAATGCAGCCACTCTGAGACCGAGGCAACCGTTCGACGCGCGTAATCTGAGCAGCTTGCTTCGAGGTGTGCCGTGGTATCCTCCAATGTGGCCACACCGAGACCGAGGCAGTCATCTGACGCACGTATTCTCGGGGCCACATTGAAGCACACACCAGCACATTCCCAAAGCTGCCACTCCAAGACCGAGGCAGCCATCACGATGCACGTATTCTCAGCTGATAGCATTGAAGAGCACCGTGGCACACACCCAAAGCCACCACCACTCAAGACCGGTGCAGCCATTTCGGCGCGCGTATTCTCGGGTCGGTAGCTTTGAGCGAGCACCACAGCACACCTCAAGGTAACCACTCCGAGACCGAGGGCAGCCATGGCGGCGCGAACGAATCATGGAGGGTGCCATCGAGGAAAACCATTGTACGAGGTGGCAGAGGTAAAGGCACAACCCGCGTTGTTGTCTTAAACATCGGCACCGTCGACATATCCAAACGAAACCCCTACGCACCCATCGGGAACGCCCAGAAACGGAAACAAACGAAGCTCAGGGACACTGGTACTCACGGTAGTCTTCCTCACCGACCCGAGCGACGAGAGGCTCACTTGAACAAGCATGGACGCTGTGGTTGAGGGTGATGGGTCCTGGACGCGAGGTGTTGCAGGCAATGGTAGGTTCCAAGGTGCTCTCGGACGTGACTTGCGACTTGCGGTCTTGAGACTTGCTTCCTCTACGTCATGAGAGGCCAAGAGAGGCGATTTAAGCCTGCTTGGTAGCTCCATTCTTGAAGGCCAAGAAGTCCTGGTCCTGGTCCTCCATCAGCACCTCGGCCTCAAAGGAGATGTCCTCGAGGCTCAGAGGCTTCTCCTGCACGGAGGTGAGGGCGGCAGTGCCACTTCCGCGGAGCCAGATGGGGCTGGTGCGTCGCTTGGTGTCTCGCATGGGGGTGGAGAACTTGCAGACGCAGTCCTCTGCGGTGACGACCTTGACCTTGCGTGCAGGAGTCCATTCCACAGCGTTGGCTGTCTTCGAAGCAGGGGCGGGGAGAGAGTGCTTGACGGCAGTCTTCAGGCCCTTCCTGGCTTCGGCGGTCCTAGGAGCAGCGGTAGCGGCGGCTGTGACAGGCTTGGGGGTTGCCTTGACAGTCTTTGGTGCAGTGGGAACACCAACAGCCTTGACAATCTTGGGTGCTACGGTTGCCTTGGGTGCCACGGTGGTCTTGGGTGCAACCTTGGCAGGTGCGGCCTTGACGACCTTGGGTGCGGTGGCGGTGCCAGCAGCCTTGACAATCTTGGGTGCAACGGTTGTCTTGGGTGCGTTGGCAATGCTGATCCTGCTCCTGAAAACCATAGGTGTCGAGCTTTCCCTTGGCTTGACGGCTGCCACCTTGGGTGCGGCAGTCTTGGTGGGAGGCACAATGGCGCTGGTGCGTCCCTTGAGCGGCTTGGCGGCAGTGGGGGTAGCCTTAGCCTTAGCACCAACCACGGAAGTGGCAGTGGTGGGTGCAGTGCTCTTCGTGCTCTTGGAAGTCTTGCTGTTCTTGGCGAGGGCGGATGCCTTCGACTTGATGGTCTGAACAGCCTTGGTGACGACCTTGGGAGCCTTCAAGGGGTTAATGTCGACGGTGGTGGGTCCCACGGCGGCGAGCTCGCGTCGGAAAGCACTGCAGTTGGCGAGCAGTAGCGATCCTGCCGAGATATCGGGCAAGGGAAGGGAGTCGTCCTTGTTGGCGGATTTCTTGGCGGTGCGCTTGGTCTTGACCGGTGCAGTCTTGCTTGCCAGGGCAAAGAGAGGTCCCATGGCAGCGTCGATGATCATCGACTCGTAAGAGAGCTGTGCGAGGGCAAAGGAGACATCCTCGTTGGTCTTGGACTTTGCGGCGAGCGTGGGCAGGGTGGATGGAGCTGCGCAAGTGAGCTCAAAGAGGGTGTTGATGTCCTTTTCGATGAGCATAGACTCCTGGGAGAGCTCAGCGAGGGCGAAGGAGGCATCCTCAGTGTGCTTTGCGTGCTGGGGCATCGCCCTGGGGTCCTTCTTGGGGATGAAGCGCTTCATGGCCTTAGAAGGAACGATGAGGGAGGAGTTCCCCGACTTGATGGCAGTGGTGGCGGTGCTGGTGAGGATAGCACCTACGGTGAGCAGCTTGCAGGGTGCAGGGGCTACTTCAGACGAAGGAGTAGTGGGCTCGGGCTGCTCCACGACTTCCATGATTTCGTCCAAGTCGGATGGGCAGTCGAGTTTGCCTTGGAAGTCCTGTCCACAGAAGGAGGCGTTGACGTCGGAGTCACCGATGACACAGAAAGAGCTGAAGGAGAAGGAGCACTCCTGGAGATCGGCGGCTTCCTTGGCGGCAGTAGCGGCGGCCTCGTTGGCAACGGCCTCTTCCATCCAGCGGGCGAACATGGCGGCAGGGTTGGCCTTGTCGCTTCGTCGGATGATGATGTCGGAGTGGCCTTCAGAGTAGAAGGTGGTGCAGTCCGACCACTCAGGTCCGGGCCAGACGAACTGGTCAAGCTCTCGTCCGAAGAAGGAAGCGTTGCGACCAGTGTCGGGTCGTAGACAGAAGGGTCCGTAGGACCAGGAGCATTCCTCCACGTCGTTCTCGACGGGCTTCTTCTCGTCGATCTCACCTGCAGGGGTGGGAACAGAGGGGAGAGTGGGCGAGCTGACAGAGGGGACAGCAGAAGGGGCAAAGAGATTGTCAGGGAGACCTGCCAGAACTTTACCTCGGAAAGGCTCCTGGAGCTGCTCGCTCTCTGAGCCACTGTCGCTTAGCAGGGACAGCTCCTCCATTGGCGTAGGGGTGCCGTAAGACATAGCGTCATAGAGTGCCTCGATACGAAGGCACTCAGGGCAATACTCTACCGGTCCAGCCGATACACAGGCGGTTGCTTGATCCTTTTTCGCCAGCGAAAGATGGATGAGGCAGAACTTGGAAGCACAGGGGATGCTGGTGTTAGAAGCCATTGTAAATGTCTTGTAAGAGCAGCAAGGTAAAGCAGGTAAAGCAGTGGGTGGTCTCAGTGGTTTTAGTCTTTCAAAAAGAGCAAAAGCAGTAAGAGCAGTAAGAGCGGGGGGTGTGGGTGAGGAGAAGAAGGGGAAGGCGGATGCCTGCCTCGATGGACTCGGTATAGGTGTGCGGGCGGCACACGCCTGCCTGCCCCGCCTGCCTGCCCCGCCTGCCATTGAACTGCCGCCGGCCGAGCGTCGACCAACACAACTCGGAGCGGCGTGTTGGACCGGAGCTACAAATCCTTGGACGCTTTCTGTTCTTCAGGCAGACGACAGACGTTGCCGACGTCCCCAGACAGCCAGGGAGGCATCTCCACTTGCCAAAGCACCGATCCGACTATGGAAATGGCGTACATCCCTGATGGCAGGGGACAGTAGCGCGTGGGCGACATACTACGCTACACCACAACACGCATTCCGCCTAGAAGCACACTCTCCTCTACCCTAGAGCACTCGGACGACAGCGCACTCCAACATAGGATGGTCAGGAAAGCTTTACGACTCATGTCCTGGCAAGCAGACAGACCGTGTCACCTCAAGTCATACTGCCTGACCTCCTCTCACTCAGGGGCTTCTCTCCGTACGGCCCCCCATTCCTCTTCGCCCTTATCGCTCCAAGTCTCCCCCATCGGAGCGAAGCCCTACCTGTCATTCTCTGTCCCTCCTCAGCAAGTCGGCTTGACCTCTTGCCCCTCGGAGCATAGCATAGCATAGCGAAGCATCTCAACGCCCCTCTGCCAGCCAGCTCTCCAGTCAGGCATTCCAGCGTTGGATGCGCGTGCCCACTTTAGACTCGATGAGGCTCTCTCACCTCGCGGGCGGATTGAGTATGCTCTCTCATCTCATCTGGCAAAGTCCCTCATTGAGGCGCAAGCTTAGGCGGTTGGGGATGGCTGGAAGCAGACAGTTGGTATAATTTGGAAGGTAGCGTAAAAGAAAGCGAGGAGAGTGTGTTCAGGTGGGCTAGAGCAGGTTCGTCGATAGAGAATGAAGACCCTCCTGCCAAGTCACTCGACAGTGCCTGCCCCTCCCCTCCTCCTCTACTCTACTGGTGCACTTTCCCTATATGCTGCAAGCTGAACAGGATCGCCACTTGTAGGGCGACTGTGAACCCAGTGATGATGGCAATGACGTGTCCTGCAGTCTTGAAGTCGCTATTGAAGATTCGAACGAGCGTCTTGGCCCCTCTTGGATCTGGGTCTGGGTCTGGGTCTGGGTCTGAGTCGCCTTGTTCTTGTTGATGTGAACTGGTGATACCGTTGATTGAGACCTCTTGCGAGACATTGTGCTCAGTGTCCTCCGTCCTGTCACCACCATCACCTTCTCGAGGTCGTGCTATAATGGTAATCTTATCCTGTGCAATGGCCTCATTGAGTTCCTCTGTAGACACCTCTACCAGTGGTTGATTAGCACCGACATCTGCAGCAAGTTCTTGCGTGACTAGAGCGGGATGATTGGCATTGTTTGTGCTGTGGGAGATGATTTGAAGGTTGGCCCAGCGATGATCATTGCCGACGGCGAGCTGCGGGATTAATCAGGGCTGGTGATGAGCATCCGTTCCTCTCGCTCTCATCGAGCACTGCTTCTTCTCATTCTCCTCCACCTCTCCACTCACCTTCCTCCTCCAAGCAGCCACCCCCACATGTCCCAAACACAGCAGCGTATACAGCAATCCGATGACCTGAAATCTCGGCTGGAACACCTTGAGTACCAGCACGGCAAAGGAGAGTTCCCCGAGTGCGGTACGAAAGTAGGCGAGATCAAAGGTGCGCTGCATGGCTCTGAAGTCGGTTAGATCGGAGACTGTTACGAAGCGGGGAGTGGGAGGGAGTGGGGGTGAGGGAGCGTGGACTGCTGAATAGGAGGAGGAGTGGCCGCGCTCTAGCGCCGAAGAGCTGGCTTGGGAGGCGGAAGAGCCTGGAGCGCCCATCATTGTGTCTGCTTGTAGAGCCTAGTATGGTTTAGAAAGCTTTGAGTGAAGCATGCCGGTCCACCGCTGCGCTTGATGGGCGTCTGGTTGTAGGTGCTACTGGACGTTCGCAGTGCAGAGACAGAGACGGAAGTGGGGAAGCAGGTGGAGGTTCTGGCAGAAGCACTCCTCGGAACAGGAAGATCACGCCATTGTGGGGTAGAAGACTAGACTATCTCGACTGACTCCCCACGGCATATTGTTGTCCTGCTTGTGGCTGCGGGACGAGGCTGGTAGGAGTGCTCATCTCTAAGAAGCAACGTCTCTCCATCTCTCTTTCATGCTGTCTCCCCCTGCGGGCCGCTTCCTGTGTGGGATGAGCCTTCCGCCGCGGCACGGCAGGGTGGTGGGATGCCGCGGCTTGCCGGAGCGGGCCAGGCGTAGAGCTGGGCCGTGCACTCTTCTCGGCCCCTTATCAGTGGATCGACGCGGAGAAGCATCGGGGCGGGGGAGAACAGGGAAGCAGACGCAGCACCACTCACTCATACATTGGAGGGGAAAGAGAGAGATAGACCAGACTCTTCCGCCATACAAACATACATACATCGCATACATACACTGCGCACTTCCTTCGCTTCCTCCTTCTTCTACTCTCCAGTCCGTTACACTCACTCACTCACTCACTCACTCACACTCCTTTATCACCCATGGCGTCCACTTCCACCCTCGGCAACGGAGGAATCGACCACCGCCCGCGCCAGCTCTTCATCGGATCCCTCGTATCCCCAAAAGCACTCCGAGAGCTTACGTTGATCTACAATGGCCTCCTCGGAGTAGACGAAGAAGGCGCAATCGCATTCGTCGACGATCTTGACGCGCACTCGCAGTCAGAGACAGGCAAGGATTCATCAGGATCCCATACAGATGAGGAAGAGGGAACTCGTACCCCCTGCGCTAGCGATGCAGCTCTCTCTGCCTTGTCGCGACAACAGCGATCGGCAGTGCTTTTGCGTCTTGCTGCCCATGGGTGGGATCTCGCAGATTGTCAATTGACGATTCTCAGATATGGAGAATTCCTCTGTCCCGGCTTCATTGATACACATACACACGCCTGCCAAGGTGAGCAACTCAGAGGCATCGTCGGCTTCCATGCCGCGCACAAGTGGCTGATCATGCCTCTCCCTCTTGCATCATGCTTCCGACAACAGTCCCGAACGTCGGTGTGGGTCAGCAGTACGAGCTTCTAGATTGGTTGAACAATGTCACCTTTCCCAGGGAAAAGCAATTTGCGGATGTGGCATACGCAGAGAAGACGTACAACTCGGTGGTGAGTGGGCCGCAAAGCACTGACTATACGTATATAGCTCATACTGACTGCCTTTTGTATGTCCGTGCTCTCAATCTCTGCAGGTTCAGCGCCTGTTAGACTCTGGCACAACAACGGCTTGCTACTACGCCTCCTTGCACCTTGATGCGACCAAGATCCTAGCCAAAGTCTGCACACAACGTGGCCAAAGGGCAATGGTAGGCAAGTGTCAGATGGACCGCAATGCACCCGCAGACTACGTAGAGAAGAGTGCTGCAGGCTCGATACAGGACACAAAGGCCTTTATCAAGTACTGTGGGACCTTGCACAAGCAAGCTACCAAGAAGGAGAGGAAACGAGCAGAGGGGGTGAGGTCGCCTTCCTCATCCGTCTCGTCAGAGACGAGCTCGTCTTCTGCCTCCTCAAGCAACTCCCAAGAGACATCACTCTCAGACGAAGAGTCCGAAGAAGATATAGATGAGGATGACGCACTTATGAGGGACAGTGTTGAGAGGCTAAGCAAGACTGTGGACGAGGTCATGGGCAGCGATAGTCAACGCAAGGAGTCTGACGATCGCAGCCAGGCCAGTGGCTCCCCTGACAAGCCAGACGAGAACTCCGCAACACCTGCAAAGAAGGTGAAAGTGGTAATGCGCACGCTCGACTCGGCCAAGCCTCTCGTACTTCCCATTCTCACCCCACGCTTCGCCATCAGCTGTACAGATGCTCTCCTCACCAGCATCTCCGCCCTCGTCTCCCGCGACACCTCTCTGCGCATCCAAACACACCTCAGTGAATCCCCTGGAGAAATCTCCTTTACTCAAGAGCTCTTCCCAACAGCCAAATCCTACACGGACGTCTATGATCAGTTCGGCCTACTAGGCAGTCGCACTGTCCTAGCGCACTGTATCCACCTGTCGGAAGAGGAGATGCAACTGATCAAATCAAAAGACAGCGGTGTATCGCACTGTCCCGTCTCTAACATGAATATTCGCAGTGGTGCCAGTCCAGTAGGAGAGATGCTCAATCGAGGCATCAAAGTCGGATTAGGCACAGACGTCTCGGGGGGTTATGGAGTAGGGATGCTAAGCGCCATCCGCGAAGCGAGCGTGGTAGCCAAGGTCCTCGGGTTCACACAGAGGGAGTATGGACTCCCACCCTCGAAACGAAGCACTACCACTAAACTCCACGAAGGGACCAATGGCACTAACGGCACTGAAGGCGAGCAGCTACCGAAGCACGACTTTACCCTTGGCCCACTGGAGATTTCCACCCTCCTCTGGCTAGCAACAATGGGTGGTGCACAAGTCGCCTCTATCGCAGATCGAGCCGGATCCCTCGAGGCTGGAAAGGACTTTGATGCCCTCCTGGTACGGCTGTACGACCCTCATGATGAAGATGAAAATGAGAGTGAAGACCAGCCCGAGGTACAAGCTTCTCCTGCAGGCGCGGGAGCAGGAGCAGGCACAGGAGCGGGAGGGGGAGCGGGTGTTCCAGCGTACATTGGTAACCCTAGTGTGTATGTGGAAGAGGGAGAGAAGCTCGAAGCCCTCCTTGAAAAGTTCCTCTTCACGGCGGATGATCGCAATTTACATCGCGTATATGTAAAGGGAAGATTAGTGGGTGGAGCGGAGAGGAGAATCAGGAGGAGGAGGGTATAGATGGCTAGATGCTTCGTACTTTACTTTTCCCCCCTCTCTCTACCAATGTACACTTGTGCTTCTCGAGTTAACTTAATGCAACCTATGCTAGACTACCTCGACATTTCAATTGAGGTGTTGTGAGCAGAGAGAGGCGACTCGGTCCCCTTGCTCACCACTTACTTCCATGCTCACCCTCCCCGTGCAGCTCACCGTAGCAGCTCAACCCTCAAGCCCAAACGAATGAGAGAGACGCCAAGTACGACGAATGGATCGACAAGGACGGGGTATCAAGAATTTCGCATTATCATCATCATCATCAATCAATTCGACCTACCATCAGACTGAGCTGACTGACTAAAGTGGACAGAGTGAGGACAGAAAGAGAGGGAGGGGTAGAATTGACAGGTGAGAGGGAGATGCGATGGTGGTGGCGAGAGAAAGGGGAGGGGAGAGGGAGCGAAAATGAAAAAAGGACAAAATGGTGCCTTTGACTGTCTACGTCTCTTTGTATGGACGAGGTAGTGTGAAAGTGACAGTATGGACAGCTATGGGACAAGATGAGCTGTGTGTGCTGAGCTGAGCAATCAAGGGTTGCTTGGACGAAGTGGCAAGTGAAGGATGGGATGAAAGCTATTGCGTGCCTATGTATCGAGAGCTCGCCAATGGGACCATTCACCGAGGGGCTCCACTACCGTCGGTCATGTCCGAGTCCTCCTCTGGTGCGACGGCAATCAGGGAGCTAAAAGGCGGTAGTCTGGTAGACAAGCCCTGTCCGCCTTTGCTTCCCCACATCGGATTGACGCTGTGACTGGGCACGGCCGCCCATTGCCCTGCATTGGGAGCACCGATACTGACCCTAGCGCCGCCGGACTGATTGCCGTGGCCATGGTCATTGCTGACGAGTTGCTGTTGCTCAGCCGATTGAGCATCTCCTCCGCTACTGAAAGAAGCTGAGTACGGCATGGCATGCTGAGGATGATAAGGTACACCTCCTGGGGTGGTCACCTCGCCGCGACTGTTCAGGTAAGGCCGAGGCGCACTCGTGCTCGATGGTCGGCGCAAGGCCTTTGGGCGACTTCCCCTTCTTCGATCCTCCTCCGTATTGAAGGGTGGTAGAGGGAATTGAGAGTAATACGACTGAGATGAAGAGGTCCTTGATGGCGGAGAGCTCGGCAGTGGCGGAGGCTGGGCCGAAGTGGCAGACAGAGGGATATGATGGCCAGTAGGAGATGGTCCACTGATACTGTTGTTGCCCTGTCCGCCGCCGTAAGGATGGAAACGAGGAGCCGAAGTGTGGTGGAGAGGGGAAGCCGAACCAGCCCTCTGAATTGATGAGGCTCTGCTTCGGGTCGACCTACCCTGTCGGCTGGAAGGCCTGTTGCTTCCACCGGCAACGATGCCATGAGAGTGAGGAGCGCCTGGACTGCTTGACCGTAGCCCAGTCGTTCTCTCGGCGGCAGTCATGGCCTCCATGTTCGACACAAGCTGGGAATCCAGGGAGTGAATCGACCCAACGTCTTCGTTGCGGTTGAGTGAGTCATTTGAGCCGACGAAGAATCGATAGCTTCCGGTGCTGTGGGCCAAAGTGTCTAGACCAGAGCTGAGACTCGACGCTGAACCTTGTCGTTGATTCAAGCCAGGGTGACCAGCCATCAGGCGACGACTACCACCGTACGGGCCAGGGTCACTCTCATTCGTTGCATACGATGCCACAGATCCAGGTCGAGGTGCACCTCTCATTGCGCCCATGATCATCTGCGAGTAAGGTCCAGTGGGGGAGTGGAAAGGGCGAGCTGAAGGTCCACCTGGAGAGTACTGGGGAGCCAGACTCGTCGTAGGCGAGCGATACTGCTGTTGAAAGAGGCTCATGTTGCTTTGCGAGGGGTTGAGTAGCCCGTTCGGCCCAATGGAAGGCAGACCGAGGCCGCTGGCTGGCTGAGCCGATCGCGGGCTCTCAAGAGGAGAGAGTGTTCCATTGTTCGCCAGAATGTTGGTCTGCTTAGCTTTGCCCTTGTCGCCTGCTGCTCCGAGCCCATTGCTCAGCCATTCGACTTGCTCCCTTCCGTCACTAGCAGACATGATCTGGTTCCTCTTCTGCATCACTGCTCGCGCCCGGTCTCTTGCCGCCTTCTCCTGCGCTTGTCTCTTCGCCTTCTCGTTCTGCTTCGCAACTCTCTCTGCTTCTTTCTTGGCCTTCTTAGGGTCCGGAGGTGCGCCAACTTGTGCGAACTTCGGGTCGACTTCCCCAGGGCCTGACTGAGAGGGTTGTATCTGTGATGCGGTAGCCATACCACCCAATGCGCCGAATCCTCCCGTCATTGGGGCGAGCGTGTTCTCAGAGGGAGTCACCCCGGAGTACGAAGGTTTCCTTGATTGAAGACCACCGCTTGGGTCCAGGCCTTGTGGGTACCCAGCGTTGTTTGCCCCAATGCCTGTGCTGGTGTTGCTGTGGTTTCCAGAAAAGACAGAGGAAAGAGTCATTCCCCACCCCTTGCGACGCTCTGTTGGCCTGCCGCCTACCGAAGCCTCATCCATGCGAGCAGAAGCAGCACTTGTCTCAGCGTTAGTGCTGTACGACGGGACGTGGTTCTGTTGACCCCCGGCATTGTAATCTTTGTTCATGGCATCAAGCTGAGGCTGAGGTTCCCTGTCGAGCGAGTGAGGATGAGGCTGATACTGGTCTCGTAAGGCCAACGACGACGGATCGTGGATGTGACGTGGCTGCGCTCCCGAAGAGTCATCCTGCCGTAATGCTTTTCCCATGTGACCATCGCCTGAGGTTTCTTGCTGAGGTCGATAGAACGGCAGACGTTGAAGCGGCACTGTCTGCTGCTGTTGCAGGCCAGAGTTCGCTACTGCACTACTGGCCTCTCCAAAGGCGGGTCGGGCACTGGGTGGCATGTTCGAGTGTGATGGGGGCATGCCTTGCCGAGCAGCGGTAGGATCGACAGCAACTGATGGCGGTATCGAGGCTTTCGTGGCAACAGTGGTTGCCAGAGACTCCTTGCTTGGCTGCAATCGCGGTGCGACAGAGAGAAGGTAGGGGTGCCTCATGCAGTGTAAAGTCGTGAATCGAACCGCTGGGTCATATCGCAGAAGATCTTCGATGCAGTCGATGAGCTCGATCGGCACTCGGGAGCTGAACAGGCTGGAGAATTTCACAGGTGCTACCTGCAGAACGGTTAATTGAGTCAGAGTGCAAAAGAGGGGGAAAGGACGACGTCAGTGACTGAACATTTCATCAGCATACGACTTGAGCTCACCTTCGGCCACTGAAAGCCCACACCGGCTGCCATGTGCATGCCACCTTCCCACGAGCCTCCTCCCCTAATTCTGCCCCTTGAATCGGTGCCGTAGTCCGTGAATGGGTCCCCAAGGACTTCGCAGATCTGCAAGATTTGATCGACCTCGCTGTCGCCCGGAAACAGGGGTTTGAGGTTGACCAGCTCTGCCAAAATCGTGCCCAAGGCCCATAGATCGACCGGGTTCGAGTAATCTTTCGAGCGCAGGAGAACTTCAGGAGCTCGGTACCACCTTGTGGAGACATACTCGGTGTAAGGGGGTTCCGAGGCTGTCTCCCTTGCGAGGCCGAAATCGGCCAGCTTGACGATGACGATAACGTCACGTTCAGAGGCAATGACAGACCTGGGGTCTGACTGAAACGCGGGATAGTCATCGAGGCCAGTGGTAGTAATGAGAAGATTCTCTGGCTTCATGTCCCGATGAAAGTATCCGTGCTCGTGGATGTGGTGTAGGCCATAAATGATCTGCTTGAAGATCGACGCCACGAGGCCACCTGCAAGCGGCCGGCCCTTGCGAGATTTTGTCAGCTGATATAGATTGCCCTCCATACACTCGAAGACGAAGTGTAGTTCTTTGGTCGAGGGATCAAGAAATGCATCATAGAGAGGAATGATATTGGAATGGTGGGGAATGTCGAGGAGGGACTGTGGAGGGAACAAGTCGAGAGGCAGTTGATCAGTGAGCCGTCTGCTCAGATTCATGAACTGGCTAGCTCGTTCGTTGCTTGACAATTCTCCGTCACTGTACATACCTTGAGCTCTTTCAGCTTGAGACAATCGTTCCAGCTCTTGAAAGGTTTCTTCATCCGTTTGATTGCCACCAATCTCTTACCGACATACTCCGGTCTCGTAGTTGGATGTTGCATCGGACTCAGCATGGTTCCACTTGGTAGCGGGCTCTTCCAATCTGCTAGCGATACCGTGCCGAAGGATCCGTCACCGGCCGCTTTGATAATGGTGAAGTCTCGCGGACCCTCTCTCATCAGACTTGCAGCAGTGGTTGGCACTGGAGCGCCGCTCACGGGCACTGTGAGTGACGCGGAGGCATTCGAACGAGATTGGTAGGTATTGCTCCCCCCATGCATATGGCTTCCTTGCCGATTCTCCTGTTGCTGAGCGTTGGGATCGTATCGGGACGAAGATGCATCAGAATGTTTGCGGCCGGAAGAAGCGCCTGCCTGCTGGCTTGATGATGCCATTCCATAGCCATTTGAGTCTCGCATAGCATCCAGCATTGGCGGTAATTGCTGGTATTGCTGCTGCTGCTGCTGAAGTTGCTGAAGATGTTGTGTTGTCGGGTGATGATGATGAGGGAGCTGCTGAGCATGGCTATTTTGCTGACCGTTGGACGGTCCAGCCAATCCTTGCTGGGAAGCAGGGTATTGGTGCGAATATCTCTTCGGCGAAGGCGGCATGTGGGCGGGCGAGATGTTCATGCCACTGCCACTAGGCCCAGCTATGGCATTGGGGCCAGTGTTGTGAGCCACGCTGCCGGCATAATAGTGGTGAGCAGGCGAGGAGGATTGCACACCTTCGAGGAGAGGCATCTGGCGCGTGGCCCCCCCTTCAAGAGCTTTTGTGGGCGATGATGGGCAGATTGCGAGATGAGGGTGGTAGAGAGATGATGTGAGGAGGGGTGAATTATCGCAGCACAGCTGGTCCCCTGTACCTAGCGGGGGCGCAGGAGGGTATAGACTGCTGCCGGTGAGATGAAGCGAGGATACAGATGGCCGGAATTCGAGGGCGTCAGCGTCGTTGATTTAAAAGACCTATATTGTCCTGGTGATTTGTGAACCATCGGACACAATGAGGTTGCGCAGCCCCTGCGTCCGCCGCTCTCCTCGGACCGAGGATGACTGGCGGAGATTCTTGGCAAGCGTCCATTGCCGGCAATCGTACTGTGCTGGACTCACCTTTCGGACCTCCGCTTCTTCTAGTCCCCTCGCCTGTGCTGATCTATAGTGAGGATCACCGAAGGTAGTGCTCGATGGTGGATGCTACGATTGGACTTCACACGCAGGTGGACCTGGTGTCTCCTCTGCGAGTTATCGTGGGCAGTCTGGTCGCCGGATTGAGACAGCGCTGGTATATGGTCTGTGTTGTGGGTGTATGCGAGGTGGCGTACACCGAGTTGATGTACGTGTCAAGGTATGGCGAGGGGGTGATGGTGAGGACAATGGGAGATGGGGGGGAGGATGACTGGAGCAGCGCAAAAGTCCGGGGGGGGGGGGCGTGAGGGTCAGGAGAATAGGCTATGGCCTGCCGGGAGGCGTCGGTGACGAGGAGCGTGGGAGCGGACTTTGAAAGATGTCTTGCGCACCCAGAAATGGGCGCCTGGCGGGTCGAGGAAAGGCGCACAGAGGCGTGGACACCGCGAGGCAAGGCGTGGCTCACTCTTGCGCCGCCTTGCTCTTGGCAGGCGTCGCAGTGGTAGCTCCTCGCTCCTCCAGCTCCGCCGTGGCCTTTGCTCTCTACTTTGGGTCATCACTCTTACCGACCATCCCTTCCATCCATATTTCCTCCCGCGCAAGCACTTTCCCACCCGGCAATGACATTCCCTTTTGCTCCCTCCCTTGCACCCATATTCGTTCGTCGTCACATCCCACAGCGCTCGCCTGTGGCATTTCGCCGAAGTTTGCCGTCGGGAAATTGACTGTAGCGGAGCATGCAGGACTCAATACATGGCTCGCAGGCAGGTGACACCTCACCCTCTTGCCTGTAGGAACATTGGTGACAGAGGGAGGCACCACCCACCTCGCTCGCCCTCGTCGGTCAGGCGGTCCGATGACCTGAATGCGAGGATCCAGAGCACCTCATATACTCACCTCTTCCCCACGCCGCTCCTCCCTCCCCCCTCCTCCTTCTCTCACGCACCACTCCGTCTCTCCACCTTCTTCAACCTTTACTCTATCTCCTCTGACCCTACATCCCCTCTCCGACACTCACTCTCTACCATTCGTGCTCGCACTCTCACACTCACACTCATTCTCCTTTCTCACCTCAGATCTACACCTCGCCCCGTCATCGGTTCGGTACAGCTCCACCTCCTCCTCCGCCGCCCAAGATGAAGCTCCACTTTGTATTCCTCGCCCTATCCCTCGCCTTGATCCCCTCCACTACCGTGAGTACTGTCCAGAAGAGAGAAACTGGTCGCCCATCGCCCTGTTCTACCCAGATACTGATATCACCCATGTCCCCACCGTCATGACCTTGCAGGCCTTCGAGGGAGGACAGGCCGCTCTCAGGTGAGACCTGCCGTACATGGATCTGAGGAGGCTATTCACTGATTGGCGTTCTTCTCTTCATCTATCATCTTGACCCTCAAACGTCCAGTCAGCGAGACAAACCATCCGGTCAAAGCAACGACGAAGGCTCTGGTAAAATGTCAGGTCTCCAAGAGGCTATGGACGATGCTATGTCTGCCATTCAAGATGCCATGGGCAGCGCCGATGACGGAGCAAGCTCTGGAATGCAACAAGCAGCCGATGAGATGGCCAATGCTCAGGACATCGCCAACCAATTCTTCGGCACCAAGGATAGCGGCGAGGACACCAACGAGGATAGCAACGAGGATTCTAACGAAGACAGCGGCGAGGTCAACAACGACAATGGTAATAGCAAGCGACAGGCTAGCCTGTCTGACGATGCCAAGACTGCTCACAAGGGAGCCTCACAAGACCTCAATGCCGGACTCCAAGGAGGGATGCTAGACCTCAAGTCCGCTCAGCGCACCGCTAATCAGTTCATCGGCAGCAAGAACAAGAGGCAGATGGCACCCCCTGCTGGTGCTCCCGCTCAACAATCTCCCTTCAGCGGCTTCAAGGGCTTCTTCGACCAGCTCTTCGGATCAAAGGGTCAGCAGCCTTCAGCAGCAGGCAGTACTCAAGGCGAGGACAAGCCAAAGGATGCCAAGCCTGAGGCTGCAGACAAGCCCGAGGACGACAAGCGTAAGACTGAAGACAAGCCCAAGGACGACAAACCTCAGACTGAAGACAAGCCCAAGGATCCCAAGTCCGAGCCCCAAGACAAGCCCATGGATAACATGGCCAAGCCCCAAGACAAGCCCATGGATAACATGGCCAAGCCCGCGGATGACAAGACCGTGGCTGAATCCAAGACTAAGGACGGCAAAGTCGAGGCTGATTCCAAGACCAAGAACGGCCAAGTCGAGTCTCAGGATACCAAGATTGACGAAGACAGCAAAGGCAAGGACACCGCACCAGCGTCTCACGATACTAAGTCTGCCAAGGACGCCGTCGGTAGCGCACAAAACCAAGATTCTGCCCAGCCTGCTCCCCTGGCTCGTCGAGGTGTCCACTTCAACAAGCCGAAGCATCAAGCTGCTTTCCACGTCGCCAGGGACATCCCAGAGAAGCGCCGTGCTCGACCTTCTGGCGACAACGCTCATAGGCCTTCTCAGACCAGCTACTACAAGACCAAATCGGTCAATGCTTTCCTCTCTTCCGCTTTCGCTATGGAGACTCAGGAGACAAAGGATGGCCAGAGCTGGCTACACGACATCACTGGCAAGTACGGTCGAGAGGTTGCTGAAAAGCGCCAAGCCTCCGAGAAGGTCAACGCTGGCGAGTCCAGCGCTCAGATCAAGAGGCGAAGGGACCACGACGCCGACAGCTACAAGGAAATGACCAGCAGCGGAGCCATCTCATGCTGTGACGACACCATTGCCAGGATCTTGGCTGCTTTCGTACCCGTCGCCACCTTCGTCCTTATCATCGGACTCTACTAAATGAGTAAACTGCCATCTTCCCGGTCTGCCACATCGGTCAACCTCTTCACAGACGCACCCGTGGCCCGGTCAGATCTCACCTTGATCCTCTGTCAGGCAGCTATTCCCTTTTCGCTTTCTACCCACCATCGCAGTGGTATTCCCCTCCTTCGTCTAGCCTATCTCCTTCTTTGCCAATATACCCTCATACCCTCTTGTAAAGCGGCTGCTCAGCCCCTCTAATGTCTCTCTCTCTCTCGTTCACTGTTAGTTCTTATGGTACCGGAAAGCAATCTATTCTTTGTACAGATTCACTTCGTTGCTCGAGACCGACGTTGGTCTGAGATGGTATGACATTGCTTGAGGTAAGTCGTCGGACATCTTGAGGCTGCTCAAGCATCGTCGTCTTCCTGTTGTGCCCCTACTTCAACTCCTGCGAGGATGGCTCCATCTGTATCCTCCTCCGCGCCCCATCCCCTCCTAATCTCCCTCTTCTGCTCATCTTTATCCCTCCTCCTCTTCTCCATCCTCTCAATAACCTTTGTAGCACTATTGAAGATCCCACCCGTCTGAGCTCCACAAGCAAAGCACTTGGGCGTCTTGCTAAAACGCTTTATGGCGCAAGCAGAGCAAAAGTAGTGTCCACAGCGTGTCTGGACTGGATCTGTGAATGGTTGTCGGCAGAGTAGACAGGCAAAGGGAATCTCCTCTTCGTCGTCGTCTTCATCTGCGTCTTCCTCGCCTGGACCAAGATCGCGCCTAGAGGTAGAGTTGGGGAGGTAGGCGGCTTCCATTTGCCAGCCAGCTAGATAGTCGGATCGATCGTGAAGGAACTTGCACGTATCTCCAAATCCACAGTAGCCCGTCTCCTTGTAATCTTTGCATACGTCTGGCTGGTAATCCACTACGGTCACGGTTCGAATGTTGGTTGGAGCACGGATGGGACCGCGTTGTGTGTATTTGTTTTTGTGGTCGGATTGAGGTAGAGCAGAGGAGTAGGAGGAGAGACCGCGATACACGCCATCGTCGTTCGTACCAGAGCCAGGTGGGGCCGGAGGCTTCTTGGCGGAAGACTCTTCCTCGTCGAACCAGTCCACGCCACGGGTAGCGTCATCTCTGTTGCTTCCCAGCACTCCAGCTCCTCCAGCCTTGACACGAGCCGAGACAGAGGAATATTCGTCCTCTGTTAGTAGCGGGTCATCGCCTTCCTCCTCGGCAGCCTGCTCAGCTGCGAGTCTATTGCGCTTGGCTAGGGAGAAACCGGTGGATTGGATGAGTGGGTTGGAGTAGTCTACCTTGCGCGCTTTTTGGACAACTGTTGGGCGAGACGAGGAAGCGTCGTCGTCTTCGTCATCGTCGTGGTGATTCCTACTAGCTCGACCAGTGGAGGAGGTGGCGGCGGAAGTGGACGCAGCGGAGGAAGTGGCGAAATTGGAGCTGGAGGAGGTGGCGACGGCGGGCGTAGGGCGGGCACGCTTCTTCTTGAACAGGGGAGCAGCAGACGATGTAGAAGACGAGGCTACCGCCGAGCCAGCCTCTGGTGATGCCATTGTATTGTACGGGAGATGAAAGGTGAGGTATGGGTGACAAGGCTCAGAAATGTAAATCTCTCGGTTGAGCCATGCTTTCTTCTGTGCTGCTTCCGCCTTGGCTACACTGCACCTCTTTCCGCTCCTGCCGCTACGCCAGGACCATTACTCTGATTGCATCCACCGTCTTCCTCTCGCGCCTTCTTATCACCAGCTACTGAGCATCGATTGTTCTGGGCGATGCCCTACGCCTCTGCAAGGGACAAGGGTAAAGCTCGCGCTATACAGCCTCTGCAACGGCCAGAAGAGTCTGCGACATCCCCCAGCAGTCACGCCGCCAGCTCTCGCGTTCATCCTTATCCGCATCCGCACCCTCCTCTTCCACCCCAACAACCTCACATGACGATGCCACTCTCACCACCAAAGACTTCCCCTTCTCCTCCTGGCTTACCTCCTTTTCCGGGAGAAGAGCCAAATGACGTCTTCAGCCAGGCAGGACCTTCTCGCCGGCCCATGGAGCACGCGCCGGCGATCAGAGGACCCCCAATCGATGTAGATGCTGTAGAGACATCGTCTACACCTGTAGAGGTGGATCTGGTGGTACAGTGCAAGGCCTGTAGGACCATCGTAGGGGATTCGTCTGCATACGTTGCTGCGAGGAAGGATCTAGGCCTTCTTGTTCTATCCAGTGAGTACCCACACTTAGTGGAAGTCTGTCTGCAGCCATCTGATCCCTGCTCCAATCATACTCTCTTCCGATCTACAGGCGTAGCTCAGCATGTGGTCTTGTCCAATACTCCATCTACGGCTCAGGATCCGGATCTCAACAGTCTGTACATGCCCTTGGAGATCACGTGTGGATCATGCGGTAGTCCTCTGGGGAAAGTGTATAGGATGACCGCTGCTGGATTAGATGAGTTGAGGGATGGGTACAGCTTTGAAAGGGATCGTATCTCTGTGTGAGTATGCGTGTAAGACATCGATCTGCATAGTCCCGGATACTCATCCGATCGAGTCATCGTTCGCTTCTGATCTTGCAGATATCAGCTGGGTACCGGCGTTCGCTCGTCCACGCTGGCGCCTCTACATCCTGATCGGCAGGCCAATCAGAGAGATCAAGACTGGCGGCGGGGACCCACTGGGCCTAATGGATCATCAGAAGACGTTTATTCCCCTCAACAGCAACACCAAGATCGCTCTCCTCCTCCTCTTGCCCACCTTCCGCCCCATGAACGGATGATGGGAGGTGTCCCGCCCACTCCCGGCCAGGGACATCTTCCGTATCACCAGCAAGCCACACCTGGAGGACCAGGACCCTACAGCATGTACAACCGTCCGCCGAGTCTGGTCCCCATGAGGCGAACCCCGAGTATAGCTGCTCCCATGTCCCTACGAGGAAGCGTGGGCCCCATGTCCATGCGAGGCTCAATGACGCCCGGCCCGGGTGCAGGAGCAGGTGCAACTGTAGCCAGCCTGAAACAAAAGGCAATCATGATCGAGATGGGCGATCGAATCAAGTCTTTGGAGGGCGGAATTGGGAGCATGGATGAGAGAGTGCGCAACATGCTGGATGAAAGGATGGGACCTGTGGAGGGTCTGCTGAGGGAGATCATCAGAGGACAGGCAAATCTTGCTGGTGGAGTAGGGAGTGGGAGTGGGAGCGGTAGCGGCAGTGGTAGTGGTAGCAGCGCAGAGAGGACAGAGGATCGGAGACAGCCACCATTGGCTTCGACTACAACGACGACCCCACAGCGTCCACCCCCTTCAGGCCTCAATGGCTCCGCTAGCGAAGGAACAAGCGCAAACCGATCCAGCGCCGTCACTCCCACGGCGAGCAACGGCGGCATGCCCCCGCCCTCGTCTGTACCCCGCAGTGCCGGCAGCTCGAATCGGATACCCAAATCGATGCTTTCGAGTCTGAGTGGGACGCCTTTGCGCAAGAGGATTGTAGATCAGCGAAAGGCGGCGGGTCAATCTCCGGGAAGCGTCGCGACGGAGAGGATACAGTCTGCTCAGGCTCAGACCCAGGTCCAGGCAAATGCAGCTTTCAAGTCTCCAGCGGCGGTGGCCTCCCCACGATCAAATACGCAGCTACAGCCAACAGCGCTGGCTGGTTCTCCTCAAAAGTCTGCCCTAGCTACTTCTGGCGCAGTCCTCCACCACAGAGCAGGCTCACCCTCTCTGGCTGCTCTAGGCCCAATCCCTGGGCAAGGTCAAGAAGCGGGCAACGTCGCGCCTCCTACGGCTCAGTACGAGCACGACGAGCTGGACGGACTGGACAACAGCTTTGATGGTCTGGATGGAGATTTACAGGAAGCTGACGCTGCAGGAGCGACAGTGGAGGGCGGGTTGAACGAAGGGGAGAGGAATGGTGCGTTACATCGGGCTGGAGGGACTGGTGCTGCAAGAGGGAGGAAGAGGAAGGCGGTGTGATGCGTGCGCAAATGGCGGACCGTGCCGTCTGAAGACAGCCGTATGGTGGATCTTGGCATTCGGCAATCGTTACACTATTTACCCTACTGTACAGGTCGGCGATACTCGGGTAACAGCGTGTGGCAGGTGTGTACGTGCCGGGCAGATCTACCCGAAGCAATGATTCCGCCCAGGTCCGTGTCCGTTCGCTCTTGATGGCCGAGCCCAATTGGACCCTCACGTTCCTTTCACTCTCCCCTTTGCACAAGTCGTCATAGTAGCTATCTCTGCTTCCACAGAAACAGAAAGACAACAAGGCGGACAGGAACGAACCAGCCGCCGAACAAATGAACGAACGTGGCGGATCGGATAAGCGCACGTACCACCTTGGCGTATATCCGCTAAGCGAGGGAGGGCAAGCTTGAAGGCAAGAGGCAGGAGGCAGGAGGCACGATTGCTTCTGATTGCGGGGGAGAATGGAGAGTCGGACATGCTCAGAATTGCCGAGGTGGGTGGGTGTCTGGGTCCAGCTGCTCGATGGTTCGCTTGGCAGGGCCCGTGGACGAAAGGAACAGGATGAAGGTGGAGAAGGGGTCCAGCGGTCGCTGCAGTGGGCTGGTACAGGTGGACATAGCGGGGGTCTGATCGACCCCATCTGTACTACCTTTACTCAACCTCAGACCGTCAACTTTAGACCGGTGTAGAACGTCCACAGGCTTCAAGGCGAGGATCAGGATGAGACGCCCCTCGCTGGTGTACAGTCCCTCATCCTCCCGCACCTCCTCACGATCCTCCTCTCCTCCCACGAGCAGCTACTTCTCCTCTCTCACTCCTCTCCATTCTCTCCCTTCAAGTCCACCGCGGAGAACCACAAGGTCGATTCAGCAACTACTGCGTATCTTCACATTCCACCTTTCTCTGGCCTCGGCAGCGCACTACCTCTGTCTGCTCCTCTCACTCCGCCTTCTGCTGCGCTCACCGCGCTTGATCACACTAGCGTTGACGCTTACCCTCGTCCTATCCCTCGAAGGGAGAGCGAGGGCGGAGCGATTGGGTTTGAGGAACACGATGGGAGGGATCCTGGGAGGGGTGGGGCTAGGGTTGGCAGGATGGACCATGAGGGAGACTGCTTTGGAGCGACACTGGCAGTGGGGCTGGAGGGCAAGACAAGAAGAGAGGGAAGAGGACGCCTCGCTTGGCGCAGCAGACTACCTTTCGAGGAGACTTTGCCAAGGTGCAAAGATTGACCTTCCAGGAGGCTCAGGAGACGATCTCGAAGTCAGCATCTGTAGCCTAGGTGCAGGCCTGGGTGAGACCACACTCGCCAAGCCTCAAACGGACGAAGCAGATCGCAGCGAGCTTCATTTGAGGCTCTCAGAGGCTGCTGCGGTCTACACCAAGGGTGAATTTGTCTCAAAAGAGGTCAAGATTGGCGATGCAGGTCTGAGCCTCGAGGGGGTATGTCAGACAAACTCTGGCTGTCGAGAGTTCCCCGCCCATCATCGCCGCGTGTGTGGTCTGGCAGGCCAGTTGTGGGCAGCAGATGGAGGTGTCAGTCCTGCCATCGTAGTCGTCATTCGTAATGATGTCGATGGCTCGAGTATCGCCCTTGCCTGCGCGACTTGAGGTCAATCTACCATGCACCTCGTACCGCCTGTCTGTGGGTGAGGCTCGACCGTATGCGTGAGCCTGATTGTGACCCCGGCTGAGCTTGAAATGCACCGCGCGCTGCCTTGTGTGCTGCGCTTCGCCTCCCACGCCCGCTCGCTCCTGCCGCCGCCGCCGCCCGGCTAGGTCTTCCTCGGAATTTCTACTTCCTGCTACCTGTTCCTCACCTACACGTCCCCCTCACATACTCCTCCAATATGGTGATTATCAGCTACGATGAAGGATGATCGATCGCAGCATACTCTCTCCGATCGACGATGAACCGCTTTCGACCTCGGTCTGAAAAATCAGACATGGTGGTCGCTCTCTAGTCCTCTCCTCTCACGGAAGACTTCTCAGCCTGGGCTCTCGGTCGCAAGACCTCCCCCTCGCCTGGCTCTGTCTCTACCTGCCTCTCTCTAGAGCGCAGGCTGGCCACATCGTCGCTTCAGCATCGTCATGACTGAAGGGAGCAGATCCCCACCCCTCAGCAATCCGTTTGGCCAGTCCATCCGATCCATTGCAAGGGTTACAAGGGTCTGCTTCTTTTAGGAATCGGAGAGGGTTTTCTGCGTTTCGCATACATCCCCACACTCTCCGTTGAACGTTTTTGCTGAATCGTCGTCTCTCTTGTCCTCCCGTCTGGTGGCCGTTTCCTACGCACCTGTTCACAGCCTAAGCAAATCACCGACATCAAGAGCTTCCTCGAGATTGCCCGCAGGAAGGACGCCAGGTGTAAGTAGACAGACGCATTTGCCAGGAGCCACGATCAGCAATCTGATCATTGCACCCCACCTTCTTTGTCCCCCCACAGCCGCCCGGGTCAAGAAGACCGTCAAGGTCAACGGCTCCACCCAGACCAAGTTCAAGGTCAGGTGCAAGACCTACCTCTACACCCTCGTCGTAGAGGACTCGGAGAAGGCTGAGAAGCTGAAGCAGAGTCTGCCCCCTAGTGAGTAGTGAAAGGATCAGCGGTCATGAGCATTTGGACGGGCGGTTACTGGGATCACAGTGACGAGATACTGCGACTTGCGAGAAGATTTCTTGCAATGTCAGACAGGGGGCTAGACCGATGAGGCCGAGAGAGCCTGCCCACCAGCTCAAGCTTCAGCAACAAATCACTGACCTCGCAACCCTTCTCCACCCTTCCGCTTGCAACAGCCCTCAACGTGACAGAGGTTGGCGCCAAGGGCAAGGGCAAGAAGTAAATGGCTGGGAAACATGCATCCCCCCCTCTCACCGCCTTCTTCATTAGCCTTCTTGTGAGCATTGTTTCACCTTGTACAATTTGTTCCCCGTGACTCCTTCATACATCACACATTGTCATCATCAACATCATCAGTACCAGCAGCAGCAGCAGGTCTGTGCGAGTGAGCGTCATCGTCGTCGTAGCCAAGCAATCCTGTGCTTGGGCTCCGATCTAGCAGGTAGACAGGCAGGCAGGCAGGCAGGCAGGCAGGCAGGCAAGGAGAAGAGGTCAAGGTATCATCTCGTTGAGGTGGAAGTCTGAAGGCGACGTGACACATTTGGAAAAACAAGGGGAGAAGAGGTAGAGGCTAAAGGGTGAAGGATAAGAGGAGAGGGGGATGGGGAAGCAATGACTCGTTGGGTAAAAGCGCCCCCCCCCCCCCCGGTGCATCGAAAGATGTACGTACGGTACGATGTAGGTGTACGTAGTGGTGCGAAAAGAGAAGGATGTAATGTCGTGACTCTGCTTCCCCTGTCTCGCCCTGCTCTGCCCTGCCCTGCCCAACCTTCTCTTCTCTCGTGTTGTGTGGGTCTTGGGCCTGTCCTACCCTTTGCCTTGCTTTCCCTGGGCCTTGCACTGGCCTTGTGTGACCACCCGCTCAGCTTTCCTCTGCCTTCTTTCCCCTTTCCAACTTCTGTTGTCCATGCAGAGTCTTCGACTTGTCATCCCCTTCGGTATGGTTCCTCTCCAGAAGAAGGAGGAGGAGGAGGAGCATGCGCAAAGGGTCTTCCTACACCAGCACCAGCACCTCCACCCGCTCCACCATTACCAGTGCCGGTACCGCTAAGAGACTGGTAGCCTTGTCCCCTGTACATCTGTTGTCCCTCGCGCTCCCTCGCCATTTCCCTGTCCCGCTGAGCCTCCCAGTCTCTCTGCCGCTCGCGCTCAAGCTCACGCTCGGCCTCCAAGGTCATGCCGCCCATGCCTCGACCGGAGAGCGGGGCCGCGGGGGCCTCGCGATGGTACGAAGAGTGGAAAGAGGAGGGCATGGTACCAGCGCGGTCCCTCCTCTGCGCTTGGGCTTGAGCTTGGGCTTGAGCGTGCGCTTGTGCCTGTGTTTGAGCTTGAGGGTGAGCATGAGGGTGTGCGAGAGTCTGGGAGCTCGGTAAACGCTCCAAAGGAGGCAGGATTGTCACGCCTTCCGGTACTGGTGCTGGTGCTGACACGCCGGGGCGACTCGCAGCACCCGGACCGACAGGCCCACCACTACTGCCTGGTCGCGATATTGGTCCATACCCGTAGCCAGCACTGGAGGGCTGGCTGAGCCCGCCCGGTGCACCGTGCAGGCGAGGCGAGTGTTGCGTTACTGCGAGATTGCCAGGAGCGGGAGGTGTGAAGACTCGTCTGGGATCAGAGATGCTGCGCTCCCTCGTGTGGTGAAGAGGACGGAGAGGCGCTTGACTCCTTGGAGGATCTTCCTGGTACGCATCGTAGTAGGCCGGGCGCTCGTGCGGCTGCTGCCCTCCCCGATACTGCTGATGGTGCGGCGGCGGATATTGCTGTGCAGGTGGGTATTGTTGCGATGGAGGGGCAGGGCCGTAGGCTGAGCGATGAACTGTCTCACCTCCCAGAGGGCCGCCAGCCATCTCTCGTCTACCCTCGACGACGTAGCCCGAATGAGGGTGAAGCACCGAGGGCCGAGAAGTCGGCTGTGCATTCATCATCTCGTGTTGCTGTCGAGCATGAGACGGTGGATTACCGTACTCTGCGTCTCGGTCCCAGACGTGCGAAGGGACGGCTGTCATGCCAGCAGAGCCCTCCGCTTCAGGCCGCTGACGCTCTTGACTTGACGAGGTATACTGAGGCGGACGTTGCTGATACTGCTGGTGTCGATGGTCGATGCGATTGGCTTGCGCTTCTGCAGCCGACATGTACGCTCTGGGCGGGGGTGACGTGGTCCGTGATGCAGCTAGAGAGCTTGACAATGGCGGCAGCATGTGTGAGCCTTGCGCTTGCATGGCTGGTGCAGGCATCGCTGGACGAGAGTAAGTCGAAGACGGGTAAGCATGCTGATGCGAAAGTTGTCCCCTCGGCTGGGATGTCTCCATTTCTTCCATGTGTGAAGGATGAGCATAAGCTCCATGCCTCGCAGCGCTTTCTGAAGCAGGCGGTGGCCCTGGAGCGGCGTACGGAGGAGCGTCCCTTGCTGTCACACTTGTCGTCCATGCACGAAGGCGGTTGGATGCCATCGTTGGTGATGATGTAATGACGTTGCTGAAAGTGTTGCTCCGCCCACCGCTTCCCCGCATTGACATGTCCGAATTGTTCTGTGGAGAGTAGCCAGAGTGCTGTCCTGTACTGCCGCTCATACGTGTGCTGATTGTAGAAGCTATTGAGCCCTTGTGTCTCGGGTCTACCCGAGGGACGTACTCGTTCGAAGAGGCACCACTGCCCCACCTGTTGCTACGAAAGCGTTTCGACTCGGACTCGCTAGAGTCAATGCGACGAATCATAGGCGGGCGTCGGCCCATGTCGTCGTCACTGCCTTCGTCTTGATACCTGTCATGCCCGCCACCGCCACTGCCAGCGCTAGCGCGCGATGGCCGCTTGCCCCTAGCATTCTTGCGAACACGGACCTTGAGACCTTGCCCAGCGAATGCCCGCGAGAGCTGCGTCGATTCTTCCATTCCAGGAAAGCGCTTTGCAGTGTAGACCATGAAGACGGAAGAGTAAATGGACTTGCAATGGTGGACCTGAGTGCCAATAGTCTCAAATAGACAGAGTTTGAGTCGGTATCTTCCCTCTACGCGAATGCTCAGATCTGGAAAGACGAAGAAGCCTTGGTGAGACCCGTCAATGTCCTTTAGATGGTAGAGGCAGGACACACAGCTGCCTGTCGTGTATCTTGTCTTGCCATCAGCCAACAGGTGAAGCTCCTCGTCCTTTTCCGGATCGGCTAGCATGGCGCACATGAAGTAGCAAGGGTTCTCCAAGTACCAAGCCTTGTCTTCCCATCCTTCTCCTTCCTCAGTGACTACCGGCTCTCCTCGACGTATTTGGGGAAGCTCAGTGTCTCTTGGAGCTGCTGCCTTGACATCTCCCTGTGATGACGGGAATGCCGCCTTGGAAGGGCTTGAGGAGACTGGCCGAGGATGAGTGATGACGCGAAGTTGCACGATGGGTGCCGGATCGATGGGCCGCCGATCAGCCTTCTCTCCCACTCCGCACATACGAGAGTGCTTCGGCTGTTCCCGGATTTGTAGGATATACTCAATGTTCTCTCTGCCCTCGATCACTTGCTGAACAGGGGCATACTGATATGCTAGACCTTCATTGGGCGTTTCTGATAGAGTCGACTGTAGGCCTACTCCCGACTTGGCCGGTGAAGCGCCTTCAGAGATTGGTAGAGAGTCTTCCGAGGTATTGAGAGCCCTGCCTTTCGACCGAATGCGTGAGGAAGATCCTTCTTCGGCTTGCCAGTCTTCTCTTCCCTCGACACCGTCATAATATCGCGGTCGACTATAATCAGGGCGGCCACCTCCCTGTCTAGCCTCTCTCTCGTCGCCTCTCTGAGGCGAGCTTCCGCCGGAGAGGAGGTCAGCAACTGCCATTCCTGAGGCGACACGGGGCATCGATGGGCCAGAGACCGCAGGGTACTGGCCCGTCATCCTCCCAGCGCCTTTGTCAGACGCCAGGCTGGCAGAAGTGTTTCCGTACTTGCCGCTGTGAGCAGACGGTCTGAGTGAAGGATGTGGTAGCAGCCGAGGATATTGTCTTTGATGCTGAGGGGGATGCGTTGACGACCAACCAGTCTGTGTTTGGTGGCTCTGTGGCGAACGGGAAGAGCTATCGCTGATGGAGCGCTTGAGTAGCTTTCTTGCAACGATGGTTTCGTACAAGCCTGAAGGACCGGCAGCTCGAACACTGTGCGGTAGCTGTGATTGGCGAGTCTGCCAGAGCCTCACTTGCGATAGGGCTGCAGCCGAAAGAGGGGGCAGCGGTCGTGGAGCACGAAAGTGTGGATCTGTTTGCCTGTCGTTAGTTTGTACCGGAGAAGCTACTTCTGTTTTGACCCTGACCTCGGCAGGAGGTAGAAGTTCGCCGTCGCTTTCACTCTCTGGTAAGGTCTGAGGCCGCGGATAGAAGGGGTCTGAAGGCGACATCGTGAAGTGCGGGCAAGAGGAGGAAGTGTTGGGTGGTATGGAAGTCGAAGATGTCAGCAGCACGTTCCCCAGATGAACCTGAGGCAGATGGATGATCTCAGTAGCAAAATCGCAAGCTGAAACCCCTTTCGGAGGCCGCACAGGCGAGTCGAGAAGACTCGACTTTCGCAGAGCAATCTGCTGATGCCTGCTTGCCCGTACCTCTAAGAGTAAGCTAGCTAGACTGACTGCAGAGGAGCAAGCGACCTCTTTTGCAGCGAGGGGTGGGGCAGTCGTAATAGCAGCAAGAGGGGGTGCACGAGGGGCACATGCTTGCTCTGGTATTTTTCTCTGGGAAGCATTATACCGGACAGTGCTGCTCCCCTTTGCATCCGCTGCTACCGACCCTTTGATTGATCCTGTGAGCAGGGACAATCACTTTGCAGCCGAGACTGAGCTTATCGAAGCATGTGTACCTTGATCGGAAAAGTCCGAAGAACCAAGAGCCCCCCCTACTCCTCTTTCCTGGCTGCATATATTGGCGATCTCTGTCCCTATCCAGGCACTCACATGTACCTGATCTCTGAAAGCAAGCAAGTCAACACAGCTATACAGCCAAGACTTGCCCTTGTATCCGGCTAGATGCAGACTGTGGAAGTCCGCGATGCTGATGCAGCAAGGACAGAAAGACTCAGGGTGGCAATGATTCCGGTGAGGATACGTAGCCTGTACGGTTCCTGATTGGTGCCTTTAGTGATGAACGGAGACGGAAGTACAACGATGAGATGCTGCGAGCACTAGTGCTGTTGGTGACGAGGATGCTGCTGATGAACTGGACAGATGTGAGATGATGGTGAAAGAGTCTATTGAGGAACCTGCTGCTGATGATGAGGATGGTAACGATGACGATGATGACCCGGGTAGTCTGATGCTGACGATGACGATGACGATGACGAATCTAGGAACGGGAAGATCCGGGGAGAAGGGAAGGCCGAGGTAGATGGAAGAGTGCGGTGACCGGATATCTCCTTCCTGGCAGTGATAGATGGGAGGGGACAGGACCTGTCGGAGTCATGCGCCTGGCTGCAGCCGTGCGAGACAGACAGTGTATGTGTGTGTGTGAGAGCGAGTGCCCCCGTACGGTGCTGTCTTGTATTTAAGCGAAATGCCGAAGATGCCGTGTGGTTAGGGATCTTGGTATTGGCGGCCGTGGAGAGGGAGGTTGGACAAGGAGTAGCAGGCTGACCAGGGGCGGCGAGATGGGCGGTGGTGGTGGTGGTGGTGGTGGGGCTGCTGGTGCGAGTAGAGGGCGTCATTGAGCGGAGCAGCAGCCTCGGTAGGAAGGAGGCCAGTGAGGAAGCGAGGTGCCCTGGGCGTGGCGTGGACTCCCTCGCTTGGTTCGCATCCCGCCCGAGACATGCAATCCCAGACAGACAGACAAGACAAGCATCACCACCCACCCACCCAAGCTTCCGCGGCCGCCTTTGCGCCCCGCCTCGGCCGCTTCTGTCCCGAGGCACCGAAGACACACAGACGTCCTCGCAGAAGAAGAAGGTCTGAATCTAAAGCAATGCATTCACGCCCGCATCGCACCTCGCAAAGGTGGTACCAAACTATACTGCAACTTGCTCTCTTCCTGCACTCTTACATCTATTACCCAGCCACGCAGCTAAACAGCCGAATTCGCCAACCCACTGCTCAGGTACCTCTCTTGTGTACGTCGCCTATTCCTAGACCTGCGCGGGGCAAAGCAATGCAGCCGTCTCGCCTTGGCCTCGCATCCATCTTCCCACGTCTCCTTTGCAGCCCCTGCCCCCCTAAAAAGGCAGTCCGGCGGCGGCAGCGGCGGCAACGGCAGCGGGGCCAGCGGCTATCACCCTCCAGATCCGACACGTCGGCCGGACCTCCTAGGCCGCCCGTGAGTCACTTGAAACCCTGCCGTCTGTCTGTTTGAATGTCAACCTGAATTGGCTGACTGTATGGCTGTTCAGAATCTGTTTCACGCAGTCTGTCTGACAGGAGTCCCAACTCCAATCTTGACTCTTTGGGTGCCTGTGGCCCGCCTGCTCCATCCTCTACCTGGCCACTGTGTCTGTGCACCTCTTCTTCGTAGCACCAGCCGGCGGGCGCGGGTCCCTTGGCACCTCCGCGTTTCTTTTCAAAGTCCCCAAAGCTCCCAACCTCCTTCAACCCCACTCCTCTTGACTGCTCCTTTCCCCTCTTCCTGTCGGCGGAGATCATCGACAAGCGGCGATTCGCGAGCGGGCATTGGGTTCCCGCATCAACTGCAGTGTGCAGTGGGCGGTGAACTCAAGAAGAGCCAAGGCGTGATGTGATGCTCAGTGGGGGGTGAGACACCAGAGGCGCGATGAATGGCCCGGGCGGGCAGAGCGAGTGAGGATCGACGATTGGTCTCCCGAGCTTCAATCGACCGAGAGCGGAGGCTTAGCTAGAAGAAGGCGGAGAGGGGGGGGGAAGGGTGTTAGCAGAGTGACCGAGGGGACACCGAGGAGCGGTGCCGGAAAGTAGCCCGGCTACTTTCTTTATGCGTGGGAAAGCCCGCACTTATTAGCGAGCTGCTCAGAAGAAGACATCATTCGTAGGCTCTCGTTTTTCCTGTGTCGTACCTACGTATGTATGTCCGTACTACTGGCGAATTACATGCTCGAGTGAATTTTCAGAACCTTGACTTGAGTACGCAAGAGGCTGTGTGCCAAGCGAGGGGTCTCGCCCCACGTGGGGAGTCAATCTAGCTTCCTACCCTTCGGTTGGCAGTAGTTTGTCTCACCTAGTCAGGAGCGATCGCCACAGACGGCAGATCAGATCAGATCCATGGTCCTGGGGCCAACGACCCCTCATCAGTCAGCTCGTTTCGCCTCACCCCGAGGTTCTTGGAGGCACAACGTTAATGGCAGCTGAGCGGTATGGCGAAGGCCGATCTTCCAAGGTTTGCTCCTTTTCCGCCATCGAGAGAGTTTCCCCGCGAGGAACTGAGCGCTGGGTCACCGATTAGCCCGCGATTGACGCAGGATCTGGTATGGCGAAACGAAACGAAACGAGGCCAAGACTGTCTACTGATCTTCTTGATCCTAATGACATGGGTGACATTACGAAATACGGGAACTATGTACAGACGCGACGAGGTGGAGGACAAATCAAAGTGTTGGAAGCGAGAAATTCATATCAAGCTCTCGCTTCTAAGCCATCCATTTGCACTGCTTGACCTTGTCAACGAATCGCCTCTTCCTCTGGTCCTCCTTGCTGCTGCTCTTCTTTGATGTCTTTGTCTTCGTGGCAGAAGAGGAGCCGAAGAAGGAGTCCATTGCGCTGGTCAGCTCCTCGACGGTGCAGTGGGGAGCGGGGCCGTTCTTGGCTTCGTCATTGATGTCAAGTCCAGTGTTGTTGAGCCATGAAGCGTGGATCTGCTCGCTACGACTGAGTGGCTGGGTTGGCATCTCGATGCAAGAGCTGAAGGGCTGAGAGGTGAGGTAAAGAGAGACAAGTCAGCAGCTGAATCGAGATGGTGCTCGAGGAGTACGAGGCAATGGCAGACTCACCTTGTCTTCCTTGAGGCTCTGCAGCTCCACCAGTGTCGTCTCGCTCCCATCGTTTGACAGCCTCTTCTCCTCGTCATCCATGTCGCATGTGCTCTTCTCGGTGGAGCCAGCCACGGAAGAGGCGCTGAGCCTGTTCAATGCGAGAGCTCGCTGGCGCTCTCGGCGGGTGGTGCGAGGAGCAGGGGCGAGGATGGTGGTGTCCGAAGAGGAAGAGGGGCCCGCAGGGCAGAACATGAAGGTGGTCGAGGAGATGGAGATGGGCATGGTAGTGGAGAACATCTTGTTTGGTTTGTTGATGGATGGGTGGTTAGCCGTGTGCAATGAGCTAGAAGTAGTGTGGTAGTAGGCGAGAGCTCGTTGGGAAGGCTGGTTGATGGAGTGAAAGATGGGAGTGGTACCGTTTCCCTCCCTGTCTTATACCTCTCTCGCCCTAGCCTGTCCATCATCCTCTCATCCATACTCATCGCGGGGACGACGGTGATGAGATGAGGATAGGATCGATGGGGCTACGCGGGGGATGGGATTGCATTGCCGTCCGTGCCCAGAGAGCAACAGCAAAAGACGAGGTCCTGACACTGCAGCCACGGCGGAGGGGGAGGGGGCACTTCCTCCCTCTTCTCTGTGTGTCACTGGCTAGTCAGTTTGCTCTTACATAGAGTGATGAGGATCCGAGTGCTCTGCTCGCCCCTGTGTCTCCCTTGCTCACCACTAATACCCCTCGTTGTATGCCGCCTGCTCTTTGTACCTGAGGCCTCGCTCGGGCGCAAGCGCAAAAGATCGGCCTTCGATGGCGGCTTCAGAGGGGCCCTGCACACAGGGGGCAGTCGAAGCCACTGGGCGCGGACCTCTGAGCATCCGCGAATGCACGCGACACACTGGCGCTGCCCACTAGCCAATGCTTGAGCCTAGTGTACCTGGTCACTCACGACTTGCAGTCAAGCAGCTCAAGGGCGAGGTAGACGTCAGCGTCCGTAGTTGCGTCGAGAGCTGCGTACGGAAGACTTTGGAGAAGACTGTGTCTAACTAGCAGCAAAAGGCAGATGAAGTGCATCCAGCTCGTCCACAACGCTCGACATCAGCATCCAGACCTCTCCTGCTACCATCTCGGAATGTCACTTGTCCTCTAAATCTGTTTCAATCTTCAACGGTACGTGCTATTTATACCTGACACCCCATTTGCTACTCCACTCTCTCGCGCCTGCAAGTACCTGTGTAATGTGATGATGATTGACGATGACAAGAAGACTCCCGCCTTGAAGACGCTGAGCCTCTCTCCAATCTTCAACAGAATTGGGGGTGTGAGAGCAAGAAGAATACAAGTGAAGGAATATGTCAAGAGAGACCGGTCAAATGCTAGGATGACGGAGCCAGAGATTTTGTTTCGTTTTGTCAAGTGACAAGACGAGTTTAGGCCTCGGTCACTTCACGCAGACGACGGATGGTCCTGAAGAAGGTGGCAGAGGGGAACGGCCGCAACGTAAGCACGAGAATCTCAAAGCATGGCGAAACACCTCCTTGATCAGTACTCACGATCGGACGGTAGCAGCGGCAGTGGTCGACAGAGCCCAAGCACCACCAGCAATGACCTTCTTGCACGACTTGCACTCCCAGATACCAACGTTTGTTCGCTTGACCGAGTCCTTACCACAGAAGGTGCAGGTGTACTTGGAGTGCTGGGAGATTTCGATCTTCTTGACCGATCGTCGCAGCGACGAACCTATGGGAGATGAGGAGGAGAGGCGCCAGGTGAGCCACCTGTCCTATCAAATGCTCTATGCTTCCTTCGTTGCCAGTACATGTGCGCAGCTTCCAGTCCTGCTCATGCTGCCTTCAGCAGCGCCGACATTCTCATGGTAGCGCTATGCTGCAGCAACCATGTTGGACTGCTCTGGGGCAAGCCTGTCTCCTGCCTCACTATGCAGTCTGTCCACTTGTCCGTCTCCTTCTCGAGACATCCTGTCTGACTCCCGCCCGTCGCCCTGCTCTGCTTCCTGCCCTCCATTTCTGCCCTGCTCAGAGACTGCTGTTCCTTCCCTTCACTGCTCTTTTGCCTTTTGACCTCCTTCAATTGAGCTCGAGAATGCTACTCACCGTATCGGGTTCCGTACTTTCCGGTGATTCCGACCTTCTGTGTGCGCTTCGACTATTCCACCAAACCAATCAACAACGTAGCATCAAGATATCGAGAGAATGGTAGCAGATGAGGGCGTGCAGCAGCGGCAATAGGTGTGATGAGGTAGGTAGGTCGAGCAAGGGCAGCGCGGGAGGAGGGGAGGAGCAGACCAAGGGAAATGAGTTCGAACGAAGAGCATAGACGATGGGGGGAAAGAGACAGAGCAATCTGGTCAGCTGTGAAAACAAATGTTGAGCATGCCTGTCGTTGGGTACGTACCATGTTTGTATGAGTATAGGTGGTGAGGTGAGGTTGAGGTGAGGCGTAGGGTGAGGATGCGAATTTCCGAGAAGGATGAGCGGGCGGGGCGGGGGAGGCGGCGCCTGCTGCCCCTCGCCCGACATTCCTCTGCGGTGGGCGGCGTCGCACCGCGCACTGCACGCAGAAGGCCCGCTCCGCCCCTCGCCCCCCCGCCAGGAGCGAATTTGGGCCAAAGTGCAGGCCGGGCGAGAAGCTCACCCGTCCTTCTTCTCTCACACATCGTCCCCCCACCACAAGCAACGTAAGTATCATCCTACATCACAGGCCTCTTTACCCCCCTCATCGCTAGCAGCTTCATCTTAGGCTCACACGCCAACCCTCTCTTCATCTTTGCAGAACCATGGGTGCCTACAAGTATATTCAGGAGCTGCACACCAAGAAGCAGTCGGATGTCCTCCGATTCCTTATGCGAGTCAGGTGAGCATCTCCAGAACAGCGCAGCTGCATAGGAAGGATTGGGGACAAAAAGCTGGAGACGTAGGAAAGCAAAGCAGGACAAGGGAGAGACAGACAGTCAAGGATGTGGGAAGAAGTGGGAGGAGAATGCAATGATGGGCGAGTGTAGGGTCAGACGGGAGAGATCAGAGCTATGGGGTTCGCAAACTCAGACGAACGGCCAGTCGAGGCTGTCTCGACCATAGGCGGAGCATATCGCTACCGGATCGATGTTGGGGCGCTGTAGCGACTACAAGGAGACGTGGGGGAAAGGATCGGATGTAGAGCGCGAATCAGGCCATCGCCAGACCTTACGCTGTGGATATCGCGAACAACCCCTGACCTCTTCTCCTCTCACACTGTCCATTCTTCTTCCGCAGGTGCTGGGAGTACCGTCAGCTCAACGTGATCCACCGAGCCTCCCGACCCTCTCGCCCGGACAAGGCTCGCCGCCTGGGCTACAGGGCCAAGCAGGGCTTCGTCATCTACCGTATCCGTGTCCGCCGTGGTAACCGCAAGAAGCCGGTGCCAAAGGGAGCCACCTACGGTAAGCCCGTCAACCAGGGTGTGAACCACCTCAAGTACCAGCGATCTCTCCGTGCCACCGCCGAGGAGCGAGTGGGCCGAAAGGCCGCCAACTTGCGCGTGCTCAACTCCTACTGGATCAACCAGGACGGTGTTTACAAGTACTTCGAGGTCATCTGCGTCGACCCCCAGCACAAGGCTATCCGCCGTGATGCCAGGATCAACTGGATTGCCAACCCCGTCCACAAGCACCGTGAGGCCCGTGGTCTTACCGCTACCGGCAAGAAGTCGCGAGGACAAGGAAAGGGTCACCGTTACAACCACACCCAGGGTGGAAAGAACAAGTCGATCCGTCGCAGGGACACTCTCCAGCTCACTCGATACCGATGAGCGTTTGGAAGAGCATCGTCTCTGCCTCTCCCCCCTTTTCCCCCTCTCCTCTACTCTCTTCGGTCGTGGCTATCCTCCCCCCATTCCCCCCGCTCTTGCGTTCCTGTTCATCTCACGTGTACTACTCTCACTTTTTCAGTGGTTCAGCGCGAACCTCAGAATTTGAAGCAGCATCGCTCTTCACCAGCACTATCGTTCATTGTGAAAGTCTGTGGTGTGTAGTCGTGTGGATGCCAAGTCACCGTCAGGTATGACTTATGGGAACAAGTACTGGGCATAGTCAGAGTAGAGCCATGTCCCTCCGTGTCCGACGGCACTCCAGCTTCTCGTCCCCTGCTTCTGCCGAAACATCCACCATGCTCATCGTGTCTCGTCTTGTATGCAGCCAAGGTATCCTGCTTGTTGCAAAGCTGGTCCGAGTTGAAGACACAAGAAGTCATTGGAAGCGAACCTCTCCCAGTCTTTACTGGCTGACGGTAGCAGCAGCAGCAGCAGCAGCGGCGGCGGCAGCAGCAGACAAAGCTTGAATTGCAATTTCCCACACTGAGCCTTGTCGCAGACTTGGGACAGGTCAAAGAGTACGGACAGACTTCAACTACCAATCCTTGCAGCAACTCCTCACACGTGGGGATGAGGGCGATGTTGAAGACTGACGTGCAAAAGAACGTAACATTTCGTACCGTAAAGAGTATATGAGTGATATGAGGATATGAGGGGGTGGAAAGTGGGGTTTGGAAAGAGGGACACACAATGAGTCAATAGGTGAAGTGGTACAAAGAGTACCAATCGTGAGAAGGAGGGGGAAAGTGGGAAAAGGGGGGAAATCGATGAGAATCTTGAGTGACACGTTTTGGGTATGTAGAGGATGCACTGGGAAGGGAAAAGCGGGGATCGAGAGACTGGCGAGTAACTTTTGTCGGCTCGAGTCTCGGGTATTGGCGAGAAGACACATCTAGTGGAATCCCTGGTATTCATTGACTAAGAATTGTTGAGCATCTTGAGAATCTTCGATCCTGCAGTCGCCGGTCCCGAGCCTTGTCGAGGCTCGACGGTAAGAGATCGTTGATAGAGGGCATCTTCGTCCATGACTGGGACATTCATGATCATTCGTTCCACGGCAGCATTGGCTCGGCCTGCAGAGTCTTCACGCTGACATCGCACAATGGCCATGACCGCTTCGTCCATCAGACTGAACTTTCTCCAATGCACCATGTCGTCAGATGCTCGCTTGGAAGGATTGCCATCCGACATTGAGAGGATGTCTTGCAAGTGAACGCCAAGGTATGGGATGGTCCTTCCCTCGGAGTTCTCTAGCGCGAGACGATACGCCGCAAAGGAGCGATCACTGCTCATCAATCTGGTCAAGCTCTGATAGACTTTGCTGACACTCTTGCCGGCCATGGCCTCTCGCGTCGATCGCAGACGATGGATCGATGCGTTGTTCAATCCAGCAAGGAGGGCTTGCAAGGTATTGTAGTTGTTGCTGTGACGTAGAATGGATGCAATGTTCATGAACTTCTCCAGCATCCTCGCCCGATTCTTGACCTTCTGCTGGACCAGGATCATCGAGCAGACCCAGAAGGAAATGTAGTTGAAATGAATGATCGAGCGAGCCACGGGCCCCTCGTTGCCACGCACAATCCTGGGAACGAGGATGTGTCGCAGCAGATCGCGAGGACTGATGGCAATGAACAGATCCCACTCCAGCCTTGTGAGCTCTGCAGCAATTGTATGATCGTCCGTGTTCTCTAGGGTCTGAGAGACACTTCGGAGGGAAAGCTTCTGTTGATGAGCGTCCATGCTGAGCCCCGCGCTACCGTCGCTGCGCGCGCTATCGGTGACGCTAGGAGCGATACCAGCCAAAGAGGCCGATGACTGCCCTCGAGGCGAGCCCTCTCCATTCAAGCCAGAGAAAGTTGTCGCATCCGAGGCGCTCCGGGCACGATTGGCTTCACCGCTGACCAGAGCCGAAAGCTGCGAAGGGGGTGCTGGCCCAAGCAGGGCCGCCTCTGACCGAGCGCTTGTATTGGAACGAGCGTCTGAGATTTCAGAGTCTGAGCGCTCGCGGAAAGGGCCTCGCAACATGCTCGTTGGAAAGTCAGGCTTCTCCGCGGGATTGACAGGTCTGACAGGAGAGGCGTCTGCTGCAAAGGTCTTTGGGCGGGAGCTATCTTGGTCCTTGCTCCAAGCTGCATCGAGATCTGGTGAATCCTTTACGTCATCGACGTACGGGCGAAGCAGAGTAGCAGTATGGGTTGTGGATGGGTGTTGGCATAGACGATCGAAGAAAGAGCATAGCAGAGGATATGTCTCAGGACCAGAGAGATCGCCTGGGTAGTCTTGGACCCAATCACCCAGCATCTTTGTCAGTTGCATCAGCGCGAAGCGAATGATGCTTCCGTCTTGTTGCTCCGCTGACGCCAACGTCTCAAAGCGAGACATCAGCTCATTCAGCAGCTTGATAGGTCGTACAAAGCCTCGATAGAAAACCATGAACATGAGTACGAATCGTGGATCTGGCGATGAAAAGGAGAACGACACACTCAGCCGACTGACGTACGGACAGCAAGTCTCAAGTTGGGTCCCGCTGGGACAATCCACTCACCGTTGCCTGATACTGCTGCAAAGAACAGCTTGTCCCACAGCTCTTCAAGCGTCACGTAGCCACCCGCCGACTTGATGTGCTGGATCCTGGCATTGCCTCGCAGGAAACCATCCTCCTCAGATTGTTCGCCCCCGAAACTTGAGGGTACATCCGAGTTGTCGCTCGCACCTCGCGATGAGATTCCACCAGGAATCGCTCCGGTTCCCCCGACAGCCGCGCTGGGTCGCCGAGGCAGTTGACCGGGTGCACCGGTCAGTGAAAGTCTCCGGTCCCTGGATGACGAAGAGGCCCCACTGTCCCACCCAGATGCGGGCGGAGATCCTTGAATGCTCGGAGTCCGGGCGTCTTCAACCTCAGAGCCGGATCGGTTTGGAGAGATCGAGCGCGTCCGACCAAAGTAGTTCTGGTCACCTTCACTGACTCGTTGACCAGCAACTGGAGACGATGGATTGGAATCAGTAGCGGAATCTGCTGCAGGCGATGCTACGTTGGGGCCGGTCGTCGTCGACCCGCGAGATTTGCGCAATCGAGCGGACCTGACCTTGGCAACTTCCTTGACAAGATACGAAAAGCAGTCCCGCATCCTCTTCTTGCCTTCATCGCTGCGGGCTGTACACTCTGCCAGACCGACGCCGTGCACGGCCGCAAGATCGCTGGCGTCGTATGGATCGATGACCTTGGGGTACAAGTCAGACTTGCAGGCCAGCATGACGATGCTCAACTGAGTTCTAGCAAAGGCTTCCAGCAGATTCGACATACCGGTGAAGCTTTTTTCGGCAGCTGCATCGTAGCAAAGGACGACCGCATCCATATGAGGCAGATACGGGGGCCAGGCAAAGACGGGCTCGCTACTTTCGCTCTCCGTATTGCCATCGAGGGTGGGTGCCTTCTTTGTAAGGAGTACTGATGTATCGATCTCTAGCACTTCGATGGATCTCTGCTCTTGGTTCACAACGCATAGAGTAGAGTGGGATGTGACCTTTTCTGAGAGGACTTGCGGCCTACTCAAACCGAATTGTTTGAGGCCTTTCCTGACTACCGTGGACTTCCCGCAACCTTTGTGCCCAATGACGGCGATGACGAAGCTAGCGTGGCTCCGAGGAGGATGCTGCACTTGCTGCAAGAGTATACTCGCTGTACTACCGCTGCGACTTCTACCTGTTGGCATACTTGCTGAAGATATGACAGGAGGTGCAAGAGTCTGCGAAGCGCTGCCGGCAGTCGGGCTATCGTTGACCGAAGCATTGCCCACTCCTCTGGCCTCTTTGTCCAGCATAGAGCCATTGGCATGCGACGCTCGTCTCAAATGGCTTACGTCTCTGTGACCAGCAGCTGCCGCTACATCGTTGGACTCAATCAGTGACGCAGCAGAGGGAACCGACGCCAGATTGAGATCAGTGGGTAGGCTATTGGACGCAGCGAGACTGCCTTCCGGGTTGTCTTTGTTGTCGTCTTGAGCAAGCGATGATGTAGCTGGTACATCTGCTTCCGGAACCACTTCACGGGAGAGCCCAGAACGCGGACCTGGATGCTGAATGTAGACTCGACCGACGAAGGGGGGATAGCGCCCGCTCGCTGGCACAGCTCCCACTGTATAACCTCTGGCTCTACCTCGGATTGGCGGGATCTGGACAGATGAGCTAGGAGAAGACACAACAGGTACTGGAGACGTTGCCGAGTGAAGTAAGGGCGGCAAGGCCACCGAAGTCGAGGCCACAGATCTCCGACGTTGGTTGATGAGCGGGGCAGGCTCCTCAGCTCGACTGGCGCCAGACAGAGAGGCGGTACCGGAGAAGGAAGAGGCGAAGCTTGACTCGTCTACAGTAGAAGAGGGAGAGGCAGCTTCGGAACCTACTGCATTCTTGTACGCTGGTGTGAGAGGCAGTGGTCCATCTGGGAGCGATCTTGCTGGCGGTAGGTCCTCGACACGAGAAGGGACGAGCGGTTGAATTGCAGGAGCAGCTGACAAGGGGTCGGGAGATGGGAAGAGGGACGGCGCGAAAGGGGTGCCATGTGGGGAGCCTGCAAGCCAGTTCGAGCTCGATATTGACAAAGAAGGGCCCGATGCCTGCGCCAGTCCTGCTGCCGTCCCAGGATTGTCATTTTGGTGCAGAGTACCAGGGGCAAAACCATCTTGTCGTAGCGTGCTGGGTTGAGGGTGGTCTGAAAGACCATCCTCACCATCTCTTCGCACGGCACTAGCGGACCAGGCCACCGACTGGGTTCCTTGCTGAAACACATTGACCGATGCCAAGGCCGCCGCTGTAGGTGAAATCTCCGCGGCGTCGTTGTCGTTCGAAGCTTTCATTAGTCCTGCCCTGCTTCTCCTTTTGGATTTCCTGCCTTCTGGGACACCTTGGCGATTCACTTCGCCTACATCTTGGTCGTCTTCTTCATCAGTGTCGTCATCGTCGTCCCCAGTTTCGTCATCAGCGGCATCGTAGAAGGACTGGTCCTCGCCGCTGTCTCCAGACGCTAATCTCCTGAGTGGTGCGTGTGAGAGCGTGGTGGCCATAGAGATGCTGCCCGACTGCCGCCTTGGAGGGGAGCCCTGCAGGCTACGACTGGAGCGAGCACCTACCGATGCCCTCTTTGTCGAGGCAGATGTGCCGACTCCAAGGTCCCGTAGGCTGGACGTCGTTTGCTCAAAGCCATCACCATATGAGCGCACGCCGCCAGCGTCCGGATCGTCCGAGTCGCTCGACCAAGGCGCTGACAGCTGTGACGCATCTTTCCTACTTGGAGAGCTTGCGTCTGGACCTGAGCCTAAGTTCCAAGGCTTTGGCTGCTTCTTGTATCGCGGGCCGACCGAAGCGCTCGATTCTGCGCCGCATTGTTCCCCGTAGGCAAAGGGAGGTGAGACGTCCTGATTTCCCTCTGGCACGCCTGTCAAAGGCGACGCCTCGGGACCATCTTGCCTCTGCCAGAAGGCAAGGGCGGAGGGTCGCCGTCTGATCTTTGGAGATGCATTGCGAGAAGAAGAGGAGGAGGACAGGGGTGAAGTTTGTGAGTCGCTCCGAACCATTGAAGCGACAGAGGAGGAGGGGGAGAAGTTCTGGCTCTGACCCTCGTCCTCAACGTTTCCCATTGCCCCAATGCCTGATCCGCCTCGGCCGAGGACAGACATGAGTGGCTCCTTGGGCACCTCCGACGGGGAACAAGGGTCACCTGGCCGGACAATGTGTTGGAGGTTTCGCCCTTGAGTCGTACCAGGCTGGCAAAGGATGGGCAAATGAGTGGGGCCGAGGCGAGGGCGCCGTGCCAAGAAGGACGATCAAGGTACGGGCGGAAGGGGAGAGAGGTCAAGTGTGAGTGTATGCGAGCGATGGTGAGCAGTCTGTGTGGGTGGAGAAGGTGGTGGTGATGGTGAGCCAGGCAGGCTGGTCGTGGTGAACAAGTGAAGCTGGGAAGCGTGGCGCGGGAGTGGGGCCGAGCGCGCCAGGCTGGGTTGGCGGTGTTGATTTGCCCTGTGTCTGTGTGCAGCATCACGGAGCCCGAGACAATCGGCCAGCTGCACACACACGCATCTCCATTCCTCTGCAACAAGGATGGCTGATCTAAGGCCATGTCCCACGATCATGTCTGTACGGACGTCTGCCTGTCGGTCTGTCTCGTGTCGCGCTATCAACCTCCCGGTTTCACCCGCGGGGGAGTGTACTCTTGACCATCACATCGCCTTCGTTGCAGCGTATCTCGCCTCGCACGCGCGGGACACCACAGGGCGCGGAGGTGGGCAGCTCACCCTCGTGGGAATCACTTCTGTAGACTTGGAGCTCAGCCATGGAGAGGAACCAGTGTCACGGTGTTTGTGCCATCGAAGCCGGCGGACGACACTTGTAGTGTCCCGGAGAACGCGGAGGGCACTTGCATCTGCAAGAAGATCCGGCCCAAGGGAGATCACCAAGGCAGGCAGCAGGCATCATCGGTGGTGTTGCCCCGAATGGACGAGAAGCGAGAATCAGCGGGCAACGGCCCGAGAAGCGAGGGCAGGGGCGCGACATTTGAGCCATCCGAGCTGCTTTCACGTCTGCCATCTCACGGTCACGATTCTGTTTTGATCTAGACATTGCCAAGACGTACTCCACATGTCGTCCATGTACAGCATGCCTGTAGAGGGATGCCCCTCGTAGCCGCCGCGAGCCTGCCTGCCCGAAGTCGCAGTACCGCCCTGACCCTAATGATCATCTCTTCTTGCCTGTGCGGCAAGATGCGGATACATTCCTTGGTTGGCCGCGGGCTTTCCCCTGTCCTAGCTGCGTCTCTCGACGTGCCAGCCCAATGGGGAGGTGAAGTGGTCAGATTAGGGATGCGCGAGATGAGACATCCCGATTGATTCCAAGTGGCTGCTGGCCATGCCGCACTAGGTCGATGGCCCTCCATGGGCCAGAATTCGGCGACCTCACAATGCCCTGGCATCTGGGCCGATTTGTAGGTCCGAGCAACAGAATCGGTGTGTATCTGCGAGGCCAGGAGAGCAACTTTTGACAAAGGTCCTCTGCGGGCCGTACTACTTGGCTCCGATCTTTGCCCCGCGCTGTGCCGTGCTGAGCGTTGCCGCATAGACGAGAAAGAGCAAGAAGTGGCAAGGAAGCACACCGCGAGGGATGGAAGCGGCCGAGGTACCAGCTACACTCCGAAAGCGAGGACACACGCGGCGGAGTCTCACCTCCGGTCATCCACTCGTTGGGAACTCAATCCTGCGAGGCTAGGCCGCCATTGAGGTACTCCTCCCCGTATCTCCCACGATCTCCCTTTCTTCGGCATCCCCGAGATCCAACCCTGGGGTCGCTCTTCACACTTCGGCATCACGAACCTTGTTCCTCTAGCCGCTCCTCGTCCTTCTCCTGCTCCTCCTACTCCCCACTACCTCGGCCTGTACGGAGAAAACGGCGTCCCGTCCTTGCATCCGACCCATCTGTCACCCAGCCCACGCACTCCATCCCTGAGGCGACTGAGTCGCCAAGGGAAGCAACTTCCGGACCATTGGCCAAGCTTTGCTACCTTCCCAGGAGGCAAAGGGGGAGGAGGGATCTCGGCCCAATCTTGATAGAAGTCATCGGCCGAGAGACTAAGCTGCAAGAGGGCGCAGCCAAGGAACGAACGCAGATCTTTGCTGTGGTACTGGATCCTTCAGCCGACGTACACCCAAGTCACGAGCCGCCAGTCCCACTAGCCCCAGCAGGGAGCAGACATGGCAGCGTAAAGGCAAGCATCCCACCAGCCACTTCTGTTCATGGCCACAGCACCTGCGCCGGGCCTCGACCTCCCATCTGCATCTTCTTGTCACCGACTCCTGAGCCAAGAATTGGCAACGAGCATTGCCAGACTGGCACAACAATCAGTCGCCCCATCCCTTGCTCTTCTCTCTAATTTAAAGCGGTCTGCAACTCTCACAGACTCCCACATTCCTCATGGCGACCCTCCTCTCCTCGTCCTCTGGCAGATGTGGGGAGCAGTCAGATAGCCTCAAGCTACCTGCGATTCGAAGCTTGGCAGACGTCCGCAGACCTTGCCCCTCTCCATCCTCCTCTTCTGCCACTGATCCACCTCGCAGACCTCTTCCCTGGCCTCTTCACGAGGAAACAGGCTCAAAGCTCAATCCTCCTTCCCTCTCTTCAAGTGGTCGCTTTACGTCCGCTACTTCTTCATCCTCGTCCTCTTCAGCGCCATCAGCACAGAGCAGCACACAGCTATCTCGACCTCTGCTGCAGCGTCCTCTATCAACACCCGGGACAGCGCCCACCTCAGCTCCTCAGCCTCATCCCTTCTTTGACCGAGGAAAGAAGTCTTCGTTGTACGTACCGCCTTCGCCAGAGCCCAGCATGCAACCCCTGGACGACGTCGAGGTCTCGGCAGCGCGAGAGCAAGCAGATGATAGCCTATCAGACGTAAGTTGAATAAGAGGTGATGGAGACCCAGAAGAGATGTCGAGGCCAGCGATCTGTCTATGAAACTTATTGCACCCTATCCGCTGGTTTACGCCCGACAGACCGAGGAGGCACTGCGTCTGGCTCTCGATATAGTAGCTCAGTCGAGAGAGCCTGGCAATTCACTCACACAAAAAGCAGCGGAGGAAGCATGCCGAGAGACTTCCCGAGCCTTGTTCCTCCTACAAGCCTGGTCTGCGCAGAGTGAGTAGTTGGATAGCAGAGCGCAGTCTGACTGCCGAGAAATCAGTGACGCGCGACTCCTGACACTCGCACTACCAATTCGTTCGTAGATCGGATCAGGAGTAGGGCGCTCCTTCGAAGCCGAGGCCAACACTCCGCGCCCGGAGATGATCGCAGCAGTGCTGATGCTACTCCATCGGGACACGGGCTGGCCAATTCATCCGCCATAGGTGCTGACTCCTTGCGACGTCATACAACAGCAACGTTGGACCCCGCTGGCCCTAGGAGATCATCACCTGCCGGCTGGACCCCACATGCCGCGATCACGGAAGTGCGGAGGCCGCTGCGGGAGGTCAGGACAGTGTATGAGGGGTTCGACCCAGAGGTAAGTCGCATTGTCGGCGACGTCGAAGGGCATCAAGACTGCCAATCCGTAGCGCGGTTGCTGTACATCATGACCTGACGCAATCCTATCTTCCGTACGCTCCCGACTTCGAATAGACCGACGACCTCCAGCCCCGACCCCCAATGACTGTCATACGCACGCATTCTGGTTGCATGGCTGGGTCCACTTCGGGTCACTCGCATACTGCACCCCAACCTCACGGCGCCGAGGCGGAGGCCAGCTACATGTATGCTCCCCCGAGCATTCGAAATCGACTGGCGGACTTGCACAAGGAGCAACAACGCGTGCTTCCGCCCATCATGCCCAGCCAGCCAGTGCAACAGCTACATTCGCATGATTGGGATCGCTCGGCCCATCGTCATGGGCCCATGCCAGTACCGATTAGTCACTCGGAACCTCGTTGGGGTCCAGTGCCAGCATCATCACCGGCGCAAAGATGGCCTCCTGGGCTGTCCGAGCTGTCCCCGGCCGCCAGAAATACCGCACCCACGGTGTCACCAGATCGTCAGCACGGCCAATGGTCAGACGGTCACAGTGCTGTTGACAACTACAGTGTCGACAATGAGGGCGGCGTGTCCAAGTACAAGAAGCGTAGTCGCGCTCCGGCGCCCTCTGCCTGCCGTAGCTGTGGAACCAGCGAGACGCCAGAATGGCGCCGAGGTCCCGATGGGGCTCGAACGCTGTGTAATGCCTGTGAGTATTTTCGATGGCCATGTTGAAGGGAGTCAAGGAAGGCAAAGGCTGATCTCGTCTCTACTGTCTACCCCTTCAGGTGGTTTGCACTTTGCCAAAGTCGCAAAGCGCAAGTCCAGCACCGAGGATGAACCTCTGGATGATGCTGCTACAGCTGCTGCCGGGCGCCTTCCACCTCTCTTACATCAGTCGAGCGGATCCTCCTGATCAGAATATTCGGCTTTGCCATCTCTCATGCCTCGGTGGACTCGTTGCCCCGCAGGAACCAAATATTGCTGGTCTGTATCTCCACTATATGTGACCTCTACTACGACCTTCTCCCTCTCCGTTGCCCACGTTCGTTTTCGTAGCTCGGCGTCGCCCCCAGTCTCACTCGCTTCTTCGTTTAGCTCCTATTTTGTTGTCACCATCTCGTTCGTCCCTCTAATGCACATGTCCATAGTCCTTCTTCTGATCATCATCGATAGCCTGGATGCATCAAGTCTCAAAGCGGCCATCTTTTTCCGTAGCAGTTCTCCGTGCCAAGCCCCGATCTTCGCAGATGCGCAAGATGGCAAATCTCACGGTCTCAGATCGACTTGCCCTATTGTCCGACTGATAGCAAAGCGCGGCGACTGCTGCTGTCAATTGCTCTACTCGAGCAATTGCTGTGGCGCGGACTTCCAAGCATAGCGTCGGCTAGTCCCGAACTAGCGTTGCTCGTGCACTGAACATTTCTGCGTTTGTGCTCATCGTAAAGGATGCCGACTAATCGCCGAGACAAGACCGTCGCAATGCTACCTCCTTTGACACGTTTGCCGTCACTTGTAAGGGACGCGGGCAAGTCGGGCGGCGACGTTTTGTCGCGTTGCGGAAGCAACTAAGCAATCCGTCAACGACTTGAGCAATTTGCTCCATTGCCTTTGGCACGACAGGCCATCGTTGCCATAGCTGTTCTCAGGGTATACAACGGCAGTGCGACCTCTTGCGCTGGCTCAATCAGCAGCTCGCCAGGGAGGTATATCGCCAGCGTAGTGACAACATCGTGTGTGGTGGCTACAGTGCTATTGCGGCTGCTGTCATCGATGCCTTCGGGCAAGTGGGCACTCTGAAGTCCTCACAACGACAACCCGGAATGATGGGCGCTACCGCAATACTCAGAGCTCCTTAGATCAGGTATAAGATGTAGCATCTTCTTTCGCTTCTTTTCGCTCTCGTCATCTCGTCTCCCACCTCACCAACCACTTCCACCTCACCACCTCACCCAGTACCAAAGTCTCGAGCCGTCTAAGCCCAAAGTCCAAAGTTCAGAAACAAGACTGACTCATAGCGCTACCAGCCAGACCTTGTCGACCACTGACTACTCGGCCCACTCATCCCCCCTCGCCCGCTACTAACTCTTTCCAGCTACAGTCACCCACGAAATTTCGATCCAAGTAAGCATAATGAAGTCCAACGCTCTTCTGATCACATTCATCGCCCTGGCTATCAGTGCTGCTGCTGCACCGCTAAAGCTGGCCAGCTCACAGGATGCAGGCGCTCTGGTCGAGAGATCCTACCAGGCTAGACATCATCAGGCTAAGGGTGACTATCACCCTCTCCCACGAGATCTGGTGAGTCCACAAGTGTGCTGGTGAACCACAACTCTCACCTTGCCAAAGCACTGACTCAGATATTGCTTCGTATCTGCTATCTGGCTTCTAAGCCTGGCAGTCTCAGTGGTGAAGTCACGGTTGAACAAGCGAGGCGAGCGGCGGGCGATCTTGACCTGACTAAGAACATCGACCTGACCAACAACAATGGCGACGACCAGAGTGGTCAAGGAGGCAACACCCATACAAGCAGCGGCCCAGGCTCAGGTCCGTCTCCAGGGCAGCTGAGCGGAGCCATTCAGTCCAACAAGGGTAGTGGGCTGACGATGCCGGTGAGTACATGAGCTTCTGACTCTAGCCCTGTCGGGCCACCAGTGATGTCCTTGAACAGCGCAATGCTGAGCTGAGCACCATTTTTTGTTGCTTGTGCGTTGCAGACTGGCGCTTGTCACAGCAGTGGTGCATGTGGAACTCAGCCAGACGCCCTCTCCCTCCAGGGTTTGGGGCCTGATGGTCCAGGGGGTGCAGGCCAGCTTGGTCTGCCTTCCAAGGCGTACGACACTGTTCCCACAAGCAGCGGTGGACCTAGTGCCGACAATGCCTCTCCCGATGCCTCGAAGCAGGACACCAACAATACCACCACGACGTCTCTTACCACGACTACAGCTCCGACTCCAGCACCGGCCCCGACTGCGCCTGTTGTAGGCACACCGCTGCCTATGAACCTACTAGCAACGGCCTTGATCGATATCATTAGAGCATTCGAAAAGGCTACTACCCCCATCAGCACGGCTGTGACCACTTCGCTCGCAGCCGCACCAACACCTGCACCGGGGCCCACACCTGTCAACACAACCACTCCCGGCTCTGGCAAACCTGGTGACAATACCCCCGACGATGCCAAGTCTGCAGACCCGGCAGCTGCCGGTGCAGACTCTGCCGACTCTAGTGTTCAGGATGCTGCAGGCTCGGGACGAGACTTGAGCGATACAGACAGCGTCGATGGGCCTTTCAAGTGGATCGTGATGCGCAGCACTGGTGCTGGGAAGCCTGATGCAGCCTCGGCGAAGAGGACCGTCGACGAATCCTCGCCCGCTGCTGACAAGGTCCAGGCTGCGAAGAGGCGGATCTTGGACTTCGACTCCGACGAGTAAGTAGACACGAGCTTGCCATAGGTCCACATCATACGAGCTCTGCGGTAGCTTGTGCATGATGACAACATAGATTGTACAATTCTCATCTGTATTGGTTACACCCTCCTTATGTCTCCCCACCCGCCGTCCGCTCAGCATAATAGAACGCCTTATGCCCAACTCAGTCGCTGCTATGTGTTAAAGCCCGTTCTTGTTGGCCAAGTGCTCGTCAGATCTTTCTCCAGTAGTCTCCTTGCTTTCATCAAGTGGCCTTCCAATCGCTGAACTTCATCGTTCAGATGCGACGAGCTTCGTATCAAGGCGGGTGGTGGAAGAGGTAGAGCGACCGGAGTGTACAATCGCGGGGGTGTTGCAATGGCTGCTGCCGGCTGAGGGGAGTCTGATGGGGAGGCAAGAGCAGAGGTAGCGAAAATAGACGCTGTAGCGTCTGTACTCGGCTGCCTCAGATTGCTGAACAGTCCCTTCATCGACTTCTCGAAGCGAGTCACATCGGCAGCGATCGCTTCTTGCCTTTCTTCAATGACGGGGACGTCAGGCTCAGCATGCCTTGCTGGTAGATCTACGATGGGCGAATATGTCTCTACCTTCTGCTCCTCAGGCTGCGTGTCTAGCCTGCTGGACGCAGGAGTGGCTATGTCATGCGAGGAAAGTATACGTTTGCTCCGATGCGAATGTCTGTGCCGCCGACTCTTGCGCTTGAAGAGGTCATCGAAGACAGCATCGATCTGTTCTAGGCTTCGTTGCTTGCCCAGCTCGTACTCAGAGAGGTCAATGGCATGGTCAAGATGGTTCGGCAGGAAAGACTGCTGTCGATCAATGGAAGACTGCTGCTGCGCGAGTGTTCGGAGAGGCTTATGCCCTTGGTGGTCTCTGGAGTCCTGTCTTTGCTCCATGTAAGCGTGTAATCTCTGTGTGACGACCGAGACTGGAGTCTTACTGGAATGTGCTTCATCGAGAGAAGAGCCCAACGGTGCATGTGAACTGGCTGGGTCTCTACGGTCACTGGGCCTCACTGGAAAGGCATTGGTCTCCTGTTTCCGGCGAATGCGAGAGATCTGGGCACTAAGAGGCGTTCAGGGGAGGCAGGTCAAGTCAGATGACAAGACGAATACATGCCAGGCTTTGTGGGCGAGCCTTGCTCACTTTGCCCCTCCCATGTAATTGACAGCCATGACGAGCTGCTCCCCATTGCGGTCTTTGGCATGTACAGTTAGATGCTCCTGAGTGGTAGGGGTGGCTAGGAACGGAAGCAGGGCGGCGGAGTCTGGTGCCGAGTCGCGGTTGAAACTCCACCTGTGGAATGGCTCGCTCACGTCCCAGGGCGAGTCGCGCGGGGCGGAGCGTGCAGGGCGAGGCGAGGCGACGGGGATCAACAGGTCCCTTTTTGGATCCTGGCTCACCTCACCTCGATCTTCAACTTCACTCCTATACCTCCCCAGCGACCTCCTCCCCTTGCCTTGCCTTGGGCATCGTCATCATCAACATCAAGGCTTGGCTCGCAGTGGCATATCGAAACCCTCGTCGTCATCATCTCCCTCGTCGCGCCACGTATCCGGCAAGCTATCCTACCCAAACACGCCCTTCTGGTCCCTTCTCCACGCTCACAATCCCGGACTGTCCTCGCCATTGGACTCGCTCAAGTCGTCTCTTATATCCTTTTGCCCTCTTCTCAGTGCTCCGTGACAAGACAGCATCGCGTTGACGCTTCAGACGCCAACACGAGTGAACGACCCCAGACACGCCCTTCCACGATCTTCTTGCCGCGCCGGCCTATCTGACCATATTGTGAGTATCGAGACACCACCCCTAGCAAACCAAAGGCCGTAGAAGTCGCGTGTAGCTATGCCGTTGCATCGCGAGCTTCAGCAAAGCTGTACTCGAAGTCTACTGTCCTGTCACAGGATCACGAGAAGAAGCGTCTTGGTCACATTTCATCCGATCCGATGGCGTCACGTCCATATTGATCTGCATCTCCGCGCCTGCCGTTGAACTGACCTCTAATCGCTCCTCCCCGATCCTCCTCTCCTCTCCAATCACTTCGCGTTCGCTCCCCAACCGTCGCAATGTCGACGTGAACAGCCTCATCCAGTGATCAAACCGTCATCACCACCACATACTCTGACAACACTCCTGCGCGATGTCAAACGTAAGTGCACCAGCTGCAGCTTTGCTCCTGTGATCGTCGAATGATTGTCTAACAGCATCGCTGCGCATCTTCATCGCGCTAACAACAGGGTACTCGACGAGCGCCTGCCGTACGGTCAAGATCGGCGACAGCAATCACGAGGGCGCAAGAAGCTGGCCAAGCTCCTGCCGCTAACGGAGCCGCCGGCGTTACCAGGGCCACTCGCGTGAAGGACGATGTTGGTGCGAGCGCGGCCTCTAGGGGCGGGACTCAGCCCACTGCAACGAGCACCACCCTCGGGACTCGTAAGAGAGCGGCTCTAGGTGATCTCACCAACGCCAATCGAGCCAAGTCCGCGTCTGCTACCACCGGGGCTTCGCGTATCACTGGCGCCGCTACCAAGGACGGTGCCGCTGCCCGGACCAAGAGCGCGTCCACCGCGCCTTCTGGCGCAGCCTCCAAGATCCCCAGAGCAGAGTCTAGCACTGCCGCGGGCAAGAGGCTAGCGACGCGAACGGTCGAGGAGGATGCCAGGGCCAATCGCGTCGTCCGACGTGTTGTCGCGTCTAGTGGGGCAAAGCCAACTGCTGGTGCCTCTCGCTCAACTGGCGTTGCCCGAAGCACAACAGCAGCTCCAGTCGCAGAGGAAGAGGGCGACCAAGCTGAGGCCACCGCTGCTAGAGAGAGCAAGAGAGTGAAAGTGGAAGGTGACGCATCCAGACGTGTCAAAGAGGTCGGCGCTGGCGCCCGTGAAGGCGAATCTGTCAAGGCCATCTCTGCCCCTGTAGCAGAGGCCAAGGATGCCGGATGGGAGGACCTGGATGCAGAAGACAACGACGACCCTTTGATGGTGGCCGAGTACGTCAACGAGATCTTCGACTACATGAAGACTATCGAGGTAAGTAGCCATTGTTCGATTCATTTACCAGCCGTGGACCGTTTTGACTTAGCCTCGTTCTGCTCCCACCTTCACTCCTCAGGCGACTACGATGCCCAATGGCAGCTACATGGATACGCAGAACGAGATCGACTGGACCTTGCGTGGCGTCCTCGTCGACTGGCTGATCGACACACACTCGAAGTTCCGCATGCTGCCAGAGACCCTGTTCCTCGCATTGAACGTCGTGGATCGCTTCTTGACCAACCGAACAATCACGCTCAACAAGCTGCAGCTTGTCGGACTCACCGCGATGTTCCTTGCCGCGAAGTACGAGGAAGTGCTGTGCCCGTCCGTCGCCAACTTCCTGTATCTCGCCGATGGAGGCTATACTACGGAAGAGATTCTGAAGGCTGAGCGGTACATGCTCAAGGTCCTGGGCTTCAACCTCTCTTACGCAAACCCTATGAACTTCCTGCGGAGGATCTCGAAAGCTGATAACTATGACATTCAGACAAGGACCGTCGCAAAGTACTTGTGAGTAGCGCGAGGCCAAAGTGGAGATTCGAGTCAGGCACGCGCAACCGGAGCTGACCAGACATTCTGTCCCCCTAACTTTTCAGCATGGAGATCTCGCTTGTCGACTACCGCCTAATGGAGCACCCCCCGTCACTGGTGGCAGCCGCTTCCGTCTGGATGGCGCGACGCGTCCTGGAGCGAGGGCCGTGGACTCCCACGTTGGTACACTACTCTTCTTACTCCGAATATGAGCTTCTGGGCACAGCAGAGATCATGCTAGACTTCATCCTGCGGCCAGTCCAACACCCCAGTTTCCACAAGAAGTACGCCGGCAAGAAGTTCATGCGAGCTAGCACCTACGTCGTGGACTGGGCTCGGAACAATTATGCCGACGCTGTTGTACCCGATGAAGAGATTGAGACTCAAGACTTTGGACAGCTCAGAGTGGATCTGTTCGCAGACCAAGGGCTGCTGCGACCGTCCGGAAGCGATACGGCCAGCCCGAGGGAGGAGAGGAGCGTGTCGCCCTTTGTCAAGGATGCCAATCCGGAGTGGGACAGTTCAACCGTCGGAATCAATGGCAAGTAAAAGGCGGTGGTGGGCTGGGCTCCCGCGGAGGAAGGGCACCATTTGGAGGACGAGAGATACTAGCAACAGATACAACAAGATCAGTGTCCATTGAACCATTGCCGAGCCAGTAAGCATCATTTCCCTTTTACCCCTTCTTGCCTCATCTCAACTTGTCTTCAATCTTTCTTCCCCTCCCTGCATGTAAGAATCCATTGCGCATCTATTCCAACCTCACCCTTGCGTCGCCTGTGTGTGCAGCCTGTCTCTGATGTCCATATATAGGTGGCTCCACTTGCTTGCATGGCCTGTGTGCCGCTTCTGCTGGGCCAGAGCTTGCGACTCATGTTCTGCTGCGTCGCCTTGAGCAAGAGATGAGCAATTGAGCCGCGTAGGCGGTCGAGGTGGGGAGAAGACGGGGGGTGGCGGAGCTAGAAGCGTGGTGCAGCATCCGCCTTCTATGGGGCGGCACGGTGAATGACGCGCCTAGGCACCAGGTCAGTGGGCCTAGCACACAGAAGCAGCACCAAGCGAGGCAAAGGAGGGATCCAGGCAGGCGGCCAGAGCAAAAGGAGAGATGGACCAAGAGCGATGAGTGGAAAGCTGTCCGGACTCTGGGGCGGAAATCTCCAATTCCTGGCTTGCCTGTGGCGGCAGGTCGGGCGACGTTTGACGTGAGGCCCTGAGCGCGGGCAGCAGCAATGGAACAGGGAGAGCTTCGTCCCAGTCCTACCCTTCCATTGCAGGCCACTCGTGATCAACTTCGCGTCGCTCTCAAGGCTTACTCAGGGGCTTCGCAGACGTCTTCCCTTGCTTTACACTCTTTTACCCCTCCTCACATCCCTCACATACTATTCGGTCAAGGCACATAGAGCGCGATTCGCTGCCATCTGCGTCTCCTCCGCATCTTCTGCACTGCATCTTCTTCTTCTTCTTCTCGCCTCGCCCCCCGGCTCATACGCGTCAGGCACCCTGGATCTCGTTTCGGCTTTCTCTTCTACACCAGGGGCCACATCTCTTTCCTTGCATTCTCTCATCTTTGGATCTATCTTCGAGAGCCTTACCACGTACCGTGTTTGCCGGCTGAAGCTACTTCTTTCCTTTGTTCGCAAGACGCGCAAGACTCCTATCTGCTTCCGCCATCGATTCTAGAATTGGCCCCGCCGCAATTGTTGCTGCACTCTTTTGCCTTGGACTCATTAGGGCAGCCATTTTAGAGTACATAGCGATCCGGTGACAAGGTGGGCGCAGTCAGTGAAGCTGTTTCTTCGGTCCCCAAGGCTCTTCGTATAGTCCAGCCACTCCTTCATCCTTCATCTTTCAGCTTGCCCTCAAGATACCGCAAAGGGGACAGCTCCCCGCCGCCCATACTCGTTTGCCCCTGCAAGTCGATCATCGGATAATGGGTCACCTGTCCGCAACCAAGGAGCGCTCGGCTACGGCCGCTCCCGCGGCCAACCTGTCCTCTTCTTATCCGAGGACACTGCTGCGAACCTGCGCATACTGGGCCACCAGGAACCCCATCGAAGTCATCGTGACCATCTTCATCATCGTTACATTGGCCTACTTCCAACTTCTCCATGCTGTGGCTCACTCCGATTTCTTCGAGCCGCTCAAGCAGGACGCCGCGAGGCTAGCAGCTGCGTCTACCTTACCGGACTCCTCTCTCCTGCAGCAGGGTGGCGGCAGCAACGGTATTTCGGACAAGGACAGCTCTGCGGCTGCCACCTTCATCAGGCTGGCCGGTCGGGGAGAACAGTGGCTCACCTTTGATCCCTCGAGCGCCGAACACTCCTCAGCAGCCTTTCAAGCCCTGAGCTTCGTCGTCGAGCCGATTGTACTCGCAGATTCGGAATTGACTTCCAAGCCTCGGAGCGTTAGGGCCTTGAAGGATACCTTCCTGCCTGTCGTGGCGGACAAACTCTATGATGACCTGTCCCGCAACTCCAGCGATCTGGGAGAGCCAGTGCAGGTCTACGACGTAGATGCAGACCTCACTGCCTTTGCCTTTGGCAGATTGTATCCCGAGGGTCAGCACGTCTCTTCGCGCAAGTCGCTTCTCGAGGACGCGGGAGATCCTGATCTCCTTGCCTCTGTACTGGCAGACGCCTCAAAAGCCGCTTCTTCACGGCTTCGGCGTAGCCCTGCTGGAGCAGTAGAGGCTAAAGCGCTTGACCTGCAGGCGCAGCAATTGAGCCTCGTGTCTGTCATCTCGGACTCGGATCTGGAGAGGCATACGCCTGGCGGCAGGAGGAACACCGGCGCCACGGAAGAGTTGAGGAGTATCAGGTGGTTGGCCTACACTTCGCGAGCGCTGATCGTCAGGTTCTGGGCTCTGCTACAGAAGGCGGATTCGGCGGACATCTTCGTCATGCTCATGGCATACGTTATGATGCACGGGACATTCGTCAATCTCTTCCTTTCCATGAGGAAATTTGGCAGCAACTTCTGGCTGGGTGAGTACATCTTCCAATCAAGTCGATATAGCATTAACTGACCTTCGTCGTCCCCTCGCATGGACTCTCACCCTCACTTGCGCAGGCACTTGCGTTCTGGCATCGTCAATCTTCGCTTTCCTCTGCGCTCTGACTGCTGCTTCCATTTTGGGAGTCGTAGTAGATCCTGTCTGTCTATCAGAGGCGCTTCCATTCCTGGTCATTACCGTTGGCTTCGAAAAGCCCTTCATCCTAAGTCGCGCAGTCTTCACCCACCCTGGCATTGCACCGGAACCGCACAACAGCGAAGCTGCCCCCAAGACGACTGAGGGCGCTCTTTTGACCGGTCTGGATGGCAGCGAAGGGCTGAATGGTCTCGCAAACGCTAGCCAGCTCCCCTCTGACCTCACGACAGTCGACCCCTCCATGTCGCCTGAGGAGTCCTTTGTTCGTGCCTTGACAGCTCGACTCAAGTCTGAGCCATCCCTGCAATGGTCTGTGCCCCCACCGATGCCGGCCCACGAGGTCGTTTCGTCTGCTGTCGATTCTGTAGGCATGCAGCTCGCTAGGGACTACGCTATCGAGATTGCTGTGCTCCTCGTAGGCGCTACGAGCGGTCTCAGCGGATTGCGAGAATTCTGTCAGCTGGCTGCACTCATCCTCATCTTCGATTGCGCCTTCCTCATGGTCTTTTACGTTGCAATCTTGACTGTCATGGTCGAGGTGCACAGGATCAAGGTCATGCGGGGAGTCAGGAAGCCCCGGCCAAGCACTCCGCCCAATGTTGACTCTGATGACCCCATCTCGGACATTCCTACCCCCACTTCGGGTGGCAGCGATGATGTATCTCAGACTATTGCAGGTCTTCGACAGAGCAGCCCAGAGCGACGAAAGCGCTCGCGACCTCTCTGGCGACGAGTGGTCAAGCTGCTTCTCGGCAAGGTTCCCTTTGAGTCGAGTCGAGGCAAGAAGGAGAACCCGGTTGCAAGGCTCAAGCTACTGCTCATCACGGCCTTCCTCACTCTGCATTCTCTCAACCTCGTCTCCACTTTGACGGCCCAATCCGCAATCTCGAGGCATCAGTCAATCGCAGAGCCGAACTTGTTCGAGGCCGTCGTAGAATCCTCGGTTCTCTTCTCGCCAAATGTCGCATCGCCTACCCTCTCGCCGCTGCTGGCTGATTTGGTCTCTTCTCAGCCTTCGGACCTCGATCTCGTCGTGAGAGTTGCGGACTCAGTCGTCTTTGTTCTCATCGACAAGGCGGCTGAGGCAGATGAAGTCCGCAGCTCAATGGCCAATGCTGCCCTCAATGCCTCAGGCGGAGCTGGATCGACTGTTCGCACGTCTGCCTCTTCCAATGTAGCAAGCTCGCTGCGAGCATCAGGTCGTACATCGGGCTCACTCGCCGTACTTGATAGCTTCATCACTGGGTGGTCTACTATCGTTGGCGACCCCGTCATCTCGAAGTGGATGTCTCTGGCTCTCCTGATCAGCATCTTCCTCAATGCGCACCTTCTCAAAGGTATCGCATCCGGCAACGCTGCAGTCGCTGAGGGCAATGCGGCAGGGGCTGCTGCCTTTGCTGCCGCTCGCATGATTGGAGCTCATCTCGACCGGGCAGGCGAAGAAGACACTGGCCGTGAGACAGGCAAATCACAACAGCGAGGAAATGTTCAAGCGGCAAGTGCAACGGCAAAGAGCAACCAGGGTCTCAATGAGTACCACATGATGCTGGCGCGGAGAGCCACTGCTCATGGCGGAAAATCCAAGCTTGACAAGCTTCCCGGAAGGAATGGCGCTCAGCCGGACGTCGATGGCTCGCCAGCGGGCTCCGACAAGAAGACTGCTATCCCGGCTGTTTCCATCAGTAGCGACGCAGGAGATGCCATCAGGGATCTCAAGAAGCCGGATGTCCCTGCTAGCGCAGACGGAGAAGGAGCCGTTGCCAGCCCAGGAGCGAGAAACTCAGGTCTGCGACTGCAGCCCACGAACTTCATTGGCAAGAACGGCAAGGTGGACACACGCCCATTCGAGGAAGTGCTGGACATCTATGCTGGTGGAGGCGGTGTGTTCATGCTCAATGACGAGGAGATCATCGTGCTGGCTCAAAAGGGCAAGATTGCTCCCTATGCATTGGAGAAGACGCTACAGGACCACAATCGAGCTGTGAGAGTGAGACGAGCACTCATCTCGCGCTCCTCATCTACTGCCTCGCTCGAGAACTCGTTGCTGCCGCATCTGGACTACGACTATAGTCAAGTGATGGGAGCCTGTTGTGAGAACGTTGTGGGCTACATGCCCCTTCCTGTGGGCATTGCCGGTCCACTGACAATCGATGGGCAGCCACTGCCAATCCCAATGGCTACAACAGAGGGTACACTGGTAGCATCGACTTCACGAGGCTGCAAGGCTCTCAATGCGGGTGGTGGTGTCACCACGGTCCTGACTCAAGACGCCATGACCCGTGGTCCAGCTATTGAGTTCCCCGACATTGTACAAGCGGCTCGGGCAAAGCGGTGGGTCGACTCGGCTGAGGGAGCGCAAGCCATCAAGGCCGTCTTTGACTCTACGTCTCGCTTCGCCCGTCTGGCAAGCTTGCGAAGTGTCATGGCCGGTCGGACTCTATACGTGCGATTCGCAACTAGCACTGGTGATGCGATGGGCATGAACATGATTTCCAAGGGTGTGGAAAAGGCATTGGACATGCTCATCAACGACCACTTCCCCGAAGCTGTCCTGCTCTCCTTGTCCGGCAACTACTGCATCGACAAGAAGCCTGCAGCAATCAATTGGATCGAGGGTCGAGGCAAGTCAGTGGTGGCAGAGGCGGTCGTGCCTGGACACGTCGTCAAGTCGGTGCTGAAGACGACGACTGAGTCTCTGGTGCGCCTGAACATCCGCAAGAACCTCGTGGGATCTGCCATGGCTGGATCTGTGGGAGGATTCAATGCTCACGCCGCCAACATCCTCACTGCGATCTTCCTGGCGACGGGACAAGATCCTGCCCAGAACGTCGAGTCTTCGATGTGCATCACGCTCATGGAAGCTCTTCCGTCCAAGGATGGTGGGGAGGAGGATGATCTTCTGATCACATGTAGCATGCCCAGCATCGAAGTGGGGACGGTGGGAGGTGGGACTGGTCTGTCACCGCAACGGGCCATGCTCGAGATGCTGGGAGTGGCAGGAGCCAATCAGGCTACCCCCGGTGCCAATGCTCAGCGTCTGGCGAGGATCATCGTCGCATCTGTTATGGCCGGTGAGCTGTCTCTGATGTCAGCCCTGGCAGCCGGTCACCTGATTCGAGCCCACATGGCCCACAACCGATCTGCCCCACCTACCGCCCCGGCTACACCGGGAGCAGTGACGCCGCTGCGGAGAGAAGGCTCGAGCCAGAATCTGCCCAGTCTGTCTACCATGACACCACTGGTGGCAACCCCTGTGCGTAGATCGCCGACTTCGTCGACGGATGGCCCGTCTACCCAGCTCAGACGGTCTGCGAGAAGCGGTCTGGGAGAGCGGAGTACATGAGCAGAGAAGGTCAGACAGCGGAAGTTAGTTGGAGAAGAGTCACGGAAGATCATGTTGAAAGCAAAGGGGGAAATACAAGTACTATCCAGTGTCACTTTTGTCATTGCGTCTGTTCTATCTGCAGGCCTTGTGCTGCTTATGGTGTCGAGGTGTGTGCTGATGGCTTGGCCTCTACGCGGGAAGTGTTCGCGTTTGCAAGGGGTGTGCAAGCGAGGCGGGAGGGAGTAGTCTAGTCGAGACATGGGTTGCGCCGCCGGCACAAGTGCTCTGTCGCAATCTGGCGTTGGTACTTGGAACTCCGCCCGCGCTGTCAATCTCTCCGCTGCTGAGCCGCCGCACAAGGGCGAGAGAGTAAGCTGACCCGCGCCTCCGTGCGCCGACCTCGCTGTGCCATCGGGCGTCCCCACTGACGAGGTACAGATAGAGCGCTGCCCATCATCGCTCAGCGCATGACTCGATCGCCTCCCCCCAAGGAATGGTGATAGCAGTGCTATATAGTCGCTTCTGCTGATACATTTCGCGCCACCCACTCCTATCCGACCCTCCCAACGCTGTTCAACAGCCAATCCACGTCCATTCCACGCCTTTCCCGGCTTAGCACTGGCTGCTTGCAACACCTGCTCCAGCCCGAGCTCTAATCAACTCGCCATTCGTACACATCACATGCAAGGCCGCTAGCTTCGTCGGCCTTTTCTCGACGCCTACATTACATCTTCACCACCTTGATACCACACGATGCCCGCCAAAGTAGATAATCTGGATGCCGCCATGCTGCTGGAGAAGCGCAGGGAGCAGAATCGTGCCGCTCAGAAGAGATTCAGAGAGAAGAGGGCCGCCAAGCAACAACAAGAGCAGCGCCACCAGCAGCCACCACGAGGGGAAACGACATACAGCGCAGAGTCAAGCTTTGATGACCACGTTACCGTAGAGGTACCTGCACAAGCTCTTTGGGCGGATGCCGTCCCTGTGCATTCTGCAGCTTACGGGACAGGCCCGTGGGCGCCTGCTGAGCACCAGCCGAAGCTACAACAACGGCCAAGCCAAACAGCTTCCTCGTCCAGCGCCTCACCCTTCACCTTGCTAGGCTATCATTCAGACGTGGACATCTCAAGCTGCGCGAGCTCAAGCGGTCACTCTTTCTCAAGTCCATCGACGACAGAGGAGATTACACCTTCACCTCCTGCAGCCGATAGAGACGTCCCGCCCGCTACCTTCGAGACGACGGCGGCTCAATTGGATCTCTTTGGACTGAGCTTACCATCGCCCCAGCAAGAGTCGCAAGATGATACCAGTCCGGAGCTTGAAGTGGTCCAGAACCATGGTGACCTGGAGACCATGAGGGATATCGGTCTGTTCGGTGGGGGCGAGAGCTGGGTAAGACCTCCTTTATCCTCACCGACACCGGCGCTGCCTTCGCAGACGTCGGAACAACCATTTGACTTGGCAAGACTGCTCATGCCCACTGCCGACGGCATGCAAAGAAGTTTCGGCAACAGCAACAGTAGCAATGGCACATTTGCAGGCTATGGTGCAGGCGCATCTGGCTCTACGTCCTATGGCAATGCGCAGGCCAATATGGTTCCACTCGAGTTTGCCTGGACACTTGCGCAGGTAATGTCGAGGACTCAAGGCATTTCACCTCTCCAGGTGATGCAGTCGGGTCAACTCTCTCCTGCGTCCATGCGCAGTATCTTCTGCCCGGATCCTCACGTGGACAGTCGTATGCAGGTCAAGCCCATTGCCTTTGCGAGCGCAATGCGCGTCAATCTTATCACTCTTGGCTATCTCATAGAAGACGCAGAGACTTGCGATACCAATGTCATTGCCAATGTATGGAAGAAGCAGTCTGCCAGGTACATCCGCAGAGGCCCAGATGGTCGATACATTGACGATGTAGAAGATCCCAAGGGCAGGCTGGCACTCTCCTTTCCCAATGTACCGACGCAGCTGTCCACGCAGTTCTATTGCGGAACGATCCCTAAGAGTCTCAGTCGGAGTGACCAGATTCGAAGGATTCGAAGCCTGCGCAACGCACCCAACATCCATCCCACTAAACTCCAGCTCGAAGTGCCGCATTCGATCTTCATCGACGTCCTTCCCTGGCCTAGCGTGAGGGATCGGCTCATTCGCCTCGTCTCTGCCGGCGAAGTGGATATCCACGATGTAAAAGGGGATCTGGTGGGCAAAGACTTCGGCACAGTGGGGGCAGGTAATACTGTGCAGATCCACGGGGATGACCCGCTAGATGAAGAATCGTGGGAGCTGAGCGAGCACTTTTTGCAGAAGTACCACGTCTGCCTTCAATTGGGACCCAAGATCATCCGCAGAACAAACTTCTGGAGGAGAATGCGAGGAGAGCCCGATGTCGTCCTTGACAAGGGCGGCGCGGAGCAAGCACCATCAGAGATGGCGTCTAAGGCGGCCGAGACACGGAGTCAGAGTCAGAGTCATCAGGTACCTGGTTCGGACGCGTTCAAACTGGCTACAGGGGTAGCTGATCCGATGAGGCAAAGTAGTAGCGTGGCCTCCTCGAGACCTTCCTTGTCGATGAACTACGATTTAGAGACTACGCTGGAAGAGCTTCTGGCGAACCAAGCAGAGGGGTCCACAGGCATGGTGAGGTGAGAACTGTATAGTAGACTGTCATCCTTAGACTCGGACTTGTCTAGGAAGGCGAACGGATTCGTTTCCCGAGCGTATAACTTTGTCGTAGCTCGTCCATCATCTCCTCCGTTGTTGTAATACCATCCACCACTTTGAAGTCTAGACGCCGTTCTTTATGCATGCATGCACGCCCATCGAATCTTCTTGCACGCCCATTGTATTCACCTCGCGTGGCAGAGGAAAGGGCGTGGGGTACAAGGGGGAGGTGGTTGAATGCTCTGGCTGCGTGAGAAAGTGGGCGTGTCAAAGGACACAGGGGGAATGCTGATCAAAGTCTCGCTACTGCCGGCGGCGTCTTTTCTGATGTCAACGAAGAGGGACGTTAGGTGCGTTGGAACGCTCGGGATCACGCTGGTCCTCCTATCATCCCTTTACGGCAGTCTACTTCCACTCTCGTCCTGCTCGATGACTTTCACCCTGGTCTGATTCACGGAAAGGAAAGGGGGAGTGAGAAGACAGGGAGCATTCAATTGCCGAAGCGAGGCGAGATCCGGCGAAAGGGTTCTGGTTCTGGAGAGGACGATGATCATCCATCAGGGCAGGGCACGCAGGGAAAAGGGAAATGGAAATTCGAGGTCAAGCCAACGTGTGGTGCGCTGCCTGTGGTGAGTGACTTGGCGATCAAAAAGGTGGAGAGGAGGTGCTTTAGCCGAGGAGCCGAAGAAGGGACATCGGCCCGCGAAGCTGAGCTGAGGGTGAGGGGATGGATGGATGGAGACGTCGGACGTCTGGGCCGCATGGCCTGCAGGCGGTGTGTCGTCATTTGCTCCCGATGACGCACCGCCGAGGAAGGGCGTGCAGGGCCTGTCCGCCCTGGCCTCGAATGCGTCCGCTTCCTGTCTGCCGCCCACACCATATAAACAGGCCAGGGCTTAGTCGACTTTTTTTTCCTCGACCTCTTACTTCCTTCACCAAGCAAACACCTCGCGGCAAGCAAACCTACCTCACCTCACCTAACCGCCCATCTTTATTCACAAGGCATCTACCCACACTAAGCGTCCATCAACAAACAACAGAAACAACAACAATCAAAAATGGTCGACCTTGGATCACACATTCGCCGTGGCCACCCCGCCGCCTTTGGTCTCTTGGCCTTCATCTCCCTCATCGTGGGAATCATCTCGGCCGTCATCACTGCCGACTATGAGAACAATGATACTGGTGCCAATGGAAACTACACTGGTCTCGTCACTCGTGTGCACTTTGCCGTATTCTACGGTTGGTGGACTTTCGTCTTCAGCATCATCTACGTGAGTACCACAGCACTAGGAGCGCAGCAATGGCAGACACGCCACATGAGCCACTCGTGCACTCGTGCAACGCTACCAGCAGCCAATCGAGCCAGCTTCTGACATCCGTCCTCTGCACCTCCTTTCACCTCCACAGCTCGCTCTGTTCCTGACTGGTGTTGGTGGCGTCGTTACCTCGATTGCAGGTCACGGAATCTGGCTGCTCCTCACCTGGATCTTCTGGCTGGCAGGTGCCGGTGCTCTGGCTGACACCCTCGGCACCAGCTGTGGTACTTCGCGCTACTACTACTGCAACTCGCTCCAGGCACTCCACGCCTTCAGCTGGATCGGTTGGATCCTCCTCACCTTGATGCTCGTCGTCGTGGCTGCCATTGGTGGTGGAGCATTCCGAGGCGGTCGAGGTCTCAAGGACGGTCTGTCCGAGGCCTAAAGCGCTAGTCTCCTAGAGACGGTGGTCTTGAATTGAGAACTCCCTGCCAAGCGGGCCTCGGTACATCCACCGTGCCATCACCTCCTTTCTTCACTCGGTGCTGCGCTCCCTATACCAATCTCCTCCTCGAGTTGCGCAGTGCCCCCCTTTCCACCTTCGATCTTCTGCATTATATCAAAACTTCCATCATCAACTTTCCATGGTCAGAGCAGCGATTTCCTCTCCTGCAAAGACCTAGCAGCGCAGCGTCGGTTTTCATCCCCCTGTCTTCTTCCATTGCTGGGTTGTACGACTGCCTCGCTTGCTTCCTCTTTTTTGTTCCACACAATTTCTCATAGCAAATGAAGACACATAATCATGACATTCTTCGACTTTTGCGAGCACTGAGCACTCTTGTAAACGAACCATTGCCGCCGCCATTGAGCGGCTGGCGCTGAGCATTGATTGACTCATTGCGCTTACGCGAGGTGGAGGATATGCGAGATTTTGATTGACGCCTGGTCGTACCACCTCCAGATCTTCCGATCCTACCCTCTCTCACTCACCACTGCTTCTTGGCATGCTTCTTTATAGGACAGCGATACCGTCACTTCCATCAGCAAAGTCAACCCTCTTGCTCCAAGCACGATCGGCCCGGCCCCTATCCTCTACGCTGCTGAGAACTTCCACCCGCCGCTACTGCCGCTGCTCGCAAGGAGGACTTGCAACGCCCCTACGACTTCTACCATCCCGCTCTAACAGTCTCGTCATGTCAGATTTTGTCCCTCCACCAGTCTTTCCAGAGCATCGCACCGCCTCGATATCTTCCTCTTCAGCACAAGCCTCTGCCACCGATGCCTCCAAGGACCCCACCATTGAGGCGCAGACAGGTACACAGATTACCTCTCACAATCAATACGACACTGCTGGTCTTTCCTCTTCAGATCTGCTACCCTCCCCCCTCGCCCTCTTTCAGCGCTGGTTTGAATCAGCTCAGGGACAGAATGTACATGAGCCAGAAGCGATGCTCCTCTCCACTGTTGCTTCTTCCCCTACAGACGGTACTCCTAGACCTTCGAGTAGGGTAGTGCTGCTCAAGGAGATCCACCCCAAAGAAGGCCTTACATTCTACACCAACTACACCAGTCGTAAAGGTCGTGAGCTTCAGCAAAACCCGCACGCAGCCGCCACCTTCTATTGGCGGGAAACATCACAGAGTGTACGCTTCTGTGGACGTGTACGAAGAGTTGAAAAGGTGGAATCGCAGAAGTACTTTGATTCAAGACCGGTAGGATCGAGGGTAGGAGCGCATGCTTCCCCACAGAGCACGAGGGTTGGGTCGAGGGAGGAATTAGAGGAGATGGTTAGAGCCAAGGAACACGAGTTGGGTGTACCTGGTGCGGCTGGACTGGAGGGTAAGGAGGCTGGTAAGAAGTGGGAGGACAAGAAGCTAGAGGTTCCAGAGTATTGGGGAGGCTACAGGATTGAACCTTATGAGGTAGAATTCTGGTGTGGAAGACCGAATCGATTGCATGACAGGTTCAGGTGAGTAGTCAATGTGACGAGCCATGGCTCCGAGAAAGGACGCAAGGCCATCGAGCTGAAACCCCCTTGCGACCTAATCCCACTTCTTCTACAGATACACTCGCGACGAGAATTCAAAGAAGTTGGCGGGCGAAGACGAGTGGGTCGTGGAGAGGCTCGCTCCGTAGATTTCCACGAAAACCTTTCAGTCATCTCAGCACCACATCACACAATCGTCACCCATGCGCCTGGCCTGGGGCGTTGAATCCATAGCATATCTTCCCATTGATTGGCAACGAGTGAGGAACCGAGGGCAGTGCGGCAACATAAAAAGCAGGAACACGGCGTCCCGTGGCGTAGCATTGCCTTCCTTTCAGCCATCCACGAGGTTGGAACTTTGTCCTCGCCCGAGCCACTGCCGCTCCCCGGCTTTGCCTGCCTGAAGTCTTGGAGAAGCTCTAGCAAGAAGCTTTGCTCTCTTTGTCCGCAATGGAGCATACCGACTTGATCAAGGAGGCAGGCCAACAGCTTGACGCAGGCTCGGGCGACAAAGATGGTGGGCTGACTGCAGATGACGGTCGCCATGAGCGGAGCACTTTCCTGGGCGTTCCACCTGGCCGCTACTGCAGCGATATAGCCCGTCGTCGCCTGATGGTGAAGCCCAAGCAGCTTTGGGCTTGCACAATCCACATAGGTAGGGTATCTGAGGAATGCGTCTATCCCCACTGGTCGAAAGAGTCCCTGCTGTCATCCCCTCCTTGCTCTTTACCGGCGTTGTGCTTCGCCTTTGGAGTAGCTTGGCCCTGAGTCTGCTGTGCCGAAGTGCCCGAAGGCGTCTTCGGCCGCGGGGTAATCGATCTTCCTGCATTTCCACTCGGCCTGCTCCCAGCCTCATCCTCCTGCCCATCCTCCTCATCCAGAGCAAACAGCGTCGATGGATCCCTTGCCCCGAACCCCCTCTCCTCGTCGTTCACTATCGGCGGCCGATCCCGGGTGTTGATGTCGCCCAGCGCATACTCATCATTGCCTCGAGAGGTCGTTCCTAGGTTGAGTTGAGAATGCGATGCTTGAAGAGTGGAAAAGGTGGCAGGTGCGGAAGGGTTGGTCGGGTATGAGTCTTCCATGTAGTGCCTCTGCGTGTCATCGAGGAAGAAGTAGAAGCAGACCGTCGCGAGGCAGCCTCCGCCGACCAGATCGACGAGGTAGTGATGCATGAGGTACATAGTACACCAGTAGAGCCAGAAGGCGTACGACCAGTAAAGGATTCTGGCGTCAAGGGCTATCTTCTTGCCTTTACCCAGAATCCTGTCGATCAGAGAACCACCGATCTGGATTGAGAGGGGGAAGAAGTAGCTGCAGTACAGCGCCTCCATTGTTGCGCAGGCTGCATGCAGAGACGGGAAAGCGCCAAAGGGCACCGGCGCATTGGTAAAGGTGACGGTATAGCCATGGCCACCGAAGAGGGCGTCAATCCTGGCCAGACCTGCTGGAGATCCCTTCATGGAGTAGTTGGCTGGTGTGAGCCCCTCGCGCAGCTCATACCCTGATTTCGGTGCGCAGCAGGGGAGGATGGTCTATGAGGTCAGTGATGAACATGGGCCGACAAGGATTCTCTTGAGACTCACAAGGCGGCGCGGTGGGAAATGTGACCTGGATAATGACGCCGATCAGATTCAAGAAGCCAAAGGCTGTTCCGAAGAATTTGATGCTGCCCGGGGGTCCGAAGACGAAGAGGAAGGCAGCTACAAAGGCGGGCGCTGCGAAGTGGACCACGCCATAGGGTATCCATGCGACTACGTCCAAGACGGGATGTCCGGCCCTGGTCAGGATATCGGAGATATTGGCACCATACCAGATCGTCTCGAGGGTAGGCAGCACGGAAACCCAAATGTGAGGTCTGGTTGATGGGGCGAGGAATCCAGAGGAGTAGAAGAAGAGGAGCCAGAGGAGAATGGGCGAAGCTGGTAGTAGGAATTGCGAGGAGACGGGCAACAAGATCCCTAGGATATAAAGAGCTGGTATGCCTAGCTTCAAGGGAAAGCCTGGCGAGCCCATGACGAACATGGAGAAGGTAGCCGTCATGATCATGAAGGCAAACTTGAGCCTTTCAGACCTCGTCGAGCGGGGTAGCCAGTACTTGAATCGAGCAATAGACAGGGAGATGGACGCCGAGAATTCGAGACGAGTGGCTGCGGAGAGTATTGCGGTGACCAAAACGGCAAGTGTGCCGGCAGGAACCCAGCGAGGCAAGGGCAAGGGTGGGCCTGGGACATGCTGGAGGTGAGGAGGAAACGAGACCATTGCGATGTAGAGTAAGAGGACCGCGCCGCCGAGTCGCGCTGAGGAGGGTCACGTCAGGGCTTGGAGACCTTTCTGTATATGCTGCGTCGAATCTCCAGCCACGTCCGCTACTCTGAAGTGAAGGTAGAGGTGATGGTGAGAAAGGGAAAGAGGTGAGTATATGCGCCTGTAGTCTCGTCTCGGTGTGGTTCCTGTCCTTCCTGGGTCCTTGGCTGGTTGGTGTGTTGCGTCTGTCTTGGCTCTGTGCGCGCGCGTCATGCAATGTGGCCCCGACCAGGCAGCAACCGGACTCCAACACCACCGCCGGCAACGCGAAGCCCAGGCGGCCAAAGGGCAACGAGGGCATCCCCGTCCATACCAAGTCATCTCCTCCTCGCCATCACCATACTAGCACTCAGGTGGTGGTAGCACCCACGCTCACACATCATGTCTCGCCGCTTCGGCGGAGGAGGCGGCAACAAGGACATTCGCTCAAAGATCAAGCACTCCAATGCCAACCTTGGCTCTGGCGTGCAGCTCGAGAGGACACCCACACACTCAGCATCTCAAGCAGCCCTACAAGCTGGTCTGGCCACCTCTGTCAATGGGCAGCCAGCTCCGCATCGTACTCCAGCGACTCCTCTGGGTTCCGCTTACGGCAACGATGCAGCCGCCTACGACCCTCAGGCTCGGGTGACGTCGCCCGCATCAGCACCCTTTCAGGCTCAGACCCCTTACCAGCCTCAATCATTTCAGTACCAACAGCAGCAGCAGCCTCAACCCCAGTACCAGCAGCCACAGCAGTACCAGTACACGGAAGAGCACCCGTCCCGCTCTACAGATGCTTCCTTCGGTACAGGAGGCTCTCACATACCATTGCCCCCGTCCGATTCGCCTTCCAGGTCTGACAGCAGATATGCGCCGGGAGCTCAGGGACGATCTGGGTCCCAATCGCACGCATACTCCAGCTCCATCTCGCATACGCCATCACACTCACAAGTCTCATCGAAGCTGGCAAGGCCGGTCTCCCCATCTGCTGACACCCAGAGCTACTTCCGCAATATTAATGATGACTCGCATGCTGTGGGCCCACCTGGAAGTGCCGCCGCTGGATCGTCCAGCGGAGCGCACACCCCCAATCGACCGCAAAGAAGTCAACGCAGACCTTTGGGGCCTCCTCCTTCCGCCCCGCCTCTACCTTCCTCCTTCAGTAGCCAGACACATGAGGGCAGGACTACACCCGCCCCTCCCTTGCCGCGCTCCGAAAGCAAGGAATCTTCCAAGGCGCCATTCCCGACGGCAAGCCCAGGCCGGGATCGTCCTCCTCGCGCCGCGAGATTGATAGCCCAGGTCAACCAAGGTCGATCAGGTCGCGATACCCCCGTCTCTCTGCGGTCCGAGGAGGGCAGCATAGACGATGCTTATGGCGGATTTTCCGGCCACGATTACAAGGTTGCATCTCCTTTCAGCGACAACACCCTGACGCCAGGAACTGGCTCGACTGGCCTGGGCTCCTTGTCCAAGTCACAGTCCCCCGCTGCCCTTGGCTCAGTCCTTTCAGCTCTATCCGAGGCCGGCAGGAAGCATCAGGGCCGAAGGATCATGCGGGGCATGACAGCAGAAGAGGAGAGCAGGAGAAAAAAGGTGGAGAGGAAGATGGACGAAGCCAGACAAGTCGAATACAGAGACTTGAGGTACTACGAAATGAAGGCACGGCAAGAACAAGAAGAAATCGGCAGAATTGGCGCGGTATCACGCAAACTCAAGGCAGAGTGGGCATTTGTTGCAGAGGATGACTTCAATGCTGTCGCCCTGGCGCTCTCGCTGCTCGACCAGAGCTCGATGGGAGCCAACAGACGTGAATTTGAATCAACGAAGAGGCTCACGCAAGAGGCTTTGCAGGGTACAGTTGATGGTGGGTACAATAGCAACGATTGATCGCAAGTGAAGTACTCGCTGACCAGGTTGATCCCTTTCTCATGCAGACCACTACGAGGCTTTTGCTACAGCCATCACCCTCCACAACTCGGTACTCGCTGCGATGACAGATGTGCAGACTTCTGTTTCATCCTCTCGCAGGAGACTACGTGACTCTCGTGAGGCTCTGGGATCTAAGCGTGCTGACCTTGTGCAGCTTTGGAACCGGCAACAGAGTGTCAAAGAAGCCCTCCGCCTTCTTGACACAGTCGAGCAGCTCAAGAATGTCCCAGATCGCCTCGAGGCACTCATGTCGGAGAAGCATTTCCTCACTGCCGTAAGTCTGCTGATGCGAGCCCTCAAGGTAATCAACAAGACTGAGATGGTGGAGATCGGGGCCACAGCAGACTTGAGGACGTATTTGCACAGTCAAGAAGGTCACATGCTAGAGATTCTCGTTGACGAGCTCCACAGCCACCTCTACCTAAAGAGCACGTACTGTGACCGGAGATGGAAGGGGTACCAGCCAGGCGAGGAAAGGCTTCCTGATGCCAAGTGGGGACACGAGTACTCAGGAGCCGATGACAAGGAACCAGAAGACGGAGAAGACACCTCGACGGCGCCAAACAAAGACGAATACGCAGACAAGCGTGACGTCGATGCCCCTCCTACGAAACTTGCCGCCTTCCTCCAAGCGCTATCGAATCGACAAGTTCTCGATCAATCCAATGTAGCCAATGACCTCGGCGATCTTGATGGAGTCATGGCTTCGACAGCGAATGGCACAGGTGGCAATGCCAGCGACAGGAGGCCGAGCTATGTCGGATCCTTCTCCGAAGCTGCAGGGGACGCGCAAGCTGCCGCAGAGTTCGATGAGAATCCAGAGATCGACAGCTTCCTCTACATTGAGATGCTGCTGGAGGCGTTGGCGCGACTGGGCAAGCTCTCAGTAGCTTTGGATGTGATCCATCAGCGTCTGCCTGTCGAGATCCATGCGCTGGTAGAATCGACAATCCGAGAGGTGGAGAGCCGTACAGAGCCACTCCGTCGGACTTCCTCCAACACTCGCACCGACTCGATCCTCTACCTAGCTCGAACTCTCGGCGATGCATCAGGACGAGTCTCCTTCAGTGCAGGCGCAGACTCATCCGACACATCACGCCCTCTGTCAACCATGCTACGCCTCTCAGCGTCCGAAACAACGCAGGTCCAGTCAGAAGGGGAGATCATGCGCGATCTATTCTGGACCCTGTTCTCAAAGATGGACGCGGTCTTGCAAGGACATCGTGTCTTACACGAAGTAGCAGGCAGAATCAGTCAGCGTCAGGGATTCAAGGAGATTGGAGCAGGAACAGGTACAATAGCTGAGAAGCTCAGAGGCCGCCTGGTTGGTGGCGAGAGGTTGCTCGAGGTCTGGCGACCTATCCAAGTCGAAGTTCGGACGCTGCTCCACGAGTATCTCATGGATGACACCCAGTCTCCTACCTCGAGGAGGAACAATATGATCTCCATTAACGAGGTCCTACGGCAGGGCACATTCCATCGTGACCGATCGAAGAAGCTCTTCCACCTCTCTGATAGTCAAAGCGGAGCCTCATACGGCAACAGCAATGCTCTTACTCTCAACGCTCGTAGTGCTACCGCTTCGGGCAAGAAGGAGCTGAGTCCCGTCAGTCGTCACGAAGAGGCCTTGAACAGCGCCTTGAGGGCCTTCGTACCGGGTCTGGTCAATGCTGCTGAGTCGAATGCCGCAGGAAGTGGCACGGCTCTTGGCATCTCATCTCTTGCGACTTCGCTAGCGACGCAGCAGCGAGAGAATCAAATCTTTGCATCCCTCTCCAGCAGCTCTGCTTTGAGCAACGATATGTTGTCTCGCAACCATCGCCTTCTAGTCAAGCCAGACGCCTTCAACATATCGGTCCTCTTCCAACCCGCCTTGGCATTTGTGGATCGGGTGCGAGTAGTCATGCCGAGCGAAGCCGCTGGGGAGACAAGCAAGGGCTTCAGTGCCTTCCTTGAGGAGTTCGTACAAGACGTCTTCTTGCCTCAACTCGAGGACAAGGTGCAGCACCTCTTCCAGGGAGCAGTGGGCGGCAGCGATGCTTTCCAAGAAGATCCATCGTCCCGGGGAATGTCGAGCAAGCCAGTCGTCAGGTCCGCTACTAACGTCGTGGTCTTGATCGACAGCCTCTACTCCATGCTTTGCACCACGCCCTTCCACCGAGAAAGCTACTCGAGACTAATCATCCAAACGATCGTCCAGTACTACTCTTGCTGCCATCAGCGTTTCCGAGACCTAGCCAGCACCGAGGTGCCACCTATGCTCGGCGGTGGACCGCGCAGCGACGGAGAAGCATCAGCTGCCGCAGCAGGCTACATGCTGTCGGCAACGTGGGCGCAGAGTGCTCAACTAGCTGAGATCCTCGCGGAAGCGGTGGATACGGAAAACCCTCCGTCTGCCTCAAGGAAGTTGGAGCTGCAGACCCTGGAGAACGATCTTCAGCTGAAGATGGCCAGTCGCCATCGTGGTCAGACTATTGGCAGGAGTGACTTCATCACCAGCCGCAAGAAGCTGATTGCGCTAGGTCATTTAGAGCATAGTCTTCAGTGGTTTCTGCGCCACATCTCCCGCCTCAAACCCACTGATCAGTCTCTTCCTGTCTCTGTGAGACCTCGCGCTCGGCTCTCTGTCATTCAGGGAGTCTCACCCAGTGTCTTTAGCTCGGATCAAGAGTGGAGGCTGCCTCTATCGAGTGATATGGCAGCTCGATACGACACTTTGCCTAGGACGTATCGACTGCTGTCTCACACGATCCTCTTTACCCTTCGAATGGAGATCCGCGCGAGAACCCTCCACTTTCTGGACCTGGCAATTTCAGAAGGCAACTATCTCGTGGAAGAGTCGGCTGCAGAGCCTGACCCTCACGTGGTTGACCTCAATGCCGAATTGGCCAATCTAGATGACATTGTTGCTGATTCGGTCACACCCGAGTACCACCGCTTCCTCTTCGAAGGCCTGGCGAGCTTCATGGAAGCCATCCTGATCGGTGCAGTCAAGAAGCTGAAAGCGATCAATCGATCAGGAGTCTCAAAGATGATCCGGAACATCTTGGCGCTGCAGCAAAACCTCAAGAACATCATTATTAGTGATGCAGGAGGTTTTGCAGGCCAACGGAATGGGGATGGCAGCAAAGCTGAGAATTCCAGGCCCTCGACGCCTGGCGGTGGGCACGCCACCTCTCAAGTCTCCTTTGACTCCTCGCGTCGCTTCTGGGAGCTCCTGTCTCTGTCTCCCGCCGATATGCTCGAAGCTGTCAAGAAGGAGACGCAAGCCACCTCGCGGGATTCAACTTTACCAGAGAGAAAGTACGGCTTCGAAGAGGTCAAGAGCGCTCTGCAGCTCATGCTTGGGCTAGAGAATGCAGCCCCTGCTGCTGCGAGCAGTGCGACGGGCAGCGGCAGCGGTAGCGCGTCTGGCGCTTCCATGTCTGCCTCGAGCTCTATGCCAGGGTCGAGCGGTACGGGCCTTGGTCCCTTCTCTGCTGCACAAGCATCCGGCGTGCCTGCCACGCCTACCTCGGCTTCTTCGGCAGCAGGGATGCCTTCGAGTTCTGCACCCGCTGTGGGACCCAGCCTGCCTACGCTGAAGGCGGGCACAGTGGACGCCGAGGGAGGGGCGGTGTCTCGGCAAAAGTTCAATGAATATCGTGAGTTGTCATGGGGACCAAGGGAGGAAAAGAGCAGTTCGCGTCTGTTCTGATTCATCGGCTGACCCCTTCTCTCTTCGCCCGCCATCTAGTCATTGAACTGCATCAAGTCCTCGAGGCAGAGTAAGGGGAATGCTTCTATTGACGATGATGACGACAACGACAGTGACACTCTTGCTGTACATAATGCCAATTCGTGCTCTGATCAAATGACGATCTTTACCTTCTCGTCTGTTATCACTTTCCCTTCATCGTCTAGTCTGTCGTAGCTGTCCCAGTGTTGGGTTCATGACCAGTTCCCGAGATTGCAGGCTCCTGCCCATCTGCCCTCTTTCCGGCTGGATTCTGGGCATCGCTCGAAGTGGTGGGGCCTCGGTCAGCGACGCCGCCCTTTTTGCTATCGTGGTCTGAATGGCCAAGAGATTGGCTTGGGGAGATGACGTCCCTGACTGCTTGTTTCTGACAAAGGAAGAAGTGGCAGATACTATCAGACTCAGGCGTTTAAGGAGACTTCATGGGTGCAGAATACTCACCAGCTCCTTGAGTTCCGGAAAGCCTCCCTTGACCTTGCGATCCCACACACATCTCACTCCTCCTTGTTCTCCTCCTTCATACACCCAAACCCTAAACCGCCCACCCGTCTCCTCGCTGGTCATAGGCATAAGCGTGACACTCTTGACCTTTCCTCCCTGCTGCCCACCCGCCAATCCCTCTTCCTCCTTCTTCTCGCCAAACGTGGCCAGAAGCTCCGTCTGAGTCCAAGTAGCACGATGGACCCATCTACATCGATCGCAGAACTCAATCACAATGGAGAAGCGGGGAAAGGGAGTAGAGGCGGGAAAGGGGGGAGTGAAGGAGCTGTAGGCTTCCTCACTGCTGCCTCCTGATCCTGAGTTCGAGGCTGATTGATCACCGCGCTTTGCTGCAGAGGAAGAGGAAGGGTCGCGGAAAGCAGTAGGTGCTGTACCTGAGGCGTTGGAAGGGGAGTCCATTGGGGAATTGTTGGAGGAAGAGGAGGGGAACCCTCCGTCGGGGTGAACACTTGAGAGGTGCGCCTTGTTCAGGTTGGCGGGCGGAGCGTGTTGAGCCATGGCTACTCTTGTGGGTGGTATTCCTGCGGAGGGAGTGGCTACTTCAAGATGGAGAGAAGAGGACGCCGAATCAGTATGGAAGGATGACGCCCTGCTGAAGCTGCGAGGAGATTATGACTGCTATCGGCTGACTGATCCTCGAGGCGGAGCAGCAGCCATGTGGAGCTCAGCCCGCTCACGGAAAGGGAAGCGTGCGGGGCAAAAGGCACCTTCTTCTCGCCTTGCACCATGTCACATTCAGTCCACCACATTCTTCTTTATCGGCACATACACTCCATTAGGGGCAGGAGAAGCAAGGCAGTTCTTGCTTGGAGCTCGTACTTGTCTCGTCCTGTGTCTCAATGGTAAGGGACAAGGTCAAGGAGAATGTAAATGCACAGCCTACAAGACACGTGCGAGCGGGCAAGGAGAAGCAGCGAGATCATGACCAAGTAGCTGAGGAGGTAGACGAGGACGAGGAATGGGAAGAAGAAGAAGAGCAACAAGAAGAGGTGGTCATCAATGTACTGATGGTGGGAGATCCTCGAGTCGGCAAGACGGCCTTGTTGAGGAGTCTTGTCGGTGACGAGCTGCAAGAGGAATATCAGCCTACAACAGGTGAGCATCACTTCATCTTCCACCTCTCCATGACGCCTTCTCACAAAGTCACTTTCCTTCTTGCCGCAGAGGTCCTCTCTTACCAACACACAATATCTCTCACTCCTACCCTGCACCTTCACTTCAACCTCATCGAAGCTCCCTCTGTCTCCCTCACACCAGAGCTCCTCTCGCGCTGTCCCGTGATCCTCTTCCTCTTTGACCTCACGCGCAAGTCCACTCTCAACAGTATTAAGACGTGGTACAGGCGCTGCCGACCTCCAAAAGAGGAGCGAAGGCGCTCTGCTCGACTGTCCCATCGATCTAATGGCGTCGAAGCTGGAGCTAGAAGTGGTGCTGAGGAAAGACCAGAGGGGAGAGGGACAGGTGTGCTGCACCTCCTCGTGGGAACAAAGTACGACGTCTGGGCTGCCGGGAAGCCTTCCCAGGCGGAGAGGGAGCGCTGGCTCGACCTCGTGCGGCAATTCTCTCAGGCCATGCTGGCACCCGTCCTCTTCACCTCTTCTTCCACTACCGCTGCTGCTGCCACTGAGCCGGAGGGAGGGTGGGAAGCTCACCCCTCGAACATCTTCCGCGTTATGATCAGTAAACTCTTCGATGTGCAGTGCACCATACCAGAGTGCACTGATCTGCAACGGCCAATAATCCTCTACGAAGGACTGGAACGGTGATATGCAGTGCTGTAGAGGGTATTGACTACGAGAGATTGAAGATTGGAGGGCGCGCAGGTAGTTGGCTGGGGCAACTAATTCATTAAGTGGAATGCAAGAGACGAGGCAAATGAGCTGGACGTTGAGGAGAGTACGTGCAAGACTGGGCTAAAGAGGCAGAACGGGATGTATAGATGTACAGTACATGAGAATTGGGAAGCGATCGAAATGGGAATCATCTGTCACGAATGGCCCTAGCGACGCGAAGGGAAGAGCTGCAGAGGCAACCAAAGGAACAAGAACGGCGGTTGGGGTATACCTTTCACTAGGCAAGCTGATGTGACTACCTTTTGAGGTTGTCCTCATCCTCGAGAATCCATTGCATCTGCAGTGAGGTAGCAAATCATCGTGCTGGTCCTTCACCTGGCCCAAGGATGGCCGTGGTGGTTAGGCAGACCACCAGGGCCGGGAGGCACCGCCTGAGCCCTTCGCATCTGACTGTTGAGGAAATCCTGGACTTGTCTCAAGACCTCGTGAGAGTCGTCCTTGAGAACATCAGGACACGGAGGGTCAGAGAAGAAGTCGTTGATGACAAGTCCACATTTCGAGTCAGGTCGAGTAGACTCGTTCCGCGCGATCAGTCCAGGAGGTGGAAAGAGTTGGTGGGCTCTCAGTCTGGCAGCTTGGCCTCCGGCCAACGCAGTGAATCTACTGTGGGGCGAAGGCGAAGCACTATCTGGAGTTGCAACATCCCAAGCGCTCCTGTGACCTCCAGCAGCTAGGCTTCTGATGTCGTAGGGAGCGCGCAGACGATCGTGGTGATCGGCTTGGCGAGGTCGAAGCCTCATCGGATGAGGGGAAGCATTCGAGGGAGTCTTGATGGACTGTGCAGACCCAGGCTGATGACGGTCGGCTTGCCTGGGACGTTGCCTCTTTGGCGTTGCATAGGTCCTTGTGCTGGCACCAGCCGATGGGATCGCCTGAGGTGACTCTATCTCGTCGACTTGCTGTCCGTTGCTCTTACGAGAGGTACCGAGAGGTACCGCTTTTGTACCGGGATATACTCGAGTAGGGCCGTGATTGGCAAAACGATCTACCGTCTCGGGCATATAGGTTGAGGTGGCTGTAGCCTTGGACGAGCACGAGGTGCGATTAGCCAAGCTATCGTGGCCACCGATCCCCTTGGATGATGGCTTCGGACTCGCCTCAGATCTGATGTGAGAAGTAGCCAGTCCCAGATGAGCAGCCAAGTCAGCCACATTGGTGGGCAGCGTAGCGTACAGAGATCTCGGGTTGACACGTCCGCCCTTGCGAATGTATCTCTCGTGAGCTCGAATGTGGTCTTCCAGTACGTCATCGAAGAAACAGCGCTCGGTAGGAGAAGTCTGAGGCACAGGCTCATCCCAAGACGGGCCTGACGGTTGAAGTGATAGATAGGAGGAAGAAGAAGAAGAAGAAGAAGAAGAACAAGAAGAAGAAGAAGATAGACTGCTTTCCCTGGTGCTTGAGACGCTGATTTCGAGCACCTCACGAGGGACCTGATGCCGAGGTGCGATAGCTCTGAGCTGTTGAGCGGCAAGACGGTGACTGGGGTTGGTGCTAGAGATGGCATTCGGTGTAATGGGCTTGCGAGGAAGAGGGCGAGGCTTGTGGTCTTGCGGGGCTCCAGCACGGCTTGGCGGCGGCAGGAGGTGGGAATTGCCTCGAGGCACGGTGACCTTCCCAGAAGGAACTGCTGGGAGCCCGCCGACGACAGGCGATCGAGACGAGCCTTTGGCCGGTGGCCTTCGCTCGCCACCCGTCACTAGCCGGACAGAGGGTGCAATGTCCATACTTGAAGCGGAAGAGGCTCTCAGAGCTCTCAAGGCGAGTACAGTCTTGTAGGCTGGACTGGGCGGCAGATGAGCGAGCTTGCCTTTCTTCTTGTCGTAAGGCATAGAGAGACAGGGCGTAAGCGAGCAAAATTGGTTGAGCAACAGCGCTGAGCCGATGATGGACCAGCGAGCTTACCGAAGCAGTCGATGCTTGGTACGGCGGGATGTTGTAGATGCGGATAAGCTGAGGGCCAGATTAAGCCTTGTGTGACGAACACCCGACAGAGTCAGGTACCTCAGTGAAGGTCTGGAATAGCTACTGTCTCTGAGGATGATGATCTGAAGATGGAGAGGCGAAGCGGATGGTGGTGGGGAAGAACGAGAGAGGCAGACAGAGCCGCGCTCTTGTAGTGCTTCGTGATCGAAGAAGTGCGCTTTGTCGAGATTGACATGTCGCGCCTCGACTTCACCTTCACGCTGCTTTGCCTTTGTCGGGACCAGCCCCGCTCGGCTTGACTCCGAAGAAGCTAGTCAGCTTCGTCTTCTGCTCTGGCATGCTCTTCTTCTTGCTCGGACTGTCTGGCTTCTTCTCAGAGGGAACGCCGATCTCCATTAGTTGCACAAAGCGGTCGAAGAGCGCGTGAGGGAGTATCTGATGAGGATATCACGAGATGAACATTGGGAGCAGGGTAGAGTAAGTAAGATGCCGTCTGGGCGCTCTCCAATCATCTACCTACTCACGCCTCCTGAAGCTTCCCGATGGCCTCTGGCGAAGTTCAAAGCCTCGACTGCTTTAGACTCGTCGTCGCCACCTTCAGTCTTGACGTCTACATTTGGAGGCTCTTCGTCGCCCGTGCTAAGCTCTCCACTACCAGCCCTTTCCAGCTCAGCTTCCACCTTGACGACATCGCTCAGGAAGGTCGGATCTCGAGCGGCGTAATCATGAAGTAGTTCGATGATGTTGGGATTCTCGCCCCTCTTTAGTGCGGCTCCGGCCCTTCTGCAGGAGAAGTGTGTGTGGGTCCCATGAGGCGAATAGCCCTTGTTGGCACACATGACTACTTGGAGATTCTTGGCTCCTCTCAGAGCTCCACTCCACCGTGTTGCGATACCGGGATGTACCTGGAAAGGCGAGTCGATGAAGAGCACAGCCAGACGGCCGTCCTTTGCGAACTTCGGAGGGGTGTGCGTACAGCGCTCGGCTTCTTCCGACACTGCGGAGCGTAATGCGTACAGTTCGCGAGCTTGCTTGTTCTGTGCAGGGTCGAGGAGCTCTAGAGGTGTTGTAGAAGACAACAACGAGCGATATGCCAGGGAGACGTTGAAGTCAGGAGTTCGGCGAGGGGCATTGAGAAGAGCAATCGCGGTCCCAATACGCTTCTTCGACCACTTCTTCATCTCAGGAGCGAGGTCTGGCCACGGTGGATCCCAAGGTACGTTGACGCTCAGATCACCTGCAGTTCCCAACACAGCTAGCCAATCGATGACCTTTTCAGCTTCGGCAGGGTCCTGCCAAAGCGGCCGACAGATCGTCCAGGTAAGGAGAGACGAAGTCGCAATTGGCGGAGAGTGGCTCGCATTGATCATCAGAGAGCCCTGTGGACCTTCTTCTCCTGGTTTGAGGAAGTGATGGTCGATGACCATTACCGGTGTGTCATCTCCTTCGCCAAGGAGGGGTGGACCAGGCCGGCTGCCTTGATCCAGAAGAATCACGGCCCGAGGCTTGTGGGCTTTGACCGCTTCAACCTCGCTGTGAGAGGCAGGATTCGTACCCTTGCTGAGGTGGTGTATCACAATGCATTCTTCGGAGAGGCCAAGATGGATCAGCGTACGATGAAGGATCAGGCTGGAGGACAAACCGTCCGCATCTTTGTCCGGTAGAATCACAAGCGGCCGATCAGAAGTGATGTTCAGGGAGTCTTCGGAACCCGGCAGTAGCCGCTCGATGAAGTTCTTCGCCTTCTTCATGTCTGAGGCAGGGGCCGGCCAATTGGCATCATCTGGAAGTTTGACAGAAGGGTCCCAGCGAGCGAGTGAGGATGCTACAGAGGTCTCTGCCTTTGAGGTAGAGGGCGATCGCACTGCATCGTCCGGTTCTTCCTTTTTTACCTTCTTGGCAGATTGTGAGGGAGAAGTCGATGCTTCGCGCTTTGGCCGGGCCATCGCTCTCAGTGAGGATGAGAAGGGGCGCGCTGTAAGTCGAATGGAACACCTTCTCGGTCGGGGACGCGGAGCTGCTGCAAAGTTAAGAGCTCTGTAGAGGCCCGCGGTACGAACGATGTCAGTGGGATATGCCAATCTGAGTCACATCATGATGAGAGGATGGTGTATGCTGCCCTTGACGTCTGTCAATATTGATCTTCGTCGTCGTCGACGTCTTGCGATACTTTGTGGAGAAGGTGAGAATGAGCGAGTGAGTATATGCGCCCCGCCTCATTCACGCATTTTACGTCAGTTGGCTCGCCGGCGCTCTTCCGGTCTCACGCGATCCACAGCCGGAAGGGGAGGAGGAGATGCGGAGCGACAGGCGTGCAGCAGCATATACACCACTTACCCTTGATACCTCTTCCACAACTCACCGCATCTCCATCTCCTTGTACTCGTCATCATGTTCGCCCCTCGTCTTCTCCCCCGACTCGCCACATCCTCTGTGAGGAGTCCCCTCGCTTCCACCTCGTCGTCCCTTCTTGCCTCTCGCAGAGGCTTCGCCTCTTCCCGCACTGCCCTCGCATCCAGCCTCCTCTACCTTGAGCACCGCGAGGGAGAGCTGAATGCAGCCTCTCTCGTAGCCCTAACAGCAGCAAAGAAGATCGGTGGAGACATTCATGCCATCGTAGCTGGAGATGAAGGAGTCAAGGAGGTGGCAGACAAGGCCTCCAAGTAAGTGCCAGGGCTGGGCATGAGGCGGCATAATCGATGCCGCCACTACTTGTGTCCCGCAATTCTCTCGCTGAACTTTTACCGTCGCTCATGTCCTTATGATCAGGTGTGAAGGGCTCTCCAAGGTCTTCACAACATCGTCGCCCAGCTACAGAGGCCTCCTATCTGAGCCTCTCGCGCCCGTGATCAAGGCTCTGGCGGAGAAGGGCTCTTACACCCACATCTTTGCCGGCCACACCGCTGCCGGCCGAGACATCTTCCCTCGCCTGGCCGCACTGCTGGATAGCTCGCAAGTCTCCGACATCATTGCCGTTGAGAGTGAGGACACTTTCCAAAGGCCAATCTACGCCGGTAATGCCATTGCGACTGTCAAGAGCAACGACAAGATCAAAGTGATCACAGTGCGAGGGACCGCCTTCGACAAGGCTTCGGAGGAGGGTGGCAGCGCTTCAGTGGAGGAAGTCGGCTCAGACGCAGCAGAGAGTGAGTCTCTGCAAAGGTTAAGACGCTCTTACGTCTGTGTGCTAACGCTGCAGATTTGCCTCACGTACAGCCCCTACCAAGTTCATCGAGGACAAGCTGAGCAAGTCCGACCGACCCGACTTGGCTACAGCATCCCGAGTCGTCTCGGGTGGCCGAGCTATCAAGTCTGCTGAGAACTTTGTCAAGTACATTGAGCCCCTCGCCGATTCGATGAAGGCCGCCGTGGGTGCCTCTCGAGCTGCTGTCGACGCTGGTTACGCGGACAATGCCCTTCAGGTTGGTCAGACTGGAAAGATCATTGCCCCCGAGCTGTACGTCGCTGTAGGAATCAGTGGTGCCATCCAGCATTTGGCAGGTATGAAGGACAGCAAAACCATTGTCGCCATCAACAAGGTGAGTTAAATCATTTGCAATGGAGCGGCAGCTGCGCGAGTGCATCAGAGTACCATGCTGACCCTTCTCTATTGCGACCCTCCGTGCCGCCGCTCTAGGATGCCGATGCTCCTATCTTCCAAGTCGCTGACGTCGGACTGGTCGCAGACCTGTACGAGGCCGTGCCAGAGCTCATGTGAGTAGCGCAGAAGCGCATTGGCTTGCCTTTTGCCACTTCCACTGACCTCTCCTTTCCCCCTCCCTCCCCGGCCACCGTCCCGTCGTACAGTGAGAAGCTGAAGTAGGGCGACAATGCTGTGAAGGACTACGAAGACGTAGTCGTGAACCGTAGAGCGGAATTCGTGTATCTGGTATCATCTTGGTTGAGGCCCAACACATCTACAATCGAGCCCTTCCGCATTGAATACTTACTGTGCGCGAAAGTGAATGGAAAAAGGATAGTACCGTTGTTCCGGCACGATGCGATTCGATGCAATCCGGCCACTCCAAATAGTAGCGGCCGTACTTTGCAAAAATCCCTGATGGAGACCCCCGCATCGAAGTGCTTCGATGGCAGTGACTGATAGACCCTTGGCAAAGCTGTGTCGACGGCGATGAGACCGAGTCAGTACCTGCATGGTACTCTGGCCCAGTCCTCGAAGCAAGCGGAGCATCTTGGTCGGGCCTTAATTTGGTCGACCGCCAGCGGCGATTTGGAACCGCGACTCGTGTTGGGTGTCAGTCCAGATTAGCGAGTTGAGTAGACAGCGGTGGTAGATCAGGACTGAGATCTGCGTAGCCGTTCCGCTGTTGATTGCTGATGGTCGGTCTATTTCGAGGTGTTTGAGGGTGTTGCACCCCCGATATGCCATCTGACCGGAAGCGGAAGAAGACGCGCAAGGCGTACCATACCCGAAGCACACCTTGCACCAGATTGAGCCGCGGCTGGTGAGTAACACCGGCTCAATCATCCCAGGCTCGGGCACATGTAGTAATGAGAAAACCCAGACATGATCAGGAGGTGGTAAGGCGGCGAGGAAGAGAAGTCGGTCCGCGGCTATAGAATGCGCTTGCTACGAAGTTTGGCAGCTGTCGAAGCGACTGCTATTCTGGGACACGACTCCATGACATACGAGGCGGCTAGAATGCACCCAGAGGCTGCCGCATTCGCGCTAGCGGACTCCGAGGAAGTGCTTCGTCCATGCTTCAGTGCGGGGGAAACGACGATAGGTCCAGAATTAGGCGGTGACGTAGAAGTTGCCTGCCACCTTCTCTTGCTATCGACTGTACGAGATTGTCATTGTGCTTCGAGAATCAGCGGAAAGGGAGACGATACCAGGGGGGTGCTCCTCCTCTCCTGGATGACGGCGGTGGCTGTTTGCTTCCATGCGCTGCATCGATCTACCTCTGTTTGCTATGCCATCAAGAATTTCAGTCTCCACGCATGAGTCCGGGGAGGTACGTGCCGCTGCAGAGCGCCCACTGGAGTGATAATCCACGGTCCATGGCATCGGACTTGATTGATGATTCTGAAGTTGCCCCTGTCCAGGCTCCTGGGTGATGTTGTAGGCACTCTGAGGTGGGGCTCCCGATTGCTGTGGCTGAAGTCTGCAGCTGCGGTCGGAGTTCCAGGGCGGGGTTGATACCGCGAGCCGGGCACAATATTCCGTGGAAGGAAGCCCTGTCCCCTGGTGCCGGGAGTGAGTCGAGTGGTGGCTGCACTCACTATCTCTAACTTACTCAGGCACTGGACCCGCCAATCCGAGCGATAGCACTCGCCTAGGAAGGCACGTACCGTGACTGAAACTAATATTGCATCGACCATCAGTTGCTACTTTCCCACCCCTCCCCCGTCTGTGGTGACAATCCTCATATAGCATCTGTAGGTCCGGCCCAGTCCGATGTCATCTCCTCCCACCATTCTTTCTGCACCCTGATCATGGCCGTCTGTTCCCCACCTCGGGGCGATGTCCTTCCTCTCGATACCAGCTTTGCAACCACTTCTCAGATGCTCCCATCTCCCTTTCTCTCTCCTCAATCGACGTCACCTCTCAGAGACGCAAACAGCGAAGTCGGCAGTCCTGCCTTGCCATTCTCTTCAACAGTAGTGGGCGGGAGACGCAGGAGCAGCGTTGTTCGACCTCTCACACCATCCAAGGCGTCGCTTCCTTCAACGCGCGAAGTGCCGGAAGAAGCAGTAGAGTCATCGGATCAACCCTCGATGAGCTTCACCGTTGCCCCCGTCCAATATCGTACTCGCAAAGTCCGCGCAGCAGAGCTCGGCCAGGAGGGAGAAGCTCGAGACACCAGCGACTACGAGACGGACGAGGCCGGTGTCGCCTCTTCGCGCTCCTCGATGGTCGACTTTGCCCCTGGTAGGGGACCGCTCTTGCTCAACGACACCCCACGCCGTCGAAGCAGCGATGTATCCTCGCAGAATCGGATGGCGCTGGAGCCCTCGTATGTCTCTTCTCACTACACGGATTCGGATGATGAGGAGACAATCCAGAAGCTCTCCCGCAAGCCTGACAACACGCTGCGCAACAAGCACTCTTCTCTTCCTGGAAGCCAAAGTCAGGCGTCCTTTGCCGACACCACCCTCAATGCTCCAGTAGGCCATACAGCAGGGTCTTCGTCGAACCAGACGTCACCGCCGGCTCCAGCTGCTGTTCAGCCAACGGTCAAGACTCCTGCGGTACGGGAAGCACCTCCAGCTGAACCTCTCGACTCGACTGCTTTGAGGCAAAGAGTGGAAGAGTTGCAGCGCAAGATTACCGGCGGACAGAGAGATGCTTCTCACCGACCCAATCCGGTCTCCGGGAGAGACAGCGCAGCCTCTACTTCTGCAACCGCTTCCTCAGACGTAGCCGATCTTGCTCAGCGAGTCTTGGCATTGGAAGTCTTTCTTCGCAAAGCCACTGCTGCCCTACCCCCGCTCCCCGCCTCTGCCTCACTATCCCCTACAAAGTCGCAATCATCCGCACGTTCCGTCCGAAAGACCCAAGACTCCTCCTCCTCCTCTCGCCGCCCGACAGTGCATCGTTTGAGGAGCTTCACACATAGCGATGGTACGCCTAGAGTCTCATCTGACGTGTACAGCTCCAAACAAGGTTCGACATCCTCTAGCACCATCACTGCTCTTTCTCCGCATCAACCATCATCTTGCGCCAGCTCTTCATACGCTATGAGCACTCGGACTCTCTCCCAATCGTCCTTTGCGTCTTCCATGTATACGAATGGTACTCGAACCACTCACACGGCTGCGACGAGCGTTCGTGAAGGCAGCGGAAGCGATGGCGATGGTGAAGATGAAAAGTATACCTCGTCCTCCGATCGTTTGCGTGTTCCACCTGGTCAGCACGTCCAACGTCAGTCGCGACCAGGTTCCACCAGGCTCCCATCCTCGGATTCGTCTAGCGTGTCATCTCGTCGCGTCATCATTCTCAACGGCAACACCGAAATCATGATGGACGAGCAAGATCGACTCTATGTCCGCTGGGCAGGCGACTTTGTTCCTCTAGTGGACTTCTTCTCTTCCCCCGCTGCGCCCATGACTGGACGCCCGTCTCTCCCGCCTCTGCAGGCCACTCGATCCCTGCCCAGCGGGGCATCCGCTCCCGTCTCTTCGGCCGCCTCGGTACGTTCCACGCACTCCTCAGGATCTACAGAGTCCGGCCCTGCCTCGCTCCGAAGCGTCGCCCCTTCGAATCTCACACACAATTCCGCCCCCGGCGAGCTAGGCCATGGTTCTGGTTCAGGAGGACTGCACTCCCGCTCCTTGGCCGGCTTCTCAATGGCTCTCCCCACCAAGTCTACAGCGGAACGTCGACAGGCCATTCTGGAGCAGGAAGAAAAGATTCGACAGGAGAACGCAAGAAAGGGAATGACGTCTACTCCGAAGATGAGGGTCGGGCCGGGCAGGGGTAGGATGATTGTCAAAGCACCGAAGCCGCCCAAGGCGGCCAAGTAGACATTCGATGCCTACATTTCGTTGGCGAGTCTTGTGTGAGAGAATCATTTCCTTGTAGATCATGTCTCGTATACCTGCTAGCACAGTCTAGTCCCGTCACCTTGTTGTAATACAATTTAGAGTTGCTCCACATGTACACCCTCGCCGCATTGATGAGTAGAGACCGTCCCTTCGAATTGGGTGACATCATTACCGAACCCTCCGTGCTACTCCGCCATACCATCATCTTCACCCTCTTCATCCTCCTCAGCCGCGACCACGTCCCAAAATTCGACCACCTGTCGAGTCCAGGCCGGCTGCTGCTGCTGTTGCTCCCCCGCACCTGCAGCCGCGCCTGCTTGACGGCTACGGGTGAGAATCGCAGCGATGTTTCTCCCGCTGCTCACAGCAAGTTGCCGCTTGACATTGTCCTCCTCCTTGTCTGCGTCATCTGCAACAGCGCTATCATCCGTCGAGAGTGCTTGACGCAGGAGGACGACCGAGTCTGGCATTGTCCCACTTGAAGTCAAGTCGACTTGGGACACATATTCGTCAACGGTTTGCGCTGAGCCCTCGAAGAGGGCGTCTAGATCGACGCATTCGAGCGCGCTAGGCGTTGAGAGAGCGGAAGGCCGATCCTTGGTAACGATGAGTAGTCTGTCGTGGCCCAAGAGCTCGAAAGACTCGAAGTCGAGGCTCACTTCGACGACACTTCCCAGTCCATTTCCTGTAGATCTGGGAACGCGGACGCAGAGTAGACTACGGCGGTCGGAACTGCCGACTATGACTTGGTGAACAGTCTCACCTGTAGTCACATCTACGTACACGCTACTCCTGGCCAGGTGGGCCACGCTCGCCAGAAGAGACTCTGGTTGCTCTGTTTCGGCAGCCGGACCTGACATTGCACCCTTTCCATGCTGATGATATCCCGCGGGGAGACTGGCAATGACATCTCGCCCAGATGTACCGATGTTGGACAGACCACCCCATCCTTGTCGCAATGGTAGAGAGATTGTTTCGGTGACTGTCTCGAGGTCACTCAGCCTTTGCGAAAGGCCTTCAAAGACAGCTCTCAGTGCCTTGACGATGTGACGAAGCCTCGGAGCCAATGGGACGTCCGTGTACATGGAGTCGCCGTGGGGTGGGACAATCTCTGCTTGAAAGAGTCTAGGTGGCTCATCGCTAGCGATGTGAGACGATGAATGTGCCTGCAAGTCAGGTGTGGTGTCATGGCCGAGTCGCTCGTCTTGCAGCCATCGCAAGGTCTCCTTCAATCGCTGCTTGGAATTTGCTTTAGACAGCTCGTCCATGGCGAAGGCGCCTCTGTCCTCTCCGTCGAGCTGCTTCAAGATGGCTTCGGTGTCTGTCTTATCCTCTACGACCGGCGGGTTCTGAGTGCCGTTGGCCTTTACGAAGCTCTCTTCCGTATCATCTCCTTTCCCTTCTGCTTCCGAGTCCCTCTGTACCTTCGACTTTTCATTCAACAACAGCCAGCGTAGTTCCGGACACTCGAAATCCCTCTGCACGAACTCGATGATGACCAGAGGGTCGAAGGTCCGAGCCGTATACGGCTGTTCATCTAGCTCTGTATTGAGAGCCTCTACTCTCTCCCTCTCCCAGCCGACCCACTTGTTCATCTCGTCCCACGCTAGGCGCTCGCCTTGGGCATAGTGTATGATTTTATGAGCGCTGCTGCGCAGAATGGAGATCGAGTTCTGCTGGGCGTGCAGGTGAGATGAAAGCGGCAGATCGTTGACCAGATCCGGTAAAAAGGGACGAGACCGCTCGTTCCTATCGCAGCCGAGGACGTGAGGTCCATCTGTCAGCATGACAGCTTGCAAAGCAGCCTTTCTTGTTACTCACCAGTCTGACCAGCCCTCGAGCTCTGTGACACACCCGCCCATCTCTTCTGCTACTCTGCCAAGCTCACTTGCGGCGACTTCAATGGCTTCATAGGCTTTCAGAGTTTCTTCGTATATGCCTTTCCACTTTCCTGAGACCAGTGTGTTGAGCAACAAGGACTCAATCATCTCGGAGGCAACTCCCGTGCAGAGAAGAGTGATGAGGTGATTCCTCATACTTTGTACATGGCTAATTGCCAATTGCTCCATGGCGTACTGCAGCCGCGATATGGGAGGTAGCATTGTAGCTTGCTGGGCAGAGAGAGATCCGTTTGGTATTGGTGCGACTGCCTTGAGAGTCTTGAAGACTGCCGAGAGTAGGAAGCTGAGGTCCAGAGCTTGGGCTGAGAGTGTGCGTAGACGACTGGAGACGTCCATGAGATGCAGAAGGGATGTGAGGCTGGAGGGCCGCACGAGGAAAGGCGTACCGGTACGACAGATGCGAAGGTGAAGCTGTCGCTCTGCACCATCACCCTCGCTCAGCTCAAGGACTGCAGTGTGGACTTCTCGCTGCGAGTCTAGAAAGCACGACAAAAGTCTTCCTTGACCTTGACCCGCCTCCGGCATTTGCAGGAAAGCTATCGGCACCTTGCCTCGTAGTAGAAGCCAGACGCCTGATCGGTCATTGAGGTCCTGGCCTGCAACCAGGAGAAGATCCATTTCGCTGCCCGAAGTACCAGCGAGACTGCTCCAACACCGAAGGAGATCTTCCTTCTCCCCATCTCCTCCCTTCGATGCGTGCTCGGATTCCAAGCCCCGTTGCGAGGGCAAGATAATTTCAGCCTTTGTGCCTCCCCCTCCTCCCATGAGCGCATGAAATCGTCCTCCTCCGCCTGACCCACTGGCGCTGCCTGAGCCTGGAGATGCAGCTGCGAGGGCTATAATGGGACTGAGATCTACGGGAGATCGTCCGGGATACTTCTTGAGAGCATATCTGCTGGCCCCAGGTGTCTCGCCTCGGTCCAAGGAGGTTGCGCCATTGAGATTGACCCAGAGCATCTGCTTGTGACCTCTCGCAGAAGGTCTCGGTGATGCACCTGGGAGAGGGCTGACAGACGCCAGCAGACCGTCTTGTACGGTATACAGATTGGCCGCTGTTATACTTCTTTTGAACGACTCGCTGCTGGTGGAGCGAGAGACGGTGATCTGAAGGGCAATCTGACGGCCTGTGACGTAGATTCTAGGATGAGCTGCCGAGATGCTATTGGCTCTGAGCCCTTTGGCACTTACCATTGGGGCTCCACTGCATTTCTCCCACTGTGAGCGTCTCCTGCTCTCTCTCTTTGGCAGTTACCCCTACCCGTTCCTCCCCATCTTCGAAGAGCGCATCTGGCATTTTGATCTGCTGCTTCCATACGAGCTCCATCTCAGCACCAATCCGCCAGAGCGACATCTCTACTGGTTGTCCCTTGACCGGTCCAGAAGCCACATCGCCTGCGCTGGAGCCTGAGGGTAGACCAGCAGCGGCTGCCGCCCTCGCCCTCATAGCCGCCATTCGCTGTTGGATCAGCTTCTGAGCTGCAGAGAGGCCCGACTGATTGAGCGCTGCCGCTGCTGGTCCAGCAGCGCTTGTCGCCGGAGCCACAGGCGGCGGGGCTGTGGTGGTGAAGACAAGGGCAAGGTCTGCGGTCGGTGAAATGGACGCAGGAAGAAGGTGGTGGCTCCGGCTACTGGCGGTAGAGGCGGCGGCCTGCTGACCGCCAGCGACTGAGGTGGGGAAATCATGAGTGGCTAGTGGTGTGAAGGAAGGCGGCTCGCTCTGTACGGGCGAGCCATCGGCTGACGGGGGCATGATTGGGTGCGTAGGGCATCAAGGAGCGGAACGGCGTTGATGCTTCCTCACGGAAGTGTTGGACGTCCTCGTCCTTCCGTGCGCCTCCCGGGGATCTGCGACGCGTCGCGGCAATCTTCTTCTTCTGAGACGACAAGCATCCTGTGAGACTGCAAACGTTGCGTCGAGATATTCTTGCGCAGAGGCGACATTGTACGCCAAGCGTCTTGGGCCTCGACGAAGGTAGCTCCACCTTGTCCGAGCACTTCGCGACCTCAGCCTTTCATGACAGCCCCACCCTCGCTGTGTGCAAGGCCGCCTTTTTTTGATCACACTTCTTCCCACGCCCTGCTGAAGGTTCAGCTTAAGAGGCCGAAGCTGGCCGTGGCAAGCACCGAGGTGACAGAACGTCCCTTCTCTCTACGCAAGGGGTTCTCTAGGTCTCAGCGGACTGGTGTCGAAAAGCTGCAGCAGCTGAAGCCAGGGGCTGCACTCCCGCTGGGCGTCAAATAAGGCCGGGAAAGGGGACTACCTTGGTCCATATTTTGCAGTGATCCACGCCCCGCTCCCCGCGCCGAGTCTCATCGGCGGGGAGGTGCAGCACAAAATGACGATGATACGATGATCCTTCAGTGCTGCGCCGCTGTCTTCCCGACGTCAGGATGCCCGTCTGGATCCGTCGCCCTCTTCCAATGCTAGGACCCCCCTGGGCATGCCTGTGCAGCCGAACGAAGATCCTACATCTCTTTCCATTCTTTTTCGGTATCACTTGTATTCCTACCTTTTTCTCCCCCCCTCTTCTCACCCTTCTTCCGCTCTAGCTCGTCTAGCTGGTTCAAATCTGTCACCTTGTGGAGAGTCTACAATCTCAGGTCGGCAACAAGGACGTCACGAGCCTACCGGTTCTAGCAATTGCAAAAGGCCTCGATAGCAAGCACAAAGTTGCACAGAGGGTGCTCTAGTCGCGCGGCGTGGTCACATCATCGCAAAGGCAAACAAAGCGCCCTCTAGGTGATCGCCGCCTGGCTATCATACATCAAGTGTCGGATCAATCGTTTGAGATCGGTCTCGCCATCACCTCCTTCTTCACCTCGTGTCCTGCGAAGAAGCGACCCTCCGGCTCCACTCGACGTCGGCGGAGTCTCAAGTGGCACGTCCCTTTGTTCTTCTTTACGCTCGGCCGTCCTGGCCCGCCAAGTATCGGCTCGAGGGGAACAAAGCAGGCGGGGTGGATCTGGCAGCTCGGCCAGCATCGGCCTGTGATACCGATCTCATTGTTCAAGGCAAACAGGCACTTACACACGTCAAAGCGCAGCCCAACGCACAAGCACGCAGCCCGGCAGACTGGCACATCAGGCCCAGCCACTTTTCCGAAGTTGTGAACAGAGGAATTCAGGCGCAGCCCTCCCCGAGACGTACCAGCGACCATCGGATCAGTGATCCATTAGAAGCCAGCCGCTTTCCTCCGTCAGTGTCACTCGGACACTCCGCGTTTCAGCCACTTTGTCGAAATAGCGAAGGGAACACTGGACCTCCTCGCTAGCTCCTCAGGTGTCCTTGCTTCTCTTCCCATCTCTGTCGATCACCTTAACATTGCTCGTCCTGCTTTCATCAGGCTGTCGCTGCGTTTGCTTGCTCCACATCATACTGCTCGTAGCAACACAGACTCGCAGGTAACTTTTATACTTCTACATACTCTCTGGTCATCTCTATAGCGCAATGGGCAATTGTGGGTCCGCAGAAGATGCTAATTCGCCGGGAGCGATGCTGAGCAAGGATCTGGACAGGGCTATCAGAGAGGACGAGAAGAGGCAGACGAAGGAGGTCAAGCTGCTGTTACTTGGTGAGTCGCACGGAGTCTGCCCCACGCCGGCGCATAATGACTTACCGCTTGCCTTACTACCCTTCGATGTATCGACTGCAGGCGCCGGGGAGTCCGGAAAGTCCACAATTTTGAAGGTGAGGCAGCTGCGTGGAAGGAGTTGCTTTGTATGCGACAGCGACTGAATAACGTCTCTCGCCTTCTCACCCGGCAGTCGATGCGCTTGATACACAATATACCCTTCACCAGCGCTGAGCGGGAAATCTACCGGCGGCTAGTCTTTATGAATATTGTAAATGGTATTCGGTCATTACTAGAGGCAATGGAGGAATGGGGGGAGCCATTGGGGTCACAAGAGAACGCAGTGAGTATCTGCCCTCCCGTCGTGCTGCTCCTGCAGCTTCTCGGTTCGGTTAATGAGAGGGACGTATTGACACTTTCCAACGCGTTTATCGCGCCAGTCCTACTTGCCCCTCTTTATCAGCTTCCCAGACATCGCCCAAGGGGAGCCTTACCCGCGGGAATACTACGAGGCTCTTCTTGCTCTTTGGAACGATACCGGCGTCCAAGCGGCTCATCGGAGGGCGCACGAAATTGCACTACCAGAGAATCTTCCATATTACTTTGCAAGTCTGGACAGACTGTGGCAGCCACAGTACGAGCCGAGCGATGCAGATCTTCTGAGATGCAGAAACAAGACGACTGGTATCATAGAGACAGTCTTCCCTCTGGACGGCAAGACTTACAGGATATTCGACGTGGGCGGACAGAGAAGCGAACGAAAAAAGTGGATCCACTGCTTCGAGAATGTGACCGCGGTGCTGTTCATTGTGGCGCTCAGCGGTTATGATTCCTGTCTGGTGGAGGACCAGGAATCTAATCAGATGCAGGAAGCGCTGATGCTCTTCGAGAGTATTGCCAATTCCAAGTGGTTCGTGCGTACATCGATGATCGTCTTTCTCAACAAAGTCGACCTTTTCAAGGAGAAGATCAAGTACTCTTCGATAAAAGAGTACTTCCCAGATTTCCCCGACGAAGAGGATGATCGCGACGTTGAGGCGGCTCAGCAATACTTCAAGAGGCGCTTCTTGAAGTGCAACAGGAGTAAGAGCAAAGAGGTCTACCCCAACTTTACAAATGCCACGGATCCGGGGCTGCTCAGGGTGGTCATGGCCAGTGTGACAGACATCATTCTGACATCAAGTCTCAGGGACAACATGCTGTAGTCTCCGCCAAATGATGACAACTTCGTGCTCATCAAGGTGACAGGGCAACGTCGGCACCGTCACGTCCCTGTCCCGCTGCATGAGGATTCCGCATGCACTGCTGCGCCTTCGATGATCGCTTGGTCTTCATGATCAGGACGCAACTTTTGGGTCAAGGCTATTGATTGATATGGTCTTTCCGCCTGCGCGATGGGCCAGACCTGGCGAAGTGCCGCCCGGCCCCTCTGAGCGAACATGTACAGATGACGCTCTGAAAAGCAGCGTTCTTGGGGGCATTTTCAGCCTCTTGATCGATTCGGAGCAGAGAGTCACAAAAGAGCGTGAGGTTGGCAAAAACAAACGTCAAAACAAACAGGCCATGATGTCCCAATTTCATCCCTCTGCTATCAGACCCTTAGCATGTATCATTGCATTCCATCTCCTCCTCTTGTCATACATCCACCGCATCAGCCAATCAACACTAGCATTTTCGTAATCATCCGGCTCCATGATTGCTCGAGGGTGATGTCTCGTCGAGAACCAACGCCTTAATCAACGCCCCGGGTGAGCGTCCGCCTGCCCGCCTGTGGCTTCGCCTCTTTCCGTTCCGCTCCTCTCAACCGGTCCTTCCTTTGCAGTACGGTCCGCCTTGTCTGACCTTGCACCTCCTTCTCGCACTCACAAGATCCCTTCTGTGAGACCGAGTGCCGGTCACGTAGGGGAAGCCATGTCCTACTCTACAGCTCCTTCGACTTCCTCGCCCCCATCCTCCTTTCGAGCTCGTCTAGCAGGGATCCCAGCCACTACCCGCGCCCGTCCCTTGACTTTCCCGCTTGGCGCCCTCGTCGGATTCCTCCTAGGGTTCAGCGCTGCCTCTCTCTGGGGCTACAGCACTCTCCTATCCTCTCATCGGGCACTAGCGGAACGTACTTCTGCCTCTCTCTCGCAATTGGAGGAGACGCGCAAGAGTGTAGAGGAGGAGTTGGTGCAGAGGGTGGGCAGGATGGGCGTTTCGAGCGATCAGCTCGAGGCGCTTAATCGGCGGGTGGGCGGGAGGATTGAGGGATTGAAAGAGGAGTTGGGAAGGGAGGTGGTGCATAGAGAGAGGATTGAGAGGAGAGTGGTGGGTTTAGAAGAGGAGAATTTGGAGCTGAGGAGGAGATTGTGGAGAATGGGTGAGTAGAGGTGTGGTGGTATGGTTTTGCAATGGAGTAGGACCATGGCAGATGATGGAGCTAGCTAGCCAGACGCTAGGGCCGCCCCGTAGACCGCCCTTGCACGCTCGCTACAGAACCAGCATCTCGTCTAGTTTGAATCTCATGCTTGTGCCTCGCCTTTCCCGCCCTCTCTACCATCCTAGGCAAGTACGCAAAGCTAGAAGCAAGAGCCGCTCAAGAACAGCAACAGCAACAGCAGGCAAAGGACCTAGCGCTGCAGATGCGGAATCAACGGCCGTACGGGGCTTTGCTCTGGACAGGCAGGTCACAAGAAGGTCAGCGGCTGGTTTAGAAATAAGACGGCGAATGGAGCCATGCTGGCTGGCTGGCTGGCTGGCTGGCTGGCTGATGTAAATGTACGGTGCCAATCGGTATAAATTCCCCGCGCCAACATCGTGGAGAGGTCCTCAAGCATCCGTGCCAGAAGGCAGACGAAGACAGTAGACGTTCGCATTCAAAACGATGCATTGCCATTGCAGGAATAAAAGTCACCTCGTCATCATGAGAATCACATCGTTACATTGCAACACCATTCCCTCGCGCATAGTTGTCTGCGGTTTACTTTTCCTTTACTCCTTCCTTTCCTCCCCTAAGCCCTGAATTGTTGCTTGAGCTGACCATCCCTCATGAACAGCACAGCGGCCCTCCTCCTCTGAGCCTCACTGGCCCACCAGTCAGAGTATCTTCTGCTGTTCTCGCCCACCTGCTCCACAGACTGCTTGCCACTCTGGATCTTGTCATTGGCAGCATCGAAGGTGTCGTTGACGGATCTGCTGGCTCGATCGTGGGCATCAGCGACGCTGTTCGAGGCCCGTCGAGCTTGGTCGTGAGCACCGCTGGAGATGCGGTCTGCTTCCTGCCTAGCTCGTGCCTCGGCGTCGGAGAGCTTGTTCGACACTCGCCTGGCTTGGTCGTGAGCGCCGCTGGAGAGACGGTCGGCCTCCTCGCTGGCACGGTTGTACGCGTCGTTGAAGGCACCCGAAGCGCTGGCGGCGGCAGCGGCAGCCTGATCGCGCACCGAGTGCAGACCGTAGTGGGCCTGTCTCGATGCTTCGTCGGCAGTCTGCTCAGTGGACTTCTTGAAGGAGAACCAGCCGCGCTCGGCCGAGTCCTTGGCTTCTTCGGCCTTGCGTTGTGTGGTGTCCTTTGCAGAGAACCACGATCGGTTGGCCTCGTCCTTGGCCTCTTCGGCAGACTGCTGTGCGCTGCTCTTGAGGTTGAACCAGCCCTTCTCAGCATCCTTCTTGGCTTGCTCAGCCTGGGCACGGGTCTGCTCAGCACCAGACTCTGCCTTGCCCTTGAGGTTAAACCAACCCTTCTCTGCTTCCCTCTTTGCCTCTTCGGCTTGGGCACGTGTCTGTTCAGCTCCCGACTCAGCCTTGCTCTTGAGGTTGAACCACCCCTGCTCGGCTTCCTTCTTGGCATTCTCGGCCTCCTTCTCGGTGTTGTACTTGGCAGACGACCACGTAGACTGCACCTTCTCCTTGGCTTCGTGAGCCTCCCTCCTTGCCTTGGCAGCGAGGTCTTCAGCAGAGTCCTTGGTAGCGAACCAGCCATGCTCAGCCTCCTTCTTGGCCTGGTTGGCAGCATCTTCTGTCTTGTGCTTGGCCGAGAACCAGCCAGATTCAGCCTCCTTCTTTGCCTTGTCTGCGGCGTCCTCGGTCTTGTGCTTAGCCGAGAACCATCCGGACTCGGCATCCTTCTTTGCCTTTTCGGCAGCGTCCTGTGTCTGGCTCTTGGTAGAGAACCAGCTGGACTGGGCTTCCTTCTTAGCCTTTTCGGCGGCATCCTCCGTCTTGTTCTTTGCGGAGAACCAACCAGACTCGGCCTCCTTCTTGGCCTCTTCGCCCTTGCGCTGAGCCGCATCCTTTGTGTTGTACCAGCCCTGCTTGGCTTGCGACTTGGCGTGCTCGGCTTCGCTCTCGGCATTGCGCTGGAGAGAGCCAAACTCGCGCTTGGCCTCGTCCAGGGTCTGTCGTCCGCCAGCCTTGGTAGCGAGCCATGCGTCCTGAGCGGCCTCGCCTACCTTGTCGCCACCTTCCTTGAAGTCATGTCCGGCCTCCCTGAGAGCTTTGACAGCATCGGAATTGTTCGATGCACGGATGTCCGCCAGGTCAGAGAAGTCGTCCTGCTTCACCTTGGAGATGGACCAGAAGTATGTTCCACCAACGAAGCCGAGCAGACCGAGACCGATGGCGATGTTCCTGCCTCGGTAGGGCTCACGAGCACGCTTGAGACCTTCAGAGACATTGTAGCCGTCCTTGTGGTACGATGATTGAGGAAAGGGACGCTTGCTGGGATCGCTGCCGGGAGGCCCACGAGGTGGAGGGGTAGGAGGAGGCGGGGGTCCAGCTGACATTTTGTCGACGCACTACGTTAGACTGAAGAGTTCACAGGCAAGAAAGAAGAGGTGCTGCGGTGTCAGTCCAAGTGCCTTTTCGCTCGAGATGAAAAGAGTCTGCACATTGCCCCTGCTGCGACCGCTTCTCTTCTTCTGCCACCCTGGCAGGCCCTGATGTTCCTGTCCCGCGCTTTGTGCCTCATATAGGAGCGAAAGACGTTTGCTAAAGATGATTAGTGTTCACATTGGCCGAGTAGACCTTCAAGTTGAACTATGCGATTGTTTTTGACATAATAATCCTTGGCGGCGACGGGGGACCGTGGTCGGTGCGAACGTCCTAGGAACAGCCCAGTGGAGGCTGCTTTTGTTTTCCTTTCCACTGCGTGTGGAGCTGGTACGAGACGGGTACTCACGTTTCACTGCTAGACTTCTGTGAGGAACTAATGTTTTTGGCCAGAGGTGTAGTGGTAGATGGAGAGGAAAGGAAGAGGGCTGTGAGTCGGATTGGGTATATGCTGGCTATAGGTTGCTGGGTGTGCGTCTTTGGCTGGCCATGATGCGTGACGACGTGCGAACGAGGAGGGTCTTCGTGGGGCTGGAATCGCAGCTGCAAGCCAGATCCTGGTGACATCATTCAACGCCCACGTGATTTCCTCCTCCGACCCAAAAGTACTCCTCACTCACCTCAAGGCCGGGCTCACGGGGCTTTCCCCACAGGCGAGGCTTGCGGGGCTATGCTGACCCTCCTGAGGAGAGAGGGGGAGAGGCAATCAGGGTCTGCCTGTCTCCATTGCTGGTGACAATGACTTTGGACGTCTGGCCTGGCTGGGTGGACCGCTGTAGAAAGAAAAGTAAAATAAAAATAAAGTAGGCGTGCCAAGGGCGGACTGAGGAGGCAGGCCGGCGGTGCGCGCGGTGATCTGCCCTGAATCTACGGAAGGAGCCGAGTCGGAATCGGGAGTGCGCCGAGGGGGGAGACGGTTTCTCCCGTGGGTGGGTGTGGTGGCTGGGCGGACGCAGGCGGGGGATTACAAACTGCGAGGCTGCCAGGAAGCTCGGCAGCCACACGCCGTCCCTCCGCCAGGGCCAGAGGTGAAAGTCGGCTTTTTTACAGTCCTTCGCAAACACCAACACCCTCTTCACCTTCCATCGCCACTCGTAAGCCGCACCCTCCCCTCTCTTCCCTTCACTCTACCCGCACATACACATACATCACAATGGGTTTCTCAGACGGTGACACAAAGTCCGGAGCCAAGCTCTTCAAGACCAGGTGCGCTCAATGCCACACCGTCGAGTCCGGTGGACCCAACAAGGGTGAGTGAACCGGCGGCAGAGTAACAGATCGACGATGATCGCAGCATCGGCTCCCTTTGCTGGGTACACAGTGTGCTCACATGGCTCTCGCCACCCATCCCCACCATCTCTTTTACAGTCGGTCCTAACTTGCACGGTCTCTTCGGCCGAAAGTCCGGTCAGGTCGAGGGCTTCTCTTACACAGCCGCCAACGTCAACAAGGGTGTCACTTGGTGAGTAGCTGTCACGCAGCTCGAGGAGCGCTTCATATTTCCTACACGCAGGGCATTCCGCCCGTGTTGCCTTTTCTGCCAGATGGGATCAGGTGGCAAGTCACATCTCTTCGATTCACGCTTGCTGACCAATCGAACTCACTGTGTATCCATCTCTCCAGGGAGACCGACACACTCTTCGAGTACCTCGAGAACCCCAAGAAGTACATTCCCGGCACAAAGATGGTGAGTGACAAGCATTGGGGAGCAATAGATCTGTACCTTTGTCGAAGCAGCCGGCTAACCTATCCACGTCCCTACCGTTGCCTCGTCTCACAGGCCTTCGCTGGTCTCAAGAAGGAGAAGGACCGCAACGACCTGATTACCTGGCTCCGTGAGGAGACCAAGTAGATTGGTCTTCATCCCCCTTTCTCCCTCGGACATAGATTGGATCAGGTGTTGATGGCAGGGAGGGGCAGTGTACTCGCTTGGCTTGACGGGACGCAGGGAGGATCTCGCAGAAAGGTCTTCATCGATACCAATCAGGAGCTGCCACCCTAGAGATTATCACTCTTTTCCCCCCCTTCATGCAATGGTCTGTGCACATCGCTCACTCTACCACCACTCTTAATCCTTATTACTCCCTTTGCTGTACGAGAGTCAGCCCTTTTGTTTACATTGATCAACATCCAAGTATCATGCCTGGGAAATTGCCTGCAGTTGAATCATGATCGGGTGAAGTGACATCGGGGCACTCGGTTCGAGAGCGCAGAGACATGTAGCAGAAACGCCAGGTGAGGCTACACAGATGTGGTGAAAGTGACAGTGTTCGTATTGGTACAGTACATGGGGAGTGCGTCACGGGCTGGGCGATTACAAGAGTCTACCCCGAACGGGAGAGATATCCGGCCCGGCTCACGAGCTCACAAACTGTTGATGGACAAGAATGGAAGCAGAGATGATTGATCAGCGTGCGTCTCTCAGAGCGGTCAGGCAAACCTTCACCAATGAGCTCTCGTGGGACTGATACTCACCTCTTGAGCCTCTTGCTGCTCGACGCGACTGCGTAGCCCTTCATCCTCTTCCTTGGTAATCAGTCCGATCGATGTGTCCCCTACACAGTAGTTCTGCCAAAAGGCTCTCATCTCCTCGCTTGCCCGCAATTCGGGAAGATAGGCCAATGCGCCCTCCTCAGGCAGAGCCACGCCTGAGCTAGTGCTGCTGGTGGCGGCCGACTTGAATCCCCTGACAAAGGCGTTCCACTCCTCTGCCTCGTCGTACTCTGCCGCTGCTTTCTTGCCTGCTCGAAGAGCCTCGTGCGCCTTGCGGGCAGCGTCTTTCTTGACGGAAGAAGAGGAGATGAGGGAGAGGACGCTCTTCTGGAGTGCGCGAAGCACTGCGCCTTGATCCATCTTGGGATCCTCGAGGTGGAAGAGGAAGGAGCCCACAGGATCCGACTCGAGGATCTTGATGCTAGATTCGGGCGCCTCTCCATCTTCTTCGTCCTCCTGCTCACCGTCCTTGCCATTTGTCTCTCCGCCGTCGGCCCCACCTGAAGGCTGTCCCTTTTTCTCTGGAGTCTTTTGAGTGAGATCCGGCTCTTCCTTCACGTCTCTGGTCTTCCTTCGCGGAGCAAGCATATCCTCCTCTTCTGATTCATCGCCCTCGTCTTCGTCGATGAGCTTGCCCTTGACAGGCTGCGACTGTCCTTGTGAATTCTTGAAGCGCTTCTGTTCATCAGAAGTTGCGGGGCCCTTCTCGGCACCTGCATCGTTTTGCCCTTCCGCCTCGTCCCCACTATCTGCACCCGCTTGACCAAGGTCGAGCTCGTAGCGAGCGTCTGTGCGCTTGGCATGGGCCGCCGCATCTCGTTCGCGCTTCTGCTTGACTTTCGCAAGCGACTTGTCCGGGTAGTAGCGGATCATGAAGGCCTTCTTGCACTTGTCCGCCCAGGGCTCACTGGCTTCTCGAATCTCTCCGGGGCGATCGAGGAACTTGTCTACTTCCCAGTGAGGGCGGGGTAGGTCTTTGCTATCTGGATGCATCACACGATACGCTACCGCCTCCTTCATACGATGGATGGCTGGATTGAAGGAGTCTTCTGTGGAGAACCAGGCTTGCCCTTGCCCTTCTTCGTCCTTGAAGGCGTGCATCAAGTCCATGCTGTCGATCAGACCTTCCATGGCCGAGACCATCTTGTCCGTCGGCAGAGTCCGATGATCTTTCAAGACTTTTCCATCGGCGGTAATCACACGATCGAGAGATGGAAAGGTGTAGCGCTTGAGATCGTCGGAGAAAGGGATCTCAGAAAAGTGGAAGTAGTCGGCAGCGGTATCCTCATCAGATCGCGTCACTGGATGAAGGACTCCGAGCTTTGGCTCTGCATTGGCCCTCCGTACAAAGCGGACAAGGGCATACTTGCCTTGCGCTTTCATCGCCATAGAAAGGCTGCTGAGCTGCACCTGTGCTTGCGAGTTGATGGCATCGGCAAAGATATTCCAGATGTCGGCCAAGAGGTACTGCCGCCGAAAGGTCGATTCTTTCACCCAATGAATGATCTCCAGCCCAGATTTACTCTCCCACTGGATGTCTAGATCTGACGTGATAGGAATCACGCTCGCTCCCAATTTGTACGCCTTGCTGAAAGAATTCTCAGCGCCCTCTGGCAGCGCCTCTGCATGTTCTGTACCGTGCTCTTTAGCTTCTTCAGCAAGGAAGTAGAGACGCCGTGTGTCCACCAGATACGTATTGGTCAAACCATCAGACACGTCCGTTGATGACAGCATAGGGGTCGAGCTGGGGACCACGTCGGTCTGTCGGTGACCTGGAGACGCACCGTTGCCTTGCCGAGCAATGACCGCTTGCTCTGCCAATTTGCTCATCGTCTTCCTTGCCATTGGCAAGACTCGTGTTGTCAGCTTGTACATCTTGATCGGGATATGCATAACTCCTCCGGTCGAATAACGGTTGTCCGGATCGCCGAATGTTAGGGCGCTTGAGTACGGAGCAGAGCCCTGCATCTGGACGTTGGGCAATGTCGCTTGCTCAATAGCATGTGCGGCTGTAGCAATGCGAGACTCTGGCAAGTCTGTCAACCAGCTATGCCACCACGCTTCATTCTCTGCCTTGACTGTGTCCTTCTTCGGCTCCTTGAAGCCAAATTCTTCGTCATCGAAGTCAACTCCAATGACTCTCAGGCTGACACGCTCGTCCCTGATCTTCGTCGCAATAGCATCTACTGAGTCCTTGTTCATGCGATGCCGTGCGTCCGTGATCAGGTATATTGTCTTCTTGTAGCTCTTCGCGGAAGCACTCTGACCTCCCCTGTTCTTGTCGGACAACGAAGTGAGGGCACAGATGAGCGCATCGAGAGCTGTGGGGGAAAGAACATCAGCGATGAGCTCAGGTGTCCCATCCTTCGCATCTGAAATGATTCACTCACGATCTGCATCGTGTCCTCCCTCGTCTTCTCCACAAGCTCGTAACAGCCTCAGAAGCTCCAAAGTAGCCACAGTCGGCTGTCCAAGCTGGGCTATCTCATCGATACCGGCATAGCCTTCATTGGCGGCATCGTCGGCGTTGTCCGCATCAACAATGGCATTGTTCGTCCCTGTGCAGTGTAGGCAGCACAAGCAGGCAGGGTCGCTCAGACAAGTATCTACAAGCACTTTGTCTCTCTCTTGGACTCACGCGTCGACCCGAAAGTCATCAGACCCATCGTTGCAGTCTTGAGGCCGGAGAAGATCTGGAGGACAATGTCCAGGGTAGGATTGCAGCCAGTCAGCATCTACTCACCCGCCGAATGTCAACTGGCCTCGAAGAGGTCATTGTGCCTCTGAGGTCTGTCCTTCTTGTGTGCACCATTGCCAGCCGCTCGTCGAGTCAACTCGTATTTTACTCACCAGTGCCTGCGTCTTGCGGCTGACAAACTCCAGACACCACTCCAGATTGGTCACCGTCCTCTCCCTCTGCTCCACCTCTCCTTTGCTGTCGAAGAACTCCTCGACGACGGTCCGTGTGCGTCCCATGGAGGGCGAGATGTCCACCACGAAGAAGGTCAGCGTCCTCGCGAGAGACATGACGGGCAGCGTCCCTCGGGCGAGCCGAAAACTCTGACGACTAGCGAGGACAGGATGTGGTAGAGACGATGCTGGGTGGTGGTCGGAGAAGCACTCGGTAGCCTGATTCTGGTGCACGGAAGCTGCAACGGAAAGGGCAACGAGGCGCGTGCCGGAACGGCTGGACGCAGGCGGGGCTGCTGTGCCACTCCGAAATGAGGCACGTCCGGAAGTCGAGGAAGCGGCAGCTCGGCCCCACGCACCACCTTCGCCCCACCCAGGTCGCCCGCTGCCGCACCTCTTCCTGGATACCATGGCCACAAACGCAGCAAAGTCGACTTCGTTCTATTCCTCCTTTACTTCCTCACTTACGTCTTTAGAAGAGGACATATCATCTGCCCGAAACACAAAAGACTTTGACGCTGCCCTCGCCGGAATCGTAGACGCTAGGTCCACCTTGAAGGAGAAGGACTTGGAAGGACTCCTCACCAATCGAGACAAGGAGCAGTACGAAAAGGTAAGGGCTGCTAGAGGCAGAAGAATCCTGGTGTATCCCCATCTGAGTGACTGAGATCTTCTTCGTTGTTGTAATACTCTGTAGAAACTCAAGGTCCTTCAGGACTCGCTGAACGAGAAGCGCTCCACATCGAGCTCCTCGGCTACCTTCTCCTTCCGCAGACCACCCAAGTCTGCCACGCCAAAACCCCCTCGCAGCAGCCTACCGCCCAGCACCGCTTCCCATATGACTTCTTCTTCTTCTCAAAGTGTACCAGAGGTGCCATCTGCCGATGTTCAGGTGACTCTGCAATCGCAGCGTCTTCTCACCTTCCAGGACCTCTCGCGAGCTGCATCTACAAGCGAAAACGCAGATGGCCTCTCTTTGTCCCTTTCGCATCTGTCCCAGTGCATCATCGACTTCAGAGAGGCTCCGAAGGCTGTGTTGGCTCTCCATGCAACGAATCTGAAGGGCTGTGCCCTTCTGCTACCTGAGATCAAGGGCAGCATCTTGCTGAGTGGCCTTGAGGGATCTGTGGTGTCGATTCAGGGCTGTGGACAGGTGAGGCGACAGCAGACGTATGCGGCGTTGTGATATTTGGCTGACAATTCCTTCCAACTCTCTCATCAGTTCCGGATCTACGGCTCGAAGCGAACGACCATCTTCGTCAATGCCTCGTCAGCCGTGACACTGGAAGCCTGCTCCTCCCTTGTCATCACCTCGCTAGGACGGGGCGAGCTGGGCGCAAGTGGAAATGATCCGGCCACCTCTAGCTCAGCGGGCGTCGAGGTGCAAGACTTCGATGCTCCGGGCGCAGGCGCTGTGACGACGGGCAGCAGTAGCTGGAAGCGACCAAGTGACTCCGATCGCGCAGCGGTCCTTGCTCGTCTGAAGAGACTCATCGAGAAGGCTCGGGCCGACGGCAGCAGTGAGACATGGCTCTCAGATCTAGCTGGAGTTCAAGGACCTCCGGAAATTTACAGGGAGGAAGACGCCGGCATTCTCCTCGTCTACTCGGACCCAGGCAAGGATTCTACTCTGGAAGAGTTCCAGGACTGGTACGACAACGAGCACGTCCCTCTGAGGACTCTCGACTTCCAAGAGTTCCGCTCTGCCGGAAGGTACGAAGTATACCAGTCGTCTCACGCCTCGAGTGATTCTCCCGTTTTCAAGGCGGGCTGGTCAGCGGTTTACACCATTTCGGACAACACCATGTACCCGAACCCAGCCTACTCCGGTCTGCGCTCCAATCGCAGTCCCCGCGAAGCAGCGCTCGTTGTCCGCTTGGGAGTCCTGGATAGGAGAATCTTGATCCTCAAGGCGGACAGTGCTTCCGAGCAGCCAAAGGGCGACATCAGACCTCGTACAAAGGTCGAAGTGGAGAAGGAGAGTCTCTCGATTTCTCATTTGGGATTCAATGCTGACAAGCCCGAGGCGGAGATCCTCAAGTGGTTCAAGGACACAGTCCTTCCGGCTCTACAGAAGGTGGAAGCAGTGACGCGGGTGAGGCTCCTTTGGCTGGCCGATGTGGTGGTCAATGGAAAGGTCGCACCCAAAGACAATGGCGGTGCCAAGGAGATCGGCTCGTGGTCGATTGTGACGGGTGAGTACAGACTCTTGACAAAGAGGCCGCGATGGCTGCAGTCAAGGGGACATCGACAGCTGACAGTGACATCTTGCTCCACCTTCTCCTATCTGATAGAGTTCTCCTCTGCTGAAGTCCCCTCGGATGCGACGATGCAAGAGGCTCTGAAGGCGACGCAGCTGAGCGTGGTAGCCAAGGATCTAGAGGAGAGGCGTATGAAGCTGTACAAGGCTTGGGACGCGACGAAGGCTCTCCAGGAAGCCGCGTGAAGCGGGGTAACCGTTCCAACAATCGCTCAAACACATCCATAGGGAAGAGAGAAATGTCAATTCGATAGAAATTCAAGGAGAAAGAGGAGAAGGTGACATTGCAAAGCAGATGTGGTCATTTCTTGCAAATAAGATGAAGCTCATGATGCATCCCTACTGACTGCAGCACTGAATAGGCATAGTTGAAGTGAGCATCTGTTCGTCGAGATCGCTGTTTCCGCAAAGAAATCTCCTGTTGCCCTGCAAAGAGGCATGTGCCCGGATACCGTGAACGATGATTTCTTGTGATTTCCACCGGATTTCCCCCTTCCTTTTGTCCTGCCTGCAACTGTCGTTGCGGCATCATGCCCTATCTTTCCCATCAAAGCTTTATCCAGCTTCCCCTTTCCTCTCCCTTCCCTCCCTTTGAGATCGCCTCTTCGAAGGCTACCTGATCTTCTTGGCGGCCTCCTGAATGGCCTGTCTCCTCTGCTCCGACTTTTCCTGCGCAAGCTTGTCGCCCCAGAAGCCCTTGCCGAGCGCCCTCCTGCGCTGCTTGATCATGTGAGTGTACATAAAGTAAAGGCCTGTGGGGAAGCGAGGAAGGGCGACAATGGTCAGTCAAGGCTCCCCATCTTTGGGCGGACCTGCGACGTGGCAGGCTTGCTCTGTTTGCGACTCACCTGGCCACCAGATGACAAAGAGGAATCCGTAGAGGTACTCGCGTGGGGTCCAAGCTCCTTGCCAGGGGAAGTACTTGGGCAAGGTGCTGAAGATGAGCATTGCTTCGGATCCAGCGCCAAGGGGGTAGAGAATGTAGAAGAAGGTGTATCTGCAGGGAAGGAAGGAAGAGGTCGTCAGTAAATGAGCATTTACGGAACAGCATGATATCACCTCGGCTACCCACCTGCACCATAGAAGACCATTGCTTTCCGAACCCATGAGAGCATTTGCGTAGAAGGGATACCTGATTGATTCCGTCACGCTCCAGGCGAAGAGCATACTGGCGTACCACGCGCTACCGCTAGCCGCTGAGTAGCGTTCGGTGACGGCCCAGACCAAGAAGAGCCTCGAAGCTACCTGGATAGCAGTGGTAGGCACAGGAGACCGCACCCATCCCAGAGCAGCATGGACGACCTCGAGAATAGCGAGGGACTGGACAAAGGCCACGAGCCCCCCGAGGTGCATCATCACCTGGCTGGCCCTCTGCAACACCACAGACACCGGCGCGGGAACATTGGGATAGGTCGAGGTGAAGAAGATGCGGATGGGTCTGAACTTTCCGAGTATCCTGCTTGCAACGGTGATGGGGTAGGAGGGCGTCTGGGGTCCGATTACGATGTGCTTGATGAGAGAGGAGAGGATGAGACACCAGCCAAAGAAGGAGACGAGGTTGAAGACGATGAGATACGACCGCACAGCCCAGTGTTGCGGCTTTGGGGCAGACTTGGCCTTCTTTGGCGGTCGTCCAGATGCGGCAGGCTTTGAGCTCATGGTGAGTAGGGAACACGGGGGCAGGAAGCAGTTGCGGTGACGAGGGAGCGGTGAGGAGGTGACCTGTTGTGCGGCAAGCCCTCCTCCCGCACTGGCGAGTGGCAGCTCCCGGACCACACTGCGCCCAGGGCCAAAGGCGGAACGGAGGCGACCAGAGGATCCAACCATCTTCTTCCCTTCCGACAGTCGCCCGACAACCAACCACCACCACCTCCAGACGTTACTCGACTACGTTATCTGGTATCCTCTTTGCAAACGGCCCGTTCCATCGCAATACTCAACAGCTACAGCACCATCCCAGCGAGATTCCCTTTCTCTGCCTCGGTCGATTGCGCAAAGTGGACATCATTGCAGACGCCTCCTCATAACGCATCCTTGCCCTCGCGAATATGAACGGGTATGGAGCCTCGTCGTCCTTCACAGCGCCTCAGCAACCAAAGGTGACAGTGAGGAGCATCACACAGAATGAAGCAGACTTGGTGTTAGACTCGGTGGATCTCAGGTGAGGACGAAGGCGTGGGCAGTGATGCCGGTCGTGAAGGAAGAGGCTGATCGGAAGACCTTCTCCATATCCTGCACGCCCTCTCAGTTTCGCTAATTCGCTGAGGAGAGTGATGATAGCAGACATACCCACTGTCGGTGAGCTTCAAGGTCTTACCGAAGACGGTAGTTGTGGTGGTATATGTTGCTGACATGCTTTACCTCCTGCCCTACGCGACGTAGCCATTGATATGGTTGAGATTCAGCAAAACACAACAGCGCTACCAGACGAGTTCCTCTCTCATAGGCTGGGTATGATCCCGCTGATCTCGACAAATTGCGATAATGTCCTCGTCGACCATCGCGAATGTTCGTGCGAGGATGGATGCGACCGATGCAGTATCGAGCTCTCGTTGCACGCCAGGTGTACAACAGGTGGTAGCATGGAGGTCACGAGTAAGAGTCTGATCAGGAGTGCAGGGCTAGGAGAGCCATGGGGAGGCGATCCAGAGATGGCATCGATGGGACCGAGACCGAGGGAAGCTAAACGGGAGGACTTTGGCAGAGTGGTCGGCTATGGTGAGTACAAGGGTAGGGAGGCACGGCAGGCTCACAAATCTACTCACTCGCAAGCTCCTTCGATACCCTTCTTAGACTCATCAGCAGATGGTATCATGATCGTGAAGATGAAGAAGGGACAAGAACTGAAGGTTCGATGCATTGCTCGCAAGGTGAGACGGAGAGGTAGACACTGAGCTCAAAGTTGCTGCCAATGCTCACCGTTCCTTTGACATTCGTGAAACCCCAGGGGTTTGCAAAAGAGCATGCCAAGTGGTCGCCCGTCTCGACCATTGGCTTCGAGTACGATCCCCGTAATCGCCTGCGACACACGGCTCTATGGCACGAAGGTGACCCAAAGAGAGAATGGCCTTTGTCAAAGAATGCGGTGGAGGAGCCCGAGGTGAGGGAAGACGAGCCATTCGACTTTACAGCCAAGCCGACACGATACTACATCGAAGTGGAGACAACGGGTGTGATGACTGCTACAGAGGTGATCTTGTCGGTGAGTAGCAGGTAGACAGGGCGATGGGGATACTGTGGTGGATTAAAGGGTCGGCCGTCGAGTCTACTGCGAGTGTGAGTCTGAACTATGCCTTCCTATCCATGCCAGGGTCTTCGCATTCTCGAGACTCGGACAGCCCAGATTATCCAAGAGTTGGGCTTCATGCTGGACGATGCACCGGCGCCTCAAGATGGGGCTCAACAAAATGGGTATTATGACGGACAAGCTAATGGTGTGAATGGAGGGCAGACCATGAATGGGTGGTGAGGATCGTTCAGCTCCTTTGCAACAATAGCATACTTCTTCACTGGCCTCATACACTTTTTGTGCTGTGCGAGGGAAAAGGGTTCACTGCTCACCCATGATGAGTCTTAAGTAGCAGACGTCGCTCTCTGGCGTGCTTCGCAGTCTGGCAAAAACAAAAAATCGCGAGGGCCCAGTCGAGACTCGAACTCGAAGCTTTCACCTGGAACATCAGTAGTAGAAGGGTGACACTCTAACCATTGAGTTACGAGGCCAGAAAGTCGCAATAAGCCTTAAAAATCGTTCATTAGCGTATATATTGTCTTGTCTTCAGAAAGGCGATGACAACGTCTGTCCAGCTTTTTTGATCGATGACAATTCTTGAGCCCTTTCCGTATCCCTTGTTCCTTTGCCTTTGGCATAGCACCTCACTCGCTACCTATTGCCATCGGCATGTGGCCCTTCTCATCGTCAGCTCCGAAGCAGGAGGAAACCGAGCCCGCTTCTGCCTGCCCAGTAGATCATACCACTCGCCAAAGATGGCTAGAGCAGCAGCAGCAGCAGCAGCAGCCACAACAGGGCGGCCCTTCCTCCTCTCGCCCACCACCTGCTCACCCTGTGCCCTCCTCCTCGTACGCTCGCCGACTCTCTGAGGAGCGTGAGATCTCGACAATACCGCGTCACTTTGCCCAAACGTCGGCCAGCCAGGGCTCTGGGTCCGATGCGGCTTCGTCCTCCTCGACAAGTCAGGACCCCTCATCGAACCCGAACTGGGTGTACCCCTCTCAGGCCCAGTTTCACGCAGCCCTACAGCGGAAAGGTCGCTCTACTCACCAGGCGTCGGACATGGGCGTGGTGGTCCCTATCCATAATGCGGTCAACGAAAAGGCGTGGAAGGAGATTCTGGCGTGGGAAAGAGGAACAGAGGAGGGCATGGAGAGTTGGAAGAAGTGTGGCGGTCCGAAGCTGGTGAGCTTCAAAGGCAAGCCGACGGAGAGGACGTGGAAGGCCTGGTGGCGGATCCTGATAGGGTGAGTGGCAGCGAAAAGCGGCAGTGACGGTCTCTGAATATTATCCACTTGTGCTGATCTGCTTCACCCTCCGCTGCCCCTGCTATAGCTACCAAGCGCCCTTTGATCGGCACGACTGGCTGATAGACCGGTGTGGACATCGGATGCGCTACATCATCGACTTCTATGCCGGCAAGGCCGCCTCTTCCAAATCGGAGTCGGCCAATCCCTTCTATGTGGGCGCTTCGGGCCAACCGCAGATGAGCTTTTACCTGGACGTGCGGCCTGCTCCGGATACAATGGAGGGCATTGGCATGAGGCTACGTAGGTGGGGCAGAGAGATCTTGTGGACGGGGACAGAGGAGGCAACGGACGGCACGCAGCCGCTCGCTTCAAAGTAAATACATTCACCAATCTGACTATACCGGGACATTTGACCAGACAGAGCAGTGAGATAGGAGCAGCATCGCAAGACAGACACGTCGGAATAGGTTAGTGAGCGCTGCTGCACCAGCCAAGCACAGCGCGGACGAAACGGTACGGTCCCAGCTGGCGTCTAGCCTTCGCCAAGCCAAATCAAGATTTCCTTGGGGCAGCCATGACAGCCCCGAGGTCTCCTAGTCTGCCCGCACATGGTTGTTTGGCGCGGACCTCGTTGATGCGATGTGCTTGATAGCCAGACACAGCAGTCGAAGAGGCGGCGCCAATGTAGAGTGTGGAGGAGTGCAAGCCTGGAGACAGGTCGAGAAGGTGGTTCTACGTGAGGAAAGCCTTGCAAGAGCTTCTGGCTGCTACTACTCACAACGTGCTGTCGTACTGAAGAATGTCCAGATCAGGCAGGAAGAATCGTCCTGGCATAGCCTCTGGCACACGCCTGTACTGGTAGCGCCAGCTTTGTGGTCGCCAGAGCCCTCTGGGATAGCCTGCCAGCCCTCGGCAACGACCCCGTGCGCTACAAGTGGGCGGGCTGGCCCCAGAGGTGAGAGTGATGCAGCACTAGCGGTCGAGACCTTTCCTCGAAGGAAGGTGGGCATCATGCCATCCCATATATCAATTCTCCTCAGCCAGTCGTCTTTGGGTATCAACGGCTCCACTTTGCGCTTGAACTCGAGCAGTCTGACATACTCGAAGCCAGTCACTCTGTGTAGAGTGAGAATCGGCTCACACCATTCGCTCGGCACAAAGGCAAAGCGTGATGGTGGCTCGCCCGTAAAGAGCTTGTCAGACTCACTAAACGTGGGTTCGAAGCCGGGCAGGGTCAGCTGGAAGCTTCGGGAGAGCTCGGCGTCTCCACAGCAGGAGTAGCGCATGTAGTGGGCGAATGTTTCGTTGTGCTCGTATGTCCAGGGTGCACGCCCGAAGGTCTGTTGAACGAGTCCGCGAGACATGATGTAGCCGCTCCCTCCATGGGTAAAGGGCAAAGAGCCGTTCTACGAGGGTTGAGCAAAGCGATAGTGAGCGATAGCTAGATATGCTTGTGAGTGAAGCATTTCCTACTCACCAGGAGTATCGTCGGTGCCCCCCATAGTTTGACCTCCTCTGGCCCTTTTCCCTTGCGCTCCTTCAATTTCAGCCACTTGACGACTTGGTTCCAGAACAAAAACGTATCATCCTCGATAGAGATCGTGTACTTGACGTCCGGGAATCTTCGAGCAGCATCGGCGTGCATGGGCAAGAACTTGAACTTGTCGAGCCTCCAGCCAGGCGACGGCGTTCCTGAGGGGGAAGGGGAAGTTGGGTCTTGGCCATTCCTCTGAGCAGATAGGATTGTTCAGAAGTTGTCCTGCTGTACCGCCCACTGTGCATGTGCCCCTACTCACCAGTAGTCGCTGAATCTTCGCATGCTCTTCAAAGCCATCAAAGCTCTGGACTGCTTTGCTGACGTTTGCCAGCGCATCCACAAAGTGTGTATCTCCAATCCACTCTTCCGCATCCGAGTAGAAGAGCTGGTTCGGTATGTACTCGTGCCACTGCTCCTGTTCGGTGAGTGATGGTCTATGCCGACTGGCTGCCAGGTGCTGCAGGGGAAGAGGAGCACGCTGATAGATGACGCTGGAGCCCGTCTTGAAAGTGAGCAAGAGGGACTCTTCGAAGCGCTCTCCTATGAAGGTGGCTGGACATGGCCACGGATGGGGCAGTGCTGGAAGCGGAAGACTCTGCGAGTACCAGTGTAGCGGGTGTTTGAGCTGCCAGAAGCGGAAAGCGAGTGTCAGCGTGGGCGTGCGGGGGCAAGCACATTAGTATCACACATACCTTGTGTGGGGAAGGCCAATACAGCCAGTCTACAAGTGCTGCGAGTGTCGCGAAGATGGCGAGCGCGGCAAAGGTCTGTCGATATCCACACGGCCATGCAAGCAAGGGGTCAGCACAATTGCAGCAGGCCAGGGGTTGTCAATTGGACCACTCACTCTGAGCACCAGCTGCCTTGTTCGACTTCGACTTCGCCCCCTTGCGAGTCGCTCACCTCCCAGTCCGCCGTCCGTTGGCAGGAGTGACATTGCGTGGCTTTGAGTCACAATGGATGCAGCGCTTGCAAGGGCGAAGAGGTGTCAAGTATGTGCAAACGCGCCAATGGAGTGGTGGAAGTAATAAGAGCCACGATCGGACCCAAGCAACGGCTTTCATCCTCCCGGACTTCATCAACACGATAGCCAGGGCCGGTTGGTACCTGCATTTCGACCCTGACTCAATTGCCGTGACAAGGAACATCACCCAAGCGATGGCACAGGCACGCAATATTCTGATGGCCAGGAATCTTCTGAAACGAGATGCTGGTCAGAGTGTTTGTGCAACTGCTTTGATCGCTCCTTGCCACGAACAGCAAAAGCAATGAGTGGGTAGGGAGGGACTAGACGAGGCTGAGCAAACTCGAGCAAAAACAAAAAGAAGTTCCCAGTCGGGGAATCGAACCCCGGTCGCCCGCGATAATCGACGTTTATTTCAAACTCCGATGAGAGGCGGATATCTTAGCCACTAGACGAACTAGGACAGAATTGACATAATGTTCGCGTTCAGCGAGACGTATATAAACCCCAGACTCGACAGTTCGGACGCGCTTCGGACTGTCAGTCGCGTTTCCAGCCTCGTTTCCAGGCGTGGCAGGCAGTCGTATGATCCGTTACACTGATATCCGTCCGGAAAGGTGACTGAAAGCATTGTGCTTGCCTTTGACCTCCAGAAGAATGACTTGATGACTCGAGTTCTCAAGTCACTACACAAGATGCTGGCCATACCAGCTACTGCAGCTGAGAAGGCGGTATGCTCAGACGATGCGAGACCCCTCACATGTCGCAAGCGGCGGATTCACGCAAGGCAGCTTAAGAACAGAGTCGAAATGAGAGGCGAGGAGGTGAGTCAACAACATTAGGAATTTTTGTCAAGGGTGTCTGTCTGAGTTACATGCGCAGAGATGGCGTCCTGGACCTAGTGGCGGGATATGCGAATGTCGCCGGCGTTGCTCCTGCACCGAATCCGAGAACTTTCGCAGCGTCGGACATCTTCCTGTTCGGGCACAACACAAGTGCATCTTATAGACGCACGGTCTCTTTCGCCTCCTTCCTTCCTGACCTCTCCGTCCTTCAGCCCTTTCACTCTGCTTCTTCGTCTACTTCCTCGGCACCTCGAGCTCCGCGATGGCGCTCTCGAGCCAAATTCTGACGCGACTTGTGCGTCGGCGTAGCGAATACGGTAGTCATTGCGTCAGGCCTCCGAGCTGGATTTGGTCTCTGAGCGCTTCGTCTCGCACCGTCTGGATCGTCTCCTTTTCGCTGTCTCGCAAGAGGGGTAGGTCATGGTCGTTGACGAGGTGGCAAATGTAGTCTATGGCTGCCGTCGTAGCGGGGCTCTTGCTTCTACGCCATGTGCAAGAGTGGACAGCACAGACAATATGACCGTTGATCTCCGCTACCGTCACTGCACAGCTGCCGCTGTCTTCTTGGTCGAAGACGTGGCCTGCCATGTGCATCAAAAGCAGGTCCCGCGCAGCGAAGGCAGCCACCTCTCCCGTCATCGAGTTGTCCTTCCCGCCCTGCGTCTTCACATGAGTGGTCATCAGATGTCGCTTGGCATCTGGATCTTGAAGCGTAGCCTCTCAGTCAGGCGCGTGACGAACTGGCACAGGTAGAAATTGGTCAGGTCTCGGTGCCTGACACAGCAGAAGTCCTCGAAGGCGAGAGAGGCGGGGCCAATCGTTCGGCAACGGCGTTCGAGGCACAGATGCACGTGGCTGATCGCGTTGGCAACAGGGATCCTGGCAGGACAGAGGAAGCATTGGGACAATCCATGCTTCTCTACGAGGCACTTGCTGGCCGCCAGCGCCCATTGACCGTTGTTGGCCGAGGTTGTGTGACGCTTGCCGCAGCAAGAATCGCAGACGCTGGGATAATTCTCCAACCAGCGGAGCAACTGGCTCAGCTTGCCCTCGCAGATCGTGTCCCAGGGGTGGGTGATGTCGCCCGTGGCGTGACTCTTGTCCAAGATGCGCTGTGCACATCTTAGTGTCTGGACTAGTTTGCGCGCAGGAAGACCCGTCGTTCTAGGGAAGAGGGCCACCAGGTGGTCAGCTGCTTCGTCAAGCAAGCTTCGTCCTGGGACATCTCGGTCTTGCTGAGGGCGAGCGTCGTTGCCGTTGCCGTTGCCGCTGCCGCCGTCCTCGTCGCCGTGCTCGCTGTCGCTGTCGCCGTGGGCCTCGAAAAGAAGCAGACCTTCCTCTAGATCCCCAGGCACAGGCACATCGCCACCATCCTCGACTCCCTCGTCCACCGCCTCACTTTCATCTTGCCCATCTGCCGCGTCCTCGACCGTCAGAGCATCGGATTCTCCAGAGAGCGCCAATAGGTAGGCGTTGAGAGCATGAGAGAGCTCGTCTACGTTCTCCTCTGGCAGTCCCCTTGGCAGCTGCTCAACGGCACCAGCCCTGGTAATGCTCATCTGCGCCAGTGCAGAGCTTGACGCGAGCTCGGGCCGAGCAAAGCCTGTAGTGTCCTCTGGTCGCTGCGTAAGCACGTAGATCTCTTGATGGAGGGCCTGACTGGCACGGGCGTGCTCCATGTTGGCTGCGACTCCGTGGGCGGGGAGGTTTCCTCTCGTCTGAGTGTTGAGTGACCAGGTGCGCCGGAGAACTGCTGCTCCGACCGTGCCATCCAAGCCTATTGCTGCCGAGAGAGTGACCAGAGTCTTGCCGATATGGACAGTATTGAGAGGCAAGTATTGGTCCCCCAGGCCAGGTGCAGCAGTGTCAGAGGGGTGCTTGCAATTGGCAGCGGACAGCGAAGTCTTCTCTGACACAAAGATGGGGGCCGCCTTGCAATCGTCCTTGGCCCAGAAGGCAAAGGGTCTATTGCGGGGACCGAGGAGGCTCTCACCGTAGGGAGATTTTTGCAGTGCTCACCGAAAGTTGTCCGGCATCACCTTGCTCACCATCGCCAGAGAGACCAGGGCGAGGGCAAAGGACAGCGAGGCCGAGGCTTCCCCGGTTGCCGCTTGAAATGCGAGCACGTGCTTGTCTCCTGCTCAAGTGCTGCGCTCGCCTCCCAGCAACCGCCCTTCGACAGTCATCACCGGCTCGCCCGCTTCGTATCCTGCTAGAGAGAATTTGATGTTCCCCCAGCGAAGGGATGTCCCTTGCTTCACGAGTGTCTCCCACCCAGGTCGATCCAGCTTCACTGTCTGAAGCCGAACGTCGTCATTGCAAGAACATAGGCGTGCATGGAGAGCTGTCGCGGAAGCTCGACAGCAAGGAACGGCCGGCTCCAGATGGCTGCTCGGAGTTGGTCGACCGTCTCGTCACTGACCCACTTATTTTCCATCGTGTTGGTGGGAAATCCGCGGCGGGTGACAGCGCGCTTGAGATCGGCTAGAGCCAGGCACGATGCAAACCGGTGGAGGACGAGGTAGCGCTGGTGAGTGCTGAAGAAGCATTACGGACTGCTTTCGCAGAAGCCTTGCGTTTCTCTGCATTGAAGCAGCGACTTGAGGTGAAAGTATTAGGTGACGATAAGGTGATGCTAGTCACACTGGGTAAGGTCGAGTAGTGGTGCCACTTTTGGTACCTTCGAAGATGGTCATCGAGGGAGGTGTGGAGCGGCGTGGATAGTGTATGCTTAGTAGCGCGAGATTAGTGTCGACAAGTCTTGATGTCTTGCATTAGGCAGGTCTTGTAGTGTATTATCGTCTGCAGGTACTGAGAGAGGCAGGGAGCAATGTCAGTCTCGAGTGCGAGTGCGGGGGCGAGTGCAAATGCCAACAGAGAAGACAAGCACCTTATCGACTGATACCGAAGCAATGGGGACGAGTGTTTAGCATGCCATGAGCACTGACGGCGCCGATGGGTGCGTCGACTCAGCACCTCTTCGTGTGCTCAGCAGGTGGCTGCGCATACACAGCAAATGAAGCCAGCTGTTCGAGGAGCATACGAAGGAAAGAGGGCAATTTACTCACTATAGTAACGTAGTGCGCGTGTCTTGTCGAGCAAGAAAGAGTAGTGATGACTTGGAAGGTAGTGGAGCGAATGAGGGTGACGAGGGAGGTGAGAGAAGAGGGAGGGAAGGGAAGAAGGGCAGGGGCAGAATACTGCTGAGTCAAGGGGTAGACACGACGAGAGTTCGTCCCGCTGGCGCGGTTGCTGTGAGGAAATGTGACGAATGAGCCTTCCCCGGCTTCTGCCTCCCGATTCCAGCCGACCCGCCGTCTCGAGAGCAACAGTAGATATTCCTGCACCACACTCGTCAGCTCGCACTTCGGAGCAGTCGAAAGATGGCAAAAGCACACCAACTTGTTGGAATATATACAACGCAAGTTGATCATGGGTCGTCGCCCTTTTGCTGAAGCGTCTACACGTGTCTCTAGTCTGATTCCAAATACCACCGTCCTAACCATCCACTGACTTCCCTACTACACCCACGCTCTCTCCGTTTCTTCCTTTGCGCCCTCCACCACTTAAACGCCCGTCCTGAGCCCCACGCCCTTGACCGCTCCCGCAAGAATAGCAGCGGTAGCCACTGCCGCTCCGACGAGAAAGTATGGCAGCATGGTAAAGAGGACAAAGTCTCCCCTGTAGTACCTGTATGCAAGCGTCTCGAGGAAGAAGAGTGCGAGGAACAGGAGCGAGGTGGAGATCTTTGTTGGTGATGACCCTTTGCCTCCGTACTCGAGCGAGGGGAGGATGGTGGAAAGGAGACCAGAGAGGACAATCCAGGGCACGATGACGATGATGGCTGCTACGACGAGGGAGCGTGTCCTGCCTGGCATATCTTCTGTAACTTCCTTTCTAAAAGTATGCCTCCTCTCCTCCCAAGGGAAGAAGCCGAGGTCCTGGGCCGCCTGCTCCCTTGGGGAAAGCTTTCCTGCGCTGACCTTGCCCAGAGAGGGAATGTCGATCTGTCCCAGATCGAGCGAGAGAGGTTGCGCTGCGCGTGTTGAGCCCAGGAGGAGACGAACCTTGTATGTAGGGTTCTCAGCGCTGAGCGAGGCAGGCAGACGGTCCACTCGTTGGCTCCAAGAGACCTTGCCGTCCTCTCTGTTCACGGTAGTGTGGAAGCCGGCGATCTTGGATGGCTGGGCGACATTGACGAGCTGTACAATGATCTGCTCTGGAATGCCAACACTGCTGCTGACACTGCTCGTTGATGACTTGGAGGACTTCTTGACGACGGGTTCGCCATCGACGGACTCCTCTTCGGAAGAGCTCTCGCTGCTGCTACTGCTGCTGCTGCTCTCCCCATCTCCATGCGCGGCCCCGCTACTAGTGGGCACCACCAGATTTAGCCTCAAGATTTCATCCGATTCGAGTCTGACGAGGTCGTCGGGACCCAGAGAGGAGATGGGAGATGAAGGGGTAAAGGTATCGCTGAGTCTTGAGGAGCCATCGAGGGTGGTGATGGAGAACTTGCCAGAGGTGAAGGTCAGGGCGGGGGAGGATGCGGCGAGGACAGAGAGGGTGGCCGTTGCCATGATGGCTGTGAGGTGAGTAAAAGACCTCATCTCGTCGTCGTCGTCGTCGTCGTCGTCGTCGTCGTCGCTGAGGATGTCTAGGATTGATCGCAGTCGTGAGCAGCAATGAGAAGGTCCGTCCGTGAGAGGTTGGCCCAGTTGGCGCTGGTGTGCGTCTGTCTGTGCCTGTGCGTGCGTGCGTCGCGCGGTGCGTGTCGTCTCTCCGTGCCGTGCGCTTCCAACCAGAACAACTGGAGCCGCCTTCCTTCTCGACTCGAGGTGACGCCTCGCTCGTACCATCTACAACGCACTTCTCACAGCCAGTCCTTCTGTCATCGGCCAGCGCTCCGAGTGAGCTCCTTCCCGCTTAGATGGCGACGACGTTCGTGCCCTCACAGTATGTGAGGCTACATGGCGCCCTACATCGAGCCACCACCTTCCCAGCCAGTAGCAGCAGTACAGGCTCCGCCAGCAACGATTGGTACATCGCCGTAGATGGACTCAGGAATGAGCTCGTCGACCTCGGCCGAGTCAAGGGAGCTGATGACGCGGAAAAGAGGGAAATCGAAGGAGGTGAGTCTGGATTAGGTAGTGGGGTAGTCGGCACTACCTCATATATGATCGTACTGACTCCGCAATTGTCCTCCCTCCGCATCGCCCTCAGGCAAGATCACCCTCGCAGGCACGACCCATACCCTCAACTCAGATTTTGCTTCTCTCACACTTCTACTCTCCGCAAGTCTCAATGCCTCGCCACGTTATTGCGCTTCGCTACTCCAGGCCGCCCTCTCCTCGCGCTCCCGCTGGCCTAGTCGCTCGCCCATCGAGATCGCCCTCATCCTCTACCAAAGGGAGAGGTGGGCCCTTACAGAGGCATGGAAGCAGCTCGTCCAGGCTGCAGTCACGCTGCCGCAGGAAGAGTCCCTCGCCAAACGCAAGCTCGGGCTCAAGGTTAGCCAGGCATTGCAGGCTCTGCTCACACTCAAAGTACATGATTCAAAGACAAATCGCGACGTGACCCTGCCCCGGCGTCTGCTGCTAGAGATTGACTCCCTCAAGAGCCGAGGCGCCGAAGTCGAAAAGGAGTTGAGGAGCCCTCCTACCAATGCACAGCGTCGTCTGCCAGACGAGGTGCAACTCGATCGCTTGGCGGCTATCAGGCAGGAGCGCAGAGCTTGGGGCCATGTACTATATCTCCTCTGCATCTCGGGCATGCTCGTGGGCGAGGATCTGCTCGCCATTGCTCAATGGCTGAGCAAAGTCGCCGAAGATGAGCAGACGGGTACAAAGGAAGAGCTCATGCCTTACGTCCTGGCAGCGCTCCTCAGTGGTCTCGAGACTTCTACAAAGAATTCTCTTGAAGGCATGGCAGGTCCCGGACTGCCGGATCTGCTAGAAGATCGCTCCGCCCTGAGCCAGCTCAACTCTCTCATCAACTCATCAAAATGGAGTGACGCCTCACTACAGGCAGTGGTGCAGCTGCAGTGGTGCCTCTTACTCGTCCAGGTGGTCAAGCATGATCCCAGTCTTGGCAATGAGCTCCACGTCACCGACGACTCTGTCACGCAAGCTGTTCTCAAGGCTGTTCAGAAAGGAGACGCATTCGTTTACGTCGTCGTGAGGTTGCTTGGATGGCGGCAACGGCTGCTCGACTCTCTGGAAGGCGTGGAGCCAGACGATGCAGGTATCCCAGCTACGACTACAACCTCCACCAACCACTTTGGAGGTGAAGGAGATGATGAAGTCGATGCAGAATTCCAGCAGTACCTGCTTTCGAGCATCTACAGCCTTTTGCTCGGCACCTCGAGAACTTTTCTGACACTGTTGCGCAAGATCCAGAGACAAGAAGAAGATGCGGCCTTCTCAGCAAGCCGAGCAGGCTCTTCGCAGTCTCAGCGCCGTTATGATCTCGAAGCGTTGCTGGATGGCATCGCTCTCGTAGTCAGAGGCGACGTTCCTCTGTCCTTGCCCTTCTGGCTGTCACCTGATGGCAGGCGATCGCGCTTCCTGCTCTGGGCAGTCGAGCTCAGGGAAGAAGGCCATCAGCGAGCGCTGCTTGATCTGCTCAGCTCGATGGCTAGTGGAGGCGGAGAAGGTGCATGGCAAGCTCACACGCTCCTGAGCAATCAACAAGAGGAGAGCGTCAATGGGGGGCTGATCAGCTGGAACAGACTGTGGGACTGGATGGGATACTACATCGAGGGACTTAGAGGCAAAGAGCGGGCAGGGATGCCGCCCGGTGAAGCCGCTCTACTTCGCAGCTTCTTGCGATTGCTCAAAAGTGTCGTCGCAGGCTCTTACCCTGCCCGCGAGGCCCTCTTGGCAGTCACTTTGACCAGCAATACACTCGTACCGGCCATGACCAACCCAAACCCCTTTGGCATACCCTCCTCTTCCTCATCTTCCGCGCTGTCATTGCAGCAAAGCGGCACTGGAACAACCGTCCTGCAAAGGCTCTTTTCCCTTTACGTCTGCCCCGTCCCGGTCGAACTCAAGTCCTCACTGCTCGACAGTCTGGCTGCCTTTGCCAAAGAGCCGCCAGCCGGCAGCGTGACGCTTGGGCGTACGGCAAAGGTCAGACAGGACCTTTGGGCTCTGTTGGAGAGCAGCGGCACTCTTGTATCGAACAAGGCAGCTCCTTCGACCAGCTTTGGCAGCTCCTATGGCGGCTTCAGACCACCTCCTCCTCAGCAATCTGGCGGTGTGCGATACGAACTAGAGCAAGTCGAAGGACCAAGTGGCTTCTATCCGGCCACTACTAGCTTCTTGAGCTTCCTCGCCGTGCTCGTCGTGCCCAATGGGCAGAGTCCGGCTGGCCGGTCTTCAGGTGATATTCAAGCTCTTGTGTCAGATCTTCCCGCTGCCTCCTCGACTGGTCAACTGGTCCCCACAACGCAGCCACTGGGAGTGCCTTCCCCTTCCATTCCATTCGACCTTGGTCTCGAAAAGTACATCGCCTTCGTAGTCGACGTCGTACTGCTGCCCTCTCTCACCGCAACCAACACATCGCAGCAACGCGAATTTGCTACCTACAGCGAAAAGTGGCGCCTAGTGGCAGCTTCACTGCAGTTCCTCGACCGATGTCTATCGGCTTTTGACCTTGTCAGCTTGGAAAAGCCCGTAGGGCCGTCGGGCGCGCGAGGAGCAGAAGATCGCGACACGGTCTTGAGGCTAGGACTTCATCCTGGTTTTGGCGTGATGAAGAGGCTCATGAGCTCCAGCAGATTGCTGCGCGAGATTGTTGCTGTCCTCACACCCAACTTGAACGGCGCTGCAGGTCTCGACCCAAGTAGTGTGGTCGCCAGCTCTGCTGCTGGATTCGAAATCGTCGATTCGCCAGCTGGCAAGAAGGCCGTCTATCTCTCGACTGCCGTGAGGACTGCTCTGCGAATCGTGCTGAAGGCTCTCAAGGGGCAGGATCTCTTCATGCAAGTACTCCTTCCTACTCTTGCCGGACTTGCCGAGCCTGAGACGCTGGGACAGTCAGGAACCACAGCTACTGGCCTTCCACCTGGCATCGATCTCGAGGCTCGCATTGGCCAGAGCGGTAGCTACACTGCCATTGACGCTAAGCTGCTTCAAGAGTACGAAGCCGTCGTTCAGATTGCCCTCTACATCAACTCGAATCGGGATGATCTGGCTTTGCTGAGCGTGCAGCTGCTAGGAGAGATTGCTCGAAGCAGTGCTTTCAGCGAGGTGGACCGCTTCGCGGATGGTGTTGCAGGTGTCGGTAGGAAGAAGATGAATCGATTGGTCGGTCTGCTCGAGATGACCGACGAGAGCGGACGCGTCAAGGACGGGGTCGTGCGGAGACTCGATCTTCTCGCCGAAAGCGATGACGGAGACGGAGTCGTCTCTGCACTGCTTCTCACAGATGACTCACGGGACGGTGAAGGTGACGAGCTCTTGCAAGGTACGACTCCGACGAGCATAGGCGGAAACGAAGCTGTCTGCCAGGCCATTCTCGACCTACTCCTTCTCAACGTAGCAAACCCTCGATCTGGTCACAACATCGCTCACCTGCTGCTTGGGTTTGATCTTCGGGTCGGCAAAGCTGATGAGCAGGTCATCCCCAATCCAGGTCCCGACAACCCTCGAGGGGCTTTGCACTCTATTCTGGACCTACTGCAGGGCAGCAGGAGCGTAGACGAAGACGGTGGCGCGGAAGACGGCGATGCTGACTTGCCTACCCTTCTTGATACTCATCCGGGCTTGGCTGAGCGATCACTCCTGCTCTTGGTGCGGCTTGCAACCCACCCCTTCACAACCTCGTCAACCTTGCGCTATCTGAGGACGCAAGAAGATTTCTGGGGACATCAGCTTCGCCGAAACATGAATTCGTATTCAGTGCCTGTGGAGAGGGGAAGCGATGACACACTGGATGAAATCAGCGCTAGTCGTCTTGCCCGCGGCAGCGTCGTCTACCCCGATGGTCAAAGCGTCGCAACTTCCGTCGATGCCCTCGTGGCCAGCTTGCGTATTCGCCGACATTTGCTCACCGGAATTGCTTTGGAGGTACACGGTCTTGTGGCTGCGGGCATGTACTCACAAGCGGCTAGACTTGTGGGGGCCTTGTACGGTTCTGGCCTGGTCATTGCCTCGCCTGGAGACGAAGGCCGAAACGCAGACGATGACAACAGCGTGGGCGACTTCCTTTCTGGCAAAGCATCGTCTGCCATCCACAATGAGCAGAGCGGCAACCTACTATTGGAGCTTCTGCACTCCTTTGACTTCGAATGGCACGACGAGAGGGATGGCGTCGCCTCCAACCTCAGCATTCTTGGCGACCTTGACATCTCGCAGGCTCGCAGCGATAGCGCGTCGAGAGAGTTCGACGTCGGGAAGTCTATTGGTCTGCTTGCCTTTGCTCGACGGGAACTCGAGCGACAAGGAGAGCTCAGCGAGGCTCGCAAGCGCGCTGCCTTTGACCGAGAAGCAGCCATCGTGTTGCAATACGTCAGTGCCCGCAACGCCCACCGTGTCATTGCTGCGGCTCGCAGGACGGCCTTGACAAGCTGGAGGAACGTACATGACCTCGTGCTGTCTCACGCTAGCATCCTCTTCAGACCCGAGGCTCGTGCGACCGTCGTCTTTGACTGCCTCACATCTTTGCTGCCCAAACTGGAAGGACCTGCTCCTGAGGAAGACCCAGCATTGGCTGATCTCGCAGCTGGAGCGATCTTGGCTCTCTTGACGAGCTTGCGCAGGCATCGAGCTGCTCTAGGCGCTGCTGCTCAGCTCTCTGGAGCTGCCGACCTCCTCGACGAACTCCCCGTAGACCGCTTGATGCTCACGCTCAGAGCTCTCGTCGGGGCCCTGCTCAGGTCCGGAACCTCGATTTCCGCACGTGGCAATCTCTACTCGGCATTGATCAATTTCCTTCAATTGGCTCGAACAGCAGCGCCTCGAGGCGACGAGCCGCAGGGCCAATCTGGCGATGCCTCCTTCTCTGTAGCCGGGACCGATATCGACGATGGCGCATCAGCCATCTTCAGTGTCTCTGGCAGCACAGTGGGTGGTGAGCCTGGTCTGCAGCCGTCTCTCCTCGACGTTCGAACGAGCACCTTCCTTGCGACCCAAGCGGAACGTCTGGTCTCTGTGGTTGCGCGAGATGCTCTTGACGCCCCTGACGTCTGGCGGACCGTAGCATTCACACTTCTCGACAAGCTCTACGCTTTAGAGGCGCTGACCAACAAGGGTCGCGGAGGCAACTCTCGAGGTCCACTCGTTCTGGACATTCTCAGCCGAGGTGGCTTCATGAAGAGCTTTGTTGCCAGGCTCAGGGCGATGGATGTCGAGTTGCAAGAGGTGCTCCGACCGGATCCTTCAAGTCTCAACGCTCTGTATGTTTACGAGTCGATACTGGCCTTCTTTGGCCGACTTTCCCAGACACGCGAGGGTGCCGAGCGACTCCTAGAGGCCAGATTGTTCGATGTCTTTGCTCAGGCTGATGCTCTTGCATCTCGCCCCGAAGAGGATCAGGGCTTTGTTGATCTCGAAAGCTTCTTACCGGCCGCTACAGAGAGGTACGGTGCTCTTCTACTACCTGCTCTTCAAGTCAGCGTCAGTACAGTCAACAGTGCCGCTACCTCGCAACGTTCTCGAGCACCTGTCATTGGATTTGGAGGGCAGCGGCAGCCGGAGTCGTCTCACGCTTCTCATAGTGCTTTGCAACAGGCCTTGGCCCTCCTCAACACCCACCGAGACGCCTTCCTTGCTGTACTGAAAGCAGCCACTTCGGACACTACCAGCCTGGCAACGATCGAGCAGGCTCATCTTATCGTCGCTCTGTTCCTGCAGATTCTGCCCATCACCGACGATGATGCTCTCAGCCCGCCACAACCGTTGTCTGCCTTCCACAGTGCCGTCTTGGCCTTGGCCGCCGCCTTCTTGCACACCACAGCTTGGCGATCGAGGGTAGTGCCTTTCACTGAGTCGGAGCGAGAGGACGAAGCTACTGCTGCGCCCGCTCTGAAATCCGGAGGAGCAGCTCATGGCACCGTTCACGACGACTTGATGAACGTCGACGGACAGAAACAGATCGAAAACGTCTTCGACCTGCATGCCTCGCAGATGGTCGCCCGTCTTGTCAGTCTGATCCTTGCGTACTTGGAAGCGGCCAGTGAGACGCACGGACGCGTTGGCAATCAGCCCAACGTGAGACCATGCTTTACCTCTGCACTCGTCGTACCACAGCCCTTCTCCGTGCGAGGTCAATACGATGCACAGGAGGAGCGTCGCTCCCTCGCCCCACCCATGACAACGGGTCGACTGGCCTCTGTGCCCAGCTTGGGCGTCGCGCTTGCCTCGATGGACGAAGTTGTGGCTTCACTAGAAGCTGACCTGCAGACGGCCGAGGGGATCAAGAGTATGCTTGAGAACAGCGAGAATGTACGACTGGAAGAGTGGGATCGAGTGGTGGAACAGTCCCTCCTGCTTGGAGCCACAAGCGCAAACAATGGTGCTTCAGCGGCCAGATCGCTTGGAGATCTGGGGCTGGGTCAGAGGAAGAGCATCGCGACTCGGCAATTGCACGCCCATCTCGCCCTCCTCAGGAGTCAATTCAGCGAAAGGCTCGACTTGGTAGATCTCCTGCTCGTCCTCATCCATCGACACTTTGGATTCTACCTCTCTCTCTCTTCGAGCAGCACGGGGAGGGCCACGACCATCGGAGGAGCCGTAGATGACTTTGCTGCTCCATGGCGAGCGAGCAGTGCAGGTGCTGCTGGGGCATCGAGGCAACAGCGCAGCACTCCCGGCGGTGGCGGACTAGACTCTGCTACCTCCTCGGACGCTCTCCTGCGGGAAGGAGCCCACCTAGTCCAACTCGCCCTGGAGCGTCTAGGTCGTGTACTCATCGCGCTTACCTCGCAGGATGCACCCTTGAAGATTAGCGCACCGAGGGAGAGGAGCGCATTCCTTGAGTTGGTGGGGAGAAAGTTGCAGACGCTGCTCCTTGTCAGGAGAGAGGAAGAGGGCGAGGCATGAGTGGGCGTCAGCGTCAGCGTGGGCGTGTGGGTGGCGGAGAGGCGGGGGAGGATTGGGTGGGAGCGGCTGGGGTGGTACGACAATGGGGAGTGGGGGGGAACGAAGTCTCATAAACGATGTGCATCGACTGTAGTACCAACGAATATCAAAATTCAACTCTTTCACAAGGTTGCTAGCAGCACACAGAGACTGAACGCGATGTTGTAGCTGATGATCAGAATCAACAATGTTTTGAGGACGTGTAAGAAAAGAAAGATGAAAAATTGTGGTACAAGAACGGTTCGGCGCGCCGGGGGAGGCTGTTCGAGGAAAGTGCAGCCTTTGGGACTGCAATTGCCAACGAGAGGCCCTGCCCGCGCGAATCGGGGTCCGAGAACTGGGGTGGTGGGAATGACGATGCTGGCGTAGCTAGACGAGTTGATGTAAAAGGTGTGACATTGAGAGGAGCTGAGGTAGAGAAGAGATTCATCCTCTCCATTGCAGCCCGAAAATGCCGAGCTTGACAACAAAGCGCTTTGATACGGAAGTGCATCGTTGAAGGAATGAGGCTGGAGCGTAGCCGCGTCGCTCACAGACGACGACCACGTCGACCACCCTTCCTCCTGGTAGAGTCGGTGGGGACGGGGGTGACATCCTCGATCCTTCCAATCCTGATACCAGATCGGGCAAGAGCACGAAGAGCACTCTGGGCACCAGGGCCGGGGGTCTTGGTACCGGTTCCACCAGTGGCACGCAGGCGAACGTGCAGGGCAGTGATACCGACTTCCTTGCAGCGGGCAGCACAGTCCTGAGCGGCCAACATGGCGGCGTAAGGAGAAGACTCGTCACGGTCGGCCTTGACCTTCATACCGCCGGTGACACGGACAATGGTTTCCTTGCCGGAGAGATCGGTGATGTGGACGAAGGTGTCGTTGAAGGATGCGACTGGACGTAGGGAAGGGAGTTGATGGAGAAGGCAGGGAAGTCAGCTACTGTGACTTTGAACTCATTGGGATGTGATGAAGTGTCTTCCAGTGGGTATCCTACACTGCCGACAATAATGCTCTCCGCATCTGGATATTGTCAACCTCAGCATGAGGTGAACACCTTCTCTCTTCCATCCCTCCTGTTAGACCTCCATGCCTGTCACATCTTTGACTTTGCCCCCATCACCTCCCCTCTCTCCTCTCTTTCGGAATTGCAGCTGCAGCATACTCTACTTCCAGCTCTTAGTCTACTCACAGATTCGAGCAACGCCGAATACGAGCTCACCCTCTCCGACCTGAGGTCCGAGAGAGACTTCCTGTGCAGGTGCAGCGCGAACCTTGGGAGGCATCTTGAAGGTTATTTAGGGGTGGTGGGAGGTGGTAAGTACGAAGGGAGTGGAAGCAGAAAGTGAGAAGGACTTGTGATTTCTTTGGCCGGGCGGCAGGCGCACGGCAGCCACACGCACCCACGCAGGCAGGCAGACGAGGCCAAGGAAGGGTGGGTGCGCCTGGCGGAGTGTCAATCTCCCGCGTCGAACCGCAGACCGCGCAATGTTCCTCGTCGGGCGGGCGGGCTGGGCTGGCCTGGCCTGGCTGCCTCAGAAGCAGGCCAGGGGACAAGGCGGCGGGCGTAGAGGCAGCGTCGGGCCTGGCGCAGAGGAAATTCCTACAGGCCAGAGACAAGGCAGGCCTCCTTCCACCCTCACGATCCTACCATCCTCATCTCCTCCCCCTTCACCTCAAGACCAGTGAGTATCATTGGTCAAGCAGCATACACGCACACACACACTTCAGACAGCCGTCGTCGTCGTCTTCATCGTCAACATCTTTCTACACGAAGCAAGAGCGCAGCAGGCAGTGACGGCAGGCAGAGCACACATGGCAGAGACTGCGACAGGCAGCAAAGGCAGGATGGGTTTCACGGCTTACAGGGCAGCACTCCATCTTGGAAGGAGCGTTTGCGAGGCTTAAGCTGGCTTGCTCAGACCAATAGTGATAGCCAGAGAACTGCTCGAAGGTGGGAAGTTGGAGATGGAGGAAGCGTCAAGAGAAGTCATGCGTACTGCCTGCCTGAACGCAGCAGCAAGCTAGCATAGAGCAGAGAGCCTGGCCTGACCATCACAAGCTATGCTCTCGCTCGTGCCGCTGTCCCTGCTTCGAGTCAGCTGTCACTGCTGCTGCCGCTACACTGCTCGTATGGAGAAGATGACGATGGCGTCTGTTCTGTGAGTATAAAGGGGCGAACTCCAACTGACCTAAGCCTTCCCTACTGCTTCCCTCTCCAGACATGGGTATCACTCGAGACTCCCGTCACAAGCGATCGGCCTCCGGTGCCCGCCGAGCATACTACCGCAAGAAGCGTGCTTTCGAGCTCGGACGACAGGCTTCCAACACCAGGATCGGACCCAAGCGAGTGCACAGCACCCGTGTCCGTGGTGGTAACATCAAGTACCGTGCTCTCCGTCTGGAGACTGGTAACTTCTCTTGGGGATCCGAGAACATCACTGCCAAGACTCGTATCCTGGGTGTCGTCTACAATGCTTCGAACAACGAGCTGGTCCGAACCAACACCCTGGTGAAGAACTCCATCATCCAGGTCGACGCTACCCCTTTCCGTCAGTCGTACGAGAAGCACTACGGTAAGCCCGTCACCACCAAGAGGCGAGCTGCTGGTCAGGGAGCAGAGGAGGCCAACGAGGACCCAGCAAAGAAGTCTGCTCACGTTCAGCGCAAGATGGAGGGACGAGTTGCCGACTCCAAGATTGACCCTCTGGTCGAGCAGCAATTCGGTGCCGGTAGACTCTACGCCGCCATCTCTTCCCGACCTGGCCAGTCTGGCCGTGCTGACGGTTACATCCTCGAGGGATCTGAGCTGGAGTTCTACGTCAGGCGTCTGCGTGCCCGTCACGCTGGAAAGCAGGCTTAGAGAGTGTGGACCTCGTAGTGGTGATCCCATCTTTCGTAAAACCCCTGTCATCATTGCTGTTCTCTGTTCTTTCCTTGTCTTTCTTGCCAAAATACACACCACACACCGCACACACCACACGCAAACACCTGTGCTCCGCCATGGGGCTTTTCACTTGTTGTTGATGATGATAGCAGCATCTCCGTATGTGCTCCTTGGAGCGTCTACCCTTCCATCCCCACCATCAATGAAAGCCCGCTGTACTATGTCTTTTCATGTGTTGCGAAGGAAAGGAGGACGACTTGATCACGAGACGAGGTGAAGTCGATGGTCGAAGGTCGATCTGTCTTTCCCCGTTCCCTCCCTCTCATCCAGTGCTCCTTACTCCCTTCCTTTCCCCTGCAGATCGAAGAACGGACGGACTTGTTCACTCGTGTACACCTCTTATCTACTTTGGTCTCACTGAAGACATCTCATTCTGATGGTACAACGAAGGGGGTGGGAGAGGAAGACAGGCGAGGAGACAAAGGTGTCGGGTACTACAGCCGTGATATTGGAACAATCCACAAGACTTTGCTGCTTTGTGCACGGGAGGTGAAGTACGGTCTGTACAGAGTACGCTGTCCTGCCTTCCTCCCTTCTATTCAGAGTTCCCCCTCTGCAGGAATTCCCTGTCCGTCCAGTCGTGAGAGGAGAGCTCTGTAGAATTGGAGTGTAGACTAGACCTGATGAGCAAGAGGCTACCCTCTGCCTAACCCCAAGGAGAGTCTACTATTGTTGGACTCTACTTCGACGACCGCCTGCCAACTCACGCGTACTGGACGTTCATCTGGCCAAGCGTGACGGGCGAGCAAGCCTCGCGCTGACCCAGGGAGAGGGCCACTTCGCAGAAGGTCTTGGCGCTGGTGTACTCTCCCAAGCTGATTGGGTACGGGTATTCACGTAAGGACAGAGGTAGATGCCAGTGGAGTAAAGAGGGAAGGGTCAGCTGCTGTACCGCCCGTCTGGCAAGAAACGATGAAAGTGGGCCACACAAAACGCACTGGTACAACTCAATGCCCGCATCCCACGCCGTGCTGAGCAGCCAAGCCTTCTCGTCCGGCGGGTACATCTGTGCCACCTCCTTCTTGCCCAGACGGTGCGCGATGAACTGTAGGTGCTCCAGAGCGGTAGCATAAGGTGTACTGCTACTGCCATTACTGTGAGGCTGGCAGAGAAGGGTGGCGAGGAGGGCACGTAGCCAGCGTGCGAGACGGTGCGTGTCGGGCTCGTTACTGAAAGACGAGGTGAGAGGACGTCAGCGTCATCGTAGATGTACATTGTGGGCAGCGATGTGCCTACTCACCTAATCTCTTCCTTCATCTTCTCAAAGGCAGCCTGAGGCAGATGTGAAAGGAAGCGGCACATGCAAGTCAGCAGGACTGCATCGATGACATTGTCACTAGGCTCACGTACCGTCAGTACTTCTTGCAGGTGCTGGGCCGTGCAGCTCTTCGAGCCCCAAGCAATGTCCGCCATAGTCTCGACGACCTTCACTGGCGCCCTCTTGTTCTCCAAAGCAGTCTGGAGCGCCTTTGCAGCTCCGGTCCAATCGTCCAATCTTGACATTGCCTCGTACTCGAGTACCATCAAGGTCCACTCGGCACTACTCTCGGCGTCTTCTGATACTGCAACTTCACGAGCGCTCTTGAGTAGGGACCAGGTGTCTGCTGCACTAGTGCGGCACTGCAGCCACAAAAACCTTGTCTCTCTTTCATCGAGGTCTCCTCGGCGGGCCACTGCAGAGCGAGCTACCAGTGAGGGGAGAGATGACCAGAGCTTGGTGGAGTGAATCTGCTTGTCGGCCGGCTGGGCAGTGAGAGTCTCACGGCACTGCGCCAGAGCGAGCGCTAGGTCAAAGGCTTTGGCTGCCGTCAAGCTATCGACTACGTCGCACATCAGAAGAGCAGCATTGAAAGCCGTCCTGTAGCTCCACTCGGCCTCTTTGCAGGCTCGTGCGTCAGTGGGGTCAAGCTCGGCCCTCTTCTTCAGTGCACTCAAATTGTTCTCCAGATGCTCGATGACGATTTCAGCCGTAGCCTGATCATAGGAGAGGCCATCTTGGGGCAGGCTGTGCTTGACCAATGAGCGCGTCAGCACGACTGCATCCACCTCTCTGCCGATCGAAGCGTCCACTTGCGCTTGCTCAGAGATACTTCGCATAGCGTGGTACACGACTCGCTCGAAGCGGGCTTCTTGTGCCACTTGCACAACGGTTGGCAACATGACGCTGCGGAAGTTGGGAGAACCAAGCAACGCCTGCAATGCAGCAAAAGCGTCATCTTCTCGTCGCATGCGCACAGCAATGTCGAAGTTGATGTAGTGATTGAGAGCGTCGTCAGCTAGGTGAGGAGGGCAGGCATGTAGAGCCTGTTGGGCCGCCTCGGGACGTCCAGCTTCAAGGTAGCATAAAGCCACCTTCCTTGCAGTCCTCGCTACGTTCTTGTCCATCTTCTTGAACATTGGGTGCATTGCAATCTCGTAGAATGACGCAGCCAAAAGGTGGTCAGGCTCAGCTGATCGACCCTGCAGACCTTCACCATGTCGCCAGCAGAGCATCTGGATTGCGAGGCCACCATCGCGAGAGATGTGGAAGTCCAGTTGCTCAAGGAGATCGAGCGTGTCGCGAAGGACTGGCACAGAGGCAGCGCTCTTACTGACTAGGGCAAGCGTAAGTACGACGCGCGTAATGGTGTCTGGTGCAGTAGGAGAAGCTGTGTCCTGCACAAGTCGCTGCAAGAGCAACTTCACTGCCTCCCTTACAAATTCCAGCTGCGATCCGCGCGCTCGGACGATGGCGAGTAGTCTGTCGACGGCAGCGGCCTCGAGGCTTTTCGATGTCAACAGATCTCGCACCGCCTCCAGCAGTGTACGCAGTGGAGCATCTCGCTTGTGCAATATGTCGACCCTGAGCAGCAGTAAATTAGCGTCTTGACCCGCCGCAGACGATCGCTGTCGATAGAAACTGATCAGCTCTCCGAGAGCTGCTTCGGCCGAGGCGAGAGCATCGCTTTTGGTGGGACATCCTTCCTTTGAGCCAAGCTCGAAGAAGCTTCTGGCAAGACGACGGAGAGCGCGTGCTTGAAGTTCGGCGAAGTGAGGAAGAGAGCCTTGCTCGGCTCTTTCCAGCAGCTTCAAACTTTTGCGAAGCCAATCCGTGGAGCGGAGAAGTAGTTTCTCTGCTGCTGCGCTAGAAGTGTTTGACTTCAAAGCGTCACCAAGCAAGTGTTCCCCATACGTAACGCAGGTTTGGCAGAGCTGATGGACCTGCAGGTGATCAGCCAATGCCAAAATGAGACCAAACTTCAGCAGCATGAGTAGTGACATGGGTCAAGCAAAAACTAAATGCGAGACTTTACCATAGACGCTGTCAACAGATCATAGTGCTGATTGCCGTCCTCTGCGAAGGACACATCAAATTTGGGCCCTCTGCGGTCAGTCGTCTGTGTGCATACATCAGTACACTACACCCATCTTCTGCTTACCAAAGGCCGCATTGAGAGAGAAGTCGGCTACAGCGCTGTTGCAAGTGGCCTGGGCAAAAGAGACCTTGGCAAGCATGTGCGTCTGACAGACTGATAGAGAGTTCTTTGTCATCTCGCCCTTTGTGGCAGCTTTGACCGTGCTGTGTATCTACTCCCGCATACGGTGGTGAAGGCAGTCAGGTCGTCTGCTGTGGAAGTATGCCGCGATGGGGCTCGACTGACCTGGGCTGCATGAGTCAGGAGCTCCTCTGCCGTCTCGAGAAAGGTGTCAACCCCGGCTGTTGAGGCCGAACGGACGAAAGAGTTCAGAGTGATGCATAGAGAATGCAGTCTACCCATGTCCCCTACCTACCTGACACGAGGGCTGAGGCAGCTTTACTAAGCACTTCGAGGAGGCGCAGAGCATCTGTGGCCAAGGTAATGTCCCAGTAGATCATCAGCTTCGAGGCGCTCGTCTCACTGTACTTGCCGTCACCTCAGCGCAGGCGCTGACCTTCTATGCTGTAAGGCGTCGGGACACCCGCGTAAAGGAGCAGGGCTGCGACTGCTCGGGCTGAAGAGCAAGGTGACGGACGGCAACTGTCAGTATCACCGGCCTACAGAACGGCACAAGTGCTCCCATCGGAGCGCTTCACCCAATGCGATCAGCTGCATCGCCGTCTCATCACCGGCAGCTTCCTGTTTGATCGTCCTGCTCGCGTTCCAGAGGATTGTCCCTGCAAAAGACAGGCTCCAGTATCAGCTCTCCATGCCGTATACTGTTGATCTGAAGTGGAGCATATGCACCTCCCCTATCAAGCATCATCGCAGCCTCAGCACTAGGAGCCGCCTGCCACTGTTGTATAAAGGCCGCTACACGTCCCTGTAGTGCCTGCAGCTGAAAGACAAGATCTTCATCACCCTTGTTGCTGAGGTGAAGACGGGGTGTGATGCTCTTCACTAGGCCTGAAGAGCGCATATAGAGTGGAATGGAGTGGGTCAGAGTCAGAGTCAGTAGAGCCCTCGCCTAGTATGACTTCTCCTCCTGCTGCCAAGGCTCGACGGCAAGCAGGTGAAACGCGCCATCGATGCTCTTTGCCTGACGTAGAAAGTCTGGATCAGTATTGCGGTTGGTCATTGTTCGAGTAGTGGAATCGAGATACGCTGTAATGCTTGGAGAGCAGTTTGAGTCAAGGCGGCGAAAGTCACACACGGAAGTGGAACAGGAGCGGAGTGTGGCTCGACGTGACATCGGAACGGGGGGCCAGGGCATGAGTGGGATCCAAAGAAGTCTCCACGCCCTGCCCACCTCGTTGATGAGCATGGCAGCAATTCCAACTGCACCGTCTGATCCCCAAGATATGGACAGTGTTACCAGAGCAAATGGACGGGGTGATATTGATGTTGGGACTGCCGCCGCTTTTGTACAGTACGTCGACGTCAAGAGATCAAACATGTGCCGGATATCTCCCTACCATCTAAACCAGCTTGCTGAAGATCTTCGGAGCGGTGCACTATGGGTTCGACGAGGCAAGGGGAAGGAGCAGAAAAGGTCAGAATGAGAGCCTTCAACACCGCGTCTCTCTGCATGCTGCCGACTCACATCGCTGGCGCAGTGGGCAAGGTGGACTGTCGAAGTGAGGTGTCAGGTGGAGAGGTGGGTCAGAAGATGAACAATCAGACGCATAATCTGCCTCGATCCCGGGGTTTCAGTGAAGGCGAAACCTCTCCTTCTGTGAGTCCACGACACTTACAGCTACATCGAGTGGAATGAATCCGCCGCGGAGCAAGGGCATACGAGACCGGTGTATACAAGTTGTCAGCAACGATATAAATCCCCTTGACAGCGTCTCATGTCTAGTCATGCCTACTCATACTCACAATTCCTCCATGCAGTCCTCGCCTTTGAATCCATTGCCCTCGTTGACCCTGTTGGTGCACTCGTCAAAGTGGTGCTTTGCTGGGGCACACTGCTTGGACTTCTCGCACTCTGCAACGGCGCAAGGTGTAGGAGGGGATGGAGGGGGAATGGGTCAGCGGGCTGCTCCGTTTGGCCAGAAGCGAGGCAGGCTGAGCCCTTCCAGTCTTTGGGGTGTCTCCACTCACCCTCGTAGATGCCAGGCATGAGGTCCTCCTGGAGAGCAAAGAGAAGGCACATATCGTGGATCGTAGGTCAGTGAATCCGTCCGGCGGCCTCTAGACGTTGATAGTTGTCTTTGCCGACTGCTGTAGCTAGCTTGAAAAACGTACCTCTTCCTCCTCCTCTTCCTCCTCGTCGTCACCTCCCGACTCCTCCTCCTCTCCCTCTCCACCCTCTGAGCTCTCCTCGTCGCCTCCGGACTCTCCCTCTCCTCCCTCTGACTCTTCACCGCCCTCGGAGGCCTCTCCCTCCTCGCTCTCGCCCTGTGAGATGAAGTAGTAAAAGGCGAAGGTCAGCTAGAATGGTCTTGCGGGGTTGCGCATGACCGACAAGGCAGGGCAAGGCTTTATAGGCTGGCAGCTCCTGCTCCTTCGTTCTCGGCCAAATAACAGTCTGAGCTCAACCAGCTCTTCAGAGCTGGCAAGCGTGATGGACGCAGCTCAGGAATGTTTCGAGAATCTCCTGGCCTGTCCTGGCCTTGCCTTGCCCCTCTCCCTTCGAATGAGCTCAACCCACCTCGTCGTCAGCGTGCAGGGCAGGCAGCATGGAGGAGAAGAAGGACGTCACAGAGGACATGATGTCCTCGCTGGCATACGACTGCGAGGAGGACGAAGAGGAGTAATGTGAGGATGTGAAGGAGGACATTGCGGTCTTCAAGTGTCCCTTGTGGCGATGGGTGCGAGGTGAGTGTGTGGTAGACTGATGTGGTGAGGACGGAGCGCGGGCGGGTGCGAAGGAGTGAGTGAGTGGCAGGCGGGCGCGGGTTAGAAATCGGCTGGCCTCGGGGGCGGCGTGTGTGTGTGCCTGCGTGCCCGTCCGGCCTGGGTGGCCCTGCCCCGCCATTTGCCTCTGGGCGGAGCCGTGAGCGCGCGAGTTGACTGACCGATGGGCCAAGCGCACCTCTCTACGGGGTCACTCCTGAAGATGATCAGTACATTGTGCTCAGAGTATGCTGCTCAACAAGCGTCGTCGAGGCCGTAGATAGCGATGCAAGCAATTCAAGGTGCCGCATGGAGAAGTCGATGTGCGCTCGACAGTCATCTGAGAGCCACCCTAGCAGCAGGGGAGCCCTCGACTAGATCTCTCCATCTACCCAGATCCAGGCGATGTCTTCTACAGATGGCATGCTGAGTAACCTTCCGCTGCCCATGTATTGCTACCTGCTTGCTCTGTATCCATGTTCCACCCCCGGGCGTCACCTGTGAGCAACTTCGTCTTCGATCGCTGCGTGTGAGAATCCTGCGTGTCCTTCCTGGCCGTGCGTGGGAGACGAGTGACTCGGCTCAGGGGCTGCAGTGGCCTGGCCCAGAGTCAAAGCGCAGGCGCCCGCCGCCATTCTTCCTAGGCCATTTGCTTGCTTGCCCCGCTACCAGATCCTCATTGTCCTATCGCACACCATCTCGCCACTTGATTGCAATATCAAGCATATACAATCAACACATCCTGATACAGGAGCCTATCGCTGGTGCTGCTTGCTCCCTGCAAGCACTCCCTTCGAGGTCACTTTAGCTCCTCAGATCATCCAATCTACTCCCATCCTCACCCTCCTTCCGAACCCCACGATGCTCCACTCGTGACCTACATTCCTTCTCATCTCCCTCGAGCGAAACAGTGCTGCGTCGACTGAGTCATGGCAGACAAACAGGGTGCTGCTGCTGCCGCCGCTCCCACAACGGCGAGCAATGGCGGCAATAGCAATGCTCCTGGAGCAACCTCGAATCCAGCGTCAGCTGTGAAGCCCTCACTGAGGCAGACCATCTTTCGCTCCTTTCGCGGGCCCCAGGTAGCTGCTCCTCTAGCCTCTTCGGCCACTGCTTCTCCTACATCGAGACCCATTGATCATCACAAACCCGACTATGGCTCGTCTGTGGCCAACCCTTTCGACGTCGATGCAGCAGCAGCAGCAGCTGCCTCTGCTGCCGCCGAGGCTGAGCTGGCCGCTTCTCAAGAGGACAGTACGCCCAAGACCCCTGCGGATCAGTTCCGTGCTCATTTGGTTGAGCTCATCAAGCCTCTTCCCCTCAGTGAGCCTAGACGCGCAGAGACAATACTCAATCGATGTGAGAGACTTGCGGCCATTGGCACAGCGACAGAGATGTTGGACCCACCTCCCCCACAAGGCCAGGTCTTCCGCGTAGCCGTCACTCTCCTTGGCGGAGATGACCATGCCCAGTATCCTCTAGCCATCAAAGAGGCAGCTTGTGATGTCCTCGCCAAGGCGGTCAAACACTCGGACGAGAAAGCGAGCGCAGCCCCACTGGCTCTTCGAGAGACCCGCAGTGGCGCTCCAGGATCACAATCGTCCAAAGCTCTTGACAGCGATCAGCCGCTAGCCACAATCGATCGCGCTCTCATGTATCGCATGGTGAAGGAGTTGTCAGAGGATGAGTCACAATCCTCTCCTTTACGCAAGCTACCTTCAAGAGATGACTTATCTGCAACCTCGTTCCCGAGTCTGCATGCTCAGCTACGTGCCCTGCACGCCCTTTCTCGCGATGGAAGGGACGTTGCGTCCTTTGATGGAATCATCCCGCTCCTCAGTCGCTGGTTGATCATAATTTGGAGAGAAGTCCAGGCACTGAGGCAGCTCCACAAATTTGTCAAGCCAACTCCCCAGCCTGAAGAATCCACGTCCGGCCGCTCCGACAGCGGACCTTCTTCTCAGCCCATCGACGAGCATCTTTACGTAGAGCAGCTCTCAGCCAGAGAATGGTCTCTTCAGGCAATCTTGCACTTGATGCGCTCCATCTTCAAATTCAGTTTCCCCCAGGTCACGGAGCAAGTGGAAGCTGCGTTGCAGTCCCTTGCCTTGCTAGTGCTCACGCCATTGTCGCGAGATTTGCTGGTAGACGACGATAGCACGCCTCTTCGACGCTCTTCGACGTCAGGCGCAAACGTGACGAATCTGCAGCCCTTGGTGTCATTGACTCGCGATGCTTCTCGCTCTCAGTCTCGCGACCGTAGACCTCGAGCTAGCTCAATTGAAGGCTACTCGTACTACGGCATCGAGGTGGGCATCACGCCTGATTCTGGATCGGAATCTTCGCCCATGATGACACCACAGCTTGGACCCAAGGCAGGCGGTAGTCTTGTGGCCCCAATGAATCTCTCGACCCTTGCCCCCTCTCACAGCAGGAGAGCGCCGTCGCAACTCTCTCACTTGATCACCGTGGACAATGAAGACTTGCCAGTCTTTCCTCATCTACAAGATACGGAAGTTCGTGCCATCATCGAGCTCCTTGATACAGTTCTCAAGTACGGCTACATTCCTCCCACATGCGTCTTGCCTGTCTCGATGCTGCTCTGTCGCATTCTGGGCTACGATTCGGTCGCAGCGGCAGCAAAGACGCCCACAAAGGCATTGCTGCCCCAAGATTTCACGCCATGGCAACAGGCCGTGTACCCTCTCCTTTCGAATCTGCTTCACAGTCACTCTGCGTATAGGGCAATTCGTCAAGTGCGCGAAGTACTACTCAAGCAGAGACCAGGCGACCTGACATCGCCCATTGGTGATGCAGACGAGGATGCAGAGACTGAGGATGGGGCAGAGGATGAAGCGGTATTGGCCGGAGCTGTCCTCTTCCTCCGCTTCACAATGACGATTCTGGCCAACCTGGCCCGGGACGGACGAGGATCGAAAGATCCTGCCATCGCAAGCCGAATCGAAGAGGATTTCCTGGGCCCCCGTTTGCCATTGGTCCTCCTAATACCGGCATTGCGTGGCGCGTTGCTGCGCCAATCTGACATCGTTGACCTCCAAGTCGTATCTCTCGTCGAGGCTCTACTACTGCCCACGAAGCCAGTGATAGATGGCGCTGGGCCACCGATTCCGCTGTTGTCGAAGAACCGTCTGAAGGGAGAAGAATGGAATGAGCTTCTTCAGCTCACCTCTGTAGCCAAGAGACACATCGAGGGGTGGCATTTCAAGGCAGCTGGAGGCGGAGCAGAAATTCGCGTACCCATCGTCCTGCAAGCTCTGGTGACGCTCTTGGCCAAGCTACCCTTGGCTAACCCTGAGCAGCTGCATCTTCCGTCAGGCGAGGCAGCAACACAATCTTCGCCAGGTGGAGGTCTGCCTCCTCTTACCCTGCCTTGGACTCCGAAGCTGAGCTCGTTGCTTCTCTCACTGGCGCCCACACTTCCCACTCGGCTGACGCTCGATCTCATAAAGTATCACCGGGCACAGCGCCTGTGCTTGCCTGTCAATCCCGACTGGATCGGCAATCTTCAAAGGCTGTTAGGTGCATTTATGTATGGACAGGTCAAGCTGAAGGTCGACAGCAATACCGTGTCGCCTTCAACGTCGAGTAACGTCACCGCTGCTGGTGCATGGCAGGACAAGTCACGCAAAGCGCTGGCTACGCTGCTACTAGAAGACGTCTATGAAGCCGTCGTCAGCTTCCCAGCTTATCGAGCGACCTTGATGCGTGAGATCATCTTGCCGACGGCCCGTATGCTACTCCCGCACGAGTCTGACACCGAAGTAGATACCAAGACGCGTGAGGTACTCATCCAGGCTGCCTCTTTGAGCAGTGCAGCGTCCGTGGGTGCCGAAGGAGAGGGCGAGGACATCTTCACGGCCGTTCGGGAGCTGTTCTGCAAATTGGCCCGCGCCCCGAGTACTGCGACGTCGTCTTCTGGCAGCAATGGAGGGCACGTCCATTTTGCAGACGCGCCAGGCTCGCACGATCATCGCAGTAAGCGAGACACGAATCAAGCAGGAAAAGACGATCAGAGCAGGGCGACAGAGCCTTTGACGGCAGCCGAACCTTTGAAGTCAGGGCCTCTGCCGATCTCCAAGCCGATGCAGTCGGCTTTGAATCTGATCTCTATCTTCAACCAAATCGCCTTCTCATCGCCATGGGTCAACTTCGACAATGCAGAGAGCCTCCTGGTCGAGCAAGAAGAAAAGGCACGAACGGCTTGTATCGCCATCTTTCGCGACCTGCTAAGTCTTGTGCAGCCCAGTACGGCTGCCACGGCAGAGCTCGTTGGCAATGGAAACGGCAGTGTGGATATCCTTACGGGCTCGACGACTTCGAACGAGACCAGATTGGCGATCCTGCAATGGTTCTTGCGTATCAGGACTGATCGTCACCATCGAGTCTTCTTGATCGGAAACCTCGATGAGCAAGTGGAGCCATCTGCCTCCATCATCCTGAAGACTCCAGAGGCAAAGGCTGCTGCTGCAGCTGCAGAGGCAGCTACTGCCAGCGGAGAGAAGTCCAGAGCGGCCAGGACCGAAGGCAGAGAGGGTGGCAGACGCCCGACTATGGGAGGCGACAGTGCAGCTGCGGTCCGCTCGAGATCGAGGGCGAAGGACAGAGAGCCTTCGAGAGAAAGAGAGAGAGGCAGAGCGGAGCGGGTCAGCGATACGACTGCACCTCGAGGAGCCAATCGCAGCATTAGCGCCTCGAGGGGTGGGGCGGTGGCGAAGAAGCCTGCCGCTGAGCATCAATCGCTCTGGCAGATCCCGCAGATCCTGGCCTTCGAGATGCCAACCACCAGTCTGCGAAGTGACATCGTCTATACGTATATCCACGACGATGATCCATCATGCTCTCATCATCATCAGCACAAGCCTGGAGCAATGCCACTCCCACTGCCCGTGTCAGATCTTCTGGCAACCTACATCAAGATTATGGCAAGCGAGAAAGATTGGGAGCTCGTCTCGTACGTCATCTGTCACTTACCGCCCCAGCTCTCCAACAAGCATCTCTTCTGCGGTCCGAAAGCGCAGATACAAGTCGTCGCCCTTCGTCAATTCCTCTGCTCACTGATTCTGCAGCAGAAGCTGATGGAGGAAGTTGTTCTCCCAGATGACATCAAACGATCCGACGTCTATGCTGTCTGCTATGCTACTCTCACGACACTGCTGAGCTATCGAGCTCTATTCAGTCGATCACAGCTAGACGAGATGGTCGAGGCATTCATCAGCGGTCTGAACAAGTCGCAGAATACAGCCCAACCGTGTGTGAGGGCACTCTCAATAGCAGTCTACGAAGCGCAAAAGTCGGTCACCCGAATGCTGCCGTCTATGCTAGTCAAGCTGTCGACGATCATGTCGCACATGACGATGAGTGTGCACATCCTCGAGCTCATCGCCTCAATTGGTCAAGTACCTGCTTGCTATGCCAACTTTACCGATGCAGAGTACCGGAGAGTCTTTGGTATTGCATTGCAGTACATTCAGTACCACCAGGCCCACTCTGTCGCAACTGCATCGTCGGCAGCAGGCAACAGAACAAGAGAAGACTTCCGTGCGGACCCTTCCTCTTTCACCCTGTCGCAGTACGTGATGATGCTGGCCTACTACAACATTTCCATCTGGTTCATGACTCTGCGTCTCGGCGAGCGCGAGAAGCATGTCTCGAGCATCATCCGAGGCTTGCAGCTAGCGAATGAGGGTAGAGATCAGGTCGCTGATCAAAGCGAAGTCTGCTTCGACTTCCTCGCCCGCTTCACGCACTCCAACGCGGACCCCAAGCCCAAGCGCTCCTTCCTCAACTCCGTCGTCATGGGCGATCGCAACGTTAACGGCAGCGCAGTTGCGCCTGCATCTAGCAATGGCCGAGGCGGCAATAATGGCAAAGACACGGGGCGAGTCAGCAAGACGTGGCTTGTCGGAAAGGGTCTGATCACCATTACCGCATTGCGAAAGGAAGGTTGGATGGAGATTGTCATCCGTCGTGCGTCTGGCACTATTGCGATGGTCAGCAAGCTGGAGAATGTCCCCATCAGTGTGCTGCCTGATGAAGACGGCGAACGGCAGGACTTGCCTGCTGCTTTGATGATGGACCGGAATCCGCGTACAGCAGCTCTGGCCGTTCTTCGAGCCCCGAAGATGAGGCAGAGGGGCATACGTGTCCCGACGCTCGAAGATGCCGAGCAAGGGAAGGACGATTGGCGCAGGCTCGCCCCTGGACAAGAAGCGGCCGAGGTTCTAGGAGAAGGGGAGCGCCTGCGCTCGAGGGAAGTCGTTGGACCTGCGCATTTCGGACTCGCCCCTCGACCGCGAGGCGCTTCCTTCTCTGGACCAGTAAGCGAGGACAAGATGATTCTGAACGGAAGCAAGGAAGCCAGTCCTTATGAGCTTCCAGACCCAGATGCGGACCAGCAACAGGCGGGGAATCTGCCGTCTGCCAATACCGATGAAGAAGCTATCGAAAAAGTCTTGACGAGCGTCCTTAGCGAGGGAAGCAAGCTTCGACAGCAAAAGGAAGAGCAGAGTAACCAGGCCAAAGCTGCCAATGGCTTTGCTGAGCCTGCTCTTGTCCATCAGCCGCCTCCCAAGCAGAGTGTCATCCGAGAGCCTGCCATCGACCCAAGCACTATCGCGCTTCAATTCTCGTCTTACCCGGACAGCAAAGAGCAGCCGATTCTACTGCCTGACGAACCAGCAACGGCTCGTCTGATCAAGGCCATTGATCTCACACCTGTGGTCGATCTGCACAAGATTGGATGTCTGTATGTGGGCCCCGGTCAGAAGGACGAAGTTGAGATCCTAGGCAATCGACATGGCTCGCCCGGGTATGTGCGCTTCCTAGCTGGTCTAGGAGACCTGATCACGCTCAAGGGTCAAGAAGACGTGTATACCGGCGGTCTGGATCGTGAAAACGACGTGCACGGAAAGTACGCCTACGCGTGGAGTGACGACATTGCCCAGATCGTCTTCCACTCTGCAACGATGATGCCCAATCGACCGGAAGATCCTCGCCATTCCTCCAAAAAGGCACTGATCGGCAATGACTGGGTACACGTCGTCTTCAATGAAAGCGGTAGCGAGTACGTCTTTGGCACCATTCCTTCGCAGTTCAACTATGTCAACATTGTCATCTCTCCCACTACAAAGGGAGGTACGAATCTCGGCAGTGTAGGTCCCCTAGACACGACCTTCTACCGCGTCTCTCTGCAACGTCGTACCGGTCTCCCTTCCTTTTCACCCGTTGGCGATGGACAACTCATCTCGGCCGGTTCACTCCCACTCTTTGTGCGCTCTCTAGCACTAAATGCAAATGTCCTCAGTCAAATCTATAATGATACTGGGGAGAGCATGCAGCCTTATTCAAGCAACTGGTGCAATCGACTTAATCATGTAGTGAGGTATAAGAATCAGTGGGAGGTCAAGAGGAGGAAGAAGTTGGAGGAGGAAGGAGTGATGGAGGACGATGGGACTACGGTGGATGCGAAGGACTTTACTTCATTTACGTGAGGAAGAAGTGGAAGGGGATTCCGGGGAGGAGCGGTCAAGAGGAACAACGATTAGGAAAGAATTATGTGTTGTATGTATATACTGGGTAACGAAAAGACAAAACAAGTACATGTGGGGTGCACATACTGTACAACAACACTCAAACCTCGACCGACTGTGATTGCGCAACCTCGTTCTTCTCCCCCTTGCTCGCCATCGACATCTGCGTCTCCTTCTCCTCTTCCAGCACTCTAACCCTCCTCCTCAACTCCCACAATTCTACCTCCTTCTCTTCAGCCCGGGCCCGCATCTCTTCTGCCTGTGTCACAAAAGTCCTCGCTGCCCTCTCAAGGGAGAGATGGGCAAGGAGTTCCGAGAGGATGGGTCGATGTGGACTTGTAGTCTGAAGTGTTTGTAGACGAGCAAGGAGTGTTCCATGAGTTGGATTGGGGCTAGGGGCAGTGGGAGAGAGGGGGGTAGCAGCTGCTCCTGCAGCGGCTCCTGCTTTCTCTCCCTCTCCCTCTCCATCTGCCTGGGCATTGGGAATATGCTGACCATGTTCCTCCTGCATCGCCGCCCACTCCGGTCCCGTCCTCTCTCCTCCAAGATACCGCGGCAGCAGTCCTTTGAGCTCTGCATGCTCAGCAAGGGCGGCATTAACATCTGGCCGCCGTAAGTTGAGGAGATGCCCAGAGGCCTCTTGCAGCGCGAGGGCGGAGCGAGCTACCTCCAGAGGTAGATCGTGCAGGGCTGTTTGACGAGTTAGGAGGTTGGTGTGCTGCGATTGCAGGTGTAGGTGGGCTGGGGACTCGGCGTCCATGTTGGTTGGGGAGGAGGAGCGGAGTGGGTTGTTTAGGATGCCACCTGTAGAATCTTGTGAAGGCCCTATGGGGAGGTCCCTCGATGTGAATCGTGCCACTGCAAAGGAAGCCTCTGCATCTTCTTCGTGCTTCTCCTTTTCCTCTTTCTCCCGCCGACGTCTCTCCTTCTCTCCTCTCTTCCCGGGCCACTTTCCCCTCAAACCCTCTCTCCACTTTCTCCCCCTCCTCTTAAATCTCCTCTTTGTTTCATCAATTCTACTACTGACCAAAGTTCCCCAACTATCCGTAAATACACTGATCAAAATAGTAAGTACCGCAACTCCCATCAAGCTCCAAATGATGAAGAAGGCTCTTCCTCCACCACTCTTGGGCGTATAATCTCCAAAGCCAATTGTTGTAAAGAGGACAAAGCAGAAATAAAAGGCGGTAAAGAAGCTCCAGCCTTCGGTAAAGTGGAAGACTAATGCGCCGAGGAGCCAAAAGGCGATGAAGAGGAGGAGGGAGACGGTTAGCTTGGAGTAGAATTCGCTGGACTCGCGTCGGGCTAGGTCTGTCTGGTAGGTGGACCAGGATTGTTCGAGGTTGGCGCGCTGCGCAGCTAGGGAGGCTTCGAGAGCCTGAATGCCTGCAGTAGGATCGTCTTGGGTCTTGGAGTCGAGGGTGGTAAGAGGCGAGCTCGATGAATCAGCTTGCGACGACTGTCCGTCTGTTAGCGAAGCAGCAGGAGCCAATGAGACGGTCTTATCGCCCTCGGTGGGTAGTCCATTACCAGGAGATGGTTGTCCATTGACACCGTTTCCATTGGTACCTTTCCACTCTGACTGGCTCGCAGGTGGTGACTCATCTTTTCCAGAAGTAGGACTATCGGTCTGTGGACTGCCATCCGGCGCAGGCTGACTTGCGCTGCCATTCATCCGAGTGCCAGACAGTCTCCGCACTCGCGATCCCCTCCCAGCAGCACGAGTCGTCGTCTGCGCCAACAACTTCTTTGCCTCTCTCCTTTCCTTCCTAAACTCCTTGATTCCCTTTCTCCTCGCCTTGAGCTTCTGGCGAAATTCTTTCCTCTTCTTCCTGTAGCTGTTGTCGAATTCCTCCATGATCGTCCGGCCCGCACTGTAGACAGTCATGGCAAAGAGGGCGATCCCGATGGGGGTATAGAAGAAGAGGAAGATCTTGGATCTGACGGTGGTCGGTAGTACGTCGCCAAATCCGACAGCTAGCAAGAGGACGACTGTGAAGTATAGAGCGGTCATGAAGGGCAGAGAGAGGAGGATGGACCAGATCAAGGAGCCGATGGACATGTACACCAGGAGGACCATGACGACGATGACCAGGTGAGTCTGCTTGGGCGTCAGACCAGAGCCGGCATTCTTGAAGTCCTTGGTGCGGAGAAAGTCGACGAGGAGAGTGATAGTGCAGAGGACAGAGGTCGTAGTTGAGGCGACGGTCATCCAGTAGGCCTGCGAGTAGGTGGACCCATCGTTGACTGCATGGATTACTCCAAAGGCTATGAGAGCAGCGGTGTTGATGAGATCATGGATGATGAAGCAAATTGCCGACGCCATTGTACCTTTGCGCGGCCCAATGAGCTTGGTGAACCGGAAGATGAGGAAGATGTTGGCGAGGACGGCTGCAGCCATCGAGAAGGCTAGCCCGATGTAGAGGATGGGTGGGTTGTCCCTGTAGTCTACATTCTCTCCAACTGGGTTGATCCGGACGTACCACTTGGTGCAGATACCCGGGACCTCCAGCATGATCGAGAATGGCGCAAGGGCGCCTGATAGTAGAGGCATGCGGCGGTAGATTGTGACGTCTCTCACCCGACCATCTTGGGATTGAGCGCCCTCTTCGCCACCCTTCCCTCCGTCATCCTCATCATCCGCTCCACCTCTCGCCCGTTTCCCCCGCTTCCTGACTTTACGGAACACATGATACGGCATGTGCTTAGGGCGATAGCGACCACTCTTCACTCTGCCATCTCCATCGGAAGAGGCAAGCGTATCTGCATCGCTCGTGTCCTCCGTCCAGGTCGACATAACGCTCAGCCCATCCGAGTCTGTGGTGTCGTCGTCGTCCTCATCATCGGAGGGATCTCGCAGCGAGCTCGCGGTGCTGTCTGCAGTGTTTGACCTGCGGACAGGACGTCGTCTCTGAAAGGAAGAGGGGGAGGAGCCGCCGGTTTGGAGAGGTGATCCATCGCCTGTATGGAAAGAGACGGACTTGGTGGGAGTGGTGGGCACCGCTCGCCTGGCAAAGCCTCGTGCAGGGACGTGGAAATGAGGAGTAGACCGCCGGTGTGCGTGTGATGGGCTGTTAGATCCAGTCGAGGCCGTGGCAGAAGGACCTGGGGCAGAAGTGCCCTGGCCAGTATCGAGAGTGAGGTGTGGCTGCATGACTTTACGCGAGCTTTGTACGAGTGTTATTGGCCACACTGAGGCAGTGTTGTCAGAGAAGACGAAGATGAAGACAAAGGAGGAAAGGAAGTCATGGCGATGAAGGGAGGAGTGAAGATACCCAGATGCTTTCAGTCATGGAAGAGGAACATCAGCATAGACGAAATCATGGTGCTTTGCTTTGGCTGCCTGCTTGCTTGCGCTTGCTTGCTATCTCGCCATCTCACCCTGCATCGCTTCCCGCCCCGATTCAAAGTCCGCCCACGCCACAAGCCTGCAATTCAGAGCCGGCCGGCCGGAACGGCAGAAACGGAAACGGAAGGAGAGAGGAGCAGGAGCAGCAGCGACAAGGCAGTCAGTCCAACACCGACCTTGACAGTTACATACGACACGAAGCCTACCTTCTATCCCACTTGCTCCACCATTACGCCCACTCCTTTTCAGCATGGGCCTCTTCAAAAAGAAAGACAAGCAGTCACAACCCCAGTCGCAGTCGCATCCGCAGTCGCAGCAGCTGCCCCCGCAACAAGAGCACCAGCAAGCAGGGAGTCACTACCAGTCTCCCTCTCGGCACCCCCAGTCCGCTTCCGCAAGAGGCGCTGCCTCCCCCTCTTCTTCCCACCCGTCCAAGACGACTCTTTCCCTGCATGGTCTCCCACTCACAGTATATGGCCTCTCTGAGCTCACTCCTTCCTCCTCCCGTGCTTCCTCTCCGCCTCCCCCAGAGGTATGTCTCGTAGTGCACATGCATGGGCGTGGTGGGAGTGCAGAGAGCGAAGAGTGGATTTGCCAGGGATTGTGGAGAAGCGCAATGCAGGAAAGGGAGGACTATCTGGGTACTAGCAATGGATCTACTCAAGCAGCAGGCGGAGGATCAGCAGCGAGAAGAGGTAGAGAGGTATTGGTCGTTGGGTTTGATGCGAGGAATCATGGTCATCGCTTGACGGATGAGCTGGCCCAGAAGGGGTGGGGAGTGGGAAATGAACAGCATGCCATTGATCTTTACGGGATGATCCTAGGGGTGAGTAGCAACGACGAGGAACAAAGAAATCACCTGCCCTCTGACAACAATCTCACGTCTTCGCCTTTTTGCCCCTATCCCTCCTTTTCAGACGGCTGCCGACGTTTCCCACATCATCTCCTTCCTCCCCTCCTACCTATTCCCCCACGACGACCGCCTCATCACTGTCAACTGCGTCACCGGCAAGTCCCTTGGCGGTCACGCCGTCTGGCACGTCCTCAAGGATGATCCTCGGGTGACCATCGGCGTAAGCATGATCGGCATGCCTGATTACGAGCGTCTTTTAGAATTTCGTACAAAGCAAAGTTTCAAGACCAATGGACCACCCACGGTTCCTGCTAGTTTGAAGAAATTGGTCAGATTGAGAGACCCGCCTTATTGCGGGTATGATCGATGGGGAGAAGGGAACCCTTAGTGAGTTGAGAGCGCAGCGCAGCTGCCGTTGCGTGCTAGCTTTCCTACTGTCGCAGCAGAAGAAATCATACTGACCCGAAGTCACTTCCGATCCTCTCTCTCCCTCTCCTCTCCTTCTCTCTCACAGCTGGGGCAAAAAAGTCCTCGCCCTCTCCGGCGCACAAGACAAGCTGGTCCACCCCTCTTTTTCTCAACCTTTTCTCTCCCGCTTGGCAATCTCCCACCCTGAAGGTCGTACGGGGGAGCAAGTGGGATTAAAGGTGAGGTGGTTGGATGGAGTGAAACATGAGGTTACAGAGGAGATGGTTAGAGAGGCGGGACAGTGGATTGGAAAGTGGGGGTTGTTGGGATGAGAGGAGGGGAGGAGGGGAGGGAAGGAAGAGGAGAGGGGGGAAAGAATGGGAAGGACCCAGGAGGAGAGGGAGAGAGAGAAGTGTCTTCGGATCACAATACCCTAGTCTGACCACGATGTTAATGTAATTGAACTTCAATGCCAGTCAGAAGTAGCATAACGTCATACAGGAGGTCGAGGGGTGATCGTTGTCACCGATGATGTTCGAACCAGGCGAGACAGGAAAGGCAGGATGTATCTACACGTCTCTCACTCCACTTCATCTCGCTCGCAACTCTAGTCCACCCCCACCCTCTGCTCCCTCTCCACCATCCGCACCAGCTGCTCCTCCCCCTCCTCCTCCTCCTCCTCCAGCAGCAGCCTCACCAACAACCGCCACGAGCACCGAAATATCATCATGTTTCCCTCCCACATAGTGCAATCCTTCTTCCGTCGCCCTCTGTTGAAATGGGCTCACAATGGCCTTTGCATCTTGAGAAATGGCTTTTGCTCGTGAGGCTAGAGCTTCACTCAGGAGTTGAGGGGAGAAGTCTCGTGGAGGGTAGGGCGTGGAAGAGGAAGAGGGAGGAGCAGGGGAAGGGTTCTCGGAGTCGGGGAGGGAGATGCCGGAGTCGGTGCGGGAGTAGCCGCTAGTAGAGTGACCGTCTTCGTGTTCGTTGTAGCGTCCACGATGCTGGGGCTGATGCTGATGGTTATAGTACTCATCGTCATACTCGTCTCCTTGTCCTTGCACGTGGGACTCGGGAGAGGAAGGAGGTGGAGCAAAGCGCTGTACCTCTTCGATGATATCGTCATCGAAGAGATTGTCCACCAATCCATCCGAGGCGACGATGATAATATCGCCCTTTTGCACCTTGATCGTCCAGCGACCACAGTCCCTTCTTGGCTCATCCCAGGGATGCGCATCGTCGAAACCGACATAGACCGTAGAGCGATCTTCCTCGTCCTCCTCTTCTCCTTCCCCTGACTCCTTTTGCTGACCATCCATGCCACTTTTGGATGAGCCAGTGTTGACATCAAAGTCGTACTCCTCACCCGCCCTCATCTCCGCCTCGAACTCTTCTTCGCTTTTACCTTCGAAGAGAGCTCGACGCTTGAGACCCTCGCGCTCCTTTGCCTTTGCTTCAGTCTCGGCTTGCTGGCTCAGTCCTGCAGCACGTTGAGAAATGACCTCTAGACGACGAGTGTACTCCTGCACGAGGGCCTCGGCTTCGGGAGAATTATAGTCCTCGTCTTGACCCTCTGCATCGCGTGAGGAAGAAGGAGAAGCTGTAGTCCATCCGACTTTACTGGTGTCTTTCCCGCCGGCTTTGCTGAGACCTTCGACGAGGTCTTCAACGTCACGGGTGCCTCGACGCACCATCATTCCTAGCTGGACCGGGAAGTTGAAGGAGTGCTGTTGCTCCTGACTCCGGAAGAGGAGCTCCCCCTTTCGGACAATGAGCAACACACAGTCTCCGAGATTGGCAATTCGGAGCTCGTCCTTGCGGAGGAGAGCCAGAAGGGCAGTGGTAGAGCCGAGGATACCCTCTCGTCGAGCGACCCTGACGCAGCGCTCCCATGCTCGGTGCATCACCTCTACCGGGTCGAGATGCTCGTGTCGCTCAAGAGCTACACCTCGGCTCTCTCCCTCATCGTACAGTCCCTGACCACCAGAGGCAATAGCGCTATCACTCTTCTTTCTCCTCTTCCTGTCGCCTCTCCCATCTGGGCCAGACGAGTCATCCAAAACCCAATCGAACCTGCTCAATTCTACACTGCAAAAGTGCATCAGCAGTCGTGAGAACATGGCTGGATTAGCCCCCGGTCGAGTAGCCCATCCACCCACGCCATCAGCTATTCCGATGGAGTCTGGGCGAAGAAAGTACGAATCTTCGCCCACTTGGACGGAGCGCATCGTCGAGGGGTCGAGCTTCTTCCAAGGTTTCGACGATCGTTGAGTGGGGGCTTGAGCTTTGGGTGGAGGGGAAGGAGGCGTCTGAGGCCCGGCTAGGAAGTCTGCTGCTGCTGCTAGCATGCTGCGGGTACCCTTGAGAGGAGCGCTAGAAGACCCACTTGAGCTGCTGCCTGCTGAGCCTCGACCACCTCGAGGTGAAGGAGCGGCAGCGAGGGGATGCCTTTTGGGTATTCCGTAAGCTCCATGGTGGAATTCGAAGACAGGCAAAGCCGATGGTGTATCCGGAGAGTGGTGAGAGTAGGTCAGGCTCCTTCTAGCTTCCACTCCCGAGAAGGGGTCTACGGAGAGAAGAGAATGCGAAGTGGACGCGACGATGGGTGGGGAACTCGAGAGAGGAGTGGGGACCGCGTAGCTTGGAGGCGCAGTGGTGGGAGACACCTGGTTGCTGCTGGTGACATTATTGGCGACGCTTGAAGTGGCAGGGGGAGGCGCAAAGGTGGGCGAGTTGCGTCCCGAAGAGGCTTGATAGCTCGGAGAGGGCGGTCGAGCGGACTGCCGTCCGGAAGAAGAAGACCCGGAGGACGAACCGTCAGCACTTGAGCGACTGCTACTGGGCCCTTGTCCCCAGTCTTCGGTTGCGGCAGAGTGCCTTGTGGATTGACGTTCTGGGCTACCGCTAGCCGATAGCTTCTCTCCGTGGTGATACTGGGAAGCAGGCGCCAGTGTAGAGAGATGCAGGAGGGTATCGATAGAGGCAGCCAATGACGCTAGAACATCCGCATCTACTGCAGTAGACCTCGTTGCTTTGACTTCCTCGCCGTCTCTGGCAGTACTTTGTGTCCAGCTGATGCCTGCCTTGAGCATCTCCTCCCATCGAAAGGATGGCGCCTGTGTAAGGGACATGCTGCTCTGAGCGCCAGTGGGGCAGGACAGGGTCGTAGCAGAGGTTGAAGCTCTGGCCTGATCGTCTAACTCTACTCCGTCCGAGTCTAGCTCGGTCACAGTGCCTGTACTGGCATGGGCTGATGATCCGTGACTACTCCCCACACCTGGGCCGGGCCAGTAAGGAGAGTTGAGTAGAGAGGCGGCTGCTCGGAGCGATGCAATCGTCGAGAAGGGGGCGGTGGCAGTTGCTGGGCTCCAGCCGTTTGTGGGTCCCATGAGCATGTGGCTTGTGGAAGCAGAAGTACTCGACGATGAACCCGGGCTGCTGGAGGTGGTGGATGGTGACCAGAGGGTACGAAGCTGCCTCGGGGGCTGGCCTCGAGACGTCAGAGTGAGGGAAGCTGGCATGTTGCGAGGAACGTAATGGGAAGGAGCTGTTGCACTTGAGTCTATGGGAGCTTGTGCGAATGCATTACTCCGTATGGCAGAGGCAATGAGGGTGTCCTCTGCAGTCAAGGGTCCATAGACGACTGGTGTTGCTTCCGAAGAGGAGTGATTGAAGCCGGAAGCAGATGCAGATGAAGCAGCAGCAGCAGCCGCTGAAGTAGTGGAGGAGGTGCTCGAACTGGACGATGCCGCCGTTGTGGGTAGGTACAGTTGCGTAATCGTCCCTTCCGGTTCGACACGATTTGCTGCCTCGCCTCCTTGCCTGATCGCAAGCGTAGTGGTGGTAGTCGTAGACGTTGCTTCCTCCTCTATGCTGCCTCTTCTGCTTCCCCTATCCCTCCCAACACTGCTCGCTCCATCAGTACGAAACCCTCGGGCATGGCGCAAATTGTGACTCTCCTGAGTATGAGTTCGAGCAGCAGCACTTCGTGAGCGCACGAGGATGGAGGCTCTGGTGGAGTTTGAGGCGCGCGACCATAGCTGATGATGAGTGGGCAACTTTGTCATGGCGCGTGTGGAGCAATTACTCCAGGGGATTGATAACCGATGTGCTTGAGGATGCACACCAGAGCGAGGTCACAGTGACCCTGTGTTTGTGTGCGTGTGTGGTTGCAAAGAATGATGGAGGGAAGGGCTAGTCGTGGATCGTAGATCACTGCTTCGATGGTGCTGGGTGCTGTGGAGATACGCACGACGCTAGGCTACGTGCAGCCGGGAGGGTCCGGCGCACGCCTCGCCGGGAGCGTGGCTGCGTGCCGGCGGATCGATGGACCCGGGTGATGATCGGCGAGTGGTACCTGAGCAAGTGGCCCTGAGCGTGGAAGACGAGTAGTGTACGCTGAGTCCAAGGGTGGACAGACGATGCTGCTCGAGATACCGAAGACACATTGGGTTGATCTCCACGCCTGCCTTGTAGTCCCCCTTCTGGCTGCTGCTGCCTCTGTGCCCCACAATCATCGTCCCGCCAAGCTCCGACCCGCCTCGATCCTCTGCAACCGCCTTCACTTCCTCTCCGCTTCCCTTCCCGGTCCGCTCCACCCGCACCCACGCACGCGGACCAGAGACGCATACCGAAGTCTTCCAACTCAAATCGTTGCTTCCTTCCTTCCTTTGGAGACTTGCTCCTCCTTGTCCCCACTCTCCCCACCCACCATGTCACCAGACAAAGCAGCCCACATCCAGCCGCGACAAGTAGCAGTCGCAATCGCCTATCGCTTCACTGGAGAGGCCGGGTCCGAGGCAGGTGCAGGCTCCTCCAAGCAAGCGGTGGAAGTGTGTCTTGTCTCCTCGCGCAAGCATGCCAATCGGTGGGTCCTGCCAAAGGGAGGAGTGGAAGAGGGGGAAGATGTGGGAGAGGCGGCTAGGAGGGAGCTTTGGGAGGAGGGTGAGTCTAGCAGGCAGAGGGGCCGGGTGGGCAAAGGACCACTTCTAGGCACTGATAGGCTCATGCTGCTCCTTTCCCCAACTGTTCTTGCCGCTCAGCCGGTCTTAAATCACCCTCCTCGTCACCACCAGCACCTCTCCGGCACGAACCATCCCTCACAACCACTCCCGATCACAAGTCGCATCGCTCTTCTCCTTCCAACGTCTCTCCTAGCGATCCCACCTTTATACCACGGGCAGTCTATACTGCCATCGAGGTGCGGTTGGAGCAAGGGTATGAGGGGGAGGAGCAGTGGCCCGAAAGACACGAGAGGGAGCGGAAGTGGGTTGGGTTCGACGAAGCTTGTGAGCTTGTGAGGTGGAGGGGTGACGCACTTAGGTTGCTGAGGGGGAGTAGCATAGCTTGAAGGAGAGGAGGTGGGTCTGAGGGATGGAGACTGTGTGACTGCTGATGTACTCTAGTATTCCCTCCTTCACTCCATGTACAATATGCATTTCCCTACGAAGTGTTCTAGAGCCGCAAAGTGCTCGAGTCTGCGCACCTCTATAATCCCTGCGGTGGAAACTTCTCCCTCCAGAATGCAGCAATCTCCCCCCTATTCGCACACCACACCTTCCCCTCCTTGTGCAGCTTCTCCACCCTCTCCACCATATCCTTGACCGCTCCAAATCTCCCCGGTCTACCACTGATCCTACAATGCAGTCCAACGGTCATCATTGCCGACTTGCCCTCTTCCTCTGCTTCAGCCAGGAGCGTATCCAGTGTAGCCTGGAGGTAGGCACCAAAGTCTACTCCGGAGCTGAACCCGGGGGCAATAGCGAACTTCATGTCGTTGACCTCGAGAGTGTAAGGCACGATGAGCACAGGTTTGTCTTCTCCTTCCTTTGGATTCTCGACGGGAGGTGAGAGGTAGTAGGGAAGATCATCATCGTAGGCGTCCGAGTCGTAGTACTTCTCCAGCAAACCCTGTGACTTATAGTGCTCATACACCAGTCGACGAGTATGCATCGATACTCGTCCCGTGTACCATCCCAAGGGTGGTGTACTGGAAGGAGAAGCCTTCTGAATTGCTTCGTAGGCTTGACGGATGTGCTGTTGCTCCGTTGAGGGGGAAAGGGAAGCATAGTTGATCCACCGGTAGGCATGCGAGGCTACTTCGCACCCTGCACCCTCCATTGCCTCTACCACTGCCGGGTTGAGCTCAACCGCTTTCCCTACCGCCCAGCTCGTAAATGTAAGACCATGCTTTTTAAACAAACCCAAGATACGCCAAAAGCCTACTCGACTCCCATACGCATAAGTGCTCTCCCTACTCAATTCCCTCTCCTTCAAAGGTCCTCCTACAGAAGCTCCAAGACCATTTTCGGTAAGGAATCCCTCGGCAGCTTCATCTCCATTGAGAAGGGTATTCTCTGCTCCCTCTTCATAGTTGAGGACAAAGGAGATGGCGAGACGGGCGCCGTTGGGCCAAGTGAAGGAGGGAGGGGAAGAGCCGTACCCGATTAGGTCGCGGGAGGTGTGGGATGGTCCGGCGTTGAAGGGCTTCATGGCTGGCAGCAAGGGGTGAGAAAGGAAAGGAAAGGGCGTCGGCGATGTGAGACTCGAGGAGGTGCAATGAGTGACTTGTTTGTGTACTGGGTAGAGCAATGAGGCAATGACAAGATGATACCAAATGAAGTGAGGTGGGCAACGAAGGAGAAGTGGGAAGGAAGGCGGGGAAGAGGAAGAAGCTCGCAGCTGTGCTCCGCCTCGGAGAAAAGCACGGACCGACACGGTGCACGCCCCCCAGCGAGCCACCCCTCTTTGCCCTCTCCCTCCCTCTCCCCGTCTTCCTCTAGCCCTCAACACAGTCTCACATCTGGAGGCAACAAATTTTCTTCGAATGCTAAAGCTTCACTTGCTTTTTTTGATTGGTGTGCGACCGAGAACAACAAGACGTCGAGAAAGTGGATGAAAGTGGGAAGTCGCAGGATAGGGAGTTGCCTCCCAAAGCCCTGCCACGCCCACAAGAGAGAGATACACGACTTTGATGCTGAATCCTTTTCTTCCTGCCCTCCTATGCTCCATCGAAATTTGCTCAGTATTTTTGCTTTCGCCTCCCTATTACCGATTGCGTAGACTAACGAAACGAGACTGGGACGTGAACTGACTGCTGTAGAGTACAGCCTTATGCCTTGACGGCAGGAGCTCCGTTGCCCTTGGTGTGCTGCACGCCGTTGGAGTGGCCATTAGGTGCGCCATTGGCGTGTCCGTTGGCATGGCCATTAGCGTGTCCATTGACACCGTTGGCGTGGCCATTGACCTCCTTCCTGTTCCTGCCGATACCAGTCTGAGCGAGTGCCTCGGCCTTCTTCTGCGCCAGCATCGCCTCTGGGTCAGCTCCCAAGTCTCCAGCATCGGCGTATCCGTCAATTCCGGCTCCACCGTTGGTCTGAGGGTAACGCTGGTTGACGTAGTCCTTGTGGATCTTGAGCACCTTCGTGAACTCCTCGTTGGACACATCGTTGGCAAAGACGCACTTGCCCAGAGGCTTGGGCAGGACCAGACGCTGCAGTCCATCACGGGTCTTCTTGATGGCGTCCATTCCGCGCATCAGCATATCGTAGTCGAAGAGCTCGTGGTCAACGGTGAGTCCGACGCGGGTGACAGTATCAAAGAACTCGTCTCGCTCCTCGGCGCTGATGTAGCCACGGTCGTGGGCAATGGTCACGCAGAAGGCCATGTCGATCATGATGGCATGTCCGTGCCTGAGAGGTGGGAAGGGGGCCAGCTCCAAAGTAGGTGAGATGGCGTGACCAGAGGCAATGACTCGGTCCAGACCAATCTCGTGCAAGTTGGGCGACTCGAGGTCAAGCATGCACTTGATGGCTCTTCTGCAAATGACATCGGCTGCCTCCTTGAGCTCCTTGGCGTAAGCCTTGTCCGTCTCCTTTCGTCCGAAGCCAGAAGTGACAAGGTCGGGGCCGTACTTGACCAACAGGTCCCAAGTGGGCTTCTCAGCTACGTGTGAAATCTTGACAATCTCTGCGAAACCGTTTCGGATCTGACCCTCTGGCAGGGTTCGCAGGAAGTCAAAGTCGAGGAAAGTGTGCATGGGTGCATGGTAGGCTCCCAGACGGTTCTTGAGCTTGCCGTGGTTGATTCCGACCTTGATAGAGATGGCAGCATCGATGAGAGCAATGAGAGTGGTTCCGACTCGGATCCAGTTGGTGGACCTTCGGTACGAGGCGCAAGCGTAACCGCAAACGTCCGAGGCGAGACCTCCACCTACTACCAGGACGGGCTCCTACAAGAGCGGGCAAGGGAAAAGCAGAAGAGACGAGAGAAAAAGTATAGCGAAGCAAGGGACAGAAAAGCAGAGGGAAAAGGCCAGAGGGGAGAAAAAGGGCAGACAGAGGACTGGTCAGCGTCTGCTCAGCTCGCCCAAAGAGCGGCTGCCCCCTCGAGCTCTCCTCTCCCTTGCGCTCTATGCTCACCTTCCTGATCAGACCAAACTGGTCAAAGGCATCGACCATACCCTCGAATGTGTCCATGTTCTTGTTGAGCTCACCGCCCTTGAAGATGTGGAAAGTGACGGGGATCTTGTGAGCAGCAAAGTAGGTCTCAATTGCCTTGCCGTAGATGCTGTGCACCTGGTCATCCACGACTACAAGTACGCGTCCCCACTTTGTGTAGAAGGATGCGAGATCTTCCTTTTGCTGGTCAAAGACATTGTCCACGAAGCTGTAGGTGTAGCGAAGCTCTTCGGAGCCCTGGACAGAGTAGCCGGGCCCGACGGTGTTCTTGGAAGCGGGTACCTCGGTGACCTTTGCGGACATGTCCGAGGAAGTAGTGCAACAGTCTGCCATTGTGGAAGGTGAGTTGGTAGTGGTAGTGGTGGTGATGGTGGTGGTGAAGCTGGTGACGTTTGGTAATGAAAGTGAGTGTGGAGTGGTGACGAGAGTGCTTGGTGCTAGTGCTGGTGAAGTACTGGTATCAAGAGAGGGTGACGGCTGACAGTGACGACGGATACTTTTTGAATTCCACGGGGATGGAGGGTAAGAGTGTGAGTAGGAAGGAAGAGGAAACGTTCGAAGTGGTCCACTGTAGGGCACTAGGAGCTATTTGAGGGCACGGGGCAGGGCTCGTTCTTCGCAGGGTCCACTGTAGTCTTTCTGCACGTCTTGGGTAAGGTGCACCGGAAAATGGTGGAGGGGGGGGACAGCAGCCACGCCTTGGTCTTCAAGCAGGAATGACTAAGACGTGCGGGGGAGACAGCAATGGACAGCATCACCCAGCAGCAGCAGAAGCAGCATCGGACCGAGGTAGCCTAAGGCAGGCAAGGAAAGGGGGGCACAGCACCAGCACACAAGCAGGTGCGGCACACTGACGATGAGCCTGACAGCTTGGAGGAGGAGGAGGGTCGAGGAGGACGAGGAGAAGGGAGAGCCACCTACTCGGCCGCACGTACGTCTGTCCGCCCGCACACGCCCGCACGTCCGCACGCCATTGGGATCTTCCTGCCCGGCGGCGAAGAAGAAGAGGTGGAGATGAGTAAGACGGAATCCACCCACGGCCGCGCCCTGCAGCCAGTCGCGAAGCCCAGATCAAGCTCCGCCCGGCCCCATGTGGAGTGAGGAAGCGAGGAGGGGACCTGACTCAGGAAGAGATGGTGCATCAGGACAGAGGAACACCGAGGGGGAGCCCACTTCGCAAAGCTCGAGAAGAAGAAGCACGAGAAGAAGAACAAGAAGAAGCAGCCAGGAGACGCAGAAGCAGAGGAGAAAGACATTGCAAAGAAGCACGAAAGCTGCACTGCACCGCACTACACTCCTCTGGTCAGGGGTGTCACATCGGGGCTGAGATCCGCCTCAGAAGCTCGCAGTCAGACAGGCAGGGGAGGCAGGGCTGATTGGCTCACTCATCTGTGCAGAGCCCGTGCTTTACCTTCGCCGAAGTGACGCCTTTATGACGACGAAGCGAGGGCCCCGGCGAGCCCAGAAGATGCACCTTTACCGTCTATCCCGACCACCCTTGCCGCTGCCGTGCCAAGTAGATCACACCAGGCCAGCTGACCCTCTTTGCCTCGGCAAAAAGCATAGCATGGCATGGCATAGCACAGCGGCGGGTGACACACACTCACAGAGAGAGCGAGAGAGAGAGAGCCACAGACCACGCGTACACGGACCAAGCAAGACCCACCCCGCCAAGTAGCTCGCCTATTTCGGTCACTGTCACGCCTGTCCTATCCGCACGGCCCAGAAAGCTCACACACACATGCTCACGGTGCACATTGACTGGTGGCAGCAGAATGTCTGAATTGGGTCACGTCGCGACTGCCAGAAGGTGGAAGAGGAGCTTTCAGCTACCCAGCTCTGCTCTGCCTGGCCGGTTGTCTGTGCGGCCATGATCAGGGTCTGACTCACTGCTGTGCGAGCTGGCCGGGGGAAGGGGTGCAATTGTCCGTGCACCTCCACGCGAAGCGAAGTCGCGAGGGGCCCGGTTTCTTCTTGGCCCTGCCTCTGACAATCTGCATGCTTACCAAAGAACCTGAGACGCCCTCCGTCGTGCGGAGCGGAGCGGAACAAAGTGCCTGGCTGGCTTACATGAGCAATGTAGAAGCCCCAGTGGGCGGCTGACAGCTGAACCTCCTCTGCCTGCCGCACGCCCCGGCTTTTGACAGCTGCTACCAGAGCCAGCGAGCGAGCCAGCCAGGGTTGGTCGATCTCGCATGGGTGGTTCTCGCGTGGCCGTAGATCAGCCCGCCCACGGACTATTAGCGTAAGCATTCTTTGTGCCCTGAATCTGCTTGGCTCACCCACGTTGTCTTGCAAATTCGCCGAAGCGGAGAGGAGCGCAGCCAGAGACCGAAGACCGGCAATGGCGGTAGGGCCATTTGTGCACTCATCAAATCTTGTGACACACAATCAACGCACGCACGCACGCACGTCGTAGCTAAGGGAAAATTCATCAGCTGTCAGCCTCCTTTGTCAAATTCGGTTGAAAGCGGGTGGGCTTGAGGAAATTGACAAAGCAGACAGGTGGGGAGAAAGCGGTAGAGGGCCACGTGAAGTAGCATTTTAGCGAATTGGAATGCAATACTGACCTCATCTCAATGGGCTGGCGTCAAGCTAAGATTGAGGCGGCCTCTCACAGCTACACGCACATATGCACACACAGGCACAAGCCATCGAATCTGAAATTTGGTAGCAGTGAAATTGACAATGAGACAGAACGGAAGCTACCAACGAAACTATGCATGAAGGGTGGGCGAGTGGAATCAAATCCGAACGCCGGTTGGGTGATGGTGATGGTGGGCGAGGGGCTTTTGGTCAAATTAGAAGCGGAACAGGACCAAAAAAGGAAAGAGTGCGGTAGGTGAGGAGGTGGTCGAGGAGGAGGAGGATGTAGTGATAGAGACGGTGCAAAGCAGTAACGATGGCAACGGTAGCAGCGGCGAGAAACGAGAGAGACGAGAAGATGTTCCGAGCGTGTGTCGTTGAGCTAGAGATTGTGCCGATTGTCTATCTCCCATGTGTAAACAAAGGAGTGTGTATCTGTGTGAGGGGGGAGGGCCCCTTTAGAAGCGCCTCCTGAGCGTTAGCGCTTGCGCTACAGATGTCGCGGAGGGAGGGCTGTCTATTTGTTTTCGCTGCAAGCTGCCTTGTTGTCTTCTTCGCTCATCCTGCTGGTCTTGTCGATTCATCCATCTAGACGACGACCAGTTGAACTCGGGTGATGGTGACACCTGAGGTATCAAAGTTGGTCCACGTAGTAGAGTTGTACGCCGCACTGACAAAGCAGTCACTGTACCCACTTCCAGAGCACAGCATAAACATCTGCATGGTAGCCGTCGCTGTGCTGCTTCCCGAAGGGTTGGTCCAGTAGGGCGTGAGCTTACCACTGGTGCTCTTTGTCCACACAAAGGCCTCGGCGGCAAAGTAGCCCGTGTCGCTATTCGAGGTGCTGGGGTAGGATGTCGTACTGACAGGAGCCGTATCGGTCAAGAGCAGATACTCGAGCATGTTGGGTTGCACACCAGTGTCAGAAAGGTCTTGCACCTCGAAACCGACGTAGTTGAAAGAACCATAGTCGGACGTATCGTTCATCTGCAGACCTACCAGGCCCGAAATGGAAGAGCTGACCGTCGAGGCGATGACGTTGACGAACATGCCATCCTGAGAGGTAGAATCCAGCAAGAAGGCGTAGGCATCTTCATCTTGAGAAGCAGATAGCAGACCATAGACGCTCGAAGAGGTATAGTCCCTCACTTGAATCTGGCTGGGACCCGCCGAATCGGTGCTGACAGTACTGGTGGACGTCGTCTGGGTACTCGAGGTCGTGCTAGTGGTGGTAGCCTTGGTGCTCGTTGAGGTCTTTGTTGAGATGACAGTAGTCGTCTTGTACCTGTGAATGAGAAGCGAATCAGGGTCAGGAATGGGCGTCTAGCAATCGTGCGCGTGTTGCGCGGTGCTCTACTTACAAAGTGTTCACAACCTTTGGAGTGGTAGTAGAAGTCGACGTGGTAGTGGTCAGCGCCCCAATTGTGGACGTTACTGTGCGCCAGTAGGTAGTCGTTGCCGGCCGAGTGGTAGTGGTAGTGGTGGCAGTGATATATTGAAGGAACTGGGTGAAGGTATCTGTCTCCTGAGGTCCATCGACAGTGGCCGTGGTGGTAGTGGTGGTGCGGACAGTCGTAGACGCCGTGGTGTAACGCACTGTCGTGACAGTGTTGGTCATGGTCTGTGGAGGAGAAAGAGGGAGAAGATACGCGGACGCTTGTCAGCACTGGGCACGTCGATGATTCGTCGGCACCGTCTCATGACTCACTTGAGTGGTTGTAGAGCTTACGTCGGCCTGAGCCACATTCAGCGCCTTGCGCGACTCTGATGTACCGTCCTTGCAGATACACGACAGACTGTAGCTATTCGTGCTCGCCACCGTACATTTGCTGGTCGAAGGTCCGTTGTGACCTACACAGGCAGTATTGCAAGCACTCAAGTATGCCTGGCAGAAGGTCGCTGCCCTCTTGCCCAGCTGATGCAGCTCGACTTCCTCATCCTCGTCCTCGTCCAGGTCACGAGCCTTGGCCGTAGCAGTCGACTTCTTGGTGCTCGATGTCGTCTTCTTTGTGGACGTCGTCTTCTTCGAGCTGGAAGTCGTCTTTTTGGTGCTCGTGCTACTGGTCTTTGCTTTGCTCGAGGAGCTGATCACAGCGGCGCTGTTACCACCTTGGGCCACAACTTGCACAGTCGTCGAATACGCCGTAGTATAGATGGTGGTAGTCGAGGTGACCGCTCCTGCCGTTGCCCCATTGGTGACTACTACTGTAGAAGTGACCGTCGTCAGTCGTGTTGTCGTGCCAGTCGTGGGGGACAACGTCGAGCGTGAGATGATAGTCGAGGTGATGGTGGGCAGCGTGGTGCTTGTGGTCGTAGTGGTGGTTGTGCCAGGCAACGTTGTAGTCGTCGAAATTGTTTTGCAGATCGAGGACGTCGCTCTAATTGTGGATGTCTTCGTAACGGTCTGGACCGTAGTGGCCTGTGCAGTCGCTGCAATCTTCACTGCTCCACTGGGGGCCTGATTGAGTAAAACGTTCGCCGTGTAATCTGTCGTGCCGCACTTACACCGGACATTGAGGCCAAGTGCTGAAGATGTGCTGGATGCTTGACTGCACAGGTAGCTCTTACTGGTCAGATTCAACTTTTTACAGTAATTTGTGCAGTTGGTAGAGAATCGTGAACAGAAGTCGCTGACTTGGTCCCGCTTCACCATTGTCCTCATGGGTGGAGAGTCTCTGGCGAACTTCTCCTTGAGCGAACGCGCTACCGTGGAAGCTGAACGCCAGAGGGACTTCTTTCCATTTGTGTACTCTGCCCTCGCCTGAAGACCTTCCACTACTTCCAAAGCTGGCAGGCGACGCTTGCCAAGCTGTTTCACTGGTCTATGACTACCACCCGCTGCTCTGCTTGCCACATTGCTCCATGTTAGCTCTTTCGCTGTTGTCTCATTTGTGACAGCAAAGACAAAGAGCACAGCAAAGAGGATGCAGCAGCTGCTGCGAAGAATCAGAAGTCGCATCCGATGCTGCCTTCGCCAAAAGCTGCCCTAAGGAAGATGAGGGTATGAAATCGCAATCACAGTCTGGCCATACGTTGAAGAAGAGGAAAGCACCGTAGAGTAGTCGTTACGTATGCGTGAGACAAGAGGCCAGAGAAACCGTGACTAGGCGCCGCGAAGCAGAGGCTGAATCTAGCCTCGATGACGGCGTGAAGAGCAGCGACAGATACGAAGGCGATGAAGTAGTAGGATGATGATGACAATGTGGAAATGGTAAGAGTGACAGCGCAAGAGTGATTGGCGAAGGGGTATGAACAAATCAGCGCAGAGTCCTGCCGATGGGCGAGAATGGGTCAAAGAATAGAAGTAGCGGGGTGAAGATCCGAAACGGACATGAACGCAGTGCTGGGATACCACCACAATGTCTCTCCGGGTGCATGGTCAGCACGGAATCGGCGGAAGCTCTGCCTGTTCCCAATGTCGACTGTCTTCGGCCCAAGGCTAGGCGGGAGTCCGAGGGCGAGACTGGGTGGTAGCAATAGCCGGTCTTACGCCACAAGTTCCCGTTTGCCCATCGTTTGTCTCTGTCGCTCCGCCCAGCATCGTCGTCATTGCTGTCGAGTTTAGAGTACAAGGTTGGTGAGCCGTCGCAAATCTGATGCGACGCACCTCTCGTCCGCTACCTTGAACTACCAATTCCGACACCGATCGTGGACATGGCAAAGTCGGAGGTTTTGGCCATTCGGAGGCAGCAGAAGAGAGCAAGCGAGGCCAAGGAAGCGTGTCAGACCTTGGGAAAATGCAGGTGACATGCAGCCATCTGCCCGCGTAGAAGGTGCGTGGACCCATGGGCCAGCCGCGCGTGGCTTGACGCATGCAGACCTCGGACGAAAGATCACTCCCCCACCGGGGCGCTTGATCGCATAGCACGTCCCTCGGCGAAGCCATCGCTGGGAGAAAAAGGAGGTGTACTTGGCTCGATTCAAGGAGAACATCCGAACGCCTGTTTCGTCCGAGAGCAGCCCGAAATAAAGAATCTCCCTGCCATCTCGATGTGCAGAATACGCCGCGGCCCCTTCCTTTGGCGCAATGGTACCAGCCAAGCAGGCTTCCTTTGTTATGTCAACGTGTCCTTTGTGCCTTCCGACGACCCAGAGTGCCCCGGCCTGATGTCTGATCTTCTCTTTCTTCGCTCAGTGCACCGTTGATGATCGAGTAGCATGTCCCTGAGGCTCCGGCTGACGATGGGCGGCAAAGACGGGGTCTGAGCTGCGATTGCGGTCGACCCGTCAGATCTTGCATCGGAGTCTCAACGTTGCTTCGGTAGAAGCTCAATGCACCTCAGCCACGCAGCAGGACGCTTCTCTCCACCTCTGCGCCACTGCCCTCGGCGAGCTGGACTGTCACACCCAACCCCCCGCATTCATCTCCCACGTCGCCGCATCGCCTCTCCTGCGCCCTCGAGCTTCCAGCGGCGCTATGTCAGTCGTTGCCCTGCAGCGTCATCGCTCTACTGTACACACTATTACTCGGCGAACATACTATGGGCAGCCGAAGCGGACAGTAAGAAGAAGTGGCGGAGCCATAGAACTTTGCTTGACCTCCCCTGAGGGGAAGGGCAGCACAGACTTGTCACCGGGCTTTGAGCGAAGCATTGGACCGCCCCGATGCGATCAAAATGATACTGGCCTAGTCAAGGCCCATTTTCAATGTCGACTCAGATTGTGGTCCTTGCGCAAGCCTTGCATATGCTTTGCTCTGCTACTGCTGTGTGCCGTGGGCCAAGCTCACACCTCCATTTGCCGGTCCGCCTTGCTCGGCGGTCTTGACTCAACCCTGCGAAAGGGGACGGCCGATCTCTGGGTTTCCGCGACACCGATCTTCCCCTCATTGGAAGTTGTGCATCCATCATTGACACAAAGCCCTCTGCCTCGCTTCTCGGCTTGCATCACCTTTCCACAGCACCCTTGACGAGTGCCACCCTCCTCCCCTATAACCTCTCCACACTCGTCCTTCCTAGAGCTGTGTGACCCCGCACCCCCACGACCAGTGATTGAAGTGACTGCGTCATCTTCACGAGGCTCCCACCATATACGCGAACCCACAAGCAGCACTGCTCAACATGAAGCACCACCGTCAGCTGCTGGTGCTGGTACTGCTGCTATGCAGCGCAGCCATATTCTCACATGGTGTTGAGGCTGCATCGAAGAAGACAATTAAGGCATCCTCCAACATTCCGTCTTCATGGGTGAAAAAGGCCACACCAAAGAAGGCGAGCATCATGTCCTTTGACTTGTACCTGAACGCCCCGAATCGAGCGGGTCTCCACAGCAAGATGACCAGTATCTCGAAGAATCCCAAGGCGGCTTGGCTTACAAACGCAGAGGCTGCCGCCTACGTGACCCCTTCCACTACTTCGAGGAATGCTGTGATCAAAGCATTGAAAGCAGCCGGTATCCCTTCTGCCAATCTCACTTGGTCGACCTTGAAAGATCGGGTGACAGTCAAGACGACGGTCAGCAAGGTTGAGTCCTTCCTTTCCACTACCATCTCATCCTATAGTCACAATGGCGAGATTGCCCTGCCAAAGGCCAAGAGTGTCACTCTGCCAAGCAGCATTTCTGCTCACGTCTACTCGGTGGGGACTCTTCTTGCCTTTGGAAGCCCCTCTCTGAACAGAGAGAACTACCAGAGCGCCAGCGACATCACTCTGAGCAAGCGACGTATGTTCGAGTACGCCAATGAGCATGCGGACGAGTCTATGAACCTGGCAAAGAGGACCACAGCACCCCCCTCTACATGCGTGAGCTCTGGTGGACACTACTACAACTACCCTCGATGCTTGATCGACTACTACGGACTGCCGCAAACATCCAAGAGTCTGGCCAGGCGCAATGATCTGGCCATCATTGGTTACCTGGCAGAAAACTTCTCGCAGTCTGATCTTACTACCGCCATGAAGGCTTTCCGAACGGATCAGCCTAACGCTGCAAAGTACCAGATGTATCTCAATGACCTTCTTGGCGCCACCAACTCTGGTTCAGACCCCTCTGGAGAGGCTGCTCTGGACTCGCAGATTGCTGTAGGCTTGACCTATCCTCTTGAGAGCACCTACTACAACATCGGTGACAAGTCTGGCACTACAGTGGGTGCCGACACGGGAGACATCTTCCTGTCTGCCTTCCAGTACTTCCTCGAGCTAGATGCGTCTGTTCGACCTTCGGTGATCACCGTCTCCTACGGTATCTTGGATGAAGCTTCCATGACCTCCACTGCCGACGCCATGTGCAACGCTGCTCAGCTCCTGTCCGCCCTTGGTACAACGGTTGTCTTCTCGGCGGGCGACTCTGGGCCAGATGGTACAGCCCGAGCTCAAAGCACTCCCTACCCCGACGCCAGTGGCTCCTGCTTGCCATTGACTCCCTCGTACCCTTCTGGCTGCCCTTACATCTTGTCAGTGGGCGCCACAACGGGCTACTATGAGGCTGAGCAACCCGTCTACTATGGTACGCCCTCGGGTCTCTCCGGCTACAACTGGGCATGGGCTACAGGTTCTGGCTTTTCCGAAATCTGGAGCACGCCAGACTACCAAAGCTCGGCACTTTCCAAGTGGGCTGCTCGTTCGAATTCTCTTTACTCGAGCGCCACAAAGGGCCAATATACTTCTACAGGTCGAGCCTTCCCGGACGTGACTGCGCTGGGCGTAGACTACCCCATTGTCATCGGTGGCAGCGCCTACCTGCAAGCAGGAACATCAATGTCCAGCCCCGTCTTTGCAGCTCTACTGGCTGTTTTGAATGGCGAGCTACGCGATGCAGGACAGCCTACTGTTGGGTACGTCCAACCCATGTTCTACGCGAACCCATCGGCATTCAAGGACATCACCATTGGCGGTTCTTGGTGGAAGTGCGGAGCAGGAACCACCACCACGGCGCAGACCTATGGATTCAATGCGACCGTTGGATGGGATGCCGCTAGTGGACTGGGCTCTGCCAATTACTCATCCTTGGCGGCCCTCTACGGCCTCTGAGGAGCGGCTTGCTTCGTCGCTTATGCGCGTCTTAGGCAGGTGGGCTTTTCGCGCCCCATAGCCTTCTCCTCATTGCGGACGGACAATTGTTGCTTGCCTCGTTGTTCATAGCGGTCGAGTTGTCCCCAACCTTACTGTCTCTGCGGTCATTGTTTGCTGCTTGTTCGCTCCCATAGTCTCTGTAATGTACACAGTCTGTTTGACCCGTCTCATCGCCCAGTGCACGTGACCTTATCTCTGGGTCTCCTTATCTCTGCAACTCACTTCTTCTCGTCGGACCTTGAAACGCGTGGCCTTTTTGCCGGGAAATCGCTTGCCTGTCCGATTTGCGTCACTCAGTGGCTAAGACAGGAGAAGCGAAAAGCGCTGCGTGTGCGCTGATGGAAGCTCTATGTTCTGTAGTCTTCGTCAGACGGGTATCCTCGCCTGCACTGGGGTCCCTTTGGGTTGCACAACCCTGTTCGCAGAGCGTAGACGTCAAGGACCATGGCTCACAGTCAGCGACGCAGGGCGGGCTTGGCCGGCTTTGCGAGAGCGGACATCGAGGAGTGATGCCTTGCTCACCGGCGAGGCCCCACATCCTTTGTCCTGATGCTCATGCATACCAAGTCTATGGTGGGGCCGAGTCGGGAAGCCTCGGAAGACAGTACAGAGCTGGTTCATTTCGGAATTCAGGCGGGGTGGGAGTGGCGCAAGGCGGCGGGCTGTCGTGTGAGGCTCGTTTCCAGTTGCCGTCCGCGTGCCTGCCCGCATGTCTGGCTCCCTCGCACGGCCGATCTGCTGCATAAAGGCACGGGCGTCTGGTCCGTGTGCTGCGAGGTGTGCGATCTTCCCTTCCTCCTGGCGACTTGGGCCAGGCTGATCGACTGACAAAGTGACAGAATGGCTCACCGAGAATCCAAAGCCGAGGTGCCTCCTCCCCACTGTCCTGCATCTGTGTCTCTTTCAATTATTCTCTTCGGCCGCACGAGCTTTCTTTCCTTTCTTTCTTTCCCCATTGATCTGACAAGCTTACACTTGCCTCTCAGACACTACCTTTCTTTCAGTCCTCCTCACCAATCATGTATCCAAACACCCCTCAGCCAGAGTTCGAACAGGTACGTACTCATTGACTCTCGCCTTCGTCAAGGGCAGCCCCAGAACGAGAGGCTAGCTTGTGATCACAACGAAGACAGTCCGAGCTCACCCAAGACTCTATACCCCATGCTATATCATTCCCTTGCAGGCTCGAGATGAGATCTTCTCGACTCTGAAGCCCTTCTTTGAGAAGAATGAAGAGTACAAGAAGGTCTGGGACATCATCTGTGTTCCCGAGCAGGTTATCAGCTTCCGGTGAGTGACTGCACAACCAAGGCGCCTGCATGGCTCGCCGCCTTGTCCGCTTTTACCCTCCTATTCAAGCATCACTGAGCCGTGCCGAGTCGAGCTGCCTCTGACGCCATTTACTGCCATACCGTCTTATCTCTACGCTTTCCATGCGCCCTCGTGCACTTGATTCCCTCCCCGCTTGCTAGTGTCGTCTGGGAGGATGACAAGCACGTCGCACGGGTGAACTGGGGTTACCGAGTCCAGCAGAACTCTGCCCTCGGACCTTACAAGGGTGGTCTCCGATTCGTGAGTATCCGCGGTATGGACGATGCTGCGACTCTCACAAGCCCCGAAGCAGCTTCCTGACCCTCTGTGCAATCCTACCGCTTCCAGCACCCTACCGTGAACCTCTCCATTCTGCGGTTCCTTGCTCTCGAGCAGGTGCTGAAGAATGCCCTCACCGGTCTCCCCATGGGAGGTGGAAAGGGTGGATCCGACTTTGACCCCAAGGGCAAGAGTGACGCTGAGATTCGCCGTTTCTCAAAGGCCTTTGGAACTGCTCTCGCCAAGCACATTGGTCCCGACACTGATGTTCCCGCAGGTGACATTGGTTTCACTGGTGAGAATGCCGGTTACGTCTTTGGTGTTTACAAGCAGCTCAAGTCGGAGTGGTCTGGTATGATCACCGGTAAGGGACCCGACTGGGGAGGATCTGCCCTCAGGCCCGAGGCTACCGGTTACGGTCTCGTCTACTACGTCGACCACATGATCAAGCTCGTCGAGGGCGCCCAGGGCGGCTTCAAGGGCAAGAAGGTCGTCGTTTCTGGTTCCGGTCAGGTCGCCCAGTTCGCTGCTCTCAAGGTCATTGAGCTTGGTGGTACCGTCCTTTCCTTCTCCGACTCCAAGGGATCGTTGATCGCCAAGGGAGACGCTAGCTTCTCCGAGCAGGACATCGAGGAAATTTACAAGATCAAGATTGCCCGAAAGGAGCTCTCCACTCTGGGTGACAAGGGTGGAAAGTTTGAGTTCCACGCCGATGGTGCTCGTCCTTGGAAGCTGGTCAAGGCCTACGATGTTGCTCTCCCCTCGGCCACCCAGAACGAAGTCGACGAGAGCGACGCCGAGGCTGTGATCAAGGCTGGTTGCCACTTCATTGCCGAGGGTTCCAACATGGGTTGCACCCTCGAGGCCATCCAGGCCTTTGAGAAGACTCGTGCAAAGGACGGCAAGAAGGGTGTCCTCTACGGTCCAGGCAAGGCTGCCAACTCTGGTGGTGTGGCCGTGTCTGGTCTGGAGATGGCACAGAACTCGATGAGGCTCAAGTGGTCTGGTGAGGAGGTGGACACCAAGCTCAAGGGCATCATGGAGGAGTGCTTCAACATCTGCAAGACGACCGGTGAGAGCTTCGGAGACGGTGCCGAGGTTCCTTCGCTGGTTGCTGGTGCCAACATTGCCGGCTTCAAGAAGGTAGCCGACGCCATGAAGGCACACGGTGACTGGTGGTAGATGCAATGTAAGAAGTAGAAACAAACAAGATCATAGATGATATAGATGATGAGGACATGGCGCGGGAGCGGTGACGGCGGCTGTGACTGTCCCTCCTTGCATAGCTGTCCCGCCTCGCACTATTTTATCAATACACGTATGCTCAATTGCTCAAATGAAACAGTCTGATCTGATTGGTGTTGCTAATGCGGAGAGAGCCGTACGATTGTTATGCGATTTTCGTTTTTGGTCTGTATCCCATGAGAGTCTTCTTCACCCCTGTCTTCCCCCTGCCTCCCTTCACACACTTCCTGACATTCGCGATTACGAGTTCTTAGCCTTCTGCTTGTTCATCTCGGAGCTAGCATCATTCTTGACCTCCTTCATCTTGTCACCCATGGCATCGGTAGCAGCGCCCACCTTCTGGCCCATGGTGGCATTGTCACTCTTAGCCTCGGCCTTGTTGGCTTCCTTTGAGGCAGCAGCGCCTGTACCGGCTACTGAGTCAGCTACAGCCTTGCTACGAAAGGAGAGGAAAGGAGAGGAGAGGGTAAAGAATAGTTGGTCAGGATGATGAGCGAGGCTAGTTGTGAAGAGGGCTTGACGACGTCGCCTTTGCCGGTCTCGTGACTCACGCAGCATTCTTGACAGTGTTCACTACAGTCTCGGGTGCGGACTTGTTGAGGAGGTAAGGAGTGACACGGAACATGTTATTGAATGTGAGGGTTAGGTGGTTCCTGGAGTCAGACGATGGAGTGAATACAAAGAAAGTGATGTGGTTGAGGGATAGAGGAGGGAAGACACGGCGCTGACCTACTTGTAAGGTTCCCCTGCCCTTCCCACCCGGCCCCCTTCTCCCCCACCTCTCCCCGGGGCGGGCTAGGCGGGCTGCGTCTGTGCAGTGGTGTGCGCCGTGCTGTCAGTGTTGCATCTCAACCTTGGCCGAGTGACATGCGGGGTTGGGAGCCTAGACCCTTACGCCGCTAGACGTCCTCGTATTTCCCTCCACACGTGTCGCCTGACAAGTGGAGCAGAAGCGAGAAGGTGAAGGTTGAGGGGAAAGGTTCGGAACGGAACAGGGGTGCGATGGGTGATCGGGGATCGGGGATCGGTGCACAGACCTCCCCGCGCTGGTGATGCTTATCTTCTACCCCGCATCCCTCCACTGCTTGTTTGGAATCCAGCCAGCATTGGGATCATCGGCAGTACCATTTGCATCTGCCCACACTCCACAACCTTACATACCACACCATCTCCACCTCGCTCCGATTTGACACACTCTCCCCAGCATGTCCTCCAAATCCGTCCTCATCCTCCTCTCCCACGGGACCGAAGAGATCGAGTTCGCAACAGTCTACGACGTTTGTGTTCGTGCCGGTCTCTCCCCCAAATCCGTCTTCGTAGGTTCTTCCTCCCAATCAGCCGAAGACCCCCATGGCGTCTCCTCTTCGACGCCCGAAGCACCCTATGCTGCCACTCTCTCGCGCGGGCTAAAGGTACTGCCGGACTTGAAGTTACCGGACTTGGCTGGGGGGAAGAAGGCGTTCGAGTTCGACGCAGTGGTTATTCCTGGTGGAGCCGAGGGGGCAAAGACGATTAGCGAGAATGGCGATGTACAGAGCCTCATTGCAAAGTATTATGCAGATGGGAAAGTCGTCGCAGCGATTTGCGCGGGGGTGTTGGCAGTCAAGACGAGTGGGATCGCAAAGGACTCGAAGCTGACGAGTCATCCGAGCGTAAAGGATGAGCTCTCCAAAGGTGAGAAGCGGATAGATCGATAGCGAAGATGTGCTGTATGCTGTGTCCACTGACAGCGCCATCGTCGTTGGTCCCTCTCGGTTCGAACATCCCCTAGACTACCGCTACTCCGAGGACCGGATCGTCATTTCAGACAATCTAATCACATCGTGAGTGCCCCTTGCCCCCTCTTCTCCCCTCCCAAATTTCGCCCATCTTCTCCTCCTACTCTCGCTCAACTGACCACCATCTCCTCCTCCTCCACTACTACCACCATTACCTCCGTCCCTTTCGCATGACTCATACAGGCGCGGACCCGGCACCTCCCTCCTCTTCGCACTAAGTCTCGTCGAGAAGCTCCTTGGCCCAGAGAAGCGCGAGGAGATTTCCGGACCGATGATCTTGTCCGATAAGCTCTAGGCGATCTACTCCAGAGTAGAGTAGGGTTGGGCTTGCTTAAGGACTCGCGGCAAAGAAGGGGTTAGGGTAAGGGCTACAACACGCCACGGTAGGGCTTAGGGTGGAGAAATGAAGGAGAATACGACGATGAGTCTTGAGCAAGCAAGAAAGTTGAGGAGGAAAGGAGGAGCAGGAAAAAAAGGAGCACAATCACCCGTCCAGATCCAAAGAAGCAGATTTAGCTTAGCCAATATGACGGAATGAAATCCAATACCCCTTCTACAACCAAACAAACGTAACCTGCTATGGTCTCAGTCTTTGCTTGAAGGCGCAGTCGTAGGACCATACCTACCCTCGAAGGAGACACGAGTAGGGAAGGGGAAAGATTGCACGCTCCCTCGCTCCCTCGCTCGCTCGCTCGCTCGCTCGTTTCCTCCATCTCGCACTAAGCATCGACTGCAGACGTTCATAGCATAGTGTAGTATTCATTCTGAGAAGCGAAGCGAAGCGAACAAGACCTAGTGACACTCAGAGGCGAAGGGGAAGGCGAAGCAAACTAAGAAATTAAACAAAAAGGGGTGATGGGTGATGAACGGTGGGAGTGCTCAGCAAGGAAAAAAGTAGCAGCAGCGGTAGCGGGTCTCCAGCCTACTTCTTGCGGGGTTGTACACGAAAAGACAGTGGTGGTGGTGTATGCTCAAGAAGTCGATGGCACAATACGCTAGTGGAGAGAGGGCGGAGAGAGCAACCTCATGCTAGTGCTGTGCCGAAGACGTAGTCCCAGAACTGTGAAGTGAAATGAAAGAAAGAAAGCGGTCAGCTGCTGCATCCGAAGAACCTGTATTCGCCTAATCGCTCTCGCTGCTCACCTTGGAGGTAACGCCAAACCCAAGATCGTAAGCCTTGTAGTGGTGCTCGAGGTGGTACTGCTTCATCGACCTGAGGTACGCCGGTAGCTTGGTGTGATGCAGCGCGTAGTGCATCATATCATACACGACGTACATCGCAAATGCTCCCGCAATGACTCCATTTGCCATTGCTGCCGAAGGGAAGATGGCATAGGCTAGTCTTGTGAAAGGGAATGAGAGGACAAAGAAGAGCAGGGGAGGCATGACCAATCGTAGCCTGTCCATGGGTAGGTAGTGGTGGATTCCGTGCAGGAGGAAGTGTAGTGTGAGGCAGGGACCGTTGTTGGGAAGGAATTCGTCGACGTGGAAGAGGAAGCGATGCAGGGTGTACTCCAGTAGTGTCCAGATGAATACGCCCGATGCAAAGCAGGCCGTTGTGTAAGCCATTGCTACTGGGCTCAACTTGACCATGTGTTGGAAGGGCACTAGCTCTTCTTGGCCATGCTCGAGGAGAGTGTACTGCTGTGCTGATCGGTAGAATAGAGAGGCGGCAATGGGTACCCAGATGAGAGGCACGACATACCAGGATGTACGTGTGAACATCTCTAGATAGTCTGGACCGAACAGACGAGCAGGTTCCTTCAAGTGGCGAGGCGAGTGTACCTGAGCGAGGTAGAACTCCTTGTCGAACTTGGCATTCCACACCTGCATGATCAGGGGCTTGGACAGATCCAGGAAGGCATGCTTCTTGTAATCGGCGTGTACATCCGAGTCCTGAGGCACAAAGTCATCGGTGATGATGATGTCCTTGTCCTTTCCTGTGAAATCTGCTCCGCCATCTTCTGCATCTGCACAAGCTGCCTCTTCCTCTTGTGTCATTGGCAGTCGTCCAATGTAGTACTCTTCCAGCAGCTCATAGGCAGATGTGGAGTGGGCATGCTCAACGACGTCGTCCATGATCTCTCCCATGTCCATACCAGCGTACTTCATCACCAGATCATCTCCTCCGGGATGGTCGGGGACGAAGTCGGTGACGTCGTACACCTTTCCACGTCGGGCGACCCAGACGGAGCTCTCCTTGTTGTGGCGTGCCATCATGGCACTCGAGATGAGGCGAGTGCGTCGGGCAGCTGGCGCGGGCGAAGGGGCAGGGTTGCCGGCAGACATGGTGATCGGCAGGGAAGGGGAGGAAGGGTGTGGTAAGAGGTAGTGACTTGTGGCGCAGTCAGACGGTACTGCCGGTGTTGATGTGAGATGGAGTGGCGGGGTGAGGGTCAGCGGCGTGAGTGGCGAGGGGTGAGCGCTGACTGCGTGAGTAAGTGAGTGTGTGTGTGTTGAGAGAGGAGCGCAGAGGGCGAGGTGTGTAGTGGGAGTGGCGATGGGCAGGAGTGGTAGTGAAGATGGAATGGTTGATGGTGATGGTTCACTTTAGGGGATTCTCCCTGCCTGCGTCCTGTCGGCGGGGAAATTTAGACAGAGTGGCTTCTGCCTGTGTGTGTGTCCGCCTCGGCTCTCAATCGCCGCCCGCCCGCCGTGTGTTGATCTCGGCTCATTCAGGCTCACCCTTGGGCTCAGCCTCAGCCTCAGCCTCAGCCTCAGCCTCGGCTCCCTCGGCTCCTCACCAGTCCTCGGAGCCGACGTGCCCCCACCTCCGCTTCCGCTTTCCGTCCCAGGGCTTCCAGTATAGCAAGCAGCCCTCGAGGAGTGGTCAGACAGACCTTGGTTCCTACGTACCCTCTACTTGCTACTACAGCACACCTCGACAAGACAATGGCGTCGGATACAGCACCACCGCCTCCACCGCCGGCAGATGGCAACGACGATGTCACTCCTCCTCCGCCGCCGCCCGAAACAGACGAAGACAAGGCTGCAGTGGTACAGCAGCCCTCAAAGGGGTCTCCTAACGACTTTCTCAAGAGTAAGTAGCGTAGTGCAATCAAGCAAGGGCAAAGGGAAGGCGGAACGCTACTGCCTACGTCGAGAAAGTCTTCCAGAGTCTCTCGAAGAGGCCATGGTGAACTGCGCTGACATCACTCTCTCCCCCTCTCGCAGACGTGATCGGCAAGCAAGTAGCAGTGCGACTCAACTCAGGAATCGACTACCGGGGTGAGTCACGCTCAAGTGCTTTTTCCCGGCCCCCACGTTTGAGCTTACACATCTCCATCTCTTTCTCGCCTCGCATCGCTACAGGCACCCTCTCATGTCTGGACGGATACATGAACATTGCCCTCGAGGAGACGACGGAGTGGGTGGGTGGGCAGCAAAAGAATTCCTATGGAGATGCTTTCATCAGGGGGAACAATGGTGAGTGTGGAGCGGACCAAAAAGATCTCCAGAGGAAGACTTCTTGGGCGAACACACATGCTAAGCCTTTCGCTTTCACCTTCTCCATTGCGCGTACACCTCTTTTGGTCCCCCATTCGCAGTATTGGTGAGTCTACGCACAGTCTTGAGATGATCTGCATCTATCCCTATTGGCAAGCTACTGACGCTTTCTCCTCCTTTCACTCTTGTACACTCCACAGTACATCACCGCGCTGTGAGGATGGATGAGGTCAGATGCAATAGATTACATTCGGATACTCTTCACGTCTCAGAGGCGCAACGGGTTCAAGAGTGTTCCCGTCACTGATGTCTGCCCATGGAGGCGAAGCTCTCACTTCCTCCATCCTCTCCGCTCCTTCCTCCTGCCCCACTCCCAACCAGTCACGACTGATTCCCCGTGCTCACCCACTCCCACTCCACCTGCACCCCCCTCAAGCCCGTAATCTTCTTTGCAAAATCCACCTCCTCCCTAGCAAAGCGCACCGTGGTCCTATCCCCCCTCCTAATCTCCCCCGCAGAACGAGGTTCCTCAAAGGCAGGGATCAACCACACCCATCCGGCCGAAGAGGCAATGTCCGGGAGGAGAGCATTGAGCACCTTGTTGCGCGATTGAACTCGAAGGCAGAGCTCGCGATCCGGAGAGACGAGGAGACCTTGGGATGCCGAAGAGGACGGGGAATGGGAAGGAGAAGGTGGGGAGGCTGCAGACGGGGCTTTGGAAAGGGAGGCTAAATTGGCCTTGGACGAGGCGTTGCTGCTGGTAGGATCCAGATCGAAGTGGTGCCACACCGTATCGGTGCTATGCCCCTCTTCACCCGCTTCCTCACCTCCTCCGACGACCCTCTCGCTCTCCTTGAGCTTGGCAAACCAATCGAAGAAGTCGAACTTACGCCCACTGCCGCCGCTGCTGGGAGTATCAGGCCAGTGGAAACGGCGCGCTTTCTCTGCCTCGGTGACGACGTCGAAGCCCCACTGCCCTACACCTTCCTCGTTGCCGTGTTGCGCCAGCCGCTTCGAAGACGATTGTGCAGCACTGCCCTTCCCCACGTCGTTGGAGTCACCGATAGCAGGACCTCCAGTGGCGTCTCTCGAGTCAGAAGAGCCAGAATTTTTGACGCTTTGCCTTCTGCGGGCGTCTCGCTCAAAGTCTTCGAGCTGCGTGACCAGAGCAGTATCGTATTGGCCTACAAAAAGCTTGAAGCTGTCCAATTTGCCGAAATGACGAGCCGCCGAGATAGCGCTTCTATGGCCTCCGCCTGGTGTAGCATGGGACGCTCCGTTCGTCGAATCGACGCTGGAGGTATCGGCGGACGTCTTGAGGTCTTGCAGGATACTGATGCGCAGGATGCGGATCACTCTGGAGCTCTGCGCTGGTGCGAGGTGCGTCAAGGAAGCTCGCGCATCTTGTTGCGCCAGTAGCCGCGCCCAGTAGCCCATCCAACGACGTTGCGAGGCAATTGACACTCCTACGCGCCCGACCAGAGAGGGACTCTTGTGATCGTCGTTCTCGTCTTGCGATTGGTATGGCGCCTGTGACGTGGTGTCGAGTGAGGCGTGCTCTCCGCGGGAGTTGGGCGACGTTGTGGCATCGGGCGATGCGTCGCCTCCGTTGGCGGCAAAACCTTCACTTTGTGCCAACCGCCTGCCCGCATCTACAGAAACGCTCTGCACATGAGATATCTTACCTCCAGGTGTGAGACCCAACGCCATGGACTTCGGTCGTTGCAGATCCGCATGGCTCGTCAGTCCGTCTGCCGCCTGTGCATTAGCGTAGTTGGCAGAAGACACAGTGTTCATCGAGACAGCTAGCGGCCCAGCGCTTGCGGCTTTTGGCTTCATCCGCTGCGAAGAATGGAGCGCGAGAGCGGCTTCTATCTTGCTCCGCCAGACTGATGGGTCGTACTCATTGCTCGTGATTGCTTGGGCCGATGCCCCAGACTTTGCATCCTCCGCTGGAGAGTCAAACAGAGCATTCTGCGCCAGTCCTCCAGTCGGGATGTCCTGTCCGCTCTTTGTCTTGTGCTTTGCGATGCTGATGTTCCGCAACTCCCGGGGCGGTAAGGGGAGCTTGGGAAGAGAGATCAGGTAGCTGCAAGCCATTGTGCCCGAGCGGCCCTTGCCAGCTGTTCGGACAGTAGTCAAGAGACGTGACAGCCTCAGCCTGTGTGATCATGAAGAGTACTCCTTCGACATGATCTGCAAGCACTCACCTTTACAATGAATGACTATGACATTCTTGGGGTCTTCGGCTAGCCAGGCGGTCATATCCGCCACAGCCATGGGTATCAGAGACAAGGGAGGCGGCTGATGATCCGGAAATGGGTATCTTGAGACTGGGAGTGGAAATCGAGCGCAAGCATGAGTAATAGTTCGTGGGAGTGTCCTGCCTCTAGATTCCGGCTCACCTCTGCCATAAAAGTCCTCTTCGTCGTATTCGCCTTCATCTTTGGGCCGGAAGTTCCACACTCGCCACCCTTTTCCATGTCTCTCATCGAGGAAGCGGCGGACCTCATGCCGATTGTTGCGCCATACTGTGGGTACGCCCGTCGACGGGAAGGCCATGATGAGCAGACGATCTGTACGGAACGATCGTCAGAGTAAGTAGGTATGCCGGCGTAGCGATGAGCGACTGGTGCTTTCAGGCATAGCAGCACTTATTTGCGTACTTCTTCTCACTCACCTGTGATGTAGACCAAGTCAAGATCGACTCCATCCTGGACAAAGCGCGCCTGTCCCCCAGATACGAGTCGCTTTAGGTGCAGAGACATGGTCGGCAGGCGTTCGCAGGCGAGCCAAGAGGCTGGTCGGGCCTGCTATAAAGTATAGAAGCAGCTCGCTGGTTTATCTAGATGCATTGTTGTCGTTGCTGGGTGATTCGAGACATCGTGTGCACGTAGGGAGCAGAGTAGAGCAGGACGATTCTTCCCGCACTTTGGCAATCGACTGCAGCGCAGCGACAGGTCCAGCTTTCTCACTGGATCGCCGTGAGGTCCGGGAAGGTCCGAATTGAGGGTCAATGGGGCCTTGATGGTGATATGAGTGATAATGAACGTCCGAAGGAGGGCGAGATGAGTCTAGTAGCGTAAGTAAAGAGTAGCACTGCCAGAAATAGCCTTGGCCTGATCTCAACCCAACACCTCCACACAACACCCTTCCGCCTCGCTTCGGCAGCCGAGCAAGCTTCCCCTATCCGTCGCCTTTCGTGACGACTCACCTCCCACCTGTCCTTTTAGCGTCCTGCTACTCCTCTTCTCCCAACCCTCACTCCAAACAGGCCGCTTCCTGAGCTCACTCCCGCTCTCTTTATACTCTTCTGATGCGAGTCTGAGCAGATCTCGCCCGGAGCGCAGAGAGGGCGACGCAACACCCTGAATAGCTCGGCCAAGCACTCTACAACCCCACATCCTTGCATCCTTCCTGCCGCCTGACTAGGTGCCCCACTGCTCCTCTCAGTCGCGCAATCTCATGACTAGCAACTCATTCCACCCGCTTTCTTCAGCCCCAGGGGAAGGGTCGGAGGAGGCCTCACACGAGACGAAGCAGACGTCTGGATCGAGCAGCGCTGACGCCGCAAGCTCAGGACCTGCCCTACCTAGCTCTGTCCCACCAGGAGTAGATGCTCGGGCACACGTAGATGAACAACAAGAAGGCTTGAACATGGCTCAAGCAGAAAGAGGAGGAAGCGAGGGAGAAGGGCAGCGATTCGACGATAGAGGTACAGAGGAGGGTTCTGGATCCGGTGGCCCTGTCTCTAGGTACTATACTGGTCCACCTTCGAAATACTCCTTCTTTGGGAAGAAGCAAGTGGGAGTCATCGGAGAGCACTTGCCGATGGAGATTATCAGGTGAGTCTAGAGCAGGCGTGGGAAGCAGTATACGACGTAGGACTCTAGAGGTGGTGGTGCTCAACCCCACTCACTGCCTCTGCCCATTTGGCGACCAAACACAGAATCGAGCGAGACTACTCCCTCGCCCCCTCGCACATTCCGCAATTCCACCCTACCTTTCCACTCGAGTTGGAAGGACGAATTACCCCAACGCACTTTTCGGAATTGATCAACGATATCAACGAGTTGCTGATCCAGGCCAACGACCCAGGGTGGGCAGCACTAGACAATATGCTGGCGGTGGTGACATTGTGGATCAGCCCTTGGGTGCTGGGTAGTCGCTATCAGAGAGTGAGTGGTAGCTGAAACGAGCGAGTAAGAGAAGGCGCTTACTGATTTCTCACTTGCTATCTGCTCTTGCTTCTCACAGAAAAGCCGCGAGCTGGTGCGCCTCCTCGCAGATCGCAATCGGACACTGCTCAACCCAAGCGGGCTGAACCTGCTACATCCCAGCAGCAAAGCATGGCTCTACCTTGAGCTCGAGTACTATTAGCGAGAAGACGGGAGAGCAAGCGATTCAAAAGGAGGAGACGGGCTTGCGGAGAAGAATAGTAGGGAGAGGAGGCGGGAGGGCAGCGCGGAGCGAGCAGAAGAGGGTGGGATCAGGTCCATAGCAGTCCAGGCAGAAGACAGACAGCCAGTCACGTTGGCTACAACATTCGGATATACCCATACTTGTCACATCACCATCGCATCATCCAGCATCCTCTAGCCATCAGTCATTCACTTAGCGCCAGTGCCGTCGCTTTTGTTTCGCAAAAGTATGGCCGTGATTTGGGCAAAAAGTGTGTGATCAGGATGGGATTCGAACCCATGCGGTTGCCCACTGCGACGTTCAAGACACGAATTCCTGAACACAGCGCCATAACCACTCGGCCACCTGACCCCTCGGACTTAAGGAGGATAGTTTGAGTCGCTAGATGGTATATGAAGATCACAACAAGGGGAGGGTGATTCAGATGTCGATCAGAGGGGCGCTTGGACCACTCCGAGGTAGACTACGGACAACTCCTTCCGATTTGTCAAATCCTCCACTCCCGTTGCGCCTCCTCACTCATAGCTATAGCTCTCCCTTTGATCTCCTTAACTTGGAGGTCTCCTCTCACTGACATTTGAGGATGTCCCGCAACTCATGGGGCGACCCCATCGGTCCCACTTCGACGGAGAAGGACTGGACTTCCTCGGAGGTGGGCGTGAGCACGCAGGAGCAGCAGGCCGGTCAAGCTGGTAGAGCTGGAGCTGGAGGAAAGACTGACTTTACTGAGAAGGAAGGTGAATGAGGAGCTGAGAAGAGTGCTCGAGGTGTTGAGGAGATGGCTGACGACTGGCTGACACTTCTGCCCCTCTCGCCGGGTCTGTATTCTGCAGCACAAGCCATTCGAGAGCTCAAAGCATCGACGACTTGGTGGAAGACGGTGAGTCCGCACGGGACAGTCGCTTCTAGAGCTCACTTACAACTCTCTGACACCGACTACTCGTCCCCTCCTTCTCTGCTTCCTTACAGATCGGTCGCATCTCGGGCGGCGCCACTGCCATCTTCCTAGCACGTCGTCGTCGGCCTCCCCCAGGTGTCCTAGGCAGTCTCGGCTTCGGTCTCCTCGGCACTTTCATCGGCGAAGGTCTCAGCTTACCTTTTGCCATTCTAGCTGGTGGGAGAAAAGCGATTAGCTCCGTGGAAGATCCAAAGCACTTTGCGAAGGTGTTGCAGGAGAGACAGGCGATGCAGAATGGTCGGGGAGGACTGCCGGGGATAGGACCGCGGATGGGCCAAGGACAGAGCCAGAGTCAAGGACAGCAGGGACAGCAGCAGGGTGTTTTGGGTAGGGATTTGGCTGGTGACAAGGAGTTTGGAACGAGCGGTGGTGAGTCAGAGCATTACAAGGGAAGTTGGAGAGAATCAGCGCATGTGCAGCAGTGCTGACAAGACCTCTGGCCCTCTCTTTCTCCGGCCCACTAGACTTCAAAGACTCATCCTTTGGCGACTTTGGCGCCGCCTCCTCTTCCACCTCAAGCTCCACTCCCAGGTACCCCTCATCACGGCAGCAGACCCCTTCCTCTCCCATCTCCAGCAGTAGCAGCTCCCCTTCCTCTTCTTCCTCCCTTCCACCTCCCTCCTTCGACGTGCCCCCAAACTCCATAAGCGACCCCTTCTCTCCGAATCCTGCCTCTGCCCAGGGTGGCAGTGGCAGTGGCAGTGGGGGAGCGAGGAGACAGGGTGGGTCTCGATGGGCTGAGTTGAGGGGTGAGGCGCAGAGTGGAGAGAGTGCTTGGGCTCGGTTGAGACGGGGTGAAGGACCGCCGGGACAACAGTCGCAGCAGCCGGCGCAATAGCAGCAAGGCAAAGCGAGGTCGGATGAGGGATGAGCTTGGCTTGGGGACAGTCGTTCCTTTCAATCAAAATCAATATGTAAAGACGTCCATCACACACGGTACTCTTGCTTTCGGGATCACACAGGCAGGCGAGATGTGCAGGTGCAGCAGCGAGGGCCGCAAAGAAAGACGATGAAATGTCAAGGTGTGGGGAACAGTGTACAAGGTAGGGAGAGGGGGAGATGGAGTGCAAGAGTGACACAGAGCAGCACACGCTTAGATCTTCTGACCAGCCTCGTAAGCCTTGATCCTGTCTGCGATCTTCGACTTCCTCTGCTCGTAGGTGAGCTTGGTGGCCTTGTGCTTCTTGGTCTCCGAAGCCCAGTCCTTTCCACTCTTGTCGGTGGCCTTGAACTCGGGGTCCTCACGGATGGCAGCGTAGGCGCTCTCGTACATCTCCTCGATGTCCTCAGAACCCAGGTCGTCGGCGAGGTAAGAGGCAAAGTGCTTCTTGAATCGCTCGTCGTCCTCCTCCTCGAGGGACTCCATGAACTCGGCGACGTGGCCACCGAAAATGTAGTTCCTCAGGGTCTCCTCGTCGAGCTCCTTGGCCTCTGGGTCGTAACCGGGGAATCGCTTGGGGGAGTGGGGGATGAAGATTCCACCGTCCGAGGCACCCTTGAGGGCACCGAAGACACGGGAACCAGTCGAGGTCCTCTTGAGACCAACGTCGAGGAAGGCCTTGAAGGGGCGGGGCTCGTCCTCACCCTCCAGAGGCTCAACCTCGGTCATGGTTCCATCGGGCTCAGTCACACCCTCGTACTTGTCAGCCAGGCCGAGGATGGTGAGGGCTCGTCGGGCGACGAGGAGACCGGTAGCGTAAGCGGCAGTCCAGTTGGAGAGACCGTGCTTGATACCGTATCGGGGCAGCTCCTTGGAAGAGGCCTGGGTGAGGACAAAGTCACCGATGATCTTCGAGGAGATGATCTGGCAAGTAACGTACTTGTTGGAGAATCGGACCACCAGACGGTACTTGGGAGAACCGTACTTGTTCTTGGCCTGAGAGACCAGAGCACGTCGCTGCTGGTAGTCGGTGTGACCGGACCTCCTCCTCCTGTACTTGGTCTGGTATCGCGAGTAGTACGCCGAGTTCTTCGTCTGCTTAACGAAGGGCATCTAGGTGAGGGAGGGGGAGAGCAAGGACAGGTCAGCAACCAATTGAGAGTGCGGCGAGCTGAGAGCGAGAGGAGAAGAGGGCTGCTGTACAGCGTGTAGCTAGATGTGCTCCCATCGCTGAATGCCCGATTTCCTTCACCATTCATGCCATCCTTCGCCCGCCTCCCAGCTGCCACACCAATTCCTGTCCTGTCTTCCTCTGGCCGCTCTTCTCCCCCAGCTGATCCTGCAATGAGTGTATGACACTGTAGAGATGTGCATATGCTGTTCGATGTGGACATGGATACTCACTTTGAATGATCTTGATGGGGGGATATGGGGAGGGATACCTAACGAGAGGGAAGAAGGTGTGGTGCCGCCGCCCTGCCTTCAAGTTTTGAGAGGCGGGCGCTGCTTCCCTCGGTCGCAGGCGGCAGCAGCAGCAGCAGCCAGAGAGAGCCAAGCACCCAAGGAGGGCCGGAGCGGAGCGCGAATGCATCAGAGCCGTCCGCAGACCGCGCGTAAGTTTGTCCTGGCTGCCTCTGCCTCTGCCCCTGCCCCTGGCCTGCGCCTGCGCCTGCGCCTGCGCCTGTCCGCCCGCCCGCCTGCGAAGCCCACGCCCGCCAGAGTCAGACTGGCACACACACAATTCGACGTCGCTCGCTACCAGCCCTTCTGCCTTTCTACCACCCAACTCATACCACCCCCTCATCTTCACAGCAAGGTAAGCATCGCACCCGGAGCGCCATCAGACTCTAGGACGACATCATCATCATCGAGCAATAGACGCACAGACGCTCTGCCGATGCAGACGCAACGAAGGGTGGAAAGGGTCGAAGGAGGGGCGGGCATGCACGCCTGCCTCACCTGCAAAGGAGAGAACTAGCAGGCGTATCCACCTTGGGAGAAACGGAGGATAGGGACGTCTCACATAAGGCGGTCAAGGCGAAGTCGTGGCCTCTCGTCATGCTGGCCTTCAGGGAAAGACGGGCCAAGAGGAGATCCACAGGCAGGCACGGAATACAAGATGAGAAGGCCGGCGTAGGGACCCTCTGACAGAGGGCCATCCATAGGGCAGGGAAGGACTCCAAGGTTCATCATCGTCTTCTCTAGACGTCAGCCCAAGGTCTCCTCTCCCAAATGCCCTCTTGACGGATGGACTGAAGCGCCGTCCGCCCATTAGCAGCATCCTACCCAAGTGCCGATCTTGAACTCGTAGCTGACCCATCCTCCTCCCCCTCCTTCACACATGTCTTCCAGTCACAATGAAGATCGAACTCTGTGCATTCTCTGGCGCCAAGATCTACCCCGGAAGGGGAAGGCTGTATGTTCGTTCGGACAACAGGGTGAGTAGATCAAGTGAAGCAATGCGATGGAGGGGTAATGCACAACAGTGGCAATGCAGGCGCAATAGCTACTGAGAGCGATCACTGACATGCATCCCTCTCTCCTTGTTCCACCTGCCTTTCCTCTCTCTAGGCTTTCCGATTCGTCTCTTCCAAGAGCGAGTCCCTCTTCCTCCAGCGCAAGAACCCCCGTAAGATCGCCTGGACTGTCCTCTCTCGTCGCATGCACAAGAAGGGTATCACCGAGGAGACTGCCAAGAAGCGCTCGCGCAGGACCGTCAAGCACCAGCGTGCCGTTGTAGGTGCTTCTCTCGACACCATTGCTGCCCGCAGGAACCAGAAGCCCGAGGTGCGAGCTGCTGCCCAGGCTCAGGCTCTCGCCAAGAGCAAGGACGAGAAGAAGGCCAGGCAGGAAACCCGCAAGGCCAACAAGGCCAAGGGTGTCGCTGCTGGTGGATCCGGCCCCAAGGTCTCGAAGCAGCAGGCCAAGGGTGCTTCCTCCAAGCCCCGCATCTAAGGTGGTGGTGATCAGCTGGTAGTTTGGGCAGATTAGATGTAGTAGCAGGCTGTTGCGATCGGGTGGAGGACTTCTTTCCCTCCCTCGTCGCACAATCATCACTTCTCCAACGCTGCTAGGAATACCACGATTGCGCTACAACCCCTGATCTTTTGACGGACCCCTCGGCTGGCTCGGCTCTACATCACGAGGTACACTCTCCGTCTCTCTCTTGTGCCTCTCTTCACTTTCCGACCTTGTAAAATCACATTACAATTGCACAACCCACGCCGATGCTACAGTGTGAGGAGCTTCAGAACAAGGCATGAAGAGTCGCAGGGTACAGTGATGCATGGGATGCGGGGTAGGGTAGGCAGATGCAGGCTTGCAGTTCGCACCTGAGTAGACGCGTCAGGCAGGCGTGGTATACTGACTACGACATGTCATGTCCACAAGCACCGCTACCTTCGCTGACGGACAAGATGAAGAGCACTATGCTGAGGCTCGCCCACTAACGTTCGTTCTCGCACTACCTCCTATTTCGTCCCCGTCTCCAGCTCTCACCCTCACCATCACACTCTGCCCCTCCTTGCTCCATCTAAGCCTCAGCGAGGCCCTACTTTGTACACACCCACCAGCTATTCACCACCCAGCCAGCCACAGACACCGCACCTCCGAGCTGCTCTCCCTCTCTTCCGTCCAAGCAAGGTCCAACGATGTCCCAACTGACCATCGGACCGGCCGCACCGACGGAGCAGACGGAGCAGACTGTTACCCCCGCCGTTGCGTCCACGGCGGCATTTATGAGGGAGCGACGCGTTCGGAATTGGGCTTACGAAGTCAGTCTGCGCCCCCCACTGGAGAACCTCAGCGGTGGTAATGATCTCTTTCTCGCTCCGTATGAGACTTTTCCACCAGAGATCCCTCACGCACAATACGGACAGCGGGACGACAATGGTCTTGGGACTGACGACGATGGCAATCGCGGCCGTCTTCCTGTTGATAGAGATACCGCCCGTCTGAGGGAGCTGCATGGGGACGCGTCGGAGCTCCTCGATGAAGTGGGCAATTGCGGAGGAGATGGGCCTTACTTGATGGGTAGAATGACCCTTGCCTTTGTTCGAAAGTATCGAAGAGAGCGCTGGCCTGCTGGCAAATTCATGTTTCTACCCGAGGCTTACAGCACATTGCATGCAGATCAACGTCCCATGTCGCAAAGGCAGCAACCAAGACCACGGAGCCCACCGCAAGGTCCACCACCACGACCGCAAGCCCTACGGGAAGAACAAGTCATGGAGATAGTGGAGGTTCTACTACGGCACCAACAGCAAGGACAAAACCCATTGGCACAAGGCGAGCAGGCAGGGCAAGCTCCTCAGCCAGTAACGCGAGACCAGCTAGCACCGCAATTCTTACGGGTCGTGGAAGCTCTGTGGTTCCCACCACTGCCCCAGCAGCGAATTCCACGTGTGTTACAGCATCCGGAAGTTCTGGCGCGACTACCGCACGGCCTACCGCTACCACTACCACCATTTGTGCAGCAGCCCGGACAGATTCTGCAGCCACCACCGCAGCCCCAGCAGCCACTTCTGCAAGGCTGGCAGCCAGGACAACTTCTACAGCCACCGCCGCAAGGCCTACCGCAAGGCCCACTGCAAGGCCCACCGCCACAAGCTCCACCGCCAGGCCATCATTTACAACTGCAAAGTCTACCGCCACAAGGTCCACTGCAAGGACATCATCCACAACAGCATGGCCCACCGCTACCACTGCAAGGGCAAAACCCATTTCCGCAAGGTCCACCGCAAGGCCATCATCCACAACAGCAAGGCCCACCGCCACAAGGTCCACCGCAAGGACATCATCCACAACAGCAAGGCCTACCGCCACAAGGTCTACCGCAAGTCCATCATCCACAACAGCAAGGCCCACCGGTACTACTGCAAGGCCAAAACCCAGTTCTGCAAGGTCAGCAGCCACGCGAGCAGCCACCGCCACAATGGGAACACTCACAATTCCCAGGCCAATCTCAGACCTTACCTCTCCCAGAACGACAAGCGCTCGACCCTGAGGATGTCTTGTATTCCATCTTTAATTCCGGCGACGCCTCTAACGTCCATCGTGTCTTTACCGAATTCATCGAGCGCAAGCTCAACCCTGGTGCAGGTAGCATCGCTCGACACTTCCGCTTCCAGCCGGGAGACGCTCGCAATCTCGCGATCATTCACCTGGGCATCGCGGACGAACCGCAGACGAGTGATGAAGCTTACCAGGAGCCTGAAGGCTGGTGCTACAATCCAAGAGAAGGAACAGGCTTCATCGAGTCGACTCGAAACGTTACTGCAGTGATTCCTTTAATGGCGCTTGATCGCAACGAAGAATTCGTAGTTGTGAGCGACTGTGGCGATGGAGCCAAGGAGCCGGATGTGCTCATCCTCGACGAGCATCGACCTTGGGTGATTTTGATGGCCATTGAGATAGTGTACAAGAACGAGTCCATCGTCGGCATTCTCTACTCGCTCAGCATCTGGACCCAACAGACCACTCAGCGCCGGGCTCACGTGCCACCCTCGGCAGAACCGGGGGGAGCACGACCCCCTTGCCACGCATTGGTTCTGCACGTTGCCGATGCCCACGAGTTCAGGCAAGACCCATGCTACCCTGCTTTTGCCTGGGCAGAGGCGTATCGCTACGAGCCCGGCAAAGAACCAGTTGCGGGTGGCTTTCACGGTAACTTGGTGGTGATGAATGCTTCGTCCGCTTACTGTCAACTGTGGAAAGATGCGCTTGCGTCGGAACTGTGCCCCATCCGTCTCCTCTTCGTCGGGAACAGTCACGTCTTCCACCTGCCCATCCCCGTGCGAGCTCCTACGATGGACGGTGAGGAAGTCACTTACACGCAACCGCAATGGGACTTGGCCAGCTTGACCTTCATGTACCATGAGGGAATGCTCTTGGACAGCTTCGAGAATGATGGCGGTCTAAATCCGACTCCACGGCGAGGCGAGGCTCGGTTGGAGGCATAGTCCGTTCCTTGCTTTTGAGGTTTGAAACAGCATGTATGCCCGCCCCCTCTTTTCATCCACTTTCATCCATGTCCCTGGTGCCTTGCATCGCACAGTTACCTGGCAAGCTCTGGCTTTCAATCCATCTAGTTGCTGAGATGACTGCCATCGGCAGCCAGCCAACCGAGAATGTCAGCATCCTCATCAGAAGAAGAGCAAAGACTGACCCCAGAGCGATAAGACCTGTCTGCCTGTCTGCCTGTCTGCCTGCCTGCCTGCCTGCCAGTCTGCACCCAGACTCACCTCGGGCCCACTGTGCGTGGCAAAACGTGCGCGCGCGAGTGAGTGTCAGCATCGGCGTGGGTGCGTGCAGGCAGAGCAGCGATCGGCGATTTCACCGAGTCCGTTCCGGCTAATCAGCCGAGGGCACGTTCTGGATTAGAACTTGCGCATCGAAGATTAGATTGTGGAGAAGGAAGCTTGGGGGGGTGAGTTCGGAAGATTCTTCGGCCTCTCTCTCTCTCTGGCTTCACTGCTCTTCTTTGCGCTTTGTAATGACGACTATATAAAGCAGTCTCAGGGGAAGAGTTCATCGCGACCTCATCAGTAGTCCACACACACTCACTTGCGTGCGCTTTCCACGATGAAGTTTGCAACTCCTCTGGTCTTGGCTCTGGCTGCACCCCTGGTAGCAGGCAGCGTGCTGCGAGAGAGACAAGCCTCATCCTCTTCCTCTTCAGCCACTTCGTCTTCATCCACTTCATCCTCATCCTCCGGCTCTAGCGGCGGTGCCTTCCCCACCGACATTGGCTACCTCGGTAAAGGCACTGCAGGCCAAGTCCCCTTCCTTGCGGAGAACGACACTCTCCCTGGCTCCCGCGGCAACTCTCCATACGAGTACCGCTTTAATGCTACCGATGCCGATGCGGAAGAATTCGACATTTGGAAGAGTATGGGAAACTTGTCTCCCTACTACTCTTCGCCTTCTTACCCAGAGACGACTGCTCATAAGGTCTTGAATGATACGTGCAGCGTTAAGCAGGTGCACATCTTCCATAGGCACGGCGCTCGTTACCCCACGTGAGTTCTTGTATTCCTCCTCGATCAAAGCTGAGAGAGCTTAGTGGAAAGAGCTTATGGAGAAGACGTCAGGCAAAAAAATCTCCCCTGCACCGTACTGACTCGACTCGATCCCGATCTTCTCACTCTGCCTTTGATAGTTCTGGCTCATCCGAAGGCGCCCCCCTCCTGGGGCAGACGGTGGCCAACTACACTGCTGCAGGCAACTTGACAGCCAATGGACCCCTTGCTTTCCTCAAGAAGTGGACCTACGGCCTCGGAACAGAGTTGCTTGTCCCTATCGGAGCCCAGCAGCTATTTGACTCGGGCGTCTACCACTACCAGCAGTACGGCAAGCTCTTCAACACCTCTCTCCCACACAAGCCCGTGGTGCGAACCCCTTCGCAGAGTCGCATGCTGAACAGTTCGCGCTACTTCACCTTGGGCTTCTTCGGCTACGATGCGCCAGAGAAGATCGACCTCGAGGTCATCATCGAGACGGATGGATTCAACTCCTCCCTCAGCCCATACGATGACTGCCCCTCAGCTGAGGACGTCTACGTTGGGGACGACTATCTCGCTCCGGTATGGAGGAAGATATACACAAAGAGCGCCATTGAGAGGCTGCAGCCGCACACCAACATCCCTCTCACGCCCGACCTCATCTACGGAGCGCTGTCTGTTTGTCCCTACCAAAGCGCTGCTCTGGGCTACAGTCCTTGGTGCGGCGTCTTCACTCGCGAAGAATGGGAAGGGTTCGAACTAGATTTAGATCTTCAATTCGCTGGTGACTACGGCTTCCTTTCTCCAACCGGTCGTGCACAAGGAATCGGCTACGTCCAGGAGCTTCTGGATCGTCTGAGCAACAGCTCTTTTAGTGGACCTGTGACTACTCAAAACTCCACACTCGACGAGTCCTCGACCTACTTCCCTCTGGACCAACCAATCTACATCGATTTTACCCACGACGACGTAATCGTCTCTGTCCTCACGGCGCTCAACATGACGCAAACGGGCGACTATCTCTCTTCCACTCATCGCGACCCCAAGCGCAACTTTGTCCTCTCGCGAATCGCGCCCTTTGCCGGTCGACTCGTCTTTGAAGTCATTGAATGCTCAGGAAAACACTACATCCGCATCCTCAACAACGAAGCCATCATCCCTCTCAATGAAGACCAGGGGTGCCCTCGTAGAGCTGATGGAATGTGTCCCCTGGAAGACTTTATCAAGCATCAAAAGGCACATGCCTACAAGGACTCGAACTTTGATTATGTGTGCTTTGGAAACTATACGACGCCTCATTCGGGTGTGCGAAATGGTACGCTGGGATGAGGAGGTCTAAGAAAGAAGAGGTATAAGCTGATAGGTAAGAAATGGGTTCTGGGCGGAAGTAGCTGAGAGACAGCTACCAAGCTTCATCGCGTCAGCGTCATCGTCCGGACTACCATCCTGAGTGCTGGCCTCGTCCTGTCGAAGCGAAGAGCTCCGACCGCTCGCACACACCCCACCCTAGACTTTCTCTGTAGCCATAACCGAACCAACATGGAATGCAATATGAATACACACTACTCGTCCGCAGCTAGCTATGCATGACCCCTCTCGCTTCGCTTCGGAAAAGAGGTTGTGTACTTCTGTTTGTCTTATGACGAGGCTGAGCTTCGAAATTTGAGTGTACAAGGTTGGGAATACAAGGCTGAGGGGACAAGGAGACTGCCATTATTTCGCTCATGTAGTTGAGTACGCGAGAAAAAATGTGCTGCGACTTGTTCTGCAGGTATACTGTAGCACAGCATCGGAGTAAATTGTCCAGTACTGCTTGACGCTTTCGATCGTTCGAGGCTCCAGAGACTTCAAGATCATCCGCCTCGACTTGGCCCTCCACCATGGTCCTCGGAATATATTGTCCCTTCGTGTGTAGCGTCAGTGATCGTCGCATGTTGCTTGGCGTATTAGACCAAAGGCGGCCTCCTTGAGACATCTCCCTGCAAGGACAGGGTGTACTCTGACGCGTTCCCCTGCCCGTCTTGCAGCTCAGTCGGGCTTGCCCTGACCGGGAGGGTGGAGCCCCAGGGCTACCCGTGGCGACGTGTCTGTTCGCGGCAGCGAAATCTTGATGTGAAGGTACAACCGCGAGTGTCCCTTGTGGCTGATGATCGCAGGAGCGATATATGCGCCCCTGAGCAATGATTCGAGCATTGCTCGACGCTTGCGACCGTCGCTGTCGCCGTCGTCGACGACAACATGCTCTTCCGCCTCCTCTACTTCTTCTTCCTCACCGTGATCGTCGCAATATGCTTGCTCTTTGTCGGTGTGATAGGCATCGAGTTGATCTTCACCGTCGTCGTCAGAGTCGTGTTGAGCGGCATCAGATGCGCCATGTGCTCGTGCAGTGCCATTTGCTCGTGCACGAAGATCCACCAGGGAGAGGCCTTACTTGCACAGAACCGGAACTCTGCCGACAGCTCTTGCGTCTCGACGTCTTCTGCCTTGACGAAGAGCAGCGTCACTTCCACCAGCTCGAGGTCTATATCGGTGATCCTCTGAAAGGGATGCCAACCGGTCTCCCTCGCGGCGCGCATCCTCATGTCATAGCTCCTTCCGGTCTGAAGCCCCAGGCTGCGCACCAGCCAGGTGGGCAGCGCAGGGCAAGACTTCTCGCCGACGAAGAAGTGGACCCTCCAGGTGCCACACTCACTCTCCTGGAAGGGCTCTCTTGTCAGCGGCAGTTTGTTCCTGCAGACGTGGTGGATCTGTGCCGCAAGGAGAGGACGAGCCTTGCCGGTCGACTTGTGAATCCAGCGATCCACCCAGGCTTGCAGGTTGCCGACGCCGATGACCGAGCGTCTGCCTTGCTCGTCTTGATGGATGATCAGACCGGAGAACTCCTCAAGAAAGGAGCCTCCTAGAAAGCGCATGCGCTTGCCTTTGGTGAGATGTGCCGATGTGGTGGCTGATCCAAATGATATGCAGTCTCAGTGTGTGGGAAGAGAGCACAGGAGTTGTGTTATCGCTGCTCCAAAGGATCGCCTCGCATTGTCCTTGGTAGTCGTCGTGGCGCTGGCGTGAGGTCGTCGTGGCGCTGGCGTGAGCTGGCTAATTGGCGTGGGTCGCTGTCGATATGTCACAGTGGGTGACCATGTCAGTGTCCGTGTCGTGAACATCATCATTCTGATTGCTTCATGCTGCTTCATGCTCACCACGTTGCCCTCGTTCAGATCGCGGTAGTGGTATCCTGCCTTTGCAGGCACCATAAGCTGCTGCGCAAGCTCCAGAGCGATATTCACTATGGGTTGCTCAAGGACTCGGCTGCCGAGGTCATCACCAGAACATTGCTCCGTCACCAGCACACTGGCTATCCGCGCCAGAGATTCGCCTCATACTGTAGTAGACAGTTCGGGCAGTAGTGAGGCTTTTGCACCCATTTCAGCTCGATCGTGCAAAGTTCTGTAGCTTGCCATCCTTCTGCACCAGCGATAGTGTAAAGTAGAGGGTGTTTTGCTGTAGAGGCAAACTTCCAGTGGCAGGTACCGTGTTGTGAGTCATCTTTGCATCAGGTTGAGATGGATGGAGGTATTCGAGAGGGCTCACTGACAATGGAAGCTGTGCTTCAGGCTCGCATCCGATCGGGTGTAGGTGACCGTGCTCTGAGGGGAAGGAGTCATAGAATGCGTGGTAGTGCGACTCAGCTTTCGATCGAGGTATTGGGTAGGTAAAGGTCGAAGCTGACTTACTGCTGATGAGAAGAGACAGCCAGTGTCCATGCTGAAACTCAATGTCTTGCAGTGTCGAAGTGATCAGTCTTCTTCCACAGAGAGAGTTTTGAAAGGAGGCACTATGTATGCGCAGGGGAGCGAAACAATGAGGGCTGGCAGTCAGATGTTGAGCAGTGAAGCGCTGTGTGTCAATGGATGCGAGATCAAGTCTGAGTACTCACTGATACAGACTTCGTCACCTTGTAGAAGACGTTGCCTTGAGATGCAGGGGGTTGTGAAGGTAGGAGCTGGAGCTATGGACTTGAGTGAGGTAGAGGATGGAGGTGAGGTAGATGTGCGAAGAGAAGGAATCATCGGAGGCGAATAAAAGGCCAATGGTCAGCGTAGCTGTGCTGTGCACAGCATCACATATTCAGGCACAGAACCACCACTGACGCCCTGAGCACCATACCTTTCAGGCACGGGTCCGGCGGTGCCTGTCCAGGGCGGGTGTGATTCAGCCAGGCTCCTGAGCTTCGTCCGACCCTTGCACGCCTGCGAGAGCGTCTTCGGATGAGGCCGTACGGACGAAGACTCACAGGTGACCTACCGACTCGCTGCCGCTACCGGTCTACCATCGTCGTGACCTACGCCTGCCCTTGCAGCTCTTCACGCAGCGCTCTGGCAGGATACGGTGCAGACATGAGCGCGTGAGAGAAGCAGCAACAGATCACAATCGACCAGATGCGCTTGCAGTAAGCTGAATGCTCAGAACACACTGATCGAGCTTGGATTGAAAGAGGAATAGAATCGTATTTCACCGAAGCGTAAAAATCGGATACAGGCGCGTAACAAGTGGTGAAGGTGAGTTCAGGAACGAAAGGAAGGGGATGACCTGCGTGGCAGGCGTGTAGATGCACGACATGCATCCAGCCGCGATACCAAGTTGGGCCGGCGAGCGGACTGAGAGGTGTCTGCCCGCTTCAAGCCCCAATGCCAAGCTCGGCAGGCGTCCCAGTGAAGGGGTTAGTCAAGCTTGCCGAGAGGTAGGACGCCTGAGCAGAGTCCAGGGTGTTGGCCGAGGCAAGGTTGCCCCACCACGAGCCATCGAACCAGTTCTCCAAGGCCGTCGACTTGCTGGCCGGGAAGATCAGGACAAAGAAGATGAAAACAGTCGAAAGACCAGTGCCTGCATCAAGGGCGGCGGACAGGACGTAGTTGTACCTGCTCCAGCTACCGAAGTTCCTCCTGCGCCAGACTTTGTGCGTGAGGAAGCCGACAAATGCCCACGAGGTGTAGTTGTAAGCAGTGGCAGGTGGAATGAAGCCTGTACCGGTGAAGATGACAGGCCAGTTGACGTAGCGAATCCAGGACTTGGGATAACGCTTGGCAAGGAACCAGGTAGGGATGGGAACAATGGCACCGACCAGGAAGAAGTACAGGAAGGCGTTGTACTCTTGATGAGCAGAGTAGTTGAGCTTAGGTCCAATGAGACCCCAGATCACCGAAGCAGTGCCGATGACGGTCGTGTTGGGGCAGATGAAAGAGTCGTCGGCATCGGGTGTGCAGATGCCATTGATGTTCGCAAGAGCCCAGATCTGCACACCCAGAAGAACGAAGGCGGACACGATGGTGGCGAGAAGTTGCGACATGAAGACCGTACGAGGTGGCACTTTCATGTAGTGGGCGAACTTTTGGTCCTGGAGGAAGCTGACTCCTTGGTACATCGAGATGTACGAGTAGGTCTTGAAGAGCATCATGCAGATCGGCTTGCCCGGGCGAGCATATCCGATGATGAACTCTGACAGGACATTAAGACCGACTTCGATGTTGCTGACAGCATAGATCATACCGATTGGGAGAGTGTAGATGGCACCGAGCAAGAGTCCAATGAAGAGAGCCCAGACCGGCATCTGTGTGTCCCAGACCTCGATGGAAATGATGGAAAAGACAATCGAGACCACAAAGGTAGCGACATACCACCAGACTGGCACTTCCTTGTAAGACTTCATCAAACGGGCGTGGACGTCAGGCTCTTCGGTGCGAGACGATTTGAATTGCCTGATGAGGTCCTTGCCAGAGAAGAGTGCAGTGTGCACCAGGGTGGCGGTCATCGACGCGAATGAAAGTCCATAGGAGATCGAGAAGACCGTCGGAAGATACTGGGCGCTGTAGTTGTTGTATTTGACTGCATCAAAGGTTCCCTGTGGGGTAATGATGTTGCTCGTGTTGAATCTGTTACCGAAGCGGTCGAAGGTGTGACTGTTGCTCATGGGAAGATACTTGGAGTGAGAGACGTTGCTGTAGTACATCGCAGGTGCACAGACCCAGAAGAAGAGCACCAGAGAGAAGATAACATTGGCTTGTGTGAACCAAGGCGTCACCAAAGGCGAGGAACCGATGTAGTTGATCTGAGACCAGTCAAAGCTGATCAGAGACATGCCCAGTCCCGAACTGGTTCCGAACAGTTGGTTGACGACGATGTTGTTGGGAGCGATCCAGGTCACCCAAGCGAAGTTGCTGAGTGCAGTGAAGATGTATCCTGGGAAGAAGTACCAGAAGAAGACTACGCCAAACGCGATACCAAAGAACTTTTGTCGTGACATGTAGCGTGTGTCCTCCTGCTTTTGATGGTGCAAAGTCGACAGGAGAGAGCAGTAGGCCAAGGTTGCGGGCCAGATCATGGCAGCTGGGTAAACGAGGTATCTGCGACAGAAGCCTGCGAAGCTGAAGCCGATGATCTGAGTGGAGAGCACAACAAGGATCGAATATCCGAAAGGCGCAGGCTGCCCATAGGTCAGATCCTGGACGATCAGAAGGTCGGTGGCGTAAGCTCGCTGATAGACGACGGTCGCCATGATCGAGATGACAGTGTGCTCCTTGACGTTGAAAGGTCCAGGGTTGAGACTGAAGTTGCCCCAGCGCGTCTTGAGCGCCCTGGTCGGAAGTACCTTGGCCATGAAGACTCCGAAGGGGTAGCAGACGAGCTGCACGCATAGACCAGTGATGGTGACCGAGGGATAACGGAAGGACAGAAGCTGGTTGACACCACTGAGGATGATGACGAAGAGCATGCCGAGGAACCATGCACGGAAGGTGTTGACGGGCATGTCGGGGTCGTCGACGGCAGCAACGGCTGCAGCGACTTCGGGGTAGATGGAGTCATTGAGCAAGACCTGTTCCAGCTCCTTTTCGGCAGCGACATCACCATGCTCTAGAGCAGCAATGACCTTGTCCCTGAAGCTTGCATCGAGATTGGGATCTGCTAGGAGATCGTGTTCGGCAATTCCTACTTTGAGGTCATGTTCGATGGTGGGAAGAGGTGGCAGGTCGCTGTCAACGACTTCACCCTTCTTGTCATCGATGGCAATGTTGTCGTCCGAAGACGACGACGCCAGCTCCCCCTGAAGTTGTTCGTCCTTTGAGGGTGCCATTCGAGCGATCTCGTTGAGGGGACCTTGTTTGAGAAGGAGAGACAGGAAGAGATGAGGGGAATTTTTCCAAAGGGGGGAACAAGGAACAACGGAGTCTTATCTTGTTAGGTGCCGGTGGCCCAGGTACATTGCAATACCTCCGCTCTCGAGCCGCTCTTCTGCCCTGCACCTACACTTGCCTTTACGGTCGGTCTAACCCCTATCGGTAATATCGCGTCGCTCCAGGTCCGTGTGGCGGGAAGGTCACGCGGGAAGCGCTGTCCTGCAGCCTGCCTCCTCCGCAAACGCCGATTGGGCCGACAGCCACAGCTCGTGGCGAGACGCGAGAGACACCCACAATGTCTGGCAAGCAGGGAGCCACAATTGCTAAGCGAGGACAATGATAAGCTCGCCTTCCGGAGACTGCATTCCGCAATGTCCGGCAGCTGGCAGCGGGGCCTTGCCCGACTGAAGACGTGATAAGCCCTTTTGTCCCGTGCTGGTGTCCTCCCCTGCCGTCCTTCCCTTCCCCACACTGGCAGAATACTGCGAGTGAGGATGCCCTTATCTGGTTCAGAAGGTGTGCTGCCGTGGCCAAGACTCGCCTTTGACTGGCCTCGGTTGCCCTTGCCGATTGCCACACCGTAAGCTCATCCAGGGGCTGGCCATTCTTTGCGGGGTCGGTATCGTCTCCTCGTCCCGCCCGTGTGCTGCAGATTACCGAGAGCACCGCTCTTGTTATCTGTGGTCTCTCCGTGGCCCGCCAGACACTGCCGGTGCAGACGCGTCCGCTGCTTGCCACTTGCACCACCGATTGCCGTCTCACCTAGAGACATGCATCTCAATTACCATCACATTCTATACCACGAAGCCCAACAGTTCTGCAGCGTCCTGGAGGCGTTGGACCTGCTTCCTTATCTTTGGCGAGCTCGACTTCGACAGCTCCATGTTTCCCGATCGCTGCGACAAAGGTACCAAATCTCCCCTCCCACTATCTCGGACGTACCGCCGAAGCCTTCCCGGCGGCGTACGAGTTTCGTGAGCCGCGCCGAGGTTGCCGGACGTAGAGGCAGCTTTTTCTTTTTCCCCGCAGGCTTACGGCTCCGCACAGTAGTCTAGCCCCGCTCTTCCGGTTCCGGTGGCGGTGGAAGACCTTTTTTTTTTGTGCGGCTTCCGTTCCGGTCCGTTGCCGACTCACCGGGAAGAGTTCCATAATTTGAGCTACCAGCATGCGACCTTGAACTACCCAGCTCACGCGATGCGAGACCTGAGCCTGATCGGACGAGAGCATCGTCGTCAGCCTTCAAGAGATGGATCGTCATCCTCCCTCTCCGGTCTCGCATTTGATGCCTCGTCGAATACAGCATATACCGTCTTCCACTCCCTGCCAACATCGTCTGGCTTCGCTGCATTTCATATCTTCGCAAACCAATTAGGCGCACGTAGTAAAGGAGAGCCGTCACTGCTGATCAAAGTTGACCTGGTAGCTAGCACGTCTCAATCGTCATCAAAGGAGCATGGACAGAGTCAAGTACGGTCTTTCGCCTTCCTGGCAGACGGTGGCTCGGCTGTGAATGATGAGCCCGCCCTCTGCCTCATCACCTCCGGAGGGGACATCGTCCTCATCCCCACTTCTACCTCTCCCGATGCTGGACCAATCGAGCCGCAAATTGTGGGGTCCGTGGAGCAAGGGATCTTGGCAGCAGCGTGGAGCCCGGACGAAGAGGCAGTCGTGCTCGTGGTGCCTTCAGAGAGCGAGGGGTCGCAGCACTCGCGCTCGCCAATCGAGAAGATGCTAGTGATGAGCAGGGAGTTCGAGGTCCTGGATGAGAAGCTCATACGAGAGCAAGGAAGAGGCGATGGTGAGTCAAGCCGGGTGGCGAGCAGTGGGCTCTCGAATTGTTCCTCAGTAACTGACCATTGGCTCTTCCTCTCCGTGCTCAGAACAAGTCTCGGTCGGCTGGGGCTCAAAGGCGACCCAATTCCAAGGCTCTGCAGGCAAGGCTGCTGCTAGCATCTCCGAGGTGGGAATCAATGGGTCGCAGGGGACAGAGCCTCTTCCCGACGACGACCTTCTACCTCACATCTCCTGGCGGGGCGACTGCGCCTTCTACGTCATCTCGAGCCTCGAGCATCTGGAGTCTGGCCAGGGCACTCGCCGCATGATCCGTACTTTTGACAGGTCAGGCAACCTCACAGCGGTGTCGGACGAGACGGAAACGGGCTTGAGCCATGTAGCCTCCATGAAGCCAATTGGCAATCTTTACGCTACCTCGCAGCGCTTTGACGATGGCGAGCGGTCGGCTTCTGCTACGTACGCTCGGGGCAGGACTGGCCGGCACGACATTACCTTCTTTGAGCGCAACGGCCTAAAGAGGGGAGGTTTCTCGCTACGAGAAGAGGGAGGAGCAATGGTAGATGGCAAAGAAGGCGGCATCACTGAGCCACCCCTGCTGGACAAGGAGGCAAAGGAGCGCTCTTCAACGCCTTCCTGGACTCGCCCCCATGAGATTGTTGACATCAAATGGAACAGCGATGGGTCTTGCCTGGCTGTCCATCTGAGATCTGAGTCGACAGATGTCCTGCAAATCTGGATGGTCGGCAATTGGCATTGGTACCTCAAGCACGAGCTCCGGCCTTCCACCAGCAGCAAACTCGCGCCAGTTAGGCTTCGAGCGTGGATGTGGCATCCTGAGCAGCCTTTCAAGCTTCTTGCCGCCTCGTCAGAGTCTCTGGATGCCTACACATTCAGTCATACGACTTGCAGTCAGCCTCTGACACTGCCCACATCATCTTCTGGCGTGGCAGTCACCGATGGCGCTGTGCAGCGGATCACCTTCTTCGACAAGCAGACGGCTCCACCACCAATGTGTGGTCTCGTCCTCCCCACTTCAAAGACGGCAGCATGGAGATCTGTCCTCGATCTAGAGTGGCTGCCAGAGGACGTGCGGCCTAGCGAGCCAGGGGGCTGGACGCCTCGTCACAAGGCATGGGCCGAGTTGGAGCTGCAGACTCCGGAAGGCTCGCAAAGCAAGGTCATGGTCGCAATCCTGGCCCTGTTGCATCCCACTCTGCCTCTCGTACAGCTGTGGTCATTTGCATTCATCTCACCCAAAGCGCTAGCCGTGCCAAAGTACATCGGCCAGGTCACTTTCGACGTACCGGAAGATTGGCAAGGCATGCAAGTCGTCGTCAAGGCTTCAGGCGGCAAGGAGCCCGTGCCTGCTAGACTCGACGTCGCCATCTTGGCAACCGTTCGCGACGAGGCCCAGGTCATCCATCAGGCATTTGCTTTCCAGCCTCGCGAGGCTAGCAGCGACCTGCAAGGTCTCGACAAGCAACAAGTGGCCCCAGTGGCAATCCAAGGCAGTGCAGTGCTCCTTGCCAATGCCTCACGCACCGGCAAGGAGGTGGTAGTGATTCACGACGAGTCTGGAGAGCTTCGAGAGGTTTTCAGCGCCGATGGCGATCACGCCCCGCCCCTCGTGTTCATCGAGGAATTTTGTGCCAATATTGCCATCCATCAACAACACGTCATTGGCATGTCTGCCTCGAACAAGCTGTACTCTGCCACTTTGCCAGACATAGAGGAGCGCTTTGAGCTCTCCATCGGATCTGCCTCAACGCTAGCGAGAGACGCGACATCATTCATTGTATCGGAACCCTTCCTAATCTGGACGAATACCTCGCACGAGGCTCGCTTTCTGCCCCTTGCATCTTTGACGAATAGCAGCAGTCTGAACGGTCCGGGCGTACGACCCGCTAGCGAGGCTGTCAGTCTTGACAGACGCATCGAGCGCGGGGCTCGCATTGTCACAGCTGGACCACGCCAGATGGCTTTAGTGCTGCAAATGCCTCGAGGAAACCTCGAGCGCATCTTCCCACGAGGGATGGTGCTTGATCGTGTGCGAAGAGAGCTAGATCGAGGCCGCTATAAGAGCGCCTTTCTCCACTGTCGCTCCAACCGGGTGGATCTCAACCTCCTCCACGACCACAATCCTGCAGCATTCCTGCGAGATGTACCCAAGTTCATCGAGCAAGTCAACGATGTTGACCACTTCAACCTCTTCTTAAGCAGCCTCAAGAGCGAAGACGTGACAAAAGTACAGTACAAGCCACTTGAAGTCAACGTAAGTCCGCAGACTTCACAAGTGACAAGCTCGAACAAGGTCAATGAGATCTGCAAAGCATTCATCAACGAGTTTACTCGCCTCGACGACAACAAGCGGTACATCAAGGCCATCCTTACTGCCCATGTGAAGAAAGTGCCTGCAGACTACGAGACTGCTCTGTCTCTCCTGCGAGACCTCAAGGACAGCGACCCGGCCTTGGTGGACTCGGCCATCGAATACATCATCTTCTTGGCTCCCTTTGACTCCCTCTTTGATGTTGCTCTCGGCATGTACGACCTCACGCTTGCTCTCATGGTTGCTCAACATTCGAAGAAGAAGGACCCTCGAGAGTACCTTCCCTTCCTGCGGGATATCAGAGCCGTCGAGCCGATGCAGCTGCAGCGTTTCCAGATCGATGATCACCTGAAACGCTACGGTAAGGCTCTCAAGTGGCTTGCGCAGACCGGTGGGGAACATCACGAACGGGCACTGCAGTATCTGCAGAAGTACCGCCTCTTTGCAGAGGGTCTAGAAGTCTGGTCATCTGACAGCAAGAAGTGGAAGCAAGTCCAGGCCTTGCATGGAGACTATCTCTCCGAACGCAACAAGTGGGTCGACGCAGCGCTTTGCTACCAGCTGGCCGGTGATGTTGCCAAAGCTCTGTCTGCATTCCACTCTGCCGGTGCATGGCAAGATGCCTTCACACTCGCCCTCTCTGAGAAGAGACCTGCTAGCGAGATCACTTCCCTCGCTTCGACAATGGCTAGCCGGTTGGAGGCCACCGCTCGACATGCTGAAGCTGGCCGAGTGAAGCTCGAGTATGGTCGCGATGTAGAAGGCGCTGTGGAGAGCTACGGCAAGGCGAATGAGATCACCGAGTGTCGTCGCATCTGCTCGGCCTACAATCGTCTGGACCTCATTGAGACGCACGTCAAGCCCGCCGCACTCAAGACGCAGGAGAACCTAATCGAAGACATCGAGGAGATGTCCGAGCAGCTGAGCAAGCAAATGGTTCGTCTGAAGGAGCTCAGAGAGAAGAAGGAAGAGCAACCCTCTGCGTTCTACGGCGAAGGCGATGGTGCAGGCTTGGACAACATCGACGTCCAGTCGGACACGTCTACTCAGATTACTCAATTCACTCGGTACACCAAGGCCCCTACTCACGCCGGTACCATGTCCTCTCTCTCTGCCACGTCCAAGGGCGGAAGCAGTAGTACTCGCAAGGGTGAAAAGAAGATTAAGAAGCGCGAAGAGAAGAAGAAGGCCGTTGGCAAAAAGGGAAGCGTGTACGAGGAAGACTACCTGTACGAGTCTCTGGGCAAGCTCCTCGGCGAGCGGCTGGGAGGTGTGCAAGAAGAGGCTAGTCGGCTGCTACCCAACTTGATCGTTCTCGGTCCTGCTCATCGCCAGGCTGCTCTCGTGGTGCACACGACTCTTCTCAAATTCGAAGCCGAAGCAGCTGCCGCCAGCCAGGCTCTGCAGGACGTGGCCTACGAGGCGGGCGTAGCGGCAGACGAAGCCCGCATTGCTGCTCTTAGCACTGCAAATGCCCTATCGAATCCCACGAGCTCACTGCTAGATCTCCTTGCTGGGACTACCTGGCTGGACAAGGCTGCACAGAGGAAAAAGGTGGAAGTGGCAGAGAAGAAGTGGAGGTGCGAGATGCTAGAGACGACAATGGTGGGAAGTAGCGGGAGTGCGTGAGGAGCGGTGGGTGTGAGCTGCACTGCTGTCGTGCCCCCTTCTGTCATGTTAGCCAGCTTGTCTCTGGCGCAATCGGCAATGCCAGATCCGATGCAAAACAGTATTCATTCGAAATGATGACGCTTGGTATGTCTTGCCTGCTTCAGGTTCAGAATCCATCCATCCATACACATTGGCTAGGGTGGTGAGCTCCAGGCATAGTCTAGCCGAGGGTAAGATCATGAACCGGGAGACATGTCCCGCTGCGCCCCTCTTTGGTCGCGTCGAGTGGTTCATGAGGCACGCCCTGCGGGTTGGTTTGACTACAAACGCATGACAATGAGGATGAGGTCACTTGACAACTCCGCCCCCGCACGCCTGTGTAGGCCCTGGGAACAATGCTTCCTCTCAGAGGCCTTTGCCTACCGGGCGAATCAGTCCCGCTGGTCGCATGCGAGTCTTTGGTTTGAAATGGACAGTTCAGCTTACCCACCCACCCAGATGACGCGATTGCCTCAAGGTTTCCCCCCCTCTGCTTTAGTGCCGTGCCCTGGGAGCAAAGGACTTCCTTCGGTCAAAGGATCCGATGGCTGCCGATGGCATCTTCTAATCTCCGATGGCGGGTCAGCCAAGGCAGCCACTCTGGCCCATTCGCCTATTCTCTGCCCAGTTGGCCACCGCAACTCCCGTCCGGACGGCAAATGGCGTAGGCGAGGCAGCGGCGGCGGCGGATGGGATGATCCCTCGGTTGACTCGTTCCACTGCAAGGCAAGCGAGTTGGCAGGGGGGAGATGGTTCGGTCCCCCAACGTCAGCTTAGCACCTCAACCATTCCTTGTATATCATTCCACTCCCTCATCCAATAGCATACCAATACCCCACCTACCCCATCCCACGTTCAACCTCACCCTCACCCACACACCTCACCCACTCCAGCCACGCTCATGTCGTCGGCCACAGACGTCAACGCGCAGCACGACGGCGCATCCTCCACCGCCGACTGGAACAAGTACACCAACAGGAGCTACCCATGGCAACGTGCCGTCACACCCTTCCATCGCCTCGTCGAGCACGAGTACGATGGCAAGGGTACAGAAGAGTCACCTTACCTCGTACACTGGCTACCCCACGATGACCCCGAGAACCCAATGACATGGGGTGAATACAGTAGATGGGGCCTCGCCATCTTTGTCAGCGTCAGCACACTCGCAGTCGCACTCGCTTCCTCTGCCTACTCGGGCGCAGTAGACTCCATTGGTGCTGAGCTAGGTGGAAGCGAAGAGGTTCTCATCCTCGGAGTATCCATGTTCGTACTAGGATTCGCAATAGGACCCCTCTTCTGGGCTCCCCTATCGGAAATGTTCGGTAGACGTAACCTCTTCCTCATGAGCTACACAATGATGACACTGTGGCAAGCAGTCTCCGTAGCTTCACCCAACATTGGAGCCCTCATCGTCTTTCGATTCCTTGCTGGAGCTTTCGGATCCTCGCCACTGACAAATGCCGGTGGTACAATTGCAGATTGCTTCAAGGCAGATGAGAGGGGACTGGCCATGGCCGTCTTTGCATCCGCCCCCTTCCTGGGACCCTCCCTAGGACCCATCACCGGTGGTTTTCTGGGCGAGTCAGCAGGTTGGAAATGGGTCATTGGCTTCCTCGCCATCTTCTCCGGCACCATCCTGATCATCGGATTCTTCTTAATGTCCGAGACTTACGCTCCCGTGTTGCTGCGAGCACGAGCCAAGAAGCTCAGCAAGGCTACTGGAAAGCATTACCTTAGCGCACTCGACGTCGGCAAGGACACCTCTCTCAAGGCGCAGTTCGCCGTCGCCCTCTCAAGGCCCTGGCAGCTCCTCGTTCGCGAGCCCATCGTGCTGGTCCTATCCATCTACATTGCCATCGTCTACGGTATCCTCTACTCCTTCTTTGCCGCTTTCCCCTTGGTCTTCCAGACACTTCGCGGTTGGAGCCCTGGTCTCGGTGGACTTGCCTTCTTGGGCGTCCTCGTCGGTATGCTCACCGGAATCGGTTACATTGTAGTCTACGAGAACCCACGCTACGTCCGCGAGACTGCAAAGGCAAATGGCAAGATGCTCCCTCCCGAGCAGCGCCTGGGCCCTTCGATGATCGGCTCCGTCCTCTTGGTCATCGGTCTGGCCATCTTTACCGGCACAAACGGACCCAGTGTCCACTGGATTGCCCCCATCATCGCCGGTGCGCCCTTTGGCGCGGGAATGGTCTTGGTCTTCCTGAGCGTCATGAACTACCTCATCGACGCCTACCTCCTCTATGCCGCTTCGGTCCTCGCTGCCAACTCGGTCATCCGATCCGTCTTTGGAGCTGCCTTCCCCCTCTTTACAAACTACATGTACCAACCTGTGGGATGCCCACTCGCCACGTGCGGTGTACACGTAGGAGCAGGAATTGCCCTTGCCCTGGCTGTGCTTTGCGTACCTGCACCCTTTGTTTTTAACAAGTATGGACCAACCATTAGGAGCAAGTGCAAGTTTGCTGCTGAGGCTGCTGCTCTCATGGACAAGATGAATCGTGAAGCAGAACAAGAAGGGGAGGGACATGATGAAAAGAACAAGGAAAAGTCGGGAGAGAAGGCTCCTCGTGATGAAGAGGAGGCAGTGGAGACGGATCGAACTGCTGCTAGCTCACCGCATCGCGAAAGGTCGCATGGCAGTGGTAGGGACAGCGAGTCTGATGCTGCGACGATGGGAGAAGAGGGCAGCAGTGGCATCAGCGGGAAAAAGAACAACAAGGCAGGCGCAGCTGACGCAGCTTAGTGGAGTGGACTGCACACTTGCACACACAAACATAGACGGTCTCGTTTCTCTTTTGCACAAAAACGCACATCAACAACAACAAACATACTGTACAGTATTTAATACCATAGCCTCGCTGTATCATCACTATATCAAAATGCCATATGCAACGTCTTTTCTCTCTCCCTCGTGTTTCGAGTGTGCCTTCTAGCTCCTTGTGGGTCTTTTTGCCCAGCCCCTGCCACGCCGGCTCCGGCCCCGGTCCCTGTGCCGTGTTTCGGCACTGGCCCGTGTGTGCTTCTCCCCCGCATTCCGCAAAGTGTTGCTTTCAGCCCCTCCTCCACGCAGACGCGTTTCACCTCGTAGCCTACCACCCCTCCTTCTCCTTGTCTCCCGCTCACCTCGATGCTCTTGCAATTGCAATGGAGAATCCAGTCGTAGCAGCTGCCAGTCTGGCCAGCGTGGCAAGCGCTGCGGCTCTGGCTTCCTCTTCGGCCACTCCCTCTACGGCTCACCATCCTCCTCCTTCTCCTCGGGATCGGAGCATCACTCCACTCCTGACCCTCATCGATGGCTTCACCTCCATCTTCATCGCCCTCTTCGGTCTCGCCCGTTCCCTCCTCTCCTTTGCGACCGTCACCATCCCCCATGCCGGCTTCACCATCCTGCACTACTCCCTCACGCTCCAGCTCAACTTCCTCTCCCTCTTAGTCCTCTTCCTCGCAGCGGTACTAGCGGTACTCCTCTGGCTGCGCTACCGCCATCGTAGTTACGAGCGTCTCAAGGAAGTACCCCTCAAGACGGACGATGGTTTCAATCTCCATCCGGAACTCAATGCCGGCACACCAGACACGAAGTCTAGCACTTTCCACTCCTACCTCGACGAGTTCCTCCAAGCAATCAGGGTGTTTGGATTCCTTGAGAAGCCTGTATTCCATGATCTTGCAAGACACCTACAGACGAGGCGATTACTTGCCGGAGACTCCCTCTCCCTAGACTCGGACTTTAGCTTCTACATTGTCATTGATGGGAAAGTGCAGGTGTTTGCACCTCTACCACCAGAGTCGGCTGCGAAGGAGTCTGGGTTCGATGATGAGGAGAACACGGGATACCAGTTGTTGAACGAGGTGGAGAATGGAGGGACGCTCAGTAGTCTCTTCACCATCCTGTCCCTCTTCACCGAAGATGTGCAGCTGGGATACCGAGAGGAAGGTCTACCTGGAGAGGCACCTCCACCACCTCAGCCAATGTCAGCTTCTGCTGAAGGACTACGTCGTCGAGCGAGCCTCCTTCGACCAGGCTCGGAGCAGCTACAACTCAATGCTGCTGCTCTCCGCAATATCCCGAATGCTGGGGACCATTCACTTGATCAGATCAATGGCCTTCGGAGGATAAGCGACCTACAACCCCCGCCGAGCGTTGGTGAATCAGACTTCCCACTGCAATCAGGACCGGATAGTCGTCCCTCTCCGCCCTTTCCAGCTGACTCTTCACCCCGAGTCACGGGTAGAGGTAGTGGTAGCAGTGAGCGCGGGTTGAGTCCAGTACCTCAAGAGCTCCTTCCACCAGCTCAAGCTGCAGTCCCCTTCAATAGCTTTCCCACCTCGCCCAATCGCACTCGAAGTGCCAGCGCTAGAGGTCAAGGACGAATGGAGTCGCCCGTCTTCTCTGCATATCGCAAGGCAGGATCTAATGGACGACCGCACACGCCGGGCTCAGTCTTGAGCGGCTACAGTATGCAGACCAATAGAGGGATATCTATGGCTCCGCCGCCGCTCTCGAGTATGGGCACAGCTACGGGCCGTCCAAGCGATACGCTCCACTTTGAAGGAGCTGGAACAGTGGGAAGAGCCGTAGTGGACACGACCCTCGCCGTCATCCCGGCCGAGGCCTTCAAACGACTCACGAAGAAATACCCCAATTCGGCCGCTCACATCGTCCAGGTCATCCTCACCCGTCTGTCCCGCGTCACGTTTCACACTGCTCACAAGTATCTTGGGTTGACAAAGGAGATTATGCGCACGGAAAAGAGGATCAATGAAGTCGCTTCGTTTCCGCTGCCGTCCATCTTCTATGAGCAGGGAGGAATGGAGAAGCTCAGGCAGCGCTTCCTTCCTGAGCCAGTCAAGCAGGGGAGTACTGGGAGTACTGCTGCCGCTGCCGCTGCTGCTGCTGCTGCGAAGCGAGGCTCTGAAGACGACTACTTTCGACATGGTGCGGTAACTGCTACTCAGAAATCGGGCTCGGGCAAGGGCAATGTACCCTCCACTCCCTGGGGGCATCCCGACCCGCCACTCCGTACGCCCTTTCCTCGCACCAGCGTCGGCCCTGGTGATTTGCTCAGCATGACTGGTGATCACGACATGGGCCGATCCGGAAGTCCTCACTCCGTCGGTGCCTCGATAAGCACGATGCGAAGTCCACCGAACAAGCATAGCTCGATTGCAGGAGCAGGAGGACGGTCCATGGGCGCTGGCAGTCCAGATACCCTGATGAATGCCTCTGATGACGGCAGACCCTCTCTTGGTCAGCGCATTGGCTCGACGCTGGGCTCGATTCCGAACTTTGACCTCAAGGACGAGATACTCGATTGTATCTCCAAGGCTATCGGTATTCAGGCTTCGCAGCCGCCAAGCCCTCACTTTGGAGGAGGATACGAGCCCAGTCCATTCATTCATCCTCAAGACGCCTCGCTCCACCGGAACAGCGTCTTTAATTCCGCCTTTGGCAGTCTCTCCATGCTCGACGGGATGATGTACGAAGATGAGACAAGCAGCATCACCGGAGCGAGCAGCTTTGCTGGGGTTCATCATGCTGAGCTGGAAAATGAAGTCGAAGTGAGATTCTTCCCAAAGGGAAGTCTTCTCGCCAAAGCGGGCGAGAGCCATGCGGGTCTCTTCTACGTCATTGATGGCTTCCTCGACGTGATTGTACCGCCGGAAGTCAAGGCTGAATTTGAGGTGCTCCCCACCGAGCAATCTTCGAAGAGCTCGGCGGCTACGAAGAAGAGGGCTGAGCAGGCGCGTGGACCTGCTACGACGATGGCCAAGCTCAATAGAGAAATGGGAGGTGCGGAAGGCGGCGTTGGAGGCACGGGGAGGTCCGGCAGTGGTAGTGGGACTAGTAGCAAGCGAGGTAGTCGAGCCAACTCTATCAGCTCTACCACTCCTCGCAAGTCGACGGCTGTCCCCACTCATTCGGCCATTGGCAACTCCCTAGATGGCAGTCATCACAATGCCGGATCGCGCTCAAGAGAACCTGCTGAGCCACTGAGGTCTGGCGCAATGGGTAGCAAGAGCATGGGACCGCTGCCGGAAGACGCCTCGAAGAAACCCAAGCGGGATGTCCCACCTTCGCAGCAGCGACCCATCTACAGCGTTGGTCGAGGCGGAGTGGCTGGGTACCTCTCTTCTCTACTCGCCACGGCAAGCTACGTCGATATCCGAGCCAAGACGGACGTCTATGTTGGGTACCTCCCCGCGAAGGCTCTCGAGCGGATCATGGAGCAGAAACCCATTGTCCTCTTGACGTTGAGCAAGCGTTTGCTCAGCCTCTTGTCCCCACTCATCATTCACATCGACTCGGCTCTGGATTGGCAGCAGGTCAGTGCTGGTCAGGTCATCTTTAGAGAAGGAGACCCTTCGGATAGCTTTTACATTGTCATCAATGGTCGTCTGAGAGCCATTAGCGACCGAGATGGCTCTGTTGATGTGCTCAGCGAGTATGGTCAGGGAGACAGTGTTGGTGAGCTCGACGTCATCACATCGTCTCCACGGAGAAAGACTCTGCATGCCATTCGTGATAGCGAGCTGGCTCGTATGCCCATGACCCTCTTCAATGCCGTCGCTGTGCGACATCCACAAATCACCATTCAAATCTCTCGCATCATTGCTCGCAGAGTCACGCAGGAGATGAAGGATCGACAAGCCACTGCTCATGTTCTCCGTCATCAAGTTCCTGGTCTGCCGGATCTGGGAAGGAATAATGCCAATCTGCGCACGGTAGCCATTGTGCCCGTTACGCGGGAGGTGCCGATTACAGAGTTTGCCAACAAGGTGCAGAGTGCATTCGAGGACACAATTGGTGGGCCTACTTCGTTCCTCAATCAGAGCAGCGTCATGAGCGTGCTGGGAAGGCATGCTTTCAATCGAATGGGCAAGCTGAAGCTCGCTAGCTGGCTGTCTGAACAGGAGCAGAAACATCGCTTGGTCCTCTACGTCGTCGATACCGCCGTCAGCTCTCCTTGGGCACAGACGTCCATTCGACAGGCAGATACGGTCCTCCTCGTTGGCTTCGGAGACGATCCAGCTGTGGGAGAGTACGAACGGCTGCTGGTCAGCGTCAAGACTACCGCTCGTAAAGAGCTCGTGCTCCTCCATCCTGAACGCAGTGTTCCTCCTGGATCAACACGCGCCTGGCTAGAGCCCCGACCATGGATCAATGCTCATCACCATGTTGAGATGCCTGGGATCACCCGTTCTCGCGCTGCACCCATGACGACGGACCCGACGGCTGTCAAGGCCTTGCGCAACCTCAAGGAGCGACTCGAAAGTGGACTACAGCGCTACCGCGTCAAGGGCAGTGCGGCGAATGTCGGCGGTAGAGCACACCACTACAGTGATTTTGCTCGACTTGCAAGGCGATTGTGCGGTAAGAGTATTGGGTTGGTCCTAGGTGGAGGAGGCGCTCGTGGCTGTGCCCACGTCGGTGTAGTGCAGGCGCTAGAGGAGCGAGGGATCCCTATCGACATGATTGGCGGTACCAGCATTGGTAGTCTCATTGGAGGCCTCTATGCAAAGGAAGGCGAAGTCGTCTCTTCGTACGGACGAGTAAAGAAGTTCAGCGGTCGTATGGCAAGCCTGTGGAGAATGGCTACAGACGTGACGTACCCTCTCGTTTCTTGGACTACGGGTCACGAATTTAACCGAGGTATCTTCAAGGCTCTTTCCAATACACACATTGAGGACATGTGGCTGCCCTTCTTTTGCAACACTACCAATATCACCTGGTCACGCATGGAGGTACACACGAGCGGTTATGCCTGGCGATACATCCGTGCTTCTATGACTCTCGCTGGCCTCATCCCTCCACTAGTCGATGACGGACAGATGCTCGTTGATGGAGGGTACGTGGACAATCTCCCCGTCTCGGTCATGGTAGCCATGGGTGCCCAGAGCATATTCGCCGTCGACGTAGGCAGTATAGACGACACCTCTCCACGCAGCTACGGCGATACTCTTTCTGGTTGGTGGGTCTTGATCAACAAGTGGAACCCCTGGAGCGACGCACGAAATATACCCAGCATCCCCGATATTCAGGGAAGACTCACCTACGTCTCCTCTGTCAAGACACTCGAGGAGGCCAAGCGCATACCTGGCTGTCGCTACATGCGCATGCCCGTAGAAGGGTTTGGCACGCTGGAATTTGGGAAGTTTGAAGAGATTTCAAGAATTGGATATGCGGCCGCTTCGAAGATGTTGGCGGATTGGGCTGAAGAGGGGTTATTGCCTACGGGTAATGAAGGGGATGCGGAAGAGGTTATGGAGAGGAGGAGGAGAAAAGGAGGGATTAGCGCTAGGCGGAATAGCGTTTGAGGTGAGAGGTGGGACGAAGGTCTCGTGGGAAGTGAAAGAGCAGACCGCTCGTCGAATGTATAGTACACGGAGCACTTCACTGCTACCGATGCTGCCATCTACAGTGTGTACGTCGTGCACATGTGGCACATTCAGTGCGTACTGTACGAAGCGAGGGGACGAGACAACCATTACATCTCTTTCTTCTCGGCTTCTCCCAGTGCCATCAGAGCGCGAAGCTCTTCAATGCTACATTCCCACAGGCTGTCCTCGGGATGCGGTGGTGTCAGACCCAACTTTTCCAGATTTGCCTTGTTCTCATGCAGGAGAGCAGGCTGTCGCTTCATGCGCTCGATTTCGCGGCGGAATGCACTGGGGTTTTTGCTCTCTCAGGAGAAATTTCCCCACTGGTGGGCCAGGCAAGCTGCCAGATTCTGAAGAACAGAGTGACGAGGCGAGCGCCTTTTGTTGAGTACGGTACAGTGAAGCCTCTCCACCCCGCTTCTGCTGCGAAGTTCATTACACTGACTTGTGCAAAGTTCTCCAAAAATTTGGGAAAATTGGCCGCCCCTCCTGGCAAGACGACGTTGATGGGCAGATTGGGCGGCAAGGTAAGCACAGGGGCGCCTGGTACGGGTAGCCAAGGTGTCAGCGTCCGCTCAGCAGGGCCAGGTAGCCAGTATCATGAAGGTATAAGATGATTGTAGAGCACTTCCTGTTTCCCACGATGATGCCCCCCTCTGGCAGCCGGGTAATCTCCGCTCCAAAGCTGGTAAGCTCCCTTTGCTCTTTCTGAGAGTCCTGCAGCAAAAGTGATACCTTGGCACTGTCCTGTCAATTCCTAAATTCGTCTTCGAGACGGTCGAGTTGTTCGACGGCAGCCTCGCTGGTCTGACCTGTCCATAGCATTTCCATCAAGATGACGTTAATCCCCATTTCTCGATAGCCATCTAGCAGAGCCAGGGCCTCTGCTTTGGAGCAGTGACCCCAGACTACCTCCAACACAGTAGCTGCTGCTTTAGCTCGTCGGTGAAAAGATCAGGAGGCACTTGGCCTGCGGATCTCTCCGCTAGGCAATGTGATGGGGCTCCGACCGCAAGGGGGACCGAATTCCGCGGGGAGGTACAGTAGCGGCAGCGTTTGATGTCCAGGAGAGTCGTTCGATATGGGAAAGAAGAGGAGGGGGTCGCGTCAATTCATGTGGTCTTTCTCTCTTTCTCTCGATGCTGCTTTGCTCGCAATCACTCCTCACCCGTCTCGTGTAAAGTGCAAAAGGAAGGAGAAGCGACCGACAGTGGCTCCATAGACGGACACGCTCAAAGTATGCTAATGTCTGTCTAAGGACTATGATGAGAGGTGGTGATTCGGTGTGAGCAAGTCTTGGGAAGGATGGGGAAGGAGCGATGGGGATGAGAGGCTGCTGTTATTCCGCTCCCCCTTAGCCGTGCCAGCTGCCTCGAATTTGGACTGCTACCGCAATGCAGGATGCCTCCGCAAAGAGCGGCATCATCCTGGGCTCGACTTCGTTCTCGCCTTTGTTCCCCTCGACGCTCGACTGTACTTGAGGCAGGGGAGGCAACAAGACGAAGCGAAGAGCGGAGAAGAGCAGCTAGACGACTGCATTGCAATGTATTTCCACAGTACAAACTTCAAAGTAATCTCTACAGCACGGAGTACAAAGTCGTCTCTACAGTATGAAATTCTACGTCCCCGCTGCTGGTGACTGGCGTTGCAATGGGGAGAGATCACCCTTTCGGTCGATCATATACGTAGACACTGCTACTCGCTGCTTGGTAGCCTAGTCACCTCTGTACAAAAGCTCGTAACGACCCACTCACGTGCTTCTACAGCATCCCTTAGTTCCATCGTCAAAGGCTGACCCGCAATCTGAGAAAGTAAAGTAGGACCTGAGTCAAATTGTTGAGTGTGGGGCATTCTGGGGAGGAAGCTGCCGGCACTCAGTGTGAGAATTGGCAGCCCTTGAATGTCGGTGTACACAAACGGTCTTACGCTGCCTTGGGCGCATGGGCTCCGCAGGCTGCTCGGTAAGTAGCCGCTGCAGATCCCTTCTGCAAATCTTTGGGAAGGATCTCGAGGCAAGGAAATGCCATGCGCTCCAGTAACTCAGTTGGCGTGCACGGTAAGACCGGATGAGACCGTCTACGAAGCGAATCACGTACCTGCAGCAGATTCCATCGACTCACCTCACCAGTTGCCTCCAGAAAGACCGGGGACCTGAGTGCTTCGTGAGGAAGCCTCACGCCAAGCCAATTTGTGAAGAATGCCACGGCCGAGTCCTTCATGACAGGGTGAAGACATACTGAGGTCAATAAAGGTCCAATGGGGAGACGGTCTACCCATGTCGGGAGTATGCTGTTCTCACCCCAGGGTACTCTTACTATCTTCTGACCCGTTGGAGACCCAGCGACCTCGTTCCAAAGCTGGTCACCTCGCAAAAGTCTTTTTTGGAGTCTCGGCCGAAACTGAAGACGCTCGCGTTCGATCGCCACTAATGCCTGCTTGATAACATTCGTCCATTCCGGACCAACAGTCGCTGGGTCGGTTGCATCGAGAACATCTCCAGGGCAGTGACGCTATCTGTTTCCTCATGCAGAGTCCAGAAAGCATTGGGCGCGTGTTGCCGGTCATTGCCGATGTTCAAGCTGCTCTCACAGAGTGAGTTCATACGTACTTCGACGCTGTAATCCGTCGTTGGGGTATTGTGGGAAGAAGATCAGAGGATGTCAGTGAGTTCGAACACGACCCTTCCCCCCGGCTTTATCCGCGGCCGCCCGCGAACCGCTCCGTGTACTGACTCTTCAAGACTCCGCGCGTTGAAGCTTTCAGAGGTGGCAATCAGACCCTCGTATTGGAGCATACGTACAATGTACTGGCGTAGTCGGCGAGCGTGAGCGTCTGAAGGTTTGTGATGGTAAAGGAGGATGGGTCTCTGCGAGGAGCTGTGAGGAGGTGGTCAAGTGTTCATTTGTTGCCGTCTGTGCCTGAAGCGATCTCACCCGACGGCGCCCGCCCAGGAAGCGGACGCGGCCGGCTGCTAGGGGTAAAAGCGTGCTCCTTAACCTGGTATCCGCTCATGTCCTACCCTCATCTTGCCATGTTATCTGGCCTGCAGTAACTGGAAATCCTATACCGCGTACGCTGAACACAAAGGCGCAGCCATCGGCATGTAAGCACGCAAAAAGGGCTAGCAAAGGCATTCGCAAATCACGGGCATCAACAGTCATTAAGTCTATGGTCACAGATACTGATCGGATACCTCGACAAAGTTCTCGCTTGCGCCGCTCATCACCGCCGAGTGAATATGCTTCGCAAAGTTTGCCAAGCTGAGCTCGAGAGAATTACCTCTCTCTGCCCCTCATTGCGTTCAAAGAGCCCTGGAAGCACCAATTTTCGCGAAGCTCGTCTATTCGCTTCACCATCGATGGCGTGGATCTGCTGCGAGCGGCCACACTCTCGAGGTAAAAAGAGGTAGGAAGGTGAGATGGGGTGATGAGGTAGCAACATCAGCCGACTGGCGACTGTACAGTGCACCTGTTCGCCTCTCACATCGCGCATCACTGTCGCTGTCGCTGTCGCTGTCACTTTCAAGTTCTCAATCTGAAAGTTGGCACAAAGAATTGCAACATGCTGCGCCGCCTCCCGCCTTCACACAGTCGCACTTCACAGCAGCATCATTCTTGCGCTACCTCTTCCCCTGCTTCTGCGAGATGGATGCGGCCACGAGACATCAGCACCTGCCATATGTTGGTGCCTTCAGGCAACGGCGTCAAACCCAGCCTTGCGAGTTGCTCTTGATCTTGGAGGAAAGCTAGTTGCCTTCTCGAGCGCTCAATGTTCTGCCTTTGATGTTCGAGGGCGACTTCCTCCTCTGCACGCGGGTCTCCCTGCCCGAATTGTAAACACCTTGCGATCCTCTGATATGGACAGGGCAGCGTGCCATAGATAGTGAAGATAGACAACAGAACAGTCAGTCTCGGAGCGCTGCAAATGCTGTCGCCATCTTGTCTTGAGCTTCAAATGCGATAGGGACCTCTGAACTCACCATTGCGAAATTCTCCAGAAAGAGAGGAAATTTTTCTGGATCTCCAGCCTGTGGTCGGACAAACCAATTGGTCGGCAATGCGACTACCTGGCCCTCTGTGTTCGGAATGTGAAATGTCAGCATCATCGGCATGATAGGGCAGAGCCCAAGACAGGGAGGGGTGAGACGCTGCTGTACTGACCACTTTGCTCAATCTCCTTACCTGTTGGGTCCAATGGCAGCCAGTCGGAGATAGGACCATAGCTGGTCACTTCCCACTTCTTGCTGCGGGCTGGCTGCAGGAGTGCCGAGACACTGGCGTTTTCTGCCCAGCGCTCAAATTCTCCTTCCTGGCGATGCAGGGTAGCCACTGCAGCCTCCCCGCACTTTCCCCTCCACAGGATCTTCATCACAACGACGTTGACGTCCTTGCCTCGGTAGGCCGTCAACTCTTGTGCCACTTCTCTCCTTCCTTCGTGGCCCCACACCATCTCCAAGACTGTGACGGTTCCCCTTCCTTCGACCAATTTCCAGGATGCATCGGGCTCCTTCTTCTTTGTCTTTTGTGAGGTATACATTACCTCAATGCTACTTGCACAGTGAGCGTTGATTCCTGCTGAGCTGAAGTACAGTAGTGAAGCCAAGGATGGACGTTGTCAATGTATCTGTTCAATAACCCACTCGTCGGACTTTCACCCTTTGTCACCCGCCAATGGCAGCATGATCTAGACTTACCTTTGACCCAGGGCCTGGATTACTGTTGTGTTGAAGAGTCCGATCAGGTCTTCATGTACAGTCATCGTGTAGTGTCTCTTGAATGATCTGTTTGGAGGTCAGAGGTGCAAAAGGTGTCAAGAGAGGATGACAGCGTGCTATCTCTTGTACTGCAGCTTTGTGTCGGTGCTCTCATTGGTCCCTTGTTGTCCATGCCGCCGTTGTACCTAATTGGTCCAATGACGGCCCGCCTTGGGAGCAGATGCCGCCCGTTCCCGGGAGCAACGCGAACAGGCTTCACCTTGTCTGCCGGTTGCTTTCTGCTCTCGAGTCACCTTGTCCGACTCGAAGCATATCATCGCTCATCGCTTGCGCTGTACACACCCGACGGCAAACCTCGAGAAGCATACTTGGCGAGCATGCAGCATAAATGATGGCCTTGTCGAGAGCTCCTGCTGCAATGTGAGATTCAGCGCCTCGGCCTTCTCACTGGCCACCCTTTGCGTTCCCCTTCCGCGATGTTTCTACCCTTGACGTTCCATCACACAGGGCATAGCTCTTTCGTTAGGTCTCATCGCAGACACGACGACGACAATTCTAAAGTATCTCCTTTGGACTTATGGCTGTGTCTGCATCGCAGTGGAGTTCCTCGACGCTAGGGAGACAATTCCTTGCAAACAAGAGTCTCGCGGAGTGCAGATTCCTACTGAGGCACAATCACCGAACCACGTTCGGCCCTTGAGGATCTGATCGACGTTCACACATCTCCTTTGTACGAGCAACACACGATGCCAGCAGCCATCTGCAGGGATGCAGAAGACCAGCACACCGGTCCAACATCTCGACAGACCCTGGCGCTCGACTCTGACCTGGCAACACTTCTGCCGGGCTGCGATGCTCGACAGACTCCCTCGTCCCCATCTTCAAGATATCCTGCCGTGACTCTGCAGACCAATCAAGAGCCCTAATCTCGACACGACTTTGTGCTCTCCTACCCATTTCCAGGTCTGTGTTGAGATCGGTCATCGTCATGTTCCTGCCAAGCATCGACCGGACACGAACGAGCGAAGAGAGTCAGCCCAACCCTCTTGCCTCGCTGGAAATACGACAGGCGCCTCTCATAGGTCTCGCAGACTACCTCACCGACTCAATCGTCCGGTGCGTCGGGCCAGATGCGACGCAAGAGCGTTTGCGAATCCTCTGCGAGATCCAAGGCTATCAAGAAAGCCGACTTGTGAGAGCGCATATCTACTCTCAGTCTACCACAAGCGCCCACGGTCTCGCTTTTACCAAATGTTTCAGCAACTCGCCAAAGGGTACAATCTAAACGCCTCGGACGATTCATCACACCGGGAACGCGTACAGAGCGTCAGCCTTCGTCTAATTGAGCAACCTGCACAACAAAATATCGACCTGCCAGACTGCTGGACGCCGAAAATTGCAGCTTTGGCCTCTGCATCACACTCTGTCACTAGTACAAGTGTGCGATCCCAACACAGGCTTGGTAATTCGCCGATACCTGATCAAAGACGTAAACTGCAGAGAGCACGCTACAGTGTCATCTACAGTGGGCGAGCTTAATCGGACTCTCACAGAGTAGGTACGAAGCATGCTTGCTCCAGATCAGGGAAGGCATGTGAAGGGGATCCTCGCCTCTTACAAGTCCGTCGTAGTCGATTGGTGGATATGTAGCTTGAGGGATTCAACATGAAGACTCAGCTCAATTTCGAGAGGTAGAACTCTCAGTCACCTTGCTACGCCCAAAAGATGGTCAGTGCTGCATATGCGCAGTAGACGGGCCGTTCGTGCGGCTTTGCGTTGACGTCAGGGCGCGGATCACACGGCACGCCGGACGGGAAGGCTGAAACTGACTACAGTAGTCTCGCCCTCGGGTTGAAATGTCTGAGACCGAGGTGCAAGATGAGGTCTTCACTCTCACGAGCAGAATCTTTCTGACCGATTACCATGGAGAGGCTGAATGGAGGAGAATCAAGCGCACATCATCAAGAGGGAAGTTATGCGACATTGCAAATCCACAATCGTCTTCTGTTCCCACCTTCGTCAAGGCAAGCATGACCGACACGAAAGAAGACGACGAAGTTCTTATCCCTTTCGCAGCGGCAGCATCGACTCCTTTGATTCTTCGATACGATACGTTCCATCAGAAACACGAAGACGCAAACGAATGCGTCGATCGAGAGGTGAATGGAGTACTTTGTCTTGGAGTCTGGCCTCTCCGATTCCTTCGCAAGGCTGACAAGTATGGCGACATGGGACTCACCTACGGTGTACCGTCGTGGTCACTGAAGCAGCTGCCCTCGTCTGGGGTCCATGGGTTGTTTATGATCGAACAATGAAGCAAGGCTTCCAGGACCCATCACACCCTTGCCAAATACACCTGGTGGCTCATCAACTCCCGCTTGAGACGGTGAGTGAACCATCACTTGTGCTGGGCACGACTGCGCTTCCTGAACTGCCTCGCCTGATAGATTACCTTGACGTGTTCAGAGAGGTCCGTCATGACCTAGTGCATGGCCGGGCGGCTACGACGCGCATCAAGATCGATAGACTTCAACATCAGTCAGCTCTGGCGCAGTTGCCCTCCGCGTCTTCAAGCCGCTTCTTCCTCAAGAAGCCAACGTGGGTTGGGCTCCACAAGTCAAAGACCGTCAAAGGCGCCAATGTGATGACCGTGCTCGAAGTCGCCTGGGCTCTGGGGAGTCTACAGGATCTGGAACGAGCCTCAGCGCCTTGGACTAGCAGTCAAAGAAATGAAATCGTCTTCCAGACTTGGTGGAAAGGTCGGGAAGGCAGAAAGGCCGCCCTCAGCGAACAGCTCCTTGGTAGGGGGGAAAACATAGCCCAGTGGCTCAAGGATGCCTTGAATCTATTCAATATTCAAGGCGCTCAAGATTCATTCAGAAGACCACAGAGACTCGGTCAACCGCCAGAAATCGTTCGCTTGCGGGTCTCCGATCAAAGAGTGGAGATGGGTACGTACTGCATGATTCCGATTTGGGCATTGAGCATCCTACCGTTACTTAGAAGGGTAGGCATTCAGGACTTGCACAGACGAAGAGCCTTGCCGCTCAATACGTGCAGCGAGTCGACAAAGTACAGACTTACTCTGCCCTCCCGTCGTTGAGCAAGTGGGGCCGCTGCTAGGAGTCGCGGACAGCAGTGGGCTCTCGAGTCAGGACAAATGGAATGTTGTTTGATAGTCCAAAAACAGTAGCGGAAAGGACAATGAGGGGACACTCGCGAGGCTGGATATGAGCTGCTAAAGATCTGCATGGAACGGACCGACAGACAGCTGCCGGTATCATTGGTTGCAATTTGGTGGCACACGTTGCATCAGCACCTCTCACCTATGGTCTGCATTTTCGTTGCTGATCGCTCCTAGTCTCCCAGTCTTCAGCCTGTACTGATACAGCACCCAAGTCTCGTCTAGACACTGAATCGGGTCCAGTGCGATCCACATTTGTCACTGTTCGAGATGCGGTATGAGGCATGCACCATAAGGACCGAGAGAAGAGCAGCAAGACTGTCTTATCAGAGTGACGTGCTCCGATGAGGATGCCAAATCAGACTCGACTGATGTGAAAAGAGCATCTCCCCCACCGGACCCTACCATCAAGACGGCTGAACCTCACACGCAATCGCAGAGTAGACAGTACTGTATGCGTGGCGATGTGGAGAAGGATCAAGAACGCTGTCTCAGCTCCCACAGGAGAAGGGTGTCCAGCTTTGCGCCAGCGCTTCTAGCGCGTGCGGAAAATGTCTAGACTCGAAGGCAGCCCCTGAGACTGGGCTGCACGCTGACGCCTCTGTGTCTCACGTCTCGGGCGGGAGGCAGAGGACGAGTCAGCGGAGGAAGCTTTGTGAGCTCCCAGCTGTCGAGGCACTGTGGTCACAGATACAAAAGCCAATTATATAAGCTTCACCCTGAAGAAGGTCACGACATCGGCACAGGTCAAGAACAAATTCGTCAGTACCACCATGGCCGACGCAGCAAAAGAGGACGAGACTGTCGTGGTCGCAATTGCGCCATCATCGGCTCCTCTAGTACTGCAGTACAAGATGTTCGAGCAGTTGCTCGGCGACATCTGGGGTTGCGCAAAAGGAGCCGGAGTGCTGTCCCTTGGAGTGTGGCCTCTGCGCTTCTTTCAGAAACTCAACGAGGAGTTCAATGACTTTGATGAATTGTCTTTTGGAATACCTTCACAGTCACTCCAACACCTATCTGTGACCAGTTCGGACGATCTAGGCCTCATCGAGTGGTGGGGCGATCCAACGGATACGCACAGCGTTCTGATCTGTTGTATGGACTGGCTCATCGACACCGAGCTCAGACTGTGAGTTCCTCCTGTTGTGCTTGGCCAGGCTGCATATCACAATTATGCGCTCACACTCGATGTCACCTCAATCCATACAGAGAATATCCAGCTGGAGGCATATGGTCCACCTCAGCATGCATCGAGGTCAAAGACCTGAGACCAGAATCGATGCTGGTACAAATGCCCTCTGCAGCATCACAAATACCAATACTGAAGAGACCGGACAGTTGTTGGCCACGAATGATTAAAGACTACGACGAAAAACGAGTCAAAGTCAACACTGTCCTCGAGGTCGCATGGAGCACAGAAACTGTAGAAGACTTAGAACGAGAGCTAGCTCTCTGGAACGGCAGTGGCAGAAATGCGATTGTTTTCAAGGTCTGGTGGAAGAATCGGGAAGGCGACGAGGCTGCTCTCAAGGAAGAGCTTCCGCCGGACACAGATGATATAGAGCCATGGGTGAGGCATGCCTCCATCCTTTTCATAACGCAAGGTGCACAAGATTCTTGCAGGAAGGTCTGGAGAGTGGGTCAGCCTGCCGAGGACATTTCGCTTCGGGACCCGGAGCGGATCAGAGAGATGCGTGAGTAAGAAAGACGCAGATTTTCGCAGCCATGGCGATATCCCTCTTTTCATGTCGAAGTCCGACCTGACTTCACCTGTCTTCTAGGGGGACCACTGGCAGCCTTGCCAAAGGAATGGTTCGGGGTCATGCCCACACCAGACGAGCCGGCAACTTGCTTTCCGATCTTGCTCGAGACGCTTCTGGAGGTGAGTCTTGACAGAACATAATGCATTCGATCCCAACCAACAGGCGCTCTCAGGTGTAAAGTTCCGCAGCTGACCGGGCGACTCACTTCCTTTGAGACCAATCTTACGAAGGAGCTGGCCCATGGGCTTTGGACAGCATCTCAGGGCAGGCGATACTTATCCCGGTTTTATGGAGGCCCGTACTGCAATCTTGCTAGATTGGAGCGAGAGGTTGAACTTCTGAGTCAGCCTTATGCGCAAGAGCTTGATTTGGGAGCACCAAACGAAGGACATGCAAGGAGACAAGAGATGATGCAGAGAGAGCGAGAACAAAGGGCGCGGTGGCAAGCGCAAGAAGAAGAAGCGGTGCGACGGAGAACGGAACGGGCTGCCAACAACAGGCTGCCAACTTGGTGACCCAAGGGTACGGAAGGATTTGCTGTGGTGCACGCTGTGCAATGCGGGTGACTGCTCCTGTATGCTTGCGGACAAAGCCTCACTGTATGGATATTTGGCGGGTCCCATGCCTCATGCTTTCATAGATAAGATTCAAGGAATATTCTATGCGTCCACCGGCTAGCAGTTCTGAGCGAGTCCGGACAGCAAAACTCCCGCAGGAGAGTGCAGCGGAAGAGGATACGAGTGGCTGCGTGTGGACAGTAGCATACGTCGCAACCCGGAGGGCATGTTTTGGAGCTTTACGTGTACGGAGGACAGAAGGGGAGCAACGGCACTCTTGGAGAGCGAAGTACATGCAGTCCTCATAGCGATGCAGACAGCCCAGGCAGCAAAGTGGGCAAGGAATGCTTTAGGTGCGGTACGTGAAAACGAGGACAACAGTCTTGGGAGTACATATACCTGGAATAATGATTGCCTTTTGACGGTATGTCGCTGGAAGAGCACAAACACGGCTACCCCAATGGTGAGAGCGGGGTTTGCGGGGTGTGCTGCTTTGCCTCGACGTCTACTTCCAAGGGTCACACGATATTGCGCACCACTTCACAAACTGTTGCTATGGTTGCGATCGTTTACAATTGCCATGTGAACCGCACTCTCCTCTGCGGATTGCTGGAGAAGCAAACCCAATTCACTTTACCTATAAGACGGTCACAAGGACCTCAGGTGCCTCCGTTGGCTATCATCGAACTCTTCTCTTTAGCTCGAAGCTGGCCTTCAATCTCGCTACCCGCATCTGCACGACCTCGTTGACGACTACCTCGGCAATCTTTGGCCGCCACAATCGATTCTCAGCTCTTTAGCGAAAATGAGGTACACTTGGTCCTGCCTCGAGATCGCACTGCTCGCCACCTTCCTCATGAGCCTGCCAGTCATTTCCACAGCTCTGGCAGACCCGCTCGACGGCACTCGCCGACTTCGTCCTCGCCTGGTCATGCACCCGTACTTTACTGTTCCAGGCCCCAAAGAGAAGCTCAGGCAGGTGACGAATGATATCATGCGAAGTCAGTACCAAAAGGCACTCGAAGCGTCTTCAACAAGCAACGCTATGAAAAGCAGCAACCGAGGTTGGGGCGTCACCTCCGAATACAAGGGAGACAAAGCTACGAGGGATTACATGAACAAGCAAGCAAAGAAGAACAAGAAGAAGAACCAGCTGAAGAAGACGATGAGCAAAGGCAAGGGTAAGGCTTGTATGGGCATGTGTATCAAGCCCTTGGCGGAGAGCTCTGATTCAGAACCAGAACGTGTAGTCGTCTGAAGTCTTGCGGTGTAATTGGTGTGAGGACTCGCCGCCAAAATCTGATTGTGAGCAATGCCAACCCTACATGACGTTCGTATCCGCATGGCTAGCCCTCCTTCTTGTTCCTCCAGGGTGACCCCGCAAAGACGTACGCGAACCTTTGTGCCTCTAGACAACTCCGAGGTCATTACACGACAGTACCTCGGAGATTTGAGTGCCGAGGAGCACTGCAGTGCCCAGCAAATCTATGCCAATGCTTTAATGTCGGCCTGTCCTAGCCGGTCAGGGCCGTTGCATGGTACAGGAGCAAAATGGTCGTTTACTTTCCGATCGGAGGTACGCCGTGAGCTTGCTGACGAGCGTCGCTGCCTCTCACGATGCCCTTTGCTGCCTCTTGATATGATGCGGCTTATTAAGTTCGGGTGAACCTAGGACTGCAGCCGCCGTTGTCGTTCATCTTTGGCCGCGCTTGTCAGAGTCCATCGATATTACACCGATTGATCTGCCGCTCGCCATGAGTCGAAGATGGTACGCCGCTCTAGCGCTGGCGCTAGCGACTCTCTCCCTTATCACCGCCGAGTGCTACGGTAACGCCGTCCCAGTCAAGAGCGGACTTGACCGTCGAATGTTAGGACCTTCAGGGGGAACTTCACTATCGGCTGCTACAATAACGTCTTCCGCGGGCTCTGCAACGGCCACGCCTAGAGTCGCCCGCAGCGGCCTTCGGCTTCGCCCTCGAACCAGAGCAGAACTTCAGGCCGCCTTGTCACGATTGGATGCTGTGATTGGAGACTTCCCCCCACCCTCTACAAATCGGCCTTCGGCGCCTTCTACTCGGCCGACCACACCGTACTCGCCTCTACGTCCGAGGCGCAAAGGCGTGGTGCATTCCATAGCTTGCAGCGTCAAACAGAAACTCAAAGCTATGTTGACCCTCAAGTGTGCTCAATCTGATCATGAAATCAGCCGCAGTGAGGAGTTGAATTGACAGACAGAGACAGACGCAGCCGTGGAGAGACGTGCTGAATTCGACTCGGAGCGATTTCAGAGCTGTCTGGATCAGGAGCACAAAACCTTCTTCGCTAGTAGTACTGATCAGTTCTGACTGAGATGTGAGCCGACGAGGCGCCGACTGCTAGGCATAAAAATCCCCCAGTGTCTAAGATCCCGACGACTTGGAGACCACTTTTTTGATTGCCGTGCCAGCCTTTTTGAGCCCCTTGTAGATCCCCTTGACCACCTTGACCGGCGCCTTCTTAGTTTTCTTGACCCATCCGGACGACTCTGGAGAGTTTTCAGAGCGACCAGCGCCGAAGACGCGCGTGATCCCATCTGTCGGTTCCCAATTGCCGAGGCCTGATCGCTCTACAAGAGCCAAAGAGGGTGGGGAACCCGTATGCATGTGCTGTGGCAAAGGTTGGCTAGCTGCTAGAAGAGCGGACAACAAGAGAGAGCCAGGAAGGGCAAGAAAGAGAAGCTTCATGATGAAAGATTTTGAGCTGGCGAGGTAAGATGATGCGAATTTGGCGGGCAAAGTGGACTTGCAGAAGTGTCCTGGAACCAGTCCAAGAAAAGTCGAGCAGAATAGAGATGTCGCCTCGTGTACCAGGTCTCGGGCAGCCAGTAGCCGTTCCTACAGTCTCATATAGTGCGACGTTTGCGAGAGCTGGGCGTGTCTTCTCGCAACCTTGCGAACCTGCAGTTGCGCTATAGGTGGAGAACGTGGTTGCTTTTGCGATGGCACCTCGTCTGCTAGCTAGGTAGGCTCAAGTCGGTCATGACTTCGTTGCGACCGCACCATGTCTTGGAAGCATCCATCGCCCATGCGAAGACATTGCCATGTATGGTAAGGATTGCCGATGTGTTCGATATTGCCGGTGTGGTTGGACCAATATGAAACGTTAGCAGGCATGGCAAAAAGCTTTGCGATGCGGCTTGCAGCGACGAAACTGCTCACGGCAATGATCGTTTTGTTACCGCTTCCGGCTTGATTTAGCATCTCTTATGGCAACGCCACAGACAGCAAGCATGGCCTAGCAAGCTTTACTTTGCAGCAGACAATTTCTCTTTTGCAAGTCGATGGAATGAGCAGCAGTGATGGTCAGAGTAGCGTCAGCCACCGGAGAAGTCGTTCCTATTGCGCAATGAGCTGATTCACAACGCCTCGATTCCAATGTATCACAAAGCAAAGGTCTGCATTGTTGCTAAAGAGGAGATATGCGCGCCGAAGCTAAGGTCTTCGGACTATGCGAACCTCCCAAATGGACTGGGACGAGAGCCTCTGGCTGGGCCGACATCTTTGGCCATGCATGAGGTCCTTCGTCCCTCTCTGCACCCTGCACCCTAGGACCTTGTGGAGTGCTTTCCCTTTCCCTTTCTTCGAAATGTGTTCTTCAGTCCATCCTTGGCTCTGCCCATAAACCCTTTCTTCTTTCGAGCGGAAGATGGTGAGGGACCCTCTTCAATGGCCATCTCAGATTGCAGTGCTTTCGTGCGCTCCTCCCGCCTCGCTTTCGCCAGCCATCCGGGCATCCAGGCCGTATTGCTAGAAGTAGTCCCAGGCTGTCGAGGGAATTTGACATTGACCTCACCATCTGGTCCCTTGGATATCGCCCCCGCGGGAATCTGTGCTCCAGTATACGGATAGCCGAGGTCCTCGAAGCGGATGGGTGAGCCTGGGGCAGAGCTGGCTCGAGCTGAAGCGACTAGCAGGGAAGCCATGAGCAGAGTGGTAGGGAGTAACAAGCGCATGTCGTGTGTGATGTCGCAGGTGAGGCTCCTGGCGGCACCGGCGGTTATTCAACACGGAATTGCAATGTCCAGAGCGAGCGAGGTTGCTGCAGACCAGTTGCAGCTAGGACCGAGTAAAGCGAGGCGAAATTGATGTTGTAGACTAGGAAGATCAGTGTCAAGGGAGCTGACGGTGCTAATGAGTCGACAACAAGCGGACTCAGCGGGCAGCGTAGGCTGGGTGTGAGGTCGATTGCTGTCCAGCATCACTCGGTAATCGAAATGAGCAAAGATGCAAAGGCTAAAGGGCAATTCGGCGTTGGGGATCTCTTTGCGACGTAGCAAGGGTATCTTGACTACCAGTGGTAAGATCAAATCATCCAGAGCCGAGTTGACATTGCAATGCAGTCAATTGAGGAGGGATATGCCAGCAGGGTCATCGGCCATCAGTAGAGGTCCGGAGCTAGCTCACCCGCCCGCCATGCTCGTCGGGCTGAGGATATGGCTGCGCGGGCTTGCATGAAGTCCCACAGGATGCCCCAAGATGCCGAAATTCAGCTGTGCCATACAGACAGAGAAGAGCAGCGGCGCTCGAGGCAATTGAGCTGCTACAGTGGAGCGGTAAGGTTGTCTCTCGAGAGAGGCATGCAACATGGTCACTGCGCCCCTTTGCTGTTGCTGAGTAGACCTCACTTGCGAGTGCAAACAGCTTTGCAGACGACGCCATCGTGTTGAATTCGGGGCAATGAGGGAAGAGGGGGAGAGAGAGGGGCTCTGGTCGAGGTACAAGGCGATTCTAGGATGGATTGTAGCGAATATCGTGGTGGTGAGGGAAGCACAGAACGGGAGCGGAAGTCATGCAAGCAATCGAAGCTCCGCTCGGATCAAGCCTTCTTTCGCTGCCCCGCTCTTCGCCTTTAGCTCCTGTCACTTCGTCTTTGCCCGATTCTCTATGGGCTGCGACATCGATCCCCCTTCTTTGGCTTGCCACATGCGAAGAGCTTGCCAAGCCAATTGCCCTTCTTTTTCCTCCTCTCGCGCCTCTCTTCCTCTATATACGCCGCATTCGCCATCCTCTGACCATGCGTAAGGCGCAGTGGCAGGACGGGGGGCGACGAGGCCCTGGTGCCCGGGAGCTGATAGTCGATGCGAACGCCGTCGCCGAGGCGTTGCAGTGCCTCGGGTGGAAACATGTTAGTGCTGAATCTCACTGGACTTTGGTGAGGACGAGGAGAAGGGGCTGGGCTACCAGATGGCGAGCCAGACGGCGATGGTGTGTTGGAAGGAAGAGCCAGTGTCCCTGCGGAAAGCGCCAGGAGTGCAAAGAGTAGAGAAGAGGTACGCATGATGAATGAATAGCAGTGAATACTTGTTGATAGCACTTATTCAGAGCGTAGGGAGAATGCGGGTAGGAAGGCCAGCTTCAGTACTGCGATACAAGCGGTTGAGATTGTAGGTGAAAGGAGAACAGAGCGAGGAACAGGACGCCTATTTGAACCTTTTGAGTCCAGGCATGAGTGCCTCCTACTAGAGCAAAATGCATGTGCTAATTTCTTCTCGCTCATCAAGACGTCCTCAGTAGTCAAAGACGACTAGCGCAATGTAAGCACCCTTCTCATTCGGACTTTCGGGACACGGAGTCTAGTGACATTCGCAAACGAACATGGCATCGTTCAGTGTCGGCAAATGTCAGACATATGTGCCGTTGCTACCAGCAGGAAGGTATTTTAGCAACGAACCCCGTTGTAGAGAGCAACATTGCTATCAGACCATCGAGCCCCGACGTTGCTTGCACATTTGCGATGTGCTCCGGATGCGAATGGCCAGCTACTGCTCAAGATCGACTCTCAGAAATGTCCCACTAGAGGCTCGTATCCATCAGGGTTTAGCACTCTCTCATTTTCGAGAATAGTGGCTGTCAAGCATTTGCCTATGCAACGTACCATCTTCTTGACACCATCGACGACAGCGGTCTTGTACGAGAATGTATTCATACGATGCAGCTTCTGGCGGGACTTGTGCCAGTCTCGCGTTGCTCGATCGCCTCGGGGTGAAGCAGGTGTACCGACACTCAGGTGAAAGATCCGTCTGGAGTCGTCTGCTTCATTGTTCATGCGTAGTGAGATGTGACTGTCATCGCTGTGGAGGGGAAGGTTTCGGTGGGCCGTTCCTGCCTGCAGGAAGACAGCCCAGAGGGATGCGAGGAGAAGGAGGTCGAGTAGCCTCATTCCAGATCTCACTGGGGAATCGTGAACACGAGGGTGAGGCAGCGTACAAACGAATGCTGCAAAGGTGGCGTCTGCTCGTGAAGCGCCCTACACGAAGCAGAGTCGAGGCTAATGCAAGGCCGTCTCGATAGCCCGATACATGCCAGACCCCAAAGGTCAAAGTGATACAGAGTCAAAGCAAGCTGTGACGGCAGGGGCACCGCTCGGTTCTTGACTCCAGCCGGCAGTTGTGGGTCTCGACAATAACATCAGCAAATACTGCCATTCAAGATGCACTCTACTGGTGACGCACTTTCTCGCCAGTTTCTGACAGGCAGTCTACTGTGAGCAACGAAATTAGCGGCCGGAGCTGTGCTCTGGAGCAATGCAAAGCGTTCAGGCAACGACGCAAAGCAACAGAGGCAGTCGCTCCTGCATTGAACAACCAAGCATTGCGCTGAAACAGCGAGAAGGAGAACAAACGCTTGGCAGAGAACATGACCCCCCGCTCGATACGCAGTGCCACCCTCTGAGAGCCTCCAGAAGCCTGACGATTAGGGTGCCATTATCGTTGAAGCGAGGAACGAACGCTACGCACCAAAGCATTGGGAGAGTACTGTACCCAGGCAAGACAAAACCAGAGCATCCGTCGGCACCCTGAAGAAAGAGACCACAGAGGTAAGACCCCTTGGTCTTTTTCGGAAGGGGTCTCACTTCCATCATTTCGACCATCTCTGATAGGTATGCGCAATGGCGCCGCATGCTACGTTGTGCGAAACATTCCTCTGGGTAACGGCATCTGAGACATCGAGCTGCACGATTATGTGTTTTGGCTGCCAGTCTGGTCGGCAGGAAGAAATCCTCACGGATGCTTTATTGAGCTTTTACCCCTGGACAACGTTCTTCACCTGTTAGAATAACAACCACATCTTCCTGACCGTCGCAACATTTAAAGTATAACCCCCTCACGCCAAGCGACCTGATGTCGGCTGCTAAAGATACGACCAATGTGGAGGAAGAGATTCTTGTCGCTATCGCAGCTCAACCCTACCCTCCCGTGGCTCTTCCTATCTCTCTTTTTTAGGATCCGGAACTGGGTGTGCTTGCTACCCTCCTGTGGCTTCTTCTGTCTCTCTGTTTTGGGGTTCCGAACTGGCGACTAAAGGGAGACTTCACGCTTCGTAGGCAATGAGCAAGAGCAAAGAGGAGATGGTCTAATAGTTGCCTGGGGCACGCTGAGGTGGCTCCGAACGAGATGGAGGGCCTGTGTTGAGCTCAGTTGCTCAAGATGATGCGTCGAAAGAAAGGCTACAGCGAGAAGAGAGTGACATTGCCGTATGGTCCAGATCGCTAGTATGCAGAATTTGATTTCCTGGGACTGGCGGCGTCAGCCCCTGCTCGGCTAGCCTCCTGCGATTCCTGTTTAGAAAGTCCAATTGGTCTGCCAACCGTTCGCGCTCGGCACGAAAGTCGTCGATGCTCTACCTTTCTGGGGCATGGCTCTCGACACAGGCTGGGAGCAATCGATCTTTGAGCACCTGCAGGGCAGATGACGAGACACATGTGGCAGGTGAGAGACCGATTCTCTTGAGAGGCCACGGGTCACTCTGGCCATGCTGAGCAGACGTATCGACTCACTTGCGCAAAGTCCTCGAGGAACACGGGAAACCTCTCCGGCGCTCCAGGAAGAGGGTCCACAAACCAGCGCGTAGGCAGAGGCAGGACACGTTGACCTAGCGGTCGGTAGAGGTTTGTCAGCTCCAGCCGAGACCATGACAGGTAGACGAGCCCGTAAAAGTACAAAGCTGCTGTACTCACGCCTATTGACTTCTCGGACACCGTCAGGAAGATTCCTCACCGGAGCCGAGAGATCGTATTGCTCCCATCCTTGCCTCTCCCAATCCTGCAGCACAACCGAGACTCTGGCCTTACCCCGCCAGTCCTCGAACTCCGCCGGAAGCCTAGGCAGGTTGTCAACCGCAGCTTCCCCACCGACGCCCCTCCACTCCAGCTTCAACAGAATCACGTTGATCTGCTCTGACCTGTACTCAGCCAGCTCCTCCTCAATGTCCCCTTCGCCTTCGTTCGCCCAAACCACTTCCAACGCAGTCACAGCTCTTCCCTGCGGGTGGTGAGCCCAAGAGCCATCAGGCTCTCTGTACTGGCGGGGTCTTTCCGGAGAACAGATTGGTATGGCACTTTGGCACAGCCCTATCGGTTCCTCGCTGCAATGCACCGCGAGCGGGGGTTGACGTCACAACGACATTGACGCCCTTTGCTCGGTATGCCGTCAACTCTTGCGCCACTTCTCTCCTTCCTTCGTGTCCCCACACCATCGCCAACACTGTGACCGTTGCCCTTCCCTCGACCTGTTTCCAGGATCCATCTGGATCCCTGGTCTTTCGGCGGGGCGCCATTGCACTGTTAGCGCATAGCAGGCTGTGTGCTCTCCTTCGCCCAAGTGACCTCGAGCACAGTAGCCGCTTGTCGATCACCCTGAAGGGAGCTCCAAGAACTATCCGGATCCCTGCTACCAGCTGCTCGGCTGTGGATCTTGTTGGAAGCGTGGGCGCCGTTTTGGCTGAAGTAGGTTGTTGACGATGTCAGAAGACGAGCAAAGAGGACGATGCACAGTATGTCAGTATGATATGCTGGGTACTTGCAGCGCACATGGATGGTGACTTACCTTGCCTCGCTGGTGTGCCCATCGACTACAGTTGTCCTTCGTTGCTGCTTCTACGCCTCGTAGAGCAAAGTCGTTGTGTATGTCAGGCCAGTCTTGCCCCGTCTTGCTACCGAAGTCATGCTCGGGGAAGAGTGTCGTCTCTGTCGAAGACTGTCAGAGGCGGACGGCAATGGAGAAGAGTAGTGATCAGCTTTGGCCTTTGGTATGTACGATCACATCACTGTACAAGACGCTCACCTTCGCTTAAGTGTCCAGAGTCCGGCTCGGCCGGCCCAAGTGTGTAGGTAGGGGCTCGTTGTGAGAGGAGAGGTGTCTGATAGTGAAGACGCTGTTGGCAGAGTTGGCGATGGTGAGAAGAGATGCTGGACGCGGTGATTGGAGGCGTCTTATATAGGTCGAAGAGGGGCGAAGGTGGTGAAGGGGTATGCGCGAGGAAATCTAGTCCATCCTAGCGTCCGGTCGCAGAGGCGCTCGTCATCCAGCCGATCTACGGGTGTGCTCGGGCTGTATGAGGGCAAAGGTGGCTGTTAGAGAGCAATCCTCTTCGCCCGACCTCCTCCGAATGATGAGGAGTACCGGCGACCGCTTGAAGCGTTCAAGCGCCTGGTGTGATGTCTGGAGGGGCCCTAGCCTCGAGCAGGATAAGTCATTTTGAGAAGCATAAGTCCCGTAATGCTCTCGCTAGATAGATAGTGCTCTTGTGATTTCGATATCCGAGACCCGCGACCGCGGCTGAAGACGACTGTACAGTACTCCTTTTACCGACCAAAGTCGACTTCTTTGCGTCGCCAGCGAACACTGGTCAGATCAACAGCGAACACCTGTCATGTTTGCGAACAAATTGCAAATGCTCCGAACAGTTGCTGAATCAACCTCGAACGATTTGCAACCAAAGGTGAACATCCTGCCTAATCCTTGCCCTAAGACGCCGAGGCCAAGGCGACCACACACGCGCCGTACCCCTTCGGCGACTTCTTGCAAGCGACGTTCGGAGTTTCGTGACAAAAGTTCGAGCTTGATACGGCCATTGTTCAAACATAGTGCAGGGGTGTTCGAGAAAGGTCAACACTGTTCGGAGTCGATCATCGACGCGTTCGTCGATCTGCAAACGTGTTCGAGTTTGGTTGCAAAAAGGAGTACTCTCCGAGGTGTGGCTCTGCGAGATGCTGATCCTGCCTCCTCTGCTCAGCTTGGGGTCGTCACACCGCGGCAAATACGCCGACGCTAAGCCCTCACACTTACTTCCCACGAACACAGGCACCAGAGTTTCCAATTTGCCTCCACCCCCTACGTAAGCGCAATCGTTCACTGGTGAGGCCGTACGCCTCGACGCTGCTCGGTCGCCCGCCGGTCACCCACCGGCCACCTTGCGGCTTCTCAGCAGCACTGTTTGGGCGTCACCTTTGCTCACGAGTCATGGTCATTTGCTGTGTGGATGGAGATGCGTAGGCAACCAGGGCGGAGACCGGGAGGCGATGCCCTCGAGGAGAAGCGACTCGGACTAGAGTTCATCCGATCTCCGGACGATGGCCTCCACCTCGTCTTGGCCCAGCGGTCATGCCCGAACAGTATGAGTCTACGACAAACCAGGTTTGGGTGTTTGGTATCACAGATCATCAGCTGCATAGCCTGGCCCAAGAGGCAACAGACCAGAGACACATGCTTCTCGCTCTAGTATTGCCATTCAATCGACCGTAATGTGTCAGCTCCGGCAAGCACAAAAGGAAACACCAATTCGAAGGGCGCTAGCAGCCTACATCACTACGACATCGACACCTACTGTACTCAATCATCAATGAACATCGTATGCAAGCAATTCTTGACACATCTCCCCGTCCCCATCAGTCCACCCTTGACCTTATCTTTCCACGGGTAATTCCTGACCGCGTCCTTGAGATGGTGCAGCTGCCAACGCTGCGACCTCTGCTTGCGCCATCGCCTTGTTGCCGCATCGCCCTTGGGGGAGGAAGGAGTGCCGAGAGGATTGTGGAAGCCCCAGTTTCGGCCAGGAATGGAGACTTTGGGTGGTGAGGAGGTGCTGGGGAGCAGCTCTTCGGTGATCTCGTCTGCTCGCTTGAGCAGCGCAGCGGGAGAAGTAGGTCTAGCTGCAGCGGGAGGGTACGAGCTAAGGGCGACCTCACGTACGGGAGCGGCTAGAGCACCTTGAGCGGCGACCAACAAAGCCACAAGAGTGGGGATAAGGTACGGGAGCTGCATTGTAGGGCAGACGTCTATAGTGAAGACAGCAAGTCTTTGTGATGTGATACCTCAGAGAGCAGCGTAAATGATCAGTCGCAGGTCCAGCCTGCAGACCTACAGATTACTCCTTTTGCGTACAGTAGTGCTTGAGGAGAGCAAACGGGGAGCACTGAGAGGCCATTTCCAACAGACCTTATGTATCGGACCAAGCTGATCCAGGACTCCGGCACCCCTCAGTAGAGCAAAGCACTACAGTACATCATGGCTCTTGCTCGCAATACCAGTGGGCTGGTTGCTCTTGACCTAAGTAGGTCTGTCGCTTGGTAGTGAAGTGAGACGAGGGCAGTGCAGGCACCGCATCTCGCTTGTACCAGCATGAGCAAAGCGAACGCAATGCCGAGAGTCCGGAGAGGGCTGTGACTCGATGATGCTGTACGATTCTTGGCCGCATCCAGGGACTCAAAGTGGATTGCTAGCACTTGAGCGCTGGGATCCTGAGAGCACAGGCAATGGTGTAGCCCAAGCTTTTGCTGTACTCCGCACGACAGGCTTCATTCAGCGTTGTGCCGGCAAGCGTACATTATCGCCACGCGAGTCGAGTAGAGGGCACCATTGCTTCAGATCAGGCGAGAAGTGAGGATTCTGCTGCTCGTCAGACTTTCAGTCGACTCAGACGGCGTCTATCATGCGTTCACTAGTAGTCGACCCTTAGCGGACTCACTACATACAGGGCCCCAATCTGAACGCATCTTTCCTCTCATCCGCAACTCAAGCCCTTGCCAGTGAAGCAGCCACCAATCTTCTTGAGCACCTTCTTCGCCTTGCTACCCCCACCAGTACGCTCTCGCGGGATCCGATAGACATGTCCTGATGGGAGATTCATAGGGAACTGCTGTGTCCCGCTGCTAGGAGCGACATTGATTGGTCTTGAAGAGTGTCCGCGAGGTGGTGTTGGCCACCATTGTGGCGAATGGGCTCTCGCCGGGGGCGAGTGTCTGGAGGGTGGGGAGTTCCTCTGCCCTGGCGAGGAGTGTCTAGAGGATGGCGAATTCCTCTGCGACGGCGACGAGTGTCTCGAGGATGGCGAATTCCTCTGTGACGGCGACGCATGTCCACTCCATGCTGCCGGATTCCTCTGAGGAGAGAACCGCATTTGAGTCCAGCCTGCTGGATTAGAAGGGTAGTGCCTCCAGCGTGGTGGCGAGACGACAGTCTGTCCCTGCTGCGCCGGACGAGATGGTCCTGCCTGATCGGGTCTTGGTGCAGGCCTACGCGGAGGAGAGAAGGTCTGTGTCGTCTCCCTCGAGTCCGGAGGCCGATTGCTCGGCCTGACAGTGTAGTGCTCTGCATTGTACGGGTAGAAGTGATGTGCGGGCGCTGGAACGTGCGGTAGAGGTTGCGCACCGGGGGCAACGTCGATGAAGTCTGGAGAGCCAATGGAGGAGGCTGGTGAAGATGCTCCTGAATTGCTCCTGGTGGACAGCACGGGGGAGGCTGTCATGACGAGCAGGACGCTCATGACGAGACAGATTTGGAGTCTGCTCAACATCGTGGGGGAGTGGCGTGGTAGTGTAAGAGGAGATGTGGCCCTATTCGATGGCAGGCAAAGTTGCTGGGAGAAGTTTAAGACCTTCGAAGACTACCCAGAGGCTGCTGAAAGAGCCGAGCATTGCACTTTATACTACGACGAAGGGGTAGGTCTTGGAGAGGTGCGAGGAGTCGAAGCTGTCTAGGACCAGATGCGAATGTTTGCCTGAGCGGTTACGATCGCGAGCAGGAGTCCACTATTGCTCCTACTGGGATTCGTTCGATAGCTTCCTGTCATTCGTTCCGATAATGATGGATCGCACTCATCTTCCCTGCGAGTGCGGCAGCGAGTTGCTGTATTGGCCTTGCCCGACGTAGCGTTTCCCGGTCAGTATTGCCTCCACGCAAAGGTAGCGATCCTCGAAGATGCATTTGGGAGCAAGCACCGGTGCGATATGGTCAGAAGTATCGGACAACAGCATCAGCATCAACATTCTCGAGCGCGATCTTGGACTCAGGTCATGGTAGCGTAGCCAAAGTTGAGCGGCACCTTCGGCCCGCCCCCTTTTCTATTTTTGGCCCTCCACATCACCCATACTATACACTAGCCCGCACACGCGCTTCCGCCCCTTCCGACGATTCCTCGCTATCATTCGCATCTTCCCTTCTTGGCTCCGAAGCATCCCTTGATTTTTCCAATTCCTTTGCTGAAAAGATGCATCACTTTGCTCTTCCGTTTGCTGTCTGCAGGCGCGAGAAGACGCGGGGGTGAATTCTGCTGCCTGAATAAAGATGATCTATGGGACGCTGACGGTGCAGGGCTCTGCAGAGAGGTCAAGGCTGACAACGGTGAGCTATGCGGTGAAGACCTTCGAGATTGAGACAGAGTTGCTGGCGCAGCGAACTTCGGCCAGACGGGAGATGGAGCGTTTGCGCTGAGTCTTGGACGCTTCCGGGGTGGTGAAGAAGTGGACCGACTCCCTTCTTGCCCGGCCGATGTCAGAGCGGTCGAAGCAACCGGTCGCTCTGGTGAGCTCTTCCACACTTCATGCCGTAAGTTTGTTCGCACGTTGTAGAGGTCTGGACGTGGATAGGGCAGTCGGATGCGTGGTGGGGATGGTTGAGGCTCGGGCGAGGGAGTGGACAGGTACGTGTAGTCTGGCGAGCCATGACTTGAAGCTGGGGACGAGGAGAAAATCGAGGTGGAAGATCCCCCTCCTTGCCTTACATTATTCAGCGTTGCGGCTGCCGCTGACGAGTACAAGAGGAGAAGAAGGGCAATGAGCAGAACACTCCAGAGGAGTCGAGAGGATTGAGCTGCATGCGGCATCCTTGAGCCTTGTTCCTTACAAGCTTAGGTACCAGTCAAAATCAAGAGCCAGCTCTTGATGGCAAGGTCTCGCGAGTCCAGGGCAGGGACCGGAATGTCAGGAGTGCAAGAACAATGCGCCTGTACAGTGAGATACAAGAGGGAGATGTCTCGCCAGAGCGGAGCCGTCAGATCTTCGACTTTTCGGAGGAGGCGTTTGAATCGCTTTGCTTCGCCGTTAGTAGATAGCATTGCTCGATGGCTTCCGGGAGGCTCTGATTTCGCCCGGATCACGGCATCACGAAGAGTACGGAGCAATCAGTGCCAGCAACCCCGTGGCTTTGCTCGCTTTGACCTGCCTCGCCATCAATCTTGCTCGGCATCGTACTTCCGATTCAGCTTGCGATCGGGGTCGAACTCACACCGTGAATGTACGAGGAGAGAGCAATAAATACCGAGCACCAGAACCGAGCTTTAGCCGGCCGTCGTGACTGTCATTCAGCCTTCCTACTCGTCTTCCAGAGCTGGTCTCTCTATTCTCCAAGCAAAGCGAGTCTCAGTGTTACCGATTCGATATTGGCATACAGCGTCGTTCTTGCACAGACTCTCCCCTGCTGTCATCATGAAGGTCCATCAACTCGCATCAACTGCGCTGCTCTTGGCTCTCTTAGCTTCACTCGTGTCCGCTCAGGAGCTCAATCGTCCCTTCGCAGACATCATTCCTCTCTGGCCCCGCACAGACCCGCCAAGTCGTCAGCTTTCTCTCGGCGCCTCCTCTACGACATCGACATCAGGCTCAACCTCCCAACGAATGCTACAGCAAGTTCACAACCCTACTCCACGGAGACACCACACCAAGAAAAGCGTCCGCATGTTCCCATTGGCGACAGGTTCGACCTCTAGGCGCCACCATGTCCGCCGTCCTGAGACGCCGGTGGGTCCTCAGCCCAAAAAGACTACCATGGGGAAGCTGAAGAAGGGTCTCGCCAAGATTGGAGGGTGCTTCATCGGAGATTCGGTCAAGTGTATCTAGTGCATGGCGCCAGGGCTCCGGCTAGCAATTCTTCATGAAGCAGAAGCCTTTTCTCAGTGCGCCCTTGGCTGACCGAATGACACCCTTGCCCGCCTTGACCGCGCCCTTAGCCGAGCTTGTTGCCTTTTCACGGAGAGCTGAAACGTAAGGTCTCTTAGACTGGCTGCTTCCCACGCCGTGGTGACCAGAAGGGGACCCGCTCACATGTCCAGCCCGGTGCTCTTCCTGCCTCATCTTGAGAGCCTCCATTCGCTTTTTTGATGCCTCCTTCTCTTGAAGCCACTTGGGCTGCTGTCCTGTCTCGCGCAGGATGTCCGTTCGGTAGACCCGCCTGTGGCCTTCGTAGGTATAAGGGAGACCGAAAGGATTGCGATCGGCGGGGTCGGAGTCACGGCTTCGTGGTACGAGGAGCCTTAGACGCTCTGAGCTTGAGATCTGCTTCGGAATATGTCTGCCTGGACTTGCTGCTGCTGAAAGAAAGAGGGTCGACAGTTGCAGAGATACGATTGATAGTGCTATCCGCATGCTTTGTTTTATAGTCGTGAGAGATTGATTATGTTTGATGGGGTGACAGTGGCTTGTCGATGATATCGAAATGTACTCAGTAGCGACGAAGTGAAGCAGAGCGAGCATTAGTGCTTCAGAATTCTCTGAAGTAATGGACAGAGACGTCTGTCCTTGTTGCTCGGGGCGGTGGCTCGCTTGAGCAAAAGCAATGGGTCTCAGGTTCGTCTTTCCCAAGCAAGGGCAAACAGGCTGACATTGCACGAGCAATTGCTCGCCCCAAGGGGATCTCAACATCTCCGGAGTCATGGTGGCAGAGCATTTGCTGTCGACCAAATCAACAGACAGCAAAGTGATCGAAGACCTTTCCGGTCTGTTCGAACCCCTTGACCTTTTGGTCATGAGAAGCCGAAGTCGCAAATGCCGTCTGCTGCGCTCGGACAGTGAGGCATTTCTGAACAGGCAACAGTCTGGGACGTCGACTCTCTTACGCTCAGTGTTTTGCTTTGCTGCTTGCTATGTACGCAAGGCGGCATCTCTGTTGCCCTAGACTACGCGAATTTGCAATGTGGTCATACAGTATTTTCGCACGGGCTGAGCCGACCGCAACTCCGCTCGGGTCATTTTCGAAAACGTACTCTCGATCAGGTGATCAGCCTATACCTGCCAGACACAAGGTGTTGCGCCTACGCAACGGTCTACGTGACACATGTGGTCGAGCTAGCACGTATATATGAGCAGCTGTCGACGCGCCTTCTCGCAGAAGACTGCTCTGCTTACACGCCGTCGATCCCTTTCGCCCACCACTCACGATGAAGTCATTGCAACTCCTCTTTTGCCTTACGCTGCTGGTCAGCACATTCCTCACCGCTCAAGCTTCTACTCCCCTCGGGACCAGACCCCTCAACACAGCACGCTCCTTCCACGATCTCAGCCAGACCTTTTCACCTGATGATATACTGAACCGCCGCACAGACGGTCTTCTCAAAGGTTTCAAGAAGAAGCTCAAGAAGTGTGTTGCCTGCGGAGGTGGGAGCGAGGTGCGACCACGACCTGTGGCAACACCACAAAATGAGCAAGCAAGACAACCACCGAGACGACAGAGCATGTATGGGCTGATGGATATGCGGGCGGGATGGACACAATCTCCACCCTACTGGGGCCAAGGGTAAAGGATATGGTGCTACAGTAATGAGGTGTCGTGCTTAGGCCGGAGAGGTGTGCTGCGAGCCTGCCTTCGCCTTGTCTTGCTGAACCCTCACAGCCAGTACACACGCTTGTCCAAACCAATGCGGGATTCGTCCTGAGCAAGATGCATTGAAGTCTTCTTGTCGCTCATTGGACGAACTTCTTTTGTATGTACACACACCTACATCATGTCTATCGCCTATAAACAAATAAGCCCTACTGTGCATCGTGGTAGAGGGGTCCCACTTTCCTCCCTCGACGTCCGTACCGCGATTGTCGCCTTCTCGAGGGAATGTCACCCCCCTTGAAGTCCCTCTTCTCAGATACTCTTCACTTGATCACCTCCACCGCGATATCGATCAGTAAACGACTACGGGGATCGAGTCCAGCTTAGGGTAGAAATTCTCCAGTGCCACCTCGGACTTCACACAGTCCATTTCCGTTCCGTTGTTGGTCCACTTTGGTCTGAGCGGCCAGCTGCAGATCTTCTGGTCTTTATCCGATACGGTACCATCAATGACGGTCGCATTGAGGCGCTTGGGGTTCACCCCGTCCTCGACCCAGGCGATGATACTCTCGAGCACGCTCTGTGGGAAGGGTCCATTAGGCTGGTCTGTCGAAGGAGCGCAATGACCCGCTCCAGGGACGAGGAAGAGTCTGTAGAACTCGTTGAACTTCTCCGTTGCCTCCTCATCCGAGAGACCAGGATGCATGACAGATTTGGCCATCTCGTAGTATCGAACACTCGAGGCAGCCGGAATGGAGTAATCGCTCTCACCGTGGTAGTGGATGATCTTTCCACCATTCTGCCTGTACTCTGTCAGATCAGGCCAAGTCGTCTCGAGTGTCCCGTCAAATTTGCGAAGACCTTCCAGCATCCAAGATCGGACAGTATCGTAGGTAACGCCGTCGAGACTGATGGTGTCTGCTTCGACCTCCTTGAGGAAACGCTGAAGGTACTGACCGGCGATGCTCACGCCCATGCCGGAGCTAGATACCTCCCACTCGTCGGTAGTCGTGTTGTAGGTAGTCTCGGCATCGGTGAAAGTAGCTGTGGGCTGGTAGCCGAGGTAGACACGGCGACCTTGGCTGTCGTGGAGACCCTTGTAGAGGAGGTTGACCAGCTCAGCTGCTTCTGCTGAAACGGTACCATTCTGAGCGGGCGTAGAAGAGGCGGCCATTTGACGCTTGCCAAACCCACCACTACCAGAGCTGGCAGCACAGTTGTAGCTGTTGCCAATGGACGAGGTGGCATTGTAGTGGTAATAGCACAGGTCGGTCCTGGAGACGACTCCGTCTACTCGCCCATCCAAGCCATCACAGGCGGAGATGGTATCGTTGAGGATCCTCTCCAGTTCACAAGGGGGAGGAGCGTAATTCTGCGCTTTTTCAGTGACGGCAGCGACGATGTGGTTGACTTGCTGGAAGGCCTGTCGGAAGGCAGGGGCCCCGATGGCCGCACCATCGAATTGCGTCTGGTACCTCTGCACCTGGGACCATCCCTCTCGTCCACCCTCGGAGCATCCCTGATAGTACGAGTAGATCTTCGAAGCATTGTAGAAGTTCTTGGTGACTTCTTTACCGATCTGGGTGAGCTGATGGATGGCCAAGTAGGCAAAGTCGTAGAGGTGCTCGTAGTTGAGAGAGCCGTTCGCATTGAGGATCACGGCGGTGAGCTCATCTCCGAAGGCGCCAATGCCACCATTTGTAGTACCTGAGACGGCTCCCACGACTAGACCGGAGGGTAGGTACTCTTCGTCACCCGAGATGGCGTAGCCGAAGCCTCCGGTGGTCAGGTAGCGATTGTTGAACTGTTTGGGGGCGGGCAGCCAGTACTTGAGCTCCGTCTGGAAAAGGGGAAGAAGCGGTGAGCGTCAGCCTGTATGTTACCACTCACAGAGTCTCCTCTGCGTCACTCACTGTGGCATTTCCGCCTTCCCTAGTGTAAGTGAAAGTGACGTTACAGAAGTTCCGATCGGTAGCAGCAGGGAAGTTGTCCCCCGCCGTGACATTGTAGTCATACACGGCATTTGCAGTGACCGAGTCGGCATCAAATACAATGTTGTGCTCGAAGCCATCAGCGGGGAGGATGGACTGTACGTAGTCTACGGTGCAGACGTCTGCCAGGGTGGCTGTTGCGCTGGCTTGGAGAGCGCTTGCGGCTGCGAGGGAGCCGACGGCTAGGGCCAATGGGAGCTGCAAACGAGTCATGGCGACGACGACGACAAGCCTAGACGGAAAAGGGGACGAGGTCGATGAAGAGAAGATGAATACTTGCTGAGCGTAGAGCGAGAGAGAATTTTCTGACGATCCCTGAACCATGGTTTGCCTCTTTAAAGGGGTCTTCGACGTGCTGCTCCACCCAGACGTGCGGATGAGAACATTTGCGGCCATCTCCTGCAGGGTTGCGGCCACCCGGGTACTAAGCCCAAGGGCCGCGGCGGCTCGCGGGTACGGCTGAGTGTAGGTACACAGCATTTGTTCAGCCGGCGGCATCTTGCAGAAGCCGACGTGGGGTACAGCAGCGGAGCTCCCACTGTCATGTCATGCTGTGCTCTCTTCTGCCGCGGAGGAGAGGATTGGATTCAAGGTGACGAAGGCAACGAGGTCATCTGACGCCCGGAATAGAAGAAGATGCCGTTCATGCGGAGAAGAGCGGCGCATCGCACGTGGCGCCAGGACCCGAGCGGTGATGTTTCAATCTGGGTCGCCGCGTGCCGAGATGCCGCGTGAGGGGCCAGCTCAGCTCACCACAACCCAGCCGAGCCCACACTCGGCAAAAATCTGGGCGTGGGGCTCCATGTTTAGCGCGGCGCTACCGAGGTGAATCCGAGAGGAGTCTAGAAATCCACGAGACAGGTCATGTTAGCGTACGCACGGCTCAGTATGGAATTGCTGGAAACTCTCTCTTTCCTCCGGAGGCCGAGTCAATGCGCCGGCGGAGCCCATGCGCGGGCGGACAGGCGCATCGCATCCACTTTCTGGGCTACAGGAGACTGCCCCTCCACTGATACTCCAGCGACCCTTTCAGTCACGATCATCTACTCTTTTGGTCAGACTGAACACATCATCGTAACATACCCCTGGCCTCACTTGGACTGCCGAAGACGCAGGAGTGGTGCAACCAAGAGATGGCAGTAGTCACAGACATACCACGGCTCGGACTGCCGGTCTAGCGGCCAAATTCATTTCACCACCCCTCCACCCTGCTACTCTCAAGTCCATCGGCAATGGTACATGGCCACCTCCCCACACCTAGTGCTTCTTGCCCTTCCCAAAGAGGCCCTTCATCTTCGAAAACGCCCCCTTCTTCTTTTGCGCCCCCCTCGAAGGTCCCGCTTCCTGCTCAGGCGAGCTCTGTGGTGTCCTACCCCCAAAGTAAGGTGTCGCCCCACCCGTACTGGGGGAAGGTGTCTTCCTCTCCCAGCTCTTCCTTCGAGGAGGAGTAGACCCAGCAGAGGAAGAGCGAGCGGGACTCGTCCGTCCAGAGCCCTGGGCACTGTCAGGATCGGAGAGCTGGAGATTGGCAAGGTTTTGCCAGCCTGCTTGATTCTGCAGCCAGTCTCGATCGGAACCACTACCGCTACGACTACCGCCACTGCCCGCTCCACCACTGCGAGCGCTACCTCCACCACTTGATTGGCGGGAGTGGGAGGCCGAGCGGGCAGGAGAGGTGGAGGCTGCGGGGGTCCAGCCGCCCGAAGGGTACATGGGAGGGTGATCTTGCTGCGAGGGAGAGGGGAACCAGCCACCCAGCGGAGCTCGACGCTGTAGAGTCATTCCTTCGCCTTCTTCAAAGAACTTCGAAGAGACCAGTACTGCTGGGCTGAAGAGCAGAAGAGCAGCGATGAGTGGAAGCTTCATGTCGAATGAGGATTCAGGATGCTGAGAGTCTTCTTCTGGCGCAATGGGGTCTCACGGGGTCCAGCCTGTGAGCGAGCTTGATCGGGGAGGGGCTATGGAGAAAGAGGATGTCTTTCTTGCCTTTCGAGTCATCCGAAGAGAGCAGATCTTATAGGCCTTTCATGGCCTGTCCCCAAGCCTTTCTACTCCGACAAGATGAAGGAGCCTCTTCGCGGGTCTTCGGCTAGTCAATTCAGCAAGCAACTGCTCGGACCTTGCGCGCAGGCAAGGAGAAAAGAGATGTCCGAAGGTACTGGTACGCTATTGTTTTCTTCCGAGCGTTCATCGGCAAAGGTATAACGAAGTCAATGGAAGTCTTGACCATCGGAGATTATTTTCGAAGCTTCCGCGGGAGCAATGAAAAGGTCACAAAGACACTGGCGCTTGTTCAGGCGTGGCAGGTGAAGTCAAGGCAGACATTGCCGCTAGCAAGGGTGCAACTGTCCGGAGACTCATCAAGGCATTTGGGATAGTGAAGCAATAGCACTAAGGCTAGAGCAATCATGATGCCAAAGTACTTGCTTTGCTTGTGTGAAGGTGACCTATGAGAGTGAAATTCTGCCGAAGTTCAGCACTCGGTAACTTCGGGGACACTCCTCAGAGAGGGAAAGCAACTAGCAAAGATACAGGCAGATAGGTAAAGCGAACATTCGTTACTGCGCAAAAGCTCTTGGGACGCCCAGCTCAAATGAACAATTCCTCGCATTGTTCTCATTAGAGCAATTGCGTTGTGCTCTCTGTCAAGCATGCATCGTATTCTCACTCTTCGATGGAAATTTCGAGTCATTGCGGTCGAGCGCAGGAAGCGCAACCTCTGAGAGCGCCCTTCAGTCTGGCCCACGCTCCCTTCTTCTTCGCCTCAGGTGCAGGCGAGCTACTGACGCTCCTTGCCGGAGGGACAGGCAGGAATATGTCTGATTCCGACAAGGGTCGATAGCGGCGCGCTGGACTGTTGGGACCTCTTTGCGGCGAGGAGCCATTCGCGAAGTAAGCCCATGGCCGGGCTCCTCTCGCCGGTGAGGGGCTGTGGTGGCGGTCGAACACTGGATTGCGGTGAGGGGTGGCCGGGGAGCGGCCAGCTCCTCGTCTAGGCGATGGACTACTGGGCGAACCAGAAGAGAGACTCGAAAGATCATCGTCCCGCGCAAGTCTCTGTGATGAGGGATGTTCTCTGGGGCGCGACCAAGTGGCGCTGAAGGAGCCCGCATTCCTTCTTGGACGACTGGGACTGCCGTGTAAACTGTCTAATCCAGACGTTGTCGGTATCTCAAGGGGCGTCAGATTCAGCGTCACTGAGCCTACACGAACTGGTTGACCTGCTGAAGGATGGCTACCCACGTTCACCTTGAAGCGAGGATCTAAAGATGAGACATCGTTCGGAAGAGCCCAGACTCTCGCAGAGAATTCGAGCAGAAGTATGGCGAGCCAGAAAGCGATTTTCATGCTGCGAATATGTGGGTACTGCGACCGTAATGCAAGCAGAGACCAGCTCTCGCCTTGCAAAAGAATTTAGACTGGGACGTGAGTGATGATGGAAAGCTACAAAGTTGATGGAGTTGTGGTGCTCCAACCCTCAGCACCAGCTCCTCAGCAATGCATGGGAGCAAGTGTGGTCCGGCAAAGCGCTCTTGCGATGGACCGCTGTTCGCTTAAACTTTGGAAGCAATGGAGCAAGCGTCCATTGCGGTGGTGCGTGGTAGCGATCACACTGCTGCTGCGCTGGCAGCAAAAGCCCAAGAAAGACTTTCAGCTGCCGCTGATCATAGCAGAGGCAAAGGGCAAACCATTTCCATACGCTTCAAGCAATGTTTTGCCGCCACTTCGACTGACCGACGATGCCACCTACGGCCGACCGACACAGCCGACACATTTCCTGAAAGGCTTGCGAAGGACGTGCTTCATCTTGCTCCACCATGCTGTTTTCTTCCTTGCGGGCAACGCTGGTCGCACTGGCGTCTCTCGATCACGAGGTGGCGAACTAGACAACGAGCTTAGAAAGTCTTCCGAGTGTAGACTGGGAAGACGTGGCGGACTGGCAGCCGATGGACTACGTGGCGAAGTGTGAGCAGCACCTGGAGTACGCGGAGGAGTCTGCAAAGACGAGAAGCCCTCCCTGGTACGGACCCACGTCCCACTGGAGGTACTTGAGGGTGTGCGCAGATGAGCTAGACTAGGGGGAGATCCAGAGCTCTCAGAGGACTGCGCGACATCCATGGCTGGCAGAGCTTGGCTAGCTTGTGCTGTACTGCTACTTGGTGTCTCAAGGACTCCTTGAAGGCCAGAAGTCTTGATGATCTTGAACCGAGGCGCAAGAGAGACTACCTCTTCCGGAAAGGCCGACACACTCACGAAGAGCTGCAGAAGAAACAGAATGCACCACAGGCTGAGGTTCATGATAAGATTGATACCCGGTAAGTGAGAGACCAGCTCATGTGCGGTTAATAGGAAAGGACTCATGAAGTCTAGGGAGGTGATACGATTGACACTGCCTCAAGGTGGCAAATTGGCGCCAGTGACTTGAGAGCAGCACTTCATCTCAGCAATTCTTAGTTGCTGTCGCAAACTTGGCAAGGCATTCGTCGACACCTACAAAGCAGTGCTTCTGAAGCAATAGTGCGAGAATACATGGGCAAGCTTCTGTCAATTTTGTGAGCAGGCATCGCAGCGGATCTCTATGGTGGTTGCTCAATTCGTGCGCAAAGATGTTGAATACTTCGAACAAAGAACCCTCCTGTCCAGCAGGCGAATCACAAAAGGCGAGGGCAGGATAACCAGCTGCACTCTGATCGCCAGCCTGGCGACATGGTGAGCTGAGCTCAGAAGCTCAGCGCCCCGATAGCACCTAGACACCACGAATTCTACGTTCTTCCAAACAGCTTCTTGAAGCTCTTCATGCTCTTGAATACTTTCGCCAGCATTTTTTTTGGCCTTCGTCTCGGCTGATGGCGACTGCTGCTGAAGTCAGCAGAGTAGGTCTTGGGCAGCGGCAAAGGGTAGGCAGGTCTTTCGGGCCCGATATCTGATCTTGTCTTTCGCGGTGGCTGGCTATGACTCTTCGGGGGAGGTGGCAGAGGGTGGTAGCGACTACCCACAGGCTGCTTCATGCCGGGCGGAGGGAGGGGCAGTCGATGGGATGTCGCTTGGGATGTGCCTGGAGTATCCAAAGGGTAGAATGGCGGATCTGAGTCACCGCTCCTGGCGGCGAGACTGCCTACGGTGCTTCTAGTAGAGAAGTGACCTTCGCTTGTTGTCTGACCCGGAATTTGAGCGGCTGGCGCATTGTATGTCTGGATCGGTGCGGTGGTAGCAATGATCGCCAGTGGGTGAGCCAGCATGAGGAGTATGACCAGCAGCTTCATCTCTTCAGACTCTGCTTTCGAATGATAGAGTAAAGGCAATGGAGGGAATTTCTAAGGAAGCCAGTCCTCGAGTGAAGGTGAGTGCTCTCGAGATGCGAGAGGGGGCTCGTGATCAGACACTACATATATGGTCTTGACGAGAACGACGCTCGCAGGGCAGTGCAGAACGTGTTGTATCATGGCCACGGAGCTGGGCGTCAGTTGCTTGCTCACAATCGTCCGGGAGAAGAAGCACCTGGGGGGGTTGAGCAAAGCTGCAGTCGACAGAGCAATACACAAATTGGGTTGCTCTTTGACCACCTGCCTCTCAAGACACTCTTTGCGCAGACGTCAGCAATAAATTCCAAAGGTCTGGGACGACGTTGACATTACCAGAACTTCTTCACGGCGTTCAATATCTTTTTGCCCTTTGACTGAGGCCGAGGGGGTCCGTGGTAGCCTTCGGGAAAGGGACCTACAGGATGGGGCGGGCTCGGATCAGGTGTATCTGGATCCCGAATGTTCGGCGGTTCCCACTCTGGTGATGGCGACGCGGTCGGCGTTCTTGCTGGTGACGTCTCCCTCACCGGGGAGGCGCTTCGTGATGAATAGCTTGCGCTGACACCTTTGTCCTTCTTCTGCTTGCCCTTGCCGAGCGTAAGCCTCTTGAGCCTCCCCACGATGCTTTTGCCTTTGCGCTGCTGTTCTCGCGATGGGCTGTCTCTATCGCCTGAATGTGCAGATCCAGGTGACATGCGCACGTAGATCTCCTGGCGAGCGGTGCTCGGCAGAGCTCTGACCGTAAGCAGATCCGAACCCTCAAGATTCTGGTGCAAGTGTGATGCTGAAGTGCTGCTCACAAGGGCCATGGCCAGCACAGTCAACGCTAAGTATCGAAGTGAGAACCTCATTGTGGCAGCGGTTTCTGGATCAATGTTGAGCGGAAGGCGAAAGAGGATTTGTCGAGTCGAAGACTATGAGGTGTGGGAGCCAGCTCCAACGTCGATGGAAAGGACAGTGAAAGGGAACCTTGGGCCTATTCTTATACAGCGGCCCCGAACGGCTCATACAGGACTAGTAGCTTGCGTTGCCGTTGGGCAAAGCGGAATGACAAGCCTTGCTATCCGGGTTAGTGTTTGCTCCAGGCATATGTAGAGGGGAGCTGGACATGGAGCAAGGGTCTTCGGAGTCGCGAGGCATAAGCACAACGATTCCTGGCCTTGCTTGATCGCTCGTCAGACCCGAGTCGGGGACAAAGGCCATGCTCCGCTCCGACTGTCATGCCGTCGCGGGGGATGGCGATGTCCATGTGGCCTATGAGAGCTCACGAACCAGCCTTTGAGCGTCTTGCCGACCCTTTGCACTTTCTTCTTGACTTCTGCCTTGACCTTCTCAAAGCCCTTCCTTGGTCGCGGAGCTTGTGGCGGTGTCGAAACAGAATGGAGGGAGGACGGATTGGTAGACGACATGCGAGGGCTTGCGCTGCGAGCAGGAGAAGGATAGATTGGGTATGCTCCCCTGCTGCTTGGGGAATCTGATGCCGATGACGGCTGGCTTTCTGCGATGTGCTCGCCGCGATGATTCTGCCGTAACGTCCTGACAAGTTGCGGCCTCTCCATTCTGCCCCGAAGGACATCTTCGGAAGCTGCTCTGACCGTGAAGCAGGCGAAGCAGCAAAGCAGCAGAAAGGCGAGGGGTCTCTTGAAGGCCATTTCGATACGTGTTGTCAGGAACAATGAGGACGTCCTCTTCCTCCAGGGAAGTCAGAGTACAGTATGCAAGACGGGTCAAGATGTGAACGCCGAAAGGAACACGTATAAGCTCATGTCGCTCAGGATCGCGGTGCTGTGACGTAGCCATTCCTGCTGTACGGAGTCCGAACGACAAGGGAGCAATTTGAGAGGCAAACTTCCCCGTCTTCCCCGTTTGAGTCCACGAGTTCCCACAGCAAGAGGCGATCGTTGCGCTCGCGCAATACGTGGTACCGCAACTTCTGATGCAAGCAAAGGCGCAAAGGTTAAGTCAGATTTGGGTTGGCGACCGCACTTGTGGCGCGAAGAGGCGGCACAGCAGCAAATTCAAATTGAACATGCCCGCACTCCGGCGACAGTGACTCTTCGAGATATGGGGCATGTCAGGAGGGAGAACAGAGCCTCAAGTCGCCCCTCTCGGCTTCGCACAGCGCAAGCACGCCGTCAACTTGCGCGTGACCTTTCTCCACCTGCCACCCTTTGGCCGATGTTCTGCGATGATACTATGCTCCCGTAGACTGGGCGTCGTGGGCGTTCTTGGGGTGCTAGGAAGACTCTCTGCAAGGGCAGAGTGGTAGCTGCTGGAGTGGCTGAGTCGCCGGGCACGACTAGGCTTGGCTGTGCTACCGACAGGCGAACCGGGCAGTGAAGCCAGCGGAGACGATTGAAAATTGTCCTGGTTCGCCTCCCTCATCTGAGCAATGACCTGCTGCGGGCTGACTCTCAAGGCCTGTTCCAGCTTTCGACCGAGCCTCTGCGGACGACCAAAGTGGAAAAATCCAGTCTCTCGGTCGAAGGGTCCACGATGGACAGAGGGGGGCTGTTGACTCAGAGATTGGCTCGGCACATCAGACTGGCCGCCGGTTATGCCATTGGATGTGCCAAAGGTCGGTTGCACGCTTGCGAAAAGAGCGGCAAAGGCAGTCACGGCTCTATAAAGCCTCATATTGAGCTGTGTCTCGTGTCGTGTCCAGACGATGTCCAGTCTTGCGGAAGATCAGGGTTGAAAGGGGGGAAAGTGAAGTCCAGCTTCGTGTGGGTGACAGAACAGATGTAGGAAGACGTCTAAGTTTCGCCCTTTTGACAGTGCCAATTCACCCGACTTGCTCACCACTGCTGCCTACACTCGAAACTCCGGTGTCCGTTCCTGAGCTCGGAAGCGAGTCGCTAAGGCATGTTGCTCCTTTGCCCGTCTTGCAAATGGATTGCTTCGTTGCTCTTTAGGTCCGGACATTTTGACGGCCTTTGTCCGACAGCTGACGGCTAAAGGCAATGCACGCCGCTTGCTCAAGCAATCCGTCGGCTAAAGCTTTGCTTCGGGCAGTCTATAAGAGGCGAGTTCCAGTAGCTCGGAGCTTTTTGCCCCCCTTGTCCACGTTTGAAGCGTATCTTGAGGGCCTCTTGTAGACCACGAACTCACTCGTGAACGAACTTCAACCACGCTGGCACAGCAAGAGCGACTACATATCACCCCATCGAAATCAAGAGCACAGCCCATCTGACTCTGCCTCCAATCGTATCTCGCTCGGCTGCTTATACAAAGCATAACACCTCGGGCACCGCATATCCCGGAGAACGATGGCCGTCCTCGTTGCCATTCTGCTCATGCTGCACTGCGCCATCTTCGGCATCGGCGTCAGCGCAACGAGCTCTTGGGAAGAAGGAATTGGAGAAGTCCCCAGCAAAAGCTTGACGACACTGGAAGAGGATCCTGATGCCTCCTCCGAGGCAGGTAGCATCGACAGTGCAGAAGCCTCTTGAGCAGAGCATTTGGAGAGCACAGTGCGTTGCCGGATGTGTGCATTTCTCGGTGGGAAAGATGGCGTGCCAAGATCTGCCATACAGGTCGTGACCTGCACGAGGGCAAAGCGACGTGACGAGCGCTGGCCTGCGATCTGATTGGGGAATTGCAGCAAGCTGTCGAAGGACGTGACAAGGAGGCGGTGCTCAGCGATCCGAGTGGAAGATGCTCGAGTATCGGTCCATATAGATCGCGCTTTTTCCGGTCCCACGCTGACCAGCAACACCACCTTTACATACCTGGTGTCCCTGTCTGCCATTGAGTCTGTCCATCGGGGGCAGTGCAGCTGCAGTAACAGCGTCTGAAGAAATCCGGTTTCAGAACGTTCCCAATTGCCGTCAAAGTTGTGAAGACCTTGTTCATATCGATCGCGGTACCGTTACTTCCGATAGAAGGGACGGCATTTCGAGCTTCATATCCGCATATATTAGGCCCATCACAGTGTGAACAGCCTGCCGTCAAGAGTGCGTTCATGAACAGTCCTCCATCTTGAGCAAGCTGGCCTTGCTGAGCACATTGCGACCTATCCGTTCGTCCGCGAAGCATAAACGCCATACTGCCAGCATACTGGCCATCGATATGGCCGTCTTGTCGTCAGCCCCTTTCCGCATCATGCTTGCTACGGCAATGCTCCTCATGATCCTATGCCCCAGTCAAACGGCAGGAGCACCCATATTCTACATCCTGCCTCTGCCGACCGACGACTTTTGCCGTAGCTTCTTTGCACGGGAGCTAGGAGGATGTCCACCCACATCGCATGACTTGATCAAAGACTTGCCTCGTCAGCCGGGAGACAAACACTGAGGATACAGCAGACTTGCAGAGACGGGCTTTTTGGTTGCGCCCGGAACCCTCGATCCGGTAGATGCGGGGAATGGCTGTGTTGAGAATATCCGAAGACTTGGTCTTGTCCGCTGCTTGAGACAAGCGAGATGACCGACAGCTGAGGGCTGCTTCGCCATGTTGGCAGCAGTGCCAATTGTGCAGGTTCCGTTGGGTGCACAGCATTGCTGCTAAATCGCACATCGGGTCGGATTGCCGGTTGCGCAGTGCTATCAGCAAATGCCATTCTTCGCAGCAAAAGACCGATCCTTGCGGCCTCGTCGATGGCAATGTTTTCGCCTTTCCCATTCCTCTTATATGGCGACTATGCGAGTGGGCACCGCCGATAGAGCCCACATCCCATCCCTTGGCCATTCACTTGACCCTTTGCAGTCTCTGGCAGACACTTAGCCCATTCCCACTCCCTCTGTTCTAGCACCACCGAGCTCAGTCACCGCAGCGCAGCACAAGTCGCTTACTCGCCCTCCCTCCAGACCACCACTCCTCTCGTCCCCCTCAAAACCAAGAGATGAAGGTCACCTTGTCCTCTGCTCTGCTTTGCCTCGCACTCTGCCTCAGCGCAGCAGCCGGAGTCAGCGCAAGCCCAAGCGCAAGCGCAAGCACGACCACGTCCTCTCCCCCACTCTCGCTCCCTGCCTCTGCGGACGCCGCTGCAGTCGAGCTGCACTCGCGCAGTAGGATGCTGGGCACCGTCTTCGACAAGATCAAGCTGAACAAGGCGAAGCTCGAGTCCAAGGAGCTCAAATCGAAGCAGCCCAAGAGCAAGAAAAAGTTCGCCTACTCTTTCAAGAGGCCCAGGGCGGGATACCTACCCGTATTCCCCGCGTCCTCGGAGCGACTCAAACCCCGGGGTGGTCCCTTTCCCATGTCTTCCCCGTACTACTGGCAAGGACGCCCCAGTATGAGCAGCACGTTCAGCACCCTCTCCTCCAAGCTCACCACCAAGATAAACGCCGCCAGACCTCGACCGGGGTCGAGTGTTCCAGGTGCTGGTGGGTTTTCCCCGACATTTAGTAGGTATGGTGCGCATTCGTTGGGGTCGAAGATTAAGGGGGTGGGGAGAGGGGCGAAGAGGGGTGCGAGGAAGATCAAGGGTTTTAAGCCGCTGGGAGGATCGAGGAGGTTGAGGGGGTATGGATATATTTGAGATAGAATGACTTTCGCTTGAATTGAAGTGGGCTGGACCGAGCTAAAGTGGGTGAAGTGAGCCAGCTTGGGCTGCGCGAGAGAGTGCTGTACTGAAGCCGGGGCAGGTACAACTGTCCTACAGAACAGCTCACCTGGTCTATGAGCTTGATGAAATACATACATAGCTATTACCGACTGACCTGCTTTGCACCAGGCATTTACTATACACATCGACGCTTCGCTCCACTCCATTCTACTCCACTTGACGCCACTTGACTTTGCGTCTCATGCTACGATGCAATCGGCAAAAAGTTCCCAACGATCGCCGTCGGTACTCCAAACCTGTCCCTCCTAATCGTAAATGAGAAGCAACACTGGACATTGGGATTGCTTCCCTTGCCCCCTTGCTCATCGTCATCCCCGGCAGGAGGTCCTGCGCTGCTGCCACTGCTAGCACTACTGCTACCACTGCTGCTCCGACGGCGGGGCAGGCGGGGCCCTGCTTTGTTCGCCTTTTGCTGAGCTGCAGTAGCGGGAGCGGAGGTACTAGCAGCTGAAGGTGGTTGGGCTGAAGATTTATCTTTTGACGTGGACGTCATGCTCAGGTTTTCCGGTAAGGGTCTGCTTCCCGCTCCTCCACGTGCAGGCGTGGCCGTCCCGCTCGTATTAGCATTCGTATTCGGTCCACTGAGCGAATTGCGGGTGAGAGTGCCCACGGGCGTAGCTGCGCCGGAAGGAGCTCCCGAAGCGGCAGCGGTAGCGGCACTTGGACGCCATCTATGTGGTCTGGGAGTGAGGACACACGAAGTAAGGACTGCCTTCTGTCCCGGATCGAAGCCAACTGCTCCAAACTTTTCCCAGTAGTTGCAGGCACTCTCCTCCTCCATGAGCTCGTAGATACAGAGGCGTCCCTCGCGGAGCTCCTCAATACCCACTCCAACCAGTTCGGCGAACTCGCGATTACCCTTGTACACTTCTCCTGTGCGCCGCCAGAGACAAGCGGGGATACCCTGTGTGGAGAAGACTCGGTCGTAGTCGAGGAGCAGTCGCTCGAAGGCCTCTTCAATGTAGATGAGATCGACGTCGCTGAGTGATTGAGCTACTGCTCTGAATCTCGGTCGGAACACCGAGAGTGGTTTCAAGATTCTCCGCCGTGAGGAGGGGGAGACGTGCGTGTCCATCCACGAGTTGAGGCGGGCATAGCCCTTGACGTGGTTGTAGGGACGTAGAAGACCAGCGTCATACTTGGCTTGGATGACCTTGGTGAGACGTTCGTCCCTGGGTCCATCAACTTGATCGGCCGCAGTGAGGAAGAAGCGCTCCGTTTTTGTAGATGTTGCGAATCCTTTCAAGGCAGCAGGGTCTGTGGACGAAGAAGTCGTTGCAGAGGCCGTGGTGTTGCTCGGCTGCGCTTGACTTGTCTGTGCGATGCTACCCCGTGGGCCGGCGTTTCCGTTACGTGGTCTCTTGACTCCACGCAGTGAGGTCGTAGGAGATTGCTGTGTCTTGGAGCTGTTGTCAGCAGGGGACCACGGCGAGGCCTTCTCTAGAACAGGTGTTGTTCCTTTGCTCTCTGGAGCAAAAGGATCCCGATCCGCAGAGGTGTCCATGGGGCCGCCAGAAGCCATCAAGGGATCACCCGGACCATCAAGAGATTCGAGGAATTCACTGGGTAGAGATATGCTTGTTAGTTGAGCTCCGTTCGAGAGGTGCCTCTGCGACTCACCTGAGCAAATTGTACTCATTGCCTCCTGCGATATCTCCTCCTCTCCCTTGACTGCCAAATGCCGGTCCATGCGACCCACCAAGCCCAAGGAAGCCAGCACCACCAAGTCCCGCGGCTGCAGGCGAGGCGGCCGAGACCGGCCAATTACCATTTCCTCCTCCGTACTGTCCAACATTTGAGCCGCCACCGCCAGCTGTTAAGGAGCTCGAGGGCGGGGAGAAGGCGGACAAGGCGCTAAGAGAGGCTGCAGAGGGACTGTTGCGGTTGCCGCTGACGAGGCTTCCTAGTGCATCTGAGCTCTGCCCTCCTAGCGTCTGCCGCCCAGCTGCACCCGCTTCGGGGGGCGGTCTCATGAGCATAGTCTGTGCTGCGAGGGGTGCTGCAGACGCGGCCAAAGGGGTGCGATTGCCGCTGCTGACGACTGTGGGCTGTGAGGTGTATAGGCCACGAGCCAATTCGGATGTGGCAGAAGGGTTGGCCTGCATTGCCGTGATGTAGGCTTGCAGAGCATCCGTCTGCTGGTTGGTGGGTGAGTTGGCATTGTTGAGCGGCGTCGATGCAGAGGGGCTGTCAAAAGGATAGGTAGACGGGGGACCTCCAGTCTGGCTTGCTCCGCCGAGGGGCGACTTCTGGGAGCCTCTCCCTGCCAATTGCGGGGCACGCTTGCCGGAGACCGGCATGCGACCTGCTGCATTGGCTCCACCGGCCTGATAGGCAGATTGTGGAACCGGTGGAGGCGACATCCGACCGAGACCACCCTTGGACACGGCGGAGGCAGTGACGGGTACCGGGCCTGAAGGAGAAGATGAGGATGCTCCAGCAGCTGAGCCTTGGGGGCCTCCTTCAGTTGTACCCGGCTTGTTCTTCGGCAGAGCATGGTGAGCATGACCATGGCCCTTGCCTGGCACTTCGTCGTGGCACAGATGGCCAATATCACGCTTGATGCTGGTCGAGGGACGAGGCAAAGGAAGAAGGCGAGTGTCAGCGCCTTCCAGCAACGTGACAACTCGACGCTACCCTACTACTCACCATCTCGTGCATGGTCTCTGTGAGTCGCAGGTCATGTGGCTACGCCTGCAGTATACGCAAGCCTGTCCAACTTTGCGCTTCTTTGGCTCCTTCTTCTTCTTTGGTTTGCCTGACTTGTCATCCTGTTCTCCACTTGATCCTGCATCCGACACATCTTCGGCAGCTGCGTCATCATGTGATGCAGACTTGGTCTTCTCTGTGGGTGAGGTAGGAGAGCGATGAATGGTACTGGTGGAACAGGAAGAGGAGGATGTTCCTGCGCCAGTCACAGTCGCGGCTGGGCGTGTCGGGGAAGAAGCCATTGGTCTCGAGGACGGGCCTGAAGCGTCTGATGGCGAGTTGTTGTACATGATATCGGTCCAGAGCGAGTAGAGTAGGGAGTTGTTACAGCATCAGAGCAGGCCGCAGTGTGCGATACAGGGCAGCTCTGACGAGGCGAGGGCGGCACCACTTGGTCCGTCGTGCGCCTATTGCCCTTTGCTCAGATGAGGAGATTTGTGGTGGACCTCGGAGGCAGATCACCGAGGGAGAGCTTGCACAGGCTTGCCAACGCAAGTATGAGGAGGCAGTGGCAGAGCGTGGTGTGTATGCTGCGGCGGGCCTGCGGATGTGGGTCGCAGTAAGGCAGCGATGGTTCGTCGTCGTCGTCGTTGCAACTTGTGGGGAAGCTGGACTGACCCTCCCTGCCTCCCTTTGCCCTTTGGTCTTGGCTACGCGGGGCGCGCCCTCAGACGGCAGGCGGGGCGGGGCGGGCAGCCAGGCGGAAGGAGCCACGTGAGCCGTCGAGCCAAGCCAAGCCACGCCAGGCCACTCTACTTCCGTTTTGCCTCCACTCCCCGCACTTCTTCCTGATTGATGACCATTACCAGCCTCGTCAGCACTTCTCCACTCTGTCCTCGACGGTGACGTGCTGATGTCGTCCTCTTCTGGCTTATCAGCGCTGCAGCGTCGGCAGATCGCTGAACTCCAGCTGCTGCGGTCCTCTGTCTCGCCAGAGGAGTTCCACTGGAGAGGCACGAGCCAGGAGATCGATCAGTGGGACCAGGCCTTGGCCTCCAGCAGTGATGGCGATGTCGAAGATGGCGGTACAGGCGACGAAGATGGCTCGGCGTCTTCTACCTCGATACCTCCCTTTTCTGCTGCCATCAGTCTGAGAGACGAGCAGCCTGCGCTATGGCTCGACATCGATTTGCCTACATCACGGCAGCACGACACTCAAGTCGCCGTGCGGGTGCAGGAGGAGGATCGCAGCAGAGTAAAGGACTTTCAGCTGTCCAGGCTCAGAGACGAGATGGCGAGGAAACAGATAGAGTCAAAGGAAGAAGGTCAGCGGGCGCTGTATCGATACTTCTTATAAGACCCAAGCCGCTGCTGAAACCCTCCTGCCCTTTTACTGCCACTGCTCTAGAATATCCACTCTTCGACCTCTACACCTCACTGCAGGATCACCTCCTCTCCAATCCCCTCGACTACCTACCTAAGCCAGAAGATAAGGACAAGTCGACCGCTCCCGCCTCTTCGGAGTCTCAAGACTCCGCACCACCTCCACCCTCCCCCGTCACCCTCTCGCGCCTGATCATCTGGTCACACCATCTCCTCTCCCAAATCAAGCGCCGTCAACTCTCCTCGTGGTGCACTTCCCTCTCCGTCTGGGGTCTTCTCAAGACTGGCTATCCCGGCTACCTGTGCTTTGAGGGTCTACAGGAAGACGTCAAGGAGATCGAGACGAACATAAAGGGGATGCAGTGGGCTGCGATCCTCGTTAGGGATGAGGAGAGCTGGGTCTACCAGGGAGAGGGGGGAGAGGAAGGAGCGCTGCTCGCTTGTCCGCTCGCAAAGCAATTCACTGGCTACCAGGCAGCTGTCCAGGCCAAGGGCAAAGGCGAAAAGGTCAGGACTACGTGCGAGGAGATTGAGACGATGAAGGAGATTGTAGACAGGTGAGGCGACTTGCAACAGGCGAGAGATGGGTGCAGACTCTGACTGCTGACTCGCACACACTCTCATACGCGCAAACCCTTCGAATCGAATAGATTACGATCGGCTGGTCTTCCAGAAGACGAAGTCGTAGATGCACTAGGGCTACGGACGAAGCAGCACTAGGAGGCAGGAGATTCACAAAACCACTACCTCGTCTTGCTCTCTACCAAGCCCTCGAATCGAGAAGCGTCATCGATCAGGCCTGCGCCGGCTTCTTGCCCCCATTCTTGTTCTTGAGGGCCGCCAGGGTACTCTTCCTATCCTGGCTAGAGCTCCCATCCATCATTGCGCTCACATCATCTCGGGCTCCCTTCCAGACCCTTTCCTGCGCAGCAGCACCCGCAGGGCCGGAGCCAAAACGGCCCCAACCGAATGGTCCCGAATTAGGGGGAGGAATGTAAGGCAACTTTCCTCGATTCTTGCGTCCACGACCTCGGACCATCTTGACCTCGCCGGGAGGGACAGTGGGCGCGATGAGGGGGCTCTTGGCACGCGCTAGCTCCGGGCGGGATTTGTTCGGCAGAGGCTTCTCCATTGACATGGGCAAGGGGAGCGGCATCGGGTTGCCTTTGCCCTTGTCCTTGTCCTTGCTTCGGGGACTATGGCGCGGGGGACGTGGAGGTGAGCCCATGTGCGACGCTGTTCCCGAGGGGGACGCGCGGTAGGATGGCATACGCGAGAGGGCAATGGAGCTGTAGCGATGCTCTTTGCTCGTGCGTCCTGGCACCTCGGAAACGCTGGAGGCGCCTTGAAAGGTGTTCTTGAGACTGCTGAAGCAGGCGCTGAGAAGACCGCAGCCACGCGTGCTGAGAGGGAGAGGAGAAGGATCCTCAGAGGTGGTGGTAGTGGTAGGGTGGGGAACGGTGGTGAGAGGAAGGCTGGCAGCGCTCACGGCAGCGGCACCCGCCATGAAGAGGACGGGGAAGAGGGAGAGGATACGCATACTGGACAGTGTTGGGACTACGGTGCGACTGGGGAATGCGGCTAGGCAGGTGGGCTACGAAGACCAGCTTCGGTAGACTTTGAAAGACGGGTGGGGGG